GATTCTGCTTGTGATTCTGCTTGTGATTCTGCTTGTGATTCTGCTTGTGATTCTGCTTGTGATTCTGCTTGTGATTCTGCTTGTGATTCTGCTTGCGAGTCCTAATGTCGACTTTTTTGTCGATCACTGTAAGAGGGGGAAACTGAACGGGACCACAACAAAGAAGTAGGTAGTAATGAGGTTGGGACTGTGCAAACACTCGGCAGTCCAGTATACCGGGGCAATCAGTTCGTCGAGCGGGTACGTGCACGATAAATTGGGTTGTTATAGAAAGCCACAAAAAGCACAAGCCCACCACTACTAAAGATAGGACAGAGGGAGAGAGAAAACGGAACGAAGTGAGGGTTGGGTAGTAGTCAAGCTACACGTACCAGACATAAAGAGTAGGTAGGAGCAGAAGCAAGAAATATTTCTCAAGATTCATCAGAAGGACAAATCCCTACCAAATATGTATGAAAGTCGATCCAGTCGAACAAGGTCGCGTCCCATCCTGGCTCGGGCTTTCGCAACTCGCGAGATATCGCTCAAGCCATAGGCCATTATTGCCGTGCAGCCGTTGGTTGGAAAACCCAGAAGCGAGAAAACAAAGACTGCACGCAGCATCGCAGATCGGAGCGACGTCAGGTATGGGACCCCACGAAACCTTGATTTGATCAAGGGGGGGTCTGGTTGCAGGTTGGATGTTGCATGTTCCATCAAGTCAGCATGTCCACATACGAATGAGGAGATAAGACTTGAAGAGGATGAACCTCTAAATGCTTGCAAAAACGCCAAAGATGCAAGATGAGATGCCGGCGATTCCGCGTATGGAGCAAAATGATGTCAACAGGCAAAGATGAGGAATCTTATGGGCCTATGAAGCCCCTGGAAGGCTATTGTTAGGCTCAACTTTGAGGCTAAAGACCCGCCAACTGGGACCTGAATCGGCTCCTCGGGCTTCCGCTAAAAAGGCTTGTTGGCCTTGATTAAGCCCAAATCGATGCTTATTCAGCTGTACTACGCAACCCCTCAGGCACAGATGAAATCATTCACGCTCAGCTAATCATGTTATGTAGGTGCATTGCTCGTTTGAGGACAGTAGGTGCATTGCTCGTTTGAGGACAGAACAGCTGCAGGTTTGGAGACATGGTTTTACTATTGGGTCATCCGAAAGAAACCCATGGTTCCATTCACTGTCATCAACCATATGGCTTGTAGTCTGGGGCCGGCCCTGTATCGTAACCCACTGTGTGGTCAAGCAAGCTGTTGTTTGACTCTGGGGGAAATAATTGGTCCCATTCAGTCTATCAAACATTTTTCGTTAGCGGAGGAAACAAAGTCAGACAGTTTGTGTACTCACCCAGTTGATATCTGCCATCATGGAATCGCCACGATTGACCGAGACAGGGTATTGTGGAATGTTGACCTGATCGCTCTGAAAGCCAGAATTCATAAACATGTTGCCAATTGAACCTGGAGCTGGTTGTGGCGGTGAAGACATCGGAGCCAGTCCATGCGTCGGTGCTGGTAATTGAATTCCTGACCCTGTATTATTGAGCACTGTTCGCCACTGCGTTTGATCAGAGGTAATCAGCGGAGGCCATGATTCATTCGTGCTGGAGTCGCTGGGACTGTGAAATTCGCCCAAATGTCCAGGTGAGGCATGACTCTGGCTGTCTGATCGAGGAGATATATGCTGTGGTCCCTGTTGGGGAGGTTGAACCGGTCGTGTGGATTGTGTCTGCCCTGAACCTGGACCTTGTGGTGTGCTCGAATTCCATCCACTTTGTTCACTTCGACCGTCGTATGGGCTCGTGACATAGAGCGTCGCCGGATTCTCAAAACTCCAGTTTTGCTCCCTCATGTATGCTGCGGCAGGTACTTCTCCTTGCAGCGTTGACGAGTTGATTCCAACCTCGGTGCTGGCACTGGCATCATTTGTAGGTTTGCGTACGTTGCTATCCACCATTTCGAGTCCATCCTTCATTGAAGGTGGAATTCGGATTTTGCGGAGGTCTCTATACACTCCGGTTCGATCCTTGATTGCTTCAATGATGGTCTGGGCCTTTTGTGTCCGTGACGATGACTGATCAGGTTCAAAGACAAAGTCGAGAATGTTCCAGATTCTGTCGGCTTCTGCGTGATTGGGCATTTGATAGTCAATGGTCAATAACAGGAAGGCGATATGCCATTGCTGATATGCGCCTCCGTACCATCTCCACTGGGACAACTCGGGAAGACTTTGTAGCGCAATGGCAGCTTCCATCGATTGCACACCGCCACTGATGGTCAGATTGAGAAGTCGCTCTGGTACCAGATTGGGCGCATGGTTGAGAAATCGATGCATGACCATGACATACATCCGCTGAATCATTAAGCTCATGACAAGTCGAGCATATTTCTGAATGGGAACTTCCAGGTTCAGCATTGGTGTATACTTGGCCTCCATGGCCTTGCGAAATGTTTCGATCTTGGAGAGAACGTGAGTCAACGAGACTTTCTTTCTTTCCAATCGAATCCGATCTTGCCAGATGACTCTTTGCATTTCGGTGCATTCAAACCGAATTCTCGACGTCGTCATGTCTGTAAAGCTAGTTTTGGAATCCCGAATTTTGGGTTGAAAAAGGTCAGCATCGTTGATGTTGAGAGGAAATCGAGTGTCGTAGTCCTCTCGTTTGATACCCGGTCGAGGCCCCTGAGATTCACAGGTGCGGAAGTCTAAGAAGCAGAGTTCGAACCACAATATACGGCGTGCATGGCATTCAACCGGAGAGAGACCGTAAAGAGTCTCCGGATCTCGATGCAGCCCCATGCATTCAGCCAAGCGAATGGCCATACCAACGAGGACAGAGTGAGCTCGAGACATCTGATCGCGGCACATCGGAAGGAGATAGATGACCAACGCTTGTAGCGTTTCGAGTTTAGTTGCTCGTAGGAATTGCGCCTTGCTGAGAGTGACCTCGGTGCCGGTTTGGCAATTCCGCAGGATTGTAGACTTTGGGCGTGCAAAGATAGCTTCGACGTCCTTTTCGTCCATGCTGGCGACTGACGCAAACAGAATTGACAGAACTAGGGCTTGCTGCCATGCTGGAGGTTCCAGTCCGGCGAGGACACTGGTCCAAAAATTATCGTAGTGAAGAACGAAGCTTGGCCAGTGTACAACCCTCGTGATGTGATGGACACATTCAGAATAATGGCGAACCAACACATCGGCGGCTCCTTTGGTCGGAAGAAAGTTGATGAGAGATCGTTTGCTGCCGACATCTCCAAACAGAAACCCTGATCCAGGTGCAATGTAGGATGAGCCGGGCGCAAGGTAATCTTGATCACTGTCGGGTAATTTGGGAACGGCCGAAGTGACGTTGTTGAGATTTGAATCGCGTTTTGATTTGGCTAGCGTGGCGCCGAGCTGATAGTGTCAGCATAAGGCACGTCAAGAATCTATTGAAAGGGAGTTTATACCTCGTCATTGATTCTCGGGCGAAAGAAACCACCAAGCCGTTCAGTCAGTCTATCCATTGTCAGTCTCCAACTGGGTCGCTGAGATCAATCAGAAGTCAAGACTTGCCTCATCTTACCCACTCGGACACCAAGATCCAGAATATCATCATTGGCATCATCTTCGTAGGCGGCATCTATGACAGCCAAGGGCGTCGCTTCCAGTCCCTTTTCATCTTCGGGAACGGCGCCTTCGTTGTCTGAGCTACTGGTCTCTCCCCCAGGCAGGTCAGCGGACGTCCTTCGTTCCGCCCTTGTAGATGTACCGGAGGAAGGCTTGCCGTGCTGGCGAGCAACATCCTGCTCGAGAACACGTTCCAGGGAACCCATTTTCTCCTTGATTTCATTAAGACGTTGCTGAGAGACCGAGTCAAGAGCCGGGGCAAGGAAGAGGCAGTCGCGAGAAAACTTGTGGCAATTGGTGCATGGATGCAACTTGTCGCACTTCAATTTACGGCGGCGACACTCTAGACAGGATGTGATCATACGATTGCGCCGGCGTACCCGAGATGCGCTGGCAGCCTTGGTCTTGTCGTGAAGGCCGGAGCCCGTCTCATCGTCAGCATAATTGACTGAATGCTCCATTCTGAGCCGGGTCTGATGGGCTGCTCAGGGCTTTGGGCGATCTGTCGATTAACAGCAGGATTGATGTTGCAGGGTGGCCTTTGGGCCCAATCTTCCAGGTTGCAGCGTTGTAGACTCGCTCTCATTCGTCACCAAGCATCCGCGAACTACCCGCGCAATTAGCAGAGTGGGGGGAGACTATGTCAGTATATATTCACATATGGACTCAACGTAACTAGGAAAGAGAATGAGGCTAGTCGATGTCTGTCAACTGTTGGGAAGTTAAACATCATGAGGAAGAGAAGGCTAAGGCAGATGTCGTGAGCCGGCCAAGCACCCACACGTGACCATGCGGGACGAGGGCGAAAATGGTAGCCGGAAGGTGCGTGCTGGTGGGCAGGTGGCAGTTGGCAGACGGTGGGCTGCAGGCAATAACAGGCAAGGTACATCAGCACCAACAGACAAGGTACAATCAGTACCAACAGGCAACACAAAGGAGACAGATAAGGGTCATTGGGCTCGGCAGACATAACCTACTACGAGTAGTAAGCTCACAGATTCATTCTTATGTATTATTACTGGGTGTTCACCAATCCTAGGCTTTGTGTTTCGGTGATCCAGGTAAGGCGCTATGCTATGGGCTACCATGGAGGGGGACATGTCATTGTTCTTCCTGGCCCAAAATGCCCATACTCCGTACATCACTTTTTGGCGGGGATTATTCAGCGCATCCAAAGCCCCAGGGCCCGCTGGCCCTCTGGCCCGTCGTTGCCCGCATAGCCCTACGGAGTACAATTGCGAGTCTGCATTGCCTGCCCCGCAGTCAAGGTTCTCACCCGGAATGCCCTTGTCCTTTTTTGGGCAGTGATGATGCGTGCTCTAAGCACCCGCAGGCTGCACAATGGTTAAACTGGCGTGACAGGCATACCTATTTGATAGGCTGGAACTATTCTGTTCTCTTTAGTTTAAGCATGAGTCAGCGATCGTCAGGGGTTGTTTCGCCTGCGCCCATGGCGCTATGTGGACTCTCATCCGTACGGAGTAGTAGGTACCTTTCCCGTAGATATGAATAATACCACAAGGTCACGAACTCGAATCGTACTTTTGTTGGTATATCAAGACACACTGCACTGACGTTTTTGATGCTTCGGCCCACTTTCCTTCGCATGATAATAAGAGCGCAACAAGGTCGTAGCCTATGACTTGACACAATCTGAGCATGACCGCCGCGGATTTCTCCTAGGAGTTTCCCGTACCGAGTAATTTTGGGCAGTCGTAGAAGATGAGAAGGAACTTTGGACTTTAGCTTTAGAATGCCTGATCAACGCGTACATCGTAGGGTTTACACGTATCCCTTGCAGGAACTGCCACTAGATTTGATAATTATTCTTGTTATTGTACTGCATCCCCCCCATGTCACAACTATTATTAGCTGTAATTGTCAGGGCATCCGCATTCCTGAGGCCCACCCCCAAGGTTGGACCCGTCGCGGCAGTTGACCATACTATGGTGTGTTCTCTGACAGACTCTACTCCGTACATGTTCTAGAGCCTGCCAGATAGTTATAGTGTAGTAGCACGAGTGTTTAGCATATGCGTCAACTTCAAACGCGTTTGCCTCTACGGAGGATATACCTCTAATTCTAGCTATGGATGTCCAGGTCGTTGTGGTCCTTGTGCCTTGAAGACGGATCGTCAAGGTTGCGGAGATTAACGAGGATGGCGCCAAGCGTTCCGCCAATAGGCAGGCGCAGCAACTTGCCAGACGAGGAAGGTGCCGCATGAGGCTCGAGATGCAAAAGCTTAGCGGTCATCACAACCACCGTCCCTGCGCCTCGACAAACGCCACCACCCACCTTTGTCCTGTCAACAAACTTTGATCACGTCAAACAGTTCGTCCATTGCCATGGCGACTACGCTCGAGCATAGCCTGGTCTTCCTCCAGATTACGACGAGTTCTTGTCTGTGCAGGTATCTACGGAGGAACTCCGTGTTCAAGGTTCAGCCTCTGAAGAGTTCTCCAGACTCATCGCCACAAAACTTTATCAACGACTACGACTGACCTCTTGAACCTAGCCAGAAGACTTTGATGTCGACGATTTGATGAAGGAGACCATCACAAACAGTTATTCTGTCTCAGTTGCTCTCAGCGCCTTCACAGGCTTGTGGATCTGGTCCAGGTCGTCCTGATGCGAGAACTACTCACACCACTCCGGACGTCCGAGCACCGTCGAGGTCTCGTCCCCTCCAAATCCACCTCTCAAGATACGTTCCCTGCCGAGCCATCTTTGCGTTGCACACTTTGCGATAGCAGTGTCTTTGCCACCGACGTAACTCTTGTAAGATCGTTGGAGTTGACAGTTTCAATGGAGAGACTCCGAAACCCCTGGCGACAGTGCGTCGAGAGAGGCCAAACGGATCATTTACATTTAAAGTTCAGCCTCGCGCGGGCTTGAAATTGACCCATGCGTTCTCATGTTGCTCCCCCGGAACGTGCTTCCTCGACGCTACAATGGGGCAGATCAATGAGCACAGCTCTTCTCTCGTCGTAAGCAGCATTTTTGTTTACCAGACCTCCAGAATCTTGGTTGATCCGTACTTATCCTACTCCAATGTCTGCTTTGCATTTCCTGCTTTCCTAGCATTCTTGCCTGGAACTCATCAACAGAATAATCTTCACGCCTCATTAGCAAGATGCGGCTTCAAAACATACCACCGTCCTTGTTGCTTTTGCTGTTGCAGCCCTCTCTTTCTTTTGCATATTGGCGCATGGCTTGCAGTGTCTCCCAAACTTCTCGAGTCGACCCTATCGTGGACCCAGGTACCGTGTCGGGTCATGTGCACAAATTCGCGGGAGGAAGCAGTTAGTAGAGGCCTCTCGCGTGAGTGTCTCGCCAACCTTGCTGACTGGATAGATGTCGACCAAAACTCCGATTTCAATTCTTTGCTACAGTCGCCTTGCTCGTCCTGTGAAGTTCAATCAGACAAGTCAGCCTACTGGACTCCCCAGCTCTACTTTGCCCATGCAAATGGCAAATTCGAAGAAGTCCCAAACTATGGGATGACGGTGTACTATGTTGGTACGGCAGAATCCCATTCACAGTATTACTGCCTTTCTCAAGCTAACGTGGTCCAAGGCCGAGGAGGAACTCCAGCAAACACCAGCCCATTTCCACCTGGCTTCAAAATGATATCCGGAGACACCTTCGCTCGCTCCTACGACCAAAATACACTAACATATTTGAACACACGGCCTGTGGCTGACAGGTACCAATCCCCCCGCTTGTCGTGAACTTGAATGCTAACGTACACTAGGGTAAGTTTTAGATGTATCAACGAGGCTAACGATATTCCAGAAGAACACTATATGTTCCGCACCGATTGTGTCAATGGCATGCGAGCTCAGATCAACTTCCAATCATGTTGGGACGGCGTCAATCTTTACAAGGAAGACAACTCTCATGTTGCCTATCTTTCAGGAATCGACTACGGCACATGTCCTCCCTCGCATCCCGTCTCACTTCCTGGTCTTTTCTTCGAGTAAGTTGGGACATTCTCCTGCCCTTTTTCGGCCCAGCTTCTGATGCTCGAAGGGTACTTTACTTCACCAACCAAGTCGACCAGTCAGCCGGAGGGCAATTCGTCTTTGCCAATGGCGACCCGACAGGCTACGGTTTCCATGCAGACTTTATCAATGCATGGGACATGGATATCCAAGACGCCTCAGTCAAGGACTGTCTCTACACTGATGATGGTGGCGTTATCAGCGCCTGCAGTCATCTAGCTCCAAGTCAAGATGTTAATTTTGCACGAACCTGTCCTCAACGACCATCCGTGATAGACGAAGTTTCCCTAGGCACCATCGATGCTTTGCCCGGTTGTAATCCCATCACGAGTGGCCCTGGACCAGCCCCTGATCTCGGAAACTGTCCCGTGGGCAGCCACACCCCAAGCAATTCTGCTGGATCTTCTGGAAGCAGCAGCGCACCTCCTGTCCAATCCACAACCTTGTCAGCATCTACATCAGCAGTAGCACCGCCTACACTTAGCTTGCCAACCTCAGAACCTACAACTTCCGCCTCTCCTCCGGATACAACGAGCATCATGACCACAGTCACGCCACCCTATAGCGATGTGGATCCTTCTCCTACCACTAGCTCTGATCCAATCATCAGCAGCTCATTCCAAACTTCGTCCAGCGAGCCTGAAACCACGATTTCAAGCACCCCAATCTACCCTCCGCCTGGCGGAGCTTCCACGATGTCATCAACCCAAGACTCAATCCCTGTTACGAGTGCTCCAATTCCGGACCCAACCGGCGGTGATCCTGGATCACAATCGAGTCTCATCACCGACATGTTGCCCACCACATCAGCAATGGGTCCACCAGGCGAAGAAACAACAACCATCACAATCACCAGCTACATTACCGTTACTGTCACCGTTCCATACAACGCGCCTGGGGGTTTCTTTACTGTGACGGACCCAGGATCATCTACATCCATTCCTGCTCCAGCTGAAACTGGTGGCACTGCACCTACGCCTCTCCCAGATACAACAGTCACTTTACCCGGCACCACATTCACCGTAACCATAGACAACAGCGAGGTGCCGACGACTGCCCCAACAGCTAGAACCACCACGGTCGCCCCAGGGACAATTATTACTGAGACAACCAGAACCATCTCACTTGGTGAAAGTGGTATGGTCGAGACAACGACGTTTATTGATATAAGTGGGACAATGTACACCATTACCGGTCCGACCACCGCAACGTTCTTCTCCACCAACCCGTCAATTCCTACCGATGTAACGGTGCCTACAACCAGTTCATCTCCGGATGAAACATCATTGAGCAGTGATGAGATCACATCCACAACAACGATGACCTCGACAACCACCATTACGGTTACAGTGACACCCACGAGCACCCGCACAATCTCCGAGGCTGCATTGACGGTTGACACAGCATTGTTGAGCGGGACGACGGGGATCGTGGAAAATGAAGCCTTGACATCGTCCGCAGTCAGCATGAACGCAGATGGAGCTCCTTCAACTGCCTTTGTGACTGTCACTATTTCTGGGTCTGAGCGGGCAGACGATTCAACTCCATCCACAGCAACCGCCGATACTACATACTTCACCATCAGAGGGAGAGAGGTTTTCCTAACTTATCGATAGTTATTTCTGACTTGAGCAGCAGGACATTTGGGATTTGGACTGTTTGTGTAATACTAACAATTTAGCACGAGGATGACAAGAAAACAAAGGGACAAGAGACGGCATGTACAATAAACGACGATACCCCATTAGAGGACGACAAACGAGACAGCATAACACACTAATACGACACGGCACAACAGCACAGCGACATAGTTTCAAACAGCATCCTTCCAATGTTTCAGAAAACGGGCGGCAAAATAGGGTTTGGGTTTTACAGAGGGAAACATGTACATTTGTAATAGGTGAAGGTGAGTTAGGATGGGGTGGAGGATCTTGATCGAGAAGTATTTGTATAGCATTTTCGTTTTTGAACGAGCAAGATTGTCATATGTATGAATATTATTTGGTAGTTCTATAAGGAGAGTTCGAGTAAGTGATGTGAGTAATTGATGTGAGGAGTGAGCATGACTCGTTGGTTAGGCGGATTTAGGATGGGAATGGCATCCCCATGACTCATGCACTCACTGATGGTGGTTCTTTCCCTGTGTGCCTGCGCTCCAATCAAGATTTGGAGAAATCAATTCCACTTCAGACCTCCAGCCATGTTCAGGTACACATTCACATCTACAGTCCATTCAGCCACATATCTACACCACTGTCACTAACAATACCACCTCCTTACTCCGTACAGAGACTGACGCACTCATCCCCGATATGCGATCGTTCATCCCATAAGCTTGAACTCCAAATGTTATGACTCGAGGCATTGGTGCGGCCAGCGCAATTCAATTTTCCGCAAGAACTCGTCCTGCCAACTTTGTCTGGATCTCCGATGAATTACTAGCCGGCACTTTCGCTCGCTTTTGCCAGAGACGTCATGGAAGCTGCGTGCCGGGGCCCTTGGAAGCAAGGCGCCGTGCCGCGAAGCGGAAGAACACCAGTCTTGCGTCTCAGTCTTGGAGCCCAGTACCCTTGGATCCTGCACTGCTTTCAGGTCGCGACCAACATGTGTCATGGTGGCAGAGCGATAAGAAAGTGAACAGTGTGGAACCGAGTATGTCATAACGTATTTTCGAATCTCAGGATAAGAGCTGACTAGACCCAGAAACCCCCAAATGGCTGTCATGGCTCCTCGAAAGTCAACCCTCCCCTTCGGCCCCACACGCGCAATCGGCAAAGCAAGATACAGTATTATGGGATAGCCTCGACAATGACTGGTTGGCTGGCATTCTCAGTCAATATACCACATTCCACGATATTCAAGAAGCACTGCAACAACGCCGCGTTAGTGCCGAACAAAGACCAAAGCTGTGCCAACAGGTCTTGAGCCATCTCCTCAAGCATGAAAATTGGGCTCCTGAGGTCGCACAGCTTTTGCTAGACCCCGAATTTCACCCTCCTGGATCCTCACTGCACCTCGAAGCCTTCTCACAGCTCGACACGCTACCCTTGTCGGAAGACTCGTGGCTGAGAATACGAAATTCACTGTGCGACGCATCTCGGCTGGGGATCGTCCCGATTGATGACATCCGCAAGATCATAGAGTCCTCATGTGGAAGAAGCCTTCGTCTCGCTGATAGTGCATCCATAATTTCACTCGAAGCCAATGAGATCGGCCTTCTTCCGGAGCTGGTCAAGGCGATATATGCTTCAAGCATTTTGAGCCTTGAAGACATCGGAATATCATTCATCCTGGATTCGTTGCGTAAATCTAGCATAAATCGAAATGCTAGCACAGTTTTATCAATCCTGGCTCCCTGGGCTGAACAGAGGCACGCCAGCACATACTCCTACTACGCTGTCGATGAGATTCTCCACATCAAAGCCGACTCTCCACAGGCAGAGGCTACCACCATATCTTCAACAGCACGATTTCTCTCTACACTGAACTCGAGAGTTCTTGCGCTTACCCTTCTTCAAGTGACCGAGCAGCTATGCCTTGTTAGCAGCAAGAAGGGCCTGTCAGGCATGACGCATCTCGCCAACTGGCGGACGACTCTATCTGAACTCGGACGGCCCACAAAGGACGAGCTTCTTGAGGAAGGTCATTTCTCTACAATGCTCTCACACCTGGGCGATGAGAAGGGAATTCGCGGGCTTTTGATGACAATGTGGACCTGTGTCAGCCTGGCAAACTCAGATGAGGAATTAGAGGCGTTTCTCCACGAGGATAATGTTAGGAGGGTAATTCGGCAAGAGATGGAGGGCACGAACGGTGTCGAGACCAACGATCCTTTTGGTCGATTCACTCTCGAGCTGTCCAAGCTTCCTCTGCCTAACAAAGGCTTTCTACTGGAGAAGATCTTGCCATTCATCCACCATCGTTCACCAGCTGCTGCGTCAGACCCATATCTAGAAATGCTCATCAAAGGACTTGTGGATCGACGATACGTCATACTGTCCGACCGAGGCCATTTCCAATCTCTATGGAGAAACTATCCATATGAGCTAGTGGACTTTGCCGAGTCGATCAATCCGCACCTGCACCTCTTCAAGGGGCTATCGCGCAAATGGCTCTACAAGGACGACAGGGCATCAGGGGTGGTATTGAAGCTTCTACGGCACAACCACGCCTTGAAACTGGCCCTGAGCCAGTTGTCACTAGATCCCGACCACGTCCCTTTCCGGATCGCATGGCTTCGTGAGAAGACGCATAGCATCGACCGACTCCCTGATCCACACGAGGCGCTCGAATTCATCAAGCACCTGGCCGTGTCATTTGCAACGACCAAAATCGACACGCCATCCACGTGCGACAACCACCTCAACTGGCTGTATCTATTCCTTCACCGGTATCGCTGTCCCGTTCCACCCATCCTCGTCCAAGGCCTCTGGTACACCGGACTGGTTCGCCCGGGCAGAAGTGAATTCTCATCTGCGACCATGGAGCGCGTGCTGTACCGCGTGTCGCAAGTCGAGGGTCCGGATGTTGCACGCCAACTCGAATGCGATCCGGCTTTCCGAGCCCAGTACCAGCGCAACTTCGAAGCTTATGCTCAACAAGACGACCCTGATTTTCTCGCAAAACATTATCCCGAGGTTGATTATATCGATGACCTCTACTGGGCTCAGGGCTCGCATTGGATGAAGGATCGATCCTCCTTGCTGGATTTTAAACCTGATTGGTCACCTGGAGAGTACACTGAGTTGCCTGATACAAGCACACCTCTCCCTTTTCCAAGGCAGCGGTTAACTCATGGTGCTCTGTTTACATAGAGAGAGACCCAGGAGAGATGGGCACTTGAATTGATCAAATCCACGCTAGAAATGACATGATATTGGGCCTAAAACCGAAATTACAAGATAGAGAGGTCTTACTTGGAGTCATGGGGTTGGCGATGAATTGAATTCTGCATCGTGAAGTTATAGCGACGAGTGATCTAGTGTTTATATAGTGTATGATAATAACATGACCAGATAGACACCTACCATTCGGTCGTTGAGGCACTTGTTGAGCAGAGCACACCCAATTCACCCACATTGCACTGCAGAGCAGTTTCTAGCTCCAACAGTTTCAATCGCAGTGGGCCAATATGCGATCAAAGGTGCGTGTGTCTGGAAAAACAAACCTTTTTTTCAGGCAAACGAAAATGCCCACGTTATCCCCAGTATCACACGCTGAAGATCGAAGCTCGAACCGATCTGCGGGAACGACGACGCACAATGTCTATGTTCAAGGCCGCATTTCGACGTGCCGCTCGATGTGCCGCTCGACGTACCACTTACCTCGGTGGCACTGGCAATTCTTTCCTGACGTTGCCAGGGCTGCCAGTCATGTCTGTGTCGCCGATTGGCATCTAGCGTCGACTATGTCCATTGCGGAACCTGTCAGTCCTCGATAGACACGAGCAGGTGTTCGTGACGCAGAGTGACTCCTGATTTGACGTAAACATGGCAGCACAAGCCAATTTCGCCCCGAACAATGATCGAAGAAGGGTAAGGCAGATGAAAACCGGGCTGGAAAGTTGTGCTATTCTGATCACTTACCGCTGATTGTGAACAAATGCCTGAAACACCAATTGTGATTGAATGCCGCAGACGTACGTAAATAACGGCGGCGGTGGAATTCCAGATTGGAAATGACTCGCTATGGTCAGTATGCCGAACTCGGTCCCATTGGCAGTGTAACATGGGCAAGGATCGTGGGTAAATCGCTACGCCCAAATTGCTGGGATGGAGTAGTCCTGAAACCATTTCGTCTTACGTCCAAGTTCCACGGAACTGGCTTGTGTTTATCGTAGCCAGTGGGACTGAACAAATTAGCTATGATGCACCCGGAGGTATTTCGCGGATCGAAAGATCGCAGATTGTGTATCTGATGTATCAATCGTGAACAATTGTGGGGTGACAATCTTTGACTATGTCTGATGAGGATCAGCCGAATAGAGCGGGCTCCAGATAATGGTTCAACCTCGGGCTTGCATCGAATCGAGCCTTCTTTCCGTCCGCAACGCAGATCGGGTAACGCTCCAGTATCTAACGAAAGAAGGGTTAGAAACTGTTAGCTTTGTTGATTGAGGTCCGGAAGAGCAGAGGAACTCGGAGATCCAGGCTTTGATCGGACTTTGAAGCGTCCAGGGCGACAACGAGGCTTGGCGGAAAACTTGGGACAAGTTGGACCAAGCTGCACGAAAATAGAGAGGGAAAGAAGCTTCGTCAATGTCGTGCAGATTTCAGCTGTGTGTTCGCAGTCAACCGAGGTAGTATGAATGCGCGATCCCCCGTCCATGATGGTCAGAAACAAGAATAGGAAGATGGGAGCCGCCAGCAAGGGAGACAACCAGGATATGAAATGCCTCGGCCGGCATATTCAAGGCCGACAAAGAGGTCCGGAAAGGCCGACTTCAAGTCAAGCCGCCTGTGTTCGATCCAAGCATACGTCAAGTAGAGGTTGGTCGAAAGGAAAAATGGAATAGGTTGGTGCGCAGGCCCACAACACACGAGGTCGAGGTCGAATGGGTGAACCCAGGGGAGGAGGCGGGCTTTGAATGCATTTGATGGAGGATCGTGAGGGGGATAGGATGTAATGTGTTGTGGATGGAGACCTGCATACAGACTGGGGCCTCGCTTGCGTCAAGATCGATGGATAGGATAACAAGGGTCACAAGGTGAGGTAGATCTGACGTGGATTGCGTACGGATGGGGCGGGAACGAAAAGAATGGGCATGGCGGTCAGGAGGCGGATAAGCTCTGTTGACAAGTCAGATTTCTGATAGATGGGAGAAAATTGGTGCAGCTGATTGGCTAAACTGCGGACGACTGTACCAGGTACAGCCCAGATTGAATGGGGGGGCCCGGAAATGCTCAAGAAGCACAGTGTCACATTGAAAAGCCATGTCCTACCAGATGTGAGGGAAATCTCGGTACTGCAGGCAATTGATCTGATCTGATTACGAGACTGGCGGCCGGGTCGTACTTGAGTCAGAGTGACACAAGGTTGCAGAGAGGCACCAGAAGTTCCTGGGAGGACCCGATGGTGTGGTCGAACATGGCAAGCGGCAGGGACTGCGCTCTAGTCGACGGCGGCAACGTAACAGGTGCATGAACCGGTCATGGATTCTGATTGAGAGGTGACAGTGCCGCGGAAGCGAGGGTCGCAAAGATCACGAAGTGGCTGGCCCTTTGTTGGACATTGTGGCGAGGGGCGTTGTGTGATGTGGTGAGATGTGGCATTGGTGCAGTGGTTCGTGGCTGTCGATCCAGTGCACAACAAGGGATGTCAGCTTGGAGCCCCTGGAGACGTGGCTGTCGTGGACGACGACGCATGGCCAAGGAATTTGCAGTTGCCCAAAGTCCGAGCTGAGAGCACGGCAGTGCATGATGAGAGCTACTCTTGGAAGTCTAAAGGATCAAGGGATTCACATACCTCACCACCTACCGTGCGTGTTGAAGGAGGCGTGAAGGGGGGAGGGGAGTAGAACAGAGACGGCAGACCAGACCAGACCAGACTAGACTTGGGGTTCCGTTCCGGTTGGGCTTCGATGGAAGGGAAGGTGCTACCACGGGCACGCAGCTCATTGTTATGACTATGATTATTGGAAATGTAGCGTCATGGACTTTTCGGGGAAAGTCCAATAATCAAAGGCCACTGCCTGGGAAATTGTGTGAGGTATAACCTCCATTTCTCCCCATACATGGATACCTAACAAGGACAGTGTACGGAGTATACCTAGGTTGTCAAATACGTGGAAACAACAGCATGGCTCTTGGCTCTCATGATTAGGTTCAATCTTATGCGCTGGCATCTGGAGACACAGACCGCGTCTAATGACTGCAAAGTTGGTAACGGTCATGTCATGGCAAGACCCGTCCGGCGAAGGTTAAAGTTTGTAGTGACGTTAAGAGGTCAAGACAAGTCGAATGGAACTAGTCCCGATCAGGCATAAACCCTTGGCTAAGTACTTTTGCTCCAACTTTTTAGGTCGGCACCAAAGTTGGCTCTAATCACAATAATGTGTCCACCTCTCCATGTTCAGCTGAGAGAGGGCACGAGGGCGTGTATACTTAATACCGATGATTATTAATGAACCATATGTCAAGGCTATGCCGCTTGACCGGATAATCGGAAGACTGATTCTTGGGTGGTTTTTCTAAGGGGCGATAGCATGGGCTTCTTTCCCACTACACCCCCCTGCCCGAAAGGTAGAATTCTTGGTGGAGGCATGTTGTTGTGTGACCACTGACCATGCACCCAGAGATCAACATACATGTACACACATTGGATACATACTTATTAGGTAGGGTAGTCAAGGGTTGGGCCTGGCGTGCTTGCGCAGTCGTGGTCATCTCAGGTACCAATATCCCTTCCCAAGAAAGGCACGGCAGCCTCGGGACATGATGCACCTGCGTCACCTTGGCACACATTGTTACATTACCGTCCGGATGCCGAGTACTTTCCACAGTGTCGAGTCTTGTCCTGTGGAAGTCACGTCTCCGCTCCAAGGAGCAAGCCAGAACATGACAATATGTGGGCGGGCACGAGTATTAGTGCTGCCGCCAGAAAGCCATCGAGGCGTGGAATGGGCAAAGAGCTTTTCACGCCACCAATGGCCACTACGAGTAGTATTACCGACTTTGTTTGGCGACGGTTGACCCCAGCATGCCCCAGCCTAGAGAACTACAGCGGCTCAAATACGCAGATGTGCTCTTGCCTGCGTGCCTACGAGGCCTAAAATTGATTGGCTGTGAGATCATGGTCCGTGACTTCACTACCATTGGGAAGGAGGCACAGAGGGTCCTGCAGTACCCTTGTCTGGCTTGTCTGGCTTGTCTGGCCCTACGGACCATGCCGTGGAGCAGCATACCTTGTAACCTCGTCCTGTTTTTCATGCAGTCTAGTGCTGCTCCGGGTCTCATTCATTGTCGGATATCGTTTTTCCTTTAGCACTTTGACTTTGGCCCCTTCGATCTTGACTCGTCCGCTTCATACAACTCAAAAAAGAAGCACCAATCTTATTGTCGTCATCGTCACTATACAGGCGAGTCTCTCAGAGTCTACAGTGCATGATGCCCCTCATTCCTCGTCTCCAATCTCTTAACCTGTCACTGTGGTCACCAGATGGATGGCGATCAACAGGGCCCACCCATCCACTGCTTCCCTTCCCTTCCCATGACACGGACCACAACGCCATCCCCATATCTTGAAACTCTACGCCACCAAACCTTCGAGAGGCTCTAGGAAAGGCACCAGAGCGGATTCGCTACCTCTAGACTCACCCTTTCCTCGCCCTGCTCAACTCCACACCAAGCGCTTGAATGCACAGGTTCCATCCCCCTCCCGTCCTATCAACTCTTGCAGGTCTTACGCCTGACGCATCCCAATGCGGAAAATTTGGTTCTCTCCTGTACGATTCTCTCTGTACTCATGACCGTCGGCTGTTCGACCTATTGAACCTACTGCAAATGGCCGCAATCTGAGATCCAAATCCCTGTCAGCCGAAGCTTTCAGGGTCCCCGGCATGCCGGCCTAGGTCAGTCCCCTGCAAACCTGAATTCGATCCTGCTCTGCTCCGTCCACGCATGTTGATATCTATCTAATAAACAGAGTTCATCGGTCAACGCGCCTCCAAAGTCCACCTATGGCCACACCCACGTCAACCGCAAAACCTTGACTTCCTCACCAAAGTTACAGCCTTTTAAATCCTCGAGTCCTGACGTGTCTTTGCCATTCCCATGTTTTTTTACACTCAAAGTCAATTTGACTGATCAGACCACCAGAGACTTAACAAGGCCGTCTCAACTATTGCCCACTCTCATCTGTTTGGCAAACTCTGTTACTGGCTTCTTTTGTAAGTACAATATCAATCCCCTTCCTCACGAGCCCCTGCCCACGAAGGATGAAGGACCATTCTTGACAGAGGCTCACCACACTGTTCCACCATTTGCATTACTGCCTATCTATTCGACGCCCAAAGCCTGGTTGCTTTGCTGCCCTTTCCATGGCCACGCAAATGAGTCTTCCTCCTAGCCCTCTGAGAGCGTAATTAACCGGCAGGTTGGACAAGCATCCGTGGCTCCAAGACAGGCGATCCTGGTCGATCGCTTATGCTTCGGCCTCTGCAATGATTTTTTAAAAACGTGGCCGCTCCTGCTCCTGGCCAGCTGCGGATCTTGACGCATTCGACCCGTGCTTGTGTTGTTCACGGCTAACATCAGCTTCTTCAGTATCACAATCCGCTTAGTACAATTTCAACTCACTCCGTTGTCACTTTCTGCTCCCGCTGTCTCGGCAGGTCTCGCCGCCGTCAGAGCTGAGACCTATTGCTCCACCCCAGCGCCGCCGCACCCTAGGCCAATCTTTACCACTCGACTGTTTCGATCAAATCTCTGAGGAACGGCAATTGCCAATCTACTGGATTCCTTGTCCCTCAACCGATCCAAACCCGGGCTTCTGCACCAAGAATCCTTTCTTGATTTGCAGATAAAGCTACGACTCACGCGATTGAGACCATGTCTACTCGAAGTATGGACCCGTACTACGAGTCACGTCACCATCGCCAGACATCGTCCTGGGCGCCATCACAATATTCGGATATGCTGCAGTCTTACGAACCACAACCGCGCCCTCAATACGCATCTCTGCCGCAATTGACACCCTCGAGACCGAATTCCAGCTTGCCGCCCTTGCGTGATCTGACCATTGGTCCCGATCCAAACTACCCTCCTCCGGCAGGAATATACTCACATTCTTATGCACCGTCGGGGTCAACAAGCACTTCGATCGAATCTGGATCTTATCCAAATGATCGGGCATATTACGAAACGAACCAAAGGTACGGGCAAGATCATCCACCGACGAATCGACCACAGCCACCGCCGGTATCGCCGGATTACTATCGATACCCTTCGGGCACCATCCCGTATCAAGCCCCGTCCTATGGATCAATAGATTACTCCAACGGATCATTGATCTCACCACACCCATCATCGCCATCAATAACCGACGCAGATAGCAGAAACAGGAGACGAAGGGGCAACCTGCCTAAACCTATAACCGATATCCTTCGGACATGGTTCCATGATCATCTGGATCATCCATACCCGACTGAGGAGGACAAGCAAGCCTTTGTGTCTCAAACAGGACTCACTATGAACCAGGTATGGTCTCGAACGTTCTGATGATATAGACATGCCCATTGACTCGTGGTGACAGGTTAGTAATTGGTTTATCAATGCCCGGAGGCGGCAATTACCAGCTCTACGGCAAGCTCGTGACCGAGTCGCCCAGCCTGCGACGGCGGACTATGACTCGGACCAACTACATCGAGCTCATCACCATCACCACCTTCACAGGCACCACTAGAGCCATGTGCTTGTCCGTAAGCCAGCCTGAGAAGGTGGCCTGCGGTACAATTTTCGGGTTTCCGTTGTCTTGACGGAACAGTTCTATTCCACGACCGATTCTTGGGTTTACGACTTTGCTACATGATTTTTGTCATCTACGCTTGGCTAGGGGAGGGGAGGGGCCCTACTTAGTGCTCGGGGTCACGACTTTCCGAGTCCAGTGAGGATTGCAAGCGACCGGGGCTCTTTGTTCTTACTGGACACGTGAGGGATTACTGCATTGGGATTCGGGGTACACATCTTTGGGCGATCAGATAGCCGGCCATAAAACGTTTTTGCTAGTCAGACGTGACCTTGAGTCAAATCATTATGGAATCTCGGTCCGAACACCGTCTAGTATGGTGCCTGTCTGGTCTCTGTCTGTGGTGGCCTGCCAACCAGGACCCTGACTATCTCTGCAGACTGGGGATTCGCGTCCTGAGTGCAGCGCAGGAGCAGGCAGAGCAGGCATGGTGGTCCACCCCCGCCTACCTCCGTAGATCTACCCAAAGGCCACTCATACTAGCTGCGGACCCACGGCCGAAGGGCCAAGGCATGTCATCTGGGGTGATTGCTCAGGGACGATTGATCATCCGTGACAATCAGTGGCACGGGGATGGCACGTTGTCTGGCAGCAATGACGCAGCACTGGGGGAATTTAATGCCTTGTCATGGTCACCGAGATTGTGACATTTCTTCATCGGTGATACGCATCGTTCGCCGGCCCCTCTTGTTGGCGTGGACCACTCAGGCTTGGCTTGAATGACGGATTTCGGAGATGGGCCTCCAAAACAAGTGTACAGGTGTCCCCAAACTAAGTAGTAAAGAAGGCCGCAGCAGCCTTGACTTTGCTATTATGGCCGATCTAAAATGTGGAAAAGGTATCGAGTGGACGCACGGGGCTAAAGTGACTGTTTGTCTTGGCTTTCCCTTCGTGGAATTTATTTGGGGTCATTGCATCTGACTACGACCGCCGTCAATGATAGTTGATTTTACTAGAATCCGTCAGCAGTACTATCGAGCATGTGTGTGGTCAGATGATGAAGGATCAGGCTACAGATATTCAACTCACTTGAAAGTAATGGTTAGTGTGGTTGCGCTATTGGCAACACATGTTAAACCGGTCGAGCTAGTCTCGGTTTCACGGCAATCGTGTGAAGGAAGCGAGCTGTTGACCCCAGGATCAAGATAGGCCAAATCCAGGATGTCTTCTTTCAAGGTCACATGGTCCAAGGTGCCTAATTACATGATAACGTCGTGAAGTGGGCTCCAAGCTCCTTAGCATCTACGGCGCCTGGAGAGTGTGGAGCCTGGCCCCATCTTGTGCTCGCGGTCGTGATTTCTACCCGCGAAACGAGCAAAGACGACGATCGGTCTAGGCTCTTCAGGTGCCCCGAAGCACATGTGCTTGTGACGGATCGTCCCAGGCGAACACCAGGAAGACTTTGGGCTGTCGTTGACAGTAGCACTTATGACCGAGGCATTTGTGCAGGTTGAATCATCGACTCTGAAACCAAAGACATCATGGTAGGCTCGCCAAGATTCGATCTACAGGCTGGAAGAATGTCGGTCTGCAACTTAGTCATATCCGTGATGGCATCTCCACGGAGATTGCCAAGAACCTTGATCGAACGACACAGTCAAGAAGCGTCAAGTGTCGGATGTGTCGGCTGATCATGATCGCAAAGGTGTAGGATGTTCACCACATTGTAATTATTGTGCGGTTGAAGCCCAAAGAACCATGGCCAAGGTCAGGGGCAACCGGCGGCCTGGCTGTCTCGGTTACGTGTCATCTGCGAAAGCGGAGTCTGCAATGAGAATAGGTAAGATCCCTCGAGGAATAGTGAGCCGGGCAGATGCGATAGACGATAGCAAACCATGGAAGAGTTGAAGACTCAAACACTTCGGATGTTGGGTGGGTGGGTATTACACATTCTTAGACCAAGGGTTAGCGCAATGCGTAGCTGCTGAAATCAATCGGCTATTGGAGTCTGCGACTTACGCGGGGAGTGGAGCATACGAGAGAACTCGTACACAACCTTACCACGCAGGCTTGATGTGGCAAGGCACCAGACGTACTACCATGAGATTTGACTGGTTGGAGGAGCGTTGGGAGTTTGCATGAAGCACCCCTGAGGGTAGTGAAGGAGGAAAATGCACTCTCCACGTTGAAATCACATGCATGGATTAACAAGAATAATTGAAAAGAGGAAATGATCAGTGGATCTGAAGAAAAAGGTGGCATCACTTGAGTGACGTGCAGATAGATTGCTGCCCCTGGGATGAGACAATCATGACCAAATCTGGGCCAGAAAGAGCGAGGAACTCGATAGAATGCAGGGCAAGTGCAAGTGAAAGCGCAAGCGCAAATTTTCAATCCAACTACAGTTCAAGTACTCCGTCCGTCCGCGCGGGGTCCTTGCCCATGATCGATTCTCGTGAAGGAAAATAGCGTCGAGGGAATGGTTATTGCTTTGCCAAGCAAATCAATGTGTGTGCAATGGTGCCCTATGAAGCATGTCCTTGGTGCCAGGTGTGCTGTGCCAGGTTCGTCATTCAAGGCGTTGGTACCGAGATCCAGCCTAGATCTCTCTTTTCTCCGATGATGAGACAGATGGCCCATGTCCATTAAAGTACCACTCGACTGACAGCACCCTGCACACTTTGATTTTCACTTTCGGACGCATCCTAAAGTGGTAGATATCGAAGCCAGGCACGTCAGGCTTACAAAAATGACCCGAGGGGCCATCATTGCCTCCCCATGGACCTTTCCTTGTTTAATAACAGAATGATAGAGTAGATCCACCGATGGTTTTGCTTCCCGCCGTGGCGCATGGTCGCCGCCTCGGCCGTCGCCCCTGCTGTTCTTAACCACGACTTCTTGCTGTATGCATCAGTGCACGCGTCATGCAAAATGCGTCATAGCACTTTTAGACCCTCCCCGCCGAGACACCACCCCGTAACGAGCGGCAAGTGCCAGCCGTGGCGTGGCATGGCATATCCGCCCATGAAAGACGGACGATGCTTCTACATAGGTACCTAACCAGTCATGCCAGCATCTAACTTTAAAGTTACGCGTACAGGCACACTGGTGGATTGACATCAAATACGAAAAGGTACATTAGATACTTTTATTATTATATCCTGAGCCCAATTCATTTCTTTTGGCTTTTGAGGCTTGCCCAACGACACTCCAACAGGTTAGCAAACGCCCACGACGCCACCCTCCCCCCCCGGAATATATATCCTGGATACCAATGTGCATAGAGAAATCGAGTCAGACGACGATTGTCGGAACTCCTTGCCGTGATGCAATGAGGAGATGCAAGCAAGCAGGGCGTGTACAGGCAACAGTAAAAACACTCAATAGAGATCGCCATGATCTCGCTTCCGCATCCTCCTTTGGACGCATCAAATGAAAGACCGCAGCTGCAAGTGTCTGCCATTATTGCGACCGAATTGAAGACTTCAGCAAGAATAGTCGAGTGGCTTTGGGACCAAACCAACATTGTCGATGGGGGGTGCACTTCTGGGCCTCTTGCAGCAACTGCTCATGCGCGTTTTTCTAGCGTCTCAATACCGTCTGGCTCCCATTCCCCACGCACTCGCTCTACTTACTCAGTGGAACCATCTTCGGTTGGTCAAGAAGTGCAACGGTCAGCGAGCATCAATTCCCAGATTCCCTCAGTCAAGCCAAGCGACTGCTACATGTACTTTCACCACTCGCGCTCAATCTCATAAGATATGTATTTATAGGTGCCCAAGATGAAAAGTTTAATTCTCCACCGGCTCTTCTCAGTTATCCAAGCCTCCCGCAGGCCGGCCAGGGACTTTGGCCCCAATCTCAACTCTAGACGTGGCTGCTTCTTATTATTGAGCCCATCCGCAGTCAACCTGCAGCTTGCTACAACCCCTTCCCCTGCCCTCATGTCAACCATACATGGACGAACCCGACAAGCAGCTCGCTGCCGTCTCAACAACTTTAATTGAGAGTCGGGATATTCATTGGCCCATTGTAGTAAATGGAAAGATTTTCCGGCATGGCGATTTCCGATGAGGTCGAAATTGCCACAGTACATCAGCATTCTTCAGATGCATCCACAATAGCGACGCCCGAGACACAGCCGGCCACAGCCGGCCAGAGCCGGCCACAGCCTTAAATCAATGCAAAGTGGAGCAACGCATCACCATCAGCTCTATGACAAGGTACAGTCGGCCCTTCCCATTATCAAAGTAATGTACTTGGACACCGTAAGGTCAGCCTCCCTAATGTCTCGTGACAAGAACTTTGCGCAATCTTGAAACGAGTTCAAACCTACCGATTGCACATATCGTCTATATGGTTGATACAAATTGCAGTGGGTCATGATCATGTTTGTCACGCCATGGCCATGGCACTGGTCAAGGCGAGGTGCTAGAGGAACTAGTCTGACAAATGAGAGTCATGTCGCCTTTTGATGCCCATATTCATTGCTTCGTCCTGTGAAGGGTTTATCAGCCTTGGGAAGCATGGAAAGTTCCAACCTCTCTTGCGGTCAAGAATAGGGACGATCGCCCGCCACGGTGCGTTGGCAGATGCAGCCGTCTTCCGAGCCAATTGCCATATGAGCGTGCATATGTGGATGTGAAAGAATGGGTAAAGCTATGCGTAGACATGAGAACCTGAAATGTGCGCGTGGTCGTTACAGCTGTATTTCAACCCAACACGGACGATCGCCGTCGGGAATATTATTGCCTCGATTCGACTTGACTCTCGCCATCGTCGCATTGCGCAGGGTCTGGAGAGCCTGGTCACCGCCAATTCCGGTCGTTGTCGACAAGGGGCAGGCATTGGTGCTCGCCACTCCTCTGATCGCCACTCCATATCTCGTCAGGCCTTTTGGGTGAAGGCGAGATAGACTTTGAGAGAGACACCGCGGGAGCGGGGATTGTCAGCTCCTAAAGGGGGCTACAGGCAAACACTAAGCCCTTCAGAGTTTGACGCAGACCACTTTCAAGTCTCATTTTCGGACCTGCCGTGCCAGCTTTAGCCTAGCCCCTTGGATGAATTCTGGCACCATTGTTTTTGTGCATATCTGTTGAACAGCCACGAGAAGCGTGGCCGGAGTCGACATCCGCGGGTGTTGGTGTAGCACTTTCTTGACCGTCACGGCAGTCGAGCGAGCTCGGGGACTGCATATCTTTATGTTGGCCTCTGTGATCTTTACGACAATAGAAACCGACGTCTTCGGAGAGGGCCAGTCCAGATTGGCTCCTCGGTCGTCGGCAGAACTCAAAAGGAGGAACCCCTCGGTCGCTATTCATTTTGAGTACTTGGTTGGCATGACTAAAAAGTTGGTCTGCAGCCATTTCGGTCAGCTAACATTAATCAAGACTATAGCCATCAATTAGAATGACGCTGATCGCTGGCAATTCGATCTCATGGGGGTTGGTGGTAAAGATGTTATCACCAGAGATGAAGGCGTCGCTTTGCATTCGTGCAGAATATCTCAGAACAAGAAAGATGAGCGTACTCTTGTTCATCAGCCTGCTGAGTCTCGTTTCGATAACCGAACTCTGTTGGCAGTTTTGAAGTACATGTGAAAGACCCCCCTAGCCAACATGATTCGGCAAAATGATGGTGGCCATGACCTGCAGATTGGTGGTGGACCTATCCGAGTTTAGTATTATCATTTCATCGATACTGCTGCAGGATTCTGGTGGACCTTTTCCATATTCGGTATTGTAATTATCTTGATGCTGATCCACAAGCTGGATGGAGGAGTTCGCAAACTAGCGGATTTCACTATTCACCACTAAACGCGTTCGTTTATGCTGCCATCCCCGCATCACATTCCAAGGATTCCTGATCATCGCCCCTCGCATCTAGGAGAGCTCCACTGGGCGTCAAGGATTTTGACCAAGTTGGTATAGTTGGGCACCACGGAAGTATGTTCCCACAAGTCGATCATCGCTATCGCGCTCAGCTTCCAAGGCATCGCTTAATTTCTTGGGCTCGCTCGCTTGTCTCTTTACGGTAATCTGATACTGCGGTACACATATGGCAATCTTTACCACTAGACTACTCGCAGGCGACGGCGGCGGCAAGGGCGCAAGTTGTAACCCTTCGACCTTGGCGCTAAGGGCAGTGTGGGCTGATCGAGGGGGCTTCCTAGAATAATGACACCCCTCCTCTGGCGTCATTGGCATCCTTCGTCTGGTCTGCAAGGTCGTTTTCCCATCCGCTTCCACGCTGTCCCCATACATATCAGGCATGGCCCAAGGACCCATATCCTGTCCAACCCCGCTTCCGCTTTCCGTTGTCAGTTGTCAGTCAACGGCCCCCGGCCGAGAGCTTACGTCAGTTGTGGCATCCGATCCCAAAACATACTTTCACGGCTCGATGACTTTCTAACCTAAAAAGCCAACCTGGGTGCACCCAGGCCACCCTGCTTACCCTGCTTCACAATGGCATTATAATGTGGGCTCTAAGTGCTTCCCCTCCCTCCGTCAAAAGACACTATTGGGCACCCCAAAAAGCTTCAGGGTGGAAAGATACCGCTTGGTTGTGTAACATACATGAATTAGGATGTAAAGACATTCAAGTTGAGGCATGATGTGTATTAGTCATTGATCACTTACAAATACACATCTACAAGTACTACCTACCTCCTTACCCCTTAAGTCTGCTTGAGACTGTGAGGTCTCGATTTCAGCCACAGACTCACTTCTAGCCCTCTCAATTTCCTGCAGGTTTTCGACTACACTCACTGTAGGGATCCATAGGCACATCGAGAACAAGACACATGTCCAGGCTTCTGAAGTCGAGGCATCATGTGGAGGTGTCGAACGCCATGTGGTCACGTGGTTGTTGTCCTTTGAAGCTTGGGCCAGGAGAGCTTTGATTCAGTTCCTGCAAGTCCAAAAGACACATGCATGGACATGTGGAAGTGGAATTGGACCGAGCATCATTTGCATGTGGAATCTAGCTACTCTGAACAATCTCTTAATAGCACATGGTTTTAAGTACTTAGAAGTTCATTTTCGACTTCAGCAATCGCCGCTGCCTTCGAGAATGATGGAGTCTTGAATCCGTCCACAAGGCTCCCTTGAAAACCCCTCTCCCGATGCCCAAGTATGAAATTCGAGCCTAGCCAGTAGTAAGTCGACCAGACACGTAATTAGTGGCAACCACGACCTCCTCCATCAAAACTCGTTTATCGCAGGGTTGTTGTGATGTCACGTGACGTACTCTACCAGGGATGGCCTGTCATGTCAGGAGACAGAGAGAACACGGCGGGAGGTCCCGGAGCACGGAGTCCGTGGTTGAGGACGGAGCCGGTGTTGGAACCAGCAAAATATACTAGAGTAGGCGTGACCAAAATTGAACAAAAACTGAACAAAAATTGCTATTTTGAAGGACTGCATAATCATTCCTCGTTGGCACTGAAAATGAGGCTCTTAGCAAATAGTTGGGGTACATAAAAATCAACGACACCTCTAGAAACGGGCTTGCGGCTGAGGTTTGATGTCACGACTTTTCCCCGTTGTAGGCACGGTGCTATTGTACGAGTAGTCAGTTCATCCACCGGTGGTGCGACGTTGTGGGGTAAGCGTGGTTACACAAAGCCATAGGTGTCTTCTTTTGGCATGTTGCATGACATGCCCCGTTGGGATCTCGATAAGTGAGTTGGCAGACAGGCCACCGACCTGCAGTAGTAGCTGGAGTGCAGCAGAAAAGAGGAGCGTACAAAACTGTATCTCCCATCAGATTAGATGCGATATTTGATCAGATCAAATCTAATAATTCTGAGGGGTAACAAACAGATTGATCAGGATTAGATTAGATGACAACTCTGATTCTTTGGGCTGTCAGCACAGTCTTGGTGGGGCTCAACCTGGTGCAACCATGGGATGACAAGGCTCATGTTCATTGGTTTGAACGCGACAAGACAGACGGTCAACCTTTGACTTTGTCGTGCTTGTTCTCCCAAGATGATTGTGCCAGACTTGCGTCGATGACATGACAGGCGATCAATGATATGGGATCCGGGGTCGGAGCTGACGAAGCTGAGCAAGGGTGTTACGAAGATTAAGGACCAGTCCCATCTAGAAGACTTGGTAATCAACTGCTCCTTAAGGCAGAGCGCAGATCAACCAAAGTAATGTTGACAAGTTCTGGCCCCTAAATTCCCTGTTCTTTGGTACGGCATGAACCATTCAATGGTTCTCCTTGCCGAGCGAGAACTTCTTTTTGACATAGTCTCTTCATCTCTGTTGTCCGATGCTTCGTACTTGTCCAAGGATGCCTTCTCACAAGTTGATGCTACAATCCATAGTGATTGTTGTTCAGGAGACTCCATATACGCCCATGCCTCATCAGTTTGGCCCTGTCAAAGTCAACATCCACAGCAACGAGACCTGGCACCTGGGCTCCACACACTCCGAAATCGCACGCTCATCGTGGAGCTGAGCCCCTGATGAGCCATGAATCCTGAAAAGGGGTTTTGAATACAATTCGTCAAAGATTCGTGGCTGTGTGCTCGTAGAATCTTGTCAATCGTTATTCTTCTAATAGCAATCAAGTATGATCATTTCGGTGGTTGGGAACTTCGATCCTCAAACAAGTGATGGTGGGGTTCATTTTGATCTGATAAGAAAAACGTGAACTTTAGTCCCCGGAAGAAAAGGGCCCGGGCATCGGAGTTGGCCATAGAAATCAGTTCGTTGCGTGGCCCGGCTGGGTATTCGGTACCTAATTGATATTATTCTTCCATCAGGTGTTCCTTTCCCCACCAAATCCATCATCCGCCACCTGCACCTTTATTTTGTAGTTTCCCTCGTACGATCCCATTCCCCTTCAAGCCGTTCGTTCCCCGATGAATTTTGAAACGGTTTGAGGATAACGGGCTTCTCCATCTTCCATCTTCTAACAAGTACAAGAGACCCTATCCGGGGCCACTGGAAATACTTCCCCGTCTGCAAGCTTGACTTTGCCATCCTGTCCCCCGATCTCCCAAAACCTTGGCCAGAGCCGATAACCGGCACCGAGCCAGGCCCAAAGTGACACCACAAGTCCCCAGCCCAGGTTGTCCGTGCCCGTCCTGTGGAAATACCGCTCTCTCCCGACCTTTCCATCTTTTCAATCTTCTACACGGTCAACCTCCTCAACACCTTCACCTCTCTTTCCCTCGTCCTTGTACTCGTCCTTGTTGTTGCCACCTTCCTCATGTCAGCAACTCTGGTATAGATATCCCAAGCTGTATGGTGCTGAGCCACAGTTTTTCAAGACAAGAAGCTCGTCAGACACACCGGTGACTTTCCGCCCAGGAAAAGACTCACGCTTGGGGGCGCAGTGTGGCAGTTGACCGACATTCAACCCCAACTAGCCGAGCCCAGATTCCGCACTTTACATCATCATCACGAGCACCTTCCGTAAGTTTTGCACTCTGCCCAACTCCATCCCACCTTCCCAATTCCCGATGCGGTTGCAACCCATATACTTTTTGGCGCAGTCGATTTCGTTATTTGGTAATGCTGCCAAATGCTCTCATTCTTCCCTCGTCGTCTATTCTATTATCGACTCCATGGCTTTTCAAACCTAAAGCCATACAATAAAATTAACATCATGTCTTCTTCAAGCCCCGCAACCACCTCCAGACCAAAATCCATCACCATGTCTTCACCTCAACCCATAACAACCTCACACAAGCCGGTCCCAGAGACCGCAACCTCACATCCTGAAAATCCCATCCCCGAAGAGCCAGCGGTTTCAAAGCAAATCTCCTCCAGCGCCTCGCAACTGAGCCAATCCCATTCATCCATCATGACGACAAACACCGCCGAATACTCGGATGACGCATCAAGTATCGACACCAGACCTAACACACCAATCACAGAAAATCAGTCCGACGATTCACTTGATGAACTCCCCAAGCGAGCCTCTCGCAAGGAACGACCGAGAAAGCGACGTGCATCAACCTTGCTCGTTTCTCAAGACTCTGAAGATGCCAGGAAATTCCTTGGTGAGCGTGGAAGCGCCACCACGATGATTCAAAAGGCCTGCTGTGGTGGAGGTTGCTGCATGCTGAAGGAGTTAAAAACCTCCGGCCCCGATCCCACCGAGAATCCTGTCAAAGAGCCTGACAACGCTGCTTATCGAAGCCTCAAATTGACGCTGGGCCCTTTGAGCTTGGACAGCCAACTGACCGAACTCGTCGAGCTTCCCACCAAGACCGTCTCATTTCAATCCTTAACCTCAGCGACCCCGAAGCAGAGGCAAGTCGCCGACAACAAGAAAAACCCTCCAGAGCTTCTCAAACATCCACCCACATTTGTTACTCCTCACCCACCCTTCGAGGTCTTCTCTGCTCCTTTGTTCCACACCCGCGAATTGACCAAAGCTGGTGCTGAAAAAAGAACATACCATTTCGACATTGACGTTACTGACTACCCCAAGGAAAGCGGTGATGTTGATTTTGTGGTCGGTGGCGCCATTGGCGTCTGCGCACCCAACTCGCTCGCCTTGGTAGACGCTGTTTTTGACCGACTGGGCGTCCCCAACTTTGTTCGAGACAAACCGATCCTTTTGCAGACGCTCGGCGGCAGATGGCCTACAATCTGGGGTGAAGAGGAAGCCAGAGAGCTCGTGACCACACGAAGGGAGCTTTTGACGTGGTGCTCTGACCTTCAAAGCTACCCACCAACGAAACAGCTGTTCAGACTCATGGCCGAACATGCTGAAAACGAACACGAGAAAATGATCTTGACCTACCTGAGCTCGGCTCAGGGTCAAGCAACCTTCTGCGACCTACGAACCGGGCCATATACCACAATCCTCCAACTTCTTGATGCCTTTCCCTCCACCAACCCACCTCTAGACCACATCATGAGTCTATTGAACCAGCTGATGCCTCGGTTCTATTCACTCTCCCAAGATCCCATGGTCTCTTATCTCAAGGATGGAACAACCAAACGACGTCTGATTGAAATCGCAGTCACTGTCCATGAAAGTGATGATTACGCCACAGGAACACGGACCGGCGTCGGCTCCGGCTTCCTGGAGCGTCTCGCAAAACAGTTTATTCAGGCGGAGAAAGAGGGCAAGAACCCACGAGACCTCGACCTGAGGGTGCCCATGTTTCGCGGCTTGATGGCCAATCCCTTGGCGCGAGAATTTGTCTCAGACGGACCAATGCTTCTGATCGGGGCTGGCGTTGGTGTCGCACCATTCCGAGGGTTTGTCCATCGGAGACTCAAGTCGGCAAATTGTGCAAACAAAGTGTGGGTTCTTCAAGGTGTCAGAGACAGCCTACTGGACGAGCTCTACTCGGGCGACTGGGGCGTGCATGAAGACAAGGTCAAGAAAGTTGTACAGTCACGCCGTGGTGAGGGCAGATATGTCCAAGAGGAGGTTCGTGCACAGGCCGATTTGGTGTGGTTTATCATCAACGCCATCGATGGCCGAGTCTTTGTTTGCGGTAGCAGCAAGGGCATGGGAGAGGGCGTGGAACAGGCACTCGTCGATGTTGCCATGGCGAAGGGCAAACTCAACCACGACGAGGCTCAGGAGTTTTGGAATGAAAAGAAGGCATCAGGGCAATATATTGCCGAGACCTGGTGAATAAGTGGCACTGATGACTTGTCACGACTCTGGTCGACTCACTTTTGTAAAATCACCACCCCGGAATCTCGATTCTTCGACAGACGGCTTGGAAGGGTACATCATTTTTCTTGTCATGCCTCAAACTTGCATGGCGAGGCGTCTTCAAGGGAATTCCGTTGGTATGGTGTTTGGATACTTGGGGGTCTTGTGGTTGGACCGAATAGAACCACCACAGGATCAATGGGACAGGCGCACATGTTCTGTGTCCTCGCATTTGAGGAAGAAAGTTATCAAATTAGAGCATGGGAGGGTGCAAGCGATCAATTGTCAATCTGGAACCTTGCGGTTCATGTCATTACGCCTTGTGTAGAGCAGCTTGTACATAAGATACACAATATCGACTTTTTAGCCTAGGACTTTGGACAATGGAGGCATATTAATATACCAATGAGTTTGCAAGTTGGAAGAGTGTGATCAAGTTGCACAACTCGGGAGTTAGCCTAGGTTCTGGATACCTCGTCGTCGGACTCTTGGACAGTTTGCCCACTGTGGCTCCCTGGAGAAACGATAGCTGGTGTGCGGCGGGGAGCGGGACCCTGAAGTCGCATTGTATATTTCGTCTCTCTGATAGAAGAGCCAACGCCCTCAGTTGGCGGGCCATTACCCCAGCTGTCAAGGGCCGCCCTCCTTCCGCTTCCCGTGGAGTTTGTTAGCAACATCATGGCGCCTGTTCTGCTAACTAGGCAGTATTTGGCATCCAGTCAAGGTTGATGTCCTGTTTCTGGACTGCCACCAAGGACACAGGCTCAATATTCTGATCGTCCGTCCACCAAAGGCTATTCGTGGAATGAAAAGTCGGCAGTGGCCCGGGCCCTTTCAACCCCTCGACCCTCTAAGCATGTCCATGTAGAGCGCAGCCAGTGCAAAGTCAGGTTGATCAAGCGGCCTCACGACATCTGCTCCGACTCCTGCTCCAGTCCCGGTGGCGATTCTTCGAAACATGGCTCGACTTTGTTCCAACTTGACACCAGTTTCTTGAATGAGAGAAGCGAGAAATTCGCGGATCAATAACTCGTCTTCCTGTGTCAATAAGGACCCTTCTTTTAATTCTGTAGACGCATCGACACCACGAGACACTTCAATCAACGTGCCTCGCAGATTAGGCCCGGCCTGGTTTTGTCGACTCGGGATCTTGACGTCGCCAATACGAACTATCCATTCGCCTTTATTCATAGAGAGGGATGTGCCATTTTCAACAACCAGGGACTGTCTATGTGCCCATTGAGGTTGGAGTTTCGTGCCGACTAGTTGGGTGAATGACTCGGTGGCCGACGAGGGTATAGTGATTATCGTAGGTGTCGATGTCTGGCTTTGCTGTTCTTTGTCGGCGGCGGCGGCGGCGGCGGGGGGTTTGGATGCATCTCGAGGCGGGGATGTTCCTAGGTAAGCGATTGCGGATGTGTGTGAGAGGGCTAGGATGCTGGTGAAGCGGCGGAGAGATGGGTCTGCATTTGGTAATAGAGACGATGTGTCGACAAAGAGTCGATGGTCGAGGAAAAATGCTGGAAGTGGTTGTGCTGTCTGTGAGCGCGAGATGTGGGAGATTAAACTGGAGGATGGGGAGGGTTGGTTGGCCAGCACGGGCAGGAAGAAGAGCCTGGTACGGCATGTCAGTGTATGGTCAGTGTATGGTCTGAAGAGGGTTTGCTTTGTATGGTGCGTGAAAGGATTAGATTGCTTACCCAGTGATTGACATGGTGGAAGCATGCTGAGTTGGAAGTTGTACTCCTGATACTTGGGATCAGAGGTTATGATGAAATGGCAAGGGACGAGGGGCCAGACTGCGGTAAGAAAAAATAAACCCCAGCTGTAGGTCTCCTCGGTCCTGGGGTAGGTTCCTGCGTAAGGTACCTTTAGTGCTCGATAACATTCCGTTTCTCAGTAGCCTCCCGGTCTGTACCTGCAGGGGAGGCCGACGCCTGATGTACCCTGGACAAATGGGATCCCCTAGGCGTGCGGGGAAGCCCGAGGGGCCCAGTCTTTTAACTAAACTTTCTGTACTTGGACCAAATCGAGGCACTGTCAACAACCCTGTGAAACATTTGGTGGCCGTAGACATAATCGACTACTACCGTAAACTTCAGGTACTGAAGACTTGGTGTCGTGTCTTTGTCGTGTCGTCTTTGAAACTTGGCCCCTCGGCCCCTTCGATTCCCGCCCCCAATCACGACCAGTCTCGTTTCACAGGCTCATCTATATTGAGCGGTGACAAGACCTGTTAGACGACAGTGAGATGACACCTCGTTGTCCACACTGATGTGTTAGATAGGTTGGAAGTGATTACCGAACCTACACTCTCCACCATATCCTCGAATCTAGAGAAATGCTTCTCAAAAATCACTTCTGAACGAAGCCCGACTACAATACTACCTGTTCAGATCGGTCCATATCCTCATCGCATCCAAAATGCTGCGCATCAAAAGAATATGGCTTATGCCAGCCATTATTTTCACCAGCCTCGTTTACTATCTCATTCTTTGGCCCAAAAGCCCCATCGTCCAACCGGGAATCAATAATACTCAAATCCACTGGGTCAAACACCCCGAGAAATACCCTGTCGCTGGCTATCGCGATCTTCCCAAGGGGACCTTGCCCAAAATCCCACCTATTCAGTACGACTTTACCCAACACCCTGAGTCTGCCGATGTAAAGGCGCTCAAAGCGAAACGACAACTGGCTGTCAAAGATGCATTTGCACATGCTTGGAATGGATACAAGACACATGCCTGGACTCGCGATGAGGTTGCCCCTCTCAGTGGTGCCTATCGCTCGAGTTTTGGAGGATGGGGTGCTACTTTGGTCGATTCAATGGATTCATTATGGATCATGGGGTTTTATAAGGACTTTGAACATTGTGTCAACGTGGTTAAAGATATCGATTTCACTACAAATGAAGAGGAGGTCCTGAATATCTTCGAAACCACAATTCGATACATGGGCGGCTTGCTGGCGGCATACGACCTGTCCGAGGGCAAGTACCCGGTCTTGTTGACCAAAGCCGCTGAACTCGGCGAGATTCTTTACTCGGCCTTTGACACCCCGACTCACATGCCAATGACACGTTGGGCGTGGAAGAATACCGCACTTGGTGGTAACGCTGAACCGAGCACCATGACCCTCCTTGCTGAACTGGGAAGCATGACGGTTGAATTCACCCGCCTGAGCCAACTGACTGGTGATGCCAAATATTATGACCTGGTGGCAAGAATCTCCGAAGAGCTCGAATTCTGGCAGAACAAGACTATTCTTCCTGGTTTGTGGCCTACTTTGGTCGATGCCAAAGCGCTCTCTTTCGACTACAATCACTTCACATTGGGAGGCATGGCTGATTCTACCTATGAATACCTTCCTAAAGAGTGGCTGATGCTAGGAGGTCGAGACAACAAGTACCGCAAAATGTACGAAGAAGCCATCGAGGCAGCCAAGAGATATTTGTTCTTCAGACCAATGGTTCCGGACAACCACGATATCCTCTTTAGTGGGAATGCGCAACTCACCAACATGGACACACTTCCCATCTCCAACCTGGAGCCTCATGGACAGCACCTAGCTTGCTTCGTTGGAGGCATGGTAGGTATGGCGGCCAAAATCTTCGATCGACCCTACGATCTCTCGGTAGCGAGACGATTAGTAGACGGCTGTATCTGGGCCTACTCTGCCATGCCCTCAGGCTTGATGCCGGAGACATTCTACATGACATCTTGTCAGATCGGCGTCAACGAGGCCCCTGCAGGAAAATGCGACTGGGACGAGGAGAGATGGTACAAAGCCATTGCGAGCCGATTTTCTGCAACTCAACAAACAGAGCAGATGTCCGTCACCGAACGCGGGAAGTATCTCGCCAAGGAGAAACCTCTTTTCCCAGGCTTTACAGACCATACCGACAACAGATACATTCTCCGACCGGAAGCCATTGAATCAATCTTCATCTTATATCGCATCACCGGTGACACAAAGCTTCTCGACAGTGCCTGGAAAATGTTCGAAGCGATTGATCGTCAGACCAGAACTCCCATTGCCAACGCGGCAGTGCACGATGTTCGGAAAGCTGTGACGGAGAAAAGTGATAGAATGGAGAGCTTTTGGTTGGCTGAGACTTTGAAGTATTTTTATTTGATCTTCAGTGACACCGATGTCATCAGCTTGGACCAGTGGGTCTTGAATACTGAAGCTCATCCTTTCAAACGACCTACGACCTGAACACCACCGCTGCTTCAGCCTGCTACGTACTCACGAAATACTCACGACAAACCTGACTACATTTGAGTCTTTTCATCGACTACTAAAGTACCCATGTCGATGACCACTTAAAGGGGAACCCAGCTATCACGATTGTGCTCTACCACAGACCTCCATGAAGGAAGTCGTCAGCTACATTTGATCCAAAAGGGATATTGTCCCTGACACGACAACGTTCTCCATCATTCCGTCAGCTTCATCTGTGGGGTCATGAAAATGGAACGAACATGGCAAACCTCCGCCCGAGATTGATGTTGTCTGTGGGATTCAGTCAAAAGGGGATCAATTTTCGAGCTTGTTCCATAGAAGCTCACCAATGGCGACCGGCGGTGGGAGTCAAAGTGCCCTCAAGATTGTGATATCTCTGCTTCGGCCCTCAATCGACTCCGCACGAGCTTCTAAAACGAGAAACGTAATCCTACGACCCGTTTTATGATGGTAAACCCCTGAGCTTGTATTTGTAGTGCTCCTTATCAGGTCGGGCAATCTTCATTGTATGAGGGAGTAACAAGATGAAAAAGTACTCATTCATAAGACAAGAAGGGGAACGAGGACAAGAGATATCGATCCGTAATGGACAATACCTTGCCATGATAATACATACATTGAGCTATCCCAGCACTGACTCATGCCTTTGGGGAAAAGAATGTTCTTGACCTTCTTCCTCCTTTCTCGCACTCCCTGACCAACCCAGGCACCAAGATAACTTGATCCCACACTTACTGAAATACAGGCTCCAAAGCCCCCGAGGACCTTGGGCTTTCATTTTCTCTCCTTTTTTAGGAATCCCCTCGTCCTTGCCGAATAAGTTCATCCACGTCTTCATCCAAAGTAGTCAAGACAGCTTCATCACCGGCACCACCAAAACCTTCCATACCCATTTCTCCAAAATCGGGCACCATCTCCTCTTCAGCGCCATGACTCAGTTTCCGACGTTTTGCGCCATAGCCGCTACTTCCGCCGCCGTTGACGCCAGGACTACCGCTTGAAGACCGCATGCGTAAGCTATTGGAGTTCATTACCGGCATAGATGAAGTCGTGTTTCCTGCCAAGGTCGGTGAGCTTTGAGATGGGTTGTATCCGCCAGCATTGTCGGCAATGGAACTCAAGTCTAGATCGCCGCTGTTGAATCCGGCGAAACGAGCTAGTGCGGCGGAGACGGCGGGGTTGTTGGGAATAATGGGATTGGGGGTGGTTGATGATGACGGCGGTTGTGCACTGGTTTGCGAGAATGAGGTTAGAGATGCATTGGGATCATAACCGTCTGGTTCTTCCAGATCTTGATCAGCCTCGGGTGTCAGTGCCTCGATTTCCGGACGGTTGAATTCGTTGTTACTGCCGTGGCCGTTGTCGTTGAGTGGTGGTGATCGCAGTCCGTCAACAGGATTGTATTCGTCGTTGTTGTTGTTGTTGCCGGCATGGTTGGTGTCGGGTTCAACGGACGACAAACCACGGATGATTCCATCCTCGACCTCGCGTTTCTTGGCCTCGGTGCTAATCTTACGACTATGAAGCTCCAAATGAGTCTGCTCGTCTTTTGCCAGCGCAGATTTGTTGATGTCCAGAATTCGTTCGAGGTCGGCAATCAGGGCTTTGCGAGCTTTGATGCTAGCGGATACCGAAGATTCTGCTGCTGCAAGGGATTTGATCAGACTGGACAACCGAGCTGCATGTACTGGCGGACTAGGCAAAGTGACATCAGGATCGTTAAGCTTGACGTATTCGTTTTGCGCAGCGTCGATGGCAGGGCGTGCTGAGATGGTTTCTTTAGTCACAGCGACCTGGAGAGGTGCCAGGGTTTCGAGCTCCTTGGGCATTCCGGTGGAGGAGTTGGAGCTAAATAAAGACTGTCCCATCAGTGTCTTCTTGCCGCTAGATCCCTTGGACTTGTCGACTTGGTCGATTCGTGCTTCGATGGCTTCCTGCGTCTGGGGGTCAAAGACGTTGCGCGTGCGCCAGACCTCGACGACTCGACGGATTTTGGACTGGATCTCTGGTGGAGAGGATCGATAGGCGGTGGAAATGGCTTCTGGCATCAGTGGAGAGAATGCATCTGGAAACTCGGGTCGTTTGCGAGCTCGGGCATTCTGGACAATGTCATTGACGAGATAGATGAAGTTGAGACGCTTGGCGGGTGGTGAGTCGCGGAGTCGAGTCAGCCAGTAATGAGCAATGCGATCCGCATGTCTCCTAAAGGAGGGCTCGTGTTAGTGAAAGATTTGGTTGGGGTATGGTCCAAAAGATCAATGGACCGATTCACCGATTCAACGGACAGGCCAGACTTACTTGTGGAACATAATCCATTGCGAAACTGAGACGATACTATCTTGAGTTTCGTTCAAGGTGGAAAGTTTTGCTTTTAGAGCTTCGTCGGTGAAAGACATTTTGATCTAAAGGATGCCAGGATGCCAGAATGATGGTGACCGATCCAAACTTCAACAAGACCCGCGGGGACCAGAGGGTGCTGCTCTGTGGTCTGTGATGGCTGGGTGGGTTGCTGTGCTCTGATCTGACCTGTCTCTTGTTGAGCAAAGATCACAGAAAGGGTAGGTAAAACAGCTACACTACGGGACTAGAGATGGTCTTGCGCGCTAGGCATGCGTTTCCAGTGTGTGTGTCTGTGTGTATGTGTAGCCTTTCCCTTTCTTGATCAAGCTGAATTTGATGGAAAATTCGATAGTGATACCAATGGCAAAAGTCTTTGAATCGTCGATCTTGTTAGATGTTGTGAGTGCCGCTAAAGGTTGACTTGTTTTGATGCGGAGGAGGTTTGAGATATGCCAAGCGATGTCTACGTCGAACTATAGAGAACAAAAGTAATGTCTACGTTGGGCTATATGGAGCACAAGTGTAGAAGATATACGGTGGAGTAAGAGTAAGACATGAGACATGGATCACTCTGTCACGTGCATGTCGTTCCCATCCAAGGGTTTATCACTCACCTCCAGGATTTGATTCAGGCCACTGTTGAATACATGACAGATCAGAACCTTGTCTAAGTTGTAGTTTGGCTCTTTAGACAGAAGCATACCGGTCAAAGGGTGACAAAAATGACTAGGAGATACGCTTGTCTTTGTACGCCTGGTATGGACAACCAGTGGCGCTGGTGGCACTGGTTGCAAACTGAGCGATCATGGAAAGGATCATGCACGAGCTTCAAATACTTTCATTCACACTTGACGTCTTTTGGTCAAAATGGTTTGGTAGAGTTATAATCTCCATCTCAGGTAACCACAAGTTCACCACCAGTGGGGACTTTGGTAATCGGCGACCTCGGGGTTTAGATTCTAGAGAACCTGACAGCTGTGGCGGGGTAGTTCTATCTTGTTCTATTTCTTGAATACTAATCCACGGATCTCAAGTTGTCATCTTGAATTCTCTCAATAAGATAAGAACATCATTCGAGTCATTCAATCGCCAACATCAAACAAGACCATAGCACTACCAAATCTGTCTGATACCCAGTCAACAAAATCCCTAGAGGTGTCTTGAATTTCTTCCCCTCTCAAGTAAATATATTCAATTCATTCATCAGCCAATCGCCACAATGTGTATGAAGAGAACCTGTCCAACCTGTCGTAAGTTCAGCTCTTTCGCAAACATAGGGCATCTTCCTGCAGCTTCACTCTTCTCCACCATACCTTTTGCCTGTGGTGATCTCTATTCTGACTTTGCTGTAGAAAAGTCCACCTGGTGGGGCTGCGGGAATCATATTCCCTCGGTCATGGACTCCATTCCAGAACAGGACAGGTGCACTTGCAAACCTACACGTGAGGTTGATGGAAAGACTTATCCACCAAAATCGGGAGAAGGTCAGCCTGCTTAAGATGCTGTTTCGAGCAATACAATCTAGGGGGGCAACTGGTCGCTCTTGCAACGAGGTTCGGTTTGTGGATGGACAGTGTTTGAGGGCTCATGGAAGATGCTGAGATTCACATATGTATTTAGGGCAGGTAAAAAGGTCAGACGCTTGACTACGTAGACAAGTCAATACCCGTGTCCCTGTGATCAAGTGAAAACAATGCCACCATCAATGACAATCGTTTGACCCGTGATGAATTCAGCATCCTTGGAGCACAAGAAGCCTCCCACAGGACCACCCACATCATCAGGCACACTGACTCTTTCCAATGCTGTCAACTCGGACGAATACTTCTTGACCGATTCTCCTTTTGCTCTGCCCTCAGTCTCGCCCAGTTTCTCGTCGATCAAATCCCACATGGCCGTTCCCACGATTCCTGGCGCATAAGCATTGACATTGATCTTGTGCTTGGCCATTTCCATTGCAAACACCTGTGTCAATCCTCGCACAGCCCATTTACTGGCACTGTAGTGTGCAAGCAGCGGAAACGGTTTAAAAGCGACGATGCTGGCTGCACCGAGGATCTTGTAGCCACTTGAACCTTCGGGCACAGGCCCCTGCTTGATCATTTGCCTTGCTGCATGAGTGTAGGAAAGCCAAACACCCATCTATCCATTGCGACCTCAGTCAGCCAATTGCCGGCTTCTATGACTCGATGACATGGTTGAGCATCTGACTCACAAAGTTCACATTGAACATTTTCTGCACATCCTCGTCTGAGATTTCAAGTACTGGGGCGACTTGGGCAATTCCTGCGTTGGCCACAAAGACCGTGAGATCGCCTAGCTTCTCCACAGACTGCTGGATCAGACTCTGGACCTGCTCTGACGAGGTCACGTCTGCTACAACGCCAATGGCAGTGCCTTGTCCATGTTTCTCGTTCAGCTCGTTGACGAGCTTTTCGATACCGGCTTGATTGGCAGCAACATCGTTGACCGTTACGCGGTATTCTTCTTGAGCTAGTCGTCGAACAATCGCTTCACCACTTGGACCTGTCAGTCTGCACGGGTGAACTAGACACGGCTGTAGAGCTGATGAACGTACATCCCTCTGCTCGACCCTGTTACAATAGCTGTTCGTTTGCTCATCGTGGAAGATCACCTCTACTTATCGGAGGTGGAGGGAGGGGTTTTAGTGCCACGCTGGCGAGAGGTAAAATGTTCCTTCTACCATTCGCGGCACCTGGACTCCGCCCACCATATATGAATCTGGAATCCGCGGCCGCCTTTGCAGCTAACCGTTGTGTCGTAAATCTCCTCACCGGATGCGCGGAGAAAGACTTGGAGCATCGTCGGTCGTCGTCCACCGAGGAGAAGTGAATGCGGGGAATTTGTAGATGGACCGCCAGTGTGCCCAGTTCTCGGCCAACGATAGACCGACGACCACGTGTGAGGAGGACTTGCTTGCTGTAGATCCAGTGTACAGGAGCAGACCGACTTATTGGTTCAAATGTTCCTAGTCCATGAATCTGCAGACGGGGAGGCGATATTCATCGACATTCCAGTACTTTCGCCGGACACCTTCCCATTCCTTGTCGAGCTTGGGGAGAGCCATGCTCTCCCATTCTACATCGAAACCGGCTTCGAAGAGATCATATTCGACAACCTTCTGGTAGACATCATAACTGAGCTGTCTGTCGGCTCCCATCCCGTTGAAGAAGGACCATCGCCCTTCTTGGTCAAGGAGTCCAATAACTTGCTCCGAAAAGAAGTCGCGGAAGTCCGCATAGGATTCAGCAAATGTGTCGAAGTAGATGGCATCAAAAACATGGCCTTCTGTAATCAGCTGAGGCAGCACATCCTGCCATTTGCCGGCGTGGACAACCACACCAGGTTTATCCTGCCACCCTTGACTCTGCAATGAAGCAAGAACTTCAGGGTGAGCTTCGATAATGTGATGACTTGAAGGTTTGTTTGGGTGGTTCTGTATGTGGGTATCAACGATCCCCATTCCAAAACCGATGTTCAAAATCCGCAGGTCCGGACGAGTCAGCAGAGCATTGGCAGACTTGAGCATGATATCGCTCTCCCAAGCCATCATTACACCGTTCTGCTGCTCGTCCAGAAGCATTCTTCCACTGAATGACAGCTCAGAGGAAAGGTAGGTGGAACTGTCGACATCTGGCCGCCCCATCTCAGCGGCTTCAACGGCTATATCATCATTGGGCCCAGCCGGGAGATCTTGCTCGTCCTCGGGCTCTTCATCGCCGTCCTCGGGCTCTTCATCGCCGTCTTCGAGCCTCTCGTAATCGTCGAGTCGACTCAATAGCATTTCTGCACGTACTCCCGCATCCACCATTAATTGATACAGCGACTCCAAGCCCAGCCTGTAAGCGACACAGCCCGGAGTTTCATTGTTGTTGTCCAACTGATTCCAAATCGCTCCATGCTCCAAGAGGAACCTGACAGCCTCTGACCCTGTGTCCTCTTTAGAATTCGAGGGTAGGCTTTCTCCATTTGTCAGAGATGCGCAAGAGTAAATGACTGCGTGCAAGGGTGATTGACCTGAGGCGGGGTCTTGAACATCAACCACTTTGCAGTCGGGGAAACTGTAGTCCCTTGTATAACGTCGTAAGGCCTGGAGATCGTGGGCCGATGCAGCCTGAAGTACCTCGCGGATCTGACTTAGATAGTTGTCGGCCTGAGCCCCGTCATTAGACATGTTGGACTGTTAAAGCTGGACAGCTTGCGAGACACCACGGCGCTTGGGACAGGGTTTTGATGTATTCTGTCGACCTTGAATAGAGGAATTGTCTCTCAGATGGTCCTTTTCGTCTTTGCCCACGACTCTGTATACACCGGAGCGGACACACGTTGAGGTTCAAGTTTGAGTGGAAGTTTTTATTTTGTTAGAAAATCTGATACTGGGCGTCAAAAACACGCTGCCCTAGAATGGTAGGCTTGAGATTTCTAGATGCTCTGCATATAAGAATCAACTCAAGACAGTCCAGTGTTCATGTCATCACAAGTTAAAGACCACCACAGTTCAGAAGTACAAAGAAGTCAAGAAATTGTATGTAGCCTTGCGTTTGTCACTGTATCGATCTTCTGAGCGAGGATGAGGTTCTTTTGAACAATAAAGCAGCGTTCTATGTGCATCTCATGCCCCACTAATGTAGATATCTGATGCACTAATCATAGGTTTTATACCACACTAGCGGAGGCTAGGCTCTTGGCATAAGTTTCACGACGTACCAAGACATTTTTGTGTCAAAGTTCAAAGTGAATCTTGAATCCTATCCATCACCTCGACATCTTTCAAGCCAAGTACCGTCAAGCCGCTGGCGTTTCTCGACAATGGTCAAATATGTGACAAGGTAGTATCATAGCCATTCTGACGTCACATAAAGCGATACCATAACATTCTTGGTCGCTCACTCTTCGGCTGACAAACTTGTCCTTCACGATCAAGAAGAATTCCACCTTCAGATCCTCCACCCTCGGGTTCCCCAACTCGTGTCGCATTGCGCCTTCTCCGGACAAGCAATGCGGTTGAACCAACATAGATCATGTTGCCTCACAGTCTTCAAGCGTGACTCTGTACAACTGGGAGTGGCGGTGGTGGACCTTTTGCACTCAAAGGAGAGAATCTATCTCCCTCCGCCTTCCTCATTCTGATCGACTCTTTTGATCTGGAACTCAACCCATACCTTCATCCACAGATTTAGTAGGGATCCAAACCTCCTCCAAACTTCTCCGATCCAATTGTGAGAGGCTTTCAACAATTCATCTTGGCCAAGCCCTACCTGTCGGTTCTCATATACCCGGAGTTAGGATCAAATCATCACGTCCTGAATCGCCAGGCGCCGTTCCTTGGTGTGCCGCTAACAACTGGGCTCTGCCGTATCTACTGGCCCTGAACTATTCGCAATGGGGAAGGCCAAGGGCAAAGCGCCCAAATCATCCTCTCGCGACACTGGCAATAAAACCACGCAAAGTCGCTCAAGCCTGGTGGATAATCGACCTGCCATCAAGGCTTCAGATGGAGTCAACGTTGAAGGATGGACAGAAGCTGACATTCGGACATACAACGACTTACTTGAGGAAAGAGCAAAGCTCGAAAAGGAAAAGGATGAGCTCGAAAGAAAATCATCAAGACACCACACGTACCGAGCCTTGCTGGATGAGAGCACTGCTGCACTGGACAGCTCCTTCAGACTACAATTGACCGGAGAGTACATATTCACGGGCTCTAGTCGTTGCTGTCTGGATCAAACCTCTACCTTTACGCATGCACCCCGAACGAAGAATTTTCACTGTGCCCATGAAATTTGCAAACGTGCAAAGACACACGGCATTTCCTGGGCAGAATTCGACACGATAAAGTACTATCACGCCAGAATACTGACGGAGAAATCGCAAAGAATCCGAGAAGCGCTTGGGAAACAACGCGACGTCGAATTGGTCCGTATGAAGAAGGATGAAGATGATGAACTTGCCCAAAAAAGCCGCAAGAATCCATCAGTGCCCCACGCTTCCCTTCATACAATCAACACCAGCAAGAACACCTCATTGATGAGCTCATCAATTCTGGATACGTTTGACCCCAGGAACCTGTTGCTCAACCCTCGCAATGCCATCATGTTGGACATCGCCAAAGAGAATGAGGACATCGTGAGCAGAATCCGTGAAGAACTAGAAAAGATCCGAGGAGATGTCAATACCGGCAGAATTTCAGCTGGAGATGCTCGGGTCAAGTTGGACCAGGCCAATCTTCGCATGGCTGAGGCAGAGAAACAGAACAAAGTCTTTCGCCAGACCCTTCTGAACGACGAGGCTGCTCTTTCCCGAGCGTCGCAGATGGGTCCGTCCAGTTTACCAAATATTCTTCCACAAGCTTTGGCTTCTAGTAGCTCAGACGCTTTCTCCCACGCTCTTTCTGTTATGAAAGGCTTCTTCTCTACTTCCAACCCGCAAGACATCCAGACTGCGATAGCCGATCTGCGCAAAGTCCTTCAGATGACTGGTCCCATGTCACCTGTCCTCGCAAAATCCTTCCAGGCGTTGGAGGAGATGCTCTCGAAAACGAATCCGGACGGGCTGAAGGTGGACGCCACGACGACAGATGGGAAACGACAGATGATTGACTTTTTGATGAATATGAGGGGTGTAATGGGACTTAGCGGGGCAGATACGACAGACACGAATCTCGGCCCCGGCCTCGACCAAACCACGCTCAAAGCAAACGAGGAGTGCATCAAGATTGAAAATGCTGCCATGAAGGAAATGTCAGCTTTGGCGGACAAGATGTTTGAGGCAGATGATGAGAAGGTCGCTGCGGCTCTGGAACCGCTCAAAGAGGCAGCTCTTCTGAAATCACCCATCCCACCTTTGTCAAGAATAGTTCTCGAAGATAAGATTATCAAAATCTTGTTCGGGCGATCGATATTTGCACTCATTCGGGATGCTCGCACAGGCGTGAGTCAAACCGAACTTCAAGCCAAGATCACATCCCTAGTCATGAGATTTGCTGAGCGCAAACCTGACAAGTTCATCGATGTCCTCACTCTAGTCAGCGAGACAATCGCCATCAATCGAAACTCCTCTCCCGCACTCCTTGAAGCCCTCAAGGCTGTGGACATTTCCATGACAAGATTTGTGGCAAAGACACAAGCTGAAAGAGTCATACAACCACCACTAGGCAATACGTCGATTGCCGCAGACGATCGACGAGAAGACCTACTCGAATCCAACATGGGTTTCCATTCATGCAATCATGGCATGGATCTTGTTCGATCGACGACAGTGACCAAAGGCCATTTCAAGAGGTTCCAGAAGTTGTTTGAAGATGGTCGAATCTACTCAGATTCAGCGCTTCTTCGGTCCACCGTGGCGCGATACTACAAGGCCCATCTCGGCAATGGTCTGTGGGAGATTTTCAAGGTGTTCGTTTCTCACAAAGGTGCCCCTGATCGTGCCCATATCGAGCCGGGGTTTTGGAGGGACGAGCTCGACTTCTACCGTGAAAACATCAGCGACTGTCAACTAGCAGATCAGCAGTTTGCTGACACGATCGTCAACTTTGCGCGTGCTGGTGTCTGTCCCGCCCAGGTTTCTGTCGTCATTAGTCAACATCTCACTTACCAAACACGGGCCAACTTCTCTGCGGCGGTCCTAAACGTTCGCTGCCTTGCAATGGCGATTGGAAAGCATATGGCCCAAGATCTTGGCGAGTGGTTCCTCACGTGGTCGTTTATCGCAGCTCTCATGACCGACTTTTATATGCATTTGGTGTGTGAGCTCACCAAGTATAAGTCTGAGATGGGGATCTATCAGGAAGCAGTTCCCATAGTGGCTGCTGATGTTCTTAGCTTGGTTTGCGCACTGGTCATAGGAGTACCGGACCAAACCCGACAAATTGCCAATCTCCGCGCCATTGGAACCTTCATAGGCTCCTGCATCTTGGATTATAAGAGGCTGCAAGACCCTCAAGCCTACAATGCACTGTGGGATCGTCTTACATTCTTTGTCAACGACAAGAAATACATATGTGGCCCTGGGCACTCGTGCAGAAGTAAGGTGAGAGAGGTCACAGCTAAGCATCGATCTTCAACCAAAGCTTCGGCAGTGGAGGATGCGACCGGACGTGGTTCGGCAAAGGCAAGTGGGAGCAGGGAACAAGCATGCAGCGATGACCACATCAAACCATCTCCAGGTGGAGGGTCTTCTTCAGTTAGCCTTGGCTTGGACGATGATGAACATGTGGCTGAAAAGCATTCTCGGTTCTCGGAACATCTTCTTGAGCATGCTGTGTCTGATGAACTTGCTGCTCATTCTACTTCAAACGCCGCGGTTATCGATAAGTCGCACCAGAACTTGCGACAGACTCATTCGGGCACGGTTGAAAAGTCCAACGGACATGCAAGCCACCAACCCTCAGGCTCACATAGCGCGCTCAGCTCTTCATCGGAAGCAAAGCCTCCTCCCCATGCGACCAAAGTCATAACTTCACACCGAGATGACACATTAAAGAAAGCTGACGGCTTTGGCACTATGACTGGTAAAGTACCTCATACTGAACAAGCTTCACCCTCAATTCCGACCGCCTTGTCTTCAGAATCTGCTTTGCTTCATGCAGATAAGTTCCAACCTCGCGAACTCGACATCCAGAGAAAGTTGTCCAAATGGATGGACAACCTTCTGGAGCTGAAGGAATCCATGACAGAGGTCTGTCAATCGCGTCCAGTTTTTGCAGAGAGTCTTCAAGTGGTGATCAATCGGCTCCGAGAGACAGCCCAAATTCATCATGAAGTTGCCTACTCTGTCGCCCGCGGACAAGGATATATAGGTCTGCAAGAATGGTTGGAGCGCTCATGCCCCTGGAATTTGGGCCGGGGATACTTCGACTCACGACGATCAGAACTTCACCAAAGCCTAATTGGAGCCCCAAGTCCAACTCCGCGACAGAAATCGCCAGCAGCAGCAGCAGCTGGAACCAACAAGAAGAAAAGGACTGGAAAGAGCCGCGCAGTGAATGAGAGCTGATGCCCGAATCAAGGGCACTGCCTCTTTCATGTACATGGAACCCAATCTGGTGATGATTGAGATGTTGTAACGAAAGGCTCTCTGACCGAGCCAACCATTCTCAACCCCCTTCCCTTTCACCAGAACCCACATTCGCATTCTCACCGTCCGAATCCAAAAGGACCAAGGCTGGGTGGGTAATCAGACTATCCTAAGACTATACTTCCTCCTTAGGATTGAATGCCTACCCACCACAACCATTTTTTGCAATCCCTCACGGCAATCTTTTTTTGGTATTGCCAAAAGCTCACTCACAAGCTTCAGAACAGCATTGCATGGGAAATGGAACACGTCATTGGAGTTTGTCAAAGTCTCTCCCATCAATTAATGCATCCAACAGAGCGTTGCAATCTTGATTATGTTTTCCCCAGCATCAGCATTGAACATCAAACACGGGAATGATTTGCGCAAAAGAATTGAAATGGCGCTTATCCACGGATGTCATGTATTATGTAGGTACCTATCCTGCAAGGTGTAGGAAAAGACTACAACGTTTTCAAAAACTAGACTCAGTGATGGTTCTACTTTAATTTTCCGTGTTCTTCGTGTGTTGGTTATATCGTCATGGGCGTGATTCTAGGCGGTGTAGTCAGATAAAAAGCGGATTTCAGAGTAAACAAGGCATAACCGAGAGAAGAATTGTACATTTTGGTGTGGCTTTCGCTAATGACACATATAGGCGGAAGTAATTGCTATTAAGTAGCAACATGCCTTTTTGGGTTCTTTGGTTCCTCGTACATAGCCCGACACTGTCCCCATGATATCTTATTACTACCTCTTGGACTGCTGGTCATCAGATGCATTGACATTGAGACCAAGACCCTGGGAATCAAGATACAACTTGTTCTTTCCGCCAGCCTCTTGGAGAATAGTGGCGATATTCCGGGCATTCTCAATCTGTCGAAGCTCGACGTAGCTCCTGCTCTTCTTGATGGCGTCACCAATCAGTTCTGCGGATCTGGCCTCACCCTGTGCGCGGACCACGGTGGCTTGTTTCTCTTGCCGGGCTTTGTCCACGACGAATGCTGCCCGCTGTGCTTCTTGTTGGGCGACTTGTTTGGCTTCAACGGCGGCAGTGAATTCAGGTGAGAATGATAGATGTGTCAATGAGACGTCGTCGAGCATGATGTTGAAACGGGCAGCTCTTCGCGTGAGATTGTCTCGGACCAGTCTTGCGACATTTTCTCTCTGCGTGATCAATTGACTGGCGTTGAACTGGGCGACAACACTTTTGAGGACTTCGTTGACGATCGAAGGTAGGACTCGCTCATCGTAGTCGGTGCCGAGAGTTCGGTAGATTTGAGGTAGGGCTTCAACGCGAGGACGAGACAGTACACGACAGGTGATATTGACCATCTGCAAATCTTTGGTGCCAGTCAAGGATGCGACGTTGCGCGGTTTGGCTCGCACATCGTAATCGATCGGGGTTTCGAACCACGGCAACCTAAGATGAGTACCTGTTCCTGTCAGCCTCGACCGAGATCAAACATCGTAATGGATTTGCCCATACCTTCATTGTAAATGTCTGCCTTGACTCCCGACAACCTCGTATATTTGATCGCTCGATGACCACCGTCAACTGCTCGGATTAGTACAGAATCTCGCAATGCCGGATGCGTGCTTACCGTTGAAGATGGAATTGGAGAGAACAACACCGCCAACACCCAGGGCAACCAGAGCAAGAATTCCTCTTCCAGCGGCGCCGCCTCCCGGAACACCTCCGAAACCTCTGCCGCGCTGCTGAATCGTCCGCTGAATTTGTTGGAAATGCTCCCTTGGATCGTACGACATGTTTGCAATTTGGCCGAGGCGCGGCCGAGTAGATTGACAACGCACTTCCAGATGTGAACTGCTGGTGGTGAAGCAATGTGAGGTGATTCTCAATATTAATTGAGGCACAGGCTGCAAGTACTTCGCAGTTCGTAATAGATTTCACGCTAACCATATTTAGTCAATGTGCAGATTGTGGAGATACGGCGGAACAGTCACAGTCACAGTCACAGTTTTCTACGGTCGACTGTATAGGCCGTCTCTAGCGTTGTCCTCGAACGTCGTTGACATATTTGTTGCGCTTTGTTATAACTTTGTCACTCAAACTTCAACTCTCACTCCTTCATCCTTTTATCCTCTGTACCTTTTCGCCTATTGGCCTACACTTCATTCATTAGCGAAGCCATGGCACCTAGTCAGAGTCGCAGTGTTTTTGTGGGAAACATCCCTTTCAGTAAGTTGCACTCTTCCAGGCTACTCCCACTCCAACTCACCAACTCTAGATCTGAGCGAGGAGAACATCGTCAAGATTCTCAGCTATGCCGGAACCGTGGTCAAGTTCAGACTCATGTCCAACCCAGACACTGGTAAATCCAAGGGATTCGGGTTCGCCGACTTCGCAGACGCAGACGCAGCCGCAACGGCAGTTAGGAATCTGAACGATTATGAGATCGACGGGCGCAAAATTCGGGTTGATTGGCCTCACAACAATGAAAAGGACTCGGTACCGACCAACTACGATCAATCTGGCGCTCAAGGCGATACCTCTGTCCTCCCACCACTGCCACCGGGCGTCGACCTTCCTCCAAACCTTCGGGCCACCGACGCCATTTCTCAGACCCTCAGCACTCTCCCTGCTCCTCAACTACTAGATGTCCTCACTCAAATGAAAGCGTTGGCAATATCCGACCCGGCAAGAGCAACTCAATTGTTGAAGAGCGCACCGCAACTCTCATACGCCATCTTCCAGGCCTTGATTCTCATGAATCTCGTTGATCCCAAAGTGTTGGCTCAAGTCGTGGACCAAGCCACGAGACAGATGCAACCTGCCAACATCGCTCCTCCTCAACCCCCACCACAACAATACCAAGGCTACCCGCCTCCGCCCATTCCTGCTCAGAGTGCTCCAAGACCACCTCAGCAGTATGCGCCTACACCTGTACAAAGCCAACCTCCTCCACAGCAACAGCCACCCCAACTCACGCAACAGGAGATGATCCAACAAGTCCTTGCTATGGACCAAAGAACGATAGACTCGTTCTCCCCTACCGAGCGGGCACAGATTATGGCGATCAGACAACAAATGATGGGCCGTTGAACCTGAGGTTTTTGGCACGACTCACCAATCCTCCATTCCGAGCTTTGGGACCTTTTGTGTCTCCCCACTGAATTGTGCAGCATCTATGTTTAAATTGACTGCGCAACGAGGATATCAGGGTGGACATGCGCCATCCAACACCCATCTGCCAGACAAACTAGCGGATAGTCACCCAAGTTCAAGGCTATGTTAGTGGAACGCCCCAGATATCAACAACAACCTTGGACTTGCGCAATTCCAAGTCGTGGCCTCATAAGTGGCCCGCACCACACGACTTGAGATCGGCTTCATCAGACAAAGTACAGAAAGTCAGAAGCTCGTCTCTGGATTGCTCGAAATCAACAAGCACGAAGACCGACGATCGGCTCCATTTCACTCGTCACAAGTTGCCTACTACGCCACCCACTAGAAGAGCATATTCTGGTATCATTTATGATGTGTGGAGCGCTGGAGACGTTGCGACAACTAACAAGGCATCAGCACCTCTTGTACCTCTCCGTAAAGCCCAAGATCGCGCCTTCGATGACAGTATGTCATTATACTCAAATAAGACAGCCGCATTAGGGTATCAAGACCTTAGAATCTAAAGTAGAACACAATAATCATAACTCATGTGACCGGTGCGCAGACCGTCACTGAACCTCCTTTCGCAGGTTTCCCGTTCGTTCTGAAGACCATTTCGCTGTGCAGCCGTGACTTATTTCACAGCCATGAATGAGAACAATAGTTTTCGAGTCGTCTCCTCGACATCGATTGAGCACAATCTCGAGGAATCTCTGTTCCCGTCACCGATTCTTCCCATTCCCGTCTCCAATACCATCGCCACTTGCCGGACTTGTTCCAATCCCCTCATCAGTGACTGCCGTATTTGGCCTGAGGGGGCTACCTCTCTTCATATCATCTCCTTCCCGTCTCGCCCACGATCGGGTCCTTGCTCCCGATGATGGTCGATGTGTCGAGGTCAAGATGGGACTGGGGATAGGATTAGGCGATGGAGATCGTACGTCCCGAAACTGCATCTTCGACCGTGTTTGGGGATTAATGTCGCGTGGACTCCATCGTCCTGAACCGGTGGAATTCATCCTTCCGTTACCCTCGACAGGCGATGACGGTGTAACTCCCCGCGTGCTCTCCAGATCTGGACTGGGGAAAAATCCTCGTCCGCTTCCCGGACCGCCCTCGTATGGAGATGAAGCCTGATATTGGTTTTGATATTGATAGTCTTCGCCGCGTCTTTTCATAGGGCTTTCGTCGTAGGGGTCCCAGCCTACCCTGCGCCGCGCCTCAGCTCGGAGGTGTTGTCGGTATGCTTCGTCGCCGCCGGCGCCGGTGCTAGCGCTTTCTTCGAGGAAGAAGTTGAGGAGTTCGTCGGTGATGGAGAGGTGGGATTGTTGTTGGAATTGTTGTAGTGAAGTGAGACGGAGGAGAAGCTCAAGTAAAGATAGAGATGTTTTGATTTTGTTGAATGGGTCGGATGGGGCTGGAGACGGTGATGCGGTCAAAGGGGTGTGGACGCGAAGATGTGACAGGGATGATGCGAGGTTAGAGGGAGATTGATCGGTGTCGATGTTGGTTGTTGGAGTGGTTGATGAAGTGAGTTGGTCGTTGTCCTCGTCTTCTGAGTCGCTGGGTTCCGGTTCTGTGTAGACCTCAAAAGCAATCCATTCGGGATCAAGAGAGGGTGGAAGCCGCCATGGATCCAGTGGGCCATGAGCCAAATCAGTAATTGGCTGAGATTTGTCAGGAAGGTCTTTCAAGTTTTCTTGCTCGACACTCTCTTCGTCTGTATCTTCGTGCACAGCATCATCCTTGAGCATTCTCCTGGGAGGAATTGCGTTGAGGTCTCGTTTGAGGAGAAGGACTGGATGATTGCTTTCTGCGTCTGAGCCAATATTGAGGACTTTGCTGGTATCCGCGTAAAAGATCTTGGAAATCTCATGAATGGGCAACATTTCTCGAATACCTGCTTGTTGAACATCGTCGAAAGGCTCAGGCCGTGCATCATTCTCGAAATCGTGATATCGATCATCGTCATAATCTTCGATGATCATCATTTGATATGCATACTCGTCCACTCGTGCCTCTGCAGGGACGGAAGTTGATGATTCTTCGGTGTTATTCCAGCCGGCAGAACTGATCTGGGCCGCGGGTATCGCGTCGGAACCAGACCCAGTCTTCAGAACCATGTCAAGAGGAACTCGCCTCAATTTGACCCTCGCTTTGTGCATCACCTCCTTCCATGTTGTCTCTCGAATGTCTTCTTCGTTTTGTGGGCGATCGTGGCCAGCAAAGAGCATGTATATGGTGAGTGTAAAAGTGGGTCCAATTTGAATGGCACGTTGAGGGGTTATAGAATATTGGGTATCGCCAGCGGTAAGAAAGGTGCTGGCTTGCAGCAGTCGAGATGGAGAAACGGTGTGAGGCAGGGTAGTCGACAAACTCGCGCCAGATGTGGTGATTGCCAGGTTGATCAAAGGAACGGCATCCTCGATGCGCTCAATAAGTCGCTTGATATCGGATACTATGAGCTTCAGCTCAATTTCATTCTGTGCCTGAACCTGAGAACTATTGTGCTTGCGGGTTCTGTATGCATCCGCAGAAGCAGAGGCGGCAGCTGCGAGGCGCTGTCCGAGGGACTGGATGTCCAGACGTAACTCTTTGGTTAATGAAACCGCAGACTCGAGTGAGGTGTGGCCGCGGGCTGCTATCAGTTCGATCATATCGATTGCAGGTGATATAATGTGGATCTTGTGCTGGAGTCGTTTCTGAAGTTGGTACAACTCATCCCTCACACTGCTCTTGGGCGCTGTGCTCAATAATTTGGCAGTCTGTCTGATGGCAAATGAAGCCGTCAAACCAATCCCCGAGCGGATGGCATAGTTCATGGCATGCTGGGTCACCTTCCCCAGGAACATATCCATGGTGGCCAACTTCTTGATTGACAGGGTTATTCCTCGTAGTAATAAATAGTGAATCAGGTTGCTGCCGATCACGAAAGGTTCATCCCACCAGACGAAAGATCTGATCTTGGGCATGCTGATATATCCGAGGGACTCAAGCTATCATGGATCATTGTGACAATAATTTTAGGCGTGTTTGATCATCGTCATTAAGAGTGTTGTTACCTTCGATTAAGACGCGTGAGGCGTGTCTAACCGGCGTTTAATCCCGTGACTTTGTGGCTCAGTGGATGTGGCGTGTGTGGCTCAAGAAATGTCAGTTTGGGCAGCCTTGCCAAGAACGCTAACTACATATGGATACCGCCCAAAATTCCTCGACGTTCATCAAACCCAAGATACAAAGTCGCCTGCTGCCCCTCCATCAACGCTGCTGGTCTCGTTCATATCCACTTCCAGCCAGCACTTCTTTTTCGCTCTTGACCACCAGAGGCCTGTACAAAGAGCCCTCACGCTGGTCTTGGAGGAAGTTTCTCTTTCCCTACCTGAATTTCCATTCTTCCTTCGTTCCGTTTCCCCTCGTCATTATGGCCGGCAATTACGATTCTTGGGAAGATGCTCCAGATGAGGATCTCTCTAAGCAGACCCAACAGAACCTCAATATAAGCGCAAATTCATTTCGGCCCGGTGCCTCTTCATTCCAGCCTGGTGCCTCGTCCTTTCAGCCCGGCCAGCAGTACGCTGGGAACAATTTTCAACAGTATGGTGGCGGCTATAGCCAACAGCAGGGTTTCAATCAATACGGCCAGTATCAACAACAAGGCTACGGTCAACAATATCCTCAGTACGGCCAACAGCAAGGCTACAATCAGGCTCAAGCCAGTGGTCAGTTCGCTGCATACAATCAGACACCCGGAGGCTTTCAGCCACGACAAGGCGCACCTGTGAGCATTGCCAGACGACAAGATGCCCAGGCCCCCCCAGCACCACAGACTTTTGTCAAGCCAACTCCTGCTCCATCTGCAGCGGCAGCTCCTCCTGCCTCTGTCTCTGCCTCAGCCGCAACCGAGTCTACCGCCAAACCCCAGCCAGCTGCTGCACCTCCCAAAGCAAAAGTCCTCTCCATTGGCGTTCCCACCTCCACTTCTGCTGCGTCTAAGAAGCCAGCATCCCCTACCACAAAAGATGCACCCAAGGTAGAAGCCGGATCTAAAGTAGCGGCAGCAAAGGCCGTGGAGAAGACTGGCGAAAAAGTGACAGGCAAAAGTTCTCCAGCCCCTTCGTCTGGGAAATCATCTCCTACACCTGGTGACGCCAAAAAGGGTCAAACAGCCGAAGAGGTCGCTGCGTCACAGACTGCAGATGTAGATGCAGATGTTCTGGCAGAAATGTACGGCAAAGAGCATGTCAACATTATCTTCATCGGCCACGTCGATGCCGGAAAGTCTACACTTGGTGGCCAGGTCCTTATTCAGACGGGTATGGTTGATGAACGTATTCTTGACAAATACAAGAGAGATGCCAAAGATGCAGGTCGAGAATCGTGGTACATATCGTGGGTGCTTGATCTCAACAAAGAGGAAAGAGCTAAGGGCAAAACCGTTGAGGTCGGGCGTGGGTTTTTCGAAACCGAGAAACGAAGGTACACCATTCTCGATGCGCCCGGCCACAAGACCTACGTCCCGAACATGCTGAGTGGAGCTGCACAAGCTGATGTCGCCATTCTCGTCATTTCAGCCCGTAAGGGTGAATTCGAAACGGGTTTCGAAAAGGGTGGTCAGACTCAGGAACACGCAATGCTGATCAAGACGACTGGCGCCAAAGAACTAGTCGTTGCCGTCAACAAAATGGATGATATCACTGTTGAATGGTCGAAAGACAGGTATGATGAGATTGTCAACAAGCTCAAGCCATATCTCAAGAAACGTATCGGCTTGGACTCGACCTTCCTGCCCATATCTGCCCAGACTGGAATAGGCGTCAAGGATCGCATTCCATCTTCGGTGGCGAACTGGTACAAGGGTCCCTCACTACTCGAGTTCCTGGACAACATGGCCAAAATTCAACGAAATGTCAATGCTCCCTTCATGATGCCCGTGGGCGCCAAATACCGAGATATGGGTACTATGATTGAAGGCAGAATTGAAGCCGGCGTGGTCCAGAAATCCTCCAACTACATCATGATGCCCAACCGAGAAGAAGTCGGCATCTCGGCTCTTTACGGAGAAACAGAAGATGAAATCCCTCATGCCATGGTCGGCGACCAAGTCCGTCTGCGCCTGCGTGGCATTGAAGAGGAAGACGTCCTACCCGGATTCGTGTTGTGTTCACCTAAACGGCTGGTCCATTGTGTGCGGGAGTTTGAAGCACAGATCAACATTGTCGAGCTCAAATCGATTCTTTCAGCTGGCTTCAACTGTGTCATCCACGTCCACGCAGCGACAGAAGAAGTGACGTTTGCCAGTCTGTTACACAAACTTGAGCCGCGAACCGGGCGAAAGAGCAAGAAGCCACCAGCGTTTGCTGCCAAGGGACAGAACATCATCGCCAGATTGCAGGTCACTAGCAGTGCTGGGAAGGTCTGCGTCGAGAGATTCGAAGATTACCCTCAACTGGGACGTTTCACGTTGAGAGATCAGGGACAGACTATTGCCGTAGGCAAGATCACCAAATTGATCTTGGACGATGAGTAAATCTGTTTGTTGTCTTGCATTGGCTGAAACGAGAAATACTCAATCAATGCTTTTGCTCGGTTCTCACAGCGCGTTGCTCATCGTTAGGGCTCGATCTGCTCAAGCAGACAGTCGTGCCTACTAGGGGTAAAGGACAAGGGCGAGGACGTGGCATCGCATGCATTGACACCACTTAAGTACCATGTGAGCGACAGTCATGATGCTAAATGACCATGACGTAGGGGAGTCGATGAGAGCAAATGTGATAGATAGGTAGAAATGAAAACCAAGACATGAAATGTCAAAAACTCATTTTGACATGAGAATACGAAACGAATTCAAAAGTTGTGCCAGTGAGCTTTTTTATGTGTACACCTTGCCACGCATTGCATTGATAATTTTGAGACTTTTAGACTGAGTTGTTTTCGACCTTTGAATTATCCTACCAAAACATCCAATCCAGAATTGATGAGTAAATCACTTGCTTTTGTAATTGATCCTAAATGTCCTAGGCTTACACGTCCGTACATTCGGAGGTCTGAGGACCAGGCAACCAAGTGCATTCAAACGTTAACGAGGATCGATGGTAATAAGAAACGCCATCTCTCCCGGGCTCTAATCTGGTTTTGCTGGTTTTGCTAAACCTTTTGAGCCTGTTGGCAATTGCGACTTTTGCAAACTATAATACAATCGTAGTCCGAATTCAACAATGACGACTCTGAATGAGTCATCTCAACAACATGTGCTGAGATCCTAGAAGACAGGTGATGAATGATTTCAAGTTCCGGCCAGGGTTCAAGAGAGAGCTGGAAGAGCTCAGGCGAGGGGTCATATACACATTGTAGCCTCAATTTCGTCAATGGGCTAAGTCCCAGATTGGCAGCTTTGTGTCGATGCTGGAGAGGGGGATCGGGCCACAGAGAGATGGTTGTGAAATCATGGCACTAACTCCAGTCTCCAGACAACCTGGTCTTGACAGCGAAGCCCACGCATTGATGTCCCTTGTGGCGGTCTGGCCGTGACAGCCGGCGAGGTATCCGCTTGGAAGTCGGAAAGGTCAAAAGCCCTCCACAGCTGCAGGAATGGTTAGGTTCTCCCAGATGCGCAGACTGACGATCAAGCCGATGGAGGCGTGCTGTTCTCATCCTTCGACAAAAAAGGATTTCTGAGAAGCACATCCCCACCTGTGATCACCAAGCACTAACGTCAAAACTAGCCTGAAAGGTAAACAGTGATTAGCTGATGACGTCCGGCCAACGTATCAAAGCACATGACATACCTCATCAAAGTAGGTTGTAACGACTGTTCGATCGGCGAACTTTCGGCCAGCAAGGGCTTGGAGAGCCTTTTTAGCAGAGGCAGCGTCTTCGTACTTGAGGTAAATTTTGCCAACGCCGGCTGACTGTCTGCTACCGCCCGAAGGGCGTGGAATCTTGAGGGCAATGATCTTGCCATACTTGGAGCATTCTTCCATGACGTCTTCGACGATTTCTAAGGGCATTGTTAGCTTTTTCCACGATGGTGTTGGTGATGAAAAGACGCACCTTCATAGTCTTCATTGTCTACAAGTTCTTCGGCGGTGACCATATTGAGCAGTTGTAGCACTCGGCCTTCTTCAAAGCCTTCAGAGGTGGTGCCGGCGAACATGGACATGGCATTAACGCCCATCTCTAGACCTGAGACTTGTGTGGCGCCGATACTGGCTCTGGTGACCTTAATCTTATTCTCGGCTAGATCCATGCCGTTCAGACCTTCAACTGCAATGTCTGTCGTTGAAGGATCGACATATTCACAAAAAGCGATTCCCTGAGGATGGTTAGCACTTTCGACGGGAATTAGGCAAGAGAACTTACCCGTGACTCCTGCGCATGCTCTTCTTTAACGAGCACAAATGCCTTCAAATCGCCGAAGGACTTGAGCAGCTCAATGACTTGCTCATCTGTCAAGTATGGGGGGAGGTTGGTGATGGAGATCTTGTTAGCAGTGTCTGGAACTTCGGAGGACACGTCGCCGTCGGTGTAGGCATCGTCGTCAGCGGTAGGCACGATGTAGTCCTTGGGGCGGCGAATATCCAAGCCTTTGACATCTGCATTGCCATTGCCATTACCGTTGACCTCGTTATGATGTTCTTCCATGGTAATGCCATCCAAAGCCAACGCGATTGTGGCATCGGAGGGTTGTCTGAACTCGACCAATGCGAAGCTGCGGTCTTCGGCGATGTTGGCTTGGATGCATGGGTCACTGCCTTTGACGATGTTGAGGCCGTTCAATTGCAGGTTGAAAAATTGTTGCAGGCCGTCTTCAGTGACGGCCGCAGGGATGTTGTAGACGAACAATCGTTTTGATTGGCGAGAGTTCGATGTTTTGAGCGCTGTAGAAGCAGCAGCATTGGCAGGCTGGTTCATAAAGGCCTGTAGTCGACTGGGATCCATCTGTTGCTGACGAGGGGCGCCGGGGAGAGGGAACATGCCAGACATCTTGGCTTGTTCGGCAGTCACATTGTCATATCCAGGAGGCTTGATATCCCACTGCGTCAACCTCCGCTTGCGATCAAGGATGGAAACAATATCGGTGAGATCGGGGGTAGGTTCCCTCTTTTTGGGAGGTGGGCTAGCTTTGCGACCACCTCCTGCACGAGCCTGGGCGGCGAACTCGTCACGGTCTTCTCGTCCGCCACGATCACGGTCGCCGCGGTCGCGGTCACGTCCTCCACCTCCTCTTCGATCATCAAAGAGGTCACGATCACGCCGAGGAGGGCGGTCATCGTCGCGGCGTCTGGGGTTCCGATCGCCTCGATCCCAGTCTCGGTCATCCCGCCGGGAGGAGTATCTGTCTTCGCGTTCTCTTGCGCGGTAGTCTCGACTGGACGAGTATGTATCTTGTTCATAGTCGCGGCGTGAGGATCTGTGATGTGGGGATCTTGAACGTCTTCGGTCACCACGATCACCACGGTCACCACGATCGCGATTCCTATCACCACGGTCTCGGTCTCTTCGATCATCGCGATCATATTTCTACTCTAGTCAGTGGCAGGAATCATGAAGTTCGGAAAGGAGCGTCGCGGACCTCATGGCGCCTGGAGTGGCCTCCGTCTAAATAAGTGTCAGTGGCAGATGGAAAGTGAAAACAAGTTGGTCTCACCTCTTGACGAATAATTGTCCCCGTTCATGGCGCTCGATACCAATCTCTGAATTTGACTATGCGCAATTGTTATGGTAAGGCACGACTTTGTCAAGCGAGCGTGGGGACGATGGAAGTTTTGTTGTAAGTGGACGAGGGCGAGGGCGAGGGCGAGGATGAGAATGAAGAGGAAACTTCTGTGTCCGCGAGGTGAACTGGGCGTGACTGGTCAAGTTGAACTGAATGGAATATCACGACATTGAAAGTCGAGGTCAAAGGCAAAGGCAAGGCACAGGGCCAAAACTGCAGGACCGCTCTTGCACTAAGTTACGAACTTGCACCATCTGCACCTGCACCTGCCTGCAGTAGTACAACCTTTGCTCAACAAAAGTCTTGGCATAAAACCATAAATTCTCGGGGTCAATGGACGTGACATCCAACCCTTATTTTCTTTATATGTAGTATAAAGCAACATATTCTGGCATTAAAACAGTTACGGCCCAAACATAAAGTACATGATAAATACAATTCCCCAGACAGTCCAGACCTGTACACCAAAATTTGCACGCAGACTCGCCGCATCGTCTTCCTCAGGATCGTTGTCAGTGATATTGTATTGAATTGGGACTGGCGTATATCCTGCGCTTCTCAGATATGCAATACCAAGAGTCTCGTCGTCCAAGTTGTGGTCGACGTATTTGCCTCGAAGCCAATCTGCATCGGATCTGTTAGCGTGATCATTCACGGTAAGGAACTGTCCTTCGGCAGCCTACTCTGGCCCAGAATCCAATGATCTGGCGAATCAGCAAAGTCTCGACCAATGAGAGAGAGCATGCAAATGTCTGTGGCGTTGGGCACAGGTACTACCAAGGAATCCAGCTCGAAATAAAATGTATAGCCGACGATGCTGCGGTCCGAGACCAAGGTAAGGCTGGGTGGGAAACGAAAACCAACTGTATAATTGCTCTCGCAGGGGACAATGGAGGTCAGGATCGGTCCGTCGGTAGTGTTTTGGAGGGTAGTCTCGACACGCAGGGACTGAAAGACGACCGATACCGCGCTAATAGGACTATTTCAAGGTCGATCAGTTGCAATCATCAGTAGGTGGAAATCGACGAAGCAATTGACATCCTTACCCGACAGAAAAGGCATTGCGCGTGCTCAGCTCCACGAGAATGTTCTCGCGCATCAGGGTTCTGCTGCCGATCACCAGGTCGACACGGATGGAGAAGTTGTCAACAAGAACATCCCTGCCCATGTTGCCATCGAATAATGCATCGTCTTGTCCGCCGAGGATGAGTGCTCCTTCATCGTTGGTTTCTAGCGCGACGCCAAAACGGCACTCGTCGACCAAGCCATCCTCGCAAAGCCTTTCAAACCAGGAAGAGGAATTGCTAGTTGTTGAGTTCGAGGCACCAAAGCCAATAACTCCATCTCCAGGATAAGATATTGTCGACTCACTCTGAGAGACAATACCTACTTCTTGATTCTCAACGGTGATACCACCCACTGAGATGGCATCTTCGATAAGACTCCCATTCAACTATGCTTTGGTCAGTGTCTCCGGAACATCCTAGGGGTTCCGGATCAATTTGTGTCTTACCGTGCCAACACGAATCCCACTGTTGTTTGCTATTTCAAACGACTCGCTGTAGAAGCCGTTCAATTCGACCGAATCCGCCGCAGGTTCATATGTGTTTGGATTGAGTGCCGTGTTCGCCGACCCGGTGTCTAGGAGCAGTTTCAGACCATCCTGGCTGCCAACAGTAGCATTTATAAACAAGAAACCCTAGATATTCGTTAGTGCTTGGTGGCGACCAAATATAAACCTAGGTAGGTGAGACGATACATCTTCCGCAATCAACGGCACCGACACTGAAGTCTCACGTTTAGCCGCCGATCGAACAAGGATGGGTTGGTGCTGAGAGGGTTGTGTGCAAATGGAGACATTGAGCAACCATAAGAACGCAACAGTGAGAGTCAACACGTTACTTCCGGGACTACCCATCGCGACCCGGGGTGACCTGGTGTAAAGATCACCGCTGGCTAGATTTCAAAGTAGACTCTATAGCTGTATGACCGGCTTGACACATATATTCATAGTTGTTGCAACAACAAGAGGCAAGAAAGGTACCTTGTAGTATTTGATCAACTGAGCAATAAGCATCGAAGAGGGGCATTTCTTGAGCTTGGTATTTAAGACATATATGTACTTTAGATAGGCAGGTCTCGGGCGAAAAGATGACTCCATTCTCTCGGCCAAGTGTGCCGTCACTCGTCGTCGACTCGACATTGGCATAGGGCCCGCCAAAAGCATGGCGACGTCTTTATCGATGTCGATCATCAAACACTTGGACCATTCAGGGGAGTTCCGAGGTTCCTCAGGCGTCCGCATCCTTATTCTGGTGTAGGCGTTCCTTGGCCGAAAGCTGGGCACTAGATTTGCGCCATGACAGCAATGGAGGGAAACGTTGGAACTTGTTCTTTTGAATCCTCTCACCAACTTCCTATCATATCACGCTCTCTTCTCATCCACCACACAGATTAACTCGTAGTAAAACCGCACCATCTCTAGGAGACCTTTCACAGGCATGCGCTCATCGACTGTATGCATTCGCGATCCTCGTGGGTCGTGACTAGCCCTCCATGGGGACATGCGATATATGTGTTTCGATAATCCCCAGTAGTATCGAGTATCGGTGTTACCTGGCAGATCAATCAGCAGTCTGTCACATAGCATGTGTGCGTGTTTCTGACCTGAGAGTAGCACCGGCGCAACAATTAGATCTGGGCCAAAGACACGGCTCAGTGTGGTTGAAATCCACTCAAAGTGCACATCATCGGCACTTGTGACGGGTGAGGCCTCAAGTTCATAGTGTGCACTCAAGGTTAGTTTACCCGTGTGGTCATCGTCGTTGTTGTTGGCTTCGATCATAGAAACCGGCGGAATAGGGCGCTCGCTAACCGACAGGCCAAAAGCCTCAAACTGACACCTACGGTTTTTTGCCCATGGTTGAAGTAAGTTGATGTAGTGATCTTTCACCGTTCTGACCGAATCTTCAACCGCAATGCGATGGTTAATCACAACATTGGCTGTCTCGGGAAGGGAATTTACTGATTTCGAAAGTCACCTTAACTAGTCCACATGAGTGGCACCTTGACTCACCTTTGTCGCCACCAGAAATGAGATCAGCAGCGGTGGTGGTCCGAACAAGGGCTCGTCTATCTCTAGACGCTTCCAGATACTTCAATAGCTCTTCAGACGACTTGTCATCAAGTATGGCTTTGCGTAACTCATCTGGCATAGATTTTGAGAAGCGGGCAGCTCTTTGCAGATATGTTAAGGTCGGGTTTCTACGCGAGATATAAGGGGCAAAGGGATGGTCCTCGATGATGGCGATGACCTGAGCGAGCAAGCCAACTGGCAAAGATCTGATCAGCGCTAAAAATGTACTGTGGGAAGAGACACTTGCTGGCAGTATGATCAGGGGGCGTGGAGGAGTGACCCCCAGGAACATTGACCGTGACAGAGACGTCCACATAGCCCTTCTCGGCGGTTGCTGGTAATGCAAACTCGGTGCCAAAGTGTATTTGAATGACCGCAACGCCTTCATCGAACTAGAGTGACCATGAATGAAGAAAAGTTTGGATTGGCGATTGAAGACTCACTATCATCTCAATACCGTCATGTCCATATCTTGCAAGGAGCAGTTCCGCAAGACATCGAGCTCCGTAACTCTGTTCAGCACCCCCTTCTTCATCGAATCCGATGGAGATGATAACGGTTCTGAGGGGTGAAAATCCATGGGATATTAGGCAATCGATAGCAGATAGAATAGCGATGAGGTTCGACTTGTCATCTTCAGAGCCACGACCCCAGATAAATTCTCCGTCGTAGTGTCCAGAAAAGGGAGGATATGTCCATTTTGCGTAGGGAGACGTCTCTGCTGGGACAACCTTGTATTGTTTGGATACAATTCTAACCATTTGACCAAGATTGACTTACGTCTGAGTGCGCCATCAATATCAAAGGTCGTAGATGGCACTCACTCCCGTGCCATGTCAACAACAATCCATGTTGATTGACCGTCTCAAGCTGGAGATGATGAAAACTTAACTGGGATGTTAGCATGTCAATGTAAAGAGCAGTGCCCCAACTTGCATCCTGGGAAATGCCTTTTTCAGCATCTCTAAAAAGGTAAAGAAAATGTCCCATCTAGGGTCTGTTCCGACATGGCCCATATTGTCATAAGTGATGGTCGGCACCCTGACCGCTTCGGACAAGCGATGAGCAACAAGATGACGAAACTCATCAGAGATCAGGAGCTCCCTCCGAGTTTGGTCAGTGGTCTCCGTGAGAGCTCGATGGTGACATCTGAGCACCATTGTTTCTTCTTTTTGGAAACCTCTAGGCGATGAGACGCTGGGTGAGAGACCAATGATTATATTTACAATGTTTCCAACGACAAGTGAATCGAATGCAAGTTGTCTAACCTCAGTCGTCCGATTTCTCTTCCTTGTTTTCTAATGTAAGCAGTGTAATTGTCGTCTTAAGCAGTGTGCTCCTCAGCTTCTCGACAGTGTCTTTTAACAATACTCGGATGTCAATGACGCGGGCATATCATTAGAAGTTATCGCAGCAAGGCTAAGCTAGCGTCGTCGCCGAAAACGGTCGAGGATAACTTGAGAGAGTATGCTTGATTCTCCGGTCCCAGTAGTAGGCTTATCGGGCTTGTTAAGTTATGCTTACCTAGTTAAGCACCTTTGTTTTTAGTAGGGACATTTCATAAACTGTAGGTACCTAAAAGGTGGCCGGAGTGCCTAGGCGTATAACTGTCAGAACCCTAATTAGGTACACACCTGATCACAACTCATACCTTGCAGAAGGTCAAGCTTCAGTAGCGCAGTACAACCTCGAGCACCTTTTTTGAGGCAATTGAATCGAACCGCGCTGCTGAACTATCCTTTTCCCCACCTCAAGGATAGAACATTTGTTCGCAAGGAGCACAATCCCTCTAAAGCAGGTTGAATATCCCGGAGCGAAGTGTAGGAGACTGGGTCTCTCGGTAAGATGCCGCCAACAAAGCCTTCTTCTATGTTTGGGCAGTAACAGCTAGCCAAGCACCCACCTTTTCCTAGTCGACGACATTGACTCTTCTCCAGTGAGGCAACCCGCGCTATAGAAAGCAGGTACCGGTCATCTAGGGTCGCTATGGATCATTCACAGAAGGTAGCGGTGAATCGGTCCATCCTCAATGCTTGTAAGCCATGATGTGTGTGGTTCCTTGATTGTCCACGTCACTGACATATGATTTACACTCTTGTCCAGGCTTCTCATCTTGCGTTGGTATCTCCCTGGCCTGGGGCTGGGCAAATGGCACACTTCAGGAATCGTTGCCAATCCCGCCAGCCCTTGCAGGTACTCCGCAACGGAGGCGTAAGGTGCGTGAAGTGCTTGAGCGAGACTTTCTTCTCAAGCTCGACGGGGCTCAGCCGCCGAATTGGTGGACTATGGTCACCGCAGCTTTCAGTCATCAGCGACTGAATCACCTGCTTGGGAATCTTTCAGGCTTCGAGATATTCTCCGAGGCTCTGATTTCGATGGGCATGACACCAGTCCATTACCTTGGCCTCATATTTGGAAGTGCCATCTTTGCCAATGTTAGTTTCTGGCGGCTGCGGAAGGCCAGTTCGCGCCGTCGCATCAGTTCTGCATATGCCCTTGGCCTCTCTGGAGTCGTGGTAAGTACAACCAACATGAACGTCAATACCTTGAGTCTGTATTTCATGGCGGGCTCCCTGCGGCAACTGGTTGTTGGTGCTAACAATTCACTTCGAATAGAGTGCCCTCGGCGCAGCGGCAGCATGTGCGATCCCAAATGCTCCCACGAGGATACTCAGATTCCAAAAAGGAGTGCCTTTGTGGGTTGTGCTCGCCGGTTACACTCTCTACGACACCTTGATGCTTGGCAATGTCAATTCAACAACGGGTCACGCAGCACATCTTGCAGGATCACTGTTTGGAGTTCTGTACTACTACTTTGTTCTTAGTGGTAACCTCCCCCTTATACGCCGGTTTCGCAGACCGACCAGATCAGGTGAGCAATACCCGCCTCAACTAATGCTAGGTGAGGTTGCGTAGAAGATTAACACGTGCCCAGCCTCGACGCCATCTATTCTGGCTCTATCTAGAGCCTGACAGTCACCTCGCACGGACCAAAAGACATGGGAGGGCAGACGACTAGACAGTGCACCCCGGGGGATATTATTGTCAACATCTATGTAGAGAAAGGCGAATATTTGGCTCTCGATGATCAGCTGTCCATAGCGTTTGGGTATAAAATGCGGGGAGTCCAATCAGACCCTGGGGAACTCCAGGCTTCACTTGGCGCTGAGATAAGGTTGAGGCGACCCCTAAGTTAGACGATCGTAACGATAAAGTGCCACTACTAGCCTTTCAGGGGCTAAGGGTCGATGTTCCAGTCTTCTGGGTAAAAAGTCGCCAGTAGCCTCGAGGTGACATCTTAAAACATCCCTACCATCCCAGGTCCACGTCTACGGAGTACATCTATGCAGTTGACGATCATCAGCCGCCATCCCTTCCACGAAACTTGCATTCGTCACACCATACACCACGAAACGACTAATCCAACCTTCATGTCCTCGTCCGTCGTTCTCCTCTCCATACCCTAACCAGATTGCGTTTCACATCCCTGCCATGACTCGAATTAGTGAGTGGCGCAAACTCCCCATCTCATTGAACGACCTCTGCCTTGCGACCACTTTGCGGTGCGGGCAGTCATTTCGATGGCGGCAATGTGAAGACAAATCTTGGGCCTGCACATTACGAGGACGGATTGTCCAACTATCTCAAGACTCAGCCCAGGTTAAATACCGATCCATTTGGCCATCTTCTCTGGATGCCCCTCCCACACCTCCATCCTCCGCCCCTTCGACCATCTCAGACCAACAGGACGAGAAGACCTTGATTCAAGATGGTCATGACGACACCGGTGACCTCCTGCGACATTACCTGAACCTCGAGCCGGATCTGTCAAGTCTCTACGCCCAATGGTCAGCGGCCGATGCTAACTTTAAGAAAAAAGCCCCCAAGTTCACTGGCGTGCGCATCCTTCGCCAGGACGCATGGGAAGCCCTAATCGGTTTCATCTGCAGTAGCAACAACAACATTATACGCATATCGCAGATGGTGGACAAATTGTGCACGCACTATGGGAGATATATTGCCACGCTTGAGGGGCGCGCATACCACGACTTCCCAGAACCCATGGCTTTGACAGGGGACAAGGTCGAAGGCCATCTCAGGGAATTGGGCTTTGGCTATCGGGCTAAGTACATTTCACGTACCGCCCGGATGGTGGCGCAGGAGCGGGAGGCTGGGTGGCTGGACGGACTGCGCAACCCAGAGAGTCCCATCTACGGTGGGAAAGCGGCATACGCGGGCGAGATGAAACCCGAAGGCAGGGACGGATATCGCATGGCGGTTGAAAAATTATTAGATTTGCAGGGCGTGGGGCCCAAGGTCGCCGACTGCGTGGCTCTGATGGGCCTGGGCTGGGGGGAGTCAGTCCCCGTCGACACTCATGTCTGGCAGATCGCTCAACGGGACTACAAGTTTGGCAAAGGCAAGCATTCTAGTTTGACCAAAGCCACGTACGACGCTGTCGCCAACCACTTCCGCAAACTATGGGGTAAGGAGGCTGGGTGGGCACACAGTGTGCTCTTTACGGCCGACTTGAAGACCTTTGCTGAGAGGTTAACAACCAAAATTGAGACAGAGGATAATGGAGTGGTGAAAAAGGAGGACGGCGAGGAAAATTCAAAAGACATCAAGACTGTGACAGTCCAGCGAGCAGCTATTAAAAGAGAGGCAGAGACTGAGGACAAACATGACTTGAAGTCGATTGTGCAGGTGGAAGAGGTTTCTGTCAGGAATAAACGGACGCGACGAAGATGACACTCAAATCATTGTGAATGGCATACATGGCAGGTGCTAGCATTCGAGACCAGCTAGGAATGTCAATGATACGAGTTTCTGTGACACTTTTTTGTTAGTTGAACATGATTTACGTGATTGTAGATACTTTTGGCATGCGGAAGACAGAGTCCTCAGCCTCGACATGATTCCGAGGAGGCATTCTGGCTGTGTAAGGCTGAGACACGACTCAAGCTTTGGATGGAACAAGAGACTATATCTGCGACGTTTGGTGGTTCTATCAAGGACTACTCCGTAGGTATTTGAAACTGATGGTTGGAAGGCTGAGAATGCACGGTGCAGGTAAAGGAAACTCTTCCAAACTTGGAGACAATTATTCTGGCGGTCTGAGAAGCGCCGTAGTCAAGACCATTACTCCTCCTGCTTCTGTCATCGATGATGAATGATGGTGGCACTTTGGGACGCATATGATTACTCGGTTATGCAGGAGAGCATGATGCAGACAGATCTAGGTTTATTTACTAACTAGTAATAGGCATTTGACAGTGTCGGACGGGCAGGTCTAGCACCTATAATTTGAAAGGTTTAGGCTCCTTTGGGGCGCCTCGGCTTCTTTCCAGGCAAAGGATGCATCCAATTCTTACCTGGCACATCGGTGGGTACAGGGGAGCTGCATACGTACGCACGACGCACGCATATGACAAAAGTCGTGTCAAGTTCCAAATGGCTTTGGAGATTTGGGTCGTCGTCTCCTTTTGGGAGATTGCATCCAAACAACCCCAAAACTTCAGTCGTCAAAGGTCTGTGCTTTCATCAGGGTCTGTCTACCTTGGAATAGATATTTCGATTCTCGATCGTGACAACGAATGATGGTTGAATTACATCATCCTCTGAGATCTGCTCGCTCCCACAAAATACTTGTAAACGAACAGAATATCCATCATCATCGTTGGATCGCTTCATGATCATCAGAACTGGGGATGAGGCAATCCAAGATTTCTACTGTCAATGATTGGCTGGAAACGGTAGGACGGGAAATGACCTGCGGGTACCAAGAAAGACACGCAGAAGAACTGGAAATTGAGGTCCGACGTTAGTTGTTTATTTTAGTCTCGACTCTCAAGTCCTGCCATGTTGCCTGAAGCCCACCAACCGTCCAACGGTCTAGCTGATGCATTAGACCACTTTGTCAAGCTGAGGGCCCATCAGAGAAAGGATGCTGCAGCAACGGCAATGATCCATGCGACACACAACACAAGCTGACGTACTCCGTAAAAGCAGCTTCTGCTTGCTTGCCAATGTAATCCGTAGGTGCGTGCGTTGTTCCTGAATTAGCCCCGGTTAGAAGTCCCGTTAACTCAGAAGTGCTGCGTTTTCTGCGTCTTCGGTAGTCAAATCTGGCATGGCAACTGCCTAACGCTCGCCCATCGCCCAAGTCAGGACGCCCCAGCCGCGTTTTCGTTGACGGGATTTAACGACTTTAGGCCTAGTTTGGTCACTACGGGCTCCCCCATCTGCGTACCCACGGCTTCATGCATTCGGACTTTGCTTGATTTTCTGCCACTCATCCAATGACAGGAGGTTGTCATCTCCCTGCACTCTGTATCTCTCACAAGACTCAGGACTCGCAACGTGTACCAGCTGCAGCCCCCTTCACTGTGGCTGGCCAGGTCAGACACGATCCAACTCAAGCCCTTTTCCTCCTACTCTCCTTGGTCAATCACAGCGGAATTCACACTCGCAGGACACCTGCACAGCATCCCATCTCTGTGACTCTGTCCCAGCTACCCATCCCAGCCCGTCCTTCGTTCCAGAATTCACGCCAGCAACGGCCTCTCACTTTGTACGACTGTCGCTCTTTCTTCCTCGTTGTCAACCTCCAGCTCCCAGCACCATTTCCTTGAGTCAATACCTGTCATCACAACCTCTCCCTGTCACACCTCCTCCGCCTCCGACATAATTGTTTCAACTCATCCCTGCTTAATTCACACACCGGCCGCACCCAGTCACTCTTCCACCCTCGACAAACGCGTCTTTCTCGTCATCTACGAGTCTCCCAGTCCACTTCACAAGAGTTTCCAAAACCACTCAACTCACAACTACCCATTACGCGTTTCGCCTCTACGAATTTTCCGATTGCCTCCCCTCCCACGTTGAATCCCTTCCCCGACCTCTGACCTCTGACCTCCAGATCCGATCTGCTACACCCAGAAGATCCCACCCTCACCCGCCTTCTTTCGCCCTTCCACGCTATTACGCCTGTTCACACATGTATTCATCATCACCACTTCGGTAACCCTCTCTTTCGAGTCTGTTGCTGCGGCACAGGCGCCTCACACAATGCACCTGTTGTCGCGGTTTGGCCTTGGAGCGACCGCTTCGTTGATGTTGGCAACGAGTCGAGTCCACGCTCAATCCGTCCCTGCTCCCAACCTGGACTTGTCCTCTCTCGGTGATGTGACCATCGCCGGGAACTTCGATGCCATTGCTGTATACACCTCGATCGGTCAACAACAAGGTTTCGACAGTAATGGCACGCAGTCAATATTTTCCGCATTGCCAAATGGCGCCTACAATATCCTCGCCTCCACCGATGCAAGTATCTCCGCAATGTGTCCCCTATTGACACAGGACGGCTCGTTGTCAGGTCTGGTCGTCGGTGGCAATTTCACCAGTATGGGCGGAGTCCCTGCCCAATCCGTTGCTATCTTGAACACAACCACCTTGGAAATCGAGCCCATACAAGGTGTCGAAGGTATCGTTACAGCACTCTACTGTGACCAAGACACCGAGACTGTCTATGTAGGTGGCGCCTTTGAAGCACAGAATTCCTCAAATGCCATCGCCTGGAGATCTGGAGGCTTTGCCAGTCTTCCGTTTGCCGGATTTGATGCACCAGTCTCTTCCATCACGAGAGCCCCCAATGGCCACATTGTCTTTGGCGGCTCCTTCAGTGGACTCGGCAACATTTCTTCTACCGCTCTCACGAATCCTGAATCTCAGGTTATTAACCTCGGTTCCGCAAACATTGTCGCACAAGGAAATACCACCAGGGCGGATCTAGGTGACCCCAGGAGTATCGTGTGCCCATCGAATGACTCGGATACTTCGACGACCTTCTTGTTGGCCGATAACACACCCGGTTCATGGTCCGCGCAACTCGCTTTCGGTTTCGAGCCTACTAAACTCAGGCTCTGGAACACGAACTTCGAAGGGCGAGGAACTAGGACGTGGCGATTCACTGCACATCCTATCAACGGCATCATGAACTTTACTTATACCGACCCTGCTACTGGACAACGTGCATTCTGCGATGCGAGGTGTCCTCTGCCCCAGGACTCCTCCGAGCCCTTTCAAGACTTCTTTTTCGTCAACCTTGTTGGCATGAATAGCTTTACCATCGACATCTCGGATTGGTACGGAGCTGGTGGCGGTCTGGATGGGCTTGAACTTTTCCAAAATGACATCTTCTCATATGCCATCGAGGCCTTTTCCGATCCCGTCTGCGCTACTGAGGGAGCAAGGTCTGATGCTACCGCGACCGGTCCTTGGTTCACCACACCCTCGAGACAAAGCGTCTCCGACTATTTGACCGCTGTTGTTGGTCCTACAACTGTTGACTCCACCTCGATCGTCTTTGAGCCCGATGTCCAACGCAGCGGCAATTACTCCATCGTCGTCTATACCCCTGGATGTATTCAAGACAGCTCATGTTCGGCTCGTGCCATTGTTAATATCAGTGTCTCCCTCACCGCCGATGCCGCAGACCCTTTCACTACTCAGCTATTTCAGACCAATAATTTCGACAAGTATGATTCCGTGTTTCAAGGATATGTCGATGCGGTCAGTTCGTCCTTTCGCCCCTCCGTGACTATCACGGCTTCTGGTCTTCAATCCGACCAGCTCATCGTCGCGTCGCGCATCAAGTTTAGCTTCATCTCCAGCACTGGAGGACTGAATGGTCTCTTTGACTACGATCCAAACAGTGACGAAATCAACATCGATTTTTCCCAATCAGCCATCAACAGTGCAGGCATGACGTTGCAACCAAATGCCCAAATCCTGGCCTTGACAACAGTGGGCGACACCATCTACGCTGCTGGTCGCTTTCGAGACGGCGTCTTTGAGAACATTATGGCATTTGCAGATGATAACGCAACCTCTCTTTCTGGCGGTGGTCTCAACCAAGCTGTAACTGCCATGTACAGCACGGATGATTTTCTGTACGTTGGTGGTAATTTCACAAATACTAACCAGGGCGACGTACAAGGAATCAACAATGTTGCATCATATGACATTTCGTCAAATTCTTGGGTCGCCTTGGGCGCTGGACTGGATGGCTCCGTGGATGCTGTCGTTCCCATGCAACTTAATGTCAGCCAGGGCCAAAGTGAGACCGTGATTGCCTTCAGTGGGTCGTTCAGCCAGATTGAAAGCTCCGACTCTAATCCTGCCATCCGTGCTTCGGGACTAGCAATATGGGTTCCTTCAAGAAACGCTTGGTTAGGAAGCTTGGATGATGTCCCTCGACAGGCTTTGGCTGGACAGTTGTACGCCGCCACCTTCTTACCAAATGATACCTGGGTTGGGGCGGGGACTTTGCGTTCTCTCGGTTTGGCCATAAGCGGTGCCGCAGGAATGTCTTCAGCTGACGGTGAGACGGTTCTTCGATCATTGCCAATCTCGATTGAATCTGGACCGGGGTCATCAACTTCTCGAAAACGCGCCCTCTTGGACTCCCAGAATATCACCGGTGTCACAGGCGGAGCGCACTATACTGGCAATGGGCAGAATGTAACAATTTTTGGAGGTCATTTCTCCGCCACTGCAACGGATGGCTCCACAATTGAGAACCTGATGTTCTTGAACGGTTCAAATAACAATCTAGTGACCGGACCTCCGACAGGACTCGATGCCGAATCAACCATTTTGACTCTCGCGGTGGCAGGCGATCTGCTTTGGGCCGGCGGAAATCTTACTGGTCGAGTCAATGACGCTACTATTGCGGGTTTGGTGGTCTACGATCTCACAACTGCAGCATACCGGAACGTTCAGCCTGCGTCTCTAGAGGGAGACGACGTTGTCGTCAATGCCATTGCACCTCAGTCAGGCACATCGGCCATCTATGTGGGAGGCTCTTTCTTGCGCACCTCACAAGATCTGTCCTGTCCTTCAGTGTGCATGTATGATTCAGCCACCAGTCAATGGAACACAGTTGGCACTGGTCTGGACGGGGTTGTCTCTGATCTTTACTGGCAGAACGACAAAACCCTATTGGCAACTGGAAATTTGTCTGTGTCCGGTAACAGCACGTCTCTTGCTCTCTATGATGTCGACGAACAAGAGTGGACCGAGGTCTCAAATTCAGCAATTCCTGGCCCCGTCTCTGCTTTTGGCCCAGCATCAGAAGACGCCACTGAGATGTGGGTTGCTGGGACAGCTAGCAACGGTTCCACCTTCCTTGTGCAAGTCGGCCGGGATCACTCCCATCCTGTCGTTGATGCTTTTGGTTCTGGAACAACCATTCAAGGACTTCAGGTCATGCCGCTCTCTCAACAGCACGATGCCACCGACTTTCTTGACCGTGACCGCGCCTTGTTGGTGACTGGTAAGCTCAACATCACGGGGTTCGGTAGCGCTGCAGCGGCATTATTCAATGGAACGGTCATGCAACCATTTATCCTCGCCTCCACCGACGATGGCGAGCCAGGTAGCATCAATCGAGTGTTTTCTTCTCGACCAAACACACAACGGTCAAGCAGTGAGTCATCCGCTTTTCACCTGTAGTTCTTATACAATGCTAACATGGATTCAGATCGCGGACATTCAAGAGGTATCGCCGTTCTGGTCGCACTTTGCGCGGCCCTGGGCACGATATTCCTTATAATTATAATCGGCATCATCCTCAACAGAATTCAAAGGCGGCGTGCTGGATACAAGTCGGTTCCCAGCGTTGCTTATGCCGACAAGCACTCGAATATTCACCGTGTTCCCCCAGAGTCTCTATTTGGAAACTTGGGCGCCAAATCACCCACAGCACCAACGGTGTGATCTTTGTGGGTAACTTCCCCTGGCGACCGAGCACGATTGATTGAGGATGATGTCACGAGATCCACGATGTTATGATTCTTCTTTTTCCCAAAGCGTTCGTTATTGCTCCACGACAGGATTGCAGCAAGCGACGGTTGCCTCTATTCTTCTTCTTGTCTTTCTATATTTGTGCCGGCTTCGGCCTGGCAACCTTGATACCCCGGCGGAATCTTCGGCATATCACATCCTACACACAGTCGGTACTCATGTGTGTACTCTGACCGCGCGGTCTTACCGTTCCTTGTCGCTGAGACACATTTGCGCGGCGCCTGGCGATGACTGGAACATTAGCGTTTACAGAAAATAACCTCGGCCTCTGTCTAGCTTCAGCCTAGTACCAGGTCATGGTGGTGAGAAATGAACAGCACAGCATGCTGGAAACGACATTGAGAGTGAATATGGGAGGTGATTGATTGAAGTCAATATGAATGCTCGAAGCATGCACATATTGGCGATGGCGATGGTGATTGTGATGAAAGGTGACGGTTGAAGATTGTCTCTGACCAGTTGAGCAAAGCACATGAACATATGGGCTTGAGAATCTGCTGGCAGAAGGCTTGAATATGTCAGGCCGAAAGAAGAACTATATAGACTCTCATCGGTGCTGAGGTAATGTAATCAAATAAAAAGGATATGAGATCCGACGATGCCATTTGGAGTACGTACATACTGTGCGTGTATAGATGTTTCACGGAACGTGATTCCACACCGACATACGGGGACGACGTATGGACGTACTGGAGTACATAAGATATATCCTGATCCTGACTTGTCGGGGGAAATAACCATATATGGATGTACGAGCATGAATGTGTGGATGTGTGGATGTATGGATGTACTATATCTATGTACTAAGTACGTAGTACCTGCAGCAAGTACTCCGTAGGTACTTAAACTTGGCGAACTCACCGATTCATGGAATCTAGATTTCACCTGATCTCAATGAGAAGTATTTCGGATGACGGATACCAAATCTGAGATCATCTCAATCGTGGGTCCAGGCCAGGGGAGAACGAAACAGAACGTTCCAGGGAAGACTCTCCCCCGCCCCTGTTAAATCATATGAGGTCAGCCAGCCATCCATCCAGCCCAGCCCAGCCCAGCCCAGCCCAGCTGGTCGGCCCTCCAGCCGGGGAGCAGGAGATCGGTGTGTCGATCCCAGGTCTATGTAACCGATCGAGGGAAAACCCAGTTCAGAGTTATCAAAATCCGAAAAATAAGTGATGCATGCATGCGGAATGAAGTACTACAGTAGACCAGCACCGCGGCGGCGTAGGTGGGTGGATACCTACTTATTCCATTACAGTTGACAATGTCAATTTATGTATCTAATGTAGGTACCTGTATATCCTAGTTGGTACCTTATGTACTTACTAGTATGGATGTACGGACTACCAGCTGGACCAGGGGCGAGACTTACGGAGTAGGCACGTAGGTACTGTACAAAGGAGGATCAAGGCCGGGGATGCGTACGGATTCCGATCTAGCATGCGGCTGAGCAAGGTGAGAGGGAGGCAAGGACAGGGGAGGGAGGGAGGGAGGGAGAGAATGAAAACGAGGATGAGAAGCAGGAGGTGAACGAACGACAAAGGCGGGTGGACGATCGGTGGTCGGTGGTCGGCGGTCGGTGATTTGGCTGCGACATGACGATGAGGTTCCAGGTTGTGCATGCGTACAGTATGCGTATGCATGCATATACCTAGGTACCTTAGGTAGACGAGTACGAGAAAGGTGTCACTTGATCAAAGGTCCAATGATCGATGGAATGTGAGTAAAACACGAAGCAGGAACACGACAAAGCAGGGCATGGGATGCGACATGAGGAAGGAGACGACGATACAAGGCAAGATGAGGCATGAAGGCGGGGAAGGAGTGATCCGAGTCTTGGACGGGATATGTTCTTGATCGGGTTGGTGCTAAAGACGGAGATGCAGATGCAGATGGAAATACAAATATGGTATGACGACGTATGCGTCAAGAGTTTTGAGAGATAGATATGGATGGTCAAATCAATGAATGCCAAACCCTTGGGACCTTGGGGGCCTTATGATATGTACCTAGTACTGTGCATGGACAAGCAATCCCTTGAGTACGGAGTACTACCTCTAAGGCAGACTTCGTAATTGTATGCCCAAGAGAACATCTTGGACCTTTCATTGATTGGTCGCTCCGTATCGAGAAAACCATCATGTGACTGTGTCGTTGACACCTTTGGAAGCCGCTCGTGCCACTACATTGGAATCTCAAATGCTTCGTCCATACATGTCATTATGGAATAGCAGAACGTGCGTGCGAGAGATCCCCTAACATCACAGTGTACATTCCAATATGCTTTTTCGAGGACGGATCGTCGGAATGTTAGAAGAGGGTTGAAGGGGTTGGAGGGTTGGGATCTAAGATTGAAGATCCACCCCACATGTGGATATGGATTGGATTCGGTAATCTCTTGGCGGACATGGGTGAAGTGATCGGTCCAAACCATAATTCTCGTGTCCCTTGAAAAAATACATCCCCAGGATGTATCCGTCGCACCACCCTCGTGTTCTGTCACTGCATGGAGATGGATTCCGACGAGACAATAGTTGAGTGTGCACACACCATGTCATGACATGATTTCTGTCCTTGTCACTGACCGATAAGGTCTCGACCGAATCCCGACATATATCTTGAGGCTGAGATTGCCGACGCCTCTGGAGACAGATGCCTCGAGACGAGCGCGAAACTCGATCGGAGATCTTTGGGTGTAAAGAGCTCAGTCCTGGTGGTGGCGAAGAATCGGAGAGTGATTTGGTCGGTCAAAAACTTTGTGGTAGCTGTAGGTGCTGTTGATGCTGAACGAGAGCATCGGTGTAGTCGACGTCAGAGGTCTAATAAAAATGGCTCATAGTTGACTGTCGCAGTTGTGTATGACCTGGTCTAGGTTCTAGAAGATCTGAACCCTGGTGATCGAATATGATGACTTGAGTCGTCTGCGACTCGAAGAGAATCGAATGGGTGGTACTCAACCTTTGGTCGAGAAACAAGTCGGTTGGATGAGCGATGTAGCCGGACACTGTACTGCCACAGTACGATCTGGTCATCTCAATGAGGATCGAGAGGACTTCTAAACATTGCGGATTCTTCTTGTGGGCTCGGTCTCCGGCCATAGACAACGTAGAGCCTCTGGTACGAGTGGACACCCTTGGCGGTGGCGGCTTGCCTCACCCCGGCCAAACACACCTCAATTTCCTCCCTGGACCAATTCAGACCATCGGAGCCAAACAGTTTGAGAGTGAAGCCCTGCAGACCAGACAACCAATTATGAAGCCACATGTCACCGATCCATTTGAGTCGTTTGTCCTTTGGCCATGGACCTAGAGGGATTTTGGAGATGTGTTCATGAATGTCGACGTAGCCGGCTTCCCGCATCCACTTTTTGACGTCGCTGGCGATACGAACGGGTCGTGGAGGATCCAGTGCCTGAGTAGCTGCATCATGGAGGTCATCGTCCCATTTCTTCAAGGCCCAATCATCGAAAACGGTGTTGTCATCTGATACTGGAGTGGGATGAAGTTCATGACATTCCAACCAACCGCTGCCTGGGCGAAGATATCTCCTTGCGCTTCGAATGAGATCTTGATACTGAACAAGAGCACCTGCAAGAAATCGGACATGGCAGTATTCCACGCTTCCATAATCCCGAACCCAGTCCTGGTCAACACAATCTTGAATTTCGAAATGGACATTGGCTGGGACGTCTAGAGGTTGCACGGGCGACAGATCGGTACCAAATATCTGGGCTTTGGGTAAAAGTTCAGAATCGGCCAAGTCGATAGGCCAGATTCCCGTACCGGTACCAATATCTAGTACGGTGTAGGTGTATTCGGGGTCGAGAGGAGCATAAAAGAGGCGACCTTGTAGAGCCTTTAGGATCTGATGCTGGCTTTCCAGGCGGGTGTTTTCGTCATCGTCATTTGGGAATAAGTAGTTTCCTTCCTTGTACCGGTGATATCTTCTCCCCCAATATGTGGGATAGTCAGTGATGCTGGCTGTCAAAGAGTTGGTATTCTCGTCAGTGGCGTTAGATGAATGGGCCGAGTCCGAGTCTGGCATGAGGGGAGAGTCCATGGTTTGCTCAGGGGACATTCTGATGCTGGGCTCGAAATTCAGAGTGCAGCATGACATTCAAAGGTCCTCGACGGAATTAAAGAGTTAGGTGACGTGGTAGTAGGCGTGTGAAGAGTTTTGGAATGGACCGTGCTTGTGCTCGCTATGAGGGGCAGCGTAGTGGGAGCGGAAGCCGAGAGTGGCACGAGTGGCCAGAATATGTCAAGGTTTCCACAGTAAAAAAGGTTGGACGACGGATAATAACGTCTCCAGCGGATGGAATCCCCGAATTAAGCGTGTGTGGACTGGCAACGGATGATTGAAGGGTGGGACCAAACTTGAGGGCACGGTTGAAGGATGTGTGTATAAGTAGGATTTTAGGTGGGGGAAACCTGATAGAGTTTGAATTCTAAGGAGGAGGCAAACGGTTGACGGAAGACGAATCCCGGTTGAGTGCGATTGCCCAGGGTCAAAGAAAGTGCCGGACTTTGAGCATGGGCTCTGGAGATGACGGTGCCATGCAGTAAAAGATGAGTTACAATGGCGATTGTGATGGCAAAGGTGAGTGGGTGAGTGATATCGAGGATCTCGTATTTGACACTCAAGGAGTCGGGAATTTTGGTCAAACAGGGCCAGATATAAAGTTAGACCAGAGTCACCAAATTGGTAGAACAAGGGCGGAAGTTGTCAATGGTCAATTAGTTGAACACGAGGATAGGTGGAGAGAAAGTGGAATGATGAGCTGGCGTGCATTTGTGAGGAACAGCTGTCCAAGATCGACCGACAAAGGATGCACGGACGTGGGTTGCGCAAACGGTCGCAGGAAATACGGGCAGATCGTGCACTCATGGACACTGCGAGTGACAAGCGACAGGCGACAGGCGACAGGCGACCGAGGGTTGGGAATTAAATTTTTTTTATTATATGAAACCAGGCTGAGAAAAGGCAGGAGACGCAGCCAAGGTCAAAGTGGCGATGGCGAAGGAATGGAGGAAGACAAGACCGGGTCGATAGACCGGACTGGGGTGATGTGTGCAGGAATTGGCACATTGACAGGGTTGACCGTTGGAGGGCAGCGGAGGGTTTATTGAAAAAGTACAAAACGTGTCTTTTTGACGGCGGGAATTACCCGTCCAGAAAGTGGGAGAGCAAGGAGGAAAGAGAAACAAGGATGAACTTGCAGAGAATGTCCAGCCGTTGCCATTGCCGTTGCTCTCGAAAAGTCAAAAGATGTTATTATTGTTCGTAGAGTTCGAGAAAATGACGCTGTCAGGAAAGCGACAGTAAAGTCCAGGGTAAAAACGTTTTCTATTGCTGTAAACGAACAAGGATCCATTACACGGCTAACCTAAGCTACACTACTCCGTACCTACAGGCATCCACGCCATCGCTAAGTAGGTAGTGCCCATGCCTGTCGATCACTAAGTAGCATGATGCAGGCCCGAGGGACCCCCTCGGCCCTCCAACAGCGGGAGAGACAAGGATGTTAAGGACGAATCAGCAGAGAGACAGTGGCAGCTTGCCCGTTGGTCTGGGCGGGCACAAACACACTGGTCGGTCCTACCGAGCCCACAGGTCCAGGCTTGCGGGCTTGCAGGCTGTCAGATTCAGGCCTGGAACCAACCAGCCGGGTGCGGTCACAGGTGTGCAGCCACTGTTTGCTGTCTCCCTCCACAAGTGCACGCAAACGAGGACTCGTATGGTTGGCTGATGGGAATCTAGGTCAAGTAGGGATGGTCCAGTTATGCCTGTTAAACGAGCCTCGTCCCAGGAATCAGGGAACTGCCCCTGTGGTCAAATTCACGAATTGGGGGTGAAGGCAGTTCTGAGGCTGTTGGAGCTGTTCAGTTGACTCATGGAAATCCAACAGTGGCATGGAAACCATGAGGGTCTCTTGGTGCCTAGCTAGGTACTTACTGCTGATAATGGGCCTCGGGCGCATGTTCTTTACGCGTCCGTGTGGGCAAGCACTATTAGCGGGCTCCATGGCAAGGGGAGGTCGCGGGTCGCCGGGTCAGCTGGGGTAAAACGCAAATCGTATTGCGCCATGTATTCTATCCAGTTCCGTAGAGACAGCTAATCTGCTGAATGACTGCGAAAACTGAAATAATCTTTGCGAGAACCATATACAAACACAATCAAACAGCTGATATGCTCTGCTGATTGTATTGCATTAGTCGTGTGCCCAAGATCAAAGAAGCTAGATAGGGAGATACAGATACCTTATCTGAGCACTGAGAAATGCACCAGCGAGAGACACGGAGAAGTCAAGACTCGAGCCTTAGGACTGCCGCTCAGACCCTTGCCCATGACCATGTGACTGTTTTGATTGTCCGCGATCGATCCGATAGTCTAGGTGTCTAGGTACCTAGGTTCTGTATTTTGCAGTCCATAGATGCGATGTCTACTCCGTAGGTAGGCACTTGGGTCGCCTAAGGCCAACACTAACAGGCGCTATCACGGATTACCGCTGATGTTCTACAGTACTGACCCCGCCTCAAACACAATCAATGAGTGACACCTCGGTACTAAAAACAATACCTACCTTAAAATTTTGAGTCATGATTCTCGGGATTCGAATATCTGGTCAAGGTACCCAAGGTCCAATGCAACCCCTCGGCTTTTGCTTAGTAGACTCGCGGAGTTGACATTTCCACTTGGAAAGCCTCAAACCCCTCTCGTCCCCTCCCCGGCTTTGATTTAGGGCCTTGGCTAATAAAGAGGTACGTGGTTTTACTTTGTCTTTACTTATTACTGCCGAAGTGGAATTACTGCACCACTACCGGACCGGACCTCAAGATGAGCAAGCAATGTGGCACTCCAACTTAAAAGTACTAGGTACATACTTGATGCTTCTACCGTTCATCATGTTCATGCTCCGTGCACAGCACTCCACCACAGTACATTCAAGTTAGGCACCTAACTTTCCGGATCCGTCCCTTTTTAGTTCCTCACTCTCTCCTCACCATCATCCTTGTCCTCATCCTTATCCTTATCCTGACCAACACTTCGTATTCAAGCCCGACAATCTGGTTCGGATATCCCTTTTGTGTAACTCAACGTAAACCTTCAGATTGAAATTGATTGTGTCCGACTGGTAGACATGCAGTCTGTCACTCACCATTCCCCAATAACAACAAGTTCTGGGATTTGCTCCCTAGACGGATGACCTACAACTTGATCCCTGAGGCCAGGCAATATCGAAACTCATCACCTTGACCATCATCAGATCACCTCATCCACCCCGGTACTACTACCACCATAATCCATCAAATCCAACTCCAATGAATGAATTGCCAAGTTGATATTCGTCCCTCTTTCCTCCTTCCATCTCCCCTTTTCGTGAATCTCACCGCTCCATTCAAACCCATTCAAAACACCCCACATATTCTTTACTGTACGGAGGACATACATAACTATTCCAGGTACCCTCATTAGGTAGGATGTCCGGTTCTACTGTCCACTATCCACCATGCTACGGAACATACCAATTTAAAAGCTCAAGGATGGCTACCATGTGTCCATCTTTTCCTATTTCTATGATCCCTTGTCTTTCCCTAATCCGATTCTGAACACCTTGAAGTTCCTCGCTTGTTGATTTAATCCTGCTACAGACAGGAACATTCTCGAGTCCGTCCATGTAGGGATAACGATGGGACCTAAAGGGAGTCCACTACCCTAGATAGGTAGGTACGCTGCATTCCATACGGATGCAAGAACAACAACACGTGCTGTACTTTTTCCCTGACACTTGTTTCGGCTTTGGATGAGATGAATTATCAAGTTACGAGGCAGTTGAACTTGCATTGTGCTGGGATCTTGATAGTACTACTCGCAGATAGCTCCCTCCCTAGTCAACTAGTACTTTCTACATATTTCGGCAATTATCTATCTCCTTTATCTCACATCTTGTAGAAACCCAACCCAACCCAACCATCATAAATAAGAATCAACGATAAGTATCAGTACCAGACAATCTATCAGCCAAAGTACACACCACACAACCAATAAAAATCTACCTATCCTCCCCTCCACCATCCTTCCTCCTACCTACCTTACTAGACTAATCACCTCCCTTCGCTGCATTATCACGGCTTAAAATCGTAAAACGCGGGCCCGAGGCGCCGTAAGATTCCGTCCGGCAGAGCTTGGACTCTGTTCGTACCTTCACTTATCTCAACTCCCTCCATACTCCGTAGTTTCGTGTTCCCCAACTCTAGAATCTTGGTTGTAGATTCCGACTCCGATGCCGTTTCCACTCTGTTTCGCACTATTTTCTCGGCCTATTCGCTTGCTTGTGGCCTTGAACCCTACCACTGTAACTTAGGTAGTACCTAGGTAGAGGATTTATCATCATGAAGGAGTACTTACGAGTACAGACAGTACTTACTTGTCCATAGTTGTTCTATCTCCATCGCCGTCGTCTAGGTGGGGTGGCTTGATTGGCTAAGTACATTGACCAATGACCATGTTATGTACTTGCTCAACCGATGCAGTAGCAGCAGTACTACTACGACTACTACTATGTGTAGCATATCTACCTAGTTCTCTACTTCATGTCGAGTCGAGTCAGCCCGAGTCGAGCTCGAATAGAGTGGACCATGGTCCAAGCTTGGTGGGAAAGATATAGAGGCCCCAGTGTGCCTGATCATTCCATTGGATCAATCAATCCGCTGGGCTGTATGGTATGTAGCCTTTGCTTGAGAATCATTTTCTTTTCGATCTAAACATCATCGTCCGTACCCAAATGCATTTCCGTCACGGGCACGGGCAAAATCATTCATCGTCTCAGAACAGCTACTAAGCTCATAGCCTTCTTCAACCATCCAACCGGCCGAGGAGATGTAGTTCATGTCTCCGCCTCGGTCACTGACTGGACTATCGTATGGAGAAGGCCGTCTTCCGCTTTCCGGGCCAAGTCCCAGTTGCCTGGCCGGAGAGAGAGAGTGTGTGTGTGTGTCGGGCTCCATCATCACATCACAAACATGCCAGGCTATCCCATCCTATCCGAATTAACCCCCTCCCACACCCTTTTTTACCCCACCTTGATCAGACTCCGTGGTGCTGCCGACATGATATCAATTCATCATTTACATCTCTTCTCCACGATGCTCGCGCCGTGTTCGTCATATTCCTTCTTGGAGATCCACATCTGATGAAACGTGCCCAAGCTGGACACGATACTGCCTCCAATCCAGCTGCCGAATTTTCTCTCTACGCTTAATCCACTGGCTTGGATCTTGACCCGTGCGCTTGGATACATCTTGGTGAGTTCGAGTTGAAGACGGTCTGGGAGTCCACGGATCAACGATGCTGCACCAGTCACCACCACATTGCCCAGCAATAACGGTCGGATATCCACGTCCACTTGGCTCAAACTAGCCCGAATAATTCCTGGTAGCGATGTGTGCGCGTCTGGTGACGGATAGAGATTTGCGTCTTCCGAGTTCGCTGGCGGAGTGTAGTAGGATTGAGGGTCGAACATGGTTTCAACAATTCGAAATCGTTCTGTCGAAAACGTCTGGTTGTAGCCGTCGGGAAATTCAAAGGGTTGTGCGAACGGTGGTGAATCTTTGGTCATGGCTTCTCCTTGGCCCCGGAATCCCATGTTGGGATTTGTCCACGCCTGAAGCGCAATCTCCTTGAACTCCAAAACCACCTTCTCCTCCTGATACCGTCTGAATGAAGCCTGTGGTTCCTTGAAGCCTTCGGGCATCACTTTGAGTACAGCATTCGCAGGCTGTCCAGCATCGACGGGCTGTTTGCTCTGAACAAGGTAATGTGGGGTGATGGTGATAGGACCAGCCTCGTTTGCCGCCAACATACTGCGCACCTGACTGGAAATGAAATTGCCGCCGATATTACTCTTGGTAACTCCCTTCTTCAAAACCATCCCATCGTGCACCGGTGTCACACTGACCTGGCTGGCTCCAAAGTCCACCACCAGTGCTGAACTCTTACCCACGGCGAATGCGCCCATAACGCCTGATCTGCCCAAGTAGAATGCCGGGCTGGCCCAGCTCTCCAGTGCAATCTCTGCCGTCTTCTCGCGATTTTTGGCCGTGTTCCAGCTTGGTTCCGTCATGAAAAGCGGATGATCTTCTAGACACCTCTCCGTGTCAACGGCGTCGGCCATAGCTTTCTGTAGATCTGGCACCGCCTTGCTGTCGTTCAACCAGTCCTGCAGCGCCCGGTTAGGCCGCACGCCTGTCAATTTGTGCGCAAACGTGTATTTCCATAGTGCTTCGGCAGCGTCCCAATCTTCAACAATGCCGTCTCGACCGATCGGATTCTTGATCTCAACATCTTCTCGGGGAACGTCGATGACATGGTCGCCAAATAGGCGTTGTGAGGAGGTCGAGGCGTAGAATGTTGGTACAATTGATTTCGGCGTGTCTTCTCCGGCAAAGCCAGCGCGTGTGCTTGAGTAGCCTGGATCGAGAACGAGGGCTGAGACTTCATCTGCGCGATGCGACAAGAAAGAGCGTCAGCGAAGTCGAACGATGTTTCTCGAGGAAAGTAAAGGTAAAGGTAAAGGGAAAGGGACAACCACATACCTCCAGCGTACTCCGCCTGCTTAGGCTCGTCTCTCGGGGTTAACGTCGTTGCCATGTTCGCCTTGAGATCCGCGGAAAGAACTTAAATAGGGAGGGAATTGTCCAGACTCGTCCGCGCCCTCATCAGTAGTCGTGAAATGGTTAGATTGCGATCAGAGAACACGTCAATCGAAGGATGGGAAAAGCTGGAGAACGCGATCAACATTTCGCCAAGACAAAACTGTGGAGCCGCAGTTTTGCCGGAGAAGCCTGTGGCCTTCTCACTCCGCCGTAGCTCTACGGTCGACCGAACTTACACAAAGATCCACCAATGTTTCAACTACATCTGAAAACCCATTGCTAGATGAATCGGTGAACAGTGTTCGGATATGCTGTCTGCTTTATCTTGTTGCATGCCATTGAAGGGTTTCGTATCTATGTACAGCAATGCACGTTCTACTATCATGCATTGAGATTGATTGCAATGCAGTTGGGTATCCCCTCGGTATCGATGAGGACAGTGTCTCAATCTCTTACTTCGAGACTCCTCCTGTTTGTTTATCTTCCCATCAGGTTAGGCATCAAGAATCATTGCGATCGATACTGCCCATTTAACATGTACTCGATACCCTCATAAATGGCTGCTGCAGCTGGATGCCCAAACAATAATCCACTTTGCCGTCATGGGACGGCACAGCCTCGCACTTCAGCATTTCGGTAAATGCCTTGAGGGGCAGGGAGTGGTCAGAGAATTCGTCAACTTTCTCTACGTTGAAATGCATCTCCTCTTCCGGTCACTAAGGATTCGCCTTCAACTCGACCACTGGCAGATCGTCGTCGTCTTCACCATCCACAGATCCACTGGAGATCTCTGGAGGCGGTGCGCTTTCTCTCGAACTCCTGACACCATAGTCGGGTTCGCTGTAGATCATGTTGGTAAGTTCGCTGTCTGTTTCCAGCAACAGGCTGTCCGTGGGGCTAGCTGCATCTCCTTCCACCCGCGTACTGTCGTTCGAGTCGTGGTCGCCGAGAATACCATCCTCCGATGGCTGTGGCAATCTATGTTGATTACTGATTTGGTCAAAACCCCAGCCTGCGTGCTCTTCCCAAGGGAGAGAGGCCCCTGGTTGGGAGGCAGGCTGGTAGTCCATATTGATAGCTTCGTCTGCATCATCAACTTGCATCTCGCTGTATCCAGGCAGGTCATCAAGTAGTGCCGTGTCGCTCAACCTCTTCTGATGTCCGGTTCCTGCTAGTAGACCGTGACCCTGACTTTCTTGTGACAAGCCATCCGCTCCCACGCGGTGACCTTGATCGGCTTTGAAAGCGCTCGGCGAACCATTGTGGGAGGAGACGCCGAGACGCGGACCTTCCCCCGTCCCAGGGGATGACTCGCGAGACTCTTGTGGGGTTTCAGAGTCTGCTGCTGCGTCGTGATTTGCGTATATCGTTTCCAATCTTGGCCCGCCTAAAGGGTGACCCTTTGGTGTTTCACGTCGCCGGTAAAATAATAGGTATGCCGCATTCGTCACCACCTGTCTAGGGTCTTGACGAGATGACACATGTGAATCTGTCCAATTAGTATTTCTCTTTGTAAAAAGGGAGCTCTCATTGACTCACCATTGTAGTCATACCACGTTCCATTCGCGATATTCTTGGCATAGGCAGTGTAGTGACCACCTCCGAGCCCACCATAATGATTATCCACAGCAATCAGATCATAGACCAGGCTTTTCCCTTCTTCACGGTCCCGAACCATGCTGCTAAGATCCAAGCCTTCGATTGGGTAATCCACCCGAACTTCCAATTTGTCGCGGAAGTTTCTGTTGGAGCTGAATCTCTTCAAATGCATGACCAAAATATCGGGGACTTTCCACAACTCATATGTCTTCTCAGCACGTCGGTGCTCCTTGCAACGCGGGCAATACCATGAATTTTGCTCAGATAAGACTTCTGCTTTGCCAAACTCGGCCAAACAATCGTCCAAGGTGACCCCATTCTTCTTGCGACTCTGCCTAAGCGCACGTCTGGCAACCAACTCCTCGTCATGGTAGAGTGAAACACTTTTCCACGTTGGGGCGCCATGGAACTGCTCTGTATCGCCTTCTGCACCACTGAAGAGTGCATCATAAGCTTCAGGGTTCCAATCCAGAACAATGCATTCGCCCGGACGAACTAAAGCTGTGCCTTTGGTTTTGGGTTGTGGTTGTGGCGGCGGCGGTGGGGTACGACGTTGTAACCGCTTTTTGTCATTTTGCGCTACTCGCTTTTGTTGTCGTTTGCCCTTTTTGGATTTGGGGTTCCGGCTTTTCATGGCGGTATGAAGAGGTGTGTGATCTTCGACAGGCTGATCTTCCACCGGAATAGTGCTGGCATCGCCATAATCTTCATCACTCGAGACTAGACTCTCTTCGTGCTCGATATCCCCTGCAAGTTCGTCGTCACTGCTGGTTGACTCGGTCTCACCGTTGGTAAGGTTGAGTGATCCATTCGATTTTGCCGGACGATGTGCAACACGTTTAGGAACACGACTGATAATGTTGTCATAGTCTTGGTTTTCAGTGATCTGACTCCATCCAGTAGGTATTCCTTCGCCAGTCGCCGCAACATTTATCGTAAACAGGTTTCTGAAAATACGCGGAACATTTGTGTCGGTCTGGAGTATTGAGTCTGTAGGCGAAGCATCGGCTTGGGAAGACGTCTCGGGAGTTTGGCTGGCGTCACGCATTGAGACGTCCACAAGCCCGTCCTCACCTTGCACAGAGGCGGCAACCGTGGGATTGGAATCGGAATTGGAATCATCGTCTGCCATAACCACAGTGTCCGAATCTTCCGAGGTACTAGCTCCTTCGCCAACATTTGCACCATCCGATTCCGACAAGATATCACGCGTTGTCATGCCGGCAACATTTCCAAGTATTTTTTTCAGGACGCCTTGATACGTTGCCCGATCTTCTCGGTCCAAAACAAGATACGTAGGCTGGCCGAAGAAATGTTTGCTGGTAACCCGCGACGTTGAGCTTTTAGCTAAACGATTGTACATTGGTACCAAGAGACGGTCGGCTTCTGGCGAATCTTCCTCGACAAGGTCGTCTTCAGGCTCACGGATTGTGTACAAAGAGAATCTCTTCGCCTTGTTGGGGTTGTAATTGGTCGGTATGGAACTCAATTCATAGACACAAATAATGTCGGCAGTTTGTATGTTGGCCTCTGAAATGACAGTGTTATTGTCGAATATTTTGTAAATCTTGTTCTTGTAGGACTCTGCCACCAACAGACGCTGAGGATCGGCGTTGGTTCGTTTGGAGATGTAGTCTTTCAATACTGAGATACTTGAATGCTTGTCAATGTCGACGTCTATTCGATAGGGTCTCTTGTGTAGAGGGAAATATAACACTTCCTTTGCCCAGGTATTCTCGATTGGGAGCTGTAGAGTGAGATTGTTGAACGGGTCGAAAATGATGCTGACCTTGGAGCATACAGGGCACGTTAACGTTGATTTATACATGCCTGCGAAAAGGTCTGTGATGACGGAATCATTTCGCGCTTTGAATATCTCCCAATTTTTATCGGCAAAGGCTTTCAACGCGGCATGGTCGTGGACCATCTCGTCGGTCGAATCAGGATTTGGCATATAAGGCTTGACTAGAACTCTGTTGAGATCCTCTTGTAAGCCGTCGAGCAGGAAGAGTAAGAACTCTTGCGAGTCTTGCTGCTGATAGCCAGCAAAGCTCGGTCCACAGCGGCCAATGGTTGCCTTGAATCTACTGGGATTGGTGGAAGTGGCGCTTTCATCGTAAATTTGATGCAGCAGATGAGCGTATGCCTTCGCCACGTCGCCTCTATGGCCAAGAGGGTTGCCAGGGTTGAGATCGGTCTTCCATGCGTCGAAGAGGAAGTAGTCGGTTAGTTCCTTGACGCTGCGGATACACTGTAAGGCGGAGTTCATGTAGCAGGTGTTACCCAGGTTGCTAAGGCCGGTGATCCCTCTAGGTCTGCCGGCCTGTTTCGATCTACCACGGGTCACCATGCCGCTAGGAGCAGGGCTGGACCGACCACTCGGTGCAAGGTTCTTAGCTGCTGTTTTGAGTCCTTTGATGCTGAGCTTAGAGTTTTCGCTTGGCCATTCTTCCTTGCCAGACTTTTGCTCCTCCAAACATATCACTTCATCCCTCCCCAGGCCCACGGTGCCCAAGGTGGTACGACCGTTGTATTTGGGGTTGGCGGTTTCATCATTGACCTTCAAGTCTTCACGGTGCTCGCCTGGTTGTAGGGAGATGAAAGTGTTGACATCAAGGAGCATTCTGTCGCCGGCACTAGCCACAATTTCAGCGCCTGGAGCGGGAGAGGCACTCCGGGAAGCGACAGGTGTGAGGCTGGAAGTGCCGGTCTTCTTAAGCCCCCCGAGGATTCTCCACACTCTGACCTTTGTGTTCATGTCTATTCCCACGAGCTGCTTGCCTTCCTTCAGCCATTGCATGAAAGGCTTCTTACGGCTAGCAACCAGTCGAGGCGGCGGGAGATTGGCTTCGCGCTGAGTTTGAGATGTGTGTTCAGCGGGCAGCTTGAGAAACGAGAAGATAGGAGGATACAATTCATATTGCACATTCGACAATTCGGCGTCATCTGCTTGAGAGTCGTGGGCGTACCGGATCAAAACGGGTGACTCTTTCGCCAAACCATACCAGGAAATGACCAGGTCCCACGCTTCTTGAGAGAAAATTTGGTAATCCTCGCTGAGGGTCAAGCCCGGTCGAAGGGCAACATATGGATGTCCTGCCTCGTCCAAGAGTTTCCCAGAATCGTCAATGATCATCGCAAGGTCTGAATTATCAACTGGGCCGATTTCGCCATCGGTGGCCGATTTGGGCACATTTACCAAGTCAGTGGCAAAGGAACTCCTTGCCTGGACCCGGAAAATCCATTTCTGGGAGACCAGATACCCCTTGTCGCCCTCCTGTGGTTCAGTCTGAAGTAACTGTGTAATCTTGGTGACCTGGAAATCGAGACTTGGAGGGGACGCATGTGTAGGAGGAAGGGCATAGACGTCACTGTTGAGGGAGGATCCCGCGGTTGATTGATTGGAAGGGCTGGGAATGAGTGAGTCTGGAGCGGAATTGGCGCTATTGTCGGAGGCAGGGTGATAGAGGATCTTTGGGTCGGCTTGGGTGGTCAAGGATTCTGCAGAAGACCTTTCTCGATGTCGTTGACCAGTGTCTTGCTGCTTCGCTTTTGTGTCTGGGCTTGTTTGGGCGCTGGCCGACGTGGGGAGGGGTATTTCGTTATCGCCCATCTCGACGTCGCTGTTGTAATGCTCTCGCTCTTGAGCTCCCATGTCCGAGGCTGGTCTCTTGATTGCAGGAGATGCGGATCGCAGCGGGCGGCTTAAATCATCCTTGGATTGTGAAAGATGATTTTGCTTTTGGGAAGCGGGCATATCCCGGACGGTGAAAGTCCGAGAGAGAGGGCTGAGGGCAAAGTTTTGGACCCTACGCAAGGACCATTGAGGGTGGTACGAGAGGTTGGCTGGATGAAGGGGCGGACGATTAAAGAATATGGGAGAAGTCGTTGGAAAGAAACGATAGACGCGTTGGATTGACGAAGACACAATGATTAAGCCGGTGATGCGTCCAGCTGGCAGATTAGAGGGGCGATTATAATCGTGAAGTCAAAGCCTTAAGGCGTTGAAAATGTGTTTGAAGCCAGGCGCGACCAATGCCACAAACCGAAGCGCAGTGCAGAAAGACCGGGCTCGTGACTAAGATTTTAGACGATGGAGGTGGGAGGGCGACATATGCATTTAGTGACCTTGGCATACCACTAAACGCTGCTAGTGACCACAAGCGTCAAACTAGCCTCCTACACTCCTCCTTCAGTCAAACTTTACCACCAATTAACAGGAACCTTCCACGTTTATGGGGTTCTCCATATCACATTACAGGTTTTTCATATATCGACTTTCTTGCCACTGAATTTGGCTGATTCAGCTGCATACATCATGTCGTGTACTGCCTGTTCATAGGCAATAATGGTGCGCTTGAACAGTCATTAGGGCGATGTTATCCACGCCAAGACACCAGCAATACCGCCTATACATTGATCCTAGAAAATGTCCTCGTGAATCAGCCTCGCAGGTTGCACCGTTGGCTTTCAGCGCGTCGGTCATCAACGGGCTACAATCTTGTCCACTTCCTCACGGGCTTCAGACCATGTTTCCAAATTCTTCCGGGCCCATTCAATGTGACATCGAGCATATGAGATCTGTAATATCCATCGTTAGTAGTGTAAACCCGTTCACCGGGCGCGGAATCGCTTACCATATATCGCTGAAGGTCATCTTCTTTCTCCTTTTGAAACCTCTTGAGGTCTTTCATGACGCCCTGAGTGGCGTCTCGCACGTCCTTTTCGGATACCTCCAGTGCTTGTTCGAGCTGGGTCAGACTCTCCCTCGTCTTTCCCATTTGGTCGCGCCTGGTCCTCTCGGGGTCAACGTCCACAAAGCCATTCACCGCGTGTCTGAAACTGCCGAAGATCTTGTTTGTCACGAAGTTCCCGCTAGGAGACTTCTTGTGATTGGGTGTGTTTGGTCCAGACTGGGACGGAGGTTGCCATTGAGACTGCCCAGTAGCTTGGGGAGAAGTGGGATTGTCGCCGTGTGTTGGGGGAAAATCCGAATCCACTGATGCAGTTTCCTCTGGAGCTTCTGAAGCCACACGTTCGGGTATACTGCGGGCAGATGCGTTGGACAACGTTCGGCGAGGCGAGGTTGGAAGTGTTGTGCTTCCTGCGAGGTAAGCATCGATTCTCTTGGCCTCTTGCTCGCTCCGTTCTAGTGACTCAAGTAACGCCCGTTTCTTGTCCAGATCTTCCCGTGTCATGTCCTGCTGTACCCGTTTCAAAACACGGTACCTGAGAACGTTGCGCACGACCCCAGCGAATTGAGCACTTTCTCTCATTGGTTCCGCAAAAGTCGCCCCGAGACCAAGGGCCAGCTCTTCCGTGGAGATGTAGGTGCTGTCTACAGCCTGACCTATCCTTTCGATTGCCGCTGCCACTGTGGGTGATTGTTCCGACAGAGAAAATCCGTTATACCGAGCGCCAAGTTCAGCCAGATCGGCTGAGAGTTTGGTCAGATGCTCCAAGGTGCGACGGTTGACTTTTTCAATGTTCCCCTGCAGAAGAAGTTCCAGCTCACGGGTAGAAGCCTCAAAATTGACAAAGTAAGGATCCAAGTCGGTTTCGCTTAATTTGTCTGAGGCGATCGGAAAGCGACCAAATATCTGGGGCCCTGGCACCGTATGTGCGGCAGAAGAAGGAAAGGACTGCTCTGGAGGAGAAATCGGGGTTCCGCTGCTGGAAGTCTGTCCAGGTCTAATCTTGGCTGAAGACGAGGGGATGGGGAGCCAGTTATGGGCAGGCGTAGGGTTGGCAGGGTCCAACGGCGGTGCCTTCAAATTGTTCTTGGGAACGGATGACACAGGGTGCGCATGCAGAACCTCGTTCTAAACATCATATGAGCCGCCTTGCACTTCCGACAAAGACAAAAATATTCGGGGGAAAAGGAGTCTTACCCAGCTGGAGTTGGGGTCAAGGAACCTCCACCAAACACCATCTTCGACGACTTCGTTCATGCGCCGACATCTGTTGAGGAAAACAGCTAACATGCGCTTTCGTTGGTCAATTATGCTTGCATCTTCCTTGGCCTTTGTAGGTTTGGCAGCGTAATCTGCCATAGAATGCTTTTCTGGGATGGGTGGAATCACCAAGGTTGGATGCAAATTAACCAGAGCCGCTCGGAGAGAATTGAATTCGGAATATCTTCTTGCAACCTCAATATCCTGAAACCTGGTCAGCTAGAACTTCTAGAGGGTAGGAGGAAGCCTACTCCCGTCCGTATCCGGTAGACAATATAACCACCATCTGAACTCTTGCCTGCGTCGGTGATGATAATCTCCAAGTCGGGGTTCTCGTACAGTAGTTGTTGCACCCTGCTGTCATAGCCGCCCTTTGGAGGGATCAGGGACTGGCCTTCTGTTCGTGCAGGTTCTTCTCCATCTTCATCGTCACTGATATTGTTGGGTTTGGAGAGGAATTGCGGTGGTTGGTTGGGCGATGATTGAGAGGATGGAGGGCTAGATGGTTCATGAGAGTCTGCGGGTGTTAGCATCACTAATGAAGCGATATGAGATGTAAGTGTGTCACATACAAGAAGTACTGAGGGCTGGATTCGCGGCAATGCCAGAAGAGTCCTGCCTGGAGAAGGATCCGTACGGGTTGTTATCCTCCTCGTCCCACATATTGTTTGAGGTTGGGTGAGATGCGGTGCGATGAAAGGTGGATGTTTATTGCGGCCGACACGATATGAGGACAAATGAGCTTATGTCGACGCGCGTCTACATGGGTGAATAACGTCCATGGCTTTGCGATAGTGGCGGAAGTGATGGACTTGAACAATGTGGTGTAGATGATTGAACCAGGTGGGAAGTTGGGTTCACCAGGCATACGTCAAGCAGCAAGTACGGGCGGCTGGTCTAGAGGTGTCACTAGTGCCATGTCACTAACGCAAATCAGTGGCACGAGTGGCCACTAGCAAACTGCACCCACAGCATCAGATGTTTATATGCGCAGTACTAGTGATTGTCATTGGATATTCGGTCAGACCGTCATTTGAGTAAAGCATCCGTGGCATCTCAGCGTTCACCATCAAATATACACCACTACCAAGTCTCATGCTGAGGGTAGCCATTGTTCTCTGATATTTCCGTGTTGCCTACCCCAAAATCTCTGACACTCGGCCACTCCTAGAATTGCTGACTATTGCTAGACAGCCCGTATTAACTCCTGGACTGGCAACATGGTATGCTGGCAGCACGTTGCTTGTAACAGCCAACCCAGCCGGCGACATTGTCATCGTCGAAGGTCCTGACAGCATAAATGTGGCCTACTGAATGTGGTGTCTGCCTCTATTCTCGTCCTCTGATATGTTCTGCGCATCACATTCTTCCATCCCCAACCCCGTCTTGCAAATACCACTGCCATCCCCCTATCTTCCTGGATAGTAATATGGCTGTTGCTGGCCATATGCATAAGGTACCATAGCTCCAGCGGTGTAACCTGGCTGTGCCAGAGGGCCGGGATACGGGACGTTTCGTCTGGCCATGAACGGCCACCAACCGCCAACAGCCCAAATCTTTCGCCTCCTGAGGAGGAACAATATGACACCCATGATCACAATGGCACCAAGAGCCACTCCAGTGATCAGTCCAGCTTTTTCACCCGTCGACCAACCGTCCCAACCATCCTCTTCAGGCTCGACAACAAAGACTAAGTAGACGTCTGGATTTGTGGGAGAGGAAGGAGGCGCTAAGGTGGGCGAGAGAGAGATATACCGTGTTGAGTAAATGCTATCCTCAGGATTTTGAAGGAAGACATCCAGTTCGGTGACTGTTATTGTTGATGTTCTGGTCGCCACAGCTGGACTGTATACTGTTGTGGCTGCTGTGATTGGGGGAGGTAGTAACGCTGATGGTGGAGAAGTGATTGTGATTGTCTGACCCTGACTTGCACGGAGGGTCGTCGACAGCCGACAAGTGACGGTGGTTTTGTCGGGGTCATCCAAAGCTGTGGGTGAGATCGGAGGCAGACCTGCGTCGCTCAAGAAAATGGTGGTAAAGGACATTTTTCTCTGTGGGTGAAGGTGCCTGCTACGGAGCTAGAGGAAGTCGAAGGGGACGCTTGGGACAATAAGATCGATGAAAGAGAAGGAGTGGGAGCATGCAAGAGTACAGAGAGCAATTGAATGAGAACTTCCTCAATATGAGAGACTTCAGAGAATGGTACCACACCTCCAGATGTGGGTGGATTCTTGATGCGTGGTTGTTATGGACGGTGAGTGAAGTTCGAGTTTTGGCTCCTGGAAACAAATCATTGCCTTCATCATAGACTGACACGCGCAAGCAGTGACACCAAGATCAAGACCAAGATCAAGATCAAGTCACATGGCTTGAGTGCCTTCTTGCCCCAGACATCGACAGTGCGCTTTCCTCATGACTTCTCCATCCTCGACCTCATCCTTCTTCAAACGGCGTTGTTATCCTCAGGCTGTCCTTCTGCTTCCCGCTTCTGCCCCTCCACCAACATGTTCAAATGTTCCTGTACCATTGGAAACCAAAACTTCCACGCTCCCCACGCACACACAGGGGCGATGACACTGAAGCAAACGAAGATAACCAACCCGGGGTTCATGGCGCTAGTTTGACGGTGGCGACAGGTTGGAGGGGGACTGGTTCTCTAAGGATGTATTGTACAGGTATTAGCCTTTGCGTCTTAATAGTACCTAGGTAGGGTTAAGTGGTAAATACAACTTGACCGTTATTGGTTGAAGATTTATGTATCCTTGGTGACGGACGAGATGTTGTTCAATGGTGTTCAGTTTAGTGTGCTGGACGAGATTGTATTTTCATGCCACTTGAGATTTACAATAGTAAGGCAGCAGATCCGACAGCGTGATTATATTACCCCAGCATCCTGTTAGACTGCCTGACCCGTCGCGTCTTCACCGAGATGTCAGTGCCTTTTCGACTTCACCCAACATCAACTCGTTACATTGGTTGCCACGACAAATGTCCCATATTGACTTCACTTTGGCGGCCATCTCCTGCCAAACGACCGCCGCTTTTTGCGAACGTAACACGATCCGAGAAATCGCTATGACTTGAATGAATATAGCGAGGAATTCGGCATCGTATGTTGACCCCATTGGATGACCCGAGCTCCAAATCGGTTCCCTCTGCGCTGTCTCCTCATTCTGGGCTTCGTCCGCCGCATTCTGGTCGCGTTGATGTAACGACTCTTGCCTGAGAATCCTGACTATTTCATCCATCCCTTTAGACGCCCATTGGGCAATCAAGTCGACATCATCTTGCTCGAGAGAGTCAAAGCCGGAGTTCTCCAATCTATCACACCACATTTGAATCTCTCGAATGTCATCGACATAAAGATTTTGTTTCTCCTCCACAAATAGGTCTGTTTTTGACTCCACAATCTTGCTAATCTTTGATGCAATCGAAGTGCTCAGGATCCTCGAAACTTGGCCCTCGTCCACGCTTCTGTTAGGCTGTACTAGCTGGCCTAGTAGAACCGTAGCCAAACCTTCTGTGCAGTCGTACAGCCGGGCAATAAGGCCCAAAATTTGCTGTCTTGCGAACAGAGGGGAAAGTCCGAGACTAGGGGGGCGTTGTAAATTTTGTTCCAGTATCACGTATGCGGCTTCTGTGACCACGGTACGGATGTCTTCGTCGTCATCATTCAGGAGATTGTACAAAACGACATATAGGCGAAGTCTATGCTCATGAGATAAGTCCATAGATAGAGCATCGCTGTTGTTGACCAAGCGGAGATACGTGGTCAAGGCTTTGGCAGCACCAAGCCTGGTTGGAAAGTCGACAAAATCTGTGGCAGCAAAGTTCAAGGCCTCAATCCATCGAGCCATCGAGCGGCGTCGAAGATCCTGCGGTTTCATCTTAGGCCTGGCTGCGAGAAGATACCCTTCAAGGCGGATCCACGCAATGAGTTCTTCCCGGGTTGACAGGTCTGAAGGGTCGACGAGGTCAAGAGAAGAAGCAATCTCATTGGGAAAGTCTCCCACCCCGACGTCCAAGGCATCAGCCAGCGTCATGAGAGCGGCACCTAGAGAATCCGGAGACCTTGTGCCGTCCTTCTGTAGTGCTTTGACAACATATGCGAGGAATAATACAGTCATTACTGGCGGTAAGATCGAGTCGTCGCGTAGAGCTTGGCTAATGTTATCAAGGACGAAACTCAGCGCATCCTGCTTGATGAGGAGACGACGAACAATGTCCGAAAATGATTCTTCGCTCATCGAACGTGACGTGAAGAGAAGTTGATACACCTCAAGAAGGAGCCTTCGCCGAAAGACGTATGGGACATGTGACGATTGAGATGGCGAGCTTTCACTCGCTTTCGGACCAACATCAAGATCTTTTGCGACTGACGGGGTCCAAAAATGCTGCGATGCCAAGATGGCCATCTGGTTGAGCACGTCAAGCAAGGATCCTTCAACATAAGGCGAACGATCCAAGTTCCAGTCGCGAATCTGTTTTATGCATTTCCAGCAGCACATCACATCAGCCTCTCCCAGACCTTTGCCCGAACTCTGAAGAATATACTTGAAGCTAAGCAGGGTGCCATGGGCCCTGTTCTGGGAAGCGAATTCATCCAATTCAGACATAAATCTAGCCAGAACGTCGGTCAACCTCCAGCTCGACATTCTCTTAGACAATAACAAGGCCGCATGGTCTCGGACAGCCCAACTAGAATGGGCTAAATGATGAAAGACAGCCTGGTCAATCTGCGAGGCTTGTCGAGGATTCGAATGGCTGAGCAAGTCCAAAGCGGCAAAAATGTTTTCCTCTGTGAGAATCGGACCATCTGCTTGTTCTGTACCATCATCCAGACGTGGATGTAAAAACCGAAGTGCAATCGTACTTGGCACGTCTAATTTATCGCTGGTACTTGTCTGACCGCTCCCGGTTGGGATCTCTTCTAGATCAGATTGCTCAAGGCGATTGATGCAAGCTCTGAGCAACATCAAGCCACAATTTCTGATCGCCCAAACTGTCGATGACATGCTCAACGCTGCTAGTTCAAGCATGGAATGGTTGAATGGAAGTATTGCTGTAGAGAAGCGTGAATTGGTAGCCAGCTCTTTTAGGCAGTTCAGCGCATGTACCTGTGGTAGTCTTTGTGACCCTTCGGTTGTCCTTGCGGAAGGTTCCTTTGCAATCGACATAAGCTTGACCATGACAGTTGAGAAAAAGGTCAAGTCAGCGGGATCTAGTAGTGCAAGAAACATTGCTGGAAGTCCTGCTGATCTTCTGGTGAGACGATCAGCTTGCTCTGTAATTTGTTTCATGGCAATTTCGTGCCAGGTCAAGATGAGCTGCTTGATATTAGGGCGAGTTGATGCTCGAGTGCGGGCACAGCATTGGGTGAATGTTTGAGCAACCGTGGAAAATGCTCCACGATGGCGGAGTGAAATAAGTTGATCTAAACATAAGTCTCCAATACTAGAATAGAGCGACTCGGAGGGTTCTGCTGTAGCGATTAAAGATTGCAGCAATAGGCTCGAATCCCGAAGTGCCCTCCAGGAATAGGCCAATAGATCTTTTGGACCTTCTCGTCCATCATCTTCTTCTATACCCGAGGACGTTTCGGGAGAATCAACACAAAGTGCTGACCTGACTTGATTCCACAGGAAATGGCATTCAAGGACCACGGTTGCCGCGTCAATGCCTTGATATGAGTATTCATCCGGCTTCATACGAAGAAGACGATGGCTGAGAGCAAGCAACGTTCCATGAAGAGGAAACAAAGAGCCAGGCTTGATGGTGGTAGTTTGGGAGAGGGTTTCCTGCAGTGCCAATATCAAACCTTGTGAGTTCGATGACAGAGGGCTTGTAATCACTTTGGCGCTCCATGTCTTGTCGGACAAAGTATCTCGCAAAGCCCAAAGTCTTCCCATTGCATCGGCATGGTCGCCTCTACCAGTCATAACGGCTAAAGCACCCATCAAGTCCACAAACCTCTCACTCAAAACTACAGCCACGCCAACAGGGTTGTATGTGGACAAAGTTTGCAGTAAAGATGTGGAAGTGTTGCGGACATCCTCGAAGGCGTCTATGGTAAGATTGACCAATAGTCGGATCAACATTGTGTCATTTTCACAGATCACACGCTGGGTGGGATATGTGATGAAGTATCTCAATGATAGCAAGCTGAGGATATGACGTTGATATGAGATATGGGGCTGCAGTTCGGACTTGTAAAAGCTGAAGAGGGCGCGGATAAAATCCCTATGACTGGATACTATTTCCAAGGCAGTCTGATCTGCTGGCTCCCTTTCTGCAAGCTTTTGAGCTGCTGAGAAACTGCTCTGAACCCGATTGAGCAGCTTTCTCGTAACGCTGAGGATTTCGCTCCTTTCATGGGCATCAGAATAGTCATGCAAATAAGGGACACTGGATATGATACAGTTCAGACCACTTCTTGGAAGGGGTGAGGTAGTGGAAGAAGAGGTTATCAGAAGGCTATAGGCTGATATGCGTAAAGCAGGATTTCCGGATGCGAGAAGGAGACTGAAACAGTCGTAATCGTCCATATTGGGCATGGGATCGGTATGTTGCGGAAAGGCGCTGTTTAATATATTGAGGGTTTCTGGCGTCGAATGTTAATTACGCTGATATGTGCTTTGTTCTCGATCTGCGTTCAGGCGACTTACCTGGTTCGGATAACATGTTCACGGTTCGTCCGACTTTGAGAGCTGCGAGGAGAATTGCCGCTCTTGAGTCGTGATCTCGGGCAAGACTAATGTAAGGAGCAACGAAGGTGATGAGTCTGGCTTTGTCGTTTAAGATCGCTGGAAGAACATATTCTGCGAAAATACCCAAAGATTCATAGTTTCTCTCCAAGAAGAGCTTGATCACGGACTCTGTCTTGCTTTGCAGATCCAACCCTTCTGGAATGTCTTTCTCTTGACCGCACAGGGTTGAGCAGAGTTTCAAGGCGGAAGACCTTGTATCTAGATCATTCATCGAAATTGTGAGAGCAAGTAGGAAAGACGAGACTTGCCCAGAGCCCGTTTCTTGGATCTCGGCTGGGGCGATGCTGTACATGGCCAGACGTCGGTGCCATACTGTGAAATTGTCGCCCAGAGCGGACGATACATATTCGGGGAGCACTGCGGTTACCTTGGTTCGGCGTACCAGGCATGTTAGTAGTTGACACGCTTTTTTCACTTCTGATCGAGGGGATGCCAGTAACACAGTCTTGATTAGGGGAACTGTGGCATCCGAAAGTACAGAGCAGTCAGGCTGCCTCTGATCCATTTGCTGAATCAGGTCACAGAGGGCATCCAGGACCTGCAAAGCGGGCTTATATTTGCCATCATTGAAGGCTTTGTGTACGCACTGGAATGCTTCAAACCAGACATGTCTCGTCAGGACGAAGTCTTTCACCTCTGAAACGGTGCTCAAGGTACCGGCTAGGAGAAAGACGCATAGAGCATTGGCGGCGGCAGCCAAATGCTTGTCGAGCACTTGAGGGGATTTGAGGGTAGAAACCAACTTGTGCCACAGATCAGGCACTGCATTTTCGTGGATCTGGACATCTGAGGGACTGGCAAAGAAGGTTCTGAGAGCCCCTCTACCTAACTGAGACAGAAGAGGGATTTGCAGAGGGGCCTCTGCGATCAGGGCCTCGTTTATGGCGTTCATGGCCAGAATTGTCAACTGGAGTTGGTCGTCCACAGACAATGGAGCATTTTATCGGTTGGGTTGAGGGTCTATCGATCCATCATTTGAAGAGACAGCCATGGTTCAATTGTCCAGAATGCAACTGACTGGGCGTCTAGTATCGATCGAGACTTGACGATCTCTTGGTACGTTGATGGCACAAAAATTAAAAAGAATTCCCGTGACTGTCCCGTGCAGGAAGTCCCGAATAGGACTAGCGTATCCATCCAGCCAGCAGCCGGAACAATTCTCAATATCATCGACTTTCCGACAACTTTTCTTTTCCATCTTCATTGATTGACATGCGCAGCACCCGCCACCGCAGCACACCATCTCTTTTCTTTGTCATTTCTTTTTGAATTGTGCCGTCATCCACAATCGCCCATACCGAAGCCATAATGTCTATTTGGGACGCTTTCACAGGCAAAAAATCATCGAGGCAACAGGCTGAACCCACTCCGAACACCTCAACCTCACAATCCACATCATCCTCCAGCACCTACCTCCCTACAACTTACAATCCGGCCTCGGCGACCGATGTGTCATCATTCCTTGGTAGCGCCTCTCTTCCAGATGCCAGCCAACTCCATCCCTTGGCAGGCCTCAACCAGCAGACATTAGACTACCTGTCACTTGACGAGTCACAACTCTCAGATCTGCCTGGTGGAAGATCGATATTACCCTCGCGTGGCTGGTCAGATGATCTGTGTTACGGAACCGGCGTCACATACCTCACTGCATTGACAATAGGAGGAACATGGGGTTTGATTGAAGGTTTAAATCGAGTTCCGGCCTCAGCCCCTCCCAAGCTGAGGTTGAACGGTGTATTGAACAGCATCACACGTCGCGGGCCCTTCCTGGGCAATTCAGCTGGTGTGGTTGCCATGGTATACAACGGTTTCAACTCGACAATCGGATATTACCGAGGGAAGCATGATGCGGCAAACAGTATTGTGGCCGGCGCATTAAGTGGCATGCTTTTCAAGAGTACCAGAGGGTTGAAGCCAATGGCCATCTCTGGCGGAATTGTTGCCTCTATTGCAGGCGCTTGGGCGGTAAGCATGAAATTGCACTCGACTTGCTTCACTCACATTCTGACCTATTTACAGTTGACTCGAAAAGTCCTGTTCGAACCTCCCGAACAACAAGAGATTATTGGAACTGCTGCCGCCCCGGCGCACCTTTAAATTCACTCGAGTCTCCCCAGTCCTACGACTTTGCTTCGCAGAGTCCATCTTCAACTTCGAGCCAATCTCGATCGTGTACAAAACTTTACCAGCACCACTTCGTTTGTGCGTTGCTAGACATCTTCTACCATCAGAATCCGGCCTTTTCGCCGCAATGACCCTCTACTCTAGGATGTGATTAGCATAGCGGGATTCCAGATTTGTTCGAAAGGCGTTGTCGGGGCGTGGCACCGTATACCACACGGGAACTTCGGGCCTGACATTGGAAACAAGACTCCGTGGGGGCAGTCTGTTCCAGAGTGTGTCCCATCAGTACGATGATTGCGTCGAATCAGGCGCATAATTCAAGTCTGATGACGAGAACTCTCCTCATTTGGACGGCAAGCGTTATATTTTTGGCTTTCGCTGTTACGTCTGCCACAGATTATCAGTATATACGAGGAAGCAGAGTTTGACCGGTCCGTTCCTTTTAGCCAGTGAAAACGCCCAATATGAATACTGTACACTGTGTCACATAGACCCATGATTAAAGCATGGTTCTTCTCCATGCCTTTGCAGCCAATGCTTCTATCAGTTTTGTGTCAATCACGCCTTTGGTTCCATCGTCGGCAATAGCTTCGACAACAGCATCAGCGACGAGATCGACCTTCAATGGTTTCTCCACAGCGGCACCAAACAAACTTGTCAAGCTGCCACCGACCAAGCTGTTGACGGTACTGCCTACCATACCCGAGGCCGCAATGGGCAGTGTGAATTTCCGACTGCTGTCGTAGAGGAAACCAGGGCGGATGAATATGCTCCTCAACTTGACCAGTTGACTGGCAATGGTACTCTCAGCCTCTCTTTTGGTGGAGATATATCTCGAGGGCAGCATTGGTGCGCCAGCTGCGGCGGAGATATAGACAAACGTCTTCACCCCCTCTCTTTCACTCTCTTGTGCCAGTGCAATGGCACTATCGCGATTCATCAATTCATAAGTAATCTGACCATCTTTTTCTCCCTTCCCAAGTTCTGATCCGGGTGTCCGTTTCAAAGGATCCGCCACACTTCCGGCTTTTGCAGAACTGAATGCTCGCGAGAGCCCCGACACGATAGACTCTTTGCCAGACACGACGCCTTTGTAATCTGCTTCAAGTAGGATTCCCATGGTATGTACCACTGCATCGGAGTCCTTGAGGTATGGGGTGTATGTTGCAGGCTTAAGGATGTCGCCTTTGGCCCAATTGACAGAAGAGGCCCATGAGGGAGGTGAGGACTCAGATGTCACAGAGGACCAAGTGGGTTCTCCGGATCGGCTATATGATGGCATGTAATTAGATCATATAGGTCCATTTCAAATTAGTTCACAATACCTGATCGAAGTCACATCCCATCCCCGAGCAACGGCGGATTTGCAAATGCGAGAACCCAAGAAGCCATTTCCACCGGCAACCACAAGCTTCTTCTTTACTGCTTGCGCCATAGTTGGGTGTGAGAGAAGAGGAGAGGAGGTAAGGGGGCTAGTCCAATGCTAGTAATGCCAGACCATGCATTGTAGCTCTCAAGTCAAACTCTGGTCGGTGGTGGGCAGCTGGTGGAATGATTGACACTCGAGGCTGCGGACTTTTTGGGAACATGTTGACGTAGTTGAAGTGCTGGGGAAGGTCTGGCGAGGTCTATTGACGGTCTTTTTGGTCTGACAGCAATATTGCTCCATGACACGGCCATACTTTCTAGAAAGGGCAGACAAGTTCCGTCTGACACAACAGTTATCCCAATCCTCTTTCCGCAAGGCTTTCATTTCACATCTGCAAGACTGCAACTGTCCAACCACCAATCTTTTATTCTCGAGACACCATATCTTATAAGTCACGGCCACAAAGCAAATACTCCACTTGTTTCGCCAGTGGCCTCGACATTCAACAACCGTCCACTTCCGCCGTTAACACATCATCAGCCATGCCAGCCGCCAAACGGCGTAAATTAAGCCAAGGCGAAGAAGAACGAGAGGAGAAAGTCGAACCCAGGATGGAGCCGCCTGCTCCAGAACCCACCACAACCACATCATCTCACAACGGAGAGGAACCACCCGAAAAGGCACCTGAATCCGAAGCAACACCAACACCAACACCAACACCAACCCCGGCATCAAAAGTCACCACCGCGACACCTTCTTCATCAACCAACACCGACCGTCTCGCCCGCTTCGCTGCCCTCAAATCCCGCGCTGCAGCATCATCAAAGTCCAATCTCGCCGAGACAAAAGCCGAGGCCAACCGCGCGGCCGTCGATCCCACGGTGCTAGCCAATCTCGCCCGACGCAGTGCCATCGCCTCCCACAACCTTCTCAAAGCCGACACAGAAGAAGAAGGCGGCGAAGGGGCCTTCGAACGAAAACGAGCATGGGATTATACAATTGAAGAATCCGAACGCTGGGACGAACGAGTATCCCGGAAGAAACACGCTCGCGATAATGTATTTTTCCAAGACTACAGCACAGAAGCGGCCAAAATCTACGATAAACAAATGCGCGAACTGGAGAAAAGTGCGGCCAAAGAAGGCGGGCGTAATCGAGCGGATTACGAGGCACAAAAGGCTGAAATCATCAATACAGCAGCACGCACAGGAGGATTGGAAATCGTCGAGATGGAGAATGGAGAATTGGTGGCGATTGACAAAGATGGACGGTTCTATGCGGATCATGATAGTGTGGGGTTTGTGGAACAGAAACCGAAGCGTGAAAATGTCGATCGATTGGTGGCGGATTTGAAAAAGGCGGATGATATGAGGATGAAGAAACGAAAGGATCGGGGTCGTGATGACGAGTCCGGCGATGTCACCTACATCAATGAGAAGAACAAACAGTTCAATCTCAAATTGGCCAGGTTTTATGATCGATATACAACGGAGATTAGAGAGAGTTTTGAGAGGGGGACGGCGATGTGAATATGAATTAGATTCAAGCATCAAGGCGAGAGGTATTTTATGTTTCGAACGAACCCTGGCGAGCAACTTGGCTCGATAAAGAGTTGATAGAAGGATTTTCCTAGATCGAAACTGGTGTTGCATACCCAGTTCCATAATCCAAGATGGATTTCTTGGACTTGAATCAATAAGCACGAAACCTTTTGGAAAACGAGTATGATATAAAGGAGTGTACACTTTAATTATTGGTTCTTCCTGTCTAGGAGCTGTGTGGTATCCAATTTCAAAATCATATAGCTGCAAGCGATCGTGACTCGACTCGATTCGATGCTTTCAAGGAAGCAGCAACATTCTCCAACGCCGATGATGCAATACAATGCAATGCAATGAAAGACATCCATGCCTTTCTCCTTTCTATATCTATTCCTGACCTCTGGTCCATATTCCTCATTGACATCGTTGACAAAATGTGTCAAATCCTAGTCCAAAGACTCGGATCGGGTTTCGAGTAGATCTGGGTCGGGCATGGCTACAAAGGCTGGGTCGCAGATGACAGCGCTGACTTCGCTGACTTCGGCGAACGTCCATTCTCCATTGCCTGCGTCGGAGAATGTGGTGTCGATATTGTCGCCCCGGATGGCGACGAGCGGGTGGCCGTCGAGATCTAGTGCTTGACAGCGGAGATCTTGGTCGAGGACTTCAGGGCCGACTGAGAGTTCGAATGTTTGGAATGGTCCTTGGAGGGGGGATCGTTGAATGTCTCGTACTCCTTCTTTGAATGTGAGTTGCACGCCAATCTCGGCTTGGATGTTGCTCAAAGTCACGTGGATTCCACTTCCACTGCCACTGCCACTTGTGCTCCCAGTGCCATTGGTGGCGGCAGCAGTCGTGTTGCTGGAACCCATCCAGCTACTGGTGGTTGTATTGGCGTAGGGGTAAGAAGGGGCTGCGTAGACGCCGGAAGCGGCAAGAAGAGAAAGAGCGATGCTTGTGTATTGCATTTTAGTTGTCTGATCGGCTTGTGAAAATGAGGGAAGGCTGAGGTGTTAGTCTGAGATTATGAAATGCAAGATTGGATATATGTTGTCGTAAAGACCGTCGATAGGAAAATAAGAAAAGGAAATGCTGATAGTAAGGAAACTGACAATTAGGAAATTGACACTAGGAAATTGATGCTTTGTTTGGATATGAGAGAGGGAGAGAGAAGAATCGATTCAACCTCGAGGGCATGATGACTTCTTTATACCATATTGACATGGTTGGCCTGGTGGCTTTGCTAGGAGTCCTAGAACTGGGATCCAGAGGGCGGAGAGAAGATCTCCACACGGCAGTGACAGTAACCATCAACCAGGTACCTAGTACTTTCATTGACGGACGAGACCTGGATAGCAGGAGTAGATCGATTGGCTTACTCTTTCCCCACAGAGTCGGTGAGTGGCCTGAATGCCCAGATCACATGTCTTCAAGAGTTGGGAAACAAAGGTACCAATCAAGCAAGGCGTGCAAGCAACAGGAGACACCGTGGAGAACCGAGAGCAATGTCGGCGGTGTCTTTGTATGTACCGGTGATCTGCCAGGTACCTAACCACCGAACCTCCGTAAGGCTTACCACGGCCACGCACGGCGTCCTTGGGACAGAGCAGATCGGTGTATGTATGGATGCTTAGAAGTTAAGACGGCTATGGCGATGCAAGAGGATGTGTAACGGCGTAGCTTGGTCCGAGGTGCTTATTCATAGGCCAGTCCTACGGTGCGAGTACTGCGGGATTGCTGCGGACTGTTGGTAGTGCGAGTCGATGTGGTTGATCGAGAGGGGCCTATTTTTATCATCAACAACATTGGCGCCCAGCGTGGCAGCCCTGATGGGTTGGTCATGGAGATGTCATGTCAACCATGGGCTGTAGCCTGTAAGCCAATTTGCATATACTCAAGAAAGTCATTCCATGTCATTCAATGTCATGTCGGACAAGTGCTGTCAACTTCGAGTACTTGTAGTATATCGTTGATCAATCAGATCTCGAGGATTGGTCAAAGAACCCTGCAATGGGTGCACTTGTGCAAAGATGTGTCGTCTTCGTCTTTCTATCCGTCAACACAACACCAGGAGTACCTAATGCTTTGAACGTGGGGAGGATGGCAAGGATGAGTACCTACCTTAGGTCGAGGGGGTACATAACTTAATGGTGTTAGGTTCGCGTGCCCCCAAAACTGACGCAAAAGCATACGAGTACATATAATATGTCCATTACTCGGACTCGAGGTACCTAATATAAGATCTGGGCGACCGCATATCAGGCCGACCTACCTAGGTACCTATCCAGACCCATGACTGTGTTTGACTTCCAAGGTTATGGTTGTTGATTCAGTGGGAAAGTAAAAAATATACCCAGAGAATTAAAAGTGCAGGCAGCAACAACATTGTCTTAAGCAGAAACGGCAGGCACAACCAACCGGCAAAACGTTGTTGCTGTCCGAAGATCGGACCCCTCTCACTCTCCATCTTCTTGGGAAGGAACTCCAACACGCCGCAGGACGCCCTGTGATGAACACAGAAACAGAAACAGAATATCATGATCATGTGCTCGACTTCTGATTTGCCATTTTTGTGAATCTCTTTCCCAAGCTCTGTATGGGCTTCTTATCTTGTCTTGGAAAGTTCATCCCCTTGGGACCATTCGCTAGTCATGTTCAAAGTGATGATTGAGTCCACGTCACAGTTATTTTATATATCTCATTGAGTCACTTTCGATTGAGAGGTGTCCCAGCAACAATCTCGATGCTACTTGGAAAAAATCAATTACAAATGCTCGGTAGGTCCAAGTCTCAACTTGGGCCAAGTATATCATTTCCCTTGGAAACGGAACATCAATCAGACTGCAATCATGCCTGAGGAATCTAGGGATCCTATTCTTGTCATTGGAGCAGGCGTTCTCGGCCTGTCGACCGCCACATTGCTGCAAGACACCTATCCAAATTCGTGCATCACCATTGTCGCCGCTGAACTACCTGGTACGTCTGCTCCATCTGTAGACTATGCGTCTATGTGGGCAGGCGCACACTATCGGCCCATCCCACGCTCAACTCCACAGCTTGAGGATGAAGCCCAGCTGGCGATGCGATCTGCCCAAGTTATGAAGACCATTTCAACACAGTCACCCGAGGCTGGCGTTGCCTTCATGCAGGGCGTCGAATATCTCGACAGTCTCACCCAAGACGTCATCGCCTTCAAGACAGGAGATGTCTACGCGGGCAAAGACGATGGATTCCGCATTCTGGACCAGTCCGAACTTCCAACTGCCGTCCAATGGGGCTGTGAATATCGAACCTTTTGTGTCAATGTACGCATCTACTGCCAATGGCTGCTGGATCGGTTTGTTCGGCGTGGTGGAACAGTCATCCAACAGCGACTGCCAAATGCAGCTGCGGCGTTTGAAATGGCCCGCGAACATGGGCTGGGCCAAGTCAAGACTGTGGTGAATTGTTCAGGTAGAAATTTCGACCAAGACGCGAAGATGACAATTATTCGTGGCCAGACTGTCTTGGTCAGGCAGCAATACCATCAAACCATCACTCGACAGAATCGTGATGGTACCTGGGCGTTCTTGATCCCTCGTCCGCGAAACGGCGGGACAATTGTGGGCGGAACAAAAGAGATTGGAGACCACGAGTCGCAGCCCAGGCCACAAACACGGAAAACCCTTCTTCAAAACGCTGTCAATAGCTTCCCAGATTTTGTTGACAAAGTCGACGACTTCGATGTCGTTCAGGACAACGTTGGCAGACGACCATGGCGCGAAGGCGGTGTGCGAACCGAGGTGGAATTTATCGACGGCGAGTGCCAAATCATTCATGGCTATGGAGCTGGTGGTCGAGGGTATGAACTCAGTTGGGGTGTAGCCGAGAGAATTCTCGGACTGGTTAGACAAAGCACAGGCGCGACGCCTCGGCTGTGAACGCAGGAACACGCCCCAGATTCAGCGTACATTTTAATGCAAACCCTGAAGCAGCTCCGTCCTTGTTCATCTCTTCTTGGTCGGTTTCCCTTCAGTCTCCTGCAACTGCTGTAGTCGTGTTTCCTGCGCGGTGAGTTTGACTTTCTCCTCTGCCACCATGGCTCGGACCTGTTTAGCTGCCTCGACAAGACGATCGAGTTCTTTTTGCTCCTCGTCCCTGCTGAAGAGATTCGCTGGGGTGCTATGTTGAGGAAGTTCTGCCGTCGGAGGAGGTTTAGCTGCTGCTGCGCCCTTAGCGCCTTTCGCACCCTTCCCTCCTTTAGCCGCGGCCTTGCCACCCTTGGCCTTGCCCTTGGAGTTACGCGAGCCACCAGTCAAGATATCATAGAATGCTTCGACAGGCTCGTTGAAAACGACCTCCTCGTAACAAGCGCTGGTGATCATAGATCGGTCTTTCTTCTGTTGTTCAATGTCGCCGTGATAAGGATGGAGCTTGAGACCATGCCAAATCTGCTGTGGCTTCTCTGTACTCTCGGGCACAAAGTAGAACTTCAACGCAATCTCAAACTCTCCCCATCCCGTCTCTTCAACTTCAAATGGAGGGCTCTCAATCATCCGCACACTGTTGGCGTATGTGTCGTGAAGCTTGAACTGCACTTTTCGAAGCCAGTATGAGATGTCCTCATTGTTGATCCCGCGTACAAAAACCTTCCACTTGTGAGTGTGGTCTGGAGGTGCATCTTTGGGTCGGTTCTCGGGGTCAAAGGGAATGGCTTCGGTTCCGTAGATGAAAGGTCGATGGACTTGCACTCCACGGACTCGCTTCGTTCCAGCTGGGGCAGGCATTTTGGTAGAGAGAAGTGGCGATCAGTCGCCGCGAACGTGTCTTTGGTTGATGGTCGATGAGAGTGGTTGAGCAGGATTAGTTGAGGGGGTGATGACAGGGCGGACATTAATTCTGTGATTGCTTCAAGTCTCTCATGTCAAATGGACAAAGGATTCGATAGGAGGCATCAGTCGGCAACCAGGATATGAATTAGTAGTTGGATGGAATTCATTCAGTGTAGGCGACAAGAATTGACAAATTGTTTCGATTGAGATGTTTTGCGGAGAACCCTAATCGTCTCATGCGGGCAGGCACGACGAGACAAGTCGCAAGGCAAGCGCAGCCTTGCTTTGTCTGTAGCTTGGCGGTCATTCAAGATTAGGTAATGTAGCCCTCGCCTAAGAGAAACCTCAGGCTAAGTTAGCCTCGAGAGACCCAGGGGCCTCGGGCTTGAAGCACTGAAATGAACCACCAGACTTTAACTAAATCTTTATCTAAACTACGATAGGTCTGGTAAACCGTGACCCAACACATGTTCGCATTTTCAAAGCTTAATACAGACCTCTGGCAGACCTCTGGCAGACCTCTGGCCATCTGTGTACCACCACTATATGAGAATTATAGACGGCACTGCTTCCTCGTCAACCTCGCAAATCATCAGGGGAATGGGAATAGGGTCAAGGCTTGATATTTCTAGCAGTACAGGTCCCCGCTCTTCGGATATCAAGCGAAAATTGCATACGAACTGTTAAACTGGATTGTTCGAGACTACCAAGGTGATGGTTCAATGGGAGCTCTCAATATTAGCCAGGTCGACGTCGACCGCACTGCACAGTCGTCACCTGGCATTACCCGCACGCATTATCAACCCATGTATTCCCCTTCTCCACCGCAATCACAATCACAATCGCCCTGGCGTATCACGGAGCTGGTCCAGCTGTCCCAGACATGAAGCAAAGCTCCCCATACACGAATCACGGGCTCAAGTTACAGGCAACCCGAAATTGGGCTTGAAGACGCTCATCGAAGACGACAAGTTGTATTACACGCATAGTCGGTCCAATCGAACGTTTTTAGATACATGGAACATCGCTTTCCCAAGTGAAAGGGCTGCATGGACGGAGCTAGCGTTACGAGCATTGCGCGATCGACTGTTCAGAACCTACCGTCGAAATGCCTCGCTGGCAGCCAAGGCGACGGTCGATAATCAATGGTGGAAAATTCTGCAGGATATCGACGTGATCGCGAAGCAACAAGTCGACTTGAACAACCCGGATCTCATTCGCGATGCCTTCTATTTCGGTGGCCTGGCTGATCTCGCTCCGCAGAACCACAACGCTTATCAGGATCGAGGACGCTTCTCCCTCGAGGTTGCGTTCCATCTCGGTCATGGGCAGGCGCCAATAGTCCTCGCGAGACATGAGCTGGCGATGGCCTCACAGCGGAATCCTTACCGCAGGAGCCCGACACAGGCTGCTGAGGCAGAGCCTGTTGATCTCCCAGCAGCCATCGTGGACTATCTCCGAGAAGTTGCCCTGTGCAGGCGCAACTGGGAGGCCATGACTGCGTATCTGGACTACATTCTACGGAGGCGATGTGGCCCCAAGGTGGTGCGGGAAAATTTCGAGCTTGCGCGCGACCTTTCGCTCATGGTCAGCCCTAGCCAGAGTTCCAGCGAGTTGAAGCCGGCGCTGGAACGGATTGAGCCACCGTGGTATCTGTTGCAGAAGGCTGCTGATCAGTTCGTGGCTACGTTCTCCAAGTCAGGCAGCCCTGAAGAGCTGAAGGAAGCTCGGGAACTGGCGGCTGGTGCCATCTCATCAGGCGTTTCAGAGTGGGAAGATATGCGTGCGATTGAGGAGGACCTCAAATCTGAAGAGAGACCATTAGTGGGGTCGGACAAGTGGCTGACCTACACAACGCATAAAGCCATGGCAGGCGATGATAAGGCCTGCTTTGCACTCGGTGACTACTATATCAGAAAGGAAGGTTGGCACCCCCACACACGTCAGCAGTCCGCCCCCAAGACTCGCATGGGCCTGTGGTGGTTGGAGGCCAGCGCGTCTGCGGTACTCGACCAACCTGAGTTGTGTGCGCGCAGACATCTTCTAATAGCGCTGTTGCTCGACGAAAATGGGCTTCACGGTGAGGGGGCTTCTGTCCTCGCACGGGGTGTTGATGTCTTGGCCGATTCGGCAGCCCCTGCTGGTGAAGTGGTCACCCAGTGGTTGAAATCGTATGCCACCGTCTGGCCTGACATCGCAAACTGGCACACTTCGCCCCAGATTGGGAAGGATTGGTCCGCCACCGATAAATCGATGAATCTTCTCGACCGAGAAGAATTCTATAGAGAGGTCAAAATCTGAGTGTCTCACAAGTCACCTAGACAATTGCAATCGAGAGTTCAGGGGGGGTTAAAGGTGGAAATGGGGCGTTTAGCTCGGTCTGCTGCGAAGAAATGGCGATAGTAAGCGACAAGCTCAACGGGTGGAATCGAGCGTGGTCGGTCAGAAACGGCTTAACGAAGCTCACCTCGCGCGCAGGTCCAAAAGGGATTTTCTGCATCATGCAGCTATGGTGTCCAGAGGACGATCTTTCCGTCAAAGGTGGATATTGTGGAACCCTTGGGAGTACATATGTACGTGAAAAACACATGCATCAAAGCAGTCTCAGATGTTAGCCCGACAGTCAAGGCGAGGTTACGGACGGCCACGAGCGTAGCATCGGCATAACTCGACATAGACGGGTCGTGTCATGATGTTGTAGGAGAGCTGACATGTATCCTTTTCAGATAAGCGAGACGCCAACTACTTACAGGAAACCAAAGCCGCGAGTACTCTGGAGCCGAGGTCCATCAAGGGGGAGTGTTTGTTGTCGTTGTCGATCAATTGCATCAGAATGGTCTCGATCAGGTGACGATCCTAAAAAGTAGTTGAGAACACGAGGACGATCCCTATCTTCAAACTTTGAGAATGGATGGCGGGCCCCGAAAAGGAAACTGCTCGGCCGAGGAGAGACGTTCGAGGCTCGTGCCAGGCGGTGACCTGGTGGAAAGTGTTGATTGTGACAGCTCGCATGGATGGTCTCTCATGGGAAAAGGATGAGAGGGATTGGGGCGGGCATTGTGGTAGCACATGCCTAAAGAGACTGAGGAATCGCTGGTGGGGTCTAAGGTAAGGCATTCATATCTCGGAATGCCTTGTCAGTGAAGTGAAGAGATGCAGAACTGGGCCAATGGCGATTCCAAAACTCAGATGGAATTGTTGACTAAAGATGAGATTTTGAGATGTGGTCAAGAAGTGAGGATCTTCAGTGGGGGCAAGGAGAGAGTTGAAGCTAAAGGCGCACATTGTCACATCAGCTAAAGAAGGCCCGTGGGGATTGTGGACGGGTGTTGGAAGTAAACTAGCCTGTGCGTCATGGCGGATTAGGGAATGATAGTCCTTAGAAGAGAACTTTTAGGGTTGGTGATGGGTTGGTTCTCTTTAGGCACCTGCGGAGAGCTGACAGGCGGCATCCAATTCGGAAAAGGGCCCGAGGGCCCTCCCACTGTTATTGGTAGGCGGTTGTGCCCAGCTAGGCTCCCCTGGAACCCGGGGGCCGAGGGGGCTAATAATAACAAGCCAGTGACAACATATACCCACACCCCAAGGCTGATGCAATGTCACCATTACCTAGTCCGGCACCTAAGTTAAGTACCCAGCTAGGTACTTTAGGTAAAGCCTTTACTTACCAAGTGGACTATAGACGAACTCTATAGCCACGTAGATACCTTTGTAGGTGACCTAAGTAGATGGGCACGAGAGACGCCGAGAACTAAGAAAGTCTCGAGCCCATCTTAGCCCCCGTTCGCCCCCCCACGGCGCCCTCATGGCATGTAGGCTTCCCCAACTAAAGGTCTCCCCCGTCTTTTCTCGGGTTACGTGGTTCATGCACCCGCCTGGCAGTGAGGTTCCTTTCATAAAGGCGCTAGCCTCATAAACATCTCTTCTTAGCGCTTCTGCCGAAGGCCCAAACCGGATGGGCTCTAGCAGCGTCGTCACTGACAAGGGAACTCGGGGCAGGATTCTGTCATAAAAGCTTAAGTTAACACAATGCCAGCCTTGGAACTCCTAGATTCTCAGGATCCCGTCAAGCAATCGAGATTCGGATCGCACGTGTCGAGACAAGCAACGTGGTTTTCGAATGGGAGACCAATAGATGACGGGTATGAGGATCCACGGAGAGACAGTCCGCCTGCATACTACCATACAAAGCCACAAGTGCCCATATGGGTAGTTAAGTATTATAGTGCCAATTGTGCTGCAGCAATGGTGACATTGGAAACGTTGGCGCGGTTGCCACCGAACTCATCGTCTTGAAACAACAAGGTCAAGGCGAGACCGCAAAGAAAATTGTCGCAGAACCGGTCAGAAGATCAATTGCTGGACCACCGGTCTTTGGGTGGATGCCGTTTCCATAGTCTTCGATGCCTTGTCAAGCCAAGCCGCGTGCAAACTGATCATCACCATATCTAGAGGGAATGGCGATGATCTTGTAACCTTATATCCTAACGGCCGAACCTTTAACGGCCTGAAGTTCCAAGACGCGCTTCTTCCTGAGAAACAAGGAAGATGATTCAAAAAGATCATCTCAACCACCAGTCCATGTGCGATGCGGCTTTTGAGTTGCTGTGGTCAAGATATCCACCAATGTCACCAGTCCCCACCGTGCAGAAGCATGGCAAAATGCAATCAAGCCAACAGTGCTGGATCTTCAGGAAGTAGCGTAAAGCTCCATGCCCGGCACCCAGAATTATGCTTTGCCACCCGATCAACTCAACTCAACTCAGCTTGAACCGAATCCAATTCAACCAGAGATAGGTTACTTTTGGATGGGAGGTTAATCTGCGACCCAGATGAATTGACTATCCACAGTTGGTGCAGCAGTTCCGTTGATCAACCAGACCTTCCTCCTCGGACTTACAGGCTGTAGAACAGCTCATGTGATTGGCATGAATCGCTCACAGGGTCTAGACCGCCGAGATTCCGAGGCGGTGGCCACCTGTGGTTTTCATGGGATTGAATTGGCGCCAATAACAACCCGTCGTCTATAAAGCCAAAAGCCAAAATCTAGACCATCGACCTTTCAGTCAAGATGGCGGATCTGATCTTTACGCGAGATGCATGACAACAAGATGGGATGCGCACAGAATCCATCCTAAAATTTTGCTCTCTGGATGCTTACGCGAGATCTTGTTTGCCAACATTTGAAACTGTCCCACCGATGTCCATGGCACCGTGTTTAGACATGAGTACTGCACACAATACTAATCCACATCATCGAGGCCGCAAGCTTTAGCCTGCCCCTGAAAACGTGGTCGGTGCCGTTCGGCCCGAGCTGTCGTGAGCTGTCCCCATCCCCTTTCTCCTTTCCGCCATGCCACACGGTTCTTTGGATCGCCAATCTGACCAGGAGGTCGTGCAGGTTGGCACACGATGGTTGTCAATTGACCGACCTTGAACCTCTGGTTCTGCGTTGGTGGGAGCGTCGTGAAACCGGCAGCCGCGGGTTGAGTCCTGTCACATGCGTGATCTCATGCAGTGCTCAATCTACGGCAACGATCAACGCGTTGCATCACGACCGTGGTCGATTCCGATTCCGAAATTTAGCAAGTAAGCACCTTCCGAACATTGAGACATCCGTCGTGGCCACACGCATCTTGATTGCTGCAACATTGTCCAGAGTCCATTTGTCTGGCTCTGTGGGTAGCGGCGAATACTCCTGTTATTGTATGTGTCCGCGACTCGATCACAAGTGCCATCAGACATCCAATTGAGAACTGGTTGAGCATTTCTTGTCGGGGGGATCCGAGCTCTGAAGCGTGCTTTGCAACGTGTCTCAGTGTCGAGGAAAATCGCATCGGAGGTGTCTACCGGTGCGCGCCACCTGTATGTAGTCATCTTCGTGATTATAGACAGATTCGGGTTCGATTGGGACGATGGCAGAATCTTGTAAATGCCTCGACCTCTGAAAGGGGGGTGATTGTCCTTGTACATCCGTGTCAAGTCTCTCCTGTTGCATCGCTCATGTCATCGTCGGAGCCTTCGTCAGAGTGACCCTTGCGCTTCTTCTGTCCTTCCCTGAGGCCCTTTTTGAGCTTCAGGGGAAAGCCCGCGCCGCGATCCAATAAGCCTTTGACCAGATTGCTACTGGCTTGGACTGTGTCAAAGTCTTTGGCATTCACTACCCTGAAGACGTCACTGGTCACAATGTCGACCGCGGCCACGGTAGACCCTGGAGCCATAGGAACTGCATCCATTTTCATCAGAGTGAACTGCAGGCGATAGTCGCCTGCTTTTCGAACAGAGATGTCGGCGAAAATGAAAAAGGCGCCCGGGTACTTGTGGGGTTGTCTCTTTGGTTCTGATGTACGGGTTGAGGATGTGGGGAGAAATCTAGAGGTCGGGCTAGGAGGAGCAACGAAGCTCGCCGTTGACTGAGGATGTGGTTGAAACGTGGGAGGGTCGGGATCGTCGCTGGTGACTGTGGGGCTGGCAACTGAGGTGCCCAAGAGCAGTCGCTGGACTTCTTTATGGCCATCTTCGTTGATTTGAGACACGGTGCTCACGTCTCGATCAGGTGACTGTGCCGAGATCAATTTGCAATAGACGACCCAAAACTGGCTGGTGATTTCGGCCATGTCTGATGCTGATTCCGGATCAAAATCGTACATGAGCAATTGCAGAATGGGAGGCGGATCAATGGCCCTAGGTGGTGGTTAGCACTTGCCCTTGCGAGTCGAGTCGATTGGGAATTTGCCTTCTGTCTTTGCCATCTGGTCCTGCCCGACTTGCCCTTGGTTGTTGTCGTATATGGAGACGACAGCGACTAGTACTGGCCCTCGGATTGGGGTTGGGGTTGGAGTTGGGATTGGTGTTGGTGTTGGTATAGACGGTGGAGACTTCGTGCATGGCTCCTGATTGTAGCATTGAGGAAGACCTGACTTGACTTCCCGTGGACGTGAGAATTTGCGTATCCGTCATGTAATTCCTGGTGCCTGCGTGTGGGTTCGACCACACATCACCTGAGTCTCGACTGAGAATGTTGACTTCATGGAAATCACGAGCCGGCCTGGAAAGTGTCAGTTGAGTAAGGAATGGTATTAACCAGATTACTTCACCTTTCAAGGCTGGATGGGTAAAGCGGGCCCGGAGTTGGCAGATGAACGGGACTCCGGACGGTAGAGGTCAGATCATTTACAAGCAGACTTTGAGGGAAGGAAAGGTTGGATCCTTGAGGTCCCGGTGACATGGATGCGGGCATTGAACTTTGATATTGCGGAGGTTGTGTTTGACTTGAGGTCGATTGATTGCCATAGCCAAACCTAGTTTGAGGGGTTGAGTGTGGGCGCATGACCCCTCGAAGGAAGTCATTAGTAGATGATAGGTATGGCAAGGGATCGTCCGAGAAGATTGGGTTCAGATATGAAGCGGCAGGTGGTAGACCACGCTGTGGTGACCATGATCTATAGGAGGAACCTTGTCACCGACATGAGGAACTGTGAACATGGACATTGAGTGTCTAAAGTCCACGGACGACGGGAGCCGACTAAATGTACACTCTAGGAGTCCAGAAAGACGATGATGAACCAACACAGTCTGGACTTTTGGACTCAAGCCTCTTGTTGGTCTGGAAGGGAGCTGCTTGGCATTATTGCAAGCCATCGTTCACTCTCGCGGCGTTTTTAACCCATCAACCCATTGTTCCATTGTCCCAGTGCTCCAGTAAAACCAGAGACAACCACTGTTGGGCAGAGGGGCGGGACTAAAGACAGATAGGCACAGTTGCAGCACCTCGTACCCTCTCACGCTTCTTCTTCTCTCTCCTGTACTTGTTTGGCTGGGCGCCCCAATTGGGAGGTATGGTAACTTCTTAGGCAGACTTCTGTAAGTCGGTAACCTAATTAGCTAGCTCCCGGGGTGTGCAGGACCTCCCGCAGGTATGGGGACCAGTTGAGTTGGTGCCAGAGAGAATCTGGGTACGGGGGCAGCGGGACCGGCCCACCCAACCACCATTACTGCTTAGACGAGAGAACTACCTACCTACGGAGTACTTACTATGAGGAGGGTGGCCGGGGCGGGTGGCGTGACGTCTGACCGCTAGAGGCGCCAAAGATCTTGACTCAAGCGTCTACTCCGTAGGTTTAAAGGGAAAACAATGCCAAAGAAGTCTGGTGGACCTGTCCAATTGCCACGACCAAGTGCCCCGGAGGGTGGGGGGTGGAGGCCCGCGTCCAGCGGGTGTTGGTTGTTGGGCGTTGGGAGTTGGGAGTTGACAACTACGAAATCACGATCCTCCCGTGCGTCACGATGGCAGAGGGAGAATGTGATGCACGAGCCCCAGCACGACTGGCGTTAAATTGACCAACCGGTAGCCTACTTAAGGTGCAGGATATGTCGAGGGGTGTAGATCTCTGGTGTCTCTTCAGGCGGGCCCATAAGGTTCGCACAGTCGGTCACTGGGGCCAGTCGCGGATTTCTGGGCTTGTGGTGGCAGGGATGCTTGCACATCGGGACCAAAGGGGGGCATCTCGGCCACTGGGGGCCACTTAGGGCCCATCCTTTCTTGGGAGTCCACTGCAGAGGTTCTTCGCTTCAGCTGTTACGGAGTACGGAGTATGTGCACGCATATGGCGATTGCGTCCTGTTGCACTAGTCAAACTTTGCAAAGCACGACGCACGCGAAACAATCTGTAGCTGCATCATGCAGACCCACAAGGTGCTGTACTAGAGAACAGAGGTGTCGTTGTGCTCGTGGCGGACGACCAAGTTTGTCTCGCACAGGTCTTACCGAGTATCTTTTACTTACGATGCATGATGGAAATACCTATAGAATCCTTGGGGCCACAAAATCGAGTCTTCATGGAAGCATTTGGACCCGGACACGAGAACCCCTGGCAGAGTGCACGGCTATGACAGGTTCCCTTCCGCCCCGTACCACACCACGAGGGCCCAAGGCGCTTGGGCGTTTCCTACGTAGTGAGTACTCTTGCCGGGCTTAGGTTTATGTGGAGGAGAGGCACGGTGCAAAAAGGAGCGTGGCAGAGGCTGCGTAACCGACACCTCACGCCCCCAATACCAGGTATTCATTGTTTTCTCGGATTTAAGTGCAAACACAGTCAGAGGGAATTGCATCCAGATCTTCATCCTCTTCCAAAGCAATATTCAACGCAAAACAGATTCGAGTTTGACGTTTCTGGGGTCACTTGAAGTGTTGTTTACAAGGATATTGGATGACGGGCCTCGCCTACTTAGACTAACAACGGCGACCGTTCCTTGGACAGAAAAATGCCTGGGCATGTATACCATGGCCATGGTTATGGTACAGTAGGTGAGTCCACTACTTACGGTAATAGAAGTAGGCGAATTAGCCAATACGGTGCTGCCTACCTGAGTAATCGAGGCTTCTTCAGGCTGGTAGGTGCTCCAGAGGTCTCTGTTTACGAGGAAGCAGAATCCAACTTGTCATCTCCATCAAAGGAACTGAAGACGACACCTAATGGAAATGAATGAGCCTTGAGCTGTTGTCTAATCACCCATACACCCAACAAGAATGAGATCTCATTCCTGCCAGGATCTTATCGCTTTTCAGCGCGACCATCATTTCTGGATGATGGTTAGTCCAGGCCTCAAATGGAAAAGTGAAACTCCACCGCCGTTCTCGCCTCACTATTATTGAGCCCAGTATTTTCATGTTCACTTGTCATTCATAGAAATGGTTCTCTTAGCTCATCCTTACGAGTATACTGATGTGAATGAAAAAATATGAGGGCCTGGGTCGGTCAAATGGGGACGCTAGGTGGCTGGCTACACTAACGACCAAGGACAAAATCTGTTCAAGACTAATGTTGAAGCGATAGATAGCGACATCAGTCTCCAACAAGCGGCATCTTCCTGCGGCAAAGACTCACGGGGGCTTCGACACGCCCATCTTAAGTGGAGTTAACGTCTCTGCGTCGGGGCGCCAAAGTAGTAACTCGAGACACGAGATGACTGGTCATGTTCGAGCAGAGAATGACAGCCATGATGGACCGCACCACCAATACGGATTGTCCGTAGATCAATCCAATTTCCTTTGCCTGACTGAACTGAGGCACTTACGACAGTGTCTGGTACAGTACGTGTATGTCAGGAGGGCTTTCCGCTGCATTTAGCATGCGAACCACTTGTCCCTCTACAACCTTCACATTTTCAAATAACAAGTTGTGGATCCGTAGATGATGATCCAGCCCGTCATACGTATATACGACGAATTGATGTCTCCCACTCCATGCCAGAATGGCCTGACCATCCAGTCATATAAGTTCTGATCCGAGTCACAAACATCGGATCTTATCTCCAGTATCATTGTTTCTTGGAAGTATGCAGTGCTGATAAGAGGCATTTCTTTCACAGGTTGATGTTGAACACACCACAGGACTTTGTGCGCACGTCAGATTTGGTCCAGCTTCATTACCTTGCACTTGATGGTACAGTAGATCGATGCCATGCCATGGCCTTCCTGCACAGTAGATCTTCTGCCTGGACTAGTAACAATCCTGACAAAACCAAGTAAACGGGGATGGCTGGGACGGCACGATGGCTGCCTCATCCAGCATAGCAGCAAGTATCAGAAGATCCTCAGCTCCTCGAGGCTAGTAGTGCCAGTGCCTGAGGTCAAGAGGAGCTTCGAATCAGAATGTCATCGCTTGCTCGTCTAGCAGAAAAAAGCCACGTCCGAGATCCCGATTTTTCTGCTTGGCAGGCTTATATACTACGAAGATTTCTCCTTGCCTAGTCATTGAGATCTTGAAAATGCGACCATGACAAGAATGGCGAAGAAGCCATCGATTATTTTCAAATGAGATAATGAATTTGGAACCGCTTGCCAACCCAGCCAAGTTTTTTTTCCAATAGAGATGACCAGATTTCTTTCTTCGTGGAAAAATTGTAGTGCAAATCGTTAATTGACCGAGCGCCCCGAGACCACAAAATTCCCCGAGACACAGACTTTACAGTGAATCTTCGACGAAATAGTTGCAGGAGAAGCGGGCTGTCCAACCAACAGTCTGGTGGTGGATTGGCCGAGCACTCTCCTTCGTCTCCCCAAGAACCTAGGAAGCACCCACAGTTCGTAGTAGTAGCTCTCTACACTCTTTCCTTTTGGCAGTAGCTACTTCTCGTGATCTTGATGATTTCCCAGGATTAAGTTATCCATTCATTGACTCAGTCATCTTGCACCAAATTGGACAGTCTGCAATACGGAATCATTATCCATGAGTTCATTCGGGGATAACAAGGCAGAAAGCATTGCAAAAGGAGGGGTCTTACTCGATCAAATTGCCATCAGGGTCTCGAACGTAGACACTGCGAAGTTTGCCCTAATTAGATTCACCACATGAGCATTTTCCTCGCCATGGTAATGATACAAGGAACCTTCAATGCCCGTGCCAGCAACTGCGTAGGACTTACCTGGGCACCAGTTCTGTTGACGACTTTGTTGCCTTCGAGCACCGTGATGCCCGCTGCCTTTAGCCTTTCAAGCACACTATCGACCCCATCCTCGACCAGGCTAAAAGATTGACGACCTAGCTTTTAGCAATGGGGCATCTCATACCGCAAAGGGGCCAGCCATGCCAGGACAGACTCACAAGCACAAATCCCCACTTCCCGGATGGACCTTGGCCGCCTTGGGCTCGAACTCATGTCCACTTACGTGCAAGTTGATCTTCTGGTTCCCAAAATGTAGGGCATGTCTATCCGATCCAGCCGAGGTAAAGGAGGTATGCCGCATTCCAAGAACACTGGCATAGAATTGGACTGTAGCGTCGAGATCCTTGACGGTCAATACCAAGTGGTCCAGGGACTTTGCCTTGGTCACTGAGCTCATTTTGCGATTCTGTATAGGGAGGTGGGTATGAATAGAGTTGGAAGAGGGCGCTTTTGAAAATATGTATCCAGCCGAGGGCAGCAGACTCGATCGCAGTAAACCAGCCTTGTAACCTCGTTGACACAGCCTTAACATCATCTCTGTTGCTTGCCTCATGTTAAAAGTCACGAGCGAACATGAGCAGGCGATCAAGCTACGAATGGAGGTGAGGTTGCTCTTGCCGAATCAGCGAACCCGCACCTGCCAACAGATGACGATGACGATGATTATAAACATGGCAGTAACTCAAATGATTGGAGAGCCACGGCGACCAGGATTGCACCTGCCACCAAATGGCCATTTCCCCTCACTCTCGCTCGATTCTTCTCGCTTGTCAAGAATCAAGAGTTTCATGAAAAAAGGATGAATGGTACATCCAATACTGTCTACATGTCTGGCCTGTGCTGCGTAAGTCACGACAAGTGGATGGCACCAAGATCGAGTGACTGTTGAAGAGAATATTCACGCCCAGGGCTCAAACCTTCACTCAAGGTTGAGACTCGGCGTCCCCAAGACAAAACAAGCTAAGTCATGTGACCTGGATCTTCAACATCACAGTTTCCATCTTCAAGAAATTCTTACCACCTGGTTCAGATTCAGTCACTCCCCTCAACAGACCACAGCGTAAAGCTTTGCCACGTCAACATTTAAGTTTGCTAGACTGACAAGTGCTGTGAACATAGCATTTTATTACCATCGAGGCACCTCTTCGGCAATTCACCCGGGGTGGAGGATAATGGTCACCACTAGGTCTCAAGAAAAACAAAATGCACAAACTCCTGTTGGTGCAAGCACAATTGAAGTGCTCATAACACCAGCAACCCGAACTAGTCCCATAACTTCCAGTCCGCTGCCAACCACACGCTCAACGCGTTCCACTCCACGCGGTGGGCAAAGGCGCAGCGTCGCCAACCAAACACAATGTCTTCCTGGACCATCGGTAGACTCATCGAGTGATCCGACCCCAGGTCCATCTCTCGAGTCATATGGCAGCCCAAAAGTGTCAAATGCCACCCTTCCGCAACGCTTAAAGGATTCATCTCTGTTGAACGCGCACGAACCTCCCACTGAAGGTCTTGAAACTCCAGAGTCAGCCGATGACCAGTACCTCGAGAAAGACCACGGAGCAACTGTGGGGAGTTCCGATCCGCAAGTTCGAAGCGAGAAAACCGACGATCATGTTGCTCCGGCGCAGATGACGGTTCAATCCCACCAATCCGAGCTTCCTGGGGTACAGCAAGGCAGCCGCAAAAGACGACGATCAGGCGCAGATCTTGACGAGGTACCTCAAACCACGGCTAAAGCGCCTACAATAAGTTTCAGTGGTAGCGGTGTGACTTCACTTCCTGATACGAACTCGCTTAATAGGTCAATAAGCGAGAATTCGACCGAAAGTACAGGCGTCCCACCAAATGCAGTGCCGGGATTGGAATCAGTACTGGACGCGGGTGAAATTCAGCTGGCTGTAGAGAAATGCACGTCAAATGCAGACCACCATGGCTCGATTCAGGACACGGATGATGCGGCACGTCCAGCGTCCAGCTTTGCCATTGGCGCGGCTTCCACCCCAAAAGCACCACATGCAAATTTTGTGGCTCAAGCGACAGCCACCCCTCTTGGCATGTCATTTGCTTTCCCAGAGGGGATTGATGTGGAAGTCGAGTCACAAACTGAAGCAGGATCGGCAGTTACCTGGACTGGAGCATCCTACACGACAGCACCCGAAGAACAGAGCTCGGTGCAACATGTGCAAGCAACAGAAGAATCTGTGCCGACATTGATACGGCGCAAACACAAGAAGTTGTCATCTCACAGCTCGAAGCAAGAGTCACACTACAAGGTTCCTGTTGAGAGGCCAAAGATGACGGCACTGCAGCAATTCCGCAACAATGTCCTAAATTCGAGGGAGAGAACGACGCATTGGGCACCGGGCGGGGCGCGCCGCACCAGGTTTGTAGGTGCATAAGGCTATGAGCAGTCAATTCTCGTGTGGTACACATACGTACGGGGTAGGAGAATGTACCCAGCGGGATCTAGATTGGGATGGAGAAGTAATTTTGTGGGAATTAATTCTGCATACTACTGGAAATGGACAATTCGCCCTTCCATGCGCCTTGTTCGAACCGACCTGGCTCGCGTGGGCAGCTAACGACTCGCTTACAAGTACACCGTACTCCGTACGTACGCATGCGACATGCGTGGCTGCCACCGCCCCACTAATACCAGGCTCAACAGCAAAATGTCGTCGGTCCTCGTGGTTGCGGGAATACTCCATACTGTTGCACTACGGAGTACTTAGACGAGATGATAGCGAATGATTGACGTGCGGGGCCGGGTGGACCAAGCAAGTCTGTTTTTCGAGAAGGCTAGCTTCAATTCTCGAGCCTCAGGGACTCTGACGCAAATGTGTTCCGTATCATTAGGAGTTACAAAATTACAGTGTACGGTGTACAGTAGGTATCTACCAGGTACTTAGATTATTCGGCTGTTTGGGCGGGCAGGGCAGGTCGAGTGGCCGGCGGAGATGACCATGATCAACCAAAGGTGTACGCGGCCAGAGAGAGATAACCTTAATCGATGATTGTCTACGGAATATGATATGGCAAGTGGATGGGTACCTACGCGTCTACCTACCTAACCTAGGTATGTACTGTAAAACCGTTGATTATTGCATGTCGTGGCTGTCAAGAGATTGATTGCAGATGCAAATCTTTTCTCTCTCTTCACTATCTATTTGCCTTACGGGGTATAGTTCGGTCTGGCCATAGGAAGAAGGAAACACAGATACCGAGATCAGACCATGTGCCCACGTACCTTTGATACCTACCTTCCTAATTGAAGAGCGATTAATTAGATAAAATCTATAACCGAAAAATCTATAACCGAGCTTGAAAGTCGAAAGTCGAAAGACGGAAGACGGAAGACGAAACTCTACTCAACGTCACCAAAGTTACTACTGAGGTACTAAGTTAAGTAGGTACATGCTCTAGGTACCGCATTCCCTTGCCTAGACTGGCCTGACTGGGTACTTCCCTAACTTCGTAGCTTTCGAATCGAACTTGTGGGGAGACGCCAATGAACAATTGACATTTCGGAAGTGACATCCGCAATGGGGAACTCCGTAGACGAAGTAGGTACCTAACCTACCTACTCCCTTAGGAAAATTTGCTTTTTACATCTTACAAGGTTCACGAAAACCTACACATCCTATCATTTACTCGACGACTTACTCGTACCTCCTAATGCGGCTCTGAGTCAGACATTTTCGCCTTTTTTTGCCCTTTTTCGGTCTCGTGTGTGGGCATGCAATCGGTTGAAAAACATAAGTACCGTATTATTTGTCACCCCATGCCAATTGTGATCCATGCCTGGAAGGGAAGTGGCATTGCGCATGCTGCTGGACGTAGCCACGAGTGCCACAGTAGCGTGTCTATCAAGCGAGATGCCAAGGGATAGGGTTGATTACCTTGGGAATATATCTACAGAAGTAATAATTGAAAGCAAAGGTAGGGCTTGTATGCCTCGGCATGGTGGTGCTCAAGGAGGGGCACGAGGGGAGAGGGATAGAGGGCCCATGGGACGAGACGAGGGGATCCATACATGAATCCATACCATAGCATGTACCTAGTAGCTGTGTATATCTGATCGCCATACATATATGAGGATCCTTCGCTAAACTCTTCGTCATACCACGTACTGTACACGGTGCCCACCATAGTCAGTTTCATATCTCTTGCTCTTGGTTGCTCTTGGTTGCTCTTGGTTGCTCTGAGTGTCGTCTGGCCGCAAGTGGACATGAGATTTTGATCTCCGTTCCCGTCTGTCCTCGTCCATCTCCACACAAGATAGGCATGCGCATCTATTGTCCTCTTCTAGTAGCATCACCGTGTGTCGCCAGACTCATCTTCCCCAGTGTCCCCTTTTGATGCGAGCGTCCATCTCCACAAGAGCCACAATCATCATGGTACAGATAAGCCACGTGCTGTCCAACCCTATAACGACACAGGAAGGCAGAAGACTAGGAATCTCAATCTTCTCATTGTTTCGTCAGCTGTCTTGCTGATCACAATGTCAAACTGTTCCATATTGCATTGATCAGAGCGCCGTGGAGATCGTCAATCGAGATGCTATCGCTCGGCGAGGGTGAGTATCTCCAACCGAGGATGTCAATTGGTGATGAGTCGTTTCCAGAAGTCCTTGTTCGATACAACAGACCCACAACTCCATGACATTGTCGTTGAGTGGGTCACTTGGCTATTCCAAGTTGCCAGATTTTTCGCCGATTCGGACGATCCATAAGCTGTCACAAGGCCTCAGGGTCCGAACACTGCGTTTGTGTTGATCCAATTCCAGAAGATGCCCCATACACTCTGGTAGTGCACAGTTGACGTTGGCAGTCGGGGGTCTACGGCCGAGACTCATCAAAGCTGACACTAATTATGGCTTCAAGATTGTTGAGAGGACTAGTCAAAATCAGATCGCTTAGCCCAACGGCGCGATTTCCTCATTCTCATTTTCTCTCTCTCCGTCCGCAGGCATACTTCGTACCAGAGGTCATACAACACCGCCTGTGACTGCTCTGACCGCCAAACAGTTTATTCTTCTGGCGTAAACATCCATCGCATGCACAAGTGGGTCTCCAAACATGACTTGTCGTAGTTGCTCGTCCTTGACCGTGCTCGCTGTCACGTCGGCCTCCTGACCTCCATCTGGAACCCTCAGAACAATCAGACGACCTGCGTTGGAAAGGTATGAAGGCGGTACATCCCACCACAAGGTCCTTGCTTGGAGCTGGGTGGTGTGAGGTTTCATCTGCGGCCTTTTCGAAGGCTTGAGTTGAAGATCCAATCGGGACATTGATGCATTGAGAAGGTTCCAAGCAGAAGATGATGGATGATTAGATGGAATTTTGGCTGGGAGGGGTTGCGAGAGAAGGTCGACCAGGCTCTTGATATAAGCCCGTTCGGCTCGTACGACCGGGTCGCCTTCATTCATGAAGGAGAAGAAGATGCATTTCTGTAGCCGACCATCAACAGTCCTCGGTTTCTGCAGCGATAAGAGGCTGATCGGCGGGGCCCCAAATACCACACAGTGCACCCTTCGAAAGCATCCAGTCAAGATACTGAGCTCCGACTGGACCAATTCTGAGAGCATATGGGTATAAAGCAAGCTCGCTACAGCACCTCCAGCGCTGTGCCCTGTGATGAGAAGGGAGCAACTTGTGCGATTGGGGTCTTCTTCCAACAAAGTCCGGAGTCTAGCAGCAATTGGCTTGACCATGGCTTTGGCAACTTTGAGAAACCCGGAATGACATAGATTGCCCTCATCATCGAGAAAGCCTCGGGGAGAGACAGCATCAGTCTGAAGATTGACACCCCAATCTCGAATGCTCATCATTGACGTGCCTCGAATCGCAAACACGATCGTCTTCTTGTCGTCGCACGGAACAGACTTGATCACCATAGCCTTGGTGCCGAGACGTCCGTCTGCTGAGACGAAGTCTTTTCTTTCAGAGCGGGATTGAGGAGTGGCATACGCACTGGACGAATATTGAGCAGCTAGACATAATAAGGGATAAGTTGGAATGTACACGCGCAGGGGAGGGAGTGAGGCAGGTAAGCGAGAATTGATATATAGATCGACCTTGGAGAAAACAGTCCTCTGATCGCCCTTGCCTCTGTGATTAGCTTGGCCTTTGCCGCTTCTGCCGCTAACGGCGCCAGAAGATCGGTCTGCGAGATGAAAGTTTGCAGATTCTGGGTTTTGCACGTCTGGAAACATGGCTTGGAGCGCAGCATCTGAACCTGTAAAGGCATCCTCATCCATAAGCGTGAGGACATCTCCCAGTTTGTCTCCGATCTCTTGGTGTAGAGTTCGTCTAGGATCCTGCGGTCTCGGTGGTATTGGACGTGGTGGCGCTGTGGAAGTTCTTGTTAAGGGTAGATAGGGTTGGTAGTTCGTCGTGGGTATGGGCGATGAAGTCATGTTAGGGAGTGAAGGTCGAGTGTTGTGAGTAGGCATGGGGTGAGTGTAATAGGCCGGAGGGGCCTGTTGTAGGTACGGCTGATGTAGGCCTGGACCTGCTGATGCGAACGTATCTGGGTCCGCCTCATATTTGCGGCGTCTTTTGCCAAAGAATGGCATTTTTGTAGACTTGAATGTTGAAAGTTGGGAGTTCAACGATGATGGCGTGGATGGTTACCATGCGGCAGGTGGGGTAATCTGGTTATGGTGACATGAAGGAAGGTGCAAACGTCTATCTCGGTCGGTCAACTGAAATCCATGGTGGACATGATGAATGATTCTGGAGTCACAGTGACACCAAGCCTTGTTGCTGTCAGGTTGGGAATAAATAAACCAGAGCATGATCAGAGACGTTGGCTCTACTAGATCCTATTCGCTCATCCACGAACCGTGATACCCTTAGCCAGCCGGACGTGCCTAGTAAATGAAAGTCTGCACCAGTAGGGTGGCCGAGGGGCGTCTCTGCCATCATCCGCACTACTTACAAGAAGGCTGAGCCTCCCGCGCTTAGCCACAATCGAAACCCAATCATGACTGTCAGCCTTGAGGATACTTCACCTACTCCGTACGCATCATTATTATACCGTGTGTATGGTGACTTTGGTGTGGACGCGGTTGCCTGCTGGATGAGCGCGAGATAAGATTGATTTAGTAATTGATGCTTCATCCCTTTTATTAGTCTCTCACCATCTGTTGCTGACACGTGATGTGACGCGCCAACCAATGGCTCTTACCTAATTACTGTCGATGGGGATAGTCATGGCGAGGGAAGAGTAACCCCTATACCCCGACCTTTGCTTCTCTGGCCCCGTCGATCTCTCCGTGGACATATTCAGGATGACTGTTTTCATGTTGAGTAATCTTGAAGGTAAGAGCACTTGATAGAAATTGCCAAATGATTCTCAATGTCTTTATACAGTTGCGAAGATAGTAGGAATTTTCGTGGTGTAGATCTGAGGAAACAGCCACGTGCCTACTTGAGATAGCCTTACTTGATTACTTTCAATTGGCATTTGATAGATTGCAGGATGGACGTTGGAATGCCGTCCCGCGTAGTGAGAGGCATGACACGGACGGTTGATCCCAACGCGTGCTAATAAATCCACCGCCTACCCTTCAGAGCCTGATAGGGCAGTGTGGGCAGTCGTGGCAGTCTGCACAACTTGGCGTTGGCATCTGACGGCCCCCTGTCACTCCTTCCGCGGTTTCTATGAACATGAGGACATCATGTTTATTATTGTGGACTGTCTGCACCAACTCCCAACTTCATCATCTGTACCTCTCGATTCACAATTCTCAGAGTAATCCAATGCTCCTGACCCCCTCATTCAATTATTTAATATCAGCTTGATCTTGTCCACGTCTCCTTCCATCCCTTTCATGACTCTCGCTGGCCACCTGAAATATTGCCGTTGACCTCCTCTTCGAATCCCTCCCCCAACGACTGCGACTGGTGGTTTGGGAACAGGAGAAGTCGGCACTCGTCTCCTCTTTCGCGACCCTCCAGATGTGCTGATGAGCATATCGTCCTCTCCATCGGCCACCCTCGAGGTCTACTATTCTCATGGACACAACTCCTTACACCGACAACACACACAACCCCAGAGCGACAGCCCCCCCTTTGGCTGAAGACGACGTCTACATCAATCCTCGTCGCAAATTTCGCCGGCGCGGAACGTCCGAGTCCAAAAGTGAACTAGAGGACGATGAACTTGCTTCCTCAATGTCGAGCTCAGAAGAACATGAACTCGGCCCGCTAGATTCCGATGTGGAAATGGAGGATGATGAAGAATCAGGTCTCAGCAAACACGAACGTCGGAAATTCCTCAAAAGCAAGAGACAGGCCCACACGTTGGATGCTCGAATTGCCGGTACCGCTGGCCTCTCAGCGGACGAGGCTCGACAGGCTGACCAGAATGTCATTCGAAATCTTCTCATCAACGCCGCCCTCGTCGGAGGCTGGTATTTCTTTTCTCTATCCATATCAATAGTAAGTTCACCCGACCTGTTGGACCCTCAGCACTGACGCGTGTCGTCTGCAGTACAACAAGATGATGTTCTCATCCGACCACTTGGACTTCCACTTCCCATTATTTGCCACCTCCCTGCATATGGTCGTCCAGTTCGCCTTGTCTTGCACCATCCTTTTGTTGTTTCCTTCATTACGGCCTTCTCAGCCTCAACCTCCACCATATCGAGACGAACCACCCAACCACAAACCGCTAGTAACACCCCTATTCTACCTCACCAGGCTTGTCCCTACCGGCACCACCACCTCGCTCGATATTGGACTGGGCAACACCTCCTTGCGCTACATCACCCTCACCTTCTACACCATGTGCAAGAGTTCCGTCCTCATTTTCGTCTTGACGTTCGCCTTTCTCTTCCGCCTCGAAAGCCCGTCTGTGAAGCTCATCCTAATCATCCTCACCATGACCTTGGGTGTTTTGATGATGGTCGCCGGCGAAACTGCCTTTCATGCCTTGGGATTCGCACTCGCCATTTCTGCCTCTTTCTTTTCTGGCTTCCGCTGGGCCTTGACCCAGATTCTTCTTCTTCGCCATCCCGCCACATCCAACCCCTTTGCAACCCTCTTCTTTCTTGCGCCAATCATGTTTGTCACCCTCCTCACTATCGCCTGCTTCTCCGAAACACCCACGGCTGTCATCACCGGTATTCAACTGCTAGTATCCAGTCACGGCATTTTAACCGCCCTAGCCTTGCTCATTGTCCCAGGGTGCCTCGCCTTCTGCATGATTGCGAGCGAGTTCACCTTGTTACAACGCACAAGTGTCGTCACGCTCAGTATTTGTGGCATCTTCAAGGAAGTCATCACGATCAGCGCGGCGGCCATTGTATTTCACGATGAGCTTTCCTTCGTCAACGTGAGCGGCCTCTTGGTCACGATTGTCAGCATTGCTGCATACAATTACCTCAAGATTTTCAAGATGAGGGAAGAGGCCCGGGACAAGATTCGGAAACGAAACGATGATGAGGACAAGGAGGAGGAATTTGACGACAGTCCAGACCTGCAGGGTCACCGATCAGATCGATACGATCAAGACGAGCCGACTCGGTCGGCGACGGGGACTACTCGGGGCCCAGGACCCGCAGACTCGGGCCCTTGGACACGGGGGCTGGACAGTCATGCTGAAGGATCGACACCCAGCTCATCTTTGTTGGACCATCCTGCTGGGAGGCCTTGGAACAAGAATAGAGACGATTGAGTAGTCTTTGTAACATTGCGTTACATAATTGTATTGTATCATTTGGATGTCTCAATGTTGATGGCCTGACATGCCTATGCCATGCGGTCGACCCATTTGAAGCTATATGTTTGACGCTATACATTTGAAGCCTCGTACTTTTCTCTACAGTACTACTTAATCCCTGGTAGGGTAGTAAGTCCCGTGCTCACTGTCTGAATTTCACCTGTGAGTAGCCATCCTCGTACTAAGCAGAGGATATGTCCTGGGAAGACGCCAGGAACATCGGTCATCGGTCACGATCATCAAGACTTGCTCCTTCTCCCCAATGGTTCGTACAGACGGAAATGAACAACACCAGTAGTACTGTTCGTGATATTACACAATACCACAGTCTCCAATATGAGCCTGCTTAAGGCACTTGGCCTGCCACGCCACGGACGTTTCGTTGAGCTTGACCTTGTCATTGACTACATAGGTTTGTAGAGTGCACACAGAGTTCATGGTCAGACTCTGCATGCACACTTCATCACTTACTCAACATCAGGGTCGTGAAGTCCAAGGACGTGGCAAAATACTAGCGTCAAGACTTTTGTTTTGTTCTGTTCACGGCACCCTTAGCCTCCCTTTTTCATCTGTGAGGGCGAAGGACTCTTGGCAGGGGATTTATCAGAGCCCATCTTGCCATCCAAGAGGTTCTTAGACAACTTTAGTCTGACTTTCTGACGTTCCATCTCAACCACCTTCTTCATGCGCTCTAGATCGCCGTGGCGACCCTCTACGAATCTGACGTTGGCTGCATCATATGGTTTCTCGATCAAATAAGTGTCGGAGATGAGCATGCCACTGCCTGACCACGTCGCTGGCATTGTTCTTGACAAGGCTTCGAAGAGTGCTTGGTCTGTTGGTGTGGTTCCCTTGGGGCCCAATCGAGCCTGAGCAGCCTGCTTAGCCGCGATGCTCTTAGCTAAACGGGCTTGTGTGGCATTTGTGTCGATGGCATTTAAAGCTGGATTCGTCGGTTCTGGGTTCGGTGGAGGTAGTGACAGGACCTGGAAGCTGGAAATCTGCGAGATGGGGATGATTCTGTAGGTGCCGGAGGGAGCAGCGAGAGATGATGCGGTGATAACGGTAGATGAGGTTGAGACGGTATTCAGGACCAGTAGATTGGTCAAAGGGTCGGCAGTGAAGACCACACCAGTGACTGCAGGTTGGCCGGTAGCCACGAGATTCAAGCGGACGCTGACATCTGGATTAGAATAGTTCAAGCAGCCACGCGAGGTTGCAAGTATACTCACCGGCTTCCAACAGCTTGTTGGAGCGCAATGTCGAGAGAGACAGTCTGGCTTCCTGTAGCAGCCGCATCGGCCTTCGGAAGCGCAACCGCCACTCGCGCACCAGAGTTCTGGCGCTTTGTGTCGGAGGCCATGATTGCAGAGAGGATTTCCGGACCCTGACTAGGTTGTGTCAGAGGCGATGGAAAGAAATGGAATGGCGTCGGTTGATAGACGGGGTGCAAACAGTCAAGTAGACACCGGTCAAATAATCTGTCAAGATGGCCGTCCCAAGGACCCCCATTCAAGACAGGAGGACCTGGGTGCGGCTATGAAACCACGGGCAAGGATAGACAATCAAAACGCCAGACGCCAGACGCGAATGCCGCTGACACACAACGACCGTCCGTAGGAAACACAGGTCGTCGTTGCACACATGGAATGGCACGGGCAACGGCAACGCGAAAGGGAGGGATGAAGTAGATTGGGAGAATCAAATGAATTGTTCCTGCGCAGGCTGAACCTTGGCAGAGAACCCAAATGTGCAAGAGCGAGGCGAGAGCAAAGAGCGCCGATTCCCCGAGCTCCGTTTACCGCGCCGACCACTAATAAGTACTTTTAGTAGGTAACTTGTGCCTTTTAGTACTTGACTACCCGAAGAGCTACTTGACGCTACTAGATATAATTGTTGGATTTGGAAATGACATTTCTTTTTCTAGCAGCAGAATCCAAAAGTAGTCAAGTACGCACCCACGCCAGGAATGAATGATTGACTGATTGATCTGCTGCGGATATTTCACTAGCAGACTACGGAGTAGTCAAATCAACCCACAGATCCAAAAGCTTATTTACTTCCCAAGGGGGAAGGTATTTTTATCACTGACAAACACACTCATCGACGATCATATCATCATCTACAATTACACCAGTCTTATTTGCACGTCAATCTTAACACACTGTTGCAGACATATCATGTATTGATCCTGCTCTATATTTGAATTTTGGGGGGCAAGGGCATAGTCCGAGCCTGTTGCACTCGTATTTTTTTCTGAAGCGGGGTCGAATGACCAATACGCAGCTCGTTCTAATTTTTTCCATAGAACACAACATTCCATGACAAGCCTCGTAGACCTGATTTTGTCTCAGACAAGTATACGCATTGCTTCAAACATATAGACCACAACATGTCTGAGCAGATTGACCGAAGTCGAGTCAATGCTCTATGCGGTGTATGTAGAGGCAGACACGTTGCCACCACGTCCAGTCCAGTTGACGTGAGTGTACGATCCAGCCTTGTACTTGTCGCCTACATACTCTGGCTTGACCTGGAAGGTGTGTGCACCGAAGTAATCACGCTGAGCTTGCAGAAGATTGGCAGGCAAGTCCTTGGTGCGGTATCCGTCGAAGAAGGCCAGAGCGGTGCTGAAAGCAGGGGTGGGGATACCAGCTTTGACGGCAAAGGCAACCACGTCTCTCCAGCCATCTTGCGCAGTGTGGATGGCCTTGTTGAAGAAGTCGTTGAAGAGCAAGTTCTCCAAATCGGGCTCAGCGCGGTAGGCAGCGGTGATATCCTTCAAGAAGACAGAGCGGATAATGCAACCACCACGCCACATGAGCGCAATGGATGGTTTGTTCAGCTTCCATCCGTATTGTTTGGCGGCTGTCTGCATCAGCATGAAACCTTGAGCGTAGGAGATGATCTTGGAGGCATAGAGAGCCTGCTCAAGGTTCTTGAGGAAAGCAGCCTTGTCGCCGGTGAAGGTAGGGGTAGGTCCACTGAGAACCTTGGCAGCACGTCCACGCTCATCCTTGAGAGAACTCAAGCAACGGGCAAACACAGCCTCACCAATCAGGGTGACAGGCATGCCCAGGTCGAGAGCGTTGATGGCAGTCCATTTGCCAGTACCCTTCTGACCGGCTGAATCGAGGATCTTTTCAACCAAAGGTGTGCCATCATCGTCGTTGTAGCGGAGGACATCTCGGGTGATTTCAATGAGGAAAGAATCAAGTACGCCCTTGTTCCACTCGGCAAAGACGTCACCCATCTCCTTGTAGCTCATTCCGAGACCGCGTTTCATAACATCATAAGCCTGTCGTTGTCAGTAAATGCAGCATAAATCACAGTAGAGAGTCGGGTTACCTCGCAGATCAACTGCATATCACCGTACTCGATACCGTTGTGGACCATCTTGACGTAGTGACCAGCACCCTCATCTCCGACCCAGTCGCAGCAGGGCTCGCCGTCCGACTTGGCAGCAATGCTCTGGAAAACATCCTTGATATATGGCCAAGCCTCTTCGTTACCACCGGGCATGAGAGATGGGCCATAACGAGCACCTTCTTCACCACCTGAGACACCAGCTCCAACGAATCGAATGCCCTTCCCGGCAAGGTACTGGGTGCGGCGGTTGCTGTCAGGGTAGTGGGAGTTTCCTCCATCGATGATGATGTCACCCTTTTCGACGAATGGAAGCAACTTCTCAATGAAGTCGTCGACTGCGGGGCCGGCCATGACGAGGAGCATAATACGGCGGGGGGTCTTGAGTTTGGCACAGAACTCCTCGATGGAGTGGGCACCCACGATAGACTTGCCTGGGCCATGATTAGTCCGGGCTGTTCCGCGGAGATTGCAGTTGCTCAACTTACCCTTGGCCTCGTTCTCGAGGAAACGGTCGACTTTGGAGACGGTTCGGTTGAACGCAACCACGGTGAAGCCATGATCAGCGGCATTCAAGATCAAGTTCTGGCCCATGACCGCAAGGCCGATGAGACCGAAATCACCACTGGGTTCGGACTGCGCAGGACCAACCTTGAGGTTGGCCAATCGCGCACTAAAGTTAGCATCTCTGTCGTCAATTGATTTTATCTCTAGGACAGTATACGAGCCAGGCGAGAAAAGGCAGGGCAACATCTGGGGGGGGGGGGGCATGCTATGACGACAGGAAAAGCGGTACTCACACTGCTGAAGACATGATGGTAGTCGGGGTGGACAAAAAATCTGGGTTTGAGGATAGATGGGGAGTTGAGGCTGGATATGAAGCTCGGGAGCAAGAAGAGTCTCTGTCTAATGCACCGAAAAAGACTAGAGGCACGATCGTAAAAGGGAGGAAGAAGGAAAAGTGATTTGAAGCACGGGAGTGAGATAAATATGTTGATTAGACAACTGGGACTGGCAGACAAAGTAGACTTGCTGCAAAGGTGAAAGAACCCCACTATTGAGCACTGAGTTGTTGTTGCATTGGCTTTGGATGATGTTAATGTTTGGAGGGGCAAAGACAGCCCAGAGAGCCTGAGCGGCCGCCCCCCCTCCCGCCCATCGGAGGCACTGGCAGCTTGCCAGCCAGCTCCCGAGTGGTTGTAAGTGGTTGTTGGATGTCAGCCCCAAGGAACCAACCGGGCAGTTTCCCATCATCAACCAGAACTGAAACCACCACCAGCTGAATCAGGTTAGTTGCGGCAATTGGCGACGAACCAACCGTCGTGCCAGAGCTCCTCACAGACCAAGGTACCCCATCCCAACTGGCTTATTGGCGCCCACAGCCTGGAAAACCCTGCGTACATCACAGGCTCCCCTTCACCCCATCGTTTAACAAGACCTGCAACTTGCAACCTGCGACTTGCCGCCGATGGACAACCCTACAGTCTCCGTGGTGCTGCCGACGCTCCGGCTGACTGGTGCCTTTGAAATTCCTCCACTCAACACTTCCACGGCCATTCACTGCCCTACATCGGTTTCCCCCATCCAGCTTTTCATGTCATGACTAAGCCCATGCTTGCGGGTTGCAATCAACATCCGATGAATTACGTCTGTGCAATCTGCCATTTACCTTTAGTTAATAAGGACAACATAGGTGAGTCAGCATAGAATCTAAAGCAGGGTTCCGAGCGCCTTTGGCTTGGACCAGGCTCGAGTGAGCAATGGCTTTTGACGTAAGAGGCCCGATTTGACCCTGCCCGGATCCAGCGGTAATCGCTCATGGGGGGAGGGGAGGGGGGCTACTGGTGATGTAGGTAAAGAAGTCAACTCCAAACCACAGTACGCGCAGACGCCTCTCATGACTAGCTGCATTATTCATGTCACGCATGATTTCAAGGGGATGTGTCACTTCTTTGTTGTACATACCATCGATCGTTCAACACACACAGAGACCCTTGGATGAGGACTGATGTCGTCCTCCGACCCTTTCGTGATTGCCGATCCAGTCTACTTTTAAACCAAGATCGCATGCACAAGACCCCCACGTGGAGACAATATGTGGTTCTGCTCAGAAGTTGCCGGGGAGTCAATGTCCCACCGTAGCAGAAAACCTAGAGAATCGATCCCTTCGGAAAACTTCCTTCAATCAGACAACGAGGCTGATAGATCACGTGATATTGTATCCTTCGATTCCTCGAGTCTGAAGCAGGCTTCCTTGTTGGAATAAAATATCTCATCAAAACCCAGATGATTTTGCGTCACCCATCACTGTCCAGTGCGCCGCGTCAAACCACCAAGTCACTGTCTCGTCCAGAGAGACCAGCTCTTTCTAAATATCTCTCAGCTACACAAGAACTCGGGGCTCGTGCCTGGTACGTGGTTGATTCAGAACTCTCACATTACTAGATCAAACATTCATCATGTCGTATCCGACGCCTCCAGGTTTCAAGCCCGCCACCAGCCAGCCACCAGCATCGTTACCTGCACGTCCTCCCCAATCTGCAGTGAATCCCATATCATCCTTCAAGTCAAGCAGCTCCTCTAAACCCGCTTTCACCGCATTTGCGCCACGATCTGTTGCGTCTGCGAACCAGTTTCGCACAAACAGTCCTGCCCAGTACTCGGCACCTCCAGTTCCGTCATACAACGTGCAATCATCCTATCCCCAGCCGCAGAGCGATTACTCCTCCAAACCTCACTACGATGCTTCTTCATACTCGAGCGGTCCGGCGATTAGAAATCCTTTCGTCCCCAATACCGAATCCTCCGCGGCAGGCTACCCACCTGGTTTCGACCCAGAATATGAAGCGCAGGTCCAACAATGGCAGAGCGCCTACATGAGCAAAGACTCTGGAAACTTGGCCGCCAGACCAGCCGGTGCATCTACCGGAACCTCTACGCCAGCAATAGCAGCACAAGGCAGCACTGCCCGCTCTGAACAATCCGCCCAAGTCCCCGAATCTTCCACCGACAAGACCGTCCAGCGAAGCGGCGGTGGCACGACATGGACCGACTCGACATTGTTAGAATGGGACCCCGCTCATTTCCGCATCTTTGTGGGAAACCTGGCAGGTGAAGTAACCGACGAGTCCCTCCTTAAGGCCTTCTCTCAATATCCGTCGGTCCAGAAAGCTCGCGTCATCCGAGATAAGCGAACGACCAAATCGAAAGGCTATGGTTTCGTCAGCTTTGCCGATGGAGACGACTATTTTCGTGCCGCCAGAGAACAGAATGGCAAGTATATCGGCAGTCATCCTATTATAGTGAAAAAGGCCATGACTGATGTACGCGCCACGACGGTCAAACAAAATAACCCGAAGGGCAAAAAAGGTGGCTCTGGCGGTCATGGCAAAGTCCAACATGGTGGTGTCAACAAAAAGCAATCAAAGACGAAAGGCGGACTGAAGGTCTTGGGCTGAACGAGAAAAGTGAAGGATTGCCAAATATCCCTCTCGTTAGTTTTGGTGTTGGTGTCTCTCGGTGGGAAGTGTTCGCTCACTTTGAGAAGTTCTTCCTAGAAGGAAAACATCCAGCCACGCCCACCAGACCAGCAGCCCGCCATATCATCAAGGTGACAACACCACCATCACCGTTTATCCATTGACCAGCAAGCATCGAATCGAGCGCTTCATCGGACGAACAGGGCATCGTCCATGTTGAGGGCCAACACGTCGACGAAAGATCCTCCGCAGACCTCCCAGAAACAGAACCTGCTGGTCAACACGGACACTGCAAGCATAATGCATCAAAAGATACCAGGGCAGCAGATCATATCGGAATACAGAGCCTACCCACGCCTTTAGCCACGAGATATGATACTCTAGACCAAGGTACTGATTAGAATTCAAGTGCTTTGTCACTGGCCACTGGACCCTCAAGGTAAATAGGTGATGGCAAGGGAGGGACAGGGGGCCGTGGCCTACGGAAGGGTGGCTACGAATGTTACGACAATGGGTCGCTGCTAGGACCAATGACATTGAAATAAAGTCATTTCCTCTTATAGGCAGCAAGTCAGACATGAGAAATCATAATAGGAATTTTACATCAGATAACCCATCTCCAAGTACGACGACAACAAAAAAGTACAAAGCGTGTTTGTTTCCACTCCAAAGATCCACAATCTACTTGTGGTGGGTGACTGTCATGGTAATGAGTTCGGCCAGTCTCCTGACAACACGGATTTGCAATCTTTCTCCTAATAACCAGATCATGGGCAGACGCCAATCTACATGCCATGCTTGTCAGCACCTTTCTTCCACTGCTTTGATGTTACAGTCATAACGCTGATATGTCCCCTTCTAGCATCCCTTTGTGATCCGCCACGCCCTGGCTCCCTGGCTCGCATCTCAATGCATAGTGGCCACGGCACCTCGAGCCATATCGTCTGGATCTAGACTGGTGAGCGGTTCATTCGACTGGTCTTCTCCATTCGCTTCTCCTCTCTCAATACCAACATCATCTGCATTACTGTCTTTGTCGCTAACCTTGTCCTCATCAGAGATTAGTTTTGGCCGCACAACCTTTAGCAAGACCTCATCGTCACGCAAAGTAGAGTATACTCTCAAGCCTACCACGCAAACAGCGTTCCACGGTTCTTCAAGCCCGCCAATGTAATCAACAAAATGCGGATTAGGTGTACCTGGCAAAGGAGAAGGGTGCATTGGAAGTGGGACACGCCGGTCGACTCCTTCCCGGCCAGACCTGCGGCGATGGTGGCGGCGATGCACAAAGCCAGGGAAAGAGCCTTCGCGCCTGGACGAAGCTTCAGAATCAGAAGATGCAGCCTCTGATGACATGTCAAGCACAGAGTCCCATTCAAAAGGCGGGTAGGAGTCGACATCGTATTCCTCGCCATCGACTTGCACGCGTAAGTGATTGAAGATAGTAGGTAGGTCTTCGTATGGACCAGAAGTACTCGCAAATTCCAGACTTTGGGTGGCTGCTGTGGTATCAAGAGTGTCCTCACGTTGAGGCTCACGAATTTGCTCGAAGTTGTCGGGTTTATGGCTCAACTCTTGGCCCAAAGGTAAAGGTTGAGGGGGTACATGCTGTGGTTGATGTTGAGCAGGAGGCCCCGATAGAGGCTTCAAGTTTATGATTGTGTCGAGTTCATGCACTGGCGACTCGCGCCTCAATGAGCGGTCGTCACTCTCGCCACTACCACCGGCATTAGGGCTTGGTACGAACTCCTCTGTCCTTCTGCGAGGCTCCCATGAGAGCTGAGAGCCCCGGGTCTGATCTGCTGAGGAGCTTGAGGTCTTTGACCACTGTGTCTGAGTCGGTGTCGCTGCGGCACTTTCCTGTGTCACATCGCCTAGGGTTACCACTGGTGACTGCGGGGCAGTGAGATATGTTGAGCCACTCTCTCGCTCGATCGTCACACGATCTTCATCGGAAATGTGGATAGCCTCAGTTCTGGGTATGCTGGTACCGACTTCGTTGTTTTCTGATAGAACATGTGAGCGATGTGGTAGGTGCGGGATCCAAGGCATACTGGATTCAGATATCGGTCCTTGTCGTTCTTCAAGGTCGTCGACATGATGCTCATGGGTATTTTTCAAGGCGATCCGGCGCAAAGCATAGTTTGATGAGGTTCTGGTCTCGAAAGCGACGTCTCGTTCAAGACTTCCAACGGCAGGGAGATCTCGAGTTCGTGCCATCGTCTCCGCCTGTTGTTTCTTTCGCTGTCTCTGCATTTCTCTAAGGTGCTTGTCTCTTTCTCGACTCCAACGTTTCCAAGCTTTCTTCCTCGCTTTCTCCTTGCGTTGTTCTCGGGCTTTGGCTCTTTGGATTCTTTGGTGTGCCTTCCGCTCTTGTCGTTCTTCTTCGCTTTCCACAATCAATCCTTTGGCATGTGCTAAATCGTATGACAGACCCATCTGAATGAGTTTCTCGCGCTTAGTAGCTGCATAGATTGGCAACACATTTTCCAGATGATCTCGGTTGTGTTCGCGCTTTGCGGTGATTTTCATCAGGACAAAATATGTCCCTGCTTCCAGCTCGACATCCGTGCTGACGGATCTAGCCATGGCATAGTTGCCGTTTGAGCGGACGATATAGTCGTTGTCGTCTTCCTTTTCGGAAGACTCGAGTCGAAAATGAAGATCGTAGCTGTATGCACCCTCGAGGCCGCCAATATAAGTTTCGTCAAGCTGAGCCAATACAATGACAACATGAGCTCTTTTTTCTAGAATTAGAGAAAACTTGGTACTGTGATACTGCGCTGGCCAGGCAACATCGACTGCGGTCCAGCATTGTGTGACGTTCCAGTCACTTCCGAAGATGCGCGTTCGGTCAAAGTGCTGATATTTTCTTAACAGATCCTCATAGCTGATCCAAAACTCACCATCATTACCGAACTTGTGGCCGAGTTTTTGGATCCATTCTGGAGTCCACTCGGAGCTTCCGTCGCTCCAGGCGCCGGTTTTGACTGGTCGTCCCCATGGATTGCGGAGTTTAAGAAGACGTTTTCCATCAACTTCTCTCACATCCATGATGCTATATGCATGACCTTCTGAGATGCCATCACGTTCTTTGGGCGCATTGCTTGTATCAAGCCAATTCGAATAGAATCCTGTTGCACAGCCGAAAAGAAATTGCTTTCCGACTTGCATCAGCTCGTTAGTCCAGAAAGCTTCACGGTCAAGGATATCAGTGCCGTAAAGCTCGGTGGTGACACCGCCAGTCAAGTCCTCGATTGCTTCGCCGGTAAACCCGCCATCGATCGAAGCATAGTCGCCATGAGCTTTTGCATATGCCTTCTCAAGCAGCGGGAGCCAGGTCTCGTTCTCATCACTGCACTGTGCAAAGTAGAGCGCTCTAGAGCCTGTTTGATGAGCCTTTCGGTACTCTTCTTCGCGATCGAGATGATTGGGATCGTCCCACGGCCTCCGCTCGTCCTGGCTTTCCCACCAGTCGGGATGTTTGAGATAAAGCTTGTCATCAATGATACAGTGTTGCCATTCACCGTCTGCGAGAGACAACATTAGGAAATAGTGCTGTGGAAGAGATGGGCTTTGCATACCTCGAAAGAAGACGAAACCATAAACACCCACTTGCTGGTCCTGCTTGATGCAGACTCGATTGATCAAGCCTTTCATGTTGCCTAGGCCACACAAAGCGGCCATTAGATAACAATCCCCGTCACGACCTTGCCGGACGTCTCCGGCGGTTGGACCGTTTATGTAGAACTGTGGATTTTCGAAAATGTCCTTGAAGAGTTAGACCTGACGCCTTCTTGCCTTTGAAAATGCTCACAGTGACACGTTTGACGCCCTTTGGCCTCATTCCATCACCAGGTGTGCTCAACCCGTCGAGACAGTTTCTTTGACCGGACTTGAGATCCCACTCGATATCGAAGTGTAGGTCACGGTACTTCTGGTTCAGGCGTCTGCACTCTTTGACAATCCTACCCACATCGCGCTCACATTCAAGTTTGGCTGCCTCGTATGACTTGGCAGCCCTCTGTCCAGACACTGCGCCATGAGGAGTATTCTCAGCCTTTCTACGAGCATATGGGTCATTTGGTAAGACAGTGAACACTTTGCCGGGGAATCTTGGCTTGAGACGACTCCAGTATTGGTCGACCGTGTCCTGTGGAGCTTGCCGGCGTGATTGACGATGGATTCTTGAGGCCGCCGGGACACAGACGTCTGACGGTAGTGTAGGATGACGGGCCGGGCCATGTTCTGACCGATTATCATTCATTTTTTCCTTCCGAGATGATTAGCAATGAGGTGTCAGGGTCCTCAAGGCCTGATGTCGATTGTCTGGGATGCGCTCCGCAAAGAGGACAGGTGTTGATCTTAGCCCATGAAAGTCCTGGCAAGCAGGCTTTCTCTGGAATTCTGCCGTGCTTGGACTTATTGGAGAGTGGTCAGCCTTAGTATTGGGTCGTTACCGCCGACAGACAATGAATGACGTCCAGTTTTGGAGGATTTGGGACCGCAACAAAAGATGTGAGTGGATGAATGGTTGAATAAGACACATTGCTAAAGAATGACGACGACTTGGGAGTCGCGAGAGGGAATTGACTCGAGTGAGGGTAAGGCTGGAGGATGGCGGCTCAATTGTTGAACGAGGAAATGGTTCTTTTGTCCCAAACTAGGCTTCGAAATGCCTGAGGCTTGGTTGATGATCTAACCAGTCTTTAAGACTAGCCCCAGATCAACAGCTGGGGAGGTCGCATGGGGGTCCAGTATTGGTTGATTGCCTTCGGTTGCACCGATCCAGGGGTAATAGTGGTCGTCCATTGGCTCTTCCATATTGATCGTTGAACAGGCTGCAGCCTCAGTAATGCCTGTGTGGTGGGCATGAGCAACTGTCTCAACCCAGGACACGATCATTTGATTAGGATAGCGTTTTATAACGTGATCTGACAGTTGATGGCTACCCAAGGAGGGCATCGGGTTGATTGTTAAGATGGGGGTAATGCTGTCTCGTGGAGAGCGACGAGGTACAGCCATTGGGGACGTAGAAATGTTGAATTGATGGGACACATTGAGACAGAGAAAGTGTCAAGAAAAGGAAGGGGAAGGGGAAGGGGAAGGGGAAGGGGAAGTGGAAGTTGCTCTTTCCAAAAGTGTCATTATATCGAGTTATATGGTGGACAGACGACTTCACGTTATAGAAGGCGCATCCCGTTCGTAGACAGGCACGTACAGGTAGGTGCCTTCCCAAAAGCGGGACGGGTTCGCTGGTGAGGCTTGGCAAAGAGTCGAACAGAAAGATTGTCACGTTCAGCAAAGCTTCAAGAAGAGAGCTTTCTTCATACTAGGTCAGCCTGTCATGGTCTGGCTTACCTCGTAGATATGCATGCAATGGTGTCGAAATACCTCAGGGAGGTGTTTTGGACCCCACAGGTTCAAGCCTCAGCGTGTGCGGGCTATCTTCTCCCTACTCCATGTGACAAGATAAAATAGTGGTGCATAAAAGCAAGACTTCGAGGCCTTTATGTGCACAATCTGCGCACAGATGAATTTATGCAAGAGGTATGCAGGTGTTGACACCAGTAGCTTCATAGGCTGCCAGCGAGCGAAACAGGGCCGAAGAAGTGCAGTAGGGCGAGCAACAGGGAGGTGTACGCTTGGAGCGTCTGTTCGGCATGGTTGACTCTGCATCCCTAAGTTAGGCGATAATGATCGTCCGATGCATTCCCTCGTCCCCGCCACCAGCCCCGGATTTTTCATGTTTGGGCAGCCAGTTCTCACCACGCAGGGAGTCCCCTTCACGCAGCCTGATAAACGGAATACGATGTAGCAGACTTTCAAGGTACTCACACCACTATACTTGTAGTCCCCGCAGTGCTACTTGGCGAGATGCATGCCGGTCAAGACAGTTGGATGGTGGCTTGTGAACGACAAGACTGACTTGACTCAGCGGAAGACTAGCCACGACTAGCTTTCCTAGGTACCTAAGAGAAAACAGGGCGGCGTGTGCAGGCACGGAGGCCAGCCCACCGCCTTGCCGCCCTGAATTTCTTCTACGGAGTGTAGACCCCAGATTCTGCCGCTGCCTTTTCCCTCCAGTTAAAAGGTCAGTCCCCGCAATAGTCAGAATAATGACAAGTGCCCCAGAGAGAACCCTAAGCCTCCATGGGCGAGTGCTGCACAAGTAGTCAGGCGCCTAGGCAGGCAGTCAGTCACCTCCCACCCTCTCGTGTCCCAAGCACCCAGAGCGGTCGCACCTGCCGTGGTATACTGCAAATCCTACCTTCCTTCTGCACCGTCCATTATTTATTCTCTTTTCACACACGACGCTCAACGTCTGCTATCGACTCACTTCACAGTAATCTATACCTTTGATCTTGCCATGTATTTCTAGCTTCGTCTTGCATGTCCCCGAGTAAACCCGCCGAATCCCCCGTTCCTCCTGCGTCCTGCCCTCGACCATCATGAGTGAACCGAGTCCGCAGTCAGAGGCGCAGTCCACCCCAGCTCAAGGCTCGACCGAGACTTCCAAAGAGCAAACTGGCACAAACAAAGCGCCGCCGAACCAGACTCCTGGTCATCCCAGTTTCAGAAGGTCAGTCATTCATCAGCGCTCATCAGCACATGTCAATTGCTGACTTTGGAACCAGGCAACGGGCTTCTCGAGCTTGTGGTATGGTTTTTCCCTTTTCGCTGCTTCACCTCAATTTTCCCACAATCCCAAACACTCGCGCAGTCAAAGTGATGGTGGTAAATGGTGTACTGTGAGCTGTCGCAGAATGGTGAAGAGACGATTTCACGCAGGTGACGCCGTCAAGTCTTTTTGTTCATTCTGTGGACGCGACCGACCGAGAACCTCGGTCCAACTGTGATCCCATCACACAATCTGGGGAAGCCATCATCGGTCCTCGTACCTCGACCACTGGCCCCATAGTACCCATTCCCACCCAACAACTGCAAATTAATCCACCATCAATACCTCCTGACATCTATAACGAGCTTGAGCTAACGCTGTCCTTCATAGAAACATGTCATGCACGAAAAGTATGCCGTCTTCCCTAAGCCACTACTCTCACCGCCCAACCACAGCACCGGAGCTAACCATCTTCATAGGTTCGATGCGATGCCGCATCTCTAGGGTTAGTTGATCATACCGCCGGTCTGCCTTGGACCATGCTGAATTTTCTAGTGTGCCATGCACCAATTGTGTGGCGTTTTCCATCGAATGCCGAATCCCAGTCCCCAAGAGAAAACGTGCTAGTACCGCTGCCAGGCAAAAAGACGAAGAAAGGTCAATCCTTCCCATTCCGCCTGTTTCCAGCCCTGTTGAACGACACTGACATTGCGCCCACAGTGAAGCAGGAGATGTGCAACAACCAGCTACCCCCTCAGAGCCACGTCCTGCTCAACCACCACGCCCAAAGCAACAACTGGGCTACAACTCTGCAGATGGCATGCCTTCGACTCAAATCTCGGACGCTCAGGCCGCCCAGGAGGCCGCCAACAACAGCACCATGGCCCAGTTTATGAAGCCCAAGTTTGCTCGAGCACCGATCAAAGAGGCTGGTCGAGTCGCCTACCTTGGCGAATCCTCCAATTTGTCTCTCCTGGTCCATGACAGGCATGGAACCACCGACGTGGTGCACTATCCCTTGCCTGAAAATATCCGAGGAGCCCGCGCTCGACTTACCGAACCCGACCAAATGGAGATTGAGATCTTGCAACAGAGAGGCGCTTTCCTGCTTCCTCCTCGCGCCTTGTGCGACGAGCTCGTAGATGCTTACTTTCGTTGGGTGGCCCCAATTGTACCTGTCATCCACCGAAGCCGTTTCATGAAGAGATACAAAGACACCAAAAACCCTCCATCATTGTTGCTCCTCCAGGCCGTTCTTCTTGCCGGTTCCAGGGTCTGTACCAACCCACAATTAATGGACGCCACTGGTTCCACCACTCCTGCGGCTATGACTTTTTATAAACGGGCAAAGGCCTTGTATGATGCTAATTACGAGGACGATCGGATCACCATTGTCCAGGCTCTGATCTTGATGGGGTGGTACTGGGAGGGCCCTGAAGGTAAGGACCTGTTCCTTATCCATCTCTATAAATCCGTCGGACCTAACACTAGGACAGACGTGACCAAGAATGTTTTTTATTGGACTAGAGTGGCAATCGTCGTTGCTCAAGGCGCTGGAATGCACAGGAGGTTTGTCTCCCGTCGACAAGAGGAATGCCAAAGTACTGACCAAATTATCAGCGTCGAGAGCTCTCAATTAAGTAGACAAGACAAGCGCTTATGGAAAAGGGTATGGTGGTCTCTCTTCACAAGAGATCGATCGGTCGCTGTGGCCCTGGGAAGGCCTGTCTCGATCAATACCGATGACTCGGATGTCGAAATGATCACTGAGGAAGATTTCATCGAAGACGAAGGAGATCCGAACCACGAGTATCAACACGAGTCGGTACATGTCCAATTCTTCCTGCAATATGTCAAGTTGTGTGAGATTATGGGCCTGGTGCTGTCTCAACAGTATTCTGTTGCCTCCAAAGCCAGGAGAACCAATGCCATCGACTTGACTCACAGTGACATGGCACTGGCAGACTGGCTTCAAAATTGCCCACGAGAAGTATACTGGGAAAGATCGCGGCACCATTTCTGGTCCGCACTGTTGCACTCCAATTACTAGTAAGTACACACACTGCTACAGTGCCACAATCGCTGACGCTTTCAGCACCACTTTATGTCTCCTTCATCGAGCCCACATGCCCCCAGCAACCGCAAAACCACACGATTACGAGAACGTCGATATGGCCTATCCATCGAGAACAATCGCATTCCAAGCCGCGGGCATGATTACTTCTATAATGGAGAATCTTCTTGCGCACGATCAGGTCAAATACCAGCCTGCTTTCATGTAAGTGCATTGGTGTCTGTGCGGCACACTCTCTAACGGTGACTACAGTGTGTATAGTTTATTCTCCGCCTTGATCATGCATGTGTATCAAATGCGATCCTCGGTCCCTTCGGTCGTGGCAGCAAGTCAAGAGCGGATAAACGTCTGCATGGTTGCGTTAAAAGAGGTTTCCAAGGTTTGGCTTGTGGCGAAGATGGTCCATACCTTGTTCGAGTCAATATTGGGAAACAAGGTGTTGGAAGAAAGACTTCAAAAGGCGACTGGGCGGAAAGCTCAACGAGCAAAGGCGAATCAGCCTGCTGGAGGCCATCTACACTCAAATGGAAACACCAACGGCAACACGCAAGCAAACTCAGCAACACCCTCAGCACCACCTCCACCTCCAAATTCTACAAAGCGCAAATTCGACGACATTGATCTCGGTTTCAACGTTGGACCTCCTGCACAGCAAATGTCATACGAGAGATCGCGGCCACAAACACCAGCCGTCACACCGTCACGTGAGCAAACACAGAGTCACGTGAACACGTTCCTCGGCTCCCCACCCCTACACAACGATCAATACTTGCCCACCTCACGATCGCGAGGTGCGTCAAGGATACCCTCCCGCGGACCAACGCGTGCGAATTCACCGTTCAATGGATATTCTATTCCTGCCACTCCACCCGACCTTTTCTTGGTCACCCGTGACTCCCCCAATATCTCACAACAACTATGGGAGAACTTTCAGCCTGATCAACTCTTTCCTGACGGCACAATTGGCGATGTCAGTAGCTTTACGAGTCCAGTGATCCACAATGCAGTCGACCCACAGCTACAGATGCCTCAAAGTCTGGGTGGACAATCTATGCCGCAAATGGACATGTCGAATCCCGGTCAACCTCAAGTTTGGCCACCTGGTATGCAAGGAATGATGGGTGCAGGGATGGAAATGCATGACAGCGATGGGTGGAGCACGAGCAGTATCGGAAATGCCCCGATTGCGCCAACCACTCTCAATGTAGAGGATTGGTTTCAATTTTTTGGTATCAACGGGGAGATGGCTTTATCTTAGCCTTGACGTGCAATGAAAAAGCAAAACGAGATATTGAGCGTTGGAATATGTTCCATTGTCGCTATCAAAGAAACAAATACCGTGGCATGAGATGTGGAATCAAAAAAAGCATATCAACAAGAAGAACCCATTTATGTGGCTGAAGTTTCCCCCACAGTAAACCTGCGCCCATTTTGAACGCCGCCTCAATCTCCGTCCGCATCAGCAGCAAACATCAGCATTGTCACCGGCCGCCTTTTTCGATAACCCGCATTGTCAGCACCCGAAATCAGCCTCGTCATCGGCGCCATCCCCATGACCATCAGCCCAGTCAGCACGCATCGCCATTTGCCGGAAGTTAATTCTATGTGGAGTCGATTCTCTGCAGCCCTGGCTTGCTTACTTTTTCTGATCAGTCGTCTCCGCCGACGATACCGAAAGCAGAGATTTGGCATCGCTGTATTTATCGAACGTCATTGCTGCCTCGGCAGCAGCCTCTTCATTGGACTGGAATTTCCACCAGTTCTTGCGGGTGATTTTGGCCACTCGCACGGCACCAGGGTTGGGGTTCTTGACACTCAGTGTGCGGCCTTGTGCTGTAGCCTCAGCCCGGATGGCATCCCGGTGGGCCTTGCTGTATCCTTCGAGGAATAGATTGGTGTATTGTGCGCCAGACATGTTGAGGTATGGAGTGTGTGTGTGTGTGACTGGAAAAGATGGAGGATCGCCTAGCGTACGATGGACCTAATGAGGGACAGATGTCGAATACGCCGGTTTATGTCTAGGTTCTTGTTGGAATGGATAGGCAGGCGCAGAGAGTCTGTGTAGAATATTGAGTTGTAGTGCGTAGTTTTTGGGGGTATATATGACCAATTTTATAAGACGTTTGTCGGTGGAGGAGGAATGCCAGGGATGAATAATGGGGATCAGCTATATTGAAAATGACAAAACAGCAACAAAGGAAAAGACCACCTGAGTCAAGGGTGAACCTTTCTTATATCCCAAACTTCCCATGTACTCAGGTTGTCCATGCGTTACGCCATCAAGCCAGAACACGCCTTTCCGTAAGCGAAGTTGACAAGGACTCCATAGGTAGGTATCTGGGGCAGACAATCGGCCAGGGTATAGTATGGTATGGCATAATTTAGTACGAATGACTCAATCAAAACTCAGTCTGAGGCTCGCGCCAGTTCTTTCTCGATTAGTTTTCTCTCTCCTTCGGTCATTAAGTCTACGTCTGAGTCTATCCGTCACTCCCCCGAAGGGAATGGTTGGAAAACACTTTTACCGTTCCCGCAATATCCAATAATAGGCGCAGCACATAGGAGTGAGTCACAACTGGTGATTGGACAGTGGGAACGAATCTGGTGTCTAAAAGGCCAATGCTGTAGGCGGGCTGAAACGCGAACGAACGAACGAACGAACGAACGAACGAACGAACGGGTCCTCCCCATCCATCGCAAGGCGTGGCATGGCATGGAAATGGCATTTTGCGTATCTAACTTGTCCGAGCTTGCATACATTCAGTCCAACCGAGGACTTGGTCACGGGATGAAGATACGTTTTCATTGGTTTAGAGCACCTTTGAGGGCCACGCCGGGTCTTGGTTAGTGATGAGTGCTGGGGCTTGGGAATGGAGCGGGATGCGGCTTTGGTGGGGAGGGGGGTCGGAGGGGGGGGGAAATGTAGGTACTCACGTATGCACAAAAGGCGAAGAGGGTCGAGGGGTCCGGTCCCGAAGGGTCTGTTTCATACACGGGAATCTCAATGTAGAGACCCTTTTTTCTTTTCTCGTCGGATGTGTGTCGTCGGTCTGTCACTGCTGGTGCCTTGTGCCGCCTTGACGCAAATTCGAAGTTGAACCACTATGTACTGTAATACATGTACTACAGAAACTTTGATCTCCACGCCTGGAATCCGCTTTCGGGGAGGAAAACGACATGCCGAAAGGGCGGGTTGGAAAAATGTATTCATTCCATGTTGGCTATAATGATGGATGACAAAAGGCAATTCAGCCCTTGCGAGTACATGAAATGTTCGAGGTGATGCGATTGCATTCTCCGAGCATATACAAACCCGTATCACTTTATTACTATCAAGTACATAATGATAATAATAGTCTTGTAATACATAATCCAACCAGAGAAATTGGGAATAGATCGACGCACGTTCACACGTGGCGCGGCTGAGAAACTCCATTTCTAGTGACCACCCCCAGGGGCCCCCCATCGGTGCTTCGACGCTCTGACAACCGAGTAGTGGACCAAGCGAAGGATAAAAAGGCTCGTGCTTAAGCATGGCATAATAAAATGGAGAACAGTCAACAGCCAAGGGCGTGCCGCCAGGTCGCTAATAGTAATTCCCATAGGAATGAGTGAGTACCTTCATGGCTTGTGTATCGTAAGCACCACAGAACGCACACACGCACCCCCGCCTCCCCCCCTTGGCCCAATCATCGTGAAACTCGTTCATGTTGTCATTGTCATTATCATTGTCATGTCATGTTCATGTACCGGTAGGGCGTGAACAAGTCCAACTTAGATCCGTTCACTGAGTCATATTGCTGGCCCTGTACCTGGACTATCCACGCCGACCGTATTGTCGGGGAGGGGACGGGATCCATCTTGCAGACATCTTCTCTTGTGGTTCCTTGTGTGCAGTAGTGACGGTAAGGTAAGTGTGCTCTCAAAAGATTCCAGGGACTGAAGTGTTCACTGCTGCCTGTATAAGAATGGACCGTGCTGCAGGGCTGAGTGTCTGAGCCTTTCAAAATTGAAGCCTAAAGCCCAGGCCTCAAATCCAAGTCCAGGCTGTGATATCTCCCTATTCTGGCCTATTATTGCGTTCAATAGTTACTTCCCAAATACGGTTAATTAAGCTGTTCATAGGCGTGATAGGGTACACAGGGTTCTCACACGACCTGACCTGACCTGACCTGATCGAATCTGATCCTCGTGGGCATTGTTTAGAGCAAGAGTCTAGACCATGGGCCTTCGCTAGTATACAGTATGAGTACCTATCTACTTGGCAGGTATTGGCAGGTACTTGGTCGTTGGTTGGTACTTGTGTGCTTCTGATTCACAAATGTCCACCCACCCACACACTACACAAATGCAGATGAAGATGCAGACTCGCATGGCCCAGGCCAGAGAGCGTCGATTGGTTCGTTATCGCTATCGCTTCCGGGCTGTTTGTGGGTTTCAATTATCACTTGGCTATTTCCTGAAATGTACCAATCCTTCGGTTGGCAGTTGACTTGACTTGACTAGGCTTGGAAGTAGAACAAATATCTGGATCAGCATGCCTGCGTACTTCTGTATCATGTGCAGGTCGCATGGGACGGGCCAAGTGTGGAATCAGAGGTGGGAGGACTGGAGAGAGGACCAAGGCAAAGAACGAAAGAGCGAAAGATGAATGGACTCTGGACTTGGATGATAGATGCTCAATTCTGATATTTTTGGTGGTAACACTGATACTAAGTAGGTAGCTTCCATAGCATCGCCGTCTAACCATGGTTCTCATGGGGCACATACTATGTTGATACACACCATAAAGACCCTCTCACTCGGCGTAGTGAATGAGGACATTCATCATGGCATCGCCCATCATTGTAACTTTTGTGGAATAAGATGCTTGTTCATACATACCACGAGAGACAACCCCCTTCTTCATCGTCGAGCATCCACAGAATCCCCATGAAGAAAATCCCCCATTTCTCAGAACCCCGATCCTGGTCCTTGTAAGGCTCAAAAACGCCACGCATTTATGCAGACAGTGAAATCAGACACACGGTCATCCCTTCATTACGATGACTTTGTCTTCTTCTTTTTCTTACTCTCGCCGGCATCACCGTCCATCGACTTGCGCTTCTTTTTCTTTTCGACGACTGCGTCTTCCACTGCTACATCACCATCGGCGTCGACTGATTTCCGCTTCTTGTCTTTCTTGTCTTTCTTTTCGCTCTTGTCCTTCTTCTTCTTTTCCTGTTTCTGGACAGCGGCAGGCTCTGCGTCGAACATTTCTTCATCTGCGTCTGCAGCATCATCGACATCCAAGTCTTCGAGGATCTTGTCCATTGCATTTTTCTAAGACTGTGGTCAGCAGTTGTGTATGTTTTGAAGTTATTGTGTTGTTAATTCTTACCATGGCGATCTCGTTTTTGGTAGGTTGTGCACCCGACGAGTAAAACTCCAACCGCTCCTCAACTTGCTTCTTCAATGCCTCTCCATACACCGTCGAAGGCTTCTCGGAAAAGTTGTCGATCCTTGAAGCGATTGAGCATTTGTTGGCCAAGAATCTTGATATCCGACCCTTATTCTTTTGTCCAGCACGTCCAATGAACGACGAGTGGTATAGGAGGCCGTATTTTGGAGTGTTGCCCTTGGTCTTTAGTGCTCGGAAGAGAGCCTTCTCGGCACCTAAAATCTGAACGGTGGAGGCGGGGTATTTGGACAGGTTGGTGAGACTACCGGCGTGGGAGATGAGCCTGGCACCGACAACTTCGCCAATAAGAGCTGCCAGATTGGGAGCCACAACTCCCATCTTAGATACCAGGTATGCATAGAGGGTTTTTCGGTAGTTAGCCAGGCTGACCACTCGCTGCGCAAAGAGAGTAACATTTTCCATGTCTGAGGTGGAGATCTCTTGACCCATGCTGGTCTTTGCTGCTTCGATGATGCTCTTGGCAATGTCCTCGTCATCTTCAACCACCGCGGCGAGGTCGTGCAGACTTGCCTCGGACAGAGTCTTCTTGTCTTTGACAAAGAGAGCAACCTTGGCATATTTGTGGTTGTCCGAGACAATCTTGACAAGTTCAGGGAAGTGCCAGGAGTACCATTCGCGCACCCGCATAGAGAATGTGTTGATGGCCTTGTCGAGCTGGTCGAGGATCGCAATAGCTTGGATAATGTGGTTATCATTCTTCTGCACCGAAAACTTGACCTTAGCTCGAGAGTAGGCGTGGCCTAAACCGAGCTGCGCAGTGTTGGTATCTCCCTCACGCAGCTGTTTCAGCAGCTTCTCACTATGAAGGCGGATCCCTCTGAGCATGTCCTGCACCACCTCACTTGTATCACCAGTTTCACATTCGAGGTTGGGAAATGCCGATTTGATGCTGCTAGCCAAGATTTTATCAGAGACACCCAAAGTGACCTTGCTCTTCTTTCCCGCTTTTGGTAGGTTCAACTCGAGGAAGGACTTGAGGAAGTCGGAGGCAATGCCTTCGGAGACATCGTGGAGCTCTTGCAGAGCTTGTTTGCCGTTCTCGAATGGCAGGAAACTGACAAGGGAGACCATCTTGCCGAACTTGCTGAGATCAGCGACACCTTGCTGGACTTCTTTGAGTCTCAGCGCGACCGTGTCTGCTTGATGAACGGATTTGAACAGGGCAAAGCCCAGACCGGACTCAAAAAGTAGGAAGTCGGACATTGTGCGGATAGAATTTGGATGGGGTATGAGCTGAAAGGAATAAAGAACCTTCGAGGAGTGTTGGCACCATATATGGTACACAACAAACGAGGACTAAACGCCTTTTAGTTGGGCGCAGACTGCGATCTATCGTGCGACAAAAGGTAACGGTTTGATATCGAGGATAATTTTCTGGCTAGTCAAGAAAACTTACGGAGTACTCCAACTCACTTGCGTTAGCCGCGGAGTGGCTTGGCATGCCAAGCTGTTTTGTTTTAGGAAGGTATAACGAGATCATAATCTGTTGCTGCTTTAGGGTATCCCACTGTTGTCCCTCCCGTCTCCTCCTTGGCATTTGGAGGTGAGATCGATCTGAGTGGACTTTTAACTTGCTGCCCCGGCCTTGGGCCGAGGGCCACCCCCGGTCTGTCTAGATTTCCCCATCCCCCATATCGAATGGCGCCCCTGCGGTTAGTTAATAATGCGTAGCATAAGGAGCATAGGCCGCCCGAGAGGACTGCCGGAAAGTCTTGTAGACAAGGAAGGTGGATGGATATATGCTTCGTTTGTCCGAGCCCAGAAGCAACCGTCCAAATTTCACACTATTCTTGGTCCCATGTTTCGACCAATTTCTGGGATCACTTAGGTCAAAAAGTCTCATAAGTGACACCGCTTCACATTTCAGACCAGTGTTGTATCAAAGACACATCCCCAATCTCAGCGACATTGCCGCTCCACATTCTATTAATGGCCCGTCCAAGTAGCACAATGCCCTCTGAAAAGCGCAGACCGTATGTGTCTAGAGCATGTAACCAATGTTCTAGGCGGAAGATCAAGGTAATTCTCCCTGCTGACGACATTTTGGTTCATGTTTCGACTTACAACCGTCCAGTGCTCGGCGGAATTGCCTTGTACCTTCTGCAAGTCACGCAGTTTTGACTGTTTCTACCCCGACGGTCATTGCAAGCCAAAGCGTGCCCGGACCTCAAATAATGATACTCAGAGGTACTCACATCCTAAATCTATTTTATAGACACTAATGATTTTAGCCGAGATGCTGCTTCAACAACAACGACAGATCAGGACGCTTCGGCTCATTCTGGCGAATCTCAGGAAACCAAGGAACTGCGTTTTGAGATTCAGCGCTTGAGGTCGGAGATGGAGCTCTTTATGCGAAGTCATCGCAATGTCACAGGACAAGTAGAAAGCCCCCGGGACTACGAAGCACAACAGGATCTCCCAGGCAACTACTCTTTGGCAGATCCCTCAGGCGAAGGAGCGTCTGGGACGGTCGCTTTGGATTGTTCTCCGCTCGGAGCTCAAACGGATACCTTTGAACTCCCTAACTCTTGGTCGAATCCTATCGCTCTTGCTTCTCAAGTCAGAAGCGTTGTCCCATCCAACAACAGAAAAAAACGAGGGGTCACGCATACAACTTTTACACTGTCGCTTCCTCCACCTACAATACTCCAAAAGCTGATTGACGGCTTCTTCAGCGAATATCAGACATACTTTCCTTACATCCGCCGGACTTTTTTCCAGGAAAGAATGACTGACATTCTTCGTGGTTATCCCTACACAGAGCAGCACACTACGATCGCCGTGGAATTTGCCCATTGTTATATTTTTGCGCTTCTATGTAATATGATGGCCATTTCAGAGTCTGTTCACTCCAAGCCCCTGGCTGTAGAGACCCTTGGTTTTGAATATTATCTCCAGGGCCTGCGGCTCATGCAGCATTTTCAAGGTTCGGTTCAGGACTGTCTCGAACTGGCGGTCTATCACACTGTGGCCGCAAATTTTCTGATCCAATCTGAGCGTTTACGCTTAGCCGCAAAGGAAATCACCCTCGCCATCCATGTCGCCTTGAGTGCCGGCCTTAACGACGAGACCCGATGGGAACGGGAAGCCGAAGAAATCGCAGACCGTACCGGATTCTGGTGGGCTCTCTTCTATCTCGATCGCCGCATTCACCAAAAGTGTGGAATTCCCTACATCCTTCGTGAGAATGACATCAACGTTGGCGAACCCGATATCAAAACTTGTCCTGATCTGGACGAGACCGAGTGCCATCTCTTGAAGAGTATGTATAGTTATGCAAAGCTCTGGACTTCCATTTGGGATGCAAATTTTGCGGCGAAGGCATCGTCCAAAGAGCCAAATTGGCACGACATAAGGGTTCAAGATGCGCATATCACAATATCGTACGACTCAGTCTGGCCAGGTCTCCAGTGGGACACCTGGCGAGTACAAGAATATCTCAGTGGCGACAATGCGGAGATCCGAATCCGTCAACGTCTTATTGTATATCTAGTAAGCATCGCTCCTACGGCATTGCTAGAGATTTGAAGGGAGAGATATGCTAACACGCCTCTCTAGAGATTTCAATTTCTTCGTCTGGGCATTCGCCATCGACGCATCACCTCGGGAATCGGTGATGCAGAACGACGCATGTCCAACTATCAGCTGGCATGCGACATTATTCGGGCTTGTGAAGCCTTCGTCAATACAGCCCTCCCGCTGTTCCCATTTGGGTATGTCTTGACGACCTCGCTCGTGGAGTGCCTATCTATTCTTGTACGAGAAGATAGAGAGGCGAGTGCTTGTATGGATAATGCGAGCCTAGATGAAGCGATCAAGTCTGCCAGTACCCTTCTACGGACTCTGGCTCGATCTGCGGGATGGGGTCGCAGAGCGTGTGCCACGTTACAACCAGTGCTTCGCCCACAAGTCTCCGGCATTGACTCTGTCCTTGCGGGGACCTCTGATATGCCCGAGGGGAGGATGAACGACGCTGATCCCCATCGTTTTGATTCATTTCCCAACATTCCAAACGACTTCTTCTATGGATTCGCAGATAATGATTTTGACTCGGTCGCAAGAACCTTTGACGATATTTGGTTGCCGAGTAGACTGTCGGGGGGTCCATTTATATGATTTATATATGACTTATACGTTTCAAAAGCAGCCTCCAATTGTGACTTCAATAGTAACCTTCGATCATTGATTCTGCTACGTATAATGCTTATACCCTAACGTCTCTGGCGTGATGTGCCCAAGGCTTTCGCATCAAGGTGCTTCAAGCCATTGATCTCACTAGACTGCTCTATCGGAGTCTTTCTCTAGGTACCTATGAAGGCTTCTCAAGCGTCTGGATTTGCAGAAAATCTGGTAGCGGTGAACCCTCCGTCACAAGTGACATTTGAGCCGTTCATAAAGGTACTCTCGTCAGAGAGTAACCAAGCAACCGTGTCAGCGATCTCCTCTGGATAGGCCTGTCTCTTTGCTGGACAAGCCTTGATAATATCGTTCTCAATGAACGCCCGGATATCAGGTGCAAGTGTCTTCAACCAGTGTGGGAACCCGTCACTGAGAATTGCGCCCGGGGAAACCGCATTAACACGAATGTGCCATGGTCCATAGAACTGGGTACCTGTTCGCGTGAGGGATTGCACTGCTGCCTTGGCCGCAGAATATCCTGGAAGTCCCAGGCCAGTGATTCCATTTACGGATGAAATGTTGACAACGCTGCCTCGAGACAGGACCGTACGGTTGGATGGCGTCAGGGTGACAGTCCGAGCCTCTTGCTTCTGCATCTGCAGGCATTCGTACTTCTGACAGAGCCACACGCCTCTCTGATTGATAGCGTACATCCTACAACATGTCAATCAACGCATCGCTGTCATGGAGCTAACACAACACATACCTATCAAAGGTGTCAACGTGGACATTTTCCTCGCTTCTGGCCATTGCCTCGGGGGCGCCAGCATTGTTGCAGGCATAATCGAGGCGACCCCATCTATCCACAGCGGCTTGAACCATGTTCTTGACATCTTCTTCGTTGCTTACATCAGTCTTCACAAAAATTGCATCGACGCCAAATGTGTCTATCAGTTCTTGAACGACTTTAGATCCTGTCGTTTCATTAAGATCCGCAATTAGGATATTAATGCCTCTGGCGGCGAGCTTTCGCCCGATTGCCGCGCCGATACCCTGACCGGCTCCTGTGATGATAGCACTTTGCTTGACTGACATCTTGAATGTAATGCTGGATGAAAAAAAGAGTTTACTTTGCTGGCATTTGGATCAGGTCACTTTTGGGGGTATTCCTACCTCACCACACCCTCTCCAGCCAATTCTTGCATTATAAGCCCCGAAACCGATAAAGGCATCCTAGCGCCGATAGAAACCCCATGTACGGTCTTCGCCGTGGGCAATGCACGATGCAATGCGGGGGGGAACTCAGGAAAGAGACCTGTGTTTCCGTTGACGGAATGATGGTGAACAATTCCGTCTTGGACGGACAGGGTACTGCCGGTGAAGCGATCACTCCGTCTGTGGGTATCCCTGACAAACTCCTCGGGTTTGAAGGGTTCACAGAGGGGCCGTGTACGTGTATAGAGTTGTAGGCATCCAACATGGCATCTTCTTAAGTCAAAGACGAAATGGTGTGACATTTGGTCACCAGAAACTTCACCACTGCAAAGAGTCACCCCAGGGATTGAAAGCATGTCGTCGTCTCTAACCGTAATGTTGATTTCGAAGTATTCTGCAATCATTTCGGTTGCAGGGGCTTCCCTTGTGCTAGGTTTTCTCGGCCTGCTCATATATCGTATCTGGTTTCATCCTCTTGCCCATATTCCTGGGCCATGGATTTGCAAAGTCTCTGGGCTATACGACTTTTTCATCTGTTTAGGTGAAAAGAGACATGAGAACTTCGAGCGACTGTTCAAGATTTACGGTAGGAAGCACTATTCTCATCGCTCCACGGTATATAAGCTAATCGATTAGGACCGGTTGTACGTTTTGGGCCAAATGAAATAGTTTTCAATACTGCAAGCGCTTTCCAAGGTATGTGATCCAGATGTGATATGTGGTACTATAAGTAACCTCTTGACACAGAGCTATATGGCTTCAAATCAAATTCTGTGAAGTCGGATGCTTTGGCGGCTGCGAGTACCGACCCCGACTTGACCAGCACCTTCACAGAACCTGATCGCAAACGGGCGCAGAAAAAGAGACAGATTCTCTCATATGGCTTTTCTGAGAATGCACTGCGATCATCTGAAGGTAGGCCTTTTTCATCGAATCTCTCGAGAGTAGTGCTTGTCGGCCGACTGATTTCATTCTAGCTTACATCATTGACCGTATTAACCTTATGTGCAACCGTCTCGTTGATCCTGCAACTGAACGAGTCAAAGACATGTCGAAGTGGCTTAACTATCTGGCTTATGACATTATGGGCGAAATCGTTTTCGGCCGCGGCTTTGACATGCTCGTTGATGACCAGCTTCATTATATTCTCCCATTGATAGACAACATGGTGTTCAGCTTCCTTCTGGTACGTCATCCACGACCACATGGCTTTCACTACTGACCCAGATAGGGCGGTGCCTTGCCATGGCTACACAAATCAGGCCTCATCAATCTTCTTTTCCCCACAATGGGCAAGAAGAGGCAGATGTTTGTCAAGTACTGCCAAGAACGTGTTCTCGAACGAGTTGGAAGAGACGCCGAGTCAGAAAAGGCAGAGAGAAAGGACTTCTTTTACTGGGTAAGTGAGGGATGATGGTACCTGCAAACAAGCTTCTAATTATTTTCTAGTTGCTCAGAGCCCGAGACCCGGAGACCGGAAAACCATTATCGCGAAAGGCCTTGATCACAGAGGGGACTCTTCTGATCCTGGCTGGGAGTGATACCACGTCAACAGGTGAGTGTCCTAATGAAAACTTCTCGTCGCTTATACCTGACAATAAATTCCCGTGATAGGTCTTGCGGCCGCTCTCTTCTATATTCTGCAGAACCCACCTGTCTTAAAACGACTCCGAGAAGAACTTGATGACAACTTCACCACTGTAGACCAGATCCGAACTGGTGCCTCTCTTTCTCGATGTGTCTATCTCAAAGCAATTGTGGAGGAATCGTTGCGCATGGCGCCTCCAGGACCCGGAATCGCCCCAAGGACCATTCTCAAGGTATGCGTTCTCTACAACCCTGTTAGCCTAATGAGTGAGTTCTGACTGTGGTACGTTAGGGTGGGCAAGTTATCGATGGAATTTTCGTTCCTGAAAGGGTAAGTTAAGGCTTCTGCTTTTGGCTTTTGTGTTCCACTCTGACAAAAGGCTGGTAGTATACCATTGGAGTTTCAAAGTACGCGTTAGCCCAGAATGAGCGATACTTCCCTGAGCCACATGTTTTCAAACCTGAAAGATACCTTCAAGGTGGCGAGTTCAGTGATGAAGAGGTCGAACGGGCAAAGAATAGCTACTGGGTTTTCTCTTTGGGTCCTCGCAAATGCCCTGGCTTGAAGATGGCATACCAGGAGCTGTATCTAACCATCGCACGTCTGGTATATCTGTTCGACATTACACCAGAGAAGCCCGAGGAGCTTAAGAAAAATTTCCAGATGTTAGATCATTTCAGTAAGTGTCAAGTCGTGTCCTGTTTCGCATGCGCTATCTGATTCAACTCTAACCCTTGGCTAATCATCGTCTCCCTTTTCCCTCACCAGATGTCAAGAAGTTTGGACCTTATGTGTCATTTAAATTGCGAGAGGGTCGTCAGCTTCCTTCGACGACAAAGACAGAACTTGGCTCTGCTGACGCGTCATCTAAGGAGCTAGGACTAGTAAACTAGACTAGGAGGATGGAGTTTCACACAACCGGTGGTGTTTAATATCAGAGTAGAACTCGATATCTGTAGAGCACATGAGGCCCATAGCACACGCCTCCCGGGAACGATTAGCCGACCATAATTTTTATGCTTCAAGCACAATCAAATATGTTTCGCTTGAAGAAATACTCATGAGCAACAGATATTAGTTCTTAAGCGATCAACTTCATCCCTTCACCAATTATTATAAATGTATAGAGCACCGCCATAGGAGGAGACAAACTTGCTGTGCTTGGTCTGCCGACAAAGCTAAACAATCAGATCAATCTTTGACAAATCTTCATAAATTCATCTCCTGAATTATTCGTGGTGGGCCTTTTATAGCACCGCAACCGCGTTAGGCGGACTACCTACGCCACCCTTCACATTCAATGGGTGGCTTGTGAAGAAGAACGACCATTGATTGCGTTCGGCACAGAGACGGCTCAGGTCTTCCAGGTTCCACAGCTCTCCCAGAGGCGTGCCCCACCAGACCAACAGCCAGGTGTGCAGGACAATCTGATCAAGCTTCCCAAATGGTGGTGGGCACTGCTCAAAGCCGATCGAGTCAGTGGCGACGGCTGCGAAATGATGATTCCATAGCCACCGGACCATCTCCATACTGCGTTCGACACCAACGAAGTGGTTGCGCTCCAGCTTCTGAACGCGCTCTTCCTGCGAGGCTTTCTCGTACCAGAGCGTCCAACCGCCCCGGACCAGGAGGATATCGCCCGGTTTCAAAGTTAGGTTCTGGTACGCAGCAACGGCTTCGAGTTCGGCCACAGTAATCGAGTGGGCAGAGTCTGCAGCGGCGGGTGGCTGATTCGTCTCTGCCCGCCAGCGGACATAGTCCAATAGTACTCCTCGACCAACAATTGCGCCTCCTTCAATCCATTCTACGAGCTCGTTAGCGCCATACGTGGGGATGCCGCTCTGTCAATGCACTTACTGTGGATTCCATTGCGACCATCTCTCTTCTTTTTCACATCCTCATGGCGCTGTCCGTTATAGTAGAACTCTGCGCCAGGGACTTTCGTGCCGCTGTGAGTGAAACCATCCCACTGCGAGCCACCTTGAGTATTGAAGTGTAATTCGTCATCATGACCGGCCGAATTGAACAAGTCCTTGAAATCGATGATCTTCTGCTCGAACTTGATTCTGTGAGCTATCATGTGAGTCATGAAATCGAGCGGCATGTCTAGCGACACGCTCAGGCCAGCTTTGATCTCTTTTGCGGCTTCGAGCTTTCGAGCTGCCGTCAGCAGGTTCAGGGCTAGGGCCATGATTTAGCGAGATGTCTCAATATCAACATCACCATCCATACTTACTTCCAAGCTCATCATCTTTGCCCCAGAGCCCCCAAGCACAGCCTTGAGGCTGCCCTTCAACTGGAGGAAGGGAATCGAAGTCGGGCGCTTCAATCTCAGGCGGGCTCATCATTGTAGGAGTTCCCTCTGGAACGAGTGCCTCAGGTACTGACATTCTGTATAGCTTCTGTCGAGCCCTGGCCCGCTTTGGTTTGAAGTATCACGTTATGCGTTACGCAGGTATCGTATGGCCAGGATATTCTCCAGCAACAAGATAAGAATCGTCCCATGGCACTTTGCTTGTTGCGCCTCAGTCCTTGTTCTCCAAGATGAAGGCCTTCTTCCACGTACACGACCCGTGTCAGCATTAATGCCGCTTGACACGGCCCTCCAATTCTGCAAGATGCACGAACGCTACCTAGCCCGTCCTAGTCCAATGTACGATTAATTCCGGGGTGGTGGAGAAGGAATTGTGGGGGAAATTCCCAGACGGCTTCGGGACACGAGACGGTATTGACGGAAAGGCGGAATTGCGGACACGGAACGATGATTGCTCGAGCCTCTGTAGCCTTCGCTGACCATTTTGGCGCCACCACAGAAGGCGACCAAGCGTACGGCAAATTTGCACGTGGATAACCCGTGCAAGGTAGGTCTGTATATGACTACTAAGAAACGTCTTTGATACTTTGTCATTGACACCCACTACATTCGCCGGAAACATTAGACTAAGACTGAATCTAGAAAAGTCCTAAGCTATGATTGCAAAAGATCCTGCCGGTCGTAGAGAGCCGATTGACTTGGAGTGGATTCAATCTCTCCCAGAGCGGTATGGATGGCCTACGCAAAACGAGCGGGGCTACAAGATCGATGAGGTACCATCTGGCCTGTCTCGCCCACTTCGGGTTGTGGTACTAGGCGGAGGCGCCTCTGGTATAAACTTCGCAAAATTCGCACAGGACGAGTTGGAGAATGTCGAGTTTGTTCTGTACGAAAAGAATAATGACATTGGAGGGACCTGGCTCGAGAACCGATATCCTGGGTGTGCATGTGATGTGCCCAGTGTTACGTACCAGTTTACATGGGAGCCTCATATCTGGTCCAGGTTTTACGCATCATCTCCGGAGATCAACGAATATCTTAAAGGTGTGGCGAAGAAGTATGATGTTGAGAAGTATATTCGCCTAAACCACAAAATTGAGAAGGCCGAATGGGACGAAACAATCGGTCGATGGAACATTGAAGTACAACCAACTGGCGGCGGGAAGTTCATTGATCAGTGCGATATTTTCATCAATGCTGGAGGGCCATTAAACTACTGGGAATGGCCAAAGATTGAGGGGCTGGAGACTTTCAAAGGCATCAAGGCACACTCGGCCGCCTACCCAGAAGGACTCGACCTCAAGGGCAAAAGAGTTGCCGTGGCAGGAATCGGGTCTTCTGGGATCCAGATCATTGCGTCTATTCAGAAGGAAGTCTCACATCTCTACACTTGGATCCGCTCGCCTACGTACGTCGTCGGCAACTTCGGAACCAAGTACGCTATGGGCACTGATCCCAATCCGGAATGTGAGTTGCTGACTAGCCTCCATAATTGACAAAAGGTAGCTGACATTGAGCTAGACACCGAGGAACAGAAAGAAATGCTGCGCACAAACCCAGAACTCTACCTCAAATACAGGAAGAATCTTGAAGCAACATCTACGGTAAGATTTGGTGTGTTCTATAAAGGCACCCCAGAGTCTATCGCGGCGAAAGAGGTAAGAAGCCTACCATGCAGAGCTTGATACAATGGTGGGAGACTGACGAAATCTTAGTATTGCCAGAATCAAATGAAGCAAGAGCTTGAGGGCCACGATGATATTATCGAAGCTCTGGTCCCAAAGACCTTTCCAGTCGGGTGTAAACGCCCAACGTAAGTTCTCACCGGCTAACATACATTCTTTATTCTTATCTGACATGGTAACAGCCCAGGGAGTGGATTTCTCAAAGCCTTGATCAGTGAGAACACCACGACATATACAAACTTCGGCTTAAACCGGATTACCGAGAAAGGTTTCATCGACCCAGATGGCAACGAGCAAGAGGTAGACGTCATAATTCTGGCTACTGGCTTCAACACAACTTGGGTCCCTCGTTTCCCTATTCTTGGTCGCAACGGCGTCAACCTTCAAGATCTCTATACGAAGAACCCCTTGTCATACTTGGGGGTTTCTGCACCTCATATGCCCAATTACTTCACATATTATGGTCCTTACGGCCCTCTCGGACAGGCCAGTGCCGTGGTCATGATGGACTTCTTCACTCGATATATGTTAAAGATGATCCGGAAGATCCAAACACGAAGAATTCACAGCTTAACCCCGAAATGGGACGTCTGCGAGAAATTTCAGGAGCATGCCAACCTATACCTCGAAAGGACCGTCTGGGCTGACAACTGCAAGAGCTGGTGGAAGGGAGGGCGAGAGGACGGCCCCATAATGCTCTATCCTGGGACCAGGACCCAGTACATGGAGCTCCTCGACGATCCTGCATATGAAGACTACGACATAAAATATCAGACCGACAACCAGTGGTCGTTCCTTGGGAATGGGTACTCAGTGAGGGATTATGACAAGCGTGATCTTACATGGTACATGGGCCTGGTTGATGAGAAAGATGAGCAGAAGGATTTCGATGTCTCGGAGCTCTTCCAGTCTACATCCTAAGGATCTAATTCACATTTAATCCAGCGCAAGCGTTTAGAATTTGCACGTGTGTTTGTGCACCTGAGGATAAATGCTCAAATTTCCTGGGGTCGATTTTCAATATAGCATACCCTATAGCATCATGATTAAAACCTTAGAAACATTGATTGTTGGTCTGGAGGTGCTCTGAATGACATACAGACAGCATTTGATCGTCAAGCTGGACGGTTAGCTAGGGTAGAGCTTGCTATGGGCAGTCAAGCTCTTCATTCGGATCACAACGGCCCAAGGATGCCAGGCGCAGAGAGTCGGGTGGATAACTTTTCTGTAAATTCTCAACATCCTAGGATATCAAGCTACACGTCACTGCAAACGTAAAGAACCTTGCAACTGTCAGACGAACTCAAGTTATGACCTTTGTTTCAGTCTTCACATTAGCGTATTGCCAGGAGGTCTCTCCTATTTATTGGCACAAACAGGACCGCAGACTGACAGCCACCCTTCTCTGTGACCTCTGTACCACTCGTAAGCAACGTGAGGAGACCTCGGACGAAACTCGCTAATTTCTCGACTTGCCCTCCACATGAGACTGAATTCCCTTTTCTTCAACAGCACTCTCCTCGTCCATACCATCGTTGCTATCGGGTCGTTCCAAAGCATCACCGACGTGGCCTGCCGAGTGCTTCTTACCGTCGAACAGCTCAGCAATCTGCTCGAGAGTTCGGCCCTTTGTCTCTGGGAAAAGGAAGTAGATGATGACAAGTACAAAGGCATTTGTACAGCAGAAGGTAATATAGTGTCGCCATCCAATACGTGCCAGGGCGATCGGGTTGAGGAACATTCCCAAGAGAATTCCAATGTATGTAAAGATCAAGCTCAGGGTGAGGCCAGTACTTCGCAAAGTATAAGGGAAGATCTCAACCACATAAGCTTGGTACAAAGGAATCCAGGCGATGTCGTAAAAGAAGAAGAAAAGGAAGACGAATGCTACCACAGCTCTCCCAAGGGCCTCATTCAGGGTTCGAAGGAAATAACTGCTGAGTATCGTCCAAATGATGTAACTCATAAGCATTCCCGATGTACCAACGAGGAATAGCGTTCGTCGTCCTACTCGATCGACCAGGAACGAGGCAGCAAAAACAGCTACCAGAAAGTTGAAGAGTTGCAACAACCCGTTGATCAACGCCTGGTCTGCAGTCGCTGTAATACCGATGGTGTTCAAAATTAAGGTGAGATAGTAAGCAATAATGGAGGAGCCTGTCCATTGAGCAAAGAAACCAAGTACAATTGCGATGGTCGAACGTCGTCGATTCGCTGCGGTGCTGAAGAGATCCTTCCAGCGACTCTGGGACTTGAGTTCCTTTTCAATGCGGATGTTTTCGGAGATTTCCTTCATCATATAGTTCACAAGAGGCGATGATGTATCGCCTCCAGCGTGAAACCTGGTTAGAAGTTGTCGTGCGCGGTCCTCTCTTCCATTGGCTATCAGCCATCTAGATATCCGTTGTCAGTATTTGGACCAAGGGGCGGAGACCGGGTCTTTCCCTCACCTTGGCGATTCGGGGACCAAGAATAAGAAGCTAAGCTGAATGATGGGAATGGCGCCTTGCAGCAAACTTGGGATACGCCAGCTCCATGTAGAGTTGATTCTGAAAGTTCCATACGTAGACCATGCTGCGATGATTGCTCCAGCAAACTAAAGAAACGCTCGCATATAAGTAACTGCGCGTCATGAATGAAAATGGGGAACTCACGAAGAAGGTGTTATACAGGGCCGTTAGCTGACCTCTCTGGGTGGGATACGCTAGCTCAGTGATGAGAATCGGTGAAGGTTGCGACATGAGTGATGTGCCAGCCCCAAGAATAAATCTCGAGACGATGAACATGGCGACGTTTTGCGATGCACCCTGGAGGGCGGCGCCTCCAATGGCCAGAATAAAGCCAAAGAGAAGTGGCCATCGACGTCCAAAACGGTCGGCCAGAAATGCCGATACGGGCAATGCTAGAAGCTTGCCCACTGGAAAAATGGCGTTGAGCGTTCCAAGCATTTCTGGAGCAGGATTGTCGAAGTAACCACGCCAGGTTGAAAGCGTTTGAAGACCGTTCATCATTGTACCTGAGGCGATGAGAAGATTAATGTTAGATAGCTATTTTGACTCCTGCCCCAACAATGGTTTCTGCGCAACTTACCATCGAAGCCGACTGCGGCGGACGACAGCAAAGGAACCATAAGGATGGCATTGAGTGTAAGCAGATGTCTGCGCTTGAACCAAGGCAATCCATCTTGTGGGAGGACCTGCATGTAACGTTAGAGTGTCGACTATGGAAGACGAGTGATCGACAACGATTGTGAGTCGAGCCCGTGGAGGAATCCACTTACGGCGAGGAGCTCAGGTCCAACAGCCTGCTCAGCAGTCTTCTTGCTATCGAAAATACCCATGGTGGTCTGACTTATAACGTGTTGTCGAGCACTTTCCACGGAAAGTTTGTGGATCGATGTATCAGAAAGAAGACTAGAAGTGCGAACGAAGATCGGCTATTCAACAGCAACAATATATCATGCTCCTCCAGCATTCGACTGTTTAGTAATGTGCTCCATCTTACCCCAGGTTCCAGGTCAGAGCGGCTGCTGATCCGTGGGAAACAAGACTGGGGTGCGGCGTGGGAGATGTCTAGGTCCGTCTCTTCCACGCCAAGTGGTGTCTGTCCCGTGCCGTTCTGCTTCTTTCGTGGGCACAGGGCTTCACCAGTTTCATTCCGTATACGGAATATCTGGAGGTGGTTCCGCCTTGGCAGGTGCTGATTGGACCGGAGGACCCAAGTTGTCTTGCCTAGAAACCGCTAATTTCGACGTCAAGCCTTCGAGGTTGTGGGGGAAGACGCCACTGCTTTTCCAAATAGTAACCCTCCAACCATGGGAGGGCGATGAGAGACCGCGACGATATCAGAACTGGCTGGGAGTCAATGTGCTAGTTATACCAACACCACAGGCACGGACATCATAACGACCTAGGGTCTTGGGCGCGTTTTGCACTCTCCCTGTGATCAGTATTGTGGAATTATTTTTATGTCAACTGCCTTCTAAAGTTTCTTGGGCTAATGCTTCCAGTGCTTTGCCACAGTGTTGAGAATTAATCACGATTGAACACACATGGGTGGCTGCCGAAGAAATAGATGAGGATCTTCAAATTGTGAACGAGCCAGTCACCAGCAAACGACAAACCCAATCACAGTCGTCGGATGATGCATCTAGACCGTTGTCATCTCCCATCATCACCTGGAAGAACCGATGTATCTGCCGAATGTGTGTTATATGCCGTGGAGGGGGGTCCCTGTGGCGCGCCTATGTCGATCTCCATTGACAGTCAGGGTCTTGCAAGGCGAGAGCGGCGGGACCTTGGCCTTCACTCGGCAATCTTGACGCAGAATAACGAGTAGAATCTTGAGATGTTGGTTGGATGGAGTATGTTCTAGACTAGGGCGACGGCGGTCATTATGCCACAATCTAACCATGTTTATCTGCAAGCATGAATACAGTCATGTTTCCGGAGGAGCTCTCCTTCTAACTTCCGTCACGGAAGTCCAACTGTATAACCCCTAATAGGTGCAGGCTGTCATCAGCTAAGTATCCGCGACCAATAGTTACAGCGAAAAGGTAAACAGGGTGCTATCCGATAGCGAACGACGACGGTCGAAGCCAAGCAAGATCCGAGCTCCGGAGACTCCGCCAGGGTTGATCAAGGTATGATTATTACGGGATAATCGAGTTGCCACCCCTGTAACCTCGAAAGCCCTGCACGCTACACGCCTAAGGTCGATGTTTTGCCGACGAGACAGGCGAAAATGGGGAAATGGTGGGGAATGGCGCAAGACCTTGGATTGGAGGAGGACGATTAGGGGTTTCCCATTCTTCGGATACCGGAATACACTGCCTACCTTGCTGGCCTTCATGAGTACAATAAAGATATTTCTCCACATTAGTGGCGAAATAGAAATTGGCGCTTGCTATTCTCGTTCGCCCATACTGCGGTAAAGAGGCTGGATCAAACCTCGGGAGGGGGTTTCTTAGAGCAAGGGAGACTCCGAAATCTTTCCGCCGCAGATCAAAGATATCGCTATCGTGTCAAGTGCGTTCTATCTGCTTTTCACTAGAGTCTGAGCCTCTACCTTTCCTGGACTCCATTCTTGTCCAAATGCCCATTCCCGATCACAGGCTCTCCGTTCGTATAGGCAGCCTTGTGTGGACCATCACCCAAAGCAGTGGTCTGCGATGAAACCCTGCGAATATGGCACTCCTTTGCAACTGGCTTCAGCCAATACCTGTTAGGTCATGTTAGCATTAATCTCAGTGATAAGACAGAGGTCATGATACATACGTCGGATCTCTCTGCTTATCGGACAGCGTTTCTTCAAGCGCATATCCATTTCCCAGCCATGCAAACCTCAGATCTGGGTCATCACAAAAGCTCTTCCAGCTGTAGTCTTCGTATCGTCGTGTCTGGAGGAGGCGAAAGAAATGCAGACGAGAGCCGGGGTGCAAAGAAACCAATTCGCCATCCTGCTTGCCGTTCTTGTATGTGCTGATACACCCGCTATTCCATGAAGATTTGTCGAGCCACGCAAGTGCATGTTTCATGTAGGCGGCTGGTATCCCAGGCTTTACGACAACCGATGAGTAGTTCTCTGTCTGAGCCTTTCGTATGAGCTCGGCAATGTATTTTGTGACCATTTCCACAATTGTGACTAGGCTGCCATGAGCGATAGGGCAAGAAGGACCGAGGTAGGTGAAGTAGTTAGGCATGCTCTCAGCGGCGATAGACAGGTATGCTTCCGGGCGTTTCTCCTTCCACATATCTTGTAGGTTCTGCCCTTGTAGCCCGAGGACAGGGAAGCGCGGCGTGAAACTGATGTCAAAGCCCGTGGCGCAGATTATAACGTCAAAGCCGCGAATGGTGCCCTTCTCATCTGCTGACTTGATTCCTTGTCGAGTGAATCGCTCTATCTCGCCCCATACAACTTCGCACGTATCCGAAGCAAGAGTTTCCAGAAAGCCATTACCAGGAGTCAATCTTCGACATCTAAAATCCAAGAAGTTAGTGCTAGAAGCCGTCTCAGTGTTGAAGTTTGATAACTAACCCAACAGCGAACTGGGGCTGGAGAAGCTTCGCCAGTTCGGGTTTCCCGCCCAGCTTACTCCATAATCCAGTGATAGCGGTTTCCTTTGCTTTCGCCTGTTGTGCCGAGTCCCTGATATAGACTGGGAAATGGGAGTTGATCTCAGCCTCAACTGCTTTCCGGTAAGCGAGGTAATCATCAGGGTTTTCAGCCCAGTGCTTCTTCTCTTCCTCGGAAAAGGCGTGGTCCTTGGTCTTCGGTGCTGTATTGAGCGCAAAATTCGGTGTGATCCATGTTGGGTTTCGCATATACATGGAGACTGCAGCCACCTTATCTTTGATGGCAGGGAGGACTTGCACCCCACTGCTTCCGTTGCCGATGATTGCGACCTTCTTTCCAACGAGATCAATATCATCATCCCAAGCCGCTGTGTGTACAACTTTTCCTTGGAAAGCTTCAAAATCGACGATATCGGGCCATTTCCAGTCATTGACGAAGCCGGAAGCATTTAGTAAGAAATCACACTCTTCTACCCACGACTCATCAAGGAGATCAAGACTTTTGTCTCGACTCGATCTAATCAATTCTTTGCCGTTGGTCTTTTGAACCTGTACCTGCCAAACCTGTCGGACTTCGTCCCAGGTTGCACCTGTAACCATGTGTGAAGTTTTCACGTATTGACGAAGATCATGTTGATCAGCCACTGCTTCGATATAACCTCGGATCTCGGGGCCCGTGGCGTAGTATCTATCGAAGTAGGGATAGGGGGCCCATGACCATTGGTAGTTATGTATTGGAATGTCACAAGCACAGCTTTCAGAATATCAGTATCAGTTTCGGATTCTTTGGGTTGGCAAAGAGCGGCCCTCACCCTGGATATCTGTTCTCAAACCAAGTCCCTCCAACTCCAGCATTTTTCTCGAATATCTGGAGGTCAACGTTGGGGAGAGATCCGGTTTGCACTTCATGTGCAAAGGACAGTCCACTAAAACCAGCGCCTAATACAATCACTTTGACTCTGCGGGGTGTGCCGAGCGGCTTCTGTGAGAGCAAATATGCCAATTCATCTTTTCCCCGGTATGCCTGCGTGCAGTTTGCTGGAGATGGGGTCGCTGTCGCTGTCGTGTCAACCGTGGACCGAAAATACTCTGCTGCCCTTGAAGCCATATCTGTGGGATGCCTGTCTCATACACAATCACTGGTATCCAATCTTGGTTATGACGCATAAAAAGACATCAACGTCGAGAAGCCACTAGTAAGTGGTCAGTCTAAGTCTCCGTACCCTCCGTTGCATACACGATAAGTCAGTGTTCCACAATTTGAACTTGTCCTCTATCACCAAGAAACCTTCTTCACACGGGAGCAGTCTTTTGCAGAGACCAGTCGTAATGAAACGGAAGAGTGTTGCCGGAAAAGGCCGGTATGCGTTCCTTGGAGCCGCTAGCATATATTCTATACATCGCTAATAGGTTTCCATAAACGAGGGAAGGCCACGTGAAGTATTCATTGCGAAATCTGAGTTCCTTTGTTGAATGAAGATGATTACTTCGGAGCCGTTCAGTCTCGCGCTGTGCCAAGACGGAATGTATATCACCTTCGGCGAGAGCAAGATCAGCCGCTGAGATCATGCATGTTTCCCATGCCCCCTGTCAACTTCTGGAAGGCGACATTGTCGGCCCCTCGGCCTATTATTGCTAGGGTGAATGACCAGTTCCGTAACATGGAATGTGTTTATGTCAAAGACTCCCCCGCACTCATCGGCTGCTTGGTCTCGATGGCCAATTGAGTTTCAATTATTTGGTCCCTTGGTGTCTGGAAGACGGCTGCAAATCGGTCTGCAATGGGAGCGACAGTTGCGGTAAATATTCATGCTTCGGCAATTAACATCGGACTGGGTGATACTAGGACTGTGTAGATGTCGCAGACCCGTGGCGGAGTGTTTGACCTAGCGAGAGCACAATAGAGTTACTATTCGTAGCAGCCAAAACGTTATGCTGGGCTGGTGCCCAAAGCGATGATAGGCTAGTGCTTAGCTTGAACCTCATCACCATTGCCGCCATCATTTCTTTTGACAAGTTTCTCGTATCAAGGCCATAAACACTACCAAATTTACTCGCGTCGATACAATCCAAGTCCCTCGACAGTAGGAAATGACGTGAAATGGCGGCTCTTAGGTTAGATTCTGGAGGCATAAATATAAAGCGAATGGTGAAGGAATAGTACCTTAGATAACGAGAGGATCTCGGTATGTTTTATGGACTACGCATTCAATATACTATATTCGCTGTGAAGTATTGCGATAAAAGCGGCGAGGAATAGGAGAGCGAACGGAAAGGTCGAGATTTGGCTTGGCGGCCGAGGGGCACGTGATATGCGGGCGGTTGCCTTGATATTCAAAATATTTCGATTTCGAATCCCCCAACTCGGACATCGATGCTTCGTGACGACGGCGACTGACCACGACGACGACACAAAAACCTGTTCTTGACGTCGCCAACCCCTCCATACTCATTAGGAACATCCAAGTCAGTCAAAATGTCAGGTACGTGCATATCCTCCCGCATATTCTTCTTCATCGCCTAACACTTCAAAGCGCAGTTACTTAACCCAAAGGCGGAGAGTCGGAGAAGAGGGGAAGCCCTCAAGATCAATGTCAACGCAGGTGAAGGCTTGGCCCAAGTGCTGCGGTCGAACCTGGGACCTGCTGGAACAATCAAGATGCTTGTGGATGGAAGTGGACAGATCAAGCTCACAAAGGATGGCGCCGTTCTCCTTAAAGAGATGTCAATTCAGAATCCCACGGCGACTTTGATCGCCAGAGCAGCAACAGCCCAGGACGAAATTACTGGCGATGGGACCACTAGTATCATTCTGCTGATCGGCGAGCTTCTCAAGCAGGCCGACCGCTATATTCAAGAAGGCCTACATCCCAGAGTGATTGTCGATGGATTTGAAATCGCCAAAGCCCGAACCCTCGAATACCTCGACTTCTTCAAGATCGCAAAACCAATTGACCGAGATCTGCTTCTTTCTGTCGCTCGAACGTCCCTCTCCACCAAGATCAATCGCGCTCTCGCTGAGCAACTTACCCCCTCCATCGTCGATGCAGTGCTTGCCATCTCCCGACCGGAACAAAAGAGACCTGACCTACACATGATCGAAATCATGAAATTACAACACAAATTGGGAAGCGACACAACTCTCATCAAGGGTCTTGTGTTAGATCATGGAACTCGCCACCCTGACATGGCCAAGAGAGTGGAAAACGCACACATTTTGACGCTGAATGTGTCTCTGGAGTATGAGAAGTCAGAAATCAACTCGGGATTTTATTACAATTCAGCAGAACAACGCGACAAATTGGTCGCTTCAGAACGCCGCTTTGTGGACGACAAGCTCAAGAAGATTGTGGCATTGAAGAATGAAGTTTGCGGAACCGATCCCAAAAAGGGATTTGTCCTCATCAACCAGAAAGGCATCGACCCGCTGTCTCTGGACGTGCTGGTTAAACACGGGATTTTCGCTCTGCGACGGGCTAAACGTCGGAACATGGAACGACTACAACTTGTGTGCGGAGGACAAGCGCAAAACAGCGTGGACGACCTTGACCCCAGTGTTCTGGGATGGGCCGGGCTGGTGTACGAGCAGACGCTGGGCGAAGAAAAGTATACGTTCGTGGAAGAAGTCAAGGACCCGAAATCCGTGACATTACTCATCAAGGGACCGAATCAACACACCATCACACAGATTACTGACGCCGTGCGAGACGGGCTGCGGTCAGTGTACAACACGGTTGTGGACGAGTGCGTGGTTCCTGGAGCAGGCTCATTCCAGATTGGAGCTGCTCTCGACCTGTCGTCAGAATCCGTACGGAAATCGGTCAAGGGCAAGGCCAAGTGGGGAGTGGCGGCGTTTGCTGATGCTCTGCTCATCATCCCCAAGACACTAGCGGCCAATTCAGGCCATGATATCCAAGACGCTCTCGCGGCGCTACAGGACGAGCACGCCGAAGGAAACATCGTGGGTCTGGATCTCGTCACTGGCGAGCCCATGGATCCCGTTCAGGAAGGCGTTTATGACAGCTTCCGCGTTTTGAGAAACAGCATCGCCAGCGCCACTGGCATTGCCAGCAACCTTCTCCTGTGCGACGAGCTGCTGAAAGCCAGGCAGATGGGTCGACAGTCAGGCCCAGGAGGTATGGAGGAATGAGGTGGTGTGAGGAGGCAATATCCAACAGCCTCGGAGACCAGATGGTGGAGACGTTCGAGTAATGATCCTCATTCGTCTTTTGAGAGAAGCATCAGCTGTGGCGTTGAGAGAATGAGCATGAGACATGACTTATCCAAACAAACACCATTCCCCTCGGTCCGAGGAGGTGGCAAGGGCTTGTAATGAGCATTGTATGATATAGAGACGGTATGCGAACGAGGTGCATAGAAGATCACCTTCAGCTGCCTGCTTAGAATCTATGCCTTGACATCAGGTCATCCGGGCATCTTGAATCCGATTCTCTACGCATCACTTTGCGCCCGCATTCAAACTCAGCACCAGATCATTCTGCGAAACATAAAATAATGGCTTGAATGTTTTCATGATTCAAGAACAAATCTGTGATAGCCGTCCAGCAGCCCCAAAAAGTCTCCTTAAATGGTGGTCTCATCTCTCGCACATCAACAAACTCAATCATGTCGAGAGGTCAGTCGAGATACACAAGCTTCTTTCCTTGCTCCAAGATTCTATAACATTGTATCGATTTTGATCGCTTGTCAAGTGGCATAACATTCGTTTCAAATTTCCACAACCACAACAGAAGGGTATTTCGATGGGTTCGTCCATGACACGTAACACTTCTGTCTTGTGTTTAGTCCTTCTTTCCCCACAACCCACTGACAGTTTCATTGATTCGTTGTTGTTGTCGTCGGATTTGATCTTCGGTTTGGCCACGAGCGTTTCCTCTTGAATCGATCTCCATGGCATCAGCATCATTGCCCTGAGGACCTTGTGCCTCTTCGCCAGTCGCATGTCCTTGATCGTTCAGCACCTTGCTACCATCGACGACTTCGTTCTTGGGCTTCGGGTCGACACTCATGGCTCCGTCCATTTGCCCAGCTGCCATAAGACCGCCACCTTCACGTAATTTGTTGATGGCACGTACTGTGTCGATGGCTTTGTGCAAGGTGCGCCTGGCATTAAAGTTCTTCTTGACAGTGGGAAGCAGGTCTTGGCCTTCCCCTGCAGTCTTTTCGGGGCTGACAGGGTCGTCGGCTCTGATCCAAGGGTGCTGTAATGCTTGATGCGCGGTCATTCGAGCGCGAGGGTCGATTGTGAGACACCGTCTGATAAAGTCACGCGCGGGTTCGGAAACGTTTCGCCAATATTCTACCGGAGTGAAAGAATAGTCAGCAGCAAGGATGGCTTGCATTTCTTCGAGGTTCGAGTCACGATCAAATGGGGTGTATCCGCAGAGTAGGAAGTAGGTAATAACGCCTATCGCCCAAATGTCGCTAAGATTCAAGGCTTGTTAGCGCATTGGCTGATCTTTGCAAGGGTGACACATACACAGGTTTGCCATGACCAGTCTTCTTGAAAATTTCAGGTGCCATATATCCAGGAGTTCCACATGTGGTGGTTAGGACGTGGAACTGCTCTTCGTCCATGATTCTGGATAACCCAAAGTCGGCAATGAGGAGATCTGCGTTATCCTCCGGGGTTCTAAACAAGAGGTTTTCAGGCTTCAGGTCTCGATGAACGATGCCATGATCGTGAAGGTATGCGACTGCGGATAACGTGGCTCTGATTAAGTCGGCAGCGTCGGATTCATAGTAGGAACCTTTTCGGCATATTCGATCGAACAGTTCTCCTCCGAGGGCGAGGTCGGTGACAAGGTATACTGTAATTTGTTGTTAACGTGAGGATATATCAACCCTGTCATGTCGCCACATACAATTGTTCATTGTTTCAAAATAGTCGACGAGGGTCAGAATGTTTCGATGTCCGACCGAGACACGTTTTAGGACGGCGATCTCGTTTCGAACCTAGTGAACTTGTGTCAACTTGATTCCTGTAGGATATCCTAATGTAAGCCTACCATATGTTCCCGGCCAGCCATGAGCCGTTTGTTGATGACTATCATCAATAAGATTCAAAACGTCAAGACAGTGAAAGGTCCGAGGGCGCACCTTTGGCGGCATAGTATCTGCCAGTGTCTATGTGGACACATTCCTTGACCACTGAATATGAGCCAGCCCCCAATGTCTTTCCTGTTTGGACGTAAGCAACGTTTCGAAGGGTAACGAGGTCGAGTTATCGCACCCGTCTTGTATCTGCAAGGTTGGATTTGTGGCTTCTGCTGTGATGCAGGTTGTGATGACATGATCGGCGTTTATATGCGGGGGAAAGTTTAGGGGGAAAGGAAGTACGTTGAGAACGAAGGCAGGAGAACAGGCTGAGGCTGGTTGGGGAGACGTGGACAATCGTGTAGTTAGGACTCGAGACAACGAGGGGACATGCCCTTGGCCCGGCGAGAGACAGAGGGAGATGAGAATGGAAATCAAAATTGTCAATATAGAGGATCAATTGAAGTCGGGCGTCACACCGAGTCTGCAGAGTCGCGATGAAGCTCAATGATGAATGATTGTATTGTGGTGGTTATTGAAGTCGTGGTTGTGATGCTGACTCTGTGAACGCAGCCGCAGGCTGTCAGGCTCCGTTGGCTCTTTCCCCTCCTGGGTCACCCCCCCCCCTCTCATGTAAGGGAAGCTGCGACTGATGAACCTGAAGTGCACCTTCCCCACCATTGTCTTGGCACTATTGTGAGAGCCTCATCCACGCTTGGGCCCGAAACACGTGCGTCGGACCATTGTAATGGTTAAAGGCTCCTCTATATGCTCAAAAAGTGAACAAATAAATCATCAGAATGTGATGTGGTACGCACTGGCATGGCAAATAGGCGTTGCCACCCCGAAAAAAGCCCGTTTGCGATCGACCAACTCCATACTCGATTGTTTCGCCTGCCCGAATCACTGAGTGGTTTTAGCGCACGGAACGAATACAAGAACAAAGCTGCGATGGCAAAAAATTTTTTCCAGTTGCGAACAAAATGTCATAGAATGGGTCGAAATAGTCTTGCTCTCGTTTCTTGCTCTGCCGGGCTGCCCGTGTTGAGGACAATGTCTTATCGATGTCGAGTACAAAAGAGTACCAACAAGAGTACTCCCAATCAATACCTTGCCCTTTGCGTACCGAGATGCCAGTGCGGCAGTATGTCAATTCATTGGCTGGTTTTCCCTAGAAATATCGATCTTACCTTGTCGATTTAACCTTGCAGTAAGTACACACCAACATCTTGCTCCGGTCAAGTTCACCGATGGCCATGAGGGTGTCGAGATTGACAGGGACAGCGGTGTTGTTAATACCACCCAACCACACCTAATCGTTTAGGTCATGGCTCCTGCGGAGTGTCTAGGTCAAATCATCAGGTCTCCAATGAGAAGAGCCAGAGACAGAGAGTCCCCCAGGCGTTGGAACGACCAAGAAGGCGACCACTGATCAAAGCTGTCCACTGGGTGCAGCAGCTGAAACTGACAGCGGCAGGAGTTTGCATGCCCTAGTTGACCAGCGGTCGGGGTGGAGTGACACCTGAATGGGTCCTCGACACAAGACGAATAGTGTGTCCACTCCTTTTGTACACCGACCAATATGATAATAAGTATACCCGTTTGTTCGTTTTTTGGGAGTAGAAGGAGCTGCTGCACAAACCTGAGAAAATACTTTACTAACACTTTGACTTGGGTGGCAATTTGATCAGTTTGTTCTTCCTAGCCCGTTGCGCTGAATTTCGGCCACACCGTAAAGCTTCTAAGAACTCTTTTTGACCAGAATTAAAGAACTTCCATCGAAGCTCCCGAGTGGCGCAGTTCAACAGGAGGCGAGAGGGGGTCACCACAATTGCATCCACCCATGTTGAGACTTTCTGTCTTTTCCATCCTCCCTGTCCAGAGTAGCGTTTGAGTCTCGCATTTAGTTCCTATTGAGCCGAAGAGCCGTTAAAATTGGTCAGACTTTCTAGGTTCTTGCCAGCACTCAGACTCGTGTTTGGGCGGTGCACGGCAGCTTTCAGGGGTGGGTAGGCGGGTCGTTTCCTGGCGTTCACGCACGGCCCAGTTTGGAACGGGGTAGTCTGTTTGTAGCTATCAACAACGAACCCACCGCTAGCAGCGTCAGCAACGGAGGAAATGAAAAGGAACAATAATACCATGAGTGTCTCGTGCCCTCATTGGGACGTCTATGACCCCTGTGCTTGGATCAAGACATACCCACGAACTTTTGCACCACCACTAGGGAGTGAGAATTCCAGAATCGTCCGTGGACACTCAGCCGACTGGTGGGCAAGACCCACGTGGGTTGAAACACTTGGCGGGGTTCTACCGAATCCATGCCACGTACTCCCGAATCCCCAATCCGAAAATTCGCACTGTTTTGTTGGTGAGTACATGGGTACAGGAGGCACGGCCCGCAGACGGGCTGGGAGATAGAAGACCAGGTATCGGCTGCGCGTAAGTAGACGTCAAGTAACACCTGTTGAGCCACATCGAATCATGCCTGTGACTTGTCCCTTTTCTTGACCCCGTGCCAGGTCGTCCACCCTCCACAGATGATTGCCTGCTAGAACTGCACGCCGCCGCACGAACCGTCATACTTGGGGTGAGAATGTGAGCCAAGGCAACACACGCTTGGTCTCGCGCTACTGCTCATCCCACACAAGCGTAATCACCCGGCTTGCTGGCAATCGTGCTCACCACTTGATTCTGTGACGTAGTGACAAACCTTTCTCTCAGCCCCGACATGGGTCAGTCTTGGATTCATTGGCAATTGGCCTTTGCCTAGTAATTGTTGACAGTTGCCCTTGTTGACGATCCCTGACAAAGAAGTTATTAGTCGAACCAGGCATGCAAGGCTTCCTCTTCCTGTGGTAAAAGGCGATGTTTATCTTGACGGAGACATGCTGCCGGTGACTCCGCACTGTTTCGTTGGATAAGGTCGTCCGCCACTTGCTTTTAAGGGGTTTTGAAGCCTTTGACCCAGCCAGTCAGCGAGAAACCAAAACACGCCACGTTCCTTTTCAATGTCTTGCAGCAAACTAGGCCCGAAGCGAGGTTGTTTAATCCTTCACAGTGGGTATTTCTGTCAGGCCGAAAATGCAGCCCGCCGAATTGTCAAGACCGTGAAATCGTAGATCGGAGCTGAGGAACAATCGGATCCTCTGGGATCACTCGATGCTTGGCCGGGCATTCATTTTCAACTCAAAGTTCGCGCTTGAAAGGTAAAATGCCATTTTCACCCAGGAAACTGTCCAGGGTAAAGATGGCCTGGGCACCCAATCTAATGCGCACGTATGCGCCATCCATGGGCCGTGATTCTCCCACACCGAGCGACGGGTTCAAGTAGGGTTGAAGGGTGTCACTCACAGTAGCGTGCCACAGCTTCGGGCCAGGGTGGAACACTGACCAAATTCCTGGCCCCTGACCTCCGGCAACGACGTGATATCTCCACCCCAAACAACGAACAACCATCTGTTCTGAGTAGAAACCCTAATAAGTATTCCGCTAAAATATCCGACTTTTACAGTGGCGACTTTGCAGCCCTCCTTCACCAATACCGACTCACCCAGTCTCTATTGTTAGTCCGAATCCTGAGCTTTCAGACTGCCCTTCAGTCTCCTTTCTTTAAACTAATCACACCACGTATCCAAGTCGCACCAACGGTGATGACTTCAACCTGTGGGTTGTGGCTCGATCAATGAGAGGCACATATGCACGTTGAAGAACTCGGCCACATGCATACAGCAGAAATCAGCCGGCCCTATGATAACCATGCTGAAAAACGGATGCAGCCACGTTGCCCAAGACTGACGTCCCCATTCTCTTCCGGGAACCTAGTCGTGAACCATGTTCCCACTCTCACCAGGACATCAGCAAGTGAATTTGACGTGTTGTTAAAGTATATTTTTGACAGTCGTCAAGCGAGTCCATAATAGTCACGAATCGAAGAGATCATTCTTTGCAGTTCAATCAAGGTTAGAAAGCCTACCTCAGGGAACAGTGGACCTCCCTCGTAAGATGAGACAGGGAAGCTATCACAGCCCTTAAACGAGGAATCAGCAAAGAATCTTTTGACCACGTAAAGATACCTATACTGTAGAAATGTGTTAGAGCTTCATCCATGCGCCTAGCGGCCACTTGTAACGGAGCAATGATGGAATGATGCCATCATTCTCTTTTGTGCTAGATGGCCGATGGTGCAATCCACAACAAGGCTTCTAGATCGGCAAGGACAAGAGTATGAAAGTATGATGCCAGCCAACTAGAATTTTGCCTGGGACAAGTTAGGTTGGCGCCGAAATATCAGGACCCAGAGGTTGGGGTGGTAATGGTTGGCCGCGTTGCATCAAACTCTCCACTAGTGCTTCTGACGTGGTCTCAATCAGTTATGGCCCTAATGCTGCCCCGGTGTTCTCCTGGTCTGTCAGTTCCCATCATAATCCTAGGCTTGTGAGATCCTTGGGCGCCCTCGGCAAGGTTCAACCGGCAAAGCTATGAATACGGGTCACTGTAGAAAGAGTTCTTCCGGTGGCCTATCTCACAATACCCGGGTTAGCAGGCAACACCCTGGTGAATTGTATTCTAATGTGATAGAATCTGCCCTACAGATGGTACAAAGTGACAATCCTGGTCGGGGAACGTCTCGAGAGTTGCGCAATCTTGCGTTCCCCACCCATGGGGGTACCAGTAATTAGCTTACCACTTCGCTGGAATGACGGCTTTGACCATACCTCTACCGTTATTTATAACAGGGCTATTTTCGACCGTTTCAACCCAGGCCCAGATCATTCACCTCATTCGAGGAGTCCTTCAGTCGCTTGCGCCAAGATTGGATCCATGCTTTCCTAGGGGTCGCAACAGATGACCGGGCTGCCGGGCCACGCTTTTCGCCTAGGTGCAAAACCATCCTCCGCGACAAGTCCCGGGTGGTGAATTAAGTATCAGACTCCCTTGGAGTCAGGATCAAGCTTTCTTCCCATACTTTTTATCGAGTAAGTATTTGTGATGTTCATATTGGATAAGTGCTCAGTATGCCTAGCTTAGCGGGTCTGCGAAATACCATGCTGTGCTGCCACGTTTCCATTGCTTTGTTGTTCTTTGAAGTCTCATTAACCATTTGTGTAGTTGTCCTCGTGCGCCTGTCTGCCTGCCTTCCTGGTTTCTCAAAAACCCTCGACCTTATCCACGGTATCGCACCATCTCTTCCCTGGACTTCCAATTCCAGTCGGACATGAGCTGTTGTGCTTGCAAATTCTTCAAGTCTAGTGCTAGGTTGTACAGTCTGTCGTGAACGTTGGACGGCTCTTGTGAGCCGTCAGCTCTCAAGCCGACATGCCTGCAGAGTGAGTTGTACACAGGCCTTGAGGTCGATTTCATGCTAATATCGCCACAGTCCCGGACCAATAGACAGATACAATCGCAAGGTTCTCTATCTCGATCGAGAATTCCAAGAGTATTCATTGCAACACGAGATATACCTCGCTCCAATCGATCTAGTCGGTCCTGTCGCTCGAACATCCTTTGCCAGACGCTAATTGAGACCCTAGGATGAAGAAACCCGCCTCAGAGATCAACATGAGATGCTCAAGATGATTTATCAAGATTGGAACAATTCCTTGTATCCTCGGGTTGTCGGCGACCCAGAGAAAATACTTGAACTGGGGTTCGGATCTGGCGAATGGGCTTTTGAGCTGGCGGAATACGACCCTGACTGCACCGTATGTACAGTGCCTCCCGCCTAACGCCAAAGGCTGATCGCTCAATAGGTTCTGGGGGTTGACATATGCTCTCTCATGGCGGTCGACCAATTGGACAACATGGATTATCAGGCAAGCCCTGGTTGGCTGTGTGAATTGAGGATAGATACTGACCCAGGCAAAAGATTGCGAATTTGAATGAGCCATTTGAATTCGACGAGCCCGGATCCTTTGATCTAGTCCACTCACGCTTTGTGGCAAGCGGCATTGCAGCAACACGTTGGCCAAACTTCGTTCGGGACATTCACAGGTTTGCCGGTATGCTAACATCGCCGTGATAGGAGTGACTGACACGGATGTAGAATGTTACAGCCCAGAGGCTGGGCGGTATTGACTGAATGGGACGTGGTATTTCGATCTGATCACAGCATCGAGAGGCTCGGGGCCTTGCAGGAGTGGACCAGGCTCTATCATCAATCAATTGCTCGTTCATCTCGACCCCAAGGTAGAAAGAGCATGAGGGTGGCCCAAGACTGCGAAACATGGATGCGCATGGCGGGATTCGTCAATGTCACCACTGACATACGAGATGTGCCAACCTGCGCCTGGCGCACTGGTAGGATTTCCCACACAAATTGCCATCTCGGTGCAACATACGGCCTAGGCTAAATCGATATGACGAACAGATGGCCTTTACCGCCACATTGGGGAGGCAAACTTGACAAACATGAGAGACCTTATAAGATCGATGGGACTTTTCCCTCTGATAGATCGCCAGATTTTGACGGTGGAAGAATTCGACTCGTTGGTTGCTGCTGCCTGTGAAGAACTGGCAGATGTCAATGCTCGCCCATACATTAGACTGTACGTTGACGGTAATCCTGCGGTGGCACCGGCTAACATGAACTAGGTATACAGTATATGGCATGAAACCATAAGGGATGAGTGAATGATATCACATCCCGATCGATGTCACTAGAGAGAGCCTCAGTGCTGATGACGCAGCTTATTGCTAGTCTTGTCGAACTCGAAGAGGTGTCGTAATCACTTGTGCGACATCGTCATTGGATTCTCGATGGAGTTCAGGTACCTTTTGCCAGGCTCAGGGAGGAGACGCATTGACAATATTCAGTTTAAATGTTTAATCATACAATAAGCCGATGGACCAGCTGGCAGTGCTCAGTCCGATAGACTACTTTTGGCTTGTCGAGATTTTCCGAAATCAGGAGTACACTTTTCTAGTATAGGCGGCATGGGCATGTACATGCTAGGGGCTACATAGAGTTGTCGTTAATATAGACTCACTCAACTGTAAAACAGCTCATATTTTGCCCGCATGACCTGCTTTGTTCAAAATAATTCAGTCTACGTTTGTAGGATAGATATTCAATGGTCACTGCCCAACAAGATATTTCCACTTCTGCTTGCGGAACAGATGACTCCACGTTATTCGCACGAACCCGCTCAGGAGCTAGGTGCGGGACGAACAGAAGCTAATTCAACAAACTCTCCAGTTTTCAACTCATGCGTCATATCCCCAAGAGGAGTGTCTCAGTAAGAGGTTTGCTGAATTCCCTTTGATGGTGTGGTGAAGGATGTTTACATTTGTCTTGCTTCGCTAGGCTGCAAGAGTAGGAGAAGAGTACTTCTTAGCTGGTGACGGGGTGAGCCTTTCCCCAATGTCTCCCACCTGGAGCCCCACCCGGGCTTGAGAGACTCAATCTTGTAGGGGACAATCGCGAAATGAGATAAATAAAATCAGTCTCTGATGGGGAGTTACAGTATTATATGTGGATTCATGACCAACTATGAGTACCTGGATTCTCGGAGGCTGTGCAGCCTGAGCAAAAGCGAAGATGTCCTAATACGGCTAGGGATTGTGACTAATCTAAATATGGTTAGCTCCTGGGTTCCTTCCGTTTCCCCCCTCATTCTGGCTGCCAAGAGAATGTTTTTTGGTTCTCCAAGTAAACTGCAACTTCAGTGAAGCGATTTCTACCATCAGCGCTTTTTGTCGTTGGCTCGTTCCAAACGCGACTTTCTCCTGGGCTGATGAGACCAATACAATAGCACTGTCGACATGCCTTCGACTCATAAAAAAGACAAACCGTGGGATGTGGACGGAACAGACCATTGGAAGGTGAGACTCTTTGTAAACTAGGCTGCGGACTCGACTAATATTCTAGATTGACGAGTTCAAGCCCGAAGACAATGTCGGGGGGACCTTTACCGAAGAATCTTCCTTTGCCTGCCTCTTCCCCAAATACCGAGAAGTCTACCTGAAACAATCCTGGCCATTAGTTACCAAAGCTCTCGAAAAGAAAGGAATCGCATGTACTTTGGATTTGGTGGAGGGTCGCATGGAGGTGCGCACCACACGCAAGACATTTGATCCAGCAGCGATTCTAGATGCTCGCGATCTCATCAAGCTCCTGGCAAGAAGTGTTCCCGCCCCACAGGTAAATGAGAGACTTGCTACTGCACATATGCCCATGTTGACATTTCTCCCAGGCCCTAAAAATTCTACAAGATGATACCGCATGCGATGTCATCAAGATTCGAAACTTGGTCAGAAACAAGGAGCGCTTCGTCAAACGCAGACAACGCTTACTTGGTCCCAACGGATCCACTCTCAAGGCCCTCGAACTTCTCACCGGCACCTACATTCTCGTGCAGGGAAACACTGTCAGCGCTATGGGGGGCTACAAAGGTTTGAAGGAGGTACGAAGGGTTGTTGAAGACTGCATGAACAACATTCACCCTATATATCACGTCAAAGAGCTCATGATCAAGAGGGAATTGGCCAAAGATCCAGCTCTGGTGGGTGAAAGTTGGGACAGATTCCTTCCCCAGTTCAAGAAGAGAACTCTGAACAAGCGCCGCGTTCCTTTCAAAGTCATCGACAAATCTAACAAAGTCTACACCCCATTTCCCCCGCCACAGGAAAAGAGCAAGATTGATCTTCAGATTGAAAGTGGAGAATACTTCCTGGCGAAACAAGCCAAAGAGCGAGCCAAAGAACAAGACAGGCTGGAGAAGCAGAAGGTCAAAAAAGAGGAGAAACAACGTGAGCGTGAACAGGCGTTTATTGCTCCCAAGGAAACCTCTGAAGAATCCAGTGAGAAGAAGAAAAAGAAGAAAAAGAGAGGGGTCGAAGAAGAGAAGGAGACCGACAGACCATCCGTGAAAAAGGCCAAACACAACGTGGTGTGACACATCTTCTGCCTGCCTCAACATTTCATCTGTGACAAGTCACTGGTTCTCGAAACTCATCGACAAAATGAGTCCGTTGAGATGCCCATTCGACCTGGACACAACACATGTCCCACCTCCCGACTAATACATATGTTGACAACGGGCTAGACCCAGACGCGAGCGTTTTCCAACGTTTACCATTTGACATGCCTACCAATCAGGACGAAGCACACTGTATTAAAGCCAGCAATCAGGTCCATGAACGTCAGCCGAAGAGCCACTTGAGCCTGTATCTAGGCATGTTGTGCCGCAGAGGGCAAACCCCACAACAACGCCATCAGGGTATCAGCGCAATGCGAGGCTAGTCAGATCTTGGAGTATTACGCAGCACTTGGTCGCGGCTGTGGAATTGGTGATGGAATACCCCCACTGACGGCCCATCTGATGGCGCTAAAGGCATCCTCATCGTCAGCTGAGTTCACCTCGACCAAAATTTGAACATCAGATGAGGGCAAATGCAAAAGCCAAAGGCCGACCGGCAAGTGAAAAGCCAATCAAACAGCGGCTCGGAGAATCTACTGAACAGCCAGTTTATGTGAATCAGAGGCTAAACTATTATTGGACTAGCGTGGAACACTTCTGTATGCAACAATGCTTCTAGCCTCCTTCTAGCGCAAACCTTCTACCATTACTCCGCCCGCCGCCCAGATTCCCGTCGCGATATGGTCACTCCTGCGTCACACTAGATGGCATGGATGAGCGGTGGAAGACGGATGACCTCCGGTATGAGGTCTCTGCTGCCACTGGGATTATTGGAGACGTACACTGCTATGGGTACACACACTGGGCGCAGTTCGTTCCAAATACTTGTTGGATGGGAAGAAAAGAGAGCACCTCTACTGAGTGGAATCGGTCATCACAAGAATCAGCCCCTTATCGATCGACGCACTAAGCTTTAGCCAAAACCACATACTCCGTATAAGTATGAACTCAAGACACGGTAATCATCGGCATTGACCTCCAGCTCCCTAGTCCGTAATTATCTGGCGGGGAGGTCTCGACATCTCCACACTCAGATGTGGTATGAAAGCAGTGGATCGAGGTGTTCCATCAATGCCATGGTCGACGCTCAAAGTAATTGGTGCGGGTCACTCCTCCATGTTGCAAGACACGGCAGTTTAGTATGGGTCACAGGGGGCGCAGGCTCGTGTTTGCTTCCCCAGCCAATTTTGCAACAAAAGCCGACAGACATCGCGTGGGGGAGAATAGTTTCGCCGTTCCGGCCACCAGCCCTCCGCCTCGCCTCTTCAGTGACCAGTCATGATTTGTCGCTCGCTTTATTGCTGCTTGCATAGCATACCACCATCCCACAGTTGCTGCATATAGAGTTGAGGGCTTATTCGTGCACATGCTCTGCCCCACACTCTCTCCCACGGTTGTCTCCAGTCTACGGAGTACTGACTTGTTTACACTTTGGCGCCATACCTAGAGGAGAGCTCAGATCGCTGCAAAACTTCAACATCGGATAAACTCTCCAGTTGTATTGCTCCAGTGGATTTTGGTCGGCAGCTGCCACCCTCTATTGAGTCTCCACTTATTGCTCAGAGCATGGACTGGGAACGCGATTTCAGGACACCCTGGGGGAAGAGCAAGGACTGATATGCGGGAATAGTTGGCGAGCTTTCTACTACTTCTTAAGAGCATATAAACTCCTAGACAGTTCCCTCGAAACCAACTCTGACTATCTCTTCAATCGCCAGTAATAGCTTACACACAGAACAGAGCTGTTCAACAACGAGCAAACGACACACAATTTTGTTCCAGTTCCACCACTAGTGAACAAGCAAGTCGTGCATTCTCCATAAAAAATGGCTACCAACAATGATGGCATCACCTCTCGCCAACCTTCAAATGCTGATGCGATTGCGAACCAGCCAAGTCGTCGCCAAAGCGTGGCTAACAAAGGCCTGACTGGTGCCTCTGCCCTCACCGTCAGACAATCCATCTGGCCCATTACATTGGTCACTGTCCTCTTTTTCCTATGGGGCTTTGCCTATGGCCTTCTCGACGTCCTCAACGCTAAATTCCAAACCTCTCTTAACATTACTGCTGCAAAAGCTGGCGGTCTTCAAGGGTCTTACTTTGGTGCCTACTTTATCGGTCCCCTGACATACTCTGGTTGGCTTGTCCGTCGCTTTGGTTACCGGTGGACATTCATCGCCGGTCTGTGTATCTATGGTGTTGGCGCATTGATGTTCTGGCCTTCTGCCGTTTACTCCTCCTTTGGAGGCTTCTGCGGATCCCTGTTCATCGTTGGCTCTGGACTTTCGACCCTCGAGACTTCAGCGAACCCCTTCATCGCCACCTGCGGTCCTCCAAGACTCTCTGAATTCCGTCTGGAACTCTCGCAATCCTTCCAAGCTGTTGGCTCCGTGGTTGCCCCTCTCCTTGCATCTCGAGTCTTCTTCAAGGAAACAAACAGCACAGATCTGTCTCACGTGCAATGGACCTATGTCGGCATTGCCGCCTTTGTCTTTCTGTTGGCTGTCGTCTTCTTCTTCAGCCCTCTTCCTGAAGTCACCGATGCCGACATGGCTCTTCAGGCCGAGCAATGTGCTGACTTGACCGGATACCAAGAAAAGCCTCTGTCCAAGCAATACAAACTCTTCTTTGGCGTTGCAGCCCAGTTCTGCTACGTTGGTGCTCAAGTCGCTGTGGCATCTCAATTCATTCGATTCGCCGAGGAATCGGCAGGACTCACCGAAGCGCAAGCTTCTGACCGATATGCCATTGGCCAGGCCTTGTTCGCCATTGGGCGTTTCGCAGCAGCGGGCTTTTTCATGTTCATCAAGCCACGTGTTGTCCTCTTGGTTTTCATGACAATGATCATGATCTTCATCAGCCTTTCCATTGGCGTCTCAGGGGAGGCCGGTGTTGCTATGCTGTCTCTCGTCCTCTTCTTCGAGTCCTGCATTTTCCCGACCATCTTCACCCTCTCCATCCGTGGTCTCGGTCGTCACACCAAGCGTGGATCATCCTGGATTGTCGCTAGCGTCTGCGGAGGTGCTTTGTTCCCAGCTTTGACCGGTCTTGCCGCCGACAATTTCGGTACCTACCACAAGGCCATGATTGTTCCTCTCTGCGGCTTCTTCGTCAGCTTTGTCTTCCCTATCTATCTCAACACAGTCTGCAAGCGCGAATTGGATGGTTTCCGTGACACAAAGATTGGATATGTTGACGAGCGGCGAGGAACCGTCATTGGAGATATCAATGATATTGAGACGTTTGAGAATATGCAGAAGAGGAGCTCTGTCAATGTCGAGAAGGTGTGACGTGTATGTGATCACGATAGTCTAGTTTCAAGACAGAATTGCCACTGGCATCATGTTTGACAATGCTTACGACGATTAATGATATATTTCCCTATTAGCTGTATGCAATATATGACAATCACACTATTCCATCCTTCTTCTATTTTTCTTGTGTCAGCAGAATCCAGCAACAAGACTACCTTGCCTATATTGGTTTTGAAAGGAAAGTGGTCCTCGACTGAAGGCTCCGGTCTCACAGCCAGGCTAATTCATTGCGCAATAATCTCAACGTCGATGTGGGACATAAGCTCAGGTAATCTCTTCAGGAGCATTGGACCACATGACCAACATAAAAGAGCCAAGAAATCTCCTCTCATGCATGTGTCCCCAGTACGCGCGCGTGTCTTCTTATGGTTCCAACTTTCAGAGTAACAACGAGCAGACAGAATGGGGCGGGGAAGACAAACCCTCCATGAAGATCCCAATACATACATATCCATGTCACAAGAGGCATCTCGACGAAACCAATCATCTACCCATGTTTGGTTTACAGCTCAAGTCGACGTGTCGCAAGGACTAGACCAACCAGTCACAAATCAGTCGCCAGCCTCGACAGGTTTCTTTCGGCGCCTTGGCTGCTGTGCTGCTCTGTTAACTTTCGAAGCAGTCATTGAAGGAAGCTTTTTTTTACCCCTCTCTTGGACAGATCACAGCTAATTGCCCGCCTCAGCTGGTACCAGCAATTAGTACCTTGAAGCAATAAGCATAGCTTCGAACATAGCCAAGCTCTCAGACGAAGTATGAAGCAGTCATGATCGACAGTCTAGCTGGCTTAACAAGCTTACTGTAGCGTTGAGTGGTGGGGTTGAGATGACAGCTGTAGACCAATGCCCATTCCATCCCAATACTTGCCACATCCAGCCTTCGGCTTTATTCTCCTCCTCGACTCGATGCCCGCCTACGAGTCAGTTTCAAAGTTTGGGTCCCTGTCTGGTTGATGGTAGTTTAGTCTCTTGGGACCTATGTGCTTTAAGGTATGGGCCTATCTAGACCAACGTCAGGGCGTGTGGGGGTACCCAGCAGATAGATCTATGACGAAGGAATGTGCCTAAAGTTGAGTGACATTTGGGGTTTAGGTGACCAAGCGCCCGGGCTTCTTCATCCGAGTCGTGGGATCAAGCACCTCCTGCCGAGTCACGAGCGGCGCCGATCAGCCACAGTATAATAATGGTCGACTTGTTTACTCCTTGTCACACATTTGGCCATACTGATCCGGAGTGTCGATCATTCATTTTGAAGGGAACTTTAAGCGAGACTTAATCCATATTCATGATTCTCATTGTCGACATTATTTTCATTCAAGGTTGTCCACCTAGGCGATTGTCGCGCAGCGTCGTCGCCAAGAAATAAAAGGAGAGGAAGAAGAATAGGTAGGAAGGACCGCTGGCTGAAGTTGGGAATGACATCTTTATTTGTGAACCGTTAGAGAGATGTCCTTGATTGTTGATACAAGTGGACAGTCTTCGTCCGCCGCTACACAGCCGACAGAGAGCCCTAGTAACGTGCACGTGACTTGGCCCTAGATCTCCAGGTTAACGCCGAGCGTCTACCCGTTCATCGTTTATCGCATGACCTCTACTTGTCTACGGCTTCATGAGTTCTTAAGCTCCCAATATCTATCACAAATACATGAGGATCAAAGACAGCGCATCTGTACGGTAGCCAGATAAAATTCTTCAAGTCTGAATCTCCAATATGGTGTTCAATCCCGACAATGATATTCCGGATCTCTCTGGCAAGGTGGTCCTGGTGACTGGCGGTAAGTGTTTTCCCCGCAATTAGTCAGGAGCCTCTTGGATGTCTCTGTGTGCTGATGACCTCCAGGAAACATCGGACTGGGGCGAGAGACAGTACTGCAAATCTCAAAACACAACCCAGCACACATCTATCTGGCAGCGAGAAGCAAAGCCAAGGCGGAGAGTGCCATTGCAGAAATTGACGCCCAAGCCCCGAATCATGCGCCAATATCATTCCTGGAGCTTGATCTGTCGTCATTTGAGAGTGTGAAGCAAGCGGCCTCAACGCTCAATGCGGCTTCTGACCGTCTCGACATTCTGATCAATAATGCCGGGATCATGGGCACACCCCCGGGCACGACTAAGGAAGGCTATGAGATGCAATTTGGGACGAACCACATGGGGCACGCCCTCCTGACGAAATTACTACTGCCCAAGCTGCAGCAGACAGCGACCAAGGTCTCAGGCTCGGACGTTCGCGTTGTGACTCTCGCTTCAGATGGATACAAAATGGCACCAAGCCTGCCCTATCCTCTGGACAAGCTGAAAACCGAAATGGCCGATTACAGGACGTTGGGCAAGTACGGTCTATCTAAACTCGCCAATATCCACTACACCCAGGAGCTGGCCAAGCACAATCCTGACATCAAGTGCATCGTCGTCCATCCTGGTGCAGTGTCAACCAACTTGTCATCATCTATGACAACCCAATGGCCAATATTGAAATTGCCGTTGATGTTGCTGCAAGCCTTGGTCCTCAACACAGTCCAGACTGGTTCTCGCAACCAGCTGTGGGCGGCTTTCTCTCCTGAGGCCAAGTCCGGCTCATATTATATCCCCGTGGGCAAGGAAAGCCACAATGCGGTGATCGACGATTCCAAGGCCGCGCAAGACTTGTGGGAATGGACAGAGAACGAGTTGAAGAGCCATGTGTGAGAATTGCGCGAGGGCATAGATGCGGGACTATCTCGTGAGTGAGTGCCTACTAACCCACTGTACATCATTGTTGATATGTGCCAGCGAGGCTCCAGTTAGATCGTTGGGATGTAGATACTTTCAAAGACTCTCCGGTCGACATTGATACCATGAACTATGGACAACAAGCGCTCTCCTGTATTCATGTAAAGCTCTTTCCTAGCTTTCTTTGCGTTCATGGAGCGTATCTGAACCCTTCGACGTCCTCCAAAACCTCCAATTTACCTTCATCTGCGAGTTTATTTTGACGTTCTAGCCACATCGAGAAGAAATAAGTGACTATAGCCACCGCAATCTGAAGGGCGATAGTCGTCCACATTCCAGGATAATAAGTCTGCATTCACCCTCGTCAGCCATAACCAGGAAGGGGACGAGATGTAGGAACTCACTGGAGCATCCCTAGGGCGAAAGATGGTACTACCGGTAGTTCCCCCCACGGCACCAACGGTAATCATCGCAGCCGCAAAGGCACCCTTCTTCTCAACATTGGTGATTTGGTTTTGTGCATACGACAAGAACATAGGCAAGTTGCTCTGAGCGCCATAAATGCCCAAGTATAATCCAAAATATCGAACACCAGGTTTCCCAGCATAGAGGACGATCAAGAGTCCCACGCAGCATACAATGCACTGAGCAACGATGAATGGCCAGCGAAGGCGGAACTTGTCGGAGATTGCAGCGACCGCAAAGCTGGCAGCAATGGCAAAAAAGTAAGTTGGGGTCGAGAGTAGCTGAGACTTTGTGTAGTTAAAGCCCATCCCATCTCGAAGGATAAGAGGTTGAAAATAACCCAGGGCATATACAGAGACCGTTGCGACATAGTACTGAAAGGCGCTACCGAGCGGACAGTCGTGTCAGAAAAGGCCATGGAGTGTAATCGAAAGTGTTAAGTCTTACAAAACAATAAGTTTCTTGTCCAAAAGTAGCCCCAAGAACTCTTTGATGGAATGATTGCCGCTTGTCGAGACGTTCTCGGTTTCCAGTCGTTTGATTGCGATATGTCTTTGTCTCTCTGAAAGCATACGGGCCTTTTGAGGGACTAAGTTGCGCAGAGTCAGTGACAGCGTACATCTTTGATAGGTGCTACTCACACTCCATCATGAAAGGAGGCGCAATGATAGCAACTACTATTGTCACGATGCCTTCAATGATATAGACTAAATTGCATTTTTTTAGTCCACAAAAGAGAGAGAATATTAGAAGAGAACTTACTCCATCTCCAGCCTTGCCTGTACATTCCATCTCCAACACGGATCAAACTAAGCGCGTATGCAAACTATGAGAATGAGTCAGTATAGCGTGGGTGTAGATAACGAGCACCCTACTCACGATTGGACTCAATCCAGAAGCGAACACGCCAGTCATATAGCAGAAAGTGATTCGTTTTGCAGCCTCGTATTGCTTATACCATGCACCAATCAGGTAAACAGTGCCAGGCCATACTTGACATTTTCAGCGGCATGGACCAGATGTCCAGACAATTAGAACTTACATCCGGCTTCAAAGACGCCCAGAAAAGCTCGGAGAATCACCAGTGACCACCAATTGGTAACAAAGCCCATGAGGAGGCAGCAGATGCCCCATAAGAGGACTAGAATTGGGATCCACACACGCGCCCCGACAATTCGTAGAATGTAATTTGATGGCAGCTCAAACAATGCGTATCCTGGAAGAAAGTGTCAAAATAGTGTTATCGCTGGGCTTGTCAACACTCATGTTGCTCACCAATGAAGAACACCAGAAGAGCTATGTTGTAGCGTGCACTATTTGAATTGATTAGTCGTCACTCATTTTAGGACAAGGAACAACTCAATCGCTCACCCCAATCTGAGTTCCAGATCCTGGTCCATACCAGCAATGTAGGCGGCAGAGATGTTGTTTCTATCCAGGAACGACAGGCCCATCAGAACCGCGAGGATAGGTAGTACTGTAAAATCAACTTTTCTCCTATGGTAGATGTCGTCAGCACGCTCTAGGTCATGGTCCATCTGGAGGATGTTTTCTTGGGGGTTTACACTATCGACCTTTCCTCCTTCTCGTCCCAGTCTTGGATGACCGCAGTGGTCTTTACCGTGGATTCATTATTTGTGAATGCAGCCATCGCAGCCTTGTTCTCCACGTGGGAGATGGCGGTCTCTTTGGGTACTTCGGCTGCCATGGTCTTCTGCAATGAATGCTAAGCCAACAAAGTTTTTGTTATCCGCTGATTCTATTCCCGGATATCGGAGCAGGAAACTTGTTGACTTAATCCTATCACTTCTCTATCTTGGGCAGACCCAAGAGATATAGTAAAACGGCTTCATATCCTTCCCCAGACTTCTAAAAGTTGGGGATGCGGAAACCCCGCAAATAATTCCAAATGGACAAATGTCTAAGGGCACAAGGTATGGAATCTGACACGTCTGCATGGTTAACAGCCAGAAGTCTTCCTTGATAGCCCTGCAATTAGATCTGGATGTTGCTGCATACGCTTTGCCTGTGTGATGGAAGCCAAGAATCTTGTGGATGTTTGATATCCGGGCCCCGGCAATGGAGCACAAGACCATGTAACTTCCGGTTCCGGTTCCGATGATGAAGTGGCAGCTCACAATTCGCTGGTCTTCGTATCAGATTTGGCGTTAATGTGCTGAATGCCACCGTTGTGCTTTCTCTCACCTCACTCTCTTTCGCGATGCCAGGTCTCTTAGGATCAGTGAGCACACGGAGCGACCAAAATTTACCTGGAAATATGGCTGGATCGAGGGACGTGAACTCCTATATCTGTACTTGGTGAAACAAGAACCACGTGTATTACTCTTTCATAAGCAATTGAGATGTCTCAAGGGTCTTTGGAATTCTATCGAGTCTAAATCGCCCGACCACCGTCAACCTCTAGTGCGATGCCTGTGACAAATTTTGAATCATCACTAGCAAGATAGAGAGCCGCATTTGCCACATCCTGAGGATCGGTCAATCTACCCAAGGGTACATTTTGGGTGAACGAGCTGCGATTTTCGGGTGTGTCAGGAACTCCCACAAACGCTTCGAATAACCCAGTTCCTGACAGCAATGGGCAAATTGCATTCACTCTAATTTGCTCTGGACCATACTCAGAAGCAAGAGCTTTAGATGCCTATTCCGACCATTAGTGGCTGTATAGACGGCACTTCGCTGTTAACACTTGTGGGCACTTACGGTTAGAGCAGCACCTTTGCTCGCACTGTACCAAACGAGACCCCCACGAGGGCGAATCGCTCCCACACTGGCTACATTGATAATCGATCCTCCTCTCCCTTCGATCATTCTTGGTACAATAGCCCCAACAGATAGAAATATTGACTTGACGTTAACATTCATCACAAGATCAAACTCGTTTTCTGTGACATTTAAGGTAGGCTGCAGTCGGGTGTGGTTAGACACTATTGGGAGTTGCTCCAACTTGATGGACAGCCATTTCTAGACAAAGTCAGCCCACTTACTTTATTTCTGTAACTCGTTCCTGCGTTGTTGACGAGGATGTCTATTCTGCCGTGCTCACTCACCGCGAGTGCCGCAACCCGTTCCCAGTCGTCTGTGTTTGTGACATCGGCAGTGAATGTTGTAACATTCTTTGTTGTCGAATACTGCTGGTGCAATTGGCCTTCGTGAAGATCTGTAGCCACCACCTTACATCCGTGGCTAGCGAAAAGCTGGGTGATTGCAAGCCCAAAGCCTGAAGCGGCACCTATTTGCCAGTAATAGTTCAGCGAGCGATACAAGAGGGTCCGTTAAGTTATCTTACCTGTCACAATAGCAACCTTTCCATCAAGTCTTCCTTCAAATCCCTTTGATGTGGCCATGGTCGAAGCTGAGATACGTAGGGATTGACGACTGTGAGATATTCCAAATGATAGAGATAGCTACTAGGCTTTTCAACGAATCTTATATGCCTTTTCAGGGGGGTCTCAAGCGGAAGTTATCTGGCAGCTAGCCGACACATTTGGACCCAGGCTTTTTGCCTCTGGCTGTTGATGCATGTTCTGAAGCTAAGCATGAAGGACGATCAATTTATGCCCCTCGGGCCAAGAGACCTGCTTGTGCGCTTTAGAGACGTCCTCAACTTCTTCATCTGAAGTATCTAGGTTCAATTTCTAATGATCTGTAGAGCTCGACACATCTTTCCACTCCTTAACTAATCTCAGTGTAGACTCGCACTTGTCAACAACTATGCCATATGCATCAGAACCCAACATCAACCGTATGGGAATTGATCTTCCTGTGGCACAACCGGTCTGAGTTATAACATCTACAATCACTTTGGCCCCTTTCTCTACACTTCCTAGTTGAGACTGATCTGCGAGGTGGAACTTTTCCTCGTTTCTCCGCGCGGCCGTGCCATTGTAGTCAGGAAGACGATGCTTTGCTTTCAAAGCGTTGCCCGGCGTGAGGAACTTCGAACGGAAATAGCCAGGCTCGATGGAAACAACACGTATACCAAACTCTGCTAGTTCGTGGTGGAGAGTCTCGTTGATAGCGGACACAGCCCATTTAGAAGCAGTGTATATTCCAAGACCAGGGCTGCCTCGCCATGCCGCGATACTAGAGACGTTTGCAATGACGCCGGATCTTTGGGATCGCAAGTGGGGGAGGAATGCTCTAGTGACATTGAGAAGTCCAAAGACGTTTGTTTCAAACTGTGCCATCGTTTCTTCATGCCTGTGCACGCTTCCTGTTAGCACATAATACTACTTGAAGGTCTGAAACTCGTACGTTATTTCCTCCACGGTCCCTTGAAGACCATAACCAGCATTATTGACAAGTATATCCAGTCGTCCGTATGACTTTATGACACCAGATGCAACGTCCCTCAGCTCATCTAAGGTTGCTTTGACGTCCAACTCTATCGTTTCCGCTCCAGCGTCTTGCAAGCTCTTCAGTTTGTCTATGCTGCGAGCCGTTGCAACAACTGTATCACCCCTAGATAGGGCTTCTAGGGCCAATTCCTGGCCAAATCCAGAAGAGCACCCCGTGATGAACCATACACGGGACGACATTCCGCTTGCCGACTCGTTATGAAAGTGTATTAGATAAGAATTTCTAGTTACGTTTACACATTCGAGTTAAAAGATGTTATATTCAGATTTATCCCCTGCATTTTGATCGTTGCCATAATTCAGACAAACTCTGGTATCGGAAGTTACTTTTCCAGGTGGAGTTAGAACCGAGGGGTTGCTTGCTAATCTCCGGATACCGTCAACGGCTACGATTTTATGATTGTTAACTGCAGCGAGGCCAAAGACAACTATATACTCAGGCGTACTGTATTGTTAGTCGTCGCTTAATTTTACTCAAGCTTACCTGCCTCTGCTAGTGGGTGCTGTCAACAGCGAAAAAGGATACTATCAAAATGGCATCACCAGCCGAGACGACCGCGGATGAAATTACCAAACGTCTGTCGTCGAATATCAAAGGCAAAATCATTTTAACAACTGGAGTGTCTCCCGGATCTCTTGGAGCAGCATTTGTTGAGACCCTCGCAAAGACTGCTCAACCTAAGCTACTCATCCTAGCCGGGAGGAATGTCTCAAAGATGGAAGCAACTGCCAAAGCCATCAGCGACCTAGGCACTAATGTGCCTACCAGAATTCTACAGGTTGACCTGGCATCTTTGCAGAATGTCAGAGAGGCTGCAGCAGTTGTCAATGGATACGAAGAGCCAATCGATGTTCTGGTCAACAACGCTGGCCTGATGGCTTGTGATTATTCGACTACAGTGGACGGTCTGGAAAAACAATTTGGCACAAATCATATTGGGCCATGGCTTTTCACCAATCTAATCATGGATAAAGTGCTTTCGAGCCCAGAGGGGGGAAGAGTTGTCAATGTAGCCAGTGACGGCTACAGATTGAGCCCCATACGATTTCATGACTATGACTTTCATGTAAGTTGCCGTGTACACAAATGCGTACAGTCTAACGACACACACCTGCTAACAAAACCTAGGGAGGAGAATCATACAGCAAGTTTCGTGCATACGGTCAGGCCAAGACTGCCAACCTACTGATGGCTATGTCGCTGGCGGAGAAGCTGGGCCCTAAAGGTTTGATCGCCGTTAGCTTGCATCCTGGTGTCATTCGCACGAACCTATCCAAACATCTAGACTGGAGCATCGAATATCCTCTTCTCAGTAAGCTGAAATGATCAAGCATTTCAAAATCCCTTCTCACATGGGAAACCCTCTACAGATGCATTAGAACGCGAAATGGGGAATTGGCAAGGATGGATAAAGTCCTTCCCGTATGTGACGCCCACTCAAGGAATCATTACTCATATCTACGCTTCTTTCGATCCTCATCTCAAAGGTACGCCAGCCATTGAGTAATGAATTAATACTTTGATCTTGGAAAGCTGACATAGTGCATTTGCTAATATAGACTACAATGGCCGGTATCTAGAGAAATGTTCGGTTCCCGATCTAGACTCTATGTACTGCCACGGCATCAGCAGCAGAGACGCAAGCAAATTGTGGAAGTTAAGCGAATCACTGGTTGGTCAGAGATTTGATTACTAAAGCGCAGCAGCCAGAGGTCGCTAGGATTGTCTCTCCGTATGTAAACACTGTCGTCACAGGCCTGGAAAGTATCATGAACATCCTTGCTATAATATCATTGTCTAAAGGTGACTGTCTTGTGATATGGATGATTTGAGCTCTGACCTAGCCTGCTCTTTCAAAACCCTCCTTAATATCTTCCCTGTAGGGCTCCTCGGAATTTGCTGCACGAAACGTACTCCTCCACTCAATCTTTTATACTTGACAACTTGGCTTGAGAGCCAGTGAATGATCTCCTGTTCTTGTTCTTTGTCGAGAGTAGCCCCGTTCTTGTTGGAAATATTGGCTTGTCGTACCACATATGCTCTTGGTAATTCAGTCCCTTTTTCGATCGCGTCAACACCAACAACTGCCACATCGGCGATGAGGGGGTTTTGACGAAGGAGAGATTCCAACTCAGCTGGAGCGATCTGGAAGCCTTTGTATTTTATCATCTCCTTGGCTCGATCGGTGATGTAGAGATTTCCATGTCTGTCAAGATACCCAACATCACCTGTTCGAAACCATCCATCCTTGGTGAAAGCCTCAATGCTTTCCTGATGCCTGTTGTGGTATCCAAGGAATATGTTAGGTCCTTTGAGTTGTAGCTCTCCAGGGTCGCCCTGTGCAACTTCCATTACTTCGTCATGATGTGAATCATCATCTCTGACATAACAGAAACGTATCTCTAAATTTGGAAGAAGTTTTCCAGCACTCCCAGCGGCTGATTCCCAATCCTCCCATCGAGGAGCGAAGACACATGGGCTTGCTTCACTCAGGCCGTAGCTTTGTTTGACGCGAATGCCAGTACGGCGATAGACTTTAGTGATTAGATCCGGCGGTAGAGGTGCGGCTCCAGAATTTACCATTCTGAGGCTTCGCAGGTTGTATGTTGCAGGTGCCGGATGATTTGCCAGTAGCAATGCTATGGGCGGGACAATATAACTGTAACTCACCGAATGTCTCTGCACGAGTTGACACCACCTAGTGATCTCGAAGCTCGACATGACAAGATTTTGAAATCCGCTATAGAGAGGCGCGAGAACCATATGTGAGAGGCCATATATGTGAAAGAATGGTAGACATGTCAACACAATGTCTCCTTCCGTGGATGATGGCAATGGAATTCCTGGAGACGTCTTCGACCCATTCCAAGTCAGGTTTCCTCCTTCTGCAGCTCTGACCTGGAGGGTACTTGCGACAACGTTATAGTGTGAAAGTCTGACACCCTTTGGAAGGCCCGTAGTCCCACTTGAGTAGACGAGAAACGCGATATCGTCTTTTGGACAGACCTTTGGCTTCATACAAGAACTTTCACGCCCTTCTGCAGCGATGTCGTCCCATCGATTAGGGGTAAGCTGTGTGGGAGCGCCATCACCAACTTGGATAATTCTGTCGGTAGAGACCCCAAGTCTTTGGCACGCCATTTTAACTGCAGCTTGCGGTTTGGCAAGGACAACCTTCGCGGCAGTGTCTCTCAGTTGATGTTCTAGCTCGATCGAGGTATAATTGGGATTTGCCGTCGATACTGTAGCCCCAGACCATAACACACCAAGAACAAGTGATGCATAGTCGATGCTGTTTTCGGCAACAAGAAGAACAACATCGCCGACCCCAATGCCAAATCTCATCGAAAGTCCTCGGCCGAAATCTATGGCAGTACTGAATACCTGCTCCCACGTACGGGTTTTTCCGCTTTCGGCATCTCGAAATACAACTTTAACAGGTGAGCTCAGAGAATGTATCGCTTTTAATAATGGAACGATACCTTTGTTTCGAGGAAACTCTCTGTCATTTCGGTTGTAGAGAAAATTGAATAAATCAGTCTCCGGGATATCCAGAGATTCAAAAGTGGACTGCGATGGCATCCTTCGTCCGATGAGGCGAGGAACTTCAGCAGGCTGGATATGAATAGTGACGTTGATAGTGTCGACACATTCCGACCACGTCCATATCAGCTATATCGACTTCAGGCATGATCCACCGAATTTGCCATCACGCTTAAACTGAGTGGATAGTGTTAAGCTATGCGGCCTGTCATATCCTGGGAAATACAACTTCCTGTTGTAAGTGCATCTGAACGAAGATCGGAATCTGCGCAGGCAAAGACTGCCCCGAACTTATGCCGAGTTATAGGCAAGTCTGATAGATACTAAGCTCACGGCTTGCATCTACTCTGTATAAGTCCACTTCTGACCCAATGGGAATGTATATAGTAAACTTAATCGTCGAGTAGGCTGACATTCTACAAAGATTGTTGTCCTCACTCTATCTAAAGTCGAGCTCCCCGTACATGTCCTCCATGATTTCCGGTAGATATACTTCGCTCGAGTTGGTTCGTCTCAGTCCAAATGTGGCTTTATCCTTTGGAGAACTGGCAGAGACTGCTGCAGGAGAGCGAGAAGTCCCCAAAACCGATGGCACAGAATTATTGGGCCGCAAGACTGACGTACTAGGAAGACCTCCATGCGTAAACTGAGGATAATAGTCTTGGGGCGGTAACTCCGATACATGGATCATTTGGGGCTCTCCTGAGATATTTTCAGCTGTGGCTCCATCATTGCCACTCCAAATTTTCTCTAATATGACGCTCGTAGCAGCGGTTTTTGAACAGCCGGCTTGAAGATCACGGATCGCCCTAGAAGCGTGAGGAGATGAGCGTGACAGAGTGAGGAGTAGCTGACAGCCAACTTCAAGGATTCTTAGTGTTTCTGAAGATTGATATGACGAGCTCTGGTCGCAGATGTCGAGCAATTGTCCAACATTCTCGGCCAGTGGCGAAGACAGATAGAACCCTATGAGGCTGTACTGTAAATCGCCATCGGCCAGAGTGACGAGATCGCGGATGTTTCTCTCAATGAGTGAGATACTGACAAGAAGAGAATCATAATCCATGTTCGACATGCTTGGAGATCGTCTAATCCACAGCCTAAGTAAATTGATTTCCTAGTGGTGAATCAGCACGAGTCAGTCACGCGCAATAACTGTTACAGTGCGATGCCATCAGTCATAACACATACCTCTGCAAGAACAAACTGGCGTAACGTGTTGATTCTAGTAACCTTCTCAGCTTGGCACATCGACGGGGGATCCCTCTGCAATTTTGGACGCAATCTTGACTGCAAACGCAACAACTGCTGATCAAAGACCGCCGTATTTGATCGAACAGATCTCTCAGAGGCGGTGGCAGAGCAGAAGTTATCCCAAATCTGTCGATATATCATTGAAAGATCAACAAGCGCCTGCAGGAATGACGTGTTGCCCTGATCATCGTTGGTCGCATCTCGAGATCGTCCTGTTTCGTGAGCGTCTCCATGATGCAGTTTTCCAACGGAGACCTCTCGCTCACTAATGAGATAAGGTCGGCCTGATCTTCGAGATACTTGTTGATCCAGGACATAGAGAGCCCACCAGACTCTTTTTCGATTTGAGAACTCCAACGAAGAACAATCCGGCCAAGAGTCCTGGATATTGAGTTGCAAGTCATATGCGAGCCGGATTGCTGTGCTTGCATGCTTTGCAGCTTTGTGGAAAGAATTCTCAGAGAGGAGGAACCGTGCACTCAATGTATGATACTTGATAATATCCAAGAGCGCTTCCTCGTCGTGGCCAAAGTGTAAGCACAAAGCCTCCGCTTGCAAGTACATTTCCCAACCAGATTTGGTCCCATCTGAAGTTTCTGAGATTTTTGAGAGCTGTTCTGCCAGAGCTAGAATGCTGCACAGCAGTATCGAAAGAGAGGATGATATCAAGCTTACTTGTATTATCTGAGAAGTTCCCTGGTCCACGACTTCTCCAAGTAGTTCTTCGATCCGTGAAGAAGTAAGGGTTTGATCAAGTATTGGGAAAAGGGGATTGACTTCTTGAAAGTAATAGTCAATTAGTTTTGTTGCTGCTAATGGTGGAGGAAGTCGCAAAGAATATGGTTGTGGACAAGGCGAATCCAAGCCGGTACTTTTGCAGTATCGTTTAGGGTAGCCTCGAGGATCCTGCGGCTGCTGACATATTGGCGATGTCGTCTTCTCTCCCGGATCACGAATTTGAGTATTCTGACTTCCCATAGTAGTGAGATGGCTTCGAGGCATGACTGGACTCAGGAGATCATCGTGAAGATCTGCCCCAATTGGAGGCTCTTCTTGCCTAAGTGAGGCGCTGAGAACGGTTTCTCCCTTGCTTGCTAAGGTTTCAGGCAGACTCTGCTCAGGGGAGTGCTCTGAGCCATCAATTGGTCTTCTCTGTGCGAATTCAGAATTGGCATCTTTTGGGATATCGAGCGAATTGAACTCTACTCGATTTGGCCCAATGCTCTCGCGGTTTCGGCCGATGATGAGTGGTTGTACCGCCGACAAAGACCCGTCTTCCTCTTCTTGCCGAACACCACTCTCACTCGTGGATGTTGTCCTACTACTGGCAGTTGAGAAAGCAATGTATGTAAGAACCCAAGAAACCAGGACTTACTTTGGCGTCCTCGCGGAATAAGAGCTGTCATAAATGCAAGAGGCCCCTCTGACATGGCATTGGGAGCAGACGTCCTCTCCAGAGCACTGTGATTTCCTCAGACTTTGTGAGAGTACCCTGAAACACATGGAATCTTACCTTAGTCTTGCGTTGCTTACATTCCAAACTATGGTGTTGTCAGTCTGCTTCTGGAGGAGAAGGCAAAGGTCAAAGAATCTTGCCATGCTCTCGAAGCGTATTTGGCCCTCTTCTTCCTGGGTTGCATACTTCCTTGTCGCAAATCAACTCATATGCGCAAAGTAATTTCGAAATCAAGCAAGCGAGGACACAAGAAGTCAGTGTTTCTAGTTCTTCGCAATGGTTTGCACGAAAGACACGGTCGAGGACAGTAACCGAGGCAGTTCCATAGGCACTACATCGGGGTCCGGGGTCTGGGAACTTGGGGAATTGGGTTACAAATCTCCCGCTTCTCCACGATGCGCATACCCCGTATTGAGCCGTCGCCTGACCACAGAGGTCACAGTGCCCCAAATCTTTTCTGGATCGAACAGCCCAGTCGTCCTCCAAGTAGTTCTTTATCGCCTTCATCCCCGCACGTTCTCATTTCACTAAGAACACAATGCCTCCTCTCTCGTTTCTTCAAGAGAGTGTCACTATGAGCCTATCCTTTCTCTGATTACTGGTAAGATCGAAGCAATCATGAGCACCACTGGCGATAATACCGGAGAAGAATCAAGTCGCAAACACCGAAACTCGGGCTCTGTGACACGAAGAGCGTCGATTGCCTGCATAGCTTGTCGAGAACGGAGAATCAGAGTAAGTTTCCCACTCAACCCTTAGTGCTTTGAGTAACCAGTCTCCTAGTGCGATGGCAACTCTAAACTAGATCGCCCTTGCACGCAGTGCCTGAGTGCACTAAAGACGTGTCGATTTCCCCGAGATGACGGTCGGAAGAGGTAAGATCCATCGGACGACCCAGGTGGCGGCTAGTGAGATCTGGCAGCTAATGAGATCAACCAGAGCGAGGATCGATTTGAAGCGGCTGCAAGAGCGGATTGCAGCACTTGAAAAGGAGCGGTGGTCTATGGCGAAGCCCACATTTCGTCCATCAGAAAGAGAATCACCCCTAAGAGGGGTGGTGGAGGATCATCCAAACTCGAATACATCACTGGCGAACTCCCGATGGCATTCAATTCAATCTGACAGTCCCGTCGTATTGAATGCGTCCATGAGTAGCACTCATGTCTTTGATGTCCTCCTGAACCCTCAAATCATGAGTGAAGACTTCTCTCTAGTCCGCTCTGGGACTCGGCTGCAGCAACGAGAAAGTGGTAACTTCTGGGATCGCCGTCCGTCGATGAGTCCGTTTTTAAGAACGGACTCCAATGGCCAACTAAGATACTTTGGCTACACGTCAAATATGCAAGTTGTCTCGTTACTACCGCCAGTGTCCCCAGCGTCGTCACCTTCAGCTTCGAGCCCTGTCAACGATGCGATCGAAGAATTGGCTGACGCACCGGACTTCCAATTGCACTTGGTCAATCTCTACTTTGACTATCAGAACATTGCTCTGCCAATTGTGCAAAAGGAAGCTTTCCTGAGAGATTGGGCTCGAGGTCAAAGAACGCCATACTACTCGAAGTTTCTTCTCTACTCCATTTTGGCCAGATCTGCACGGCTGAGCGACCAGTCGATGGCGACACAAGCTGCACTGCTATATCAACGACGCATTCGTGCAGAGCTTCTTGACGAAATAGATGACCCCAACATAGCGACAATCCAGGCTCTATGTATCTACGGTCACTTTCTCGGCAGCATGGCAAATGACAGGGGATGTTGGCTTTACCCAGGTGAGATGGATCCCCAGACGTTTATTATGAATCAAAGTGTGTTAATTCAGTCTCAGGGATGGGGTTCAGACTATTATTTGACCTTGGCCTTCACCAGGATTGCCTCCACAATGTCAGCTCTGGGGAGCTCACAGAACAGGACCGCAAAGTTCGCATTGCTACCATGTGGGGATGCTATGTCCTCGACAAGTAAGTGAAAGTAGGCTCTGATGACACAGACACTAATGTGTCTTTTGCCTGCAGAATTTATTGTGTTTGTCAAGGTCGCCCAAGCGTTATCAAACTGGAAGACATCAGTGTTCCACGCCCAACATATGATTCCGTGGGAGACCAGTATCAGCCCCTAGCAGCATGGGTCGACTTGTCGGCCATCTTAGACAACATAAGCTCCATCCTGAACAGAGGTCCAAACATTACTGACAAAGATGCCGCATTCTCCAAATTGACTGCCTTGGAGGGCCAGCTATTGACATTTTTGAAGAACCTACCGCCTAATCTGTGCTGGGACAAACAGAACCTACCATCACCGGAGGTTTGTGCCCTCCACATGCAATTCATGACTGCGACGATCTTACTACATCGACCTTTTGCCGACTACAGCCATCCGAAGCCTGGTTTGTTGACACCGCTTCCAAACGTAAATCAGAATTCAAGATACAGCCCCACAAGATCCCGCAACGTTTGCACACAAACAAGTATTCGCATTTCAAAACTGCTTAACGCGTTCCGATCACAATATGGAATTCTAAAGATCTTTTCCGTTGGAGCTTACATCGCTCTGACCGCGGCATTGAGTCTGATCAGCGAGTTATCGGTAAATCCCAATCAGGTTGAGGGGAGAGAAGATGTCAAGAAGGCTTTGAATATTTGTATCGAGGCATTGGGTGATCTTGGACCGTCTTTCCCAGTCGCCGGTCGGCACCACAACGTGCTTCGTTCAATCCTCAAGTACTGTGGCTATCAACAAGATGGGCAGGCGGAACGACGTGGACATGCGCTGCGGAAAAGTGACGACCTCGAACCCATAATTGAAGATTCATCACAGCAAAACCAGGACATGGCCGAAAATGATCTAGACTCAACGGAACGCTGGACTGATCTGGGTATCGATACAGGGGGCTTGGACTTTTCTTCTTGGTTGCTGCCTCAACTGAATGAGCTTCCCTGGGCGAATCCTGATCTGTTTGACACTACGCTTGGTGGCGACGGGTTGAATCCAACGGTCAACCTTCAGATGGACCACTTGGCATCCCTTGGATCTCTGGGAGGGATGCAGGAGTTCCATGCAGACTTTGGCTACTCATGAGAGTTACGGATAGCCTTCAGCGTTCTAGTAGCCAGAATCTCCACGAGGGCTAGAACTGTCAATTACAACAGCAAGAATTCCCTTCTCATGCTTGTCAAAAGGGGCCATACCCCGTGTTTATCCAACCGCCTCGGTAGTCAAAGGTGGAGAAACACGGGCTGGAAGTTCAAACTCCGGCCGGAATTCACACCTGACAATTTTCGGAACAGTGTATTTTGAAGATAATCTTGGTCTCTGCATCTAAAAGCTCTCAAGGAAAGGATCGTTCTCCCTGCTGACAAGGTGGAGAGATTGTGAAACGGACTTCTCATGACAAGGAGTTTTTCAGACAGTTATCTTTTAAGAAATCGTGTAAGATTTAGGGCACGGGGTATTAGCCGTCAGCCCTGGTTCGACAAGTTGGTCTGGTTGATTTCCACAGAATTTGTTACCAACCGAATGCTTCCTCAATATATTCCAGCCCTTGTTTACCTGCCTTCAGGTTCCTGTGCGCTGCAACACGAGCCTCATCAGCCATAGCTGCAGGCCCACACGTATAAACAGCAATTCTACCACCCTTTGAGCCTGCAGAATTGATCTGATCTACAAGATTGGTCACTGCTTCTTGGACATTCGGCCGATGCTGCGCGATTTCAATGTCCCTTGATGGGGATTTTTCTGATACTGCGACAGCATCGGTCTTCTTGTCTCGGGTGGCGTAAAACTCGAAGTGGATGTCGTCTCGGTGAAGAAATGGTCTCAGCTCACGCGCAGTGACATCCCGAATCATAGAGGACTGCTTTGCGGACCAAATCACGGTGATGTCTCGAGTTCGAGTCCTTCGGAAGCCCGAGTCGGACTTTTTTGATGCTGTCGCGAGCCGCGCGTACTCTTGCAGATATGGGATCGCGCCGGCAATACCTGAACCTCCAACGATGAATATCAGATTTTCAAAGGAGGACAGCGGGCTGTGTTCGCCATAGGGACCTTCGAGCAGGAGCTTCAAGTCTGTTACACCTTTCGGGCCAGCCAGTATGCACTCATCGCGAAGGCGTCTGGTCCAGCCGTTGAATGGTCGCATCAAGAAGACAAGCTTATGCTGTCCAGCGGGGATTACTGCATCCTTTTCATCGGAGTCTTCGCTAGGGAGGGGAACCACAGATACTGGTGTTTGACTGCCTGATGTCGGTTCTGAAGGCATAATCTCTGCATTGGCTTGAATTTTGGCGTCGTTGTTGGTTTCAGCCGTGGTGTTGTGATTTGGCAATGCTGGAGTCTGGAAAATGTTGTCCTCACCCGAACGGTACCATGCCGCTAATGTGAAGGGGTGGTTTTCCCAGAACCTGAGCTTATTATACTGGTAGATGTAATAATGCTGACCAGGTCCCGGACGAATCATTCGAGATCCGGGAATGGCGACAATTCGAAGCAGATCACTGTCCTTGTCATATGTTGCCGACGAGACTGTAGATACGGGCGCCCCGGAGAATCGCACCCGATAATTGCAGTATGCTAGTCGCACGAATCGAACAGACCTGTCGAAAACCCAAATTGCTACACATGGCCACAGGTATCCGTCATATTCTCTATTGGTGAAGATTGCCGTGTGACTGTGAGAGACCTGATTAGTAGAGTTGACGTCAAGAAGACTTCGGTACATACTAGAATAGTCCAACAAGTGTTAGGGCGGCGAAGACGATATGGATAATCAAGAAGATCTCATAATGCCTAAATCGAAGCCACACAGATGAAAGTACTAGTAGTAAGCTCATCGTGATGGTAGCCTGTAGCATATTAGTCAAAGTTGTTCTGTGAGCTGAGCTGTAGTACGCACAATCCCTCCCATATACCAATAGTTTTGTGTCCACGAGTAACGGAGCAAATCGACTAGGGCGTTGTCAGTAAGATACAACAATACTAATAAAGATAGTTCACATATAGGGCAATTTACTTCTAGCTTGAATCACACTCCATCCGATCGAGTGGATAATTGCCTGAATGGTAGCGATCCTAGCGATATGGCGATGGTACACGGAGAAGCTTGAGAAGCTCCAGCCAGTTGCCCAGAGGAAGATATTGTTCCTTCCAGCAAACAACCATAAAAGAGGGAGGTTTGCATATGATATAATACCGGTCCGGTCGGAGATGAACCTCCAGTGTTGTAAGGCTGTAGTCCAGCTATCAATGTTGTTAGTACTGTTTCTTCCGTGTAGGAAGCTTATTTATACTTACTTAATAAGCTTAGGGACTATCTCATATGAGACACAGCAAAGGATGAAGTTCAATATCCAGAAAGCAGCAATAATGATGGTCTCAATCCTGGTGGGAATGGCACACCAATAGTAAAGACGTTGATGATGGGAGCCAAACGCCGCAGGAACGATGAGATTTGCTCGGGTCCAATGGTGAATGGCTTTGAATGGCGAGGTGAGGCTCGACATAACAGTGTTTGCCCGAGAATTGGCGCTCTCACCCTCGATATCCGTGGCCTGGTGTTTGATTCTATTGTTTGAGATCAGGGAGATGAAACGGCTTGCCATTCCAATCAACAATAGTCCGCCCCAGAAGCCGTAGACGGCCCAACTGTGGGGAGTGAATCAGCGTATGACGAGGTCACATCATCCGAGGTACACTCACCCGTATCTCTTGTGCAGCACAAACTGGTGTGTAGGGACGGTCTGTAGATATTGTCAGAGTCCATTGTGATTCTGTCTCCAGTTGACCTGATTCAATGCCACGTACGTAAGTCTTGACTCCCAGTTCAAATAGTTCTTCATCCAGTCTGTATACTTCGGACAAGATAAGCTTGACGTTGATATCATCAGGTGTTAATGTTGGGAGGGAGTTGATATATTCGTCGGTAAGATTCGACTGGACTTCTGAGTATGTGACCGCTGGGATTCCGGCTAGGGCAAGGCAGCTATATTCTAGTAATGCTGATCCAGCAACGACCTCTTCAGCAGTACAATGTATCTTTCCAGAAGCGTAAAATGAAGTGGTCCGAAGCCGGTTACGACAGAGGCTTTCATAGAAATCGAAGACGTTTCCACCCGTGAAGTAGAAGGGTGAGAGCGCTAATCGAACCCCCTGCATGCAGGCAGTCATGTCCTGTCCTAGGGCGGAAGAGGCGAGAATCCCCAAGGTAATAATGCATCGTAATAGCGACATCCTGACGAACCACATGGGTTGATGGTGCTGTCGAAGCACTTTTTGGATAAGAAAGGACAATAGCTTGGAATAGAGCAAGACTCGAATTTCAGCACGGTATATACAGTAAGAAAAATTTTAACACTAGCCCTTCTAAGAAGATTGTGTGCATTCAATTTACTATTCTATGATTCGATCCAGATTCTTGGTTGTCTTGTAGCTCGGTGAATCAACCGACGAAGAATTGCAATTCCGAGGCACTAGCAGGTGTACCAAGAATCTCTAGACAGATGCCCGACATCGCTTCCGTCTCGAAGTCTTGAGCTACTCCAATCAATCGACATTGAAACCGTCTCTATAGGAGTCTGGTGTTGTTCGCTCATCTTGAATTGGTTCCAATGCGGATATGTGCTACGATAGTGAATCTATATTTCTACTTGACGCGCTTGAATTTTTGGGGTATCTCAAGAAATTGGTCGGCTTAGGCTACAGCTTGCAACCAGGATACAAAGTGTATCTGATGGCTAGAGGGCTTTTCTCAAGTTCAGACCTGAAAAAGAGTGTTCGTTGCCCCATCCTCCGGATTCTTTTGCCTTGATTGTGCATCCACTAGGTGTCGTGGCAGACGTGGACAGTGGACGCCGGACGATGTCCGAGCGTGAGCTGGTCAAGAGTCGATGCATGAAAAGGATTCCTGAGTATCTTGGCCAGACTTCTTATTCTTTAGAGATTGTCGAAGAAAAAGTCTTATTCCGAAGATTTGTTACATGCTAGACATATCACGGTCCACATGGTTAGGTAAGTCGAGTCTTGGAAGGTGCCATGCTTCCTCCATTCGCAATGATTGTTTTCACCGGCGCCGTGCAGTGGGTCGGACTCGAAGTCTCAAGTCGAGATGAAGAGATGGACAGCAGAAGAAAAAGTGGTTAGGGCGTCTGCTTATACTCGTAGCTACTTACTGGCAGAGGTGGCCATCAGTCAAGCCAAAGCTTCCATTGGACGTCGTCGAAATCAAAAGTCTTGTTGTTCAGCGAGTCAACAACGCTAGAGAATGTAGTTGCAGATCGCGACATACTCCTGCTAATCAGCCAATCTCTTCCCAGTCTTCTCGAGGGGGAGATCTCCACCTTACATGGCAGAGTCTGGTTCCATCTACGGAGTATACCGGAAATATACGACAATATGGCAAACGGCGAATGTCCTTAAACACGAGGCTTCTTAGTGTCGAGCTATCTGATTATCTTATCTAATACGATCATCTTATCTGATTAATATCCCGTGGTAACTGACAGGGTCCAAATAAGGTGGGGAGCTTACAAGAAATTTTTGCTTCAACGCATGCCACGCTACCAACGTTGTCTAAGCCTGTGGCCACAGTCCAATTCTTAATGTGCGGGGACCAATCTGTGGTTTCTTATTAGGTTTCTTGGTTTCTTGGTTTGTCGTTGAAAGTCCAACCCTCCGAACTCGGCCTCAAGGAAGGTTCTTCAGGGCTGCAGTAGAGTGATGGGTTTGACTTGGCATAGATTCCAACCGTATACCTAGATAGGAATCTATTAGTAGTGTGTTAATAAGTCTTAGACTTCTCGTTCTCTACAAAGACCAGACCTTTCGAGATAGGCTCTCGAGATAGCGTTCGGTGCTCCTTTTACCTATAGGCACCACCACCTACTACCACTGTCCGTCCATTTCCACCGTGCAGAGACTATCCCTCATACTCACTGGATACTTTACAGCCATTGGAACGAACTATAGGTACTTTACAGAGACGCACATTTTGGGGATAACGGTCTAGACCGCTTCGCGATCAGTGCATTGTAGTTCTTGTTGAATTGACAAGTAATGAGGAGCCACCTTTCCAGTCAAATTTCTACTCAGAAAACGGTCAACGGCTTTGACACGTGGGAAGTTGATGGCGAAATCATGGCATCCCATTCATCGTCCTTGATCACATCTATGGCGTACCCCAATTCTCGCCAGTTTGCCTCCTCGTTTCTTTATTTCTGGAGCTAGCCCTCACAGAAATGTAGGTCGAGACGACCAACAAGTGCTCTTGCCAAGCTAATGCAAGAGCCGTTGCTAGCCCAATCCTCTGGAAGTCCCATCCCTGAATCACAGAATACGACATAATGTGACAGACTCTGAGCAGATGCTGGATAAATCTGTGTGGCCATGTCACTGCACTGGCCTGCGGGAGAGCGTTGGAGATGGCACGTAACTAGGCTTAGTACCCTTCTTTTATACCTTGGAGAGTACTGCCTCTACCTCTTCTTTTCTAGTCCTTCGTACTATGACTTAATCAAATTTGCGCTATCAAGTGATGAGCTAACTATAGGCCCTTATGGTGACAGTCAGTTTACCATTTGGTCGCTTCTGAGTGGATGTCCCTGTGAATGCCCTAGTGATGTTTTGCTAGAGAATTCCGCTGATCACCCCTCACATCAAATCCCTACAGCGCCTCTGGGGGTAACTGAAGTTCCCTCACTTGGTGATGTGTAGGCATAGTCCCTCTCTCTGGATTTGGGTTTCGCAGATGTTCCCCCTAGAGAAAGTGCTTGGCATTTAGGCGGAAATAGTTCTTCCGGCGCAAAAGTTGGAGGTTATCGATCAATTGATCTGTCTTCGGAATGCCCTGCCTTTCTGCATGATATACTTCCGTCCACCGTGGGTGCTTGGATGATCTCCCGACGAAAGTTTGAATACTGTTTTTGTAGCAGTCTATAGTCAATGTTCAAAAGTCACAAGGATGTTGGTTTGGAATAGTAGAGATCTAGTTGTCCCTTACAAGGAGGATAGTAATTTGCAATCCACGTCTCTACAATGGCCATCATCGCACAAGGCTCAACCGTCAATGGGGATGAACTCATGCCTGCTTTCAGCGCAAAGATGAATGGTGACCTGGGTAGCCATCCGTCTAACACAAATGACGACCAAAATCTCACAAATGGGGATTCCAGTGTTCCCGTTACAAAAGAGCAGAGTCTCTACCAGACTGAGGTGGGAATCCCTAAGCCCATCGAGGCGACTGCCTCATATGAAGCTATTAATCCTATTGCCTACGAGCTTTCAAAGAAACCATTTGGCACCCCTCGTCGATTGAAGATCGTTGTGGTAGGGGCAGGTATTAGCGCACTTTCCTTGGCCCACGAAGTGGCTATTGGACGATTAAAGAATGTCGAGTTGAAGATTCTCGAGAAGAATGCTGGTCTTGGAGGCACATGGTGGGAAAATCGGTACCCAGGATGTGCTTGTGACATTCCTAGCCACAATTATTTGGTAAGATAGGCACGAAGAAGGACTTCGATAACAGGAACTTGATTAATGTGGATTAGTTCACCTGGGCTCCAAACCCGGAATGGTCATCGTACTATGTCAGTGCGCCAGAGATCCTCAAATACATGGAACGCACGGCAGAGAAGTTTGGTTTAAACAAATACATTACCCTATCACGTAAAGTGACTGGGGCTCGATGGTCAGCAGAGAAACAAAAATGGGAGATCACGAGTCGCCAGACTGATGGACGCCGGAGTGTTATATCTTCATTTGGAATTAATGAAGGAGAGGTTGGTGAAGACATCGTCGACGAGTGCGATGTTTTCGTCAATGCCAGCGGATTCTTCAACCACTGGCGATGGCCAGCCGTTCCAGGTCGCGAGACGTATCAAGGTGTTATGGCTCACAGCGCCCATTATGACCCTGAAATTGACCTGGCAGGGAAGAGGGTCGCGGTCATCGGCAACGGTAGTAGCGGCATCCAAGTGACCACGGCAGTGCAAAAAGTAGCTTCACACGTCTCGGTCTTTGTGCGGAATCCGACATATATCACTGCATCAATGGGGTCCAAGTATATTCCAGAAAATGGCCAGTCACTTCTGTTCAGCGAAGAGCAGAAAGAGTCGTGGAGGAGGGATCCGGAAGAATACCTGCGGTTTCGCAAGGCCGTCGAAGGAGAGCTGAATGTCCGTTTCCAGACGTTCATTCGTGAATCGGACCAGCAAAAGCTGGCTATGAAAACAACCCTTGCTAGCATGCAGGCTGCTCTCGCTACGAAACCGGAGTTGATTGATCTTCTCATTCCAACATTTGCGGTTGGATGTCGACGTCCTACGCCTGGAATCGGGTATCTTGAAGCGCTGACAGCACCAAACTGTGAAGTTGTCTGGGGCGAGCTTGAAAGCTTCAAGCCCAAGGGCATTCGATCAGCAGACGGGACTGAAAGAGAATTCGATGTCATCATCGCAGCAACCGGGTTCGACCTGTCTTTTGTACCCAGGTGGCCCGTCGTGGGTCAAAACGGTATTGATCTTCGAGACTCGTGGGCTGAGAATCCTGCGTGCTACATGTCGTGTATTGCAGCAAACTCACCCAATTATTTCACCTACCTTGGGCCAGGTAGTCCTGTCGGACATGGCAGTCTGATCACAGCGATCGAGAGAGTGACCCTCTATCTCTGCGACATGGTCCAAAAGCTGCAGACGGAGAACTACAGCTCTTTCGTGCTCAAGAATGGCGTTGCCGAAGCATACCAATCACAAATGTTTGCTTGGTTGGAAAAGACCGTGTGGGGTGACGATTGTCAGAGCTCTTTCAAGAACGGAACCAAGACTGGTGCTCTCCATGCTTTTCACCCAGGTTCTAGGCTGCAGTATTTTGAGCTTCTCCGGACTCGACGATATGAAGATTTTGAGTGGACTAGTCTCTGTCCAGAACCAGAGTTGGCATTTGCATGGTTCAACAACGGATTTCTCCCGGGAGAATTGGAAGGAAAAGCAGATTCGACGTAAGTTTTACCACTTGTCAGGTTTCGTGTCTTGACTGACATTCACAGATGGTATTTGGACCCTGATTCCTGACGATTGCTGAAGAAATCAAGGTTGAAGCAAGTTTCAAGAAGAGAACAGAAGTGAGGTTTAGATACAGGAAATGTACAGATTCAAACTCATACCAATGCAGCATGACGTCAGGTTTGAGTTGTGACATGTCTCGAGAAAAGCTCAAGTTCAAGCTCTCATCTACAAGTAGATTTGGTATTTTCATCTCTGTAATAGAACAGTCAATATACCTCGATCGACTCAAGTCTAATCTAGATCAATTCATCTCTATTGAACATGTCACCATCAAGAGGTGCGCCTTCGGAAGCACCAGCCCTAACAACTCCACCATCATCATCTGCCACAACATCCACCACCACCACCACCCACACTAAACATAACCATCCAAACATCAGCAACGACGATGCAGCAGTAACTCAACAAAGCAACTCCGCTCTCAAAAACGCGAAACGCAACTTCTCATATTTCATGCACCCAAGCTCACCTAACGGCCCACGACCAGCTCGGCTCCGCACACGCGCTCTGCTCCGGACACTTCGATACGTGACACAATTCATTTTCTGGCGAATAGTACGCTGGGCCAAATATGTTGCAGTAGGCACGTTGGTGGCTGCGATTGGAGCGACTGCATTTGGGAGTGTGGTCAGCGGAGTGGCGTGGATTGCGGCGCCGCCCACGATTGGCGCCAGTGTTTTGGCGGCGGGGGTCTGGGGGACGGGGAAATTCGCAGCTCGTAGATTACATGCGAGATGGAAGTCCACTGGTGGAGATGAGGGTCAGGCGTTGAGGGATTCAATCGATGATGGTCAGAGTGGTGTTAGGGTTGATGGGGCATATGGGTTAGATTTGGGGCCGAGGGCGGTTCCTTGGTGAGGGAGAGGGGAATGGGATTTGGCAGGTGGATGGAGGCTTGAACGAGGGAGTTGTCTTTGTTGTATCATTCAGTCATTCATAAGATTTTACTCTTGATCTGGGCTATTCATGAGATGTCAATGTTGCTTCTACATACTGATCGACGAGTCCGCCCAACGCCAGTAAGTAGGGTATCTTTCAAGCCATGCTGTGCATTCATAAGAGACCAGACAAGCTAGGTTGGTCGAGTGTCTTGACTGTTGTTCAATACCTGTTTATGGTCCCCTCCTAGCAGCATTCCACGACTCGAGCTCATCCAGGATATCTCTTGTAATGCTTTTAGGTGTCCTCCTAATCGCCTCTTCGACATCAGCCATGCCAACATAATTGTGATCCGTGTCAAACGCCAATTCTCCGGCCGTTTGCATGATCCCCACCACTTCAGCACCGGAGAATCCTTCAGTCAATTCGGCGAACCGAGTAGCATCCGCCTCAATAGTGGCTGCCGGTCGATATGATATCCTGCCCAATCGCTTCTCCAAAATCTCTTTCCTAGCTTCAAAATCCGGCGGACCAATATACACCACATTGTCAAACCGACCAGGTCTCATCAAAGCTGGATCAATCGCCATAGGTTTATTTGTCGCCGCCACGACCATCACACCCTTCAACTCCTCGAACCCATCCATTTCGTTCAACAAGGTGGTCAGAACATTTAGATCACCACCACTCCTCCCTCGACTTGCAATTGAATCGATCTCGTCGAAAAAGATGATACTCGGACTCGCGGCTCGTGCTTTGCGGAATATTTCTCTTGTGGCTCGCTCACTCTCGCCCACATACATACTGATCAGCTCGGCGCCTTTGACAGCGAGAAAATTGAGTTTGGCCTCGGTGGCTAGTGCCTTGACGAGGAGGGTTTTGGAGCAGCCTGGTGGGCCATAAAGCAAAACACCTTTCTTGGGTTCTAGGCCAAACTCAGCCATGCGATCTGCGTGTTTGAGTGGTCGTTCAATGGCGTTTTGTAGTGATCGTTTGATTTCGTGTTGTCCGCCAATATCCGTCCAGTGGACATTGGGGGTTTCAAGGAAGATCTCTTGGAGGGCCGAAGGCCGGGTTTGGGAGAGGGCGAGTTCAAAGTCGCGGGCTGACACTTCCAGAGGGATGTAATTCTCAGATAAATCCTGTGCAACATCGCCATTGGGTGTTGCAACGGGTTCAACTGCGTCACGACGATCGATGGCTATGTCAAGTGTGGTGCAGAATAGGTCGTAGAGGTCAGCGCCGACGAAGCCATGCGTTCTTTCAGCCATTGTTTGTAGTAAATCGTCTTTTGGAATCAAGTCATCACCCCGGATGGCCCAGAGGATTTGCTGTCGCTGCAGAGACGAGGGGATCGGTAGTTCAACCTCGACCTTGAATTTCCCGACCGAGCGCAAACTCTCGTCAATGTCATTGGGATGTGAGATTTCAGCGACGACCAAGGTTGGTGTACCTTTGATTTGCTCGAACAGAGAATGGATCGCCATGATCTGATTTGAATGTGAAGGAGAACCATCGACAGCGCGTCGAGATAGATGATTGGAATTTACGATCACAAGTCGAGGCGACTTGGTTGATGACAACTGTGTTTGCGGTGTCCATTTGACCACTGAAGGCCACCCTGATTCGGCCAGCGATTGTATGAAAGTAGATTTGCCTGTGCCCTTTGCGCCATAAATCAAGACTCCTTGCTTGGGTGAATATGACTTGGAATAAGACCTGAGATCCGCTCGAGTCAGGCGGCGGATGATACTTTGTAGCTGAGAAATCTGCTTTTCGAGTCCTGCTAGTCTCACCGGGAAGAAATTGACCTCAGTTTGCGTTGGACTTTCTTCTGAGTTTGTGATGCGGAAGCTAGTCGATCTGGTCACTCGCGCAATGTAAGAATCCTGGATACCGACATCCTTGACTCGAAGATCGACACGGTCGTCTCCTACCCTGAACGACAACTTCTGTGAAAGCGCAATACACTCATCGATAGCCGAGTAGGCCGACGTCGCATATTGTTGCCAGAATTCAACCTTTCTCGCATCCAAGGACAGGTCATCGCACAGTAAAGTCACCGAACTGGAATCTTCAATCTTCTGGGAACTAGGGCTGATGGTGATTTTGTCACCTAATCGCAGTCCATAGGTTTCCTGCAACAATTTCGAGGTCTGAACCACAGTGTCCTTTAATCCTTGCCCTGATGCTTCCCACACGATGGCGAGTTTCTTCTTGCCATCAGGATTGTCTGTCGGCCCATGGATTTGACAGGTATCTCCCGGCTTGAGTCGCAGGCCAAGCAGGGACACGGCCGTCAGCCTGACCCTGAAGGCGTCCTTGTCAGAGTTGGTGGGCCGTACAATGAACGAAGACATGTACAAGGGACTGGTTGATTTAGAAGTGGTGATGTAGATGTTTCTGAACAACGCAAAGAAGGCTTTACGCTACTTTTTGATAGGCAATTAAATCTCCGGTCTTGGCATTTTGTGAGGCTGGGGGAAGAGAATTCGTCCCGCCTTGGGTGCAACACGGACCACCTGATGCGGTCTTCTATGATGAGTATACTCCGTAGACCATCACTTGCAGACCATTGTGTAAAATGTACTCCAAATGAGCTAATGAACTGTTTGAGTGTGTACCAGACTAAGAGGGCAGAGGCTGCCTCTATTGCTAATAAATCAACTAGAAAGTGGATGATTCCGTCTTTCTTCACTTGATGTGCAAGACGGAGCGTTTTGTACAAATATACATTTTGGACGGCCGACATAGTATGTATCAAGTCGGCAAAACATTTCCCAAGTCCATCTCTTTTCTTTTCTCCGTCTGTGCTCCCAAAAGAGACCCTCTATTCAATGCCCGCTCTAAATTCCTATACCCGTTATGCCGTTGATTAAGTCCCCGGCCACGCTTCATGCGCGACTTCTTCCCAGATATCCCACATGTCGTCCTCAGCCTGAGCAGCTATATTTCCCACGTGCTGCGTTGTGCGCTCATCTTTAACCTTTCTCCACGTGGGCGCCAGTCCCTTCCGGCGAATGAACTTGATCACAGGCCATGGCCGGGCGATGTTATTGCTTCGAGCATTCACGTCGAGACAGTCCTGTCTCCCTTCGTGTGGCAGCTCCGATTCGTCATCTGCAAGACAGGAGATGTAGATGCGGTTACGATCTGGGATGTCACTCGGCTTCAAAACTTCGTGTGGCGCTAGCAAGGGCTTGAAAGGTTTGCGATCTTCTTCGATTTCGACCACCCGAGTGGCCACTCGAGCCTCAAAAACACCGTGAAATGGCCCTTCAATACCGGCACGGCGGAGGAGATCGATCGCACGTCGACGTGACACCGAGTCACGATACTTGCGTGCAGTGAAGTTCAATGGGTGAATAATGCCTGGTATAGGTGAGTAGGGGAGGAGAGGACTCTTGTGGTTATGAGGCGAGCCGGCTGGGCTGTTAGTGTTGCTGTCGTTTGAATTCAACACGTCTTCAACACACTGGATAATTTCTTCAAACTCTGGTGCGTATGAGTCGTAACTGACTTGAGTGGGAGGTTTGATATTTGCTGCGGCGATCAACATGGTAAGGACTTGAGCTTTGAGAATTTTCAAGTGCGCTGTCTCCACCCTCGGCGAGTTTGAGCCACGTTTACCAAACACCGAGTTATACGTTTGTAACCAGCGATTCAGCCAGGCGACCATGTAGTCTTGCTGCTCTATCAAGTCGGAAGGAAAATCGATGCGCTCTACCCAATCGGGTGTCATGGCCTTGCCAATAAAGTGTAGGCCCCATTGTTGAAGAGCAGCATGTCCTGTAGTAAGGTCATCAACAGTGGAAGGATACAGCATCTGAGTGGTGACTGGTAGAGGTGGAAATTGAGGAGGTCGACCCCATGCAAACATGGAGATGTGATAATCCACACGAGACAAGACATCATGGAAGGAACTAGCACTCGAAAACACATCATGATGGGTCAACGGTGCCGGTGGTGTGGATCCACAAGATCCAGGGGATGAATCGCTCTGGAGATTGTTGATGGTGAAAGCGCCTAAGATATGGCATAGTGCGTCTTGGTGCTTGTGTTGAATACTCTCGGCACCGGCCAGCAGCATCGCGGTCAACATCAACGGCACCATTTCGGGCTCTGGTCGTTGAAGCTCATCCTGCATCTGTCGAAGGGCATTCAATGAGAGCCGGGTGATAAGAGGTTGGTCCTCGTGATGAGCCTGCCGAAGGATGCACTTGTCGTAGGCGGCGCCCAGAACCCCAGCCGCGGCATTGACGTAGGGACGAGTAGCGACGAGTTGGGGAAGAAGAATAGAAGCGAACTCGAGACTGGTCTTGTTGTAGACTCGATGAGGATCCAAGGAGAAAAGCGCCAGAGTCAAGTCTACCATGTGCTGCTGCTCAGGTCGATACCAAGGAGGGGTCCATGGGGGGCTCCCGACCAGCTTGACAAGGGCGTGGTGGTTCACAACTCTGCTACGTGATACCCGCTCGTAGCCGCCACAAGCGCGCCCGGATCTAGAGCATCGCTGGCATGTGGGGAGGCTTTCATCGCATTTAATCTTGCGCTGTCTGTTGTGATCAAGTCAACGACCCGCGAGTGGACAAAAATTGGGAATGTTGGTTGTCATGACTCACTTGCAGGTTCGACAGCCATACTTGGATTGCTTCTGTCCCAATACCCGAATACGTTTGGAGCCGGGCGTGTCAACAGTCATGGTACCAGTGCCCTTCATGTCGGTCATGGTGGCGATGATGACTCCTCGAGCATGTCTGTCTTGCAACTCAAAGACCGACGCATCTCCTAAACCCAAGTTAAATGGGCGCCTGAAGATCGAGCTCGGTCTTTGGGACGCCAGGGGCTGATCTACAGTTTCACACCACAGCAGGCCGTACGGAGTACTTAAGACGCCCAGGAATCGTGGCAGCCTGGCGGAGGCGCCGTATCTTCGTTTATCTTCGTATCCTCGTAAATGGGTATCCTGCGTCGAAAAAAGCACCCTGGCCCGAGCTTAGCGAGCTCTTCGCCCTCGGTGTTTGCCTTGGCAGTCTCTCATCCACTCAACTCTGTTATTTTGAGAGCGGCATTTTCCCGATTGTGGCACGGGACAGGTTATTCTCAGCCGATAGCGGGTCTGATGGCTTGCTAAGGTTATGCTTGCGAAAGATTTGACATGTGGATTTGGAGGCTGCATGGCCCTTCATTATATTGTCTAAAGCAATCAGAATCACTTGTAATTGTCCCCGTATCCAATCGTGCATAGCTCGAACCACAAAATGTGCTTGTGTGTTAGTGGGACTCGTCATTTTCAAAATGTTAGGCGATGAACTGCCTTGGACATTCTCCTGCTGGCTGAAGGGAGCCTCGGATTGACTTCCAACTGATTGTATATAAATACGTAGTCTTGAACACAATCCTCTTTTATTGCCGCCTTACACCGTCTGAATTGCTCTACCTCGGGCACGTTTTGTGGCTACGATTCAATACCTTCTCATCGCAAGTTTTCTTTTGCCCTTGGCCTTCTTGAAAATGGCGGACAACAGCACTATTCCAATTCGACCTGCTAATTGCGCCGAGTATTACGAATGTCTTGTCGCCTGGGGCTACGTCAATTACCTGCCGAGCATTGCGGCCAATGTGGTGTTCGTGGTTCTCTTTGCCATTGGTCTCATTGCCCAAGCAGTATTATGCTTCCGCCTTCGTACCTGGGGATTCTCGATAGCCATGCTACTCGGCATTACCCTTGAAATCATTGGCTACGGCGGCCGTATTGGGATGCACTATGATGTCTTCATCGACACCTGGTTCATCATGTACTTGTGCTGCCTGACCATAGCGCCAGCTCTCTTTAGCGCAGCCGTGTACCTCTCCCTGTCGCGGATCCTGGCCATCTATGGGGAGAAACTCAGCTTCCTTTCTGGTCGAACCATCACCATCACATTCATTTCGTGTGACATTGTTTCCCTGGTTCTACAGGCCGTCGGTGGCGCCATAGCCTCAACAGCCATGACAGCTGAGACACGCGACGTTGGTGTCAATATCATGATCGCTGGCCTGAGCTCTCAGGTGGCCGCAACGACAGGTTTCTCCCTCATCTGCCTGCACATCATCTGGAACATCCGCAAATATCCTGAACGGGTCAATGTCGAGTCCAGCGAGTTCAGGAAAAGGTGGCCCTTCCGCGGCTTTCTCTGGGGTAAGTAACAGCCTAATCCATCCATTGACCTTCCCCATAATCCTCCAATGCTTCAACTCATATACTAAAAATAAACCTTAGCAATCGCTACCGCGGTTGTCACTATCTTAATCCGCTGCTCGTTTCGCGTCGCCGAACTCAGCGAAGGCTTCAAAGGGCATCTTGCCAATGACGAGGTGCTCTTCATTGTATTCGACGGCGTCATGATGGTCATCTGCGCCTATGTGTTGACAGTCGCACATCCTGGCTTGACACTGGGCTCCCGGTGGAATATTGGCGCCTTCCATTGGCGACGAAATCGGGCGGTCAAACAGGAAGGAAACCCAGCAGAATGGGGCAGAAAGTGACTTTGCGAGTGCGGAATCGAAGAATGAAAGAAAACCATGCATGCAGCGGAGTGCGGACGAAAGAAACGGTATGGAAGTTGGTGTACCAGGTCTTGGCTGCAACGGAAGGTGGTTTTAGATTGATAATCGACCAGGAACGAAAGAGCCAGAACACCACTCCGGCAATTCTCTGATGGAAGCTCAAACAGCATGGGCGGGTGCAGCACATCATTCCAGCGACTCGAAGGAGGCTCTCTTACCCGCGCTCCGTGTGACTCTTTTGGATAGTCCGCTGTCATCTGGTCCATCATGCCCAGTCGAGGTGTCTCCATTGGTGTCAACTTCTTCGGGGATCACCTCTTTCGCGATGGGCGTATGAGGGAGATCATCCTCAGATTCAGCATGTGGCGCCGTGCCAGTAATCTGCTCTACCACTTTGGCCCCTTCACTCTCGGTCCCATTCCATGCCCCACAACTACTACACCTCCATCGACCCAATTCTTCTAGTGTTCGGACCCCAGGCGGAGCTTGGCCATTGACCAGACGACATTGTGAACATAGTAGGACCAATCGATTTTTAGCAGCCATTTCGTCATCACCAAGTAGGACGTCCAGAATCCTGTCGTACCAATGGGGAGTCTGCTCATGGGTGGTGCTCCACTGTCGATCTTGAGGGAAAGCGTTGGGAGCGAATCCCGGGGCCTCGGGGGACATGTCGACTGGACTCTGTGCCAAGGCAGGCATTGCTAGGGGGGATTGACCATGTATGGGGGAGTTTGAGTGTGATCCAACCTGACCCTGCGCTTGAATTGGTGACGGAAATTGCCGACCAGGAATGTTGGCTGTGGGTGGAGGGGGGATTCCTGTCCTTTGAGGTTGACCTTTTGCGGGCTGTTTCTTTGTTATGGCATCCTTTTTTGAAGCTGGTGGCTGCTTGGAAGGCGTCTTGGCCACCGGAGCGCCGCCGTACTTGTGTAGTAATTCTTGAGTACTGTCGTACTTGGTAGCCTTTTTAAGATCATTGATCTTGGCTTCACGCTGCTTTGTCAATCGGTCGACATTGGATTGGTGTCTGTCTATTCTCCAGTCGAAGAACAATCGGATGGTTCGGCGAACGCCATAGATGAGTAACGGCGAGCCTACCAAGGCAGCATAGTGATAAATGGACCAGTTTTGAGGCCCGAGGACGAGGAGTAGAATGAGCAGGGAGACGAGATAGGTGAGGGTGGTGTACAACGTCCAGAGTGCGTTTACTCGGCGACCTCGACTTCGGGTCGTGTCGAGACTGAGGTTTGCGGCCGTGATCTGTGAGGAGAGTTTGGATAGAGCCTTCTCGAATGATGCTGGCGAGGTTTCATCTCCCTTGAGAAGTCAGTATGGCTTGCTATGCTAGTATAGGATGATTTGGTGTCTACCTTCCACAGCCAGGACATGCTTGCTCGCCGCATGGGTCAAAATTGCCTGGATTTGAAAAGCGACGTCACTTTTGCGTTGTCGAGCTTGACGGTCCAAGGTGCATATTGGATGGTCGAAATTTCGGAGGACCGCACCGGACAAGTTTTGAGATATTGATCTGGGCGAAAACTCATATGCGTCAGCCACCAGAAGAACTTTGTTCCTTCGACTGGTATGCAGATGAATGGATGCAGTCTGGAAACAAACGTGCCTTTGCCTGCGTCATGCCCTTGATTTGGACATTGTCGAGTCAGACTTGTCATTTGAAACGACAATGGCGCCTGCCACGTGCCTGTCAGCGTCAGAGGGGAAAAGAGCGATTCGGTTGACGCGACTTGCACATGATCACGGTCGCTCCTACTTCGCATCCCCTGGCCCCAAAAAGTTAAGGACAACTCAACCGCTTCATTGAGCCACTTTTATTCTCTTCACCACCAACTCGACTCTCACTGAAGCTGCTCTATTGTCTATCTTCTTCATTCGCCAGCCCTTGGACCTCCACTACCAGTCTGCCTGCCTCAGAACCAGTTGCGCTCCTGTCCGCACCCCCCCCGAACTATTCCACGAGGACGAAATGCCCAGTATGTGGCTCACAGATATGCAGAGTACGTTGCGACTCCATCAGCACTGTCGAGGGTCGTATGAGCTAATCTAGACTAGAGATTGGGGTGGCATTTTGCTCAGGAGGTAAGAACACACTCTTATGATCACTCCACGGACCCAAGGCTGACTGAACAGGGGGCCTATTCTTGTTTGGTGGAGTTTTGATGTTCTTTGATCGCTCTATGTAAGTATCCGACCTCCAATCTGATGACTCGAGTCTAATTACGGCTAGGTTGGCGATGGGGAATGTGGGTGCTTCAGCGATGTGAACGCAGGTAGATCACTGACAATGCGCCAGATCCTCTTCCTCATCGGCCTCACTCTTATCATCGGTTTACAAAAGACCTTTATCTTTTTCGCCCGGCGCCAGAAGCTCAAGGGTACTGCTGCATTCGCCGCCGGAATCCTGCTCATCCTCCTCCGCTGGCCATTGACCGGCTTCTTGGTCGAATTGTACGGCATTTTTGTCCTTTTCGGAGACTTTTTTGCGACGATCGCCTCGTTCGCAGGCAACATTCCCATTGTTGGCCCATACATCCAGTTGGCATTGCAAAAGATATCGGGTGGGCGCAGAAACGCTGAGCTCCCAGTCTGAAACCAAGAGCACAAAAGCACATATCCATTTTGATTGAGGACAACAAGTCTGGCCACCCATGCCCTCAGTCACGGCGGCTGGCACACCGCGAGGAATTCATAATTTCATGGATCCTGACTGGTACACAGTTGGCTACTTCGACAAGAGATGTACATGGCATGTACAAATCTCGATCCCAACGGGACATACTGGAGGCCAAATCCGTCGCATTTCATTTTGTGGGATCGATCTCGATTCGGAGTTTTGGCAATGAAGGAAATTGGTACGACAAGCCAAAGGCCTAACGCCTTGGTAATGATCACCACCTCTTCATAGGGCCCCAAAACCAGAGGCACCGCCGTCAGCACCAGGCCAACCAGTAAAGGTACTCAGGCCATGAGCATTGACATCCGGGGCTGTGGCCAATAGATCATATCCCATGCCCATGCTCCAAAGCATGTCATCTTCTGTTTGCCAACCGCCAAATGTGCCTATGGATGCGGGTTGGCTATGGGGAGATAGAGTATAGCCCTCAAAGGCCGTTCCGTTGGAGGGTTGCCCAAAAGTAGTGGGTGAAGATGTCGAAGGGTGTGGACGGAGCATGGTCGCATTTGAGTCGTGGCGATATATGTCTGAATTCCGCCCGTGAGAGTGAGCACTACGAGGCGTCATGTCTGTCTGTGCATGACCCATGGACTGTACTTGTTGTAAAGAGGCAGTACGTGAATCGAGGGCGATGGGGCGAGAGTTTGCATCATAGTCGTTCCTGCCCTGGCCTCCTACAGGGTTTCCTTGAACGAGATTGCGTCTCAGGAGCCGCTCAAAACCATCAGCCATGCTGTACAAAATATGACTTCGACCGGCTCGACAGCCACGAAATAGAGCAATGACGTTTTCAATCAAAGGTCTGGTCTTTGTTTCGGGATCAATGGTGACACCGATGCTGGCCCATCGACTAGACATCTTGATGAGGAAGACGACGGCAAAGGCGATGACGGTGTGTAAGTAGAGAGGAACGCCGACCATACTATCGCGGATGCTGGGTTCTTGCAGGACGACAATTAGGATTTGATGAGCCGAGGTAATGGCATGATGGGCGATAGGACGGAGAGAGGTGGGCAGGGTGGAAGTGGATGAGATAGTGAAGAGCGAGCGGCCTCTCAAAGCCAGGGAGTTGAGCATCATGCTAGCAAAGTGGTAATGGAGTTCGACACCTAAACGACAAAGATTAGCCATTAAAAACTCGGTTGATGAGATACCCGAGACAAGCCTTACCCACTGCCGGATAGTCACCGACATGTGCATCTCGCAACAACGCATGACGAAATTGATACCTCCAACGGTCCAGATCTTCGATGAAGCGCTGATGGGTCAGTAATGAAACATCGTCTCCCTCCATCAATCTCTCGGCTTCGAGACCAAAATGATTATAGGCCCGACTCAAGATAATAAATAGAGTGACCTGACTGAGGACACGACGGTCGGAGGGCGTGCACTCAGGGGCGTTGAGAAAGACGTCATACTCCTTGATAGCCTGCATCTCAGCCGTGACAGGTGGACGGCCATAGGCGATGCTGAAATGGTGGTCCAGCACATAGAGTAGATACCATAGCCTAGCACGTTCAAAAGCGCTCTCTCGTTCCGCCGGCTCAGCTTTTGTCGAGTGCATGGCCTTGTAAAACGCCTGATGGAGGTTTAGTTCGGTAGCCATGCGTACACAATGACCGCTGAGTTTCCAGCTCAGATCAGGCAACCAGAAAGCAGCAATACACAAGGCGCGAATATCCTCGAGAGTATGGACGCGGTCGAAGAAACTCGTTGCGATCAGCTCACGTAGCTGCTTAGCCGAGGCCGAGTGAATAGCTTCTTTGCCTGGGATATGCAGCGACGTCACGGCGATGATGGCAGTGAAGAATAACGTCGATGCTTCACGTACAGATTGTAAACTGCGTGATTCGTGGATTGTGGCGTCGAATAGATACCGTGATAGGCTTGTTTTGAAGAGTACGAAAAGTTCTTCGGCTTCAACGAGTGATAGGACGCCTTGGGAAACGAGGTCGGTCTCGACGTTTTTGCGTGAGTTTCGTCGTGTCACGTCGCCGTGCTTGAGTCGAGAGCGTAGAGTATTGAGTTGAGTGACTTCGTACAGCGAACCCATTGGAGCGGGCGCCATTTCGTGTTCGAATTGGGGGCCATCGCCGTTGGGATTAGGGTTCAAGGAGTTTTCGCGGGTGGTTTGCGCTGCTGTAGGAGGTTCGGTGTTTGTCGCTGTGGGAGGGATCTGGTTGGTTTGTTGGTTGTATTGGTGGGTGTTGGACTGGGATTGTGAGGTATGAGGCGCGTCGGTGGTCGATGGCATAGTATTGGAGCCATATGCTTCCAGTGATGGCATCTTCAGACGATTGAGTATATCCTCGACCGCCTTGTCTAGGCGGACAATTGATGGGTGAGGATTTCTGTATTTCACTGTCAGTATAAGAATCACTTTGCTCGGACTCACGCTAGGCAACAGTCCAAGAATCGAAGAGTGGTGGTTGAAACATACTCGCCATCGTCGTCCAGGGTGGCTGCCCTTAACCGCTTACTCGTGACACAGTCCAAGCCCAGTCTCTGACATCTTGAGCATCCCGAGTCACCTTGTTCAAGACTATCGCACTTAACCTTGAGTTTTCGACAGGCCAGGCATGCTCGACCTTTGCGTGCCACATGAGGTTGTTCAGGCAGATGGTCAGCGGACCGCTTGTTCGATTGTGCTGGTGACGCATTTGTGTCATCGGCGATAGATCCATGCCATGAACCACGGCCTCGAGTTACTCTATATGATGATGATGAAGGTGGACTGGGACGGTATTCCTCTTGGTCGGCATTGTTGGTGCGGCTCATGTTGGAATGGATGGAAGGGCGGTGGTAATGAGTTGTCGTCCCAGGTCACGAGACTAGGGAATCCCTTCCACGTGGCTGGCGTTTGAAGTGGCAGGCGCGCCAACGTTGAGCTCTGGGGCGAAACGTTAGAATTTGACCAACACGACAATGACAAGGCTACAGGGAGAATCCCATGGTGTGACGATATTGACATTTGTAGATTTTTGACGATCAGAAAGGATGAGCTGGGAGGCGATCTGGAGATATGTTTGACTTTGGTGGCACAAAGACAAGCAGGCAAAGCTCCACGGAAGGGAAGCAGTAAGTACCGTCGTAGGCAGTTTTGGGACAATCATTTATGATCACTGTCAACCGCAACTGATGCTCGGGTGACGGAGAAGCTCTCCCCGCTCCCCAAAGAGCTTGATCCTGGTTGGGGATTGGGGATGATGGGGTGGAAGAGGCACTACTTAGGTTTACGCTTACTCTGAGGAGTCTCTACTCCGTAATATTTGGGGGATTCTGGGGATCATGTCATGGCCTAGGGGCGCCTCATGCCCCCTTGGCCTCCACTGATACACTTTTTAGGCGCTATTCTCCCCCCTTGTCCTCTCTCTCGGTGCCATTGGTCCCCTTAAAGTCTATCGGCGTCCACTCTCCCGAAATCAAACAATCGTAATATCAACCATAGTCAGCCTTGTGTCCCCATCTCATCTCTTTTGTTTACCACAATTGTGTTTGTCTTTTTCCATGCTTTCTCCCTTGGTTGCACAAGAACGTCGAGTTGCCATAGTGATCATCCCAAAGTCCTATTCACTCTGGTTGTCTTCTCCATCAAACTGGGCTTGCCACGGCTCAAACGGTCGGTCCATGGCTTGAAGTGCAATGCTGAACATCAAAAATCCGAAAACCAGTGGGAACATGATTATGAATCCTTCTACGTCTTCATATGTAAAGCCAAGAATGAAATCAGTGGAGCTGGAGGTACCAAGCATGTTCTTGAAGAAGCTAGGACTGGATTGAGCCATGGCGAATTGGTTGAGGTAAACAGTAATGGGACTGGGCAAAAGTTTTCTTGTTTGTCTGCTCTTTCATCTGCGAGGGCGCATATGGATGTCTCAATGCATTGGGTGAAATGTTCTTTTCCAAAGTTCTTCAAATGAGCAGTTCTTTCGTTGCTTTGCTCTGACCGCATGGATGGAAGGTGCCACCCACAACCTTGAAGGTATCAAACATCAATTATAGTATATATCCAACATCAAATGTCAACCATCAATCGTATCTCTATATGTACCTATATATCTGTCTCGCCATCGCATCTATTTAGGCTTGTACTGCTTTCCGCTGGTCCTTCAACACCCCCCTTTCCTCGACTGTCTTGGCCACCATCGTGCCAATATCTGTACCCAGCTCATTGAATCCTTTAATGACACCCTCTCGATCTCCTTTTGACAACTCCTGACTCATCTTGTACTTGCCTTGAAGTCCTGTGATCTCAATCTCAATCCCAATGATATTCTTCCTCAAGATGTTGACGTAACTCTCTGGTGCATCGCCGATAACCCAGGGCTTCTGCTTATCACCACCCGTATAACCCATGATATTAGTCTCGGCATTGTTTGAGAGATCACTAATCTGCTTCTGCAAGAATTCAACGGTCTCGTCCGCTTTCGAATCAAACAAGATCTTCGCCGTTCCGTAAGCCTGAACCGCAGAATAGTTCCATGTTGGCACCACTTTGCCAGAGAACGGTTTCGTCTCCGTGTAGAATTTAGGCGTCACGTAGTGGTGAACAGGTCCGTTGAACATGATTGTGATCTCTTCCGTCAACTTGCCGTTGGATGTTGACTGGGCAAGAGCGGCTTCAATCAGAGCTTTCGAATGAGGGTTTGCTCGCGCGAGGTGACCGCGCAGAATTCCCAACTCCGTCTCACTCGTCTCATCCTTGACATCGAGAACCCATGGAATGTGAGTGCATTGTATCGTGGGGAAATTCGGGGATGGTAAAGCGGAGATGACCAGACCCAATGGGTTTTCCTGGATGAATTGCCTCAGTGAAGGGATGTGTGACTCGGCGTGAGGGACCCGTAGATACATAGTGATAGCAGTGTTTGAAGTGAGTACAAGATGCTGGCTTGTCTTCAACTGGTTGGAGACGTCAGGGTGTCTTCGGTAGGCTTCTGATTCTGCTCTCCTGGTCTAACGGACATCACCTTCTATTATATAGTAATGATAATTCCAAGCCTCCCAATTCGGCCAAAGGGAGTCATAATCCCCACTAAACAGACAGATATTCCCCACGCCCTATGTCAGGTACAGGACTAAGTAGTGCAAAAGTCTCGGCAAAACGCTGCGATTCTTGCATTTCCGCGCAAGATGGTCACCTACATACAAATTTGGACTGTACGCGCCACAACTGAGGAATAATAAAGGTAAACATATCTCTAGTTAGCCTTAATCCTCCTCGATCGAAAGGTAGCCTTTCCGAGCGATATATTCACTTAGTAGCGTGTATGTCCCCCTTTGGCGCGCCGTACGTCATTTGCGCGTGATTCCATGTCCCCTACTAGCGATTCGACTGTAGACTGAGGAATCGCTTGCCACAACTCATTTACAGCCTTAGCAAAAGTGTCAATAGCATCTTATGAGGGCCCTACAGCTAGTAGATCTAGGCAGAAATTGGTTATCCTGTGCTTGAAGATCGCCCAGAAAGTTTCAATTGAGTCCGTATCCGGCGACTATGCCGGCGATTTGAGACGCGACTTCGCATGATCCTAAAGCCACTATACATTGTTCAACTCCAGCTGCCAGATGACAAGTTAACAGAGAACCTTTTAGTTGGAAATTCCCAAGGGGAGCCTTACCCGATGCGGGCCGGATGCGCATAAACGCTTATAATGATGAACTTTGAATGCTGATCGGTATGCCCGGATGGCCAGGAGTTTCTCAGTGGTGTTAAGCATCTCACGGGACCGATGCAGTCGACCCAACAGACTGCTGACCTCGGCGCTCTGGCTGGCCGAGAGGCCGATAGACTGTTCCATAATAGTTTTGAGTCTGGAGTATCGTTAATGGTCATGAGGCTTAACCAAGGCCTAAGGGAGAATATACGTAGTGGAGGTGATTTTGTCGACGGTCTTTAAGGCCGCCAGCAGATTGGCGAAGTTGTCGCCTTCATTGTTGTCCAGTGCGACGGCGTCCTTGTTGGAACGCATTGCCACCAGCATGGCTGGGTCTGCCTCCACGGCCTCCTTGTCGAATACGATTGCTGGGTTAGGGTTGTCGGGGTTGCTGGCCCGGCGCTGAAGTACGTCCATTACAACCTTCTGCTGGTGTGCATTGACCTCTAAAACCGAAGTCTATTCGGCTTTAGTCATTGTGACGTAGAGCGAATGTTCCCGATGTGTGCGGTGAATACCACGGGTCTCAAATGACTGTACTAGATTGTCGACATGTTTGTTGTCAATATCTCGTTGCTGCCATTCCGTTGACCACGTCAAATCCAGTTGGTTGGGAAGTCCGGGAAACGTTGTATTTGGCGGCATCTTCAGGGGTGAAGTGCATGTCTTTGATGCTGTGAACAAAAGTCTCAGTGCTGAGACCTCGGCCCTCGAGATCCTTCTCCCAATGATTGACGTGCTCGTGCATTCCGGGTGACTCATGGCTCCCTAAACAACCTCATCAGTTGCAACGCGGGCCTTATGTTCTTGAACCCTGGCTAAGTTGTTTGCTTGATCGATCACTGTAAGAACTTGGTGGATTTGTGCACCGTGTGCAGGATCACTAATGATCTTCCTGATGGTCCTGCGTCGCGATTGTCGAACGAAACTCTAGCACCGAACTAGCTTGCGTGCCAGTGGTGGGCCAGCAAGAGGAGCGCCATTGGTATGAGATATAACTCCTCTGGTTCGGTGCACGTGAGGTTGGTTGATCAGGATCCGATGCCCTCCATGATCTCTACCATCCCAGCCTCGACTTGTCGTTGTTGTTGTCGAATGCCGATTGCTCTATTGAATTTGGTACCAAGGTCGACAAGGCAAGTAGATCGACTTCTGGTCGATGTTGGGAATATAAGTGTATTTATATATATATGGATGTGAATCTCGGTCCTACATATTTGATCAGTTAGAAGATCGCCGGGTCAAGCAAGCAGCAGGACATCCAGGTCTCACCTTAAGTGGAAAGATTCGACATCAATAAGAGTGACTGGCCTTTCAAGCGGGCGACCGTGATTGAATCGTAGCACGGAATGCTACGCACGGGTACGAACCGGCTTTGAGGTGGAATGATCTGAAGGTTGAGTTCAGAGGGAGGGAAAGACACATATTTATAGGAGTGTGAGCTATGATTCACAAGGAAAGTGGACAGTCAGCGAACGTCTTTATCAACAGTGAGTCACTCTAGGCTATGACAAAGGTAGACCCTATTGTGAATATTTTCTGGGATCTGGCCCCTTATGACAATGCTTCGTAGTTAATGACACCATCGTGGTCGCTGGTGAGTAGCTTAAGACTATAATAAAAACGTTCCTGTTTTTAATGGTTAGTCATTATAAGGGGGTGGGTACCTGAAGCTGTGCGCAAAGGGGTCATTTTGTGACTGTGGAGGACTGTGAGTTTTGGCTCATAAGAACATATTGGAGTCAGTCATAGTCGGTGAGTGCCTTGAACATAAGACAAAAGAATATGTTGTGAATGTGGTTATATTGGATGCGACACTAAGCCACGGTGAAGTTCAGAGAGTGGTATGACTTTAGCAAGCCCTCATAGGCTGAATTCAAGAAAAACTTCAAATTGATCAACTTCGATGTGCCTCTGAACGTGTCTCAGCCACTCAACATCTCAATGTGAGAGTGAGACGGCTGAATGAGCGGTGCTATCAAACTCAAAGTGGCCAGTCTGCTCTGGCCTTGTAGCAGATACTAGTAGTCAGGAAATACTATGTGAACAAAAATGCGGACCCCTAACTTCAAAGAACTACCGCAGCTTAGAGATCATGCTCATCCTAACGTCTTCTGTCTGTTAGAGACAGCTGACGTCGACCGGTCTCTGATGAACGACTTGACGGCTCCCTCGACGAATCCCTTCGCGGTTCCTCTCTGGGCTCGTACATTGTAGATTGCCGAGAATCTGGTCCATGGCTGTCCCGGGAAGATGCCCCGGAGGGCTGTTGAGACCTTCCGGAGTCAGGTTGATCGCCGATAATGCCTGGGTTTTCGTAGATGAATCTGTCGATGGCGATTTTTGAAAGGTCCCAGATCCTGAGGATGAGATCACCATAGTCATACAGAAACTCCAGAAACATCCCCAGTTCAGATTGTATGACTTTTCTCATCGCCCTGCATCCCGCATTGGTAACTCCAAACGCACCCTGGTTCCGTATCTTAATCCCAGGCCTAAGATCGTCTAGATAAGACTCCTTGCCAGCAGATAGGACTTTGAGAAGGCTGCGGTAGATATGCGGGAGAGGAGACCAAAAGATCTTGTGGCCACCCTCAGAGAAAGCGAGAGCCATCACCTCCAGGAAATTTTCTTCACTACTTTTGTTCTCGTCTGGTAGTTTGGACGTGCGGAGAATCTCAGAGATACCCTCGTGGTAGTCCCTGAATCCGTCTACTAGACGCCTCATGTCGTCTTCGGGAATCCGGCAAAGAAAGTTCTCAACGAAGTCGTCGATATCCTCCAGCCGCAAGACGCCCAAGACTGACAGAATGCCACGCACAGGATCAGGGGCGTACGGACACATCATTTCCTTGCACCTATGCCAACGTTGATGCTCTTGAAAAAGACCCAGATGGTCGTAGATTGCGCCGATGGGATCGAGTGAGTCATCCTTAGAGGAAGCGGCCGTTTTCAGGTAGCATCTATCTACAGGCCTGTCCCATGAGCCGCTGAACTTTTTGATAAAAGCCCTGAGGTGTTGAGATGCTATTGACTTGACGAATGTGAACAGCATAGTTGCAGTTCGAAGAAGGTAGACCAAGAAGGTGTTCTCTGTATCTGATGGGTGTTGGGAACTCTCGGGTAAGTATTTATGTAGTCTCGATTGACACGTATATCGACTGAATGGAGATGTAGATGGAATGATCCGATAGAGATTGAGAATAAGAACACCACGAAGAGTCTCAGAACAGATTATATACCTTTGTCTTCTGATTGCAAACCCGTCACTACAGATCGAACGAAGACGCGAAGGGTCACAAACAGAGGGCTCATTCCAAGTAAGACCAACAATGGATAGCAACGGCTCCTCTCGCCTCATGATAGTGCCAGCCGGGCGACAATTTACCGTTTGCTTTGGTGTCATTGAATGCAGTCTGAGATGTTCTCTCAAAGACTCTGCAATATTCTCCGTTCCATTAGGCCACACATCTAACCCCTATTCAGATCACATGGAAATGTGCCTGAACAACCTTCTTTCCGTCCCTGTACGCATCCAAAACGGCATTCACTTTATCGGGGGTAAACCCCTGAACCACAGTATAGGCTAAAGGCACAACCTTGCCATCAAGCAGATACTGTGGCAGTCTGGACCAAAATTCTTGCACCAGTTTTGTTTGCGCTCGCATGGCTCCAAAAACAGCGGTGATCTCACATCCCGCCTTCTTTGGTTTGATCAGGGCCTCGTTGACAGGTCCATGGGGGACAAGCCGTGTGAATTTTCCTTTCTTGGAAGATGACAACGCGTTGACTCCCAGGGCTTGGCCATCTAGGTCATTCACACAGTCTATGGCGTAGAGAAGCTCGTCACCAACAACCCCATGGATCCGTTTGAGCACCTCGTCAGGAGTGCCTTGACGATCCAATACATTGGTGGCTCCCCAACCCTTGAGTTCTGCTTCATTCCCACCCACCACGACGATACGTCCAAATCCAGCAAGAGCTGCGAGCTGCACGGCAAATCTTCCACAATTTGAACCTCCTCCCACGATCAACACTGTTGTATTCTTGTAGTCGAATTCGGCGGCCTCTTTTGTCCACGGCGCTGGCAGATTCAAAGTCGGCTCGTCAAAAAAGCCGAGAAAAACCGCAATGAGGTTGACTGGTAAGGTTGCTGCATCATCATCCGTGATTTGGTCTGGGATCTTCATAGAGATGTCTTGATCAAAAACGACATACTCTTGAGATCCAACTTGAGAATAATTGGTTGTGTCGAGTGCGGCGAAGGAAACAACTCGATCCCCTACTGCAAACTTGGTTACCTCTGAGCCCACAGCAACGACCTTGCCAACCACATCGTTGGTGAATAAGGCTGGAAGATGATCGCCGACCAAGAGTCCGAAATCTCGAAGTTTCTGGTCGTGCGGGTTGGTGGCTGTGACGGTGACTTGAACCTGGATCTGATTTTGGCCTGGCTGAGGGACGGGTCTATCGGTTACTAGGGTCACCGGCTTGCCAATCTCAGTGATGACAATGGCTTTTTGGACTTTTGGCACCATTTTGGATACTTCAGCGTTCACGGCAGGGGAAATGACGACATACGGTCTGATTCCTCTCCGTGGGCTGGGCAACCTTGGATAGTCTTATAAGACGTTCGACGGATACCGTCCCCTTGGTTGAAGTTACCTGATTAGTTATTAGCGGGCACAGGCCTTCACACCCCGCTGAATAATACAAGCCATTGGCAGCCAGAGTCGGGACAACCCACTTCCGAACCCGAACTCAACGGTCTAAGTAGTATACTTCATTGTTTATTTGAGAACCATACATTGGTTTCATGAAATTCTATTCCATCATTGAGAGAATCCACCGAATTTGTCTAGTGTGTACGCGTAGGACGAATCGTTAGTACATGTCACCATAGAGAAGTCAAGCCCCTCGAAAATGGATGGCTTATTCCATATACTCTCGCCCAACCAATTCATTCTTGCATTTTCATCTCTCAACTCTAACTCCAAGTAGTTACCGACCTATAGGACCGAAAGTATTTCAGTCTTCTCCTTGCTCAACAGAGATACGTCATGTGGAGCAAGTCAAGAGAGGCTCATATTCGGATCATACAACTTGGCTATACAATTCACAGAGGCCGCAACATCAGATCCTATAGACCCATGAGATAAGGTGGTCGACAGCTTCTTGTCATCAGTAGCCATTGGGCTAAGGCTGAAATACCAAGTCCCAAGGTGCCCGGACTCGGAATCATCAGAACCGAACCACCGAATGGGGCTGAGAAATCAATGGTGGGTTGTGAAGGAGTTGACTATCGTGATTGGCTGCTCGGATCAGGCTCCGACTCCATCATCTTTGTCCCATGAGAGAAACATACAGAGACTGTTATCTCATTTTTCTCGAATAGATAGATCATGCGCTAGTTGAAAGGAGAACGACGCTTACAGGGAAAATCGGTTGAGACATATACGTTTATGACAGCTGTGTATCATTGTCTCGCAATCATCAATAATGCATCCACCTGACCAAGGCATTTTATGACAAAAGCCTTGGTACACAGCAGACCCTCGGACGCTGGAAGTATTTGATATCAGCCATGTCCAGATGTTTTATCACTCTAACCATGTGCCTGAGCGCCGCCTATTGAAGGCAAGTTTCCCACCTGATCATAAAATGCCTGCATTACCTTGGACTCCAGACACAGATTCGTAAATCATCACATTCTCCAAGCAGCCAATACAGCAATATAGCGGCCGTCCAGAAAACCATCTACCTTGATCTATTGGTGCCCATTTTCCTCTTGCCCTTGAGCAAATGTGCAGGGAGAGATGCGGTCTCGTGTCGATCTGCTTCACCCTGTCTGGCCATCCGGTTCATTTGTCGTTGACCAAGCTTAGCGATCCGTTCAGCCTTGGTGCGTGTGGCTGGATCTGTGATGCCAGTAGCTGTCTTGCCCAATCCGTCCGTCAGACGGTTGGTCTTGGGGGCACGAGACACCGACTTGGCACGCGCTGAAGGTGTGTCCAGATCCATTTCGTCGCCCATGGTCGATGCAGGTCGAGCATTTCGAATCTGGGCTCTTGCACGATCGGTTGGAGCTGAGGCATCCAGTCCAATAGAGTGAAAGTGCTTCTCCATCTGTCCCACGGTACGTTGTTTCTTGGCCCTCGGGATCTGTGCCTTGTTCTTGAGACTCTTCTTCATCCTGGCTTCATTCTTCATCAATCCGGTCTTGGTCCGTATCAAATCTGCCTTCATACGGATCTCCGCGTCTTCTTCATCTTCCATGCTATCACTTTCGTCATAGAAACCTTCGGCAGTGAGACGTTCTTCCTCGGCTTCAAGGGCGGCCAGCTTCTCTTCAATATCAGGATCAACATAGTCAAACACGTTCTTGCCATTGAAGAATTCAGGCACTTTGTCGTGATTCCATTCATCATTGGCCAAGTCGTATGTCTTTTTGAGGTCGATGTTGTAAACACCAGCTCCTCCGTTCTGCTCTTCCAGATCACGCTCCAACATTTTTCTTTCTGGGTCGTTCTTATCATATTTTTTGTAGGTGCCAGATTTGACGGCTTCAGGAATGTATGTCTCGCTGACAGATCCAGGGAGGGGTCTTGCAACGTGAATTCTGGCCAAAAGATCACCAAGTCTGCCGCTGGGGGCATCGTCAGTGGCAGACTGGGAGGCTTGTCCAGATTTTAACTTCGCAGCCACTCGATCCGCAATCAAGCGATCACACACGGCATTCTTGACCTCTTGTACGCCTTCGTTTGTGACGCAAGAGAGTTGCAACAGTTCCGTGTTCGAGTTTTGTGTCAACAAATCTTGGAGCTGTTGTTGCGTCTCGGGGTCCAGATCCTCTGGCTTCATGACATCGGTTTTGTTAATCACAATAAAGACCAGTTTGTTTGCAAATAGAGGCTTTATGGAGGTAAAAAGAGCCATCTGAGCAGCCACTGAGTAGCCACATTGTTCCGAAAGATCCATAAAGTAGAGAATTGCAGATCTCAAATGTGCAATGGCTGTAATAGACTGCATTTCAATGGTATTCATTTCCTCTAATGGGTGGTCGAGAATTCCCGGGGTATCAATTGCCTGGAATCGAAGGTACTTGTAGTCGAAATGGCCGACAAACAGAGATTTCGTGGTAAAGGCGTAAGGTTGAACGTCGACGTCAGCTCGGGTCACCGACTTGAGAAAGCTGGATTTGCCGACATTGGGATAGCCGCAAATAAGGAGTGTTCGAGTGTTGGGATCAATGCTTGGGAGACGGCCCAGATGCTGTCGGACTTGCTCAAGATATACCAATGGGTCCTTCAGTCTCTTGCAGATGGTGGCCATCCGGCCTAGTGCAGCACGTTTCAAAGACTTGCACTGAAACAGAGACTGCGCATATTTGAGGAGTCTGACATAGTCTCTTGCCACGGTTTCAATCAAACGTTTTGCAGTAGACAGGGTTCCCAGGGCGATCCTGAAGTGGTCTGCATCGTACAGAGTGTTGAGGAGATCTTTGTGGAAAGGATGAACATCTTGCAGCCGAGGGAATCCTTCAAGGATGGCCTGCAGTTTCTCGCAGAAGGTTTCAGAGGTGAACTTGACCTTTCGAGTGTAGAATCCTATCCATACAGTTAATACAGATTAAGCCCACCAGGGCTGGCTTGTGTTCTCACCTCTAATTCTGCTGATTTTGAACCCGGCACGAATCTGTGTGGGAAGCCTTCTCTGGGTGCGACTGAGGACAATGTCAATAAATTCTTGCGAGGTAGGCACCGGTGCAATATCCTTCCAAGTCGTTTTCATCTTGAATGGCAACTCAATCGAGAGTTGTGGTAGAGGATAAAGTGAGGAAGCAGAAGCGAAAACGATGTTTCGACGGCGACAAAAAATAATTTCAGATGCGGAGTTGCAGCGATAGCGATACCACGGATCATCTATTTTTCCGACCAATTTTTCCGGTGGGGTATCACGTGCGTACGCGAAATTCATACGGCGAATTATTGAGTTGACTGTGACCCCCGCTACGGCAAGTATTATTCCCAGAACGCGCAACCCCATGAATCTTCCAACGTCGACGCGTCCCTCAACATCATCAAATCTTCAATCAAAGACCACTAACGCATGATCTGGACAAGCGATGGCGCCAGTGCTTACAGCACGACAATCTAATGGCTTTGAGCCACCGCCGTCATCCATGCTGGCCACTCATGTGGTACATGCCCATGGTGTGCCAGACCTGGACCGAGACAATTTCCAGCAACTTTTGACAGAAGTGCTGAGCACAGATGAACAAGGCCAACCCAATCTTGGTACGGACATTGCAGTCAACCACAAATTGATTTGTATCATATTTCAGGTTGGTATCGAACCGAGCCTGGCTGAGGATCCTTTCAAGCCTTCCAAAGGATCAGGTAGGGCAGATTCTCAGATGAAAAGTTGCCTCGAAGTGATTAAACTGGCAATTGAAAAGTCGCCCCAGGTTCTGTTCGTCAAGTCTGATCCTCAGGGTCGAGATAAGTCCGACGATTCTCTGCCACTTTACTTCTGGCTCATCTCTCATCTTCTCCCGCTGTTGGCCTCCGCTTCGAGCGTTGGGGTACGCGATGATATCTTGGGTCTTATCAAATCCATGGTCACAAGTGACAGAAGCAGCTCTCCAGCTCAAACCTCCGAAGTCGTATTAGATTTCGTCCGCGCTTGCATTTCTGGTAGGGAACTAAATTTGCTCAAGCTTTGAGTGCGCAGCCAATTGTACTGACAATGCTGCAGCTATTCTTGAGATCACATTATCTTCACAACAGCTTTCTGCTGCTCACAAACCAATCGTTGTCGATGCCGAAGATTTTGCCTCCTCCTTCTCGAATCTTTTTAGAGGAGTTCCCCACCACTCGATCAGCCTTACATTCCCCGATTCTTGCCGGTTGCTTCTTGCCTTGAGCCATGTCCTAAAAATCGTTGCTGAGACTTGTGATTCCCGCCTCAGCAAAATTCAATATAGAAAGGTTGCCTTGAAACTACACCAAGCCTTTGAAGACACGGTGAGAACTGAGGTTTCAAATCCTGAAGCAGAGGTACGACTACGTCCCAGGCAAGTAGTTCATGCTGATAAATTTCCTAGATTCTCAATGCAGAAATGCAATCACTAAGTCTACGATTGTCCATCCCGGGTTCTTGGTCTAGGTTTCCTCAAGTCCCTATCTCGGAACCGATCGTCTGGCCAGACAGCGAGCGGTCACGAAAGCGCATGCGACTCTCCACTGATGCAGATGATGAACGCACGGCTGAAACTTTTCGCCAAAGTCTATGTCGACAGCTGACCATAGCGCTGACTGGTCGCGCAACAAATGACCTTGTTGGCCTCAGTCAGATGGCTCCCGCAGGTTTCAAGCGTTTGAGCGAAGAGGAGCAATGTCGAGCACTCGATATGCTGGGTCTCGTGTCTTGCAGCTGCGCTGCAAATCTGCATATATCACGCTGCAACTTATGCGATGATGACGAGATCACCGCAAATAGGAAACTGCAAGACCACTCTTCTATGGAGACCGAATTGTTAGACACACTGGTTGCGATCCTCCAGAACATATCACGCCAGTCAAAAGCGAGAGTGGTAGCGATGACCGCTCTAAGGAGACTAATTATGCACTCGTTGTCAAGTACTCAAGTAAAGCTTGCGCAAACTGCTACCGGCGATTGGTGTCTGCAATCACTCAGAAGCTCATCCAGGGATTTGCGTGTTGCTGCAACGAGGACCCTCCAGGCTTACGTCGTGCAAAAGCGGTCCGTCGATATTTCTTTGATCCGAGAAAACCGCATCGCTGCACTCGACTTTCTCCACACTCTTTGGGAGAGAAGCGAGGCCTCCTTGCAAGAAACGTCAATTTTAGCCCTGACTTCAATGGCTCGAGTTGTTGGTGACGAGGAGCTAAACATCATTCTGGTCAGACTGGTCGAGTATCTCGGCCACAATAATCCCTATATCAGCGGTCTTGTATATGCGGAAATTCAGCAGCTCGCTCAGTCAATCCAGACTAATGTCTGGCCTTTGTTCCGCCCGTTTTGGAGAACACTGGGTGTTGTGTTTGCGAAATCGCTGTCAACGCGCCCAAACGTTGGCAGCCAACTCTGCGACTTACTGGGAATGGACATGACTGGGTTGATGAGCCACACAGCTCAGTATGCACTGCCATACTTGGTTTTGCACAAGGACCACGAGAGTATTCGACGCTTCGCTGAAGCAAGTGGACCCTCAACATCTATCTTTGACCTTTGCACGCAGATACAGAACCTGAGAGCAATTCTTTCATTTCTGCTCGTGCAACCATTTGTCAATGTGGAAGAGTCGATTCTTCGCACCTTGACCGAAGTTTCCGACGAGTTTGGTAAGACAGACCTCGCCGAGTGGGTCACCCTTGACTCTATACACATCGCATGTGAACTCCTCAAAGCGATAGGCGACAGTGGGCAGGGCAAATCCTCGCGAATCTATGTAGCCTTACAAGTGCTCGCTCAATTGGTGGCTCGTCAACGTGGGCAATCATCAGGAACGAGGCGCAGCGACAACATCGGCGCCTTCCTAGAAGCCAATGTCCTAGCAATAGTGACTCATTTTACAATCTTGCTTAACGATCTCGAGGCAAAAGAATCAAAGCTCGAGAAACGACGGTGTCTCGCTGCACTCGGCGAGATTGTCAAGCTTGGAAGGTCCAGAGTCACACGTGCACTTCCCCAAATCTGTGCTTGTCTTCGATCGGGTCTTGACGATCCAGATCTATGCAACGCTGCCTTCAACTCTTGGGTCGTCATGATCAAATCATTGAAGCGGGACGATATCGAACCTCTGATTGATCAGACATTAGCCATCATCGTTCAAACGTGGGAGGTACTGGACACCACGTCACAACAGAAAGCATACGATACTGTGGAGGATTTGCTCAAGAACCACGCAGACATGGTACGCGACAACTTCAGCACCATGCCATCTCTAGCGAGTATCCCTATGATGGCCAAGTTTGATCATGAGATTGGTTCACTGAAGCGCCAGATGGATGAGAGGCATCAAGTCATTGCATATACGAAACGGGTGCAAGATGAGAATGAGTCTGTCGTCGAACAAGCCTTAGCTGAATTATCTCCTCTTCTCAAAGCAAAGCAAGATCTGTTACAACGATCGATTCTTCAAGAACAGCCAGATGAGTTCGTTGCAAATCTCACTCGAGCCATTTTAGACGCCGCAGTCAAATTCAATTCGAACAATCAAGTCACAAGGCTGTGTGGAGAGTGCCTCGGCAGTATTGGCTGTCTCGACTCGAGTAAGATTGAAAGTACAAAGGAAAGGAAAAATATGGTAGTATTATCCAACTTCACCAAGGCTGATGAAGTTATACAATGGGTTTTTCTCTTCTTGGAGAATGTGCTGGTCAAGTGTTTTCTGTCTGCCAACACGACAAGGGCACAAGGCTTTCTAGGCTGGGCTATGCAAGAATATCTCAAGTCCTGTGAGCAAGACGACCCTCCCGAATCACGTGCCGGCAATCTTGCAACGAAACTTTGGGAGGAACTCCCCGAGACTGTTCAAAACATCTTGACGCCTTTCACCAATTCGAAGTACCTCGTGGCCGAAGTGCGGGCCCCCGAGAAAGGACAATATCCCTACTTCAAGCCTGGGATGCGGCATCGTGAGTGGTTGCGCGCGGTTACGCTCGACTTCCTCCACCGTGGGCCGGGTGATAATGTTGAGTTGGTCTTTGGCATCTCATGCAGGATCATCCATGGCCAGGACACTGCAATCCCTGCTTTCTTAATTCCATATGCAGCTGTCAATTTGATAGTGAGCGGCATAGAAAGTGACAGCCGTGATATTATCGAAGAGATCAACAACATCCTCAAACAGCCGTTGGATGGTCAGGAGCGTCGTGTCCAGGATGATATCAAGTTGTGCAGCCAAACAGTGTTCGAGATTCTCGACTACATGTCTGCATGGCATCAACAAAAGCGCAAGCAATATGCACTCAGTCTGTCAAGATCCGAACGTGGACTGAATGACCCTTCTCTTGGCAGTACTGCAGGACAGATCCGGAGCATTGAACGTGTACTTGAGGAAATACCTCCTGATGTACTAGCTCGTCGAGCATTAGAGTGCAGATCCTATGCCAGGGCCTTGTTTCACTGGGAGCAACATATTCGCAAATCGCAGTCGGAAAATTTCGAGACCGAGCTCCAACGACTGCAAGACATCTACGCCCAGATCGACGAACCTGATGGCATTGAAGGAATCTCGTCGCGAATGCACGTCCTCGATGTCGAGCAACAAGTTCTAGAACACCGGAAAGCTGGCCGTTGGACAGCGGCGCAGAGTTGGTACGAGATGCAACTGGTCACTAATCCCGATGATGTTGATGCAAAAAAGAATCTCATGGACTGTCTCAAAGCTTCTGGGCAATACGATGTCCTGCTTCATCATTTCGATGGTATCCAAGGCCAGGGAAATATTCCTACACCACTTGCACCATACGCTATGGAGGCTGCGTGGGGAACTAGTCGGTGGGACAGGCTTGCTGCTTGTATTCCAAAAACCGGAGGATATGACTTCACGTCCCATATTGCAGAGGTCATGTTAGCGGTCAACAAACACGACGAGACAACCGCAATTCAACTCCTCGAGGAACTGTACCGGACGACAACATCAGAACTAACACCAGCATCAATTGTGTCATTCCAGGCCGGACATGATACTTTACTCAGGCTGCACGTTCTGAACGACATCCATCTCATGACTGCAAGCCCCAAAGAAGATCGTGTCAACGTTTTGAGAAATCTTAATGCAAGACTCGATGTGCTCGGCTCCAACGTTGCAGACAAACAGTACCTACTGGGCATACGTCGTGCAATCATGTCACTAAGGACTGACATGTTTGGTTCCAATGACGTGGCGAGCGCATGGCTTGCCAGTGCACGATTAGCACGCAAAGCACGCTCTATGACCCAGGCTTTCAACGCAGTCTTGAAAGCTTCAGCACTCGGGGACAAGTCAGCGGCGATTGAGCATGCGAAGCTCATGTGGCTAGAAGGCCATCATCGGAAAGCTATCCAAACATTAGAAGGAGCCATTGAATCAGGCGCTTTTATTGCCCATGATTATGTCGCTGACGATGGGGCGGTCACAATGACCGTGGAGCAACGCCACAATCAAAACGAAGTCACCGCTAAAGCCCACGTCTTGCTCGGGAAGTGGTTAGATCAGGCTGGCCAAACACAATCCGAGGTGATTAGGAAGATTTTCAGAAAGGCCACTGAAAGCTTCCGAAGGTGGGAGAAAGGCTGGTACCATCTAGGACGCTATTACAACAAAATCCTGGATTCAGAAAAAGCCATGCCACCAGGCAAGGAAAGCCAGACATTCCTCACAGGCGAAACTACTAAACTCGTCGTTGAAAACTACCTTCGATCTCTGCTACACGGCAGCAAGTACGTCTTTCAGACACTGCCCAAGATCTTGACTCTCTGGCTCGAACTTGTAGACGGAGCAGACGTTCAAGTTGACCCAAGACGTGGCAATCCTCAATTCCATGCTCACAATGCAGCCCAGCGGAAACGCATCATCGAAGAGACCAACAACCAGATCAAGAAGTATGTGGAGAGACTTCAGCCAGTATTATTGTACACGATATTGCCGCAGGTGATTGCTCGAATATGCCATCAGAACAAAGTCGTCTCCGATGTCTTGGGAAATATCGTCACCAAGGTTGTCAGGGCATTCCCCCAACAAGCCTTCTGGCCCTTACTTGCCGTAGTTGAAGCCAAGCAAAAAGAACGTGCATCGAAAGGCTTGGAACTCGTCAGAAAAATCGTTGAACTCCAAAAGAAAACATCCAGGGATGCGTCTGCGGCGGCAGAGCTCCGAAATATGTTTACAAGTGGGCAGAAGTTTAGCAAGGAGCTCCTTCGAGTGTCTGAGTACCCCATTGAGACGAAAGTACCTCGAGTGAGCTTATCGAGAGACTTGGGTTTCAACCACAAGATTGCACCGTCAAAGTTGGTGGTACCAAACCAAGCATGTCTTGTACCGAGCATGCCAACAAGCTTCGAACCAGCGCAGATTAAAGCATTCCGGCCCTTTGCGAAAGATCCTGTCACCATCTCGGCATTCATCGATGAGGCATTGGTACTAGCATCGCTACAGAAACCCCGAAGACTCACGATTCGCGGATCTGACGGAAACATATACAACGTGCTAGCAAAACCGAAGGACGATCTTCGAAAAGACCAACGGCTGATGGAATTTAACACTATGATCAACCGCTTTCTCAAACGCGACGTCGAAGCGGCGAAGCGTCGGCTATATATCCGAACATATGCAGTCATTCCACTCAACGAAGAATGCGGGTTGATCGAGTGGGTGGACAACCTCAAAACATTCCGAGAAATCCTCCTCAAACTCTACAAAGACAAGTCAATCTCGCCCAACTACATGGAGATCCGCAATATACTCGATGAGGCATGCTCAGGAGATCCGGAAAAAATCAAACTCTTCCCCAACAAAATCCTCAAGATGTTTCCACCAGTATTCCACGAATGGTTCGTAGAGTCATTCCCCGATCCATCGGCATGGTTCAACGCACGGTTACGATACACACGATCAGCAGCCGTCATGTCGATCGTCGGACACGTCCTTGGTCTGGGAGATCGACATGGCGAGAACATATTGTTCGAAGAAGACAACGGAGGAACGCTACACGTTGATTTCAACTGTCTATTCGACAAAGGCCTGACGTTTGAAAAACCCGAGATGGTTCCCTTCCGACTCACACACAACATGGTAGACGCAATGGGTGTGTATGGATATGAAGGTCCTTTCCGCCGCAGCAGCGAAATCACATTGGGTTTGTTGAGGAGTAATGAGGATGCGTTGATGACGATCCTGGAGACTTTCCTCCACGACCCTACGACAGATTTCATCAATGCTGGCAATCGCAAGAAGAAGGTCGTGAATGGTGTGCCGAATACTCCTGTTGAGGTTTTGGATGGTGTCAGGAGTAAAGTTAGAGGTATGTTGGCAGGTGAGAGCGTGCCGTTGAGTGTTGGTGGATATGTCGAAGAGATGATTCATCGTGCTACCGATCATGTGAATCTCTCGAGGATGTATATAGGCTGGTGTGCGTTCTTTTGATGGGGTGCGTAACGAAAGGTCGGTTGTTTTGGCATGATGAGATAGTTATGACAATGACAATGTGTGGCCTGGTCGTCCAGACGATTATTGGTACCCTGAAATTGTTTCGTGCGTATCAATATATTCTTATCATCACTCATACAATGCTATCCATGAGTGCCAGGTCAGGATATAAACAACAATGCATCTAGACATTATTCATGAGTGTACGATTCTCGTTCTTGGAAAGGCCTAGTGTCAGCTGCCAAAAACACACAGCTTCAAACGGCTACTTAGTCACTCTGCCACATCAGCGAGCGAGAAAAGCTGCAATGGGTTGCAACGCCAGTGATCTATAGCTAATCTTATACGCTCATTTGCTGAGAAAGACTCTTTTGCGGCGGAGAAGATGAGAAAATGTTTTCGGCTCCATCATCCACGAGAGGCGCTGCAACAACAGGGATTGACGACTGAGTTGGGACGCTCGGTTTTTGTCGTGCCTCTTGCTCAGCTAATAAAGCATCGAGGTCATCCATATCATTGTCTTCATCATCATCGCTGTCTTCGAAAATGCGTGTATGGGGCTTTGGCTGTGATGGCTGATGCTGAGACGTGCCCTGTTGTCTGGAAGTATTCGCTGCAGTCGATACGGGAGGATGAGTAGTGCGACTCTCGGCCTCATGCTCTGCCAATAATGCGTCGAGATCATCGTCCTCAGAATTATCGAACGAAGTTGTAGCAGTGGCTGACTGGTTGGTGTGAGGAGCGGAAGTGGTTGTTGCGGGGCGACGAGTCTCTTGCTCGGCGAGTAATGCATCGAGATCGTCCTCTCCTTCGGATTCGGAATCAAGATTAGCACGCCTGGGTGGTGAGCGCGGCTTTGGTGGTGCTGTATATGTTCCTGCTTCGGCAAGGAGAGCATCGAGTTCGTCGTCTTCAGGGAGATCACCTCCATCCGGGGCTGATGGATCCCTGCTCGAGTCGGCAATGAACAACGAGTCGTTTGCAGAGTCTATGTTTGACTTGTCTTTGGATGTCAGGCCGTTTTTGGAAGCTGTTGTGTTATCGTCGCCGGCGTACAAGTCTTGCGCTTCGTGGTCGATACCACCCATCAATTTATCCCGTACATAGCCCGGTTTACCCTCATCTATCCATTCCCTTCGCATGACTTGCATCCGCCGGGAATGGCCAACCTTTTCGATTAGTTGCAGCCCATCGGCAAATTTTGCTCGGGGGTACAAGTTGTCGAGCCAGAGCTGGTAGTAATTGAGCAGTCGGGCAACATCTGAAAATTCATGGCCTTTTCCTTTAAACTTCAATCTTTTGGCGATCTTGCCAGAGCGGACCAGTTCGCGGAGTTTGGGAATTCCTGGTGCAGAAAGGAGTCTATTTCATTCATTAAAACCCGAGGCTCTCGATCAAGGGAATGCTGGTCCCAAACAAACCTTTCTTCATCAAGCTTTGCGATTGGCTTTCTCTTCTTTTTGATCTGAACTTCCTCATCGAGACCTAGACCGTCGTTTTCACCAGATTTGCGTTTGTTCTGGCTCGGGCTCAAGGCTGGCTTGTCATCGCGTGAATTGCGAGTGCCGGCCTTGTCACCAAATGGATCTTCGTCGTCACTCGTGCCATAATTCAGAAGGTCATCGACCGTTGCTGATGTGATGGGGTCGGCAGCCATGATGTATACATGTAGTACTGGCTCGTGAGATGAGGTCAAGAGTCTTCTCGTCAAGAACGGGTTGTGGTTGGGTTGGGTTGGGTTGGGTTGGGTCGTGGTTGGCGGTGATCATTCACGGCGCGTCTCGCGAGGGTTTCGCGTTGTCGAGTAATTGGAATTCTCCGACTGGCTACGTCATTCCGGGGCAATTTCAGTCTAATCCATAAATAGATTAGTGTGAATTGTTGGTCTTGGCAAGGAAGCTGCAGTCTGGACTTCACGATTGTATCTTCATAGTAAGTTGATATCAAAAGAGACGAGAACAAAGTACTTTTGATCCCCATTGACGCCGTCGCCATGGTTGCTGAGGAGCAAACGACCTTTATCCCGGCCAAGCGCCCAAATACTGACTACCCTGTAAGTCATGCCTGTTTACCATTCAAACCTCAAGCTTGCTAACTCGCTTCACCAGCTCATTGACTCAGATCCGTATGTCCTCCCTCACGCCGAACCACCTCTCCTCGTGAAACTATTCGCGGCCCTTGACTGACTAGAATCACCCCAATAGCCACTGGAGACGAGCATTTGCCTATTCGCGACGGGAAGATTGGTTGGAAGGCGCTGGGCTGGCCGCCTTTGCACCAGCATTTCTCCTACTCACCGAACGCTACGCCCCCTCTTTCTCTGGCAAAGGTGCCTTTCCTCCCGTGTTCAGACTAGGCGTGGGAATTGGAATCTTGGGTGGAATTGGTTTGGTCTATCAAAAGAGTTGCTGTATGTCAAATCGAACGCGGGCAACTATTGAGCAGGACAGCTGACAAGGGTCATAGTGCGACTATACGGATGGACCGAAAACGAGCGAGAACAACAAATGGATATGAGGGAAATGGTCGACAAAGTTAAGAAGGGAGAGCCACTATATGGAGCGAGCGACCTGACTCCATATCACCAAGGTATCGCTGCAAGAAACAGCAGATACTCGGCACTGTTATTTCACATTGTGCCATGGGCCAATTTTGTCAATCACAACCAGGTGAGCATGATTACCGAGTACTATTGATGCTTTTCAGGCGCTGACTCTGACTCAAGCACGGCGTGGATACTGCCAAATACTACCAGCAAGCAGAGCGAGAACTAGAAGCAGAAAGACTAGGAAAGGCGACTCGATGAAAACGACAAGACGGCGAAGGAGCTGCGGAAACATCAGATACAAAGGCATCCAGACGGTTGGATGCTTCGCAGGGATTTGTACATAGAAAAGGATGGCTGATCAAACCTGGTATCAACAGTGAGCCTGGGAGGTTCACGAAATGCACTTGACACAAACGCTTCTCGAACACCATGTGATGTCAGTGCCACGGATTGCTGCCAGATATTGATCACTGAATGCCGTGGTGATATGCCCAGATCACAGGGTACAATACACAAAAGGAGACATGTCATGCGTGGTTGTGGTTGTTAGTCGGCACCCTGCATGAGGTGCGACATGACATTGTCCAGGACGGTGAGCAATCAGACTGCCCGTTGTCCATTGTGCTATTTTCTCAATGACCATTCATCTGTCCCTTCTATGAGTTTCTCAGGCTTCCAATCGAGTCCCGTTGCTGGGATTTCACTCTTGGACTTGTTCACTGATGGCCCCTATTCCAACGACTAATGATGTTCTCACCTGCCTTGAAATCTATCTTCTCGACTGATTTTAGCTCCTCTCTTCTAACGCCTCTCTTTCATAACCCCAACAACCCCAAACCACCCTTTTCCGATCAATATCAAGATGGCAACGCAGATCAAAGATCAAGATGTCCCAGAACATTTGCATGACTTCTCTGATATGAAGCACTCATGGGCGTCCGGGTTTTGGGCAGGCGGTAAGTAACAGTTTCTTCCAAACGACGCCAAGCTCACAGATATGTGCACAGATGGCGGAACCAAACCCCTCGCAAGTATCGTCTTCATCATGCCAACGATTTTTACAGGCCAAGGGACTGAAGCATTGATTGAGGTTGCGACCGATGGGGCCGAATTCCACGAAAGAGTCATCGACCACCTCGTTAGGCGCATGGATGAATGTCAACATAACCTGAGCCAGCATGACATTGATCTACTCTTCCGCCACATTCAGAAACATCGTAACCGCATTGGCGCAACCAGCACAAAGCCACATATCGAGAGCATACCTGACCTCCTCAAGTTCTTCCTGGACCAAGCCACAACCGCCGACGCCCTTGCTCATAAAGCAGACTCCGTGTCCAAACAGTTTTCTCAGATCAAGAAGATCTCCAAGCGGATTCTTGCTGATCAACAAGAGCAGGGTCGTGAGTTGGTTGCGTCCACTGAAGGCAGGAAGAAGTTGAAAATTGCGACAAATGTTCTGGATACAGTATGGGATAAAGTGCAAGTTGATTGGAGGACATTGAAAGCAGAGGTCGATGACTTTGAAGCAGATCAGTCCATACTCCAAGTCATTCACTTAGCAGAACCCGAATCTGATGAACCTACTCTGGCGACCAAGGCAACTCCGGGTGAGAAGTGGTCCAAAGGCTCGATCCAATCACAGGGATCCCCTGTCGCCCCGTATGCTGAAGTCGACTGGAAAGAAAAGGGACAGGAGCATAAAGACGGTTCAGAAGAAGGAGGGTCTACAGAGGCGCAATGTCAAATGGACAAGCTACTAGAACTCATGCATGTCGCCTTGGGCGCCGCTTCCAAGTATGAGTAGAACAACAAGGCAGAAGACAAGGCGAAGCTGCTTGATACATTGGTCCTGTGGTTTGATATCGATGGATGTTACACTCGCTGGCACTGCAAAGTCTATCAAGATTCCGCTGCACGATATGGTACCAGCACTACCCAATCAAATGTGCATATGTCCATCCTACATGGGTATGACAAACATACCTCATCATGAGGCTGACGGAGATAATATCCGGACATAAAATAGAGTACAGAATAAAATGCACTAGTCCCTGATCTTTAAATTGTTGAGGAAACTTAGCCGGAGGCCAGATGCGGACAACTTTCATGTTGACGACCAGTAACACCACCATATGTTCGAAGTATTGAGCAGGCCCTCGACATACTTCAACATGATTTTAAGGTCTGAGATCCTGGTGTTGTCCTCTTTGCTCGTTGGCCGCACCTACTCCGTTGACACCAGAGCTTCAACCTCAGCCCGTCCTCGAGGTGTCAGCCCTGAATGTAAGTATACACGGGTCCATGGCCATGAGTCCGATACACAGTCTTCATATAGTCTGTTCGGTCCCTTGACCCTGTCCCTGCTTCTGTATCCTCGTTATCATGTCTAACACTTGTCCAGTCGCCAAATTCTACAAAGGAGCTAGCTCGGACGTCTTCACATGCATATCAAACCCCTCTGTCACCATCCCCTTCTCCCGAGTCAACGACGACTTTTGCGATTGTCCTGATGGCTCAGACGAGCCCGGCACAGCAGCATGTTCATATCTCTCCCATCTCTCCCCTCCACAGTACCACCCGGGTCCTGACACGGCCGCTGCTTCTCTTAACACCACCCTAGCCCTCCCGGGCTTCTACTGCAAGAATAAAGGCCATCAGCCCGCCTACATACGGTTCGAGAGCGTCAATGATGGCAAATGTGACTACGATGTATGCTGTGATGGCTCCGACGAATGGGCACAGGTTGGAGGAACCCACTGCGCCGACAAATGCAAAGAGATAGGTAATGAGTTCAGAAAGCAGGAGGAAGGGAAACAGAAGGCTTTGAGGGCCGCCTTGAAACGGAAGGCTACCTTGGTAGCCGAAGCATCACGTCTGAGGCGAGAGGTGGAACTGGCTCATGAGAGTGCAGAGATCAAGCTGGACGGTTTGCAGCGGAAGGTCAAAGAAGCTGAGGACAACGTGGTCGAGATTGAACGCCGCGAGAAGCTTCGGGTGGTCCGAGGCGATGCGGCCGGCAAAGGCTCTGGCAAACTTGGAATACTGCTCAACCTAGCCAAGAACCGTGTGGAAGAACTCCGAAAATACCTCGACACAACCAGGAAACAGAGGGATGCAATGGTTGACAGGATCACCGAACTTGAGGGTCTACTGTCGGCTCTCAAGGACGAGCACAACCCCAACTTCAACGATGAGGGTGTCAAACGCGCCGTTCGGGGCTGGGAAGATTATGCTGCGCGAGAAACAGACGACTCCTGGACCGAAGCCGAGAACCGAGATCTCATGGCCGTACTAGCCGAAGACAACGAATCTAATGGCGTCAACTGGGCTGAATTTGAGTCTGACGACTCGCCCGCCCAACCCGAATCCGATGTGGCGGCACTCTATCAGTACAGCGCATATCTCCCCGATGGTTTCCGCCTATGGATTGACGATAAGCTCGCCGCAATCCGCCGGATCCTCGTCGAAAACGGCATCCTCGCAGATGTGAAGGACTCCAACCCATCACCCAGCACGGACAGCAAAGCCGTCGCCGACGCAAAGAAGATCTTGACCGACGCAGAGCGCGAAGTTAAAACAACTGAAGCCGACTTGAAACGACACCTCGACGATCTAGACAAAGACTACGGTCCGGACGGCGGCATCTTCCGAGCCCTCAAGGACAAGTGCATCAGCCGCGACAGCGGCGAGTACGAGTACGAACTGTGCTGGTTGGGCCAAACGAGACAGAAACCCAAGAGAGGTGGGGCTAACACCAGCATGGGCAACTTTGTCGGATTCGACCTGGAATACGTCGATGAAGGTGTAGGGAAAGACGGCAAGGGTCTAGGTACGGGCGAACGACTCGTGCTGAAATATGAAAATGGCCAGGGTTGTTGGAACGGACCAGCTAGATCTACACGGGTGTATCTCGCGTGCAGTGAGGTGGATGAAGTGTGGAAGGTCAGTGAAAGTGAAAAGTGTGTTTATCGCATGGAGGTCGGCACGGCGGCTGTGTGTCAAGAGCCGAACAAGCAAAAAGCAGAGGATGTAAATGGGGCTGGGAAAAGCAATGATGGCAAGAAGGATGAATTGTAGTAGATTTGTATATCATACTATTTTACTCTTTGTTTGTCTAGTAGGATCGTGGTGGTTTGGCGAAAAGGCTCCATGTCATATCATGGAGATTCAGGATTTGCCATGATCGAATAGAAATAAATTCAACGACATGCAATATATCTAGGCTATTGTAGATGCCAGTCAAGTCCAATACGACCGACAAAAGAGAATATGTCAAGTATTAGAGAAGCACTGACAACCAATCACAGCCAAACCTGTGATCCACCCACTCATCCACCCACCTCCATACATCACCAGATTGTTTGAGGACCTTAAGTAATGCCATCGTCCATCGTCCATCTTTAGATCAGCATGCATCATACCTCCCTATCTATGTACTGTCCTCAATCTTCTGAATGTCAAATGGCCACACGAGCATATTGGCGCGTGACAGAACCGAGGACCGGGCATTCCTTGCTGAAATGTAATCATTTTATTGTTCCCTGGAATACTAATCATATAATCTATTCAGCCCAGCTGCGGGATATAGATAACAAAAGCCATTTTCCCCATCAATGATTATAACAGATGATCGTTCATCACTTCTATCGAATGTTGACCTGATACTGATCCTGATACTGACATTAGATTTATCTAAATGACGTCGTTGATCGATCTTCCTCCTGAGGTTCTGGGACAAATCGTCCATCAGGTTACTCTTGGGTCGGGGCTTCAGAATTGGAGATTGACGAACTCGTACATTAACAATATCGCAACGGAGAGTTCTCGCACCTTGCTCAATCAATTATGTCGGGTATACCAAATCTCAGATCGTGTTCTTCATTTGTATTGGAGATTTAATCTTGATAAAGCGGCTTCGGCTTCGGCTTCGCAAAGCGAGCATCCTGATCTGAAGGATGTGATTGCCCTGAACCACCTACTACAAACCACAAATCTCATTGCCAACGATTGGAATCGAAGACGGATATCTGAAAATGGATCTGGACGATTCGCCAAACCAAGCAGCGAGCCATACATGCTCTTTAGTGCATTCACTCATCAACTCCGACGGTCGCAAACAGTCTTGTCCATGACAGGTACCATACTAGCACCATGCTCGAGTGGCCAAACGTTCGCCCCCAAAGTCCTCGCCGACAGCTTCGTGCACTTTCTCGAATCCCAACTAACACTCAGCGAGCTGGAAGACATCATTTCAATCATCAACATCTGCGTCACCAAGCTATGGTCGACAGTATTCCTTCATCGACCAAAGGATGCTACAGTGACTAGCTTCGCGTCTCTGAGTGGATACATCACCAACACCGACCAAGCCATTTTGACCGAACATGTGATTTGGCGGGGTCCCCGGTGGGTAGCTCGCGTTATCGAAGAATATGGTATCGATTATGCCGATTGTGGCTCTGCAGGTGATTGTACCGAGGCGAGGGTCCCGGATAGGCTTGTAACAAATGGAATCTGGACAGGGTCTCAAGCAGATGGTGCGATTCTTGCTGCAAATGGTATGGCAAGATTGCTCTGGAGAGAACGACAACGGAAGATTGATGAACAGCAAAAGCACGCTTCTCGAGAAGGAGGGAATGTCGTGCGTGTCTCAGAGGTACATACAAACCCTCAAGTTTGGCGTGGTTCTTCTGGTGATTTGTGATTGAACCGCGCAAACCGCGAACCGGCACGTGTTATTCATTATTGTGAGGGTTGGCTCCCTTGGTATGGTCCAACGATCATCATCGTCGAGATCAAGGGGTAAAGAAACTCGTCTCCCTGCATCCTGCTAACTTACCTACATAATTGCCAACGAATGCATATAAAATGCACTCCACAAGGGATGGATGAGCCTGTAATCATCAGTTATCGAGGGGAAATGACATGTATAACGCAGGAGAATCAAAGAATGAAATTAATTCTGCAGCTTTGATTGAGTAAGGTAGGCCCGTGCCAAGGCCATGTCCTTGATGAGGAAAGCGCAATAACAAGGTAAATAAGCTAAGCCGCAATAGGACATTAGCTCTTGGCACTGTTTATGGGCAAGAAGTGGGCAGGAATACCACAGTTGGCAGGCGCGACTCAGGCTCCAGACTGCGGTGTCTTTGGTGTCTTTCTTCCTGACAGCGGAGCCTCCCGCCAGGGGAACCAAACTCACATCTGGCCACTCACAAACAACACAACCGACCATCAACAGCCAGTCAAGTCCTGACCCTGAAGACCAAAACACACCCACCAGGGCTACAAGGGCTACAAGGGCTACAAGGACCACACCACGCACAACTCGTGTTCCACTCATTTCTCCATGACCCGTCTTGTCATGTACGCCTCTCCCTGTCACCGTCTCCCGTCACCGTGCAACCCGCATCATTGACACAACACCGCAAAAATATACTCAGTCACCATTTTCCTCCCCCAATGGCTTCTCTATCCGTCTCGTTCTGTCCTACCTTGTCGTTCTGCTACTCGTCTATCCTCTCCCTCGACGACATCAATCGCCAGGATGCCTGAACCACTGTCGACCTTGTCGCCATCCAAACAAAACTCGCGTCTCTCACCTGTCAAGCTCCGCTTCGACAAGCAGGCACACGATCAACACTCTGATAATCAGCCATACTCGCCGGTCACCCCGGCCTCTCATGAGTTTCCTGGCTCAGCTTCCATAAAGAAGATGACTATCGATATCCCTAAACTCGACATGGATCGCCCTATCTCGCCCCCTACAACCTCCAGTCCCTCTGCAAGCCCCCGAAAAGGTTTCTCGCCCATCAAATATCGATTACAAGACCACACAAACGCGCACAGCTCTCCTCCTGGCTCACCTGCGGATCCAACCCTGCGATTCAATCAAGGACTCACCCTGGCTCTTGATAGCTCAGAGATACCCGTCCACACCGACTCTTCGAGCGAATCCATCATGCACCACAGTCCCGAGAGCACCAGTACGACCTCTGCAGGGCGCGATGACCTAACAAAGTCTACTGATAAACTTGACCTGGATGACATGACGCTGGGATTTGATGATAAAACCATACACGACGATACCGTGGGTGATCTGAGCACGATTTCAGCCATCAACACTGACACGACTCGCTTTGCAAACATGAGAAACTCCCCGTCCAAGCCATCCAGAGCAGAAGCGTGGTCTCCCTCAAAACAACTGCGCACTTCGATCATCGCGAGTACGCCAAACACCGCACAGCGCCCACTACGACTGCTGTCGTCATCGAGAAACAGCACTTCGTCCAACGAAGATGACGATGCCACTCCTCGACGACCACGTAATTCTAATGACGCAACAACCGATTTGATGAATTTTACCGGTCAAACCAATATCATTATTGCTCCCCCTCAATCGGCGCCTCGTAGCATGAGGCGAAGTCCATCTGGGAGAGGAGCGTTTCCCATCAAAATTAACCCCAGTCCCTTTCACCGTTCTCAGGCTTCAGTGGACCGTGAGCGAGCGACTGGTCGATCACCACAGAAGCAACACCAAGCAGTCTTTGGGGACAAGAACACCCCAGCCACACCTGCCGCTCCCAGACAAAGCGGATATGGTTCCTCGACTGGTCTCGGCATGGACCTGTTGGACATTGACTTGGAGCCAATGGCCACCCCACGATCAATCCCCACCGTGACCCCTCGTGAACTTGAGACACTTCGATCTGAGCTACAATCGCGTATCTCGGGGCTTGAAGCCACACTTTCCGGCAAGGAAGCAGAGGTCATGGCCCTTAAACGTTCCATCACCGACGCCGAGGTGCGAGCAGGGAAAATCAGTGAAGAACTTCGAACGGAGCGGGGGTCTCGCGAAGAGCTAGAACTGGCCAAAGACGACCTGGAGCGGCGAAGTCGAGAAATGGAAGAAGTACTGCGAGAAGTGAAACAGAACATCTTTCTAGAAGAGAGAGAAAAAGAGAAGCTGAGACGACAGGCCGAAGACGCGGACCGACGCGCAGAGGAACAAGAAATCCGGATCCTCGAGCTTCAGGCGTCTCTTGATACACTCCGGTCGGACCGGGTCAAAAACACACCCAGTCCGGAAAAGGGCCACGAACCAGGCACCCCGGGCATGGCCGCAGACATTGACTTTGCGGTCAAAGACGCGACGGAGAAAGTCGCGCGCGAACTGCACACGTTGTACAAGAGCAAGCACGAACGCAAGGTATCAGATCTCAAAGTCAGCTATGAAAAACGGTGGATCAAGCAGGTCGAACAACTTCGATCAGATCTCAAAGCCTCCCAGGACGAAGTGCTGAGACTGCAGACGGAACGGGAGGCGACCATGAGCGGGGTAATCCCCGGTCAAAGCGAAGCACTTTCTAGAATGGAAGGACAGATTGAGGAGTTGCGACGATGGAACGAAGAAGCGACCGCAGGCAAGAAGATGGCCGAAGCAGAATCAGCGGGGCTCCGTAGCCAGGTGGATTCTCTCACCAACGAGACCCAATCTTTGAGAAAGGAGATTGAGCAGGAGCGCATTGAAAAGGGAGAATTGGTGGCCCAAGTGGACGTCTTCCTAGCCATGAGTGCCCAAGCAGAGGAGCAGCGATTGGCTCAGCAGCAGCAGCAACAACAACAACAACAACAACAAGCTCCACCGGTGAGCCCTCCTCAAAGCGAGGATGGTACTGGAAGACCCCGGTCAGCAGCGGCGTACGCGAGCCCTCACAAGAGTAGAAACAGCGTGAGTGGAGTTGGCGACTTACGGGCAGCAGGCGGGAGCAGCCGGCCACGCCCGATGAGTATGCTGCAAAAGCCGACGGCGGGCAAGTATTCAGGGATCCCAGCCCCTGGATCAGGTTTGAAGATGGCGGGCAGTAAACTCAACGGGTACGGCGGGCGAGGAAATGGCATCATGGACGGCATCACTCGCATGGGCGCAGGGGGCCGATGAACTGGTTACTGAGCGCCACGAGGTTTGATGAGGCAAGATTCAAGACATGCGGCAGGAGGTACCGTAGCATCGTACGCAGGCCTGACTGAATGTACCTATTGAGCATGGGCAATCTGGCGGGTTTGAATGCATTGCTGCTTACTGCTCGGTGCTCGCGTGCTGCCTTGTGGATACGACTTGAACGACGTGGGTGATTGTTCCACTTTATGACCATGACGCAGAGAATTTATCTGCAACCTGTTAGTGAATAAACTGGTGCGGTTGATATTGTTTGAGATTGAATGAGAAAGCTGTCATACGAACCCTACACGGAGATTGGAAGCTAAGGTTCTAAGAATACACCGCATCCTCGTCCTCGTGCCGTGTCTGAGACGGCATCGAGGTGGACTCCCAGGGTTTCCACATTTCGGATCTGGGGTTTGAGATTTGAAGTGACGGCGAATGGGTGAGAGATGCAAGTGCTGACGGAACCCTGGCGCTTGAGGACTTGTAGAGAGTATGTAGACAGTCTGTTCATGTTGTTCTTAGGTACCTACACATGTACATTTTAGTAGTTGGTGTCTCTCTATTCACAACCCTTAAGCAGCACCTTCCTCCTACATTTGTATTACGCGTCATGTCCAGGCAGCAACACGCAACTGGAAACTTGGGAAGGTGCAAATACAAACCAACACGCGTGACTGCCAAGGGGCAACAGACAACACACTCTCACATCTCGTGGTCCTTCCTTGGTCCTAAGTTAGTCTTGGTCGTGGTTGCCATGTTTCATACTGCCAAGAGGTGCAGGCGAAGATGCTGCACCATTTGTTACAGATGGGGAAGGAAGGGGCACTTGCGGCACTTGGGGCACCTGGGGCTTGCTAAATTCCTGCTAAAAACCTGCTAAAAACTCACGGGGCCTGTCTGCAACTCTCCCTTCAACCCCTTCAGACACCAAAGTAATCTCATCCACTCATTCTATCCACTACTAAAAGGCTTGAACAAAGCTTAGACCTGGCAACACCTGGTCATATCGACGACGGCCTCACTTCAATACATGCCCAGAATACGAGTAGGTCCTATGGACCTCGTACTCTATCGCTGACACGTTCGCAGTCTACCGCCTTGTCCCTCCAGCCCTGCGACATGACGTGACAAGCTTCTCTCCCTTCATTAGCGAAACCCTCGTATCCGCCCGTTGACCTCGAGTCCTTGAGTTCTGAAGCATGAACACACCCCTGCCACGCTGCCATGCCATGGTCGGCTGCACCTCCATCCTGAATCATCGTCATGTATTTCCTTCCTACACACACAAACACACACACGCCGGCAGCCGAGCTCGTCAAGCCCACCACACCCCTCCATCATGACGCTGAGACGCTCTAAATCGTACCTCCTGCTGACGCTAATGAGCTGTGGAGGGCTGGCAAGGTGTCAGGACAACCGCTCCAGATCCGATCACCGACACAACCATGCTCTATATCACAGGCTGATCTCTTCTCTTTCCATGCTTTTCCTCTCCCTCAAGCAGCTGAGCTGACTTGATCAGAGACGGTCCTTTTCTTCTGGAATATTGCATTGAGTTCCCCACGTTCCTTTATTTCATTCGTTCGTTCCTGGTGAACTCCTGCCAGTCTTGACCCATTCCAGCTTCCCTACGCAAGAATCACGTCAACGACCTTTGTACAAATTTTTTCCAGAGAATACTTGGATCCTTCTTCACAATGCATCCCAACACCTTTCTCGCCGCCCTTTGTGCCACCGGACTTGGCGTCGCATTTGCCCGACCCACCTCCCTCGATGCTCGACAAAGCATCGAGAAGCCAGCTCCTCGTCAAGGTCACGGTCGCCACAGGCGCACGTCAGCCATCCAGCGTCGCGAAGTTCCCCAAGAGCATTCTCACGAGATCTTCATCACCGTCGTCAACGAGTTCCTCAAGAAGAACAATCCCGACAACATCCAGGATGCCATCTTTGCCCTCCTAGGCAATGCTGCCGCCTCCCAGGGATTGGGTAACATCGCCGACCCAGACTGTCTGCAGCTAGCCACAGCTGACCGCGCCTTCACCAATGCCAAAGCTGAAAACGACATTGATGGAATGACTGCAGCTCTGATCTACCGTGGCCTTGAGCGCAATACAGGCTCCGTTGGCCTGGCTTCGACCGCCTGTACCTCCATCACCGCCGTGAACCCCGAGATTGGCGCCATCTCTCAGCATCAGGACCCTGCCTCTCAGGGCGCTGCCGCCATCAACAAAGCTATCGCCCTCGAAATCGCGTTCCAGATCTCCACAATCGGCGGTGACCCATTTGACGCACTTGACTCTGGTACTTTCCAGCCTGGCCAGATTGGCGACCCAACCGCCAGGGGCAACACTTGCAACACCCTTGACGACGAATTCGGCTGTATCTTTAGCCAAGGTCTGATTGTGGAAGATGCTACTGAAGACGAGGTCACGGCCTTTGTTGCTTCTCGTGCTGGTGGTGGTGGAAATGGTGGAAACGGTGGTGGAAACGGTGGCGGTAACGGCGGCGGCAATGGCGGCGGCAATGGCGGTGCAACTACGACTTCAGCTGCCGGCACTACCACAACGACCGCTGCCACCACCACTACTAATGCTGCCACTACTACCACTACTGATGCTGCCACTACTACCACTACTGATGCCGCTGTCACTACTACCACTACCACAGCAGCCACAACTACCACGGCTCCCCCTCCTGCTGCTACCGGGAAAGTCAACTTGGGTCAATGCAGGGACCCCCGTGTCTTCTTCGCTCCCAACCTTGATGGTCGGCGAGAGGCATTCGCTTTTGCGCCCAGGGACAAGAGCTCCTTTGATCATGGCGCGGACGAAACCCTCAAGACCATCACGGATTTCATCTGTAAGTGCTTCTGGCTTCGTGATCGAGCAGTTTGCTAATGTCTGTCTTCCTCTAGGCCAACAACTCAACGATCGATGCCGAGCTCCCAAAATCACTGTTGACATCTGCAAAGTCGCAGCCGCGGCAGCATCAAGACTCAATGGTCAGGCAGCCGCTGATGTATTTAATGCAGCCTTTGGTTTGTAGTTTGAACCTCAAACCTTGAAGGCGTCCCGCGACCTGTAAAAGGATTCGCGCGACATTTTTGGTGCTTCGATGCTGTGTCACTCGCCGCAGCTGCTCGCCGCAGCTTGTCATACTAGCTTTTTCTTGTATATATACCAACAATGTTTTGACACCCATGTTGATGTTGCAATGACAATGAACTTGACGCCTGCTTGATGAAGATTGAATCTTGGACATTAGATAGATCTGTCGACGGTCTTTAAAGGCGACTTTCCGCATTCACGTCTCATACGAAATGCGGGTTTTGTGTGCCAGCCTTTTCTTCTTCCTTCTGATGTATATATCGCACCATAAACAACATATAATTCCCTCCTCTTGATCTTAACTTTTGATCAATTCATTATTTAAACTTGTAAGTCGTGATCCAGACGTCGAATCTCGTCCTCCGCCATCCTCCACACCCGTTCCCAACCATCCCACCATTCATCAATCGTGAAAAACCCATCCAATATCCTTCTCACACCATCCCACTCCACCCCTTCCCCTTCCCTGTGATACCACCTCGCCACCGCCATCAGTAATCTAAACCTCCCATCCTCTCTACCTCCTCCAACAACCCCCCCTCCCTTCGGCGAAACCATCGTCACCGCCATACACATGGCCAACCACAGAAAACACTGCATAAGATCCTCATCCTCTTCAAACGCCATTTGCCATCCTAATACACCCTCCGCATGTCTCTTCACTTCCTCTTCGTAAATCGCACTAACCCTCCCCGATAATCTCCCTGGATCGGTTAATCTGATCATCACGCCCATACAGCAGACTCGTTCAATCAAAGTAAGGTCGTCTCTTCCGAGTAAACGCATACAGATTTCGATTTCTTCGAGATTGGCCCCGTTGACGTCGCCGGCTGATCCGGCGGTGAATATCGCGTTGATGTGGTCTTGTTGGAGGACTATACGGTAAAGGAGATTGATGATCTTGGGGCTGAGCTGGTGGGTGACAGCAAGGCGGGAGAAGCCAGTTGGGAGAAGGGAGATTTTTGAGGAGAGAGGGGTGGGGGAGGGGGAGTGAGTGGTGTGGTCGTCGTCGTCGTCGTTGTCGTCGTCGTGTTGGGATAGTGAGTCGTCGACTCTGAGGATTGGAGGGTTGGAGGGATCTTGATTTTCGTGGTAGGTTTGTGATGTGGTGTTGATATTGGTACTGGCGTTGCGGGAGAAATAGCCCCAGAAACTCTCGATGCTATTCGCAAGATAAACAGATCCAAGTCAGATAGATATATGGATGGGATGAGAGTACTTAGCCAAAGGGCCCGTTGTTTTTCTCACCTAATCAAATATGGTTTCAAAATCAACGGCCAACCAACCTCATCAATCCCTCCACGGAGAGCAACAATCCTTCTCACACCTTTGAGATGCATTTCAAGAGAGTCCATGTCGTTTGAGAGATACTAGATTTCCAAGTCAGACTCAAGTCAACTCAGTCTGTTTCCTGTACCTATACTTCACTCACTTACATTAACAGCAATCAACGCAATGATCGCCAAGAGAACCGAATCATCCTGATATCCATTCTCCTTCGCCAGATGGCCTCTCAATCGTTGAACCGTCTGTCCATAATGATATAAAGTATCCCTATCAAGACGAGTGGTACTCCTCCCGGCACCGGCAACTGCACCGACACTGGAGATGGCATTCTCCCATGATTGGACACTTAGATTGGCTTGGGATACAGCGACTAGAGCTTCGAATAGAACAGGATCGTGAAGTGCGTATTGGAAATATAATTGAAGAATAGATCTGCCTTGGTCGGGAGTTAGGAGATTCGGTCGGATTAGGTGGGTTGGGCCGTAGATGTGGATCCCTGGACACACAACGCTGGTAAGTTGTGGTATAAGTATTAGGTACTATGCTTACAATAGTCAACAGCTCTGGGTATACTAGGTCGAACGTAGTCCACTGGATAGCTGTAGAATGGGTCAGTGCGAACTCCATGTCTGTCGTGCGAGATGGCTGTTGTATGAGCATAAGCAGCAGCGATACTATTGAAATTGGTATTGATGTTGACGTTGATGTTTTGAGGAGGCGGTTGTGCAGCAGGAACTGGATGGTCTCGGCCAGATAACTGTAGATATCTTCTCCAAGTCCAGTTAAAATACGGATGGTGGTGGTGTTGATTGTCAGAATCTAGAGCGGAATTGATAGTAGATCGGTACAATGGTTTGGACCGGTTTCTGAAGTGGATGCCAATATAAGATGCTACTTTCCGTCGGTTCTCGGAGCTGGTTTGCTCGGATGGGTGGGAGTAGTTGATGAACTGGTAATCGTAATTGGGCATTGTCGTCAGTTGTTAGTTGTTTATGCTCATGCTTCCTATGAAAGAAGCATCATCGTGGTAGTATTTCTCTGCTGCCACATCACAGTCGCATCATGGTTTCAAATCTAGTGACAACAGAGAAATATGTACATCTCGCCCCCCACAATATCTTGACTATTACATATAGTACTTTGAGGATATTCTCAATCGCGGGGGTTACTCTATCTAACTCCCCAAACTTGAACCAATAAAAACCTGTCTATTCCCATAATGCAGAGTCCTGCAGAATCTCACCGAGCTTGTTTCATTCTCGGCACCTATCGCCTTACCATATGATTGCGATCGAGCTTGGACAAGACCCTATGCAAGCAGGGCTGACCTAAATCCTTAGTCAGGTTACTCCAGGATTCACCCAATCTAAGCCGTCCAAGACATAGGGAAGCTCCGAATTAGGCAATCGGCAATGCTTGTATTGCATGCATCTAGCACGATCTTGATGTTTTTTTCAGATCCATGTCTTGATGGCCGTGCTTGGTTTTATCTGGGCGGTGGCTATGATGCGGAGTTACGATCCTTCGGAATAGAAGTTCTATGCTGATTGGACTATCGTGGGTGGCTTTATCAGCAATACCTCGTGAAGATTCTTGGGAGCTGATGTTAGCGGCTTGAGTGATACCGAGGATTGCACAATTGTCGGACTTCCGAAAAGACTCTAGACCGTTACCATCATAAGAGGCTCGGCGGAATAGCGTACATCAATTGTGTGCAAGGTGAGCTGTTGTATTTGCGAAAATAATGGGTGCAAGGTTGATGATTATGTCATGTTCATTAACCTGTAGGCGCAACACCATGATGCTTTCATGAATTGTAGTCAATTCACATTGGTATCAATTGCATATGACACTACACAGTCTTACACTTTGAAGTGTGTTAGCATGTCTCGACTCTTGTGTCTTTGTTATCATCATTAATGGTAGGTTCCAACCAAAATATTGATTATCGAACACGTGAAGGGGCAAGGCTGAGTACACCTCCCGCTTTATGATCCAAGGTATAAAAACCATTCCAACATAGCAACTATGCCGACTCGCCCCACGATTTCTTTGGTAGACTTTTCTGCCAGGATCAACAGTAGAAGAGCGATACTTCAAACAACTCAATCGCAGCCTGTTTAATTCTTCAAGGCTTGCAGAAAGTTACCTCCGAGGCCTCTCAATCATCCAGGCAACATTGTGCAATGGTGCACCTCTTACTCCGAACTACCATGTGCCCTTGAACCCGGACTCTTTCGACAAACCTGTTTCTTGTGTCCATCTGGATACTTGACCACCCTTCCTCCTACCACCTACAAATTTATATTACTACCCTCTAGACCTCCCTCAAGATGGCAGACCCCAACAATGTCTCCCAATACAAATATTCGGCGATGTCGAACCTGGTTCTCCAGGCCGACCGTCGATTTGTCTCCCGCCGAACCGATGAAAACACAGGCGACCCAGAGTCGCTGGCTGGTAGACTCAACATTCGAGACATGGGATCGCGCATCGGTCGTGAAGAAGCCCCAAAGCAGAAAAAGCTAGGCGCCGGATTACAGAACCTGGATCGAGGTTCCATACGAGAAGGTCAAGATGTTTTGGAACGAGAACGAAAAAAGCGCAAGAGAGGCGAATCTTCACAGATGAGAGGAGCTGGCATCCTTTCCGCCGGCGACGCCCTCATTGAAGGTCTCATATACCGTCCGAGAACTCCTGCCACTCGCGCGACATATGACTTACTTCTCCATGTCACATCAACTGCTCTTGGTGATGTGTCTCAGGAAATTGTGCGGAGTGCTGCCGATGCCGTTCTCGAATATCTCAAGGATGAGAACCTCAAAGACTTAGACAAGAAGAAGGAAATTGATGATATCGTCGGTATTACAATGACACCGAAACAGTTCAATGAACTCGTGAATCTTGGCAAGAAGATCACCGACTATGGCGCACAAGATGATGAAGACATGGAAGATGCCGACGGACAGAACGACGCCGAATTGGATGATCGCCAGGGCGTTGCTGTCGTTTTCGACGAGTCCGATGACGATGTGGACGAGGATGGCATTCGACGAACGTACGAGGTTCGTGATGAAGACGAAGGCTCCTCAGACGACGAAGATGCTCAAGACCAACCCAGTCTAGAAGAAGCCGCAGCTGCTGGTGGTGCTGGAGTGCCGGACGTTGACGGTGATGACGAAGATGCCGGCATGGTCATCGATGGGGGTATTGGTGATACCAGTCGACGGAAGCGTGAAGACTCGGATGCCATCCCCATTCACGAAATTGATGCGTACTGGCTTCAGAGACAAATCGGCTCTTTATACTCGGATGCTCACATCCAGCAACAAAAGACTCAAGATGCTTTACAAATTCTCTCCGGAAAGTCGCTAGAAGGGGAGGATATCTCCCTCCGCGATATCGAAAACGACCTCATGGACCTTTTTGATTACGATCATCCTGAAGTTGTTAGCCTGTTTGTCCTCAATCGCGAGAGGATCGTCTGGGTCACCCGGTGGCGAAGAGCTGCAGAAGATTCGGACGCTCGACATCTCGTGGAGAGCGAAATGGTGGAGGCTGGCCAACGGAGTATTCTTGATGAACTGCTCGGGAAATCCGACAAAAGTGCTGATAGCCAGCGACCCGCGAAGAAGATCAAGTTGGATCTTATGGATTTGGATGTGCCAAAGGGCGAGACAACACAACAAGAAGACAAGAAGGATGGTACTCTTTCTGGAGGCTTACAACCGAGACGCTTGATCAATCTAGACAATCTTGTCTTTGAGCAAGGTAACCATTTGATGACCAACCCCAAAGTCGTCCTCCCACAGGGATCTACCAAGCGAACTTTCAAAGGCTATGAAGAGATACATGTGCCTGCACCGAAACCTAAGCGGGATCCGGGAGAGAAGAACATTCCAACCACAGAACTTCCTGATTGGGCTCGACAAGGATTTGGTTCTGCAAAAGAATTGAATCGTATTCAGTCAAAATGCTTTCCATCAGCGTTTGGCGACGATGGCAACATGCTTATATGCGCTCCTACAGGTTCCGGAAAGACCAACGTTGCGATGCTCACTATCCTACGTGAGATTGGCAAGCACAGGAACCCTGAAACAGGCGAAATCATGTTGGACGATTTCAAGATCGTCTACATTGCGCCGTTGAAAGCTCTCGTTCAAGAACAAGTCGGCAACTTTGGAAAACGACTCGAAGTCTTTGGCATCCGAGTGGCCGAACTCACAGGTGATCGACAATTGACAAAGCAACAGATTGCCGATACACAGGTTATTGTGACGACGCCGGAGAAATGGGATGTTATCACGCGTAAAGCTACTGACATGAGTTATACCCGACTTGTTCGATTGATCATCATCGATGAAATCCATCTTCTTCATGATGACCGTGGCCCAGTTCTTGAGAGCATCGTCAGTCGCACCATCCGCAAGATCGAGCAAACAGGAGAGCCAGTACGAATTGTTGGATTGAGTGCCACACTCCCCAATTACCGGGATGTTGCAACATTCCTTCGGGTCAACCCCGAAAAAGACCTCTTTCACTTTGATGGATCCTACAGGCCTTGCCCGCTCCGACAAGAGTTCATCGGAATCACTGACAAGAAAGCTATCAAAATGCTCAAAACAATGAACGATGTCTGTTATGCTAAAGTGATTGAACATGTCGGCACGAATCAACAACAAATGTTGATTTTTGTCCATTCTCGGAAAGAAACTGCAAAGACTGCCAAATACATTCGCGACAAAGCAGTCGAGCTCGAATCAATTGGCCAGATCATGCGGACAGACGCTGGGAGTAGATCGGTGCTGCAAGAAGAAGCCGATGCAGTCAACGACGCAAACCTAAAAGATCTCCTCCCTTACGGCTTTGGTATCCATCACGCCGGAATGGGTGTTGCTGATCGTACCTCGGTGCAAGATCTCTTCGCCGACGGATTTCTACGGGTCTTGGTGTGCACAGCCACCCTTGCATGGGGTGTCAATCTACCAGCGCATACTGTTATCATCAAAGGCACTTCCGTCTACTCGCCAGAGAAGGGCAGTTGGGTGGAGCTGAGCCCTCAAGATGTTCTCCAGATGCTCGGTCGTGCTGGTAGACCTCAATTCGACTCTTATGGTGAAGGTATCATCATCACGGCGCAGTCAGAAATTCAGTACTATCTATCTTTGATGAATCAACAGCTCCCGATTGAAAGTCAGTTGATGAGCAAACTTGCCGACAATCTCAATGCGGAAATTGTACTCGGAAACATTCGAACGAGAGACGAGGGTGTGGAGTGGCTCGGCTACACTTATCTCTTTGTACGCATGATTCGATCCCCTGGTCTTTACAGTGTGGGGACAGATTACGATGATGATGAGACGTTGGAACAGAAACGAGTCGATCTCATCCATTCGGCTGCAGTCGTTCTCGAGAGGGCTGGGCTACTGAAGTACGACAAGAAGACGGGCAAACTGCAAGCTACTGATCTTGGCCGAATAGCCTCCCACTACTACATCACGCACAACTCCATGCTGACATACAATCAAAACCTCCAACCTTCGATCGGGACGGTTGAACTCTTCCGGCTCTTTGCCCTCAGTGACGAATTCAAGTACATTCCTGTTCGTCAGGATGAGAAATTGGAAATGGCCAAACTACTTGGCAGGGTTCCAATTCCTATCAAGGAGGGAATTGAAGAGCCACAAGCCAAAATCAATGTCTTGCTCCAAGCATTCATCTCTCGTCTAAAGCTAGAGGGCCTCGCTTTGATGGCTGATCTCGTGTATGTCACACAATCTGCTGGCCGAATCTTGCGAGCCATCTTCGAGATATGTTTGAAGAAAGGATGGGCAGGAGTGGCAAAGACTGCTCTCGACCTTTGCAAGATGGCCGAAAAGAGAATGTGGCCGACTATGACTCCCCTTAGACAATTTCCAATGTGTCCAAGGGAGTATGTCCAAAAAGCTGAACGCATGGAAGTCCCGTGGTCTGCTTACTTTGATCTGGATCCACCGAGAATGGGCGAACTGCTTGGCCTTCCAAAGGCAGGAAGAGTGGTTTGCGATTTGGTATCCAAGTTTCCTCGCCTTGAAGTACAGGCTCAAGTTCAACCAATGACACGATCCCTTCTTCGAGTTGAACTCGCCATCACGCCAAACTTTGTGTGGGACGAGGTTCTCCATGGCACCTCTGAGTCCTTCTGGATTTGGGTCGAGGATTGTGATGGTGAAGAGATTCTATTCCATGATCAATTTATTCTGCGCAAAGAATTTGCCAGTGGAGAGGCCACAGAGCATCTCGTTGAATTCACGGTCCCCATCACCGAGCCTATGCCGCCTAACTATTTTATCACCCTCACGTCAGATCGATGGATGCATTCGGAGACTAAAATTCCTGTCTCGTTTCAAAAGCTGGTTCTTCCGGAGCGTTTCCCACCTCATACGCAACTCCTGGACTTGCAGCCTGTGCCTGTTCAGGCGCTGAAGGTGAAAGAGTACGTTGACCTTTATCCTAACCTGGACCGATTCAACAAAATCCAGACCCAGGTCTTCAAGTCTTTGTACGATGGAGATGAGAGTGTCTTTGTTGGAGCTCCAACTGGTAGTGGAAAGACCATCTGTGCGGAATTTGCACTTCTTCGACACTGGAAGAATCCAGATGCCGGCAAAGCGGTTTACGTTGCACCTTTCCAGTCACTCGTGGATATTCGTCACGCAGACTGGAACTCTCGATTCGGCGAGCTTGGAGGCGAGAGGACCATTTCAACGTTGACAGGTGAGCTTACCGCAGATCTTCGAATCTTGGAACGATCAGACTTGGTCTTGGCAACGCCATCGCAATGGGATGTGCTGTCTCGTCAATGGCAACGCCGTAAGAACGTTCAAGCTGTGGAGCTTTTCATCGCAGACGAACTTCACATGATCGGGGGAGAAAATGGATCAATCTACGAATCTGTGGTTTCACGAATGCAATACATTCACATTCAACTCGAAAACAAGTTGAGAATCATCGGATTGAGTGTTCCGTTGTCGAATGCGAGAGATGTTGGCGAATGGATTGGGGCCAACAAGCACACGATCTACAACTTCAGTCCTATGGTCAGACCTGTTGGGCTGGAATTGCATATTCAATCATTCTCGATTCCACATTTCCCATCGCTCATGATGGCGATGTCTAGGCCTGCATATCAATCGATTCTGCAACTGTCGCCAGACAAGCCAGCGATCATTTTCGTCCCTGGGCGAAAACAGGTCCGAGCCACAGCTGTCGATATCCTCGCGGCTTGTATCATGGACGACGACGATGAGCGATTTCTCCACACCAATGTCGAGGAACTGCAACCGTTCTTGGAAAGAATCAACGAAAAGGCGCTTGCTGAATCCCTGACCCACGGTATTGGGTACTACCATGAAGCGCTCTCGGTCAGTGACAAGAAAATCGTGTCACATCTTTACAAGATTGGCGCTATACAAGTCATGCTGGCTTCAAGAGATGTGTGCTGGGAAATACCGCTAACGGCACATCTTGTGGTCATTATGGGCACTCAGTATTTCCAGGGCCGCGAGCATCGCTATGTCGACTATCAGATCAATGAAGTGCTTCAAATGTTCGGTCGTGCATGTCGACCAGGCGAGGACAAGATCGGGAAGGGAGTTTTGATGGTGCCGGCTGTCAAGAGGGAATACTATAAGAAATTCTTGAACGAGGCCCTGCCCATCGAAAGTCATCTCCCTCTAACCCTGCACGATGCGTTTGTGACCGAGATCAGCACCAAAACCATCACGTCAACTCAGGATGCCGTTGATTGGACCACCTACACATACTTTTACCGACGATTGTTGGCGAACCCTAGCTATTATGGTCTCAACGATACATCCCATGATGGACTGAGTACTCACTTGTCGGAATTGGTGGAGAATACTCTTAAGGAGCTCTCAGAAGCCAAGATCATCGATCTGGATGAAGAAGACGACTCAGTCTCGCCGCTCAATCCCGCTATGATTGCAGCATATTACAACATTTCGTTCATCACGATGCAGACATTCCTCCTTTCGCTCACGGGCCGAACGAAGTTGAAGGGCATGCTCGAAATTGTAACTTCCGCCACCGAGTTCGAATCGATTCAAATGCGTCGTCATGAAGATCACATTCTCCGGCGTATCTACGACCGAGTACCAGTCAAGATGTCGGAACCAGCATTTGACTCGCCGCATTTCAAAGCGTTGGTTCTTCTGCAAGCGCACTTCTCACGGATGCAGCTTCCCATCGATCTTGCTAAAGACCAAGAGGTGATTGTCTCCAAGATCCTGGCGTTGTTGTCTGCTTGCGTCGACGTCCTGTCTTCAGAAGGACACCTGAACGCGATGAACGCCATGGAATTATCTCAAATGTCTGTTCAAGCAATGTGGGACCGTGACAGTCCACTGCTACAAATCCCCCATTTCGACGCCAAGATCGTCAACATCCTCTCCAAGCATGATGTCAAGGACATTGACGATTTCATGACCGCGATGGATCCAAGCGAGAATCCAGACCACGCCAAGTTGGTTGCCGAGATGGGTTTGACCAACCGCCAACTCGTCGACGCTGCCAATTTCACCAATAACAAGTATCCCAATCTCGAATTTGACTTTGATGTCTTGGACAAGGAAGAAATCACCGCTGGACAACCTAGCCATCTCCAGATCCGCGTGACACGAGACGTCGACGAAGATGAGGATGAGGAGGAAGATTCAGGACCAGCTGAGGTTGACCTGTCTGTGCACGCACCGTTCTATCCTGGTAAGAAACTGGAGAACTGGTGGTTGGTCGTGGCGGAGGAGAAAACCAAGTCTCTGCTTGCGATAAAGAGGGTTACTATTACCAAGAAGTTGGAAACGAAGTTGGAATATGTGGTTCCAACGGCTGGTAAGAAGGATCTTACTTTGTTCCTCATGTCGGATTCGTATGTGGGCGTGGATCAGAGTTTGAATTTTAGTGTCGAGGTGGCGGAGGGAGAAGATGAGGATGAAGACGAGGATGAGGAGGAAGATGATGAATAGGGGAAGAGTGAAAGGGGGAGAGAATTGTTAGAGGAGCCGTCTGTCCACAAATAGACTTTGCTATGGAATCTGTAAGAGTAAATACTCCGAGAGGATGTGATGATCCTTGTTTAGGACCTAAAATGATTGATTGAGTAGGTTTGACAATATGTATGGATTGTTCGAAGATGAAGTTTTCTCCTGTTAATCTATATTATCCCTGTCCATGACTGAGTATTTTGACTGTATGAATAGGCGACGACCTTGATGATCTATTTGATGTAATGTGGTTCAATGTGGTTAGTAATGATGTTATAAAATCTCTGAGAGACATCAACCAACTTCTACCCATAAATCTGAAATCCCTCTCCCCTCTCCCATCCTCCTCCTCTTCTCGTTCTTCTTCTTCCTCACTTCCTCCCCTCTTCCAACTCCTTAATAATCCGATCATTATCCTCCCCAATAGTCGGCACCCTCTCCATCCTGGCCTCCACCTGTGCCGAGAAGCCCGGGGGCAAAAAAGTCTTAATCTTCCCAACCTCCGTATCCACCTCTCTAAACCTATCTCTCGCCAACAATTGTGGATGATTCCACACATCCGGCATATCATTTACCTTTGAATTCGCAATCCCCGCCGTTTCCAACATATCGGTAACCTGATCAGGCGAATAAGCACTAAAAACCTCCACAATGACCTTTTCCAACTCATCTCGATTCTGCGCCCTGGAAGCCGTATCCTTGAATCTGGGATTCGACACTAGGTCAGGTCGTTTGAGCACATCCGTCGCGAGAATCTTCCACTCCCTCTCATTCTGCACACCCAGCATCACCTTTCCACCATTGGGATTCCCCTTTCCGTCACCCGTGGCAAATGGACCGTACGGGTAAATACTGGCGTGACTGGCACCCGCACGTTTCACACGTGATTGGCCTTCATAGGCATAATACAAGGGAAACCCCATCCACTCGACCAGACTTTCAAGCATGGAAACGTCGATTTCACATCCTTTGCCTGTCTTTTGTCGTTGGAGAACCGCCGCCATGATACAGCTGTAGGCATACATCCCGGCCGAAATATCTGCAATCGAACACCCGACTTTGGCCATTTGTTCTTCCGTGCCCGTAATCTCTAGCAGGCCTGCTTCCGCTTGGATTAATAAATCATATGCCTTTTTCTGCGTATATGGTCCCTGATTGCCATATCCGGAAATACTCGCGTAGATTAATTTATCACCGCGATTTTCTCCGGGATACGCTTCATTCATGAATTTCTTCATGTCGGCATATCCAAGACCCATTTTTGCGGCGTCGCCTGGCCGGAGGTTTTGTACGAAGATGTCGGCTTTTTCGGTGACGACTTTATGGAGGAGAGACATGTCGTCGGGTTTTTTGATGTCCAGGGCGAGGGATTCTTTGTTGCGGTTGATCCAGACGAAGTGGGAGCAGAGCGTGTCGCGGACGCGTTTGTCGTGGTGACGTACGAAATCGCCGATGCCGGGGCGTTCGATTTTTATGACGCGTGCGCCCAGGTCGGATAGGTGGCGTGTGGCGAGGGGCATGGAGATGACTTGTTCTAAAGCCACGATGGTGATGCCGTCGAGAGGTCGGGCGTGGGGTGGGTTGAATGCATATTCGGCTTCTGGAGATGGAGATGTAGTGGTGGGTGAAGCTAGCCTTGTATTTCGAGTAGTGCTGAATGGGCGATGGGGTTGATGATTACATATTGATGGTGGAGATGATGATGTAGTTGTCAACAACGGTTTCTTCTCACACGTAAGAATCCTTCTTGACGTCGAGCCCGTAGAGAATCCCACTAGATATTCATTGGCGACAATTTTATTATAACAGCCCCGCCTTGCTGATTGTCCAAGAACCGAGGCGGCCATATTGATGGTTGTGTACTTTTCGTTTTCGAGATACCGAACGGTCAAGAATCGAGAATTGACACCAAGTAGAGTGGCACAGGTTCCAGAATACCTTACTTATTTATAAGAGAACTGTTTATTTATCTCGTGACGTTGTTCCTAGCATCCACTTCAAATTTCGAGACCCGATCTCGCAACTTGACCTGCCCAGTGCACAGCGTGGACTAACCTATCGGGGTCGAAAAGTGTCTGAAAGGTGGAGATTCAAGGGACTTAACAGGTCCGACTTGAGTTCCGAGAAAAACTTACGATAGGAGAAATGATGGAAATGGGCGTATAAAGTTGCCCCGATTTCGGTGGTTTCCGTTTGGGGGCTCAGCTCTTGCAGTTAAGAGCTCGTACTATTCAGAGAGTTACTCTCGAGGAGTGGTTAATATATTTGTTACAGAAAAGGAAAATTGGAGACTTGATGCGGGGAAAATCTGCCGAGGCTGAGAAGTGGAAAGGGAGCTTTCAAAAAGTAAGGCACGTGAGGAAGTTGGCAGGTCGGAGGCATAAGCATCTATAGTGTCCAATTCATAGGTTCATAGCCGTTCTTCTGTCCTTCGATGGCAAATGTGATATATCATAGACGTTAGAATTGACTCTCGCCTTACCCCTTCAATTCTACTCTGTTCTACTCCCACCCTTATTTCCCCTTCTTTACCAACGACTCATCTACACTCCCAGACAACTCAATAGTCTCTGGACCATCCGTCGATTGCTTTCCAACCGCAACCTTGACTTTGACCGCTTCTAACTTCCATTCCATACCAGGATATGAATCACTGAGAACGACAATATCAACGATGACAACAGAGTCCACCTGTTCTCTTCCTAATCCAAGTTCCTCGACCGGCACACGCAATTTGACATGACTGACACCAGAGACTTGATTCACACCTCGGCCGGTCTTAGAGACCGAGGGCCAGTTGGCGCGTTTCAAAGCCAGAATATCTCTGGTAGTCATATTCACCGCTGTGGTAGAGGAGGTTGCAGCTCCGGGTGGAAGGGCTAGGACGAAAAACCCTTCGGTTTGTGGCTTGGGAAATTTTGGAGCGTGGATTCGGGCTTCTGAATCAATGAACTTATTGCCGCGTTTGATGCTTACACGTAAATTATCGGTCGTGCTGTCTGGCGCAGCGGAGATGGTCAGGTCTGGAAGCGTGTTTGCCGCCTTGATAAATTGTGACCGGGTACCTGTGGCGCGGATGTGTAAGAGGTTCAGTAAACCATCAAGGGTCTTGGGTCCGTGGCGGGATGCAAGGACAGCCGTGGTGACGAGATCACTAGGCACTTTACCCTCGAGCTTGGGATCTGCAATCTCACTGACTCCAGGGAGGATACTGAGAGGGTAGTCCTCTGGCCAACGCGCGGATTTGATGCATTGCAGCAGCCGCACCATTTGTAGAACAGCATCAAGCTTGTTCAACTCTGTCATGAGATCAATTCCAGCCTGGATGATTCGAATCCCTTGGTCAAGTACACTGGTTTGGTCTCCAACGTAGTCGGTGATCGGCAGATCGATGCGCGACATGAACGCCTGCAGTAGTAGGAATGCCTTAACATGCGGGTCCCACAGAGGCAGGCCATCTAGAAGGCCCACCGTGTCTAATGGCAGATTCTTGGCCAGCTCGGCATTGATCAGGTCTTCGTTGTGCCGAACAGGAAGGTCATCAAACTCGGTTGCTGAACTCACCCACGCAAGAACATCGGCAAAGGTTGTCTGTCCAGGTGGCGTCTTACGGGCCTTGGAGAGAAATTTCCGAATTGTCAAGTGTGAAAGGTAGTAGTAAGACATGATCTTTCCGAACGGCGTACTGTCAATATCCCCGTTGCTGTGCACCAGAACACAATCACTGTCGGCAAGATCGGCCACTGACTTGTCCACGAGAGTGATCATGTAGTCTGCTGCGAGTTGACGTGCGGCAAGCTGACTCTCCTTATGCTCTTCAGCCGAGATCTCCAGTCCATAGTAGGTCGGGTTCTTGTGAAGACGGCGGAAGAAGAATGTCCATGTCAGATAATCGAGGGCGTCTTGCTTAGTGGTGATGACTCCTGCAGAAACCTCGGCTCCCAAATGGTTGTCGAGCACTTTGTGAAGAGAGCTTTCCACAGGGAATCCAGTATGGAGGAAATGCTTGTAAAATGCCTTCTTCGAGTCTTGGGTGAAAATCCGTGCAATTCCTGATGTGTCGAATTGTGGCCGACCTGCGCGACCGAGCATTTGTAGAACATCCGTCAAATCCATGTCCTTGTATCCCTCGATTTTGGCATCAAAATACTGTGTGCCTTTAACAACAACCAGATGGGCGGGCAGATTGACTCCCCAGGCAAGTGTGGACGTAGCAACCAATATTTGGATCTTGTTTGCAGCAAAAAGCTGTTCGGCCATGGTACGATCCGACTCGACGAGACCGGCATGATGCAGACCGATACCAAAGCTCAGAGCTTCCTTGAGTGCAGCATCCTTCACCGCTGCAAGTGTATGGCTAAGATCGTCTTCGGAATCAAAATGGAGAAATCTTCGAGGGTCTTCTTCCATGCCACAGAAATTGATCAAATCTTTGGCCGTAAGTCGAGTCTGTCTTCGCGATGCCACAAATACGATGACCGGCTTGTCCGGGCTATGGTTCTTGATTGCCAGGTATGTAGGCCGGTTCATGCTCTGCATCAAGGGACAGAAGCCTCTTTGCTCTGGAAAGCCGTCGATGTAGATTTCCAGAGGGACAGGCCGGACGCTGTGACGGAAGTTGAATAGACCCTGATTGTTTCCAGGTTTCACCCCTAACCAGTTTCCCAAATCAGTTGCGTTCGCGCAAGCGGTCGACATGCCGACCAATCTGATGGAGCCAGATTCGGCTTGAGATGCAATGTAGTTCATTCGGGAAACAATGATCTCCAGAATAGGACCACGATCCCCACCAAGAAGATGGATTTCATCAATGATGACCAACGACACTTGTCGAACGTAACCTCTGGTCTGCCATGATCGGGAAATACCGTCCCATTTTTCTGGGGTAGTAATGATGATGTCTGCGTCACGAATGGTGCGAGTGTCGGGAGTATTGTCACCAGTCAACTCAACAAGCTTGAGACCTAATGGGCCGGTCAGACGTTTTCGCCAGTCCTGAACTCTTTCGCGAACGAGAGCTTTCATAGGAGCAATATAGACAACCTTGCTACCAGGCCGCTCCCGAAATGCCCACCACATAGCAAGTTCAGCAGCAACCGTCTTGCCAGATCCTGTGGGAGAACCGAGTAACACGTTGTTGGAAGTGTGGTATAGGGTATGAAAGATTTGAGTCTGCATGGGATTGAAGAACTTGAACCTTTGACCATACAACTCCTCTAGAGCTGGGTTCTTGAGAGCATTGATCGGAAGTGGTTGAAGATCGAGAAGATCAGTGTACACACTCTCAGTGTCTGGACGGATGAGATGCTGGAATGAAACAGGCTGCACCGTCTCTGCGCCCATCCAACGGTCCGATATCACTCGCACATAAATTTGTGATGGGAGTGGATCAGCGAGAGGAATGGTGAAGTTGAGTTCATGGCTGTCATGCATCTTCTTCCGACTGAGGATAAAGTATTCATGATGATATATATCAGACGAGTCGGAATTTTCCACCCAGACCCAATAAGCCTCTGATGTCCCATGATGACGGTCATTCCACGCGAACTCCGGGTAGAGATAAAGTCTCATGCGAAGGACATCTCGATTTAGAGGTGCGATTTCGGCCTCGACAGACATGGTAGGAAAGTTGTCAAGCAGCTTGGATATCGTCTTGCCGACCTTTTGGTTGTGGACGAGATTGCCTATCTCTGCTGGCTCCATTTCTCGCAGGCTCTCGATGTTTGAAGACGGAGATTTGTCATCCAGATTCTTCAGGACCGAAAGGGGTAGATCAAACTGATGAAAGGGGTGCTGAAATGGCCAAATCTGTTTCTCGATCGCTTTGCACATGGACAGCAATACTTGACATTGATAGCCCCAACCCTTATTAAGGGCGATCATGAAGAGAGCTCGACAGATTCGAGCCGCGTTCTGGGCAACGTAATTCAGATCCGACACCAAAGCGAAATCCTCGAGTTTGGCCCGAGAGATGTAAGATTGTAGAAGAATGTTTGTCTTTGCATGGTTCTCAATGATCTTCTGCTCCTTTTCGTCTTCAGACTTTTGCTGTGGGCCTTTGCGGTCTTCAATCTCGGTCACCACGGACTCCTTTCGAAGTCTGCTCAACTCTCCGGCCTCGTTCTCTCTGGATTGGATATTGTCAAATTCACCACTCATACTGATCATCTTCAGAATATCTGCTTCACTTGCATGAGGTCGCATCATAGTATTAAAGATCTCAATACTGGTTTGGAGGACGTAGAATTGACTAGCAATACGGCCCACGTCTTTAGAGCGAAGCTCGTCCGTCTTCTCGTTGAAGATGATCATCTGACTTCGGTGTAATGTTCTAGCGGCATCAATAATCAACTTTCGTCGTCTCTGGCCAAGTTGTGGATCGTCTTGATATTCATTCCAATCAATGCCATATGCCTGTGGGTTTCGACGCATACGAACAAACAGATACGAGTAACCGAGCCAGGTGATCGCCTCAGGCACCGAGGTGACGGTCCCGAGACTGATTTCGGCGTTCAAATTGTCCACAAGGCGCTGAGAGAACTTTGACTCGATAGGCTGTTGTTGAGTGACGGCAGAAAGATAATGTTGTAATTTTTCATGAACAGTCAAGATATAACCAATACCACTGTCCTGGAATTGTGGACGACCAGCACGACCAAAGATTTGCAACACATCGAGGATACCCAGATCGATGAACTTTCCAGCCTCAGAGCTATACAGTTGAGTACCCTTGATGATGACGGCGGCGGCAGGCAAATTGACACCCCACGCCAACGTGGCAGTACAGCACAGGACTTTGATGGCACCGTCGGCAAAGACTCGTTCAACGAAATTTCGATCAGTTCGAGCCATCCCAGCATTGTGACAACCAAAACCTTTGGGGATGATGTCTCGGAGTTCTCGACCACGAGTTGTTTTGAGATCAGTCATAGCTCTTGAAAATGCAGGATCATCTGGATTTGGTACAAAGAGATCAGCACAGCCATCTTCGACTGCCAGAGAGTATAGAGTTCTCGCAGCAAGGACGGTGTCCTTTCTAGAATGGACAAACACCATGACCTGCTTGTCCTGCTTGAGTAATTCTTTGACCTTTTCGAAGGTGGTATGGTCAAGATTGTCGCGTTGTGTCTTGCTGCCAGGTTTGCCTTTGACGCCAACGAAATGCTGTTCCAGGGGTACAGGGCGGAACGAAGCGTCAAAGTAGAAGAGACCGGCCATACGATTGACCTTGAGGAAATCTGCGACGTCAATGTAATTGGGCAAGGTGGCTGATAGACCGACAATTCTGATCAGAGACTGAGTACTTTCGACTTGTCTTTCGGTACGGGCGACCAGAGACTCAATAACAGCACCTCGTTCATCGTGCAACATATGAACTTCATCAATGATGAGTAGTCGGACTTTCTGAACCAATTCGGTGTCGCCGGTACTTTTGCGGGTGACGACATCCCATTTCTCCGGGGTGGTGACGATGACTTGAGTGGCGGCGATTTCTTTCTTGGTCAATTGCATATCTCCAGTCAATTCACGGACTTGAATCCCAAGCCATGCCAGACGAGATCCTAATTTTGCGGTGACTTCAGCGGCCAGTGCCTTCATGGGAGCAACATAGATAATCTTGAAGTCATCGGCCATGACGATAAAGTCCTTGGCGTCGGGCTCATCGATGGGGTTCGGGATAACGTTCTTGGAGATGGCTTGTAGGATGGTCAACATGGCGGCATCCGTCTTGCCGGCACCTGTTGGAGCACAAACGAGCATATTTTCACTGGTGTGATAAGCGACGGGATAAAGGAGACTTTGCATGCGATTGAGGCTCTTGTAACCTTTGAATGTTTGTTGACATAGACCATCCATTTCGGATATGTTGACGAGTTTCTGGCCGATAGCCAAAGTACCCGTCTTTGCGGCTGGGATGGAATATTCTTCATATTTGGCGTGCTCAGTTCGACTAGTTCCCATAGGCAGGGCAAACCTCCGACCAGAAACGTCGAGCATGTTTCCGGCTGCAGCATATTCGGATTTATAGACATGAGGGTACTTGGGACCACTTCTATCAAAGGCTGGGGCCAAGGTAGCATGCTTGTGGTCATAGTCCTGCTTTCTGAGGGAGGCTTCACGGTCTTGACGAGACTGAAGGCCTTGGAACAAGCCATCAGTCTGGTGTGTCGACGGTAGACTGGCGGCGATGATTTCTTTGCGGTGAGAGATTAGTTCTATAACAAAATCTAGGTCGTCATAACCAAGGATGTCGGCCAAGGACATTTGCAGTTCGTCGTCGGTGGAGTCGGAGGCGAGCAATGCAGAGATCTGGTCTTGCAGGTCGGAAGCATGGATGCCTGGTCTGGTTTTGGCAAAGGCAGCACATCTTTTACTCAACCATGACCGGTCAAAGGCATTGCCAGGAGGTTGGATGCCGTCGAAGTCATGGTCGAAATCGTCTGTGGCGGGACTCTGATCGAAATCGCCGTCAAGGTCCCAGATGTCGTCGTCGAGGCCCTCACTGGAATCAGCGTCGAGATCCAAGTCGGAGCCATATATTTGAGAGTCATCTGTGAGAGGTGGCAATTTCAGGTTGGCAATTGCCTGTCTCATGGCAGAGACTTGTTGGAGCCATTGTGCTTCTGACTGGAAGGTTGACTGAGTCATGATGGAGGATGGGAGAGGGGGAGATGTTTGGTGAAGGGTTCTTGAGTTGCTGGCAATTTTTCAAGGCATAGACTGGGCCATGAGAATGTACTCAGGATGTGCTGACAGTCATATAATGTGTCGATGACTGGCAGAGGGTGTGTGAATTGAGCCCAGAAATTCCTTCCATTCAAATGATGTGCGATGTTGGAATTTGTCACAGGGAATCTGATGACGGAAGGAGGGGCGGAGGCGGAGGGGAGGGGAATCTATGCGGAGGCTTTAGACACCGTGGGCGCAATTAGGTGTGTTTAGGTGGGTGGGGGCTACTCCAAAGACCTGTTAGGGGTGATCCTTCCACCTATTCGCCTTTCATGGCGCCTAAATGTTAGCGCATGGCAGCCTGGAGAGTCTACGACATGCCACCCAAACCACTGTCCCCCTGTTTATTCCTGATGACATGTGACGTCTCCCAACCTCCAATCGTCCCAATTCATCCTCCAACCAAACACGGTCAAAGACAGACTGTCAATCGAATTATCAACTATCGCAACCCCAGGCTGTCACAATTACCATACTCTTTGTGTCTCACATTTGAACCCGTCTATCCACCGACAAAGACCTGGTCCGTTCAACTCGATTCTTCAGATCACTCATAGCAATTCACACCGGTCTTCGCATCCCTCCTAATCTCATCCCCATTTCCTCACTCACCGCCACCATGAAGATCTTCTACATTGGAGTAAGCCAACACTATTCCTCTCCTCCTTTACTGAGATACACATATTAACACTATGACAGATTCTCCGAAATGACCCAGTTCCCGCGATTGAGCTGGCTGTGGAACAAGACCTATCCTCATTCTCACGGTTCACCAGACAGAGGTAACTACACAGAAACCAAAACCCGCAGGGACACACACGCGCGATCCTAACACTCTTCTATAGCTACAGCGAATTCATGACCATGTTCGCCAAAACCGTGGCGGAGAGAACACGAGCCGGCGTACGACAAGACATTGAAGAGCGACAACACACGTTCCACGCCTATGGATCATCACAGGGAATTGCAGGCATCATTATTTCGGACGCCGAATACCCCGCCTTAGTTGCTCATCAACTCCTTTCGAAGATTGTCGACGAATTCACATCCCAGAACCCTCGATCCTCGTACGCTCCACCGAGTACCTCGCCAAAGCCGTTTCCGCAGTTGAAGGAATATTTGACGAAATATCAAGATCCAAATCAGGCGGATAGTATCATGAAGGTGCAGAGGGAGTTGGATGAGACGAAGATTGTGTTGCATAAGACGATTGAAAGTGTTTTGGAGAGAGGCGAGAAGATTGATTCGTTGGTGGCCAAGTCGGACGGTTTGAGTGCGCAAAGTAAAATGTTTTATAACCAGGCGAAGAAACAGAATTCATGTTGTGTGTTGATGTGAGGGGAGAAACTGGAGATGAATGGGGGAGTATCTTCCTGGAGAGAATCAATGTGTTGTGTTTTTGGTGGAAGCAGGCGTGTTGGGAATGAAATGGGACAGCACAGGACAGGACAGGCTAGGACGAGAGTTGAAAGGTGAAGAATGAATACATAGGGCAACAATAAAGATTGGAATTACAAGACACAGGACTCGAGACATCCATGATATGATTATCATTTATTTATCACCATCTTCCCTCTCCGCCAACTTTAGCAACCTCTCCCCATCAACCCTCATCCCCACCCACTCCTCCATCCTCGTCGCACCAACACTCTCACCCTGATAGAATCGAATACTCGGCTCGTTCCACTTCAACACACTCCACTCCAGCCTCCGACATTCCAAACGAGTACATTCTCTCGCCAGAGCGCGGATCAACGCCGTGCCATACCCTTTACCTCTATATTCCGGTCGTACGAATAGGTCCTCGAGGTAGATTCCCGGTGCTGAGCGCCAGGTGCTGTAGTTGTGAAAATATAATGCCATGCCGGCGGGGGCGCCGGTGTGAGGGAGTAGGAGGATGGTTTTGGCGTAGCCGGGTGTGAAGCCGCCGTTACTATCTGGGAAGGAGAGGGTTGATAAGAGAGACGATTCAGTGGCTTGGACTTCGTGGAGGGCGTGTTCGTAGGTGGCTAGTTCGTTGATCATGGCGAGGATAGTGGGGATGTCGGATTGAGTGGCGTGCCGGATTGTGTAGTCGGGGGTGGTGAGGGCGGCCATTTTGGATGAATGGAGATGGGGGATGGGAGGATGGGAGAGTAGAGTGAGTAGTAGAGTGGTGGTAGTGGTGGAATGGAAGTCGAGGTTATATCGAGTAATATAGCGCTATAATATTGACAATTGAGTTTGATATGCAGATCTAAAAACTTTGACACAACCTCGGAGTAAGTATTTGTTGAATCGGGCTTTTGAGAATTGGTGGAGGATTATATACATTAGAATTTGCCGGCTTGAGTCGGGGGAGTACTGAATAAAAAACGTCAAAATACTAGGCGCGCCTTGTAGATCAAAGGGCGTGGAATCTGGAATCATCAACGGGAACATTCTGTTGCAGAATTTGACGGCAAAGAAGATGATTATTTTTTATATAATTCCGTGGATCCAGCGACTCGAGATTCACTTCACGGAACGAAAACACCAATACCAAAATTGTACAAGTAGGACATGATCATTCAACCTATTCTATATGTCATGACCATCTTTGTACATTACAATAGCATCTTTTTCTTCTCTGGACTCCTGCTTCGAGATCGATGTTCCTTGCTTGGACTTCTCTGATATCCAATGGCTTGTTGTCCTTCATCACGCTCACCATGCCATCCCATAAAAGGCTGTTGCCCATATGGCAGGCCTGGTGACGCCATGAAATGTCCAATATTTGCAGCTTGTTGTCCAGGATGCATGTATGAGCCTGATGCCGGTCGATATGCATAGCTTTCTTGCTGTCGTCGAAACGAGGTAAAGGTCCAGTTGTTGACCAAAAGACCTACGACCACCATTGTAATAGTAAACAACCTAGATATAAATTAGTCTTGATAACACCAACATTTGAACCCTGGCGCAACTCACATGGTCTTCAAACTAATTGGCTCCACAAAACTGTTAAAGATCTCGGCAAATGTATGTGCACTGAGCCTGGCTCGCTTCACCGCCGAAGGGTCTCGGTTCATGCACAGCTCCCAGTTGGTACACACTGTTTCCAAAGCAGGTAGCCTCGTATCTGCCGCACATCGATTTTCAATGTAATTCTTGGAGCACGTGGCCATCTCAGCCAACACTTCGGCCATGGCATCATCACTGGCTCGATCCACGTCGGCTCGAATGGTGGCATAGAAGGACCAAAGCATGTACAGACATGCACTAAGGATGGCGGCGTTGAAAAAGACCTGTAGATATTTGGCAATGATTGAAGGGGCGTCCGGATATGTGTGGAGAAATGTAAACAATCCCGTCATCCATCCGACTTCTTGGACGGGCGGTTTCTTGTCGTGGGTTGGACTGGGTAGAGGTTCATCGTCACTATCGTCTGCACTCTCTCTTCGTCCAAGAACCAACTGTCGGTCAAATTTTTGGGCTTTGCGACGCTTCTTGTGGATGCGTTTGGCTATGGCATCGCTAGTAGGTTTACGGATTTCGCCTCGGCCTGGACTGGGTGCAAATCTCCCATAAAAGCCAAACAGGGAGTTTCTCTTCTTTTCCTTGACCGGGCTACTCTTGAATTCATAGGGTAGAGGTTTGCCGTCGGGGGTATCATCATTGTCGGTGGGAGCTAGAGGCGATGAGTTCTCAGGGCCAGAAGAGAAATCAATGTCAAATGGTTTTCGCGGAGTGGTGAATGACGACGCTCTGAATGGTGAGGTTGTTGTAGGTGTGGGAGGAGCATTTGAGAAGAAGTATGGCTGGTTGTTGGGTTCGCGGAGGGCAGGGAAAGCAGGTTTCTTGGGCGACTCGAATTCGCGATGTGTCCCTGAATGAATATATTAGATGGAATAGATGTTTATCTTTATGTCATGCGGGCTTACTCTTCTTTGCTTGAGCGTCCATGATGTGTTTGTGGAATGGGGAGGTTGGGTCGACAGGACCATGGGCTTGCCACTCAAAGTCCATGGGACTTTCCGTGCCTCGGAAAGCCATGATGCGAGTGGGAGAGAGATAGTGAGGGTAATGGATGGGAGAGAGGAAGAGAGAGTTGTAAATTGTGGCCTGTGGTCAACATCCAAGGCAGTCAACGAGGTAACGTGAGAGGCAGAGACCAGGTCGCCAAGGAAAAATAAACAAAGCATTGCGCCTTCCTCTACTCCGTAGGTACACTTCTGCACCTTCCCGGAGGTTGCAGGCTGCAGGTAATTAATTAGTAAGGCTCTAGGGTGCATCTAATCTTATCACCCAGACTTTGGCCTAAATTCATCCTCACTCCTTTGGTACGGTGTGCTGGGTACTCATCACTTTGCCATGATGAAACGAATTGATTAATATCATAACACACGGGTATTCATGGCCCGAGAACAATCCGAAGAAGCCCAGTGGTGGTTTCAAGCAGTCTATGAGGCAATCCAGCAGATTCCCCGTGGCAAATGTACGTCTTATGGACATATTGCCTTGTTATTAGGATATCCTCGACGCGCACGCCAGGTCGGAGTGTGTCTCAAACATCTCCCGACTTATGACCCCAGTGATCCGGACAAGTTCTTCTTTCATAATAACAACGTCCCTTGGCAGCGGGTGGTTAATTCCAAGGGTGGAATCAGTTCACGAGGAGACGATGGACTAGGGGCGAATCGGCAAGCTGAAAGATTGAGACAAGAAGGAGTCGAAGTTCAAGAGGCAAGAGGGATTGAGGAGCTGCACATTGACTTTGGGCGGTTTGGCTGGTTTCCCAATCGACTACCTAATGACTCCAGTGACGATGAGATCAAGGAAGAGGATGAGTCATAGGTGCTCAGCAATTACGAGGAGTCATTTACTATGGGTGTTGATGCATATGGTGCCTGGCGTGATCAAGCCAACTGTAGGTGTTGCTTGAGAAGGGTTATTGAGTGGTCAATGTGGGCTGGACATGGTATGGGTTGAGGGAAAGCACTGGGACAAGAGACGGGCATAGAAGACACAACCTGGCAACAGCAACAGTCTCTCTCCGGTCTAGAGTACCTGAATTCCTCCTAACCTGGACTGCCTACAGCCATGGAAATGAATGAACTATTTCACTAAGAAATTGCAAGGGCTAAGCTATCTCAATGGACTGTCCAACACGACCGACTTTCCAGCTGAGTCCTCGTTGACGCTGGACCCAACGGGAAGATAACTCCGTCCTTGCCATGTGTGGCAACAAACGTGGTCATGCTGATCATTCTCATGGCGAAGCTTGGACCATGGACAGGAATGATGACATGGATGACATGGATGATCTGTTGAATGTCTGGATGAATTGTGAGGTGTGCGTCACATGGATGATGGGAGGGTGTGAATGAGGTCATCTGTTAAGAGAGGCCCTGGGGGCAAGGAATGAAGTCTGGGGGCCACGGGGTTGTAGCCTTGGCTGGGAGCACCTGAAAGGCGGTCCAAACCGGGTATTATCGTCATCGCTGGGTAGTGTTCCAGGGCATTGGGGGGCCATGCGTGCCTAACGAGCCCGAGGCAGCGGATACTTGGAGCTGACTTCCAGGATCTCGGCCTCTCTTATGACGACCAATAACTGCACCCACGTTTTGGTCATGTGTTGTTGACTGCGCCATTCCTAAAGCAAGAGGAGAGTTTCAAGCTCGGAAGGTCCGAGGTCCAGATTTGATGAAGCTTCGTTCGGTTCCTGGACCAATCTTGCAGCTTGCAGCCAACACGAACGCCTTAGGGATGGTTGTGACTGGTGCCATTCATTGCTACTGGTGCCATTCATTGCTACTGGTGCCTTGATTGTCCTTATCCAAGCCCCCACCACCCAGCAATCAATACTGATGACACACTCGGACTCATTCTTACTGATTCTGACTACGGACCAGGTACATTCATACTCCGTAGACGCCCAACCTAATCCAAGCTTCAGGCACGCGCCTTCTGCATATGGTACTCTCTGCTCCTTCCGTTGGATTGCCTATCTCTTCTCCATCGCTCTTTCTATTCCTGTCCCATGTGGTTCGTCCACAGCTGCATGGCGTTTGCACGGCATGGCTCGCACCTTCCAATCATGAATGATTCAATCTGCCGGTGCCTTCCAGTTTGTCTTGTCCTCATCCCCCTCCTCCCCTGCTCCTCACTTTCCTCCCATCCCCATCTACGCCATCTCAATCTCCCCCACCTGATATCGTCACCCGGTTTCAAGGCGTGACTCGCTCTGACACTTGATACTCTACTATATCCATCATCTCAACTCCCTTGTGCCGATACCATCTCCCTCTCTCCATCTTATTGACACCCTTTTGAACCCTCTGACATCGTGCACATACCATCTCTCATTCATTTCTTTGTTGAATCACTCCCTTCTCCGTCACCACCAACGGTAGTACCTGTCACCTCGGTTTCCTTTGTCCTGTCTTATCTTCCACTACCTTCCATCCCACCAACCTCAACGCCACCACCTTCCTCAAGTCGACTCAACGCGTCCTTACTCACTCTATCTCCCTCTGCATCACTCATCAACCCCTACAAGAGTGCTTATCCCTAATATTCTCAACACGTACACCTCGACAGTCTCCTCTATCTCCTCTTACTCCTCTATCATGTCTTCCAACTCCACAAACGATCTACGCAGCAGGGCCAAGTCCTACCAGCGAGACAAGAACCACAACGCCAAATGGGCTCGGGGTGTCAAGCAACCTTTTGCTCAGAACCTCCTCTGCACCCAGCACGCCGATCCTGATCCAGCCTGCGCCAAGTGCATTGGACGCCCTGCTCGTCGGGGTGGTCCTAAAGGCGAGGCTAGGCTGCGACAGATTGAACAACACAAGCTGAGCAACCATGCTTCTACGCTGGCACGCAAGGCTTTCCGAAATGAGGTGGTGGACGCCATGGACGGTCCATTAGCACATGTCTCAGACACCTCATCTGGCGATGAGGATGTTTTGGACGCGTCTGAAGCCCCCATCCCTGCCGATGCGGACTTCCTGTACAGTTACGACCGATCTGGCCCCCGGGCCGGTCAAGACGTTCTCAGCCACGCAATAACTCAAGCTGTCCGTCGATTTGAAAACACAGAAACTGAGAAGTTGGTCAACAACGAGTATGATGTCGTCACCGATAAGGAAGCCATTGGAGGCTATACTGCTGATGACGATGAACACGACTTTGAGATGATCGAACACTCTCATTTGAACTGACTGCCTTGCATTTCAACTTGTCAACCTCTTATTGATTGTCACGGTTGATTTTATGGCTTTTTGTAATTCTGCCACCCGCCACGCGTGGTGTTATGATTCATCAAGATACCCCAGGGATTCATTAGGGAAGCAAGGCGTTACTACATAAACAAGCCACCGGCGCTTCTTGAGGATATGAACGGCCCTTGGAAGAGGCACGCACTCCCGATGAGGTCCATTCCGGGATGTGTCTGAGTTTGGTGTTGGGCGTTGAATATCATACAGTATTACATGGTATCTGAATATCCACAGAATGATTCATCCATAGAGTTTCTGTGAGACTCGTTGTCTTTGTCCAAATCCAACATCAAATGCTTGACATGTGACGCGTCCAGATCATAACAACCATGACGTCAATTATTATGCAAATGTGCAAACTTGACAAACACGACAAACATTTCACCTAGCCATTCTGAACCACATCAAATAATTCCTGACTTTGACTCGACTCGATATATAACAACAATTATTTCCCCCGTCATTCTTGCACCTTGTACACTGGCTTCTGTCGATGTTTAACGACTATACACACGCAGCGCATTGATACTGATTTGATCAGACGAGGATGCGATGACAATTGCTGCTACTGGCTAGGCCAACACCACATCATCACCTTTTCCATTACCTCCCCTCTCACCTAGACCATGGCTCCCGCAAACCTCGCCGATTACCTGGCCAAAAACTATCTCAATGCCTCTTCCTCCACCAAATCCGCCTCCGACCCCAACTCTAATTCCGACTTCCTCGAGTCGTCCCGACCAAAGAAGAAGCGGCGCAAGAATAAAGACCCCAACAGCGAAAATACTGGGCTTCTAATAGCAGACGATGACGCCGACCTGACATTACGCACGGGAGGATCATCCCGCAGAAAGGGCAATGATGACGATGACGATGACAACGACACGCCCATCTACGCCACGTCCGCACCATCCGCCGAGTTTCGCAAAAAGAAAACAACCTCATGGAAAGTCATCGACGCCCCTTCAAACACCAACGCCAACACCGACGACGCCGAAGCCGAACGTATCATATCTGAAGCCGCCGCCGAATCTGCCGCTCGACGCCGTGAAATCGACGATGAAGATGCACCCGCCGTCGTCGACATTCCTCAGGAAACATCCCAACCACGCATGCAATCCGGCGCACGAGCAGGTTTACAAACCGCCGCCGATACAGCTCGACTCGAGGAAGAAGAACAGCAACGACGCGCAGCAGAAGAAGCACAAGTCGCCGAAGAAAAGCGGAAATCCCGCAAATCGAAAAAGAAACACGATGGAGACGATGATGTTCCTGAAGAAGAACAAACCATCTATCGAGACGCCACAGGTCGACGTATCGACTTGACATTAAAACGAGCGGAAGCACGGCGCGCTGAACTCGAGAAAATCGCCGCCGAGAAGAAAGCTCGCGAGGACGCCATGGGTGATGTCCAACGTCGCCAGAAAGAGGAACGAAAACAAGAACTTGAAGATGCCAAATTCCTCACGCTAGGCAGAAGTGCTGATGACCACGATATGAATGAACAATTGAAAACAGTCGTTCGATGGGATGATCCTATGGCGGCATATATGGCGTCTAAGAGGGCAGAGGAAGGAGATGATGTTGCCGATGGAGATGGAAGAGCCCGGAATGGAAAGGGGGCTGTGACTAAGGGTGGTAAAACGAAGACTGTACAGAAGAAGGTATATCAAGGTTCAGCGCCACCTAATCGATATGGTATCTTACCTGGTTGGAGATGGGATGGTGTTGATCGAGGTAATGGATTTGAAAAGGAATGGTTCCAAGCACGTGGTCGGAAGGCTAGGAATGAGGATTTGAGTTATCAATGGCAGATGGATGAATGATGGTTTTACTTATTGATCTGACCATATGGTCTCTGTATGGCCAGTGAGCATTGGTTCAAGTTCCCTGTCTTGATAGGCGAGTTTAACAATAAATTCAAGATCAATCCGATACATCAAGTCTCTTTTTCCTAATCACTATTCATAACCTACATTATACCCCCCGCTTTTTTCCTTCTCTGTGTTTACCCCTGAACCCTCATGAACCATAAACTCATCACATCATCATCTCATTAACTTCGAGTCCTAAAATCCCCCTCCAACGGCATCAAGTTAACTTCCCACCCATCCTCATCAACCTCCGCCCCCGCTACTCTTCCCACCACACAGTGAAACCTAGCTTGGACTTCTGCATTCGGCCAACCATCCTCTCGTCGATGGACTTGATCCAAATGAGCCATGAAACTCGCTACGTTGCCGAATGTGGGTGTGAGATTCATAGACATCGTCTTGTTTGTGGTTGATTTTGGAATAGGATTGGATGACCAAGTGGGAGCTGGTCCAGTGGGTCCGTTCGACGTGTTCGGTCGTGTAGGCGGACGTGGGAATGATGATGGCGATAGAGGGATGGGAGGGATAGGGATAGACGATGTTTCTTCGTTGGCTTCAACAGCGGCTGCTGTAGCAGCAGCAGCAGCGTTCTTCGATGCACTGCTTCGTCCGATTTTGATGAGTGAGATATTAGCTCGGATTTTGCTTTTGGATTTTGGGGTTTTGTTGGCGCTGATTGTTGTCGTTGAAGGAGGGTGTTGATCGATAGATGAAGAAGTCATTGAAGAAGACATTACTTCACCGATACTGTCGTTAGACTCCCTTTTGATACCATGGTCATGACCATGATCTTTATCCTTCATCTCATTAGGATCCCTAACCCACCCCCTCGCCCTCCCCTCCACCGCACAAAAAATACACGCAAAACTCCCCACTTCGCCACTATGACCCTGAGGCGTATCGAACGGGACCATTCCTTTCAATGGGACATGACACTTAGCTAGAAATGCCCATTTATATCGAATGGCGATAGGGGCATCCATATCACCTCCATTGGCATTACCATTAGCATGACCATTGGTATGACCATTCATCTTACCACCAGAAGCTGCATCCCAACTCGGTCCATTGGTAATACTTCTTGCAATTCGTATTCTTGGATCGAATTCCTTGATTGGTCGCCAAATTGGTTGGAGTTGATTATGCTGATGAGATTGCTGCTTCTTCCCACGATCAGATCCATGCGTCATTATCGTCGACATGTGTACAGGTCCTTGGAAATTGCATTTGCTACATCGCCAGTATGGCATCATGGATGCATATCCGACGGGGCGATTTGCAGGTATGAATGCTTTGGTGGCGAGGCCGATTTGGAGGCGGAATGCGCCTTTGCAGAAGCCGAGGAGGTTGTGTTCCGTGGGGAGGGTTGGTGCGTAGTCTAGTGTGGTGGGTATGGGTGTTGCTATTGGGACCGCTGTTGCGATGGCTGTGACTGTTGTGATTACGGATGAGGATGATGATGAGGAAGATGAGGATGATGATGATGTTGGTTGTGGTTGTGGTGGGACAGCGGCTGGTGCTGATGTGGTGGAATGTGATCGATGTCGTGAATGTTGTCGCGAATGTTGACGTGAATGGTGCCCTGGACGAGGGGGAGGAGGAATACTCGGCGGTGGTGGTGGATCTGGAAATGAATATGGATATGTATGTGGTTGTGAGTGTGTTTGAGTAGAATATATTGACCTAGTTGATGTTGATGTTGCTGTTGCCGTCGATGTCCTTGTAGTCGACGACGAATTCAAATTCAAGTCTATACCAAGATCCAAATCAAAATCCAATGGCGGGAGAGGATTACTAGTTGGTGAAAAAGGTCTTGTCATCGTCATCGTTGAACGAGAAAGATTTGGTACCGACGCTGAAGCCACTGCTGACGATGGCGCCACATATGGCAACGACGGAGGAAGAGGTGGTGGAGGTAACGGTCGCAAAGGGGGACGATATGGCGATGGTGGTGTCTTGTGGGCATGACGGTGAGGAGCATCCACCTCGACAGCGCCAGGCACAGCAACAGGGTGATTCGGACGAGAAGAAGATCGAGAAGGAGGGTGGACGTGCCATCCTCCGGTCCTTGGAGGCGGTGCTGTTGCAGGGACAGGGACAGGGACGACGAGAGATGTCTTATTGTCACCAGCTCCACCCTTTTCCGGCGCTCGATTCATTACCACTGGTCGTGCTAATCTTGCTGTTGGTCGGTAGGGGATGTCTTGAGGAGCAGCGTGGAATTTTCCGAGGATTTTCTTTCCCCGTGGTTTATCTGTTGGTGTGGTTGGCTCCGTCCTTGCTTGACTTCGAGGCGGTCGCGAGTTTTCTTGTAGATATCTGACATAGTCGGGGCTGCTATGGTATAATGGTCCGGATGATTGTGATGTTGTCGGTGGTGTAGATGTCGATGTTGGAGGTGGTTCTGCTACTATAGCTTCTGCTGGTGCTGGTGCTGATGATGAAGATGACGATGAAGAAGATGATATGCTCGACATTACTCGCTCAGCTTCTACTGATGCGTTAATTGGCGGCGGTGCCGGTTGCTGCTGCTGCTGCTGCTGCTGATGGTGATACATGTCGTAAATAGTGCTGTGACTATATTGACTAGCAATGGTCCTGATGCTTGGACTATATTGTTTGCCTAGATTCTTTTTGTATTGGTTATCGTCGGTGCTCATCTTTTCATCCTGGTAATCATCTGGGCCAAACCGTTCTCGTGACCCTGTGCTTTGGTGAGTCCTCCCCTGCGTCGGTAGCTCTTGGTGTTCTGAGGCCACTTGACCTTCATCCTGCTTCTTCTTAGGTGGAGTTGCTAGTTTGGGATGTCCTCCAGGTTGAGGGAACAATAAAAGCATGCCTTTGTCTTCGGATGCGAGGATGTGAGTGGATTTTCTGTTCGCATTCTCTAGATCTCTATTCGTTTCGTCGAGGCTCTGTTGATCAAGAGGGACTGGGACAATTAGAGACTGGTCAATATCGGTCTCAGGCGTTGGTTGATTCGAAACCTCTTCGTCTTCAACTGCTTGAGGTTGTTCTGATTCTGAAACATCGCCCAGCTCTACCGGTTCCCCCTGAAGAGATTCTGGCTCTGGTTCTGGCTCTTCTTCTTGCTCCGGCTCTTTGTCTTGCTCCTGCTCCTGCTCCTGCTCTTGTTCTTGTGGTTCCGAAGATGATGGTGGTGTTGGCGATGGTAGTCGAACCACCCCCGATATGGATCGATCAGGTAGAGACTCAAGTTTTGGAGGCGACGCAAATGTCATCGATGAGTGAGTACTCTGACTGGTTGAGTAATTTAGTGAAGAAGAAACGGGCAAAGTCGGAGCAGATGTTGAAGTCGAAGAGGAAGCATATGAGGACACCCTATGTGTGGGATAATGTGCCTGGGCCTGAAGGTTTGACGAAAGCCTCTGGGATAATTGACCCAAACACACGCCAGTATTGACTCGACCATCGTCTGAGGCTGTTTGAAGGGCATCAAAGTCTAACTCCATCTCATCCATCATCATGGTGCGCAAGGCAATGATCAATTTCATTTGTAGATTGATCAAGACATCCTTCATCTGTTCCCGCGCTTGGCTATCACCACACGTGTATTGTTCGCCAAATCTCTTCACATCATGATCATAATGACCTCGGACGAGCATTGGTCCCAGAGTCAAAGAATCGAGTAGGTCATTTGTTGGTCCTTCAGGCAAAGGCTCTCGACCAGGTTTGGCTCTTTGATCACGTATCCGCTGAACAAGTTTCGATCCATCTTCAAACGCTGCCAGCACTACATTCCTTCAGGTTAGACAAAACTAGAGTCAACATAAATCAGAGGAAAAGTGATCATTCTTACCGGCCCGAACCAGAGACGCGATATCCATTGATGAACGAGGCCAACAACTTGAGGTATGACACACGCAAAACGAACGATCAGAGACGACGCCGCGAAATCGACACAGTTCATCTCACATTACCTTTGGAGCTTTTCAACCAAGACCACGACGTCTCCTGGCAATTTCAGGCCGACGACATAGTGTAGCGTTGGGCTTGATCAATCTACCTTTGTTTTTCAAAAGCAAACATCAAAGAGGATGATGGTCCCGAGACACGAAAAAGCAACCAGGTCGCATCGCACAGAATATTCTGTCGCACAAGACCAACATAGTTAGTTAGCCTCGAGAAACGAAATGATGGGTCCGTCAAATCTGAACAATGCCACATGAAACCAGGAAAGAGAGACACCGTTCTGGGTTGGGAGGTCGAAGCCTCGGATCCACCGCCATCATCACCACTCCCCATTTTCGAACAGGGAGAAATTCCGTTTCTTTGTCGATGTTGGCGCAATTGGCGAGATTTCTCGAATGGCGAAAGTTATGCAGGCAATGAGATTTGCGAGCAATCAAGGGGGAGGGGTAACCCCTGGCGTGCCCTGGTTACAACTTGGAGTACATCTCTTACCTACTTTACACATGCGCGCACTCATAAGTACAGTGGCTAAAGGGCCGAAGACGCGAGGCTCCCCGTCGGGAGGTGGTGGAAATTACCATTTAATGAGCCTTGATGCCTATTTCGCACGCATAAAGCCCATTGATTCGCCTACTATTCAGGCGAACTCGGCGAGACGTGCCAGATGACGAAGACCCCCGGGTGCCACTTACGGAACATCTTCAAGTTACGCTCTTGACCATGCCATTCCAGTCAAGATTCCGAGCGATGTTACCATACAGGGAGCGGAGTCTCTTTCATAGGCGAGAATTCATTTCAAGCCACGGCACGGAGCACGACGACATCGAGTGTGTGTACAAGAGCAGGTTCGATTTGAAACTCGCCTGAATGGACTCTCTTAGTCTGGCAATAAATCAGCCTATAACAGGACAGATTCAGACTGATGCGCTGGGAATGCTGACAAGTCACGACATAGCATTTCCGGGTCCAGCTCGATTTTATGCTCGTACAGGTCATGTTGCTACCTTTGTATGCATATATTTTATGTGAACCTGAGTGCTTACCTACACGAGACCAAGTTCCTTCTCATTAACTCATCTATCAACAAATCAACAACCTCAAGGCTCCATTCCCCCAAGCGACCTACTTGATCCCTAAGATCCTAGGCTAAGCAGTCTGAAGTCTGCAAGTGATCTCTCGGCCTTGCATGAAATGCTATCTAGCCTGCTGGTACATAGGTAGTAGATCTCCGCCTGCCAAAGAGGGTGACTTAGAAATGGCCACATTCATCACGCGCACATCCCAATGCGATGCGGTAGCACCAACATTTATGATTAGATGCACTAGATACTTTCGATTCCACTAGAATATGAGGATCAAAATGCAGCTTGTGGCAGCACTCGACATTCAACCAGTCGATTGGCATCCATTCATGCTAGTGAACATATACTAATGAATCTCCCCGGAGTGTCCCCGGATATTGTAAACCACTCACCATCGATTGAGTGATTCAATTATTCACATTGGCCGACATCTTTTCTCCAGCATTTAGCTTCTAGCGGAAATATGCACTACCCGGGGAAACTTGGGGAGCACCCATTGAGTAAAGCTTCTGGAAGGAAGTAATTTGAATGGTTAGCGACGGACTCCTTGGACTCCTTGGACTCCTTGGACACTGTGCAAACAAAAATATCAAGGTACTGGCCAGACAGCCGTCCATTCGCAGCCGAGTCAGTTGAATCCTCTTCCTGGATGGGCAAAAGGACGGCGACTCCCTAGGCATTCAGTGAATGGCCGTCAAGTCTTCTACCAAAAAAATGAACTGGGGGTCGCCACTACATCTTTAAGTAGGCTGCCGTACGAGAAATGCCTTTGGGCCTCCTCTACTGCTTGACTGTTGAGACCATGTATTAATATCTTCGTTCGTCCACCGAGATTTGTCCTGGATAAGCTTACCAGTGATACATTGCAACTTTGCTGAAAGTCTCGACAAACGCCTTTGACTTCTAATCACATAGCCAACCCCAATAGACATCCACGACCTCTAATTCCGCATCAACGAGGCCATGTTAGTCAGCAGTTTCTTAGAATGCAATCAAGCCAAGAACCAACCTGACGCAAAAGTTGATGACATCGATGAATTTAGCATTCGGCAGTTCAAATCCGACTCCATCAACTGGTAAGCAAGCATGACTATTCACGGGTCCCACATTGTGGAGGGCACTGGAGGACCGAGGCGGCATCGAGGGGCAAAGCCCGAGGCCGCAAAGACCAAATCCTGGGGTCATGCCGCATTTGCCGCGGGCTTGTCCGGGCGAGTTTTTCGGTCGTTGATCTTTGGTCCTGGTTCGCGATATCTGGATTGTTTTATCCACGCGCGCGCACATCATTTGTTGTTGCCTCGGTGCAATCAAAGTCGACATTATAAGTTCCATATCTGTTGCTATGACAGCAGAACAATCGGCATCGGCTGGTTTACTCGATGTCGCGCCTGTAGCCACGCAAACCAATGGGGCGTCGAAGGTTGGGAGTCGTGGGAAATATATCAGCAAGGCATGGTAAGAGAGTCCACCCAGCGCATTCAGGACCCGGTTATGCGGGCTTAGTATGGGGGAGATGGAATTGACTGATTTGACGGCATATAGTATTCCTTGTCGGATAAGCAAGTCCAAGGTAAGTTCTGCCGTACAAATCATTGGGAACCTCTTGATCAGTCGTTGACAAAAACCAGTGTGGAGGAGGTACCATATGTCAGAACTGTCTTCGACAGGACAAAACATGCACATATCCCGCACGAGCTAGGATACGCAAAAGCAAAGCTACATCGGCTGAAAAGGAAAGGTGAGTCTACTTGGGCAGAAGAATTCACGTCGGTGGGTGATGTCGACTAACATGTCCCCTCCCCCGCCTCAAGACGTCCTGTCCACACAACCAACGCAGCAACCGTCACCGGCCTCGAGAACGACACCGTCTTAGAACGTCTCCGAAGTCTAGAACAACACATCAACCGCATGGACAAAGCCTTTCAAATCGGGCTCAACGACCAAGATCACGACAACCACAACGATGACCCCACCACCACCACATCCGCGGAATCATCCAACATGGAAATCTTCAAAGTGGCAACCAACAAAGAAGCCCTCGCATCACTAAGTTCACACATCAACGCATTGAAAAAAGCCCTTCTCCCCGCCTCCAACCACTCTCAAGCATCCGCATCCACATCCAGTCCTCCGGAATCAGTCGAAAATGACGAGACTCGAGGAACGACCAGTTATCTTTGCGACTTACCATCCATTCCTCAGATCAAAAGTCTCGTTAGCTTGTATTTCGAACAACTCAACAATTTCTTCCCTTGTCTCGAACCGAGACAGTTTCGGGAACGGTTGGCTCAGATTGAAGTGGATGATCAAGTCGTGTCGGGGGAAGGGAGGGTTCAAATCGTGGTCAAGCCATGTTCACGCACGTTTCTCATGATGATGTGTATGGTGTTGGCGCTGGCGACGTATCTGGATCTTTCGAATCATGAAGCGAAAATCGACACGACGCCTGGTTGGAGGTATTTCCTGATGGCAGAAGAAATGGCAGGGAAGGAATATCGATTGCGACATGAGTGTATCGATCTCGATCTGGTGCGGTATCATACGGTGAAAGCGATGTATTTGATTCATGTCGAGAGACTTACGGCGGCGTCGCAATCGATGGGCACGGCGATTCAATTGGCGTTTAATATTGGTCTTAATGATGAGACGAAGTGGAGTCATCGGTCGGAGGCAGATCAACGGGCTTGTCGATTGCTGTGGTGGACGATATTCTACATGGATAGACGGGTGGCGCAGAAGAGTTGGAAGCCGTATCTCATTCGGGAGAATGAGTTCCGTGTGGAGGAAGTCGAGGGTGTTGATCCTTTGGCATTGGGTGCCGCTTTCGATATGGAAGCGTACGCAGAGTCGGAATCCAAGTTGCTGATCAACAGGTACGTGCAGACGGAAATCGTTTGGGCTCGTCTGTGGGGTTCGGTCTGGGATTCATTGTTCGCTGCTCGTGCGCTCACGCGAGCTGACAGAGCGGAAGAGATTGAAGTCCTGGATGCGAAGATCCTACATGCGCAAAGACAGTTTCATCAGTCACTGCAATGGGAGACCACTCAACTGTCAAGTTATGAGGCTGCAGGGGAAACTGAAGGTCAAATCCGATCGAGACTTGTTGCTCGTGTGGTAAGTATCCATATCAATGAATTGATACCACCCCAGAATGGTCACCTTTACTGATGCTTCTTCAAAGAGAATGAACCTCCTGCGCCTCATAATCAGACAATCATGGCAACGCACCACCGCAGACGATACACGAGGCGCTCAAATATGCGTCCAACTAGCAGCCGAGACCATTGAAGCCATACTTGCCTTCATGAACTCGACGGCGAATCCCGTCTCGTTCGGCCTGACAGCTGTCGAGTGTGTGGTTGAGGCGATGTGCCATTTGGTTCCACATCTTCAGTGTCCAGTGGTTCAGGACGCAAACTCGGCCCAATACTCTTTTACAAAAGCTGTCGACTTTCTCCAGGACTTGTCCAAAGTCCTTGGAGCGGCAAGACGTGCCTTGGTCGCTCTCGGCGAGATTGCTGATAAAGGATGGCAAAATGTCTTTACTATGGACCGGGGATTTTCGTTGGACTATATGTCTCTCTCTCCGAATGATCTTCTAATGTTTCGTCAGGACGTGTCGACTGACATGTTTCTATCCGAGTGGCCGGAAATATGTCTCCCTGGTCCTGGACTGGGGACTGGCGCATAGACCTGGACACAATATATACCTACCTGTGTATAAAAGAATGTTATGACTACTTACGGCACGAAGTAGCTATTAGCTATTATTTGCACGACTTTCATTCGACTAATGTATCAAATCTAGTGTAGAAACGAATTATCGCGGATAAGATGTCACAACCAAAAGGAGGAAGAAATATTGGTCAAGGTAATGAATTGCCGCTTCACTATCTCGAATACTATGAATCTCTACACACTTGGCACTATCTGTACAAGAAAAAGAAAGTATAGTCCAATGAATGCACCTCTAATAGTAATAGTATGAGGTACTCCATAATCACGCTACTGAAACAACGCCGCAGCTCCAGATTATTTTTCAATCTTCAGACCGCATTCTATCGTTGTCGCTGAATCGCTCGAAACAATAACCACCGTCTTATACCACCGTGGAAAGGCGTCGGACACCTGGATCACCGGCATTCTCGTACTTGTCCCAATCTTCAATGATCTTTGCAAGGCGAGGAGAGTTGGTCAACCGATAGACTTCCTCAAAGTACTCCTTGGAAATCTCAAATGGCTTAGCGGTGACATTGGGAATGTATTTTCCAACCAGTTTGGCAGGGTCAATGCTGGTCTTGTTGATCTTCTTCAGCAAGAAAGATCTGAAAGGCTTGACGCCAGATCGCAAGAATGTGCTGTGGAAGGGGACATCAATGCCCTTGAGAGGGATCACTGCGAAACCTCGCTCCAGTTCAATGGGCTGTGGTTTGGCCTCGGTCTTCTTGCGGCACTCGCTGATGACCTGGTTTAGATGTGCCTTGACATCGTCCAGTGACATGGTTTGCATCAAAGCTTGAATGTCAATCTTTTGTAATTTGAGCGCATTCAGGACGTTGGTCAAGCAATCCAATGCTCGGAGATCGCCAGCACAAACGTACTGCATGTTCGCAACATTGTAGTTGACAATTTCCACAAGCCATCCAGTGCTCTCGGCGATGTTCTCCACCACATACTGCAAGGCGTTCTCGTTGAATGTTTTCGAGATACGACTGGGGTTGACAGCACACATGGAGTAGTTGCTGCGCCCTTGCTCATCACGCTCCACGGCAACTTGCATGGTCAAGCCACGGTAGAAGACAACCGAGACCAAGCTTTCAATGGGCATAACTTCTGCGATTGAAGCAAGTGCCGAGTACTCGCCCAGAGAGTGACCTGCAAAGCTGCTGTCACGCTGAATGAGGCCTTTGGAACGCATATCCTCGAAGCTGGCCTTCTCCATCAGCGTCAGAGCAGGCTGCGTGAATTGGGTTGCAGAAAGCAATCCAGTGGGAGAGCGATAGGTGTAGGATGTGGTGTTTTCGTTGATTTCCTTAAAGATCTTCTCAGACTTGACTGATCCGTCGGCGTTGATGGATTCAAAAGTCATGGCCATGTAGTTTTGGCGAATGGCTTTACCGCGAGGGCCACCGAAATGGATAGTAAGTTCCTTAGGATTGTTCTTGACAATGTTGATGATCGAAAGACCATAGTTGTCCATGAAATGACGGTCGGCACGGTCCCATACCTCTTTGGCGACAGCACTGCGGCCATAGAGATCCATACCCATGCCTTGCTCTTGCGAGCCTTGACCAGTGAAGACATAGGATGAGACGGGCTGTTCAACCTCAGCTTCAGCCAAGAGAACCTTGTCACCTGTGTCTTTGTTGCTGGTTTCGATCTTGATGATCTTTCGTCCAGCAACCATTCCGACATGTTCCAGTTTAACTTCCAGGTCATCATTCGGGAGGACCATGCCAACCAAAGAGACGTGATAGCTTCGGACGCGGCCAATGTTGTTCTCAGCAGCCCAAGTCTCGACCAAGCTTCGCACGGCTGCACTGGTGTACATACCGTGGGTGATTGTGCCTGGGAGATTTGCATAGCTGGCAAAGATGCGTGACACGTGGATGGGGTTGTAGTCGCCAGAGACACGTGCATATGTCTCATTTGAGGCTGGTGCCTTGAGAGACAGTGGGGTCTTTCCACTGAGAGGGATGGCGTTTTCAAAGTTGACCGGTTGCTCAATTGATTGTCCATGGCGCTGAAGATAATCAACCACTGGGTTGCCGTGAGAGACACCCGCATCATATTCGACCGAAGCAACTTGAATGACTTCCTTCGTGGGCAGTTCCAGAAGGACTTGTCCAATAGTCTCAACGCTCTGGAAGACTGTCGTGTTCTTGAATCGAACAAGGCTGGACAATCGGAAGGTTAAGGTCTGTCCTAGGAGATCGATATCAGGTTCGTCGAGATGGAACCATTCCTTCGATCTGAGCACAGCCACGTCCTTGGACGAAGACAAAGTGATCTGCACTGGTGTCTCTTCCTTGCGCTGGAAGGTGTTTTCAAAATCAGTGTAGGTACCTCTGTACAAGAACTGAGTGGTGACTTCCATCACTGGTTGCCCGTCACGTGTGATTGTGCCGCAGACCTCAACCATCTTGCCGGACTCTTGGTTGATGACGGCATTGATGCGGGCAGAGGTGTGCAGCTCGTCGCCAACTCTCAATGGCTCAGCCCCAGGAAGCATACGATAGCCATTGGAAAGGTGAACCAGCTTAAGCAAATCACCGTCGATAGCACGGGGGAAGATTGGCTTGGTGATAGCTTTCCACCCGACGACAATGGCAAAGTCCATGGGAGCGAAGACTTCCTTGCCTGGACGGTCGACAAAGGCCTCTCCCGTGTTGCCGACGGCATGCACAAAGTCGGCAATGTCTTGGGTGACAATGGTTGCCTTGCCTCCATCAAACTTGTTTGTGGTAGGCGTATCGAAAGGAACGTCCTTTTCACCGAACCAGATACGGTAGTAGAACTCTTTGATCCTGTCATTGCGACCTTCCATCACCTCATGGATGGGAGCATAGCCGGTCTCGGGATGATAGACGAATTTGAAGGGCAGAGCCACTGCTTCACCTTCCGCCGTGCGCTCTTCCCACAGGTTCATGAGGATTTCGTTCTTTCCAGTCAGGGTGATATCCAGCGTCTTGACGAGTTTGCCAGACTGGGTAGGTTCCCTAACGACAATGCTGGTTTTGGATGGGTCCTTGGGGTGGGCAATCTCGACCACGAGACCCCTGGTTGGAGCCAGGATGCGCTTCAATGGATTGTTCTGGTAGCGAGCACCTTGAACATAGACATCGGTGGTGAACAAAGCATGTCTCCATGAATAGGTCTTGCCTGCCAATAGTTGAGCCCACTCCGTTGGGTCTGGAAGAGGTGCCGAAGCCTGGGATGACAGTCTGTAGGTAATGCGAGTGCCATCTGGAATGACGGTGACGCCATCGAGCTCGGTCACGCTCTCTGGGGATTGAATGATCTTCCCACCGAAGTATTCGACGATGGGGATACTGGTATCCTTGCCACCATAGACGTCCTTGGTAAGACCTTTGATATGATCATTCGTGATGCCGTCCAAAATATCTTTGACAGGCTCATCGATCTTGGTTGAGTACTTGGCAGCCATTGGCCCTTGAAGAATGCAAGTACGGCCAACATCCTGGTCAACGACTGCATCGAGATCCTCGGATTGCCAGAGCGAGTCTTTCTTGAACCAGAACTCAAAGTTCTCGTCCAATGAAGGAACGAATGGCACAGGCTTCTGACCACGTCGTTGGCAGAGAAGCAGGAAATGCTGGACATCTTGTGCGTTGATGAGCTGGCTCTCTGCGCGTGGGTATGCTGCCAGGATCTTCTCGACCACCTCGGTTGGGTTGTCAAGTTCCGCATAACTCTGGATGAGCGATGGCTTGCCAGAACCAGTGGTGAAGCGTTCTTCGACACGGCGGATAAAGTCAACTGTGAGGTTGCGGAGAGAGACCTCGATCCAGCGAGACTGATGCTTGACGTACATGAGCTCAACCATCCGACGAACGACCTCTGCATAAGTCATGTCTTCGAGATCGACAGTGGCGCCGGCCGAGTTCTTCCCGAACCAGACCTTCTGGAAGTCATCGTTCAATTTCTTGATGATGTACTCTCGTTGCTTCTTAAGCTCAGCCACTCGCTTCTTCTTGTCGAGACTAAAAATCTTTTGGTCCATCTCAGCCCAGAACTTGACGCCTCGAGTGGCAAGCTTGTGGATTGGTTCACCCATCTCGGAGCGAACAGTGATGACACCTCCAATGGCACCTTTATAAGTCTTCTCCCACTGACTATCGTCAGCGCCCTCGGCTTCCGCGATGGCCTTCTTTGCATTTGTCGATGTATGTGCTTCCTTGGCGGTCATCATGCGACTGCCGAAGAGAACACCATCGAAAGGCATAGAGGGGTAGCCAAATTTGCGTGCCCATGTACCAGTCAGATAGGGATAAGTATCCTCGGAACCGCCAAAGCCACTGCCGGCCACCAGGATAATGTTCTGACATTTTCGGATGCGGCCGTACATCTGCAGGACGGGTTGATGGAAATCTTCAAAGGAGTGGTGACCACCTCCACGACCTCCAGTCCATTGAAGAATGACAGGGAAGGTGGGATTGGCTTTGGCAATATTGATGACCGCCTGAATGGCATCCATGGAGCCAGGTTTGAAGGCGATGTGCTTGATGCCAAGGGTGTCGATGTACTCCTGAGCGACCTCGATCGAGGGAACACCGGCACCAATGGTCAGACCTTCAATTGGAACGCCATCAGCTCGCAATTGGGCCAACAGAGGAATCTGCCAGCCCATGGCTCGGGGGTTGACATAGATCAGATTGACAGTGATGCCACGGCCGGGTGGGATGGCTTTCTCGATCTTGGTCAAAGCTTCAGTCATGCCCTTTGCATTGTAGTAGCCGCCGCCAGCCAGTTCAATATGATAGCCAGCATTCATGGTTGCAGCAACGAAATCCCAAGGCACAGTGCAAGGGGTCATGCCGGCAACCATGAGAGGTGGGACACCAAGCAAGCGGGACATTTTGGTGTCGACAAAAGTTTGTCCAACAGAGGTCTTGACAAGTCTCGGGCCATGTTCTGTAACCCAATTGGTCGCGTACTTGACAGCTTGTTCCTCATCACGGTCAAAAATTTCAGGTTTGTAGCCAACTTCGGCGTTGGTGCCATCCATGGCACCAGCCAGGATAACGCGGACACCAGTACCATCCTTGTTTCGGTTGGTGAGAACACCAAGGCCAGAAATGCCACCGGGACCAAAATCCAGGATGTGGGTTGCACCCTCGAAGACGGTAGCTTGTTCCCAGTGGACGGGGTCCTGCGTGATCATGCGAACCAGGGCAGGAACGATGTCCTTGTCTTGAGACGCGCGAAGGTCATCGCCAGAATTGGTGTCAAAGACTGGAATAGTCAAGCGCGAAGCCGGAATTTTAATATCGGCCAAATCTTCCTGGATGTTCTTGAAAGCTTCCGACAACAGAGGACTATGGAATGGTGCGGTGATTGGAAGGAAGCGATTGACAAAGCGAACTTTGCGCTCAGTGTATGGAATTCTGTTCTGGTCAAGCCCAGTAGGGGCCTTGACCTTGCGCAGGCGCAAGTTGAGACCGTGGAGAGAAATGGGAGGGCCAGTGACCACAAAGTTGCGGGCGCTGTTGATCAACGAGATGGCGATATGTCGGTCAGTGGGCAGATGTTCGTTTGTAGCGTCGATATGTTCTTGGAGCTGTGACTTGGAGAGGTCACGAACAGACAACATAGGAGTGGGAATTCCCTCGCCGGCCTCAAGCGAGTCTTGCAGGATCGAGGGTGCAAGACTGGTGCGTGGGAAGGCTTGTTGACTTCTCATACCGATCCAGAAGAGCATGGTGATCGCTTCTCTGGCGGCTTTGGCAAAGCTCTCCCAGGAAGTTGCAGTTGCAATGGCTGCGGCGGTCACAACACCTTGTGAATGACCGGTGGTACCATTCAGGCGCTCGCTCACTTCTCCGGGAGACTTTCCAAGGACCTTGCAGGTAACTTGGTAATGGGCGAGCTGAACGAGACCAATCAAGGGGAGACTGACGGGGGCTGAGACGAGGTAATCAGTGTCTGGCTGGGTCTCTCGATCTGCGAGCCAGGTCATGATGTCTAGACCTTTTGAGTAAAACTTGTCTGCCTTTGGGTTTCTAGCCAGGGTCTGCAGTAGCTCGGCGGAGTTCTCGATCAAGTCCTTGGTGAAAGACGGGTATGTGGTATAGACTTCGCGCAGCTCATCAAAGTACTCTTCAATATTTCCCTGGCCACCAAAGACAGTGTAGATGCTTGCGTCCTCATCATCGGCCGCTCGGAGGAGAGCTGAATCATGAGGTTTGATGGGTCTGGCGACGGCAGCTCGGCCAGTATAGTAGCATTGCACCACTACAAGTTTCTTTGCGGTAATGCCGGGGAGGGTGGCAGCCAAGGCATGTACATCGTTGGCATGCATAAACGATCTCTCAAACTCGTTCAAGACGACTTTCAAAACTTCGACAAAACCAGCAGCCTCCTCGTCATCATCGACTTCAGCGGCAATGAAGCCAATGTAACGGGCGACCAGCTCGGCGTTTGAGGAAGGTTCGTCATCCTGAGCCAACTCATCGGTTGGTTCTGGAAGAGAAGCCTTGAAGGCCTCTTTCAGTTGAGATGCAGCAAAGTGGAGGGCGGTAGGAATCAGGAATGAGTATTCGAGACTGCCATGAGTGAGGATAAGAGGTCTGAGGTTCTGAGAGGATCGGGGTGTGTGGGTTCCCGTGGCGCCGCCTGAGTACATGATGGCGGTGCTCGAGTATGGAGGTAGTATCGGGAGAAGTTAGGGTGACAGGACGACTGAGGAGAGGTATGTCAAGTGAGCAACTCAATGCCACTTGTAACTAGTCGTTGTTGAGTCGTGTGAGTCGGACGATGGTGAGCTCAAAGAATGTGTGAGCAACAGCAGAATTGCAGAATTGCTTAGCTGTGGTTGAGAGAAAGTGGAAAGTAGATGTAAAGGAAGGAAGGAGCAAGAGTGAGGAGCAGCTGCCTTGATGAGGGTGATTAGTTATTGTGATGTGGACAGGAAGGCAGGATCGAGAATTGTCCGAATGTTTTAGAAGTTTGGATGGAGCAACTCTTAGGACCAAGCAACACTCTCTCGGGCTTCTCAAGTGTGTATTGTGTCAGTCAGCGGCGACCGGAGTCTGAGCGGTTGTTGAATTCAATGAAGTTTTCTGAGCGAGAGGTTGCAGCCCTCAGATGCAGGCCTCATCCGGTTGGGCAACCAATGGGGAGGGTTGAAAAGACCCTGGAACAGCTCTAAAGAGGCACTAAAACTGGTGGGCAGAAGCCACTCCCTCAATGGCTCCCGGGCTGCAGGCACCCCGTCACTAACTCGTCATGGTCCCAACCAGAGCATTTCTCGGGGAGCCACTTGTTAGTCTTGACAGCTTTCTCCAACTTTTGAAGCCAGTCTGGCAACATTCGTGATCGGACCATGACATCAATTGGAGGCTTGCAGAGAAGCCGTTGAGCAGGCAGCACTTTGACCTATCTCGCTACACATCTACAGAGTGATAAAAGGGGGACAGAAAAGGCGTTGGGCCTGTTGCCTGGTGATGGAATTGGTTTTCGATGGTGCTTCGGCTCACAATCTATCTGTCATCTCCAACTTTTTTTGGTGCCTCGAGGAGAATAATTCTGGCGGGGCAGCTGGCTGGGTGACAGAGTTGGGCTCCACTGTTTTCTCAACAGTCACTAGGGGGGTATCGGAGGCAAAAAGAGGTTATAATGTGGACTGTCTGACAGGTGATTAACTAGAACAATGCTGAGAGAATGCACGTAGAATACCCGTGACCACCTAAGATTCACAGTAAACCAGCTATGAATATCTATCGTCAGACTATATTCCATCCCCTTCTCTCCAGCCACTATTACTCCGTTCAATGCACCTAATGCCTCAGACGGGCGTACCCAGAACCCCCAGGTACAGTCAATTCTGTTATGCGAGTACCTGGTCTGGACTCTCCTCAACCTATAGCCTTTCGGCATCATCCTGGCTCTTGTTCCCCCAAAATCTTTTCTCACCTTCTCCGCCCGCGGCAGACGTCAACTCGTCAACTCGTCAACTCGAAAGGGCAAAAATCCTTTGATCCAACAAGTCGTCCAGCAAGGCCACGTCTCGGTCCCAACCATTCACTGCATACTCGTCTACCTATGCACTTTTCCATTTCTGGCCGCATATCATCCAACCCTCTTGTCCGTAGCTAGCGTCTGCTCCGACGTTGATTACTCTTCCACTTTCTGTATACTCGATCCACCTCCAACTTCCACCTTGCACCTTCCTCTCATTATTTGCTCCACGCCCTCAATCGACCTTTCTCATCCTCACCTCACACACAAGAACAGACTGTGGTTGCAACACCACATCAACATTAGCACAATTCCTTCTCTCCTCTACCTGTGCTCTCAACGGCTCTTGCTCTGATTCATTTCATCCAGCAATTGGCCGTCAACCTCTAAACCTCTTTTCCTCCATCCCACCCTCTATTTTACTCTACCCATCACCCTCCTCTCGCGCACTCCGTCATCATGCGTCCCGAAGTCGAGCAAGAGCTCGCACACACGCTCCTTGTTGAGCTTCTGGCATATCAATTCGCCTCGCCAGTGAGGTGGATTGAGACCCAAGATGTCATCTTGGAGACCAACAGAACTGAGAGGATCGTGGAGATTGGCCCTGCGGACACACTGGGTGGAATGGCCAAACGAACACTGGCCTCGAAATATGAAGCATACGACGCAGCTACATCAGTCCAACGTCAAGTCCTAGCTTATAACAAGGACCTGAAAGAGATTTACTATGACGTTGATCCTGTGGAAGACGAGCCAGCCCCTGCTGCCGCCGCACCCGCTGCCGCCGCACCCTCCTCTTCACCTGCTGCCGCCCCTGCTGCAGCAGCTGCGGCACCTCCTCCAGCGGCTGCCAGCGCCGGTCCTGCTGCTGCTGTTGCAGATGCTCCAGTTGGAGCAGTGGATATTCTGCGAGCTTTGGTTGCTCAGAAACTCAAGAAACCCCTCACCGATATCCCCTTGACGAAAGCCATTAAAGATCTTGTCGGTGGCAAGTCTACCCTTCAGAATGAAATCTTGGGAGACTTGGGTAAAGAATTTGGATCAACTCCGGAAAAGCCAGAAGACACCCCTCTGGACGAGCTCGGTGCGGCAATGCAATCTACATTCAATGGACAGCTTGGAAAACAGTCCCAATCTCTGATTGCTCGCTTGGTCTCCTCCAAAATGCCTGGTGGCTTCAACATCACCGCTGTTAGAAAACACCTTGAAACATCATTTGGTCTGGGTTCCGGTAGACAAGATGGCGTTCTTCTCCTGGCCTTGACCATGGAGCCTCCAGCCCGTCTGGGCTCCGAGACTGATGCCAAGACCTACCTCGGAGATGTCGCTCAGAAATACGCATCCAACGCTGGCATCAGTCTCTCTTCCGCAGCTGCTGCTGGCGGCCCTGCTGCTGGCGCGGGTGCCGGCATGATGATGGATCCCGCGGCTATCGATGCCCTGACAAAAGATCAGCGGGCCCTTTTCAAGCAACAACTTGAATTGTTCGCTCGTTACCTCAAGATGGATCTTCGCTCTGGCGACAAGGCGTTCCTCGGCTCTCAGGAGAACAACAAAGCTCTCCAAGCTCAATTGGATCTATGGAATGTCGAGCATGGCGAATTTTACGCTGCTGGTATCGAGCCCTCTTTCAGCACCCTGAAAGCACGTGTTTATGATTCCTCATGGAACTGGGCTCGACAGGACGCTCTAAGCATGTACTTTGACATCATCTTTGGTCGTCTCAAGGCCGTTGACCGGGAAATCGTCTCGCAGTGCATTCGCATCATGAATCGATCAAACCCAACCTTGATTGAGTACATGCAATACCACATCGACAACTGCCCAACCGAGCGCGGTGAAACCTATAAGCTGGCCAAAGAGTTGGGCCAGCAGCTCATCGAAAACTGCCAAGACGTTCTCAATGAAGCCCCCGTCTACAAGGACGTTGCAGTTCCCACCGGACCTCAGACAACAGTCGACGCCCGCGGTAACCTGGATTACCAAGAAGTTCCTCGGCAAAGTGCCCGGAAGTTGGAGCACTATGTTCGCGAGATGGCTGATGGAGGCAAGATCTCCGAATACAGCAACCGCACAAAGGTTCAGAATGACTTGCGTAATGTGTACAAGCTCATTCGCAAGCAGCACAAGCTTTCAAAGGCCTCTCAATTGCAGTTCAACAGCCTCTACAAGGATGTCATTCGTGCTCTGGGCATGAATGAATCTCAAATCATCCCACAAGAGAATGGCGATGTCAAGAAGCCTGGCAGAAATGGCTCTCTCACCCGTGCCACCATGAATGGAACCACCAAACAAGGCAAGACCGAGACCATCCCCTTCTTGCATCTCAAGAAGAAGGAAGAACATGGCTGGGAGTACAGCAAAAAGTTGACCGGCATCTATCTCCAGGGCCTTGAGGATGCCGCCAAGTCTGGTCTGACTTTCCAGGGCAAAATGGCACTCATGACTGGTGCTGGCGCTGGATCTATCGGTGCTGAAGTTCTGCAAGGCCTCATCAGTGGAGGTGCAAAGGTTGTCGTCACCACCAGCCGATACTCGCGCGAAGTGACCGAGTATTATCAATCCATGTATGCTCGCTTTGGTGCTCGAGGCGCCCAGCTTGTGGTCGTCCCCTTCAACCAAGGAAGTAAGCAAGATGTCGAAGGGCTCATCGACTACATTTATGACACCAAGAAAGGCTTGGGCTGGGATCTCGATTTCATCGTACCCTTTGCTGCCATTCCTGAAAATGGTCGCGAAATTGACAGCATTGATTCCAAGTCTGAGCTCGCTCACAGAATCATGCTGACCAACTTGATCCGACTCCTTGGCAGTGTCAAGAGCAAGAAGTTTGAGGCAGGCTTTAACACCCGCCCTGCCCAAGTCATGCTTCCTCTTTCTCCCAACCATGGCACATTCGGCAACGACGGTCTCTACTCCGAGTCTAAACTCGCATTGGAGACCTTGTTCAACCGATGGTCCTCTGAGAGCTGGGGTGACTATCTCACAATCTGTGGTGCTGTCATTGGCTGGACTCGTGGCACCGGTCTCATGAGTGGCAACAACATTGTTGCGGATGGAGTCGAGAAGTATGGTGTCCGCACATTCTCCCAGCAAGAAATGGCCTTCAACCTGCTCGGCCTGATGTCCCCCGCCATTGTTGATCTGTGCCAGAATGAACCAGTCTTTGCCGACTTGAATGGTGGACTCCAATTCCTCCCTAACCTCAAAGAGCTCATGAGTAAGCTCCGTGCTGAGGTCATGGAGACTAGTGCCATCAGACAGGCCGTCACCAAGGAGACTGCTCTCGAGAACAAGATTGTCAACGGCGAGGACAGCCAGGCCTTGTACAAAAAAGTCACCATTGAGCCACGTGCAAACATTAAATTCGACTTTCCAGAACTTCCAAAGTGGAAAGAAGACATTGCTCCGCTCAATGCTTCGCTCAAAGGCATGGTTGACCTCGACAAGGTTGTGGTCGTCACCGGCTTTGCCGAAGTTGGTCCATGGGGTAACTCTCGTACCCGGTGGGAAATGGAGGCATATGGTGAATTTTCGCTCGAGGGTTGTATTGAGATGGCATGGATGATGGGCTTGATCAAGAATCACAATGGGCCGCTCAAGGGCAAGTCCTATTCCGGTTGGGTCGATGCTAAGACTAGTGAGCCTGTTGACGACAAGGACGTCAAGTCCAAGTATGAGAAGACCATCCTCGAGCACTCCGGCATTCGTCTGATTGAGCCCGAACTGTTCAATGGATATGACCCCAACAAGAAGCAACTTCTCCAGGAAATCCAGATCGAAGAAGATCTCGACCAATTTGAGGCTTCCAAGGAAACCGCCGAGGAGTTCAAGAGGGAACACGGCGAGAAGGCAGAAATCTTTGAGCTCGAGTCAGGAGAGTACAGCGTACGTCTCAAGAAGGGCGCCACTCTACTTATCCCCAAGGCTCTTCGCTTCGATCGCCTGGTTGCTGGTCAAATCCCGACGGGTTGGAACGCTAAGCAATATGGTATCCCCGACGATATCATCTCCCAAGTTGACCAGGTCACCCTGTTCGTGCTTGTGTGCACGGTTGAAGCTCTTCTGACTTCGGGTATCACTGATCCTTATGAGTTCTACAAGTATGTCCATCTTTCAGAAGTCGGCAACTGTGTGGGCTCCGGCATTGGTGGTACTACTGCTCTCCGTGGTATGTACAAGGATCGATTCATGGACAAGCCCGTCCAAAAAGACATCCTGCAAGAATCCTTCATCAACACCATGTCTGCTTGGGTCAACATGTTGCTTCTGTCTTCAACTGGTCCTATTAAGACCCCTGTGGGAGCATGTGCGACCGCAGTTGAGTCGATTGACATTGGTTACGAGACTATCGTCGAAGGCAAGGCACGCGTCTGCTTCGTTGGTGGATTTGATGATTTCCAGGAAGAAGGGTCATACGAATTCGCCAATATGAAGGCAACCAGCAACGCAGAGGATGAGTTTGCCCACGGACGTACCCCCAAGGAGATGTCGCGACCAACTACCACCACCAGAAATGGATTCATGGAATCCCAAGGATGTGGTATGCAAGTGATCATGTCTGCTCGCCTGGCACTGGATATGGGAACACCTATTTACGGTATCCTGGGTCTCACCACCACTGCTACTGACAAGATCGGACGATCTGTGCCTGCTCCAGGTCAAGGTGTCTTGACGACTGCTCGAGAGAATCCTGGTAAATATCCTTCTCCTCTGCTCGATATCAAGTATCGCCGCAGACAGCTCGATCTCCGCAGAAAGGCCATCAAGAATTGGCAAGAATCGGAGTACATGTATCTGCATGAAGAGGTTGCCGCCATGAAGTCGCAGGCTGGATTTGGTTTCAATGAAACCGAGTACCTCCAGGAACGTGCCGCTCACATTGAACGCGAGGCCAAGAGGCAAGAGAAGGAAGCACAGTTCAGTCTTGGCAACAACTTTTGGAAGCAAGACTCGACTATTGCTCCTCTTCGAGGCGCCCTGGCCACATGGGGTCTTACTGTTGACGATCTCGATGTTGCATCCTTCCACGGCACGTCAACCGTTGCAAACGACAAGAACGAGTCAGAAGTGATTTGCAAGCAGATGGCTCATCTTGGCCGCAAGAAGGGCAACGCGCTCCTCGGTATCTTCCAGAAATATCTGACTGGTCACCCCAAGGGCGCTGCTGGAGCCTGGATGTTCAACGGGTGCTTGCAGGTGCTCAACAGTGGCCTTGTGCCTGGAAACCGCAACGCAGACAACGTTGATCAAGTGATGGAGAAGTTTGACTACATTGTCTATCCGAGCCGATCGCTGCAGACTGATGGCATCAAGGCCTTCTCGGTCACTTCATTCGGCTTTGGTCAGAAGGGTGCCCAGGCTATCGGTATTCATCCCAAGTATCTGTATGCCACCCTGGACGAAGCAGAGTTCCAACGGTATAAGGCCAAGGTTGAGACCCGACAAAAGAAGGCATACCGATACTTCCATAACGGCATGATCAGCAATACTCTGTTTGTTGCCAAGTCCAAGGCACCATATCCCGATGAGATTATGCAGAAGGTGTTCCTCAACCCTGACCAGCGAGTTTCGGCAGACAAGAAGTCTGGCGAGCTTGTTTACTCTCCAGCCCTGCCCAAGAAGACTCAGAGCGCAGCTGTGTTGGAGACCAAAGCAATGTTGGAGTCATTGACAAAGGCGACCGCGACTGAGGGATCCAAGATCGGGGTGGATGTTGAGGACATCCGAGCCATCAACATTGAGAACGAAACCTTTGTGCAAAGAAACTTTACGGACAAGGAGCGAGCATACTGTGACAAGGCGGCATCACCCCAGGCATCGTACGCAGGACGATGGAGTGCCAAAGAGGCTGTCTTCAAATCCCTCGGTGTGTCCAGCAAAGGCGCTGGGGCACCTCTGTACGACATTGAAATCCTCAGCGATGAGAATGGAGCCCCTCAAGTCAAGCTCAATGGGGCGGCGTTGGCAGCAGCCAAGGAAGCCGGGGTGCAGAAGGTCAACGTCAGTATCAGCCACAGCGACAGTCAGGCGATTGCGGTTGCAGTGTCGGCATTCTGATCCGAACAGGGGAGATAGTGTACAAACCGGAGTTACATGGGATGAGGTGGGGTATGATTAATCAAGACATGGTTGATAGGAGCGTCTCTCCTTTGTTGGTATTACTGGGCCGTTTTGTGTGTCCAAGGGTTGATCAGCTGTGGTGTCGCTGTTGAGGAGCAGTTGACCTGTAGCCGTGATTTCTGACATTAGTGCATTAAAACACCATAGATTTACCCTGGCTGTTTATAGTAATGGATATTTGTATCAAGTCACTCACTCATCACGTTGCAATGCTCTTTTCTCATGGCTGGTACTGGCTGACTCCGCGACTTGACATGTATCATGATGTAGATGATGCTGTATATTCAGTACTGAATAGTTATTTCTGCAAACGCGCGAGGGCCATGTGCAGACACTGAAAATGAGGATTGGGCTTTTCCTTGAGTGATTGTAGACGTCAAGTCTATATCAATCACGTGAAAGACGCCAAGTTGATGCCAAGGCAGATCTCCCCCGCCTTCCATCTTCCTTCGCTTCCTCCTTCTCGCTCGGCCTTTTTCCACTTTATAATTTGGCCGAAGGTATCTCCTCACTTGATTTCACCTCCTCAGCGCCGCAATGACGAACAAACTTTGGGCGACGCAGGTCCCTGGCTTTATGCCGCCACGGACCTTCACAAGGCGGGGTACGTAAAAGCTCATTTTGACAGCAGACAACTCTCCAGCTACAAAATGTTCTCCCAGGTAGGTGACGGGCACTTCCTAAACCTTCTCGATACCTCCCATCTCACCCTGTCTCCCTTGCTTTGCTAGAGCTAGACATCAGGGTTCAACTTTGTCGTTCGTTTTGCTTCCATTGTGTCCCCTTTCTTTAGCTCTAGGCTTCCCAGATGAACAGTCTTTCCATCGAACAGCAGGCTCGCGCCGCCAAAGCCTATATCCTGCAGGAACTTCGCAAGACCAAGGATGGAGTTGAGATCCTCAAGGATGAGAACTTCTTCGGAAGATTGGACATGAACTTTATCACTATATTTGCCATTTTCGCCGAATTGTATGGATACAGACATGACTGCCTCGATCAGCTAGTAGACCTCATCACCATGTGCGGCAGGAGTTGGAAGGAGCGAGATCCGGAATTGAAGGCGCTCGACAAACAACGAGAGCAAGATTCGGAATGGTACCTTTCAAACCAAATGCTGGGTGGGGTCTGCTATGTGGATCGATACGCAAAGAACCTGGCCGGAATCAAAGATCGAATCCCATACTTCAAAGAGCTGGGGTTGACTTATCTGCACTTGATGCCCTTGTTCAAAGCTCCTCAGCCACTCAACGACGGCGGTTATGCAGTGTCGAGTTATCGAGATGTCCAGGAGGAGCTCGGTGACATCCACCAACTGAAAGACCTGGCCACCGAGCTCAGGAAAGCTGGGATCAGTTTAGTCCTGGATCTGGTCTTTAATCATACCTCCAACGAACACCAGTGGGCCAAAAAGGCTGCTCAGGGTGACCCAGAGCACTCGGCCATGTATTGGATGTTCCCAGATCGCAATGTTCCTGCTGCATTTGAGCGGTCGACGAGAGAGATCTTCCCGGATGACCACCCTGGGTCCTTTATTCAGCTCGCTGACGGCCGCTTTGTGTGGTCTACATTTTACCATTTCCAGTGGGATCTGAACTATTCGAATCCTACAGTCTTCCGTTCCATGGCTGCCGAGATGTTATACCTTGCCAATATCGGAGTCGACTTTTTCCGCATGGATGCGGTGGCTTTTATGTGGAAGCAGATGAACACCGACTGCGAGAACCTGCCTGAGGTGCACAAACTTCTCCGAGCATTCAACGCCCTCTGTCGAATTGCGGCACCGTCGGTGCTGTTCAAATCTGAAGCCATTGTTCATCCTGATTACGTTGTCCAATATATCGACCGTTATGAGTGCCAGCTGTCGTACAACCCACTTCAGATGGCTCTCACATGGGAAGCATTGGCGACGAGAGATGCATCTATGCTGTCACAAGCCATTGAGCGTAGACACAACATCCCTCGTGGATGTGCATGGGTGAACTATGTCCGGTCGCATGACGACATTGGTTGGACGTTCTCGGACGAAGATGCACTGGAATTAGGAAAGGTGGGATCGAATCATCGCAAGTTCCTAAACGCATTCTTTGTCAACCGCCACCCAGGAAGTTTTGCTCGCGGTGTGCCATTTCAAGACAATCCTCGAACAGGAGATTGTCGCATCTCAGGGACTACCGCTTCACTGGCAGGGCTTGAGTCGATGCAGGACCACTCAATTGACAGAGTGCTGCTAGCATATTCAATTGCCATGAGCACTGGAGGTATTCCACTGATCTATCTGGGTGATGAAGTAGGACAACTCAACGACTACAGCTACCTCAATGACCCAGCCAAGATGGATGACAGTCGATGGGTTAACCGGCCATGGTATCCAGCAGCGAGATATGCAGAGCGGGAAGATACGTCGACGGTGGCTGGTCAGATCTACGCTGGCATTAAGCACCTCATCAAACTACGCAAGTCGACGGAAGAGCTGGCTGGTGGACGGGCTGTGGGATTTTACACTGGGAATCCCACTATTCTGGGATACCAGCGACCAGGCGTTCACTCAACTGTGCTCTGTCTTTGCAATTTCTCCGATAATGGCCAGTGGATAGGCCGAGACCGGTTCATGGGAATGCCTGCCGAAGCCAAGGACCTGGTATCAGGGTTCATGATCAATCTAAGGGACGCAGGCATTCAGCTGAGGCCTCATCAGTTCCTGTGGCTGAAATATTGATGAGGCTGCGGGAATGGGGATAGGATACGGACGAGATGGAAGATGGTGTCACAGTATTGTTATTTGGTGTACCTGCATAGCGTCTTGACAAGTCGTGATATGTTTGCCTTCATCACGATCCTCATCCTCGTGCGCCAGGGTTGTTCATCTCTTGAGGGAGATCCCACTTTGCACGTGACCACAAATCACGTGTTTCCTGCTCCACCGTATATTTATTTGGTTGCTGGGCAACTGACGGTTGGGTGGCTGTTACGGCAGTTGCGACCCCCGCATCCACTTGTACCACATTCCAAGTCACCTGCAGACCGACAATTGGCAATGGCAGCCTAACCACAGTGCCACCTCAGCACTTCACAATTGCTTCCAACCTTCACCTCACAAGACGCCTCACTTTCGATCCTTAACGCCTAAAACCTGTCACACCTTTTGTCAACAGCGCTAGCGGATGGTATTACGCCTGGTTGTCCTCCTGTGGTGGTGTTAACGGCAGTGTCCACCTTTGCCCAAATTCTCTCTCATGTTCACGCGACCAGGTCATCGCCCACCACCTCTCTGACCGCATACATGTTAAGCTGCTAAGCTGCCACCCACCTTGTCGCACTCCACACACACCCAAACCCGTTCACCTTACCGTTGTTTCTTGATCGAAAGCCCTCTAGCACCCAGCATGACCATCACCATGGCACCAGCATCCACAATCCACATGCCTGGGTCCTTTCTGCCGAGAAATGAGGAGGATAATCATGACCGCAACTTTTCCTTCCAATGCGCGCCTTTCACTTCCTCAGTCTTTTTACCTCCCGCGTCATCCCTAGACAGCTCTCTCACTTCATCGGCATTTCTCCCAATCTCCAATCACACTCCACTCTCAAGGAAACGACCTCGGCCACAGCCGCAGTCGAAACAACAACAACAACAATATATATGGACGCCGAATCATCTTGCCGAGAGTGTCCGCTTGGATGGTTGTGATGCGCCCAGTCCATCTCCATTAATAGACACCACCTACCGTTTCGCCAACGGCCTCGATACAGCCGCCGATCTTGACACACAAAAACAAGATCTAGAAAGAGATCGCGATTATGAGAAGGATTGTCGGCCAAATCGCTATATTCGCCAATCTTCTGGGCCAAGTCAACCGCCACGAACCCCTTCTTATACCTTCCAAAGTGGTGCCCATGCCGGCGAAAAGCGATCTCACTCTCCGAACTCAAGACAAGGATGGGGCAAGACTGTCTTCACACTTGCTGGAGGAGTCGCAGGCAAGGTTTTGAGCTTTTGCTGGAATAGCGCTGTCTCATTCAAGGGGTTCTATGCTGGTGGAGGCGGTGGGTACCAGTTCGGCGGTCAAGGCTCCGAGGTTATCGGAAGTGGCTGGTCTCATGTCGATTCGACGCAGGATGTCTTTACCACAGAGAGGAAAGAGGCGGCCATAAGACATAGCCGAGACATGACACCCGTTCCTGGTGGATACCCGGAAGATGTCGCTGCAAAGACCTATTCTGATTATTCGGATGTCCACAACAAATGGGTAATGGTTGATGACTTTGAACCGAGTTCGAGAGAGACCAGCCCTGTTCGTAAGAAGTCCAGGGTTGGGTCCATCAGTACTCCCACAGCGAAGAAGTCATCCTTTCCATCCCCAACGAGAGCCGCTGCTCAGATCCCAAATGCCAACAACAGATCACGAATGGTATCACGATCATCCGGCCACCGATCATCAGCCTCATTTGCATCACCTCGAATATCCAGTGCCAACAAGTATACAAACACAAGTCATCAGAGACGCTCATCTCAAACACCCAATATTGTGCATCACAATGCGGCATCCTCCACAAGACAGCCTTCCAGCAGAGCATCACTAGCATCTCCACGTCGGCAATCATCATTCAACGTGGGAGGATCGACACAGACTAGTTCACATTCTCATTCAAACTCCGCTTCCGCAAACCAATCTCCCGAGGTACGCAAATTTCAACAAAAGCTCCGTCGGAAAGAGGCACAGGAAGAACAAAATATGGATTGGATGAATGAACAATTACAAGCCATGATCAAACAGGGCAAACAAGCATTGGGAAGTCGAGTAGAAGTCGAAGAGGATGATGAGGGTGTTGACGGTCAAGGTGATATCGACGAGGGATACGAAGAAGGTAGTGGATGGGAGCGAGATGATAAGATAGTGATGAAGAAGTGGTTTTGATGGCGGAAATTGATTTGAATTGTTCTGTTTTGAATGCATTGCGACCTACGAAGGTTTGTGCATGGAGAGACGCGACACTTGGATGAGACGAGAGACTTGTTGTCCATGTCCACTAAGTATTCAACTCCATCAGATCGATATGATTGACATCAGGGATCCCGGACCCTAGATTCGATTCGATTCTCACAATGTAATTTCCCTTTGGATTCGTTTCGGAGATACATTGTATTCTTGAATAAAACTTTCTTTCTATTTTATACTCGAATACTCAAATGTCGAGTAAACATCGGTTGAGCAACAAATCTCGTCGACGTCGATTGAATTGTAGTACCTACCCTTACTGTGTCCCTTCCCTCATCTACCCCTTTCTCTTTCTCTTCCTCTTGCGATGATGAGTCTTTATATCCATTCACAACCTGTTGTAAAGCTTGGATCCGTTCCTTTTGCTCGCGTACCCGATTTTTGAGATTCGTCACTCGAGTGATTTCTGAACCCTTTTGTTGCGACGTCTGCTTCTGGTGGTGTTGATGTTGTGGTTGTTGTGGTTGTTCATCTTGTCTCATCACCAACATTGATTCCGGTGGCACGAGAACCGGAAATGAAGAAGATGCCGTTGATTCGTCATTTTCCAATCTGAATCGATCAAGTTGGAGTAGGTCTTTGCTTTCACCTTCGTTTCGCTCGGTAGTGGTGGTATCCTCATCGGCATATTCGCCGTCAAGGAGATATCGTCCCCATTCTGGCGTCGTTGCGAATACGCGCATGACTTTTTCGCGAAGATCGATGAGATTACTAGTGTCTGGTGGGCTTTCTGATTGTGAAGAGTGGGAAGGCGTTTGGGTTTCTAGGTCTTGTAATTGGTGATTGAGTTTGTTTTCTCGGGCGGTGAAATAGCTGGTGTATGTCTGGGCTTGTTGAGTAAGTTGCTTTCGATGGTTGAGGTTTCGTTGCAGAATGAAGCGGTGGGCGAGAAGGAGTGGGATGATGTGGTCGGGGTTGGTAGGGGTGGTGATGGTGGGTGGGGTATGGAGTGCTGAGATGGGTATTGATGGAATGGGAAGATCTTGTTTGGGAGAGTTGAGAGGAGCGGTGGTGGTTGATGATGAAAAGGAAGAAGATGTGGGTTTCTTGATCTGAGAAGTAGGTTTGGATTTCATTGTTGGTGGCTTCGTCATTTTAGAAGTCGATGTCGCTTTCGATGTTACTGTTGCTGTCGACACCGGTTTGATATTCAATGACGACGATGATAAAGGACGAGAACCCCTATCTTTGTCCTTCGCCGTACTCGACATGACCACCCTTCTCAACACGACCATAGCAAAAGCGGCCAAGACTTCATCGAACTTTTCTCCTTTACACTCATCAAACATGGTCTTTCGGAGAGTAATAGTCTTTGGCAGGACTGCTGTACGTTTCATGTCGGTGAGGATCTTGTAGAATCCAGACCGGAGAGTCAGTGAATGAAGTGGAGTCTTGGGGGGAAAGGAGAATGTCGGTGTGAGTAGATGCATCTGTGACGGAGTGGCGGGAGAGGTGGATTGGAGATGTTGGTAGTAGAGTTGGAAGAGGTGGTATAGACTCCATTCTGTGGCTTTGATGCGTTGTTGGAGCGTTGATGTGGTTGAAAAGGTGGTGATGGTGATATCAGGGTATGTGGGTTGACGTGGAAGGTCGAGGAGGTGGAGTGTTGAGATGAAGATGTGGATGTGTGATCGAGGCGTATATGGCAATGGAGGGGTCGATTTAAGGGTTGCCATTGCGAAGGGGGTGGATATGGTAGCATGAATGGTTGTTGTTGTAGGGTATAGTGTTGATGGTTGAAGTTGATTTCAAGATGTGAGGTTGATTCAGCCTCGTGGGTCACATGGTGTTGACGAGGCTGAGGGCGGAAGTGTTGCTACTTCTTCTGCCACATTTCTTCTACACGTGTTCCACTAACGTGGATTGCATTGACAAACAATGTTTCACCAATAAGTCTGGCCTCATGAGACGTTAACTGGAGATGGGATTGTGCTTCGGTAAACCGAGAAGCAGAGCCCAGACTGCAAAGTCGACTCGACTCGATTGAAGTGACTCGACTCGTGTCTCCACTTCTGATATGCCAAGACGGTGGCCTCATCGAAACAGAAATGCTACAACAGCGTCCGCCAGCCAGTCTGGAATCACGTACGGCTTTGCTGACTGCGAGTGTGATTGGCTCTACGCGATAAGTAAAGGGCTTGACTTTTCTCCTCCGGGGTTGCTCCGTACGGGGTAGATTGCCACATAGCATCTCGTAGTAAAGTTCATTTGCGGAGGCCTCGGACCCTATCGGCCCGGCCGCGCTTCTCATCCTTAGTGGACTCATTCACACTCATGTTGGCTTCACAATCTCCTCAACAGCGTCTCATCTCACTGTTCACAATTGCAGCTGCCACAGTTCAGAGCGATCTCGGGTAATTTTGCAGCTTCGCCTCCATGTCCACCACCAACACTGGAGCCCGAAGAACCGCTCGGCCAGCAGGCCATGCACCTGAAGCGGATCAGAGGAAGGTAAGGAAAAGGGAGCTGGACCGGATACATCAGCAGAGAAAACGACAGAAAGACCGTGACCGAGTTCGAGACCTGGAACTGAAGCTAGAGAGCCTCCATCAGCGAGCAGATGATAAACTTGTGTACGACATGACCGTAAAGCACGAAAATATCAAGGCTAGGATTAGCAGACATTTGCTACGTGTCGAGCAGATCCAAGCTTTACTAAAGGCTGATGTCGAGGACCTCAGGGAAGAAGCAAGTAGGGTTTACCACTCTCCTGGAATGCAAGTACCAAGCTCATCCTCAGATAGGCAACATCACCCGCCTGAACAGTCCAGGGTCTCAACAAACCTCCAACCCAATAGCCGAAGTCGATGGTGGAATACAATTCTTCAACGACAATATGGAATCTTCGGATTTGGTCTTTATGGATTCGAATGAGTCGACATGCGCAAATAACCTACCGGTGCCTCTCGACTATCCCTGTGATGCCACTCCAACCTTCACATTCAGTGACAAACCTTCGCTCGGTGCTCAACCTTGCTTCGAAGACACCTTTCTCGACGATGGGTTGACAGCGTGCTCTTTCGAACCCAAACACAACAGCCCTTGGAATATTCACTTTGATTCGAGTATTCCCTCTGTTCATACTCAATGCATCAACTGTGAGACGGTGTGGACTTATTCCAACAGAGCGATACATCAAGCGCGTGCTCTATCATCCAAAGGAAACATCTCTCGAGACAGTCTTGATACCAACATGATTATAACCGCGGTCACACGAGGTTGGAACCATGTCATGAAGGCTCCGCAGTTCGATGCTCAGTGGGAGTGCCTGCGTCAGCTAGATGAGTTTTGCTTTACCGGCAGTGGCGTAGTTGAGCGATTAGCGGCCTTGAGAATCTTGCGCCACATGATCAAGGTACGTACCAATCTATCCCAGATTCCCATCCGCTCCAGATATAGGCCTGATGGACTGTTATCGCAGTACTCAGGCATACATGGCCCAGAATATTCGCTTCCCTCTTTCCTAAGCCCAAGGTAGGTTGGCACTCTCGTGGAAATGTTGCTATGTCTCACAAAAGCCCTAGGCCATCACAGCTCCACGTGCAACATTCAGCTGTGGCTGATTATATGGTATGGTAAGTAGTTATTGCATATCGAAAACGATATTCGTCAACTAATTGCTCGCTTTATTCTACAAGGCCTGGCTTTCGGGAGCGTCTGATTTTCGGCCACGGAAAATATTGCAACAATTCATTCTCCAGATCTTTTGGCTTGGGATTTCGATTCCTGTGGCCATTCGAAGTTCGCGACAGCTACGTCCAGAACCAAGAAACCAAACTTTTCGACTTTTCGAAATCCTTTTTAGAACGCACCGAAGACCTGCGCTGCTATTGCATGGACATAGCTTTCGTCGAGGCATTTCCAGAATTTCGGGGAGACGTTCCTGTCTTCAATCCCAGGCTTGTGCACTTGAACTTTGAAAGTGATACAAGTCAGTGGCAGTATTTCGTGTCTCAAGTTGAGATTGAGGGCGAGGATCGCGTATCAGAAGATGGCAAAGTCTGAATGATATTGGACACTCGGCTGTTCGTCACATTTTCAGATCGGCGCTTTCATGATGCAACCATGGCTGGCCACCACTAGTGGTCGAGAAGAGCGGACAAGAGAGAGGATAGAAAAACGAGGTAAGAAGAATGAGGATGCTTTACGACCACACGACGGCTTAAAATCAACGAATTGAAGTCTGGAGAAAACGTGCTCACTATGTATCAACCACCTGAACTTTACCTCAAGTGTCAGGTATGAAGCACGGTACGACGGGCCGCCTGATATCTGTTCCCTGCCTACAGCGGCAAGATATTGAACATGAATTAAACACTTTATATGAACGGTTCTCTCGTGCCTTCATATCAGAGAACAATCTAGATCGGGCCGCCCCGCGATGCATTCTAACAAGTCAAGAGGACGCATTAGCAACCGATGGTGCTTTGCGTGACCACTCGTTTGTACATATCTCCTGCAAGAGCCATTTTGACAGACTTCCGCGACTGACATCGATGATGGCTTTGTATGTCGGTGAGAAGTATCCTGCCACAATCTTCAGGTCGGCGCTTTGGTTCGTCATATGAGGGACGCGGAAAAGGACCCAATTCAGATCAGGGTCCTTTTCCCCAGCGTCCATAACCGCCTCTGTTATGCCAACCATTTCTGCGTGTCCTTGGGGCATCAAGGGTGTGAAATGAAGAGTCACCCTCCACAGTCGAGACATTGATTCTCTTTCCCCCGGATATGTGAATGCTGCCGCTGTGCTCGGGGCCAAAATCCGGGACACGCCGCAGGACTTCATGGTCGGTAGAATGACGGTGCGGAGAGCGTCCGCGACTGGATGTGACTTGTCTCGCGTGAACAGTGGCTTGAAAGATTCATAGGTCCCGACTATGGACAAGACACATGTGACTGTGGGGAAGTCAGGTTGTGTGCTCGGCGAAAGAGCCTTTTTGATGGCAGCAGCATCGTCAATTTGCCCTTGAATCACCCGAACATGGGCTGATTTGGAAACCGAAGCAGGGAGCTTGGACTCTGAGCCTGGCCGGACGAAGAGTGTCAGGAGTGGTGGCTGCTTGAGCGCTAGAGCTGTGTTGATAAAGACAATGCCTAGACGTCCCGTAGCTCCGAGGACCAGGATATGCTCAGTTTTCAGCGCTGCGAGGTGGTCGGTCATCCTAGCAGAGATTGTAGTTGCCAGAGTACTCAGATTCAAATGACAATGGCGTAGTTATCGAGTCCTCAAGCTTGCGAAGGGGCCCTAGTGTCGCTCTCTCGAAAGCCTCTCAAGTCTGTCGCCAGTGATGCCCCAGGAGATGAGGGTGAGTGTGCCAGTTTTATAGTGACTGTGACGAAGCTACCCTGGCAGACGCGCAAGCCAATCATGGAACTCGCCGCATATCAGGCTGGTCTGCGAACCCGGCGTCAGAGCCGGGCTCACTATTGCTGGATCTAGGCATCAGCGATAATGAGGGAATCTACTACTGACAGCGTTATTTGGCGGTGTCGAACAATACAATACACAATCGAGACAATCACACTAACCCCGGACATAGCGGATTTATCCGAGCACCACCGCGGAGCAGCATCCGCCACACAGCGACCGAGCTTATTGTCAGGGTTGGTAACATCTCCCAGCGTCCTCTACACTGTGGAACCGTACTTGTGGCTATAGATAGATGGGCTTCCCCCCTTAGGAACAAAGAAGCCCAAGCAAGTCAATCACCTCAATCTTTGACACTTATCCCTTGTTCATGATCGAGTTGAAATGCCAGTGACATCTTCGACATCAAAGCCCTGGACATCCTTCATGATCCAGGTACACTTCCGCCACTGCGTCCTGACCCAACAGATAAATATATGCATGAGCACACAACAGAGCCACTGTTGAATGAAAGCTGGTAGTTTGATTATGCCAACCCACAAAACGATCTCGGTGTCTGGATTGGTCTCGGCGTCCTGGTATACAGCATTCGTATGTGGGGCCGGTTGCCATACTCCCGAGGGGGGTATGAAAGTCACAATCGAACACTGGCGCTGGTGCTATTCGTTGTCTGTGACTTCTTCTCGATTCTACTGTTGTTTCCATTGATAGAACCTTAGGGAGAACAGGCAAATAGGAGGAGATGGTCCCCCAACCCTGAGACCTCGGGCCTGCGAGGAAGCGTGACTCGAACACCCCGACTCGAACACCGTGACTTCGAATAGGCTAACAGCGGTTCCCGTGGTTGAGTGCAGACTGCTTCAGTGCCCCCTCTTGTCTCGAGATTGCGGCGCACCCTGACTGATATATATTATCCATGCCACACTGCCTACTTTTCTCACTGATCGCAGATCAGTGAGCCGTTAAAGTACCATGTCTACGAAATCACATCTTGTCGCAGGCGGGCTGGGGTTTGCGTCGCATCTCATACTTGCAAGTCGCGAAATAGATCGCCATGCGCATATTCCAATACTTTTTGGTCTTTCCGTAGTCTCCTCTTTGGCGCTTTTACCAAGCCTAGGAGGAGATGTCATTTCCATGGACTGGTCTTGGAAGTACATCGTGCAGTTCATAACTTGTTATATACTCGCCCTCTTCTCTAGTATAACCATTTACCGAGGGTTTTGTCATCGACTGCGAAAGGTAATAAATTGATCCATTGGAATACACACCTTACAAATTTCTAACACGTTCCAGTTTCCTGGTCCATTTCCCGCAAGACTGTCCAAATGGTACGGATTTTGGCTCGCTTCCGGCACTCTTCAATATCACCTCGAGGCAGAAAAACTGCACAAGGTGTACGGCGATTATGTTCGCACAGGTACAAGCGTTAAATTGCCTCACTGTAGTCGTTCCTGACTTTTCAATAGGGCCTCGGGAGCTGTCCATCATTGATGTCGATGCAGTCGCCAGTATACACGCAGCTTCGACCAAGTGTACCAAGGGCCCATGGTATAGCATGAGCCAGCACATAGAAGGGTTGTCTTTGCAAACAACAAGGTGCAGATCGACTCTGTTTGGACTGTGACCGGACCAAGTTGATGCTAATACTGTGGACCAACTAGATCTAAGCCGGAGCATAACCAGCGCCGTCGGAAATGGGACCGAGGCTTCAATGCCAAAGGTAAACCCAGCTTTGAACCCTGCACCATGGACAAGACACTGAGCAGAGACCTTAGCATTGCGTGACTACGAGCCACGCGTGAACCGACACTCGAAGTTGTTGAACCAGCAGCTCCGTGCGCGTCAGGGACAAACCTTGCGCATATCAGATTGGGTAAACTTTTACAGCTTCGACGTCATGGGGGATGTCGGGTTCAGCAAAAGTTTCCACATGGTGGAAAATGGAAAAGAAGATAATATCATCAAATCCCTGCACAAGTCCATGCATTTGCTAGGATATTTGACACACCTACCATGGTTGATCACCTTGCTAATGCGACTTCCTGGAGGCGCCTCCGATCTCACTACCTTCATGACTTGGTGTAGTTCGGTGCTCAAAGATCGTAAAAAGGTAAGTGCTTCAGCCAGAACCCAATTAATGCCATTCCACAACGATGGATCGATCGACTAGTAGTAGGGGTTTTGACGAAATGACCAAATAGATCACACCAGACGAGCCGGACATCGTCTCGTGGCTTATGAACGAGAACGACCAGGGCATACCTCAAGACCTCAATGCTGATGCTCGACTGCTCATCGTGGCTGGAAGGTAAGTAATTGATCCACCGTCGAAGCGTTATGATGCTTGAGTCGGGGTTATACTAAACCTGAGCAGCGATACCACGTCGGCAACGCTGACCTGGATTCTGTATGAACTGGCAATGCATCCACAGCAGCTCAAAAAGCTACAAGCTGTGATCGACCTCATCCCAGAAAATGATGGTATGATCGATTGCAGGAGCGTGGCAAATGTGGCGGAACTTGATGGCGTTATCAATGAGGCACTTCGTTTGCATCCTGCGGTACCTGACACTCACTACCTCTCTTTGAGAAGTCGGCTAATCTTTAACAGGTCCCTTCAGGAGTGCAACGGGAAACACCAAAAGAGGGTCTGATTGTGGGAGACAACTACATTCCAGGAAATATTCTGGTCTGGACCCCTCCCCACACCTTACAAAGAGGTATGTGTCTGGTCTCTGCAAGTGAAAGCATACATGCCAACGATGCCACCCAGATGAGCGGTACTTCGTTGACCCACTCTCTTTTGTTCCGGAGCGGTGGACAACTAAACCCGAAATGATATTAGACAAACGCGCATTCATACCGTTTGGCATCGGTAAGCAAATTCACATTTCATGGTTGGAGGGAAGGAAAGGCTGAGATTTGAATTATAGGCTCTTATTCATGCGTCGGGCAGAAGCTATCTCTTCTGGAGATGCGGACAGTAGTGGCAAATATTGTTCACTATTTCGACATTGCATTAGCGCCAGGGGAAAATGGCGAGTCGCTGATGAAAGATACCAAGGACACATTCACGCTCACCATGGGAAAACTTGATGTGGTACTCAGCGTCCGAAAGTGAAATCTAGTTTGTTTAGACAACACGCTCGCTCACCACAATTGTCGACCAGGTCAGATTCAGTAGACCAGAGTCTGTTTTTATGGGCCCCCATCATGTTCTGTGATTCCACGGCCTCTGTCTTTGTGTTGTCGTTTCTCCTTCTATTAGTACGAATACAGAGTACTATACTCGTCATGATCATGTGATATCAAAACGGTTGTTTCCCTGTGCAGCAACCTGATAAGAGGAAGGAGGGAGTGATGAATCTGGAATCTCTGATTGGCCAATCTGGTCCCACTACGTCATTTATGTAAACAACCGACTTTTCCACTTTTCCACTTTTGCTTCTCCACAGAATCACAGACTGCGACGGAGGGGGAGATTAGGAACATCAGACGCACCTTGTCGCATCGCATCCCATCGCAAATTCACTTTGGTTCATGTTGCTTGCTTGAGCACACTCGTTTGGCTGTTTGTTCTTGTCGCATCAGAGCAATTCAATTTGGGATTTATTTCACCGTCTTTTTCTGTCCACTCTTGCCTTTCTTACCCTCTCACTTTATCTCTGCCTGATCTTCCGAGACATCTCCTCTACCATCCTCGTTTCTCAACCACCAACACTACCACTAACATGGCTGCAAATACGCCTCAAGGTATGGCTCCCTCTAGGACTTGTTCGCCCCAGTGCTGACCTCGTCACCAGAATTATCCACCCCTCTAAACTTCCATACATCCCTCCTTCCTAAACCGAACCCATGGTCTGTCAATGCCGTGTTAAAAGATCTTCCCAATCCGCCTCCTGAAGGGTCTTCCTCTCCAATCTCCTTTTTCCACTACATCGAGCGACTCAAGATTGAAAAGCGCGAAGGATGGCGCAGGTTCGGAATTGTTAGGGGAGAATCCATCGCCGACCACATGTACCGAATGTCATTAATCACCATGCTCGCTCCACCCTCGTTAAGTTCCAAGTTGAACATCCCCAGATGTACCAAAATGGCGCTTGTACATGACATGGCGGAAGGACTGGTAGGAGATCTGACACCAGTTGACGGCGTTCCCAAGGTCGAGAAGAATCGAAGAGAAGCCGCAACTATGGACTGGATCGCATCGTCATTACTGGGCAAGGTTCACGGCGGAGTCAATGGAAAGGAAATCCAAGAGGTCTGGCAAGAGTATGAGGACAGCGAAACCCTAGAAAGCCATTTTGTTCACGATGTGGACAAGATTGAGTTGATTCTACAGATGGTCGAATATGAACGAGCCAGCAATCTACAGGTTGATCTGAGTGAGTTCAGCTGGGTAGCCCAGAAGATTGTTCTCAAGGAGATGAAGGACTGGGCCAAGGAGATTCTGGATGAGAGAGAGACGCTCTGGGCGGAGAAAAATATTCAGCCACGGGATCCTACCAATGCCGAGTACATCAAGGCAAGTCATGACGAGTATTACGGAAATGGAGCTGGGAAGAAAGACGGGGCAGAGACGAACGGTGTCAAGGAAGAGATCAACGGTCATAGCAAATGACTCCAGAGCATGAAGACAGAATCGGATGAGATGAGATAAGATGATGAGAGAGCAACGATACCCTTTCAAGCCCAGGAGAAGCATTAATTAGAGACACAGTTAGATTCAGCAATGAAGCCCATCGGCCACCCATATTGTACTACAGTGTATCTCTTTCTCCCTACCTATCTATCTCTAGTATTCCAACCCATTACTTACTCCTCCTTCCCATCCCCGTCCCTTTCCATCTCCCTCCTCAACCACTCCGCCTCCTTCATCATAACCTCCACCGACCTGGCCTCTCTATCACTATCCGGCCCCTTAGCAAACTCCCTCCTTTCCCCACCACGTCCGTTTAGCTGTTGCCCCTCAATCCTCCCTCTATTCCTCCTCCACACATCCAAAAACTGACTTCCCAAATCCCCTTCCTCGCCATCCATCAACTCATAAATCGCATCCCCACCCCCTCTCTCATCCATATCCCCACCTCGCCTCGGAATCACATGGACATGGACATGCGGCACCGACTGACCGGCATCAACCCCGTCTTGAACAGCTACATTCATCGCCGTCGCTGAATACAGTCGTTCTAGTGTCCGTGACACTCTTCGAACCGTGTTGAATAGATCGGCTGTTTCCTCGCCGTTGAGTTGTGATAGTCGTGGCACTGATCGGACGGGACAGATGAGGATGTGCCCGGGTAACAAGGGTTTGAGATTCACCAGACCGAATGTTAGGCGAGATGGTGAGATGTGGAAGACTTGGTTGGAGATGGCGAATGGGCCGAATTTGAGGTTGGGTGGGAGGGGGAGAGGGGGCATTTTTGTGGTTGATGTGGTTGATGGTGATGTTGGATGTTCTGTTGTCTCGTTCGTAAGACTGTCCGCCGTACTCTTTGTCTGCGTCATAATAAAGCTATCCAATAATATGTCACTCGATTGGGTGATAGTAGATGCTGATGCAGATATCTATCCAATATCCAGCCTTTCAAGTAGCTGGAACAGCTACATTGGTTGTCCTTGAGAATTGTAGGGTTTGGCGGATGAGTCCTGTTGAAGGTGTATATCTTTCGTCAAATCACCCTTCTAGTTGTCGTACTGAAATCCAGAACTTTGGCCATCGTTGAATGTGTATATTGTCCCAGGGTAGGAATAATAATCATGGTTTCTTTAAAGTTGGTCCATCAAAAATGTCGCTCAGTCACGTGATTCAGCCTCTTCTCGGTTCCGAGATGATGGTGGTGATGATGATGATAATGAGGTTTATTCTATACTGAAAGTCTTCCTACTTTAAGGTCTTACTCTCATTAGAACACTATGTCCACAACTTTCAGTGCAGAAAACATTTCGTGATCGCCCAAAATGGATAAGATCCCGATTTAATCGGTGGTGAAAGAATACCTCATATTGAAGGCCTCTTGAAATGTTCATGCGCGAAACCCTGGATTGAGATTATGTGCGCTGCATCAAGATATGTCGCTGCTAATCGAGAGACTGATATCCGAAGAATGTCTTCAGACCACAGACTACAGTCTTCAGGAGAGGAAAGCAGGTTGCAGCTACATTCCTGGCCTGGTGGATTGCCGCAAACGGGGAGAAAGCCACAATGACACGACTTTGACCACTGAAAGCTGAGGTGAAACTGCGAACGCAAAGCGATCCCTTCAATCAATGTTCTGAGTGATCAAAGAAATAATTTTCGCTCGTGTGGACTCAATCTCTGGCCAGATATGGTGGTCAACCAGGCTACAATCTGTCTCGCTCAGGACTCCTCTTTCCTTCATGCCCCCCCATAGACGAGCGATAGAATCTGTAAAGGCACCCTATTTCACCTCGTCATCTTTGTCTCAGGCTCGTGTAAGATAGGCACGGCATTGCATTTACACTCTCAGCCCACGGCCAAGGTTAACAATGCACCACCGACTTTCACAGATGGCCTTGCTGACAGCCTCTTCCTTCTTCAGGAAACGACAAGTATTCACTGCCGTTGCTTCCTTGGCTTTGTTCCTTATTACATTTTGGTCTATTCAATGTAGTCGGCCGCTCCTTCTATTACCCAAATACTCACACGCCTCCTCTGGTAGCCCCTACCTCTTCAAGGGCCCTAATGCACAAGACAAAGCCATCGTGGTTGCCAAAATGTCATACGAAAACGTGAGCTGGCTCTCTGAGGGACTATCAGAGTACGTTGTCTATCTGGCAACGCAAATCTAAAAGAGTATGAGCTGACCATAGCTGAACTAGTTGGCAGCATGCCATCTACCACATGGATGACCCAAATGCCGAGCTACATCCTACATCTAACAAAGGGAGAGAGGCCATGGCATATCTCACTTACTTGATCGACCACTACGACGTTCTTCCAAAAACCAGTCTGTTTCTTCACCCGCATAGAAGCGGCTGGCCTATTGCATGGCACACAGACGCTGAAGACTATGACAATGTCATATCAGCCCAAAGTCTACAGCTCAATCATGTCCAACAACATGGCTACGTAAACATGAGATGCATAGCCGTTCCCGGATGCCCCGATGAGATCCAACCATTCCGAGTCCATCCTGACCGCCCATATGAAGTTGCCTTTGGAGAAGCGTACAAGTATATGTTTCAAGTTGCCGATGATATAGACGTTCCTCAAATAATTGGAACGCCCTGCTGCCCCTAATTTGCAGTTTCTAGAACCCAAGTCTTGAGCCGTCCTTTGTCAGACTACCTCCGATATCGCCAGTGGCTTTTGGATACTTGGCTCAGCAGCCATGATTCTGGCCGTGTTCTAGAATACATGTGGCACATCATTTTCGGGAAAGGTCCCGTGTGGTGTCCCGAACTCCAACAGTGCAGGTGTCAACAGTTTGGCCGCTGTTGAAGACTACACAACTGTACATATCTCTCAAATCGCCTTGCGTGGTTCTGTGCCAACTAATTTTCCAGCAATAGATTGTGTTTTCGAAACTCGGCAGGAGTCAACTTTGTTGCCGGACTGTTCATGTTAATTCTGCGGAGGCGGTCATCCTTTAGGATCTTATCCCTTTGTCTTCTTCTGTATGTTTGATGATCAAGGAAGTCAGGGATCAAGGCTTCCGAGATTGTATTCAAGACAGAACTCCATTTTCTGCGAAGCCTTTTCGGCGTACAGAACTCGCATTTACAAGCCGACAACTGCCAGTATACTTTGGCCCAAATCTGATATTCGAACAGGTGGTGCCATTGCACCGTCGCATGCTCCATCTCTGCATCTGTCAACCGCAGAGTTTTCTGCAAATCGAGATAGTATTGTCGCCAAGGGCCTGGGGGTTGCTCTGGTCTGCAGCAGTCTTGCTCCTCGTATAAAAGCTCGAGAGCTTTTGAGGCCAGTTGCACCACGTCGCAGTGGTAATCGACGATCAATTGTTCTCTAAAAATCGACATGCCCAGCACGCCGTAGATTTTATCGCGGATGTCGCTGCACTCTTGCCCACCATAAATCTCAATCAGACCATGGAGATCACGCGCTTCGTGCATACATGATTCTGACTCAAGGCCTCTCGGACTCACAAACTTGCTGAGCAGCACGCCTGCTCCAAAATCATGCCACGACAAGGCAAGTCCGAAGCTCCGCAGTGACGAGAACTCGTCTCCGAGGGCGATACTGACGTTCTTGGCTAGAAGAACTTCTTGTATTACCCATAGACGGCGCCAATATGGATGATCCAAAATAGGTTGCACGTGCTGCCGCTTGAACTTCTCAAGCTGGGCATAGTACTGAACTGTGTCTGCTCCCTGCAGTTTATCCATTTGATCCAACCATCGGTAGCTTTCCAGCGCCTGTAGGCGGCTGTTGATACTTGCCTCCGCCAGCCAGATGACAACATTGGCGGCCCCATTGAAAATGTCCCTCATCAACATGACTTGGTGGCCTCGCTCGGCTATATTGTCCTGGTCAATACATATGGAATCAGCCCAGAGCTTTGTCGGCATCTTCTTCTGGTCTGAGTCACAGTAGTACTTGAGCAACAGCCAGATATTCTTTCGGAGCATCAGATATCTGCCATCTATCCATACCCTGTGTTTGGGTTTATCAGTGCCCCAGGTGTACGATATGGCAGTGTAGTTGTCTCTTGCATCCTCAAGGTCAACACGGCGAAGGCTCAGAGCAATTTCCCCATGCTGTCCCATATGAACCTTGCTAATCAGCCGTATCGTTCGAGCATGTTTGTCAAGTGGTCGATAGGAGTATCGCTGAGCCTTCATGGTATACACAGGGTTGTCTTCATTGTACTGAAGCATCAGAGACCAACGAGGGCAAGATTAATGGAAAACCGACGTGACGAATCTGCTGGTTAGGCTGAGGCGTTATGGTAATTATCTGAACATGCTGGGTCGGTCGAAATAGTTGCGCCATGCCTTTGAGGCGTCCAATCATAATCCGAGGCAGTGTTGTTGTTGGATTGAAACATCGATAAGTGTCCCTCCCCCTCCCCAGCCACTCCATTGCCACATTTCAGCCTGATCAGAGTTGTCACCTGAGGTGGGAGGTTGGCTCTGGACACTGCAGTCTGGCGACAGCATAGCAAGACAATGCGAACTACGACTCGTCCTCGACAGAAACTTCCTTGCAAGCTACTAGCTTGACCTTGACTCTCATACACGAACATGCAACCTATCGGGCCAGGTCCTTGGGCGAAGCTTCTGCAGGAAGATGAATTTCGGTGGATGTCCGAGAAGGGAATTCCCCATCTCGAATTTGGATCGTCTGTTTTGTTGAAATTGAAGCGACCATGGGAGTCTTATATTGAAGCCTTGAGTTTACTCCCACTTAATTTAATAGCTCTTCGTTGTAATGCTATTCATATCAATGAGAGTCAATTTTGCTTGTCTTAGTCCTCCTCATTCAGAAGAATGCTTGCTGTAGATGTGAATCCCCTGGAAGATCGTCTATGATCACGTGGGAAGCACGTGACATGGCGATACCCGACGAAGTCGCGATGACGCCTTTTGTCAACTTTGACATTGATACAAATCAATAATAACTGTCCCTGGATCACCCTCGTCGTCGTTCCCCACACTCATTTTAGTACAGAATCACGCGGATCATGAATCCAAATCATTGTGTCTTATAATCTGCCATCGACTAGAGAAAACTCGCAGCCACTTTCACCTTGAAATCCAAGTGACAATCACCTGGTATGGACATCTGATATTCAGTACTTTCTGGCGACGACAAGTACACGCCGTACCACATACAACGAAGCTTTCCCTCCTATACATAATTCAAGTGAAGGCATTACAATCATGGCAAACCCTTCAGACCCACCCTCCACCACCACCACCAGTACCACTCTCCACACATCCAGCCAAACAGGAACATTCAATTTCGCATATGGATCGAATCTCTCACCCTACCAAGTCTCACTCCGCCTCCAAGCCAGTCGCGAAAGCAGTATTCCCGTGGCCGTGGCACGATTGGATTCATTCTCATGGATAATCTGTTCACGCGGATACGGCAACATCGTTGCCCTTCCTCCACCTCCTCCACCTTCGTCCACCACCACTGCCACCATCTCAGATCCAATCGCCACTCAAGTCTACGGAATCATCTACAACCTATCGCCACGCGACGAGGAAACTCTAGATGAATATGAAGGCCATGATCCAATCCGTAATCCAACTCCAACACCCAATCCATCTCCTTCAGAAGTCGAACGGCGTCGGAAACCGTTTCTTCAAGGCGGTTGGGATTATAATAAACTCTATGTCCCGGTCACAGTGACGAAATGGTTACAGGATCCGCGTGAGTATGGGGTGGATGTGTCGAGTGGAGATGGAGGTGGGGATGTTGTGACGGTGTCGGTCTACGTCGATGAATTGAGAACCGAGCCTGGAATAATCTCGTTCGAATATATTGGTCGCATGAACCGTGCGATACGCGAGAGTGTGGCTTTGGGTGTACCGGAGAGGTGGGTGGAGACGGTGATAAGACCGTTTGTTCCAAGCGGGATTGAGGTTGCTGATGAGCAGTATATTGGTGATAGAGATGGGTTTATTGAGGGGGAAAATGGGAGGGATGTTAGAGAGGGGAATGGGAGTCAGGTTACTCATGTAGTCGATGCTGATGATGATGATGATGACACGAAGGCTGTGTAGGTAGGTGTAGATATGTTATGTTATGGGTTTATATGTACATATGTACATACCTAGATATATACATAGATGGATAGACAGATAGATGGAGTGTATCATACTCATCTCATCTCATCTTACATCTCTATCTCCCTCCTTCTTCTTGCCTGTCTGATGCCATATAGGCTTGGTATATAATGTGACATGTGTGGGAGGTATTTCTTCCTCCTTGCCTTCTTTTTTCCCATTCTTTTCCATGCGAGAATGCCCATGATCATGGGTACCCATTTCTAGGTCCGAATAAGAACGCCAACCCAACCCAACTAAATAGGACCCCATTCTTGATCAAGTCTTTGGATATATGTGTATGACCCACCCACCGAAAACCCCACCGGCGCCATGCAAAACAAAACAAAATGAATGGTCGAATGAAATATGCAGACTCTCGCATGTACCGTATCATTCGATCGATCACCAATCCCTCTCGGGTTGATTCTTTCATGCATTCTCCACCACCAAACCCACACTCAATCCCGGTCTATGTCCTCTTTCCGCCGGAATCACCATGGGACTATAACTTTTCTTTTCCAGAATCTCCCACTTTCGAGCTTCTTTAATCATGGCCTTTTCCTTTTCCTTTGTTTCCGCGATTGGAACTTCTCGCTTGGCGATACGAATCTTGTCTTTGGACTGGGACCTTGATCCGGATCGGGCGCGTCGATGGCCGAAGAAATTCGATTTCGATCCTGAGCGACGGTGGGATGAGATGGATGATGAAGCTTGGTGTTGATGTGTGTGCTGGTGTTGGAGCGACTGTTGATGCTGATGCTGGTGTTTCTGAGAAGTTGGTGTTGCTGCTGCTGTTGCTGCTGCTGTTGCAGGTTGAGGATGGGTCTCGGAGCGTTTCGTTCTTTGTCTGATTCCTGCTACCCCTCCTGCTCCTCCTGCTGGGATATGGACATGTGCGCTCCTTTTGCGAGATATAGATACTGTCCGGGCGACAGCTACCATGTCGCTGCTTGAGACTGGGTTGAGAGCCACAGGGTTAGGACGGGAGGGCGGCACGGTTATCTCTAGGCCTTGTAACGATGATTTTGGGATCCCTGACGCCGGAGAACTCGTGTTGGCTGATCCTGCTGTGCTCAAGGTTGGTTGTTGATCCTTACCCCGTACTGAGGTGTTGATTGGTGTTAGATTTCTACTCTCGTTGCGAAAATGGGTTTTCTGAGACTGAATGGTCCGCTCAACTGCGTTGATGGTTCCTTTGGCTGCGAATCTCGATATAGGAATGAATTTGGCATCTTTTTCTGGAACCGGTGGCGGCCTGTCTTCAGTGGGAGACAGAGGTGAAGCGACGAAATTCCTCCTTGAGAAAGGTGGTCCCTGAGGTAATGTAGGTGAATCATCACATGGTCGGTCTAGTCGTTTTATCACTTCTCTACGAGCGGGCGCAACCTTTTTCGGCTCTGCTTCTGATGGAGGTGGCGGCGGGGGTTGTTTCGGGAGTGAAAGTGCGACACTGGGCTGTGGGGACTGGTTGTAACCAACTTTAGGCGACACGTCTTCTTTGACTTCGACAACTGGAGATGGGATTGTTCTGCCGACATCGGAATGTGATTTCCCTCCAACGCGAAGTCCAAGGGAACTGCCTTCTGGGGTTTTGTGATGTGACCGATCTTCTAGAAGATTCATCGCCGTGATGGGCGATCCTAGACTTGGGAAATTGAGTGGAGAGATTTTGACCTGAGCGCTGTCCTCTGCTGTTGTCGGGGATGTCAGTCGTTCCACTGCTGCAATTGCCTCTTCGAAATATGCCGTATTGACAGACGTGTGTTTGGTGGTGGCAGCAGATGTCTGAGTTGTTCTAGTTTTCGGAGCGAAGATTGATGATTCAGCCAAAGAGCTATAATTTAAAGTCAAGGTCGGCGGTGGTCCACGATTAATTCGTGGGCGGGGCGCTTGTGCTGATCCTTTGGACCTGGTGCGACAAAGTTCTACTGCCACGGAATCTGGCCGTGTCATGACAAAGTGGCCGTCTTCGACTCCTTTTGAATCTCGGAAAGATCTGATGTCGAAGAAGATATCGTCTACAGTGGTATTGGACGACACAGACGACTGTAGTGAATGATCGGCGCTCCAAGGGTTGGACTTTGTAGTTGAAGCAGTGTTGTCGTCGGGACTATCAACAAGTGGCTCGGCGGGATTAAAGCGTCTCGGTTGTAGAGGTTCAGGCTTGATGTTGGAGAAGTGATCCTCCATAGGCGATAATCTGGCGGGCGAAGTTGCTGATCGTTTGAGTTGGAGGGTATTGGCCTGTGGAGGTGCCGTACTTGCTTGATTGTTCAAGATCTTGGCCGGAGCTGGTGATGCTGTCGGGAAAAGTGAATACTTAGAAGGCGTTGGTCTGTGCACGGGGCTTGTTAGGCCTCTCGGTCGACGATGGGGTGCGAGTGATTCCGCAGCGGCCTGAGCAGGCACCTTTTCATCCTCATCTTCCTTTGTTGTTGGGCGGCTATCCTCCAAAGACTGCAAGCTATCAAGTGCTCTACTGCGGCGGGCAAGTAGAGATGAAGACCGGTTGGCAGGAATGCTTCTAAACATGACACTGTAGCGATCAAAGGGTGGAGAGGGAACGGGGATATCAAGTTCCAATTTTGGGAGAGGTGGTCTAACATATGTTTTGTTGATAGAGCCACTGCTGGACACTGATGAGATGATTGAAACGGCATCGTCATTATCATGATCACCTGACTTTGTTGTCGATTTCGTAGCAGAAGTGGGCTGAGGAGGAGGAGGCTGTAGCCTAGGCCTCTTTTCAATGGGAGGTGGTGGAATGACGTCGACATCTTCCGGTGGCTCTATTGACACTGCTTGTTGGGTTGAGAATTCATGTTTAGACAACGCGACCTCTGGATTCTTGTCGAGTACAACCAATCCAGTAGGAAGACCAATGGATGGTCCCTGGGAGGAATCATCACGTTTGAAGGATTGGTTGCGATTTTTGAACAAGACGCCGAACTTCTTCCACCTCTTGGACTGCATTTGAAGATAGTTTTCAGTGCGAGGTGGGTAATATCTGTACTTCGGGCTCGAGCCCTGAGGAGAGATTGACAGGTTTTGTCGTGGATGCCTTCGAGCGACTTGAGCGAGGCCGACGTGACTGTCGTTGGGTTTCACAGTTGCATAATGTGATCTTAATGTTGATGGTTTTTGTCTGTCGGATGTTCGAGGCCGTGAACGTAGGACTTCAACGCGGCCTCCCCGTCGTCCCGGTCCTCCTGAGGTCCTTGGGCGAACGGTAAGTTCGACTGGTCTTGGTTGGAGATGAATCGACAATGTAGAATCAGCAGCGAGAATTTCGTCAAATGCAAAATCGAAATCCGTCTTGGTCGGATGCCGCAGATCGGAAGATTGATTCACAGGCTTTCGTTTACGAACAGACAACCACTTTGTGGGCATGATGCGAAAAGAGCCCGAGGGCGAGCTTTGTGAGGGCGATAAGGACTGGAGTTTCAAACGAATCTGACAAATGACGATAGAGGCAGTAGAGCCGAACCCCAAAGGGGGACGTTCGGCTAAGCTTGAGAAACGAGAGCACCTTGAAACAGTTGAGGTTCGGTAGAGGCAAGTTGGCTGGACAAGCTCATACTTAAAGATGGGGACCGAGAAAAACGAGAATGTAGTAAGACAAGAAGCCGAATTTGTGTAGGATGAGAAAAGAAACAACAAGTGTTGCAATTAGAGAGAGTGAGATCAATCACTGTACTCTCCCATATAGTATGTAGTTGAAGTTCATGGGAAATAAACCTACCTGTGAAGCAAAGGCATGGAACTGCTTGGACTAGGGTTCCATGATGACTTGCATGGACGGACGGGTTGATGTTACGTGGTGATGCTTGGACTTGGGTATGGCCATCCAGCGTCTGCTGCCATTGTTGAAACACACGGGAGAATCGTATCCATGATGAGCTTGCATATGCATCTGTGGCCTCGGAGGTGACCAAGGATGAACCTCGTGGGTGTCGCTCCATGCCCAGGTTTTTGGTGGAGGTGAGGATGGCCCTGGTGACCCTGATGACACTGGTGGTTCCATGATCAGAAAGAAAAGAAGTCGAGGATCAGAGGGAAAAAGAGAAGAAGAAGGGGAATTGTGGGGCGCGGGGCACGACACGTGTCAACAGCCAATGATAACGCGTCACTTCGAACAGTTAAAAGCTTGGCGTGCTTCAGATTCTCTTTAGTCTCTCGTCTCATCTGCGTGGCGTCTCTGCCTCTCACGACCGAACCCTCACAACCCTACAAGTCAAGTGTCTCCTTAGACCAGGGTCCAGGGTCGGTCATTCGATGCCGGGGTTGTCAGGGTGCAGCTTCTGCATCTCGTCAAGATCCATCCTTCAACGATCTCCTGGCCAGAACGGTGGAGTGACGCATGATCACGAGGACATATAATGAATGGGCCTGCGTGCCTGTGAAACTGCGGCCCCAATGTGAGTTATTTGCAGAGGCAGATGGGAGATGGAAACAAATCCTGGGCGGCTATCTTTGGTGTTCTCACTCTTGTCATCACCATCACTGACACTCAAACAGAACCACTCAACTCCCATTGCAAACTCGAGACTGTCGGATGTCGGATCTCTCCCTCTTTTTGACTGGTCTGCCGCCATCTCACACACCTTGCTATTCCCCTCCTCGTCCTGCCAATTTAACCATCCATGTATTCCTCGCTTCTTACCACTGGCTCTGAAACATGCCGTTTCTACCCCACCAAAGTGTCTCTCCTCTTGATTGTCGACAAGACTATTTTCTCTGGTTCACCTCATTATGAGTTACGAAATTGACATATAGGTTACGATGGACACAGGTGATGATTGTATTTCGAAAGGATACTGTAAATTCAAACTCCGGCTCCCCGTGAATCGATATTGACCTAAATCGCCGACAATTCTCTTCCAATTACAGTAGGTAAATACCTGCAATGCTTAGCTTATCTTTTGTAGATCCCTCTTGGCCATTGCGTTGCTTTGACATCTGAAAAGGTTCGCCAAGGGTGCGTCAATACACATGGTCAGCAATCCGTGGATGCATCTCATCCCTTCCATTTGAGCCTCATGCACATGATCATACAAACTCGAGGACGTCCATCTCCTCACAAGAGATTCACGTCCCATCGGAGTCGTTCTTGTGCCATCTTACCATTAATCGCAACGCTGAACCGGTGAAGCAGAGGACTTGGAAGAGCTGGTTTTCGATGGCGAACAGAGAGATGCTCAGCTAAATGCCGCTGAGTTGCAAATGTGGTTCGTCCAAACTCAAGATCCTTGCCCAAAGCATAGCAGAACAGGCATCCGTACTCTGGACGTAGTGCTCGGCTTGCTGTCGCTCTTTTAGACAACGATACCGTTACGCTTTCCCGTCGTGTCGACGTGCCCAACGTCTTGCTGTGCGGAGCCAAGTAAAGGTGAGACTTGGCCAAGAATGAACTGCGATACTGGACACGGATAGAATCATGTTGATGGATTTCATCCGTCGAATGGATGTTGCTGGTCGTCGAGCTGGAAACATGGAAGTGTACCTTGAAATTACATTCGGGACATTCCCAGTCGAGAAAGACACCTTTAAAGTCTCGCATCTTACGTTGATCTGCTTCGGAAAGATTGCTCCTGTCGACGATTGATATCTTGCCCTTGTCACGCAAATTGATCATCTGCAATGCTCCGCTGCAGAATCTGCCAATCTCGTTGGGTCGTTGTTCTTCGGGAATGATGCGACGTGGGTTACTAGGACTTCGATGTGGAATCAACCTGACTTGCTCCATGCGATACTCCAATGTCTTCCAGATTGTGCTGAATGGTAGACGTTTGTGCAACGACGGATCATAATGGTCTGCAAACACCTTCTGAATCCCGAGCGCAGCATTGAGAAGTTGGTCGATGATACTGATCAGATACTGGGACGAAAATTGATCCGAATTATCAATTAGATGCGACAGATGAATATACGACAGCTTGGACAACGCATTTAGCCTTTCCTGAAGGATGAGCAACCGAGGTTCAAACGCTTTGATCTGTGTTGGTGTGGTTTCAGGATGGATATAGTATCCGATAAGGGTCTGAAGTTTGTAGGATATCTCGTCGAGCAGGGCAGTGATATCGGCAATGGCTTGAGGTACGGTAGTTGGCGTTGGAGGAGGGGGTGTCGGTGGTCGCGGCACCAAGTCCGCCATCTGGAAAAAAAGGCGAAACAATCGCAATGTCCTGCTAGACGAGTAAAGGGATTTTGGACTCGGAAGATGATTGTCACGGAAACCTTGTGACAGGATCTGGTCCTATCTTGGTAAACAAGGCTGAGGTTCCAAAGCGGTTGCACAGATCATGTGAGTATCCCTGTCGCCATCACACAATTGTTGGACGTTCTGGGTGGTCCGCACAGTAAGGAAATTCAGCGACTTGGAGACTGTGATGTGAGTAGGAAATCGATCGTCGACAAGGAAGCTTTTACATGAATGGAAACACATGGGATGATCACGAGACGTCCAACACGCCGCCTGAATTGTCAACCCAAATTGCGACCTACCATTGATTTGACTTCAACCGACAGAAATTCGGTGATAGGCTGAAGAGGGTGTGAGGTGACACATGGATGGCTGCACGATTTCAGTAGACTCGTTCAAGAGGAGGGGAACGCAGGCAGTGGGCGAGCTGAGCGAGCTAGGTGAGGCGGCCGTTGAGGTGACCGCGGTGGTCGGTCGCCCGGGACAGCGTGCATCACGCCCTGCAGATAAGATGCAGCATCAATGCATCGTTCTGGGGATTTGATGCCAATGAGAAGCAGAGGAAGCGAACCAAACAACGACGGACAAGCACGACAAGTTCTCGGGTCCAGCGAAAAAAGACGGCGACGGAGTTGGAAGATGGCGCTAATCCTCTTTTGGCGCGCCACGTGCTCTAAGCCCTTTTAGGAATCTCAAATTTATATTTCCAGAGGAAAGCGCCACCAAGACTTACCAATACATCAATTATTTTCTGTTTTAATGTTGTAACACTCTGTCCTGAGCATGCCGACCGAGATAGAAGAGGTGAGTTCTTGTCCTCTGGGAGTTTTGAATCAGGCAGAAATATAGTGGTTGCTAACAGCCTGGATCAAGTTGGTCGAGTTTCTCCATCATGGAAATACTCAGATCAGACAGATAGGTAAGATTTTCTCCTCCTGCATTGCCCAGAGGGTCGATGTGTCTCAAAGAGACAATTGTATGTGGAGGGATCGTGTTGACAATTTCTCCAGCGTGCGAAAACCTCGTTGGTCTCTCATCAGATCCATCCATCTTCAAATCTCCCCAACTAGTCCCCGTCAAGGACTTGAAACTACTGGTTCGAGATTATGCGGTGAGCCATGCTATCACCATCCTTTTCTAGAACACTATCTGAACTCTCAATCTCCAGCCAATAGCCAAAAACGCACTCACAATCCTGATCAACATCAGCCATGACGCCGAGATCCTTAAGTATCTCGTTGAAGACGATGCGTTCGTCGAGGTTTTGCTGAAGAAGATCACTGTACGTCGAACCAACTCACTATGTAACCGCACATATCCATGCTAAGACTCTAAACCTAACCATAGGATCCCAAAGAGCCATCAGCAAATGAAGTCGCCATGCTACTGTCCAACCTTGCCAAATCCGACCATCTAGCCCGCCTTATCACACTACAACGAACACTCCCCGACAAGACCATCTCCACATCACCATACGCGCTCGACCAACTGTTTGATTGCTTCGTCAAGGGTGCAGATGGCAGCCTGAACCCAAAAGCCAACTATGACTACTTGTCATATTTACTAGCCGACATGTCGCGGCATCAGAGCGGCAGAGACCATTTCCTAAGCATACGCGAGTACGATGGGGTGGTTCCCATCAGCAAATTGACTGTCTTCACCGAGCACACGAGCCACGTGCGGCGCGAAGGAGTTGCCAGCACGATCAAGAACGCCGCCTTTGAAGTCGACAAGCACCATCTATTTCTACACGATGAAGCCGGGTCAGGCACGGGAGAGGATACTGGCGCGAATCTGCTACCTTATATTTTGTTGCCCATTGCTGGCTCCGAGGAGTATGCAGACGACGAGACTGCAAACATGTTGCCTGATCTTCAACTTCTGCCACCGGACAAGGCGCGGGAAAGCGATCCCAAAATCCTGGCGACCCATCTTGAGACTTTACTGTTGTTGACTACCACAAGATCTGGGAGAGAGCGGCTCAGAGATGTCCAGGTATATCCAATCATCCGCGAGTGTCATGCAAATGTCCAGGATGCCGATGTCAAAGAGGTCTGTGACCGTCTGGTACAGGTGTTGATGAGAGATGAAGCAGAGGATGACGACGAAGGGAATGATGACGGCAACAAACAGAACAGAATACAGGAAGTAGATGACGATACCACGATAGAGGAAGTGTTCTAATAAAAAGGACCGGCGGTAAAATAGATACAACATGTATATACACATATGGGACAACATCAACAGAGTTTCATATATGCAAACCACCCCCTAACTCCAAGTACCAAACAAACCCCCTATCCATCTATCCATCCATTCCCCCATTCGTAAATCAATCAGCCTTTGGCTTCGCACGTAGAAGATTATCAGCCTTAACCTTCTCCTCCCTCCGCTTCTTCGCCAACAAATTATCATCCACCACCTGCGCCCTTGCACCAGACCAAGCCTTTCTCTTCCCTGTATCAAAAAGCCGCCAAATCGCCGGTGTCAAAACCCCCGAAAGACACAATTTATACAATTCGCGATCCTTCCACCAAAGCTGCCAGGCACGCCACTTGAACCAACCAAACCGCTCAAAGACACCCGTTCCAGCCGCCTTGTCCAGCCACTGTAAATGAACAGGAGGCATAAACGCAACATGAAACCGAGATCTTATCGCCTGCTTCGAGATGATATCCTGTCGCCATGCCTGTTGTCGACGATGCCAATCCTTCATTTCCTCGAACGGTGGGAGAGTGAAATTCCCTTTCCAGACCTGCGAGACGGCCATGCCACCAAGTTCGAACTGTGCGAATCCAGGCACAGCGGTGGCGGCTTGGCCGAGGAATGCCAGTGAATTGCGCACGGCTGGGTCTTCGTGGAGTGGGAACATGTTGCGGTATAGGTAAGGTGTCTCGCCGACTTTGCTGTATGGATTGTATTCGGCGGGCATGCAAGGGACGGCGAAGTCGTAGCCTGTGCAGAAGACGATGGAGTCGATGTCGTTGAGAACTCGGCCGCCTTTGAGTTCGATGGACTTGGGGCCTGTGACGCGTATGTGTTCCGGGACGGCTTCTGCAAAGCCACTTTGTACGTGTCGGTAGAAGGCGTCGGCGATCAATGGGGGTGATGAGGCGATTGATGGAGCTGGAAGGAAATTCCAGGAGTCGGGAATGTCAGGGAAGTTCTTCTTGTGCATTTTGAGTAGTACCGAGTTGGCGATCATGTTGAATATAGTTGGGAAGTACGTGCTGAGGAAGATTTGAACGAATAAAAACGATAAGCTTTGAGTCTGGTCTGAAGTGCTGCCGTTGTCTAGATATCGAGGGGTCTGTTGAGATCAAATGGTTAGCGGGTCCTGTGATTGGAAATGGGTTGGACTTTTGAATTACCAACAGAACTCCAGCCCTATGTGTCACATATATCTTCTTCGCATAGCCCGACAAGTCGGTGATGACGTCTTGAGCTGTGGCCGACAGTCCTATCAGCAGCACATTCTGCCCTCCGTAACGTGATTCGAGTTCCGCCGGTTGGGGAAAGTCAACGGCATGGATGACCGAGCCTTCGAACTTTTCGACCCCTTCCAACTTTGGCTGCTTGGGTATCACCATGGATCCAGTGGCGCAAAGGACCTTGTCAAAATATTCGACCTTTTTCTCCTCGGTATACTGCACTTCCACCGCCCATCGACCTCTTTCCCTGTACAAGCCTACGACCTCTGCCTCCAACTTGATATGCGGCCAAAGCTCAAAGTGGTCGCAATACCGGTCAAAGTACTGATGGAGGTCCTTTGCGGAAGGATAGTCGGGAGTATCTGGAGGAAGTGGGAAATCAGAGATGCCAGCGCGAAACCGGCTTGTGTTGAACATAGTGTGCTCGGTGACAGAGATGGTGGAGTCGGACGACTGCTTCCAAAGTCCACCCACATATGGGCGTCTTTCTAGAAGAATGGCATCGAAACCATCCTCGCGAAGATTTTTCAGGGCCATCAAGCCCACAGGCCCACCTCCAAACACGACAACCTTTTCCGCCATTGAAGAGAGAAGAGATATCTTTTTGCACGTCTGTACTGGCTGTGGAATGTGTTTGAGAAATGTTAAAAACTCACTGATGTTGCTAGGAACTGATCTTGTATCAAATAACTTTCAAGGTTCCAGAAATAGGACGCATCAGGCACTCCTCGTGAGGCTAAGAAGAGTTTGCCTGATGATGAAGCCAATACTGATTGCAGGGGCGTTTAAAGATGCGCAGTCAACGAGTGGCCTGAAGGGGGTGGAAACATGAAATGCTAGCTTTTTGTAAAGTGCAAAGAGGTACGGCATCCCACATAAGCACTGGATCCTTGGGAAGTTCCGCTCTTGTTGGGAAGCCTCACCGAATCGTATGGGCTCATGCCACGGCCGAGAATTGAGAAACAGAACACTCAGGATTGAGAGAAGGTGCATCAGATACGAGCCACCTGCATATGCAGTGTGAGAGTTGGGTGGTTCTCAAGACGTGAAAAGACCGTCATCATGGCAGTTTGTTCCTTCCGACAATGAGGCTGAAATACCTTGTCACATCAGATTGACCTCTTCGAATCATCATCGATGTGGAAACTGATTGTGAGAAAGTGTAAACTTTGACTTCGCAACTACCGAGCGGATCCAACAAGAAAATTGCGAGGACGAGGGAAGGAGACATTAACAAACCTCTGTGGCAATGATTTCGTGCTTACCTGCCTTACAGTGAAGAAAGTAGATTCCTAGTTTGATGGGCAGAGGAGGGCCTCAGCCCGACCAAATACGCCCAATGTGTGAGCAAGAGGATCTGATCCTCAGCGAGAGCATCGAGCCGCCATTTGAAGATGCAGGCCTGAGTCAGCATTTAGTAGGAGCTTGTGTACGAAGAATTGGGGACTCTGGGGGCTCGTTGGACGCCCAATGACTTCCCGGTGGCGAAGTACATAGGCAGGTAGATTTAGACATCGATGGCACCAGACGGGCTGACTGAGATAAGGACAGACAAGTTAGAGAAGAGAGTGACAGAGAGGCAGAGAAGATGGGAAGACGTCGGCTCATGGACCGGGACAGGGTATCTCCGGTCCCGTGATTTCACGTGCCGTAACCAGACTGAGATTGACCGTTCCGTGTTTGTTGTTCCGTGGTTGAAGCCGGTCCGCTCAGGTGATATGACTCGAAATCTTTGTCCAATCACGAACGACCTCTACATCGTCCTCGGAAGATGATTGACTTCATTTGTCTCCACCTACGATTTGTGATTACAAGTGGCGGTGTCAATGGTGTCTACCATCCTGGGACCTGCATGCATTGCCATGGTCTGAGACTCTCAGGCCAAGGATGCAATCTCTTCTCTGTATCGCCGATTGAGAACCTAAGGAATAGCACGAGATACGTGTATTAATTCTATGAATCGAACCGTGATAGCCTTGCGCCCAAACCAGGAGATGCCAATCATGACGCTCAAGTGACACCCCCGACTCTGCCCCTCTCTATCAACAATTCCGGTAACACCTAGCCAAATTGTTCTGTTGCTACGTTCTCTCACCTCGCAAGAGGCACCTGGAATTGGTAATAGTCTGATATCTCCTTGGTAAGTGCCTCTTTGACGATGGAACCACACAATTTCGCATATGGATTCGTCATGACCGCCAGCTGCCGAGCAGTCTCATTACCATAACGTCCGCCTGATGCCAACTCTCGACTCGCCGCTTCTTCCAGCTCCTGAAGGGATAGAGATTTGAGTCCCACAGTGTCGCTGAGCATTTTTCGATTGTCGTCTGACTTGCTGGCAAGTAAAAGGAGGTAGCCTCGATGGGTGTGTGCGGATGCAAGGACTCTGGCGTTTGTTCTCGATATCGACTCCTCAGGTGTGCTTGGTGTGACAAGTCGGATCGCTTCAGATAGATCTTCTAGAATCTTCTGGGCCATCGATGGCTGTGAGATTAATTGTTCATCGTTGTAAATTAGTCGCCGTGCTTGAGCTCGATTAACCCTGGCCGAAGCATATGACGGGTGTGTTTGGATGATGTTGGTCAAGGTTGAGATTGATTGTTCAATATTGGACAGAGTTGGCTTGGATACATTGATAGAGCGAAGGGCTTGTTCCTCTTTCGCCTGAATCAATGTTTCGGCTTCAGACTCCGTAGGGGATGTTGGCGAATCATCTATCGGTGCATTTCGAGATAGTGATGCTTCGGGGTCGAAGAGCGCAGATAGCACATTGGAGTCGTTGTTGCTCAGCGCCATGTTATGGATGTTGAATGTCTGGGTTTGATGGTTGAAAGAGATCTCTTTGATCGAGATATTGAAGACTGTTGTCACGTTCCTTGAAATCTGGATGGTTGCATTCATTGTGGAGGGCAAGGTTAGCATCATGTACCCGGGACGGATGTGAAGTACCACGGACCGCGCGGCCATTTCCGGCGTCACCTAGAAACCAATGACCCCAGAGGTATTTCATAACAACCCAGATATCTCAGAGATATGGACCTTATGACTGTTCAGAATCTCGCTGTGTCTGTTTCAATCTAATATCACAACCTCGAAATCCAGCAACAATTTCTACGAGCGACCTCGACCAATTTCAAGCATATCCACCATGGCTCCAATTGCGCTGGATGACCATCTTCCCACCCAAGATGCACAAATGAAGACAAAGTACCATAGTGGCGTGCAGCCTGTGGCTCAACTTGCTCAGAATTCCACCAGCTTGTCAACATATCGCGGCTATGACCACGTCCACTGGTGGGTGGGCAACGCAAAGCAAGCGGCCGCATTTTATGTCTCTCGCATGGGCTTCACCAGAGTGGCTTACCGAGGTCTCGAAACCGGCTCCAGAGTAACGGCTTCTCATGTGGTCCGGAATGGGGATGTCACTTTTGTCCTGACTTCGCCCCTTCAGAACCCTGATACCAGGATTACTTCCCTGTCTGAGGCTGATCGAGCACTCTTGAGACAAATGCATGAGCATCAGAGGTTGCACGGAGATGCCGTCAGGGATGTTGCATTTGAAGTCGACGATGCAAGGGCAGTCTATGATGCAGCGGTCGCAAAAGGCGCCGTTGTCGTTTCAGAACCTTCGGTGACACAGGATGACTTTGGTTCCGTTGTCCAGGCTCAGATCAGAACATATGGGGACACTGTGCACACCTTGATCGAGCGTCAGCAATATAAAGGCTCGTTCTTGCCAGGTTATCGCGCAGTGAGTGAAGTCGACAGTTTGTCCAAATACCTTCCTCAGATCGACCTTATGGCGATTGATCATTGTGTGGGCAACCAAGACTGGAACGAGATGGAAGCGGCGTGCGAGTATTATGAAAAGACACTTGGGTTCCATCGTTTCTGGTCTGTCGATGACAAGGACATCTGCACTGATTATTCAGCCCTGAAATCGGTTGTCATGGCCAGTCCTGATGAGAAGATCAAAATGCCCATCAACGAACCAGCCAAGGGCATACGGAAGTCCCAGATTGAAGAGTATGTGGACTTTTACAACGGGGCTGGTGTTCAGCATATTGCTTTGAGGACTGACGACATAATATCCACTGTGACCAACCTGAAGGAGAGAGGTATCGAGTTCATCACTGTGCCTGATACCTATTATGAGTCCATGAAGAAACGCCTACAGTCGGTGGGATTGACTCTGGATGAAGACTTTGAGTCGTTGAAGAAGCTGGGAATCTTGATCGATTTTGACGAGGGCGGATATCTGTTGCAGCTTTTCACCAAGCATCTGATGGACCGACCGACAGTATTCATTGAGATCATTCAGCGTAATAACTTTTCAGGGTTTGGGGCAGGCAACTTCAAGGCGTTGTTTGAAGCGATTGAGCGAGAGCAAATGGCTCGAGGAAACCTGTAGGAGATTGAATCTGTAACTAGTGTACATACTTGGGAATGCCTAGCGAGTACCAATCTGTAGATGAGAAGATGATGGAATGTAACTAATGTGATTGAAGAATGAATTTGATGGAGAAATCAGTCGAGTTGAGAATGTTTGTGATTTCTTGGCGTAAGTTTTGGTGGTTCGGGTTCCTTTAGGTATAAGCTTTAGGGACCAACATGGCTTTCCAGGGCTGATCATCGCCTAAGTCTGACCCAGAAGCAAAGTTTTTCAGGTGGTGCCTCACCTAATCACCCTTATAAGCCAACACCATCGTGACCATCCTCCCTTCCCTCTCTGCTGGTGCCAAGATCCCCCAATCATCGTTGCCGAAATCGCATCTTTGGTACATCATCAATCCTCATCCTCCAACCTCATGCTTGTCCTCCATGTGCGCCACGAGCTAGCCAACAAACAGCCAGGGGGGTGGGAATGGGCGACAACGTAAGTCCATTAACGAGGGTTCGCCAGGCATGTGATCCTTGCAGGTACGAATGACAGCTCTCTCCATGTTGACCACCGTTGACACAATCTGCACAGAAGAAAGAAGACCAAATGTCCAGGCGAAAAGCCAGCGTGCTCATTCTGCACCAGACTCAATCAGAGATGTTCCTATGGGAGACCTGAAGAATCTCTTCGCGTTCAAAAGGACCATCGAACAGACAAACGACCAGTAAACCGCAACACCCTGCGTTGATCCTCCATGGGACTGACAAATTCCCAATAGGATGTGATTCGTTCACACGATCGGGTCCGGCGATTGGAAGCTCGCGTCGATCAGATCATAGACGCCGTCAAGTATGTATTGAAAGCAGGCTTCCCTACTAAGCATTCTAACACTCTCTCCAGCATCCTCGTTGACAGGCAGACCGACAAGCAACTCCCCAGCAGTGATCATCCGCTCGCAACATCCATCACCACCCCTCGAACTACATCTCGATCGCGGTCAATCGACGGAGATGATACCATTGAGCCGGGATCCCGCTTCAACGCAGACGATACCCCATTGCCTCCAAGCAACGTGTTACAGTCCTTGGTTGAGCTCTACGCTGAGAGAGTAAATCCTCAAACCGTATCCTTGTTCAACCTCGAAACCCTACAGTATCGCCTTGACAACTCCGGGCCTGTACTGATCTGGAGTTTCCTGGCAATGACTGTGAGATATACTGACGATCCTTTTTATACCGGAATGCGACAACCTGCAGTCGAATATTATGCGCGTACGGCTCGAGATATGTTATTTGCTCAAATTGCACAATCCAATGGTTCTCTGGAGGTATTGCAGGCGTTGTGCTTGCTCTGTCTCTCTGACATTGCCGGTACGTACACAAAAAGTTGTTTTACTGTCGAGGCTAATGCATTACGCTAGATTCCAAGAAGGTACAGGCTTGGTTAACAGTTGGTGTTGCGGTGCGGCTCGCCATCTGTACATATTCATCGTCTCTCACCACTTCAAGAAGCAATGCGAGGAAATCAGACGACTATTCACGATGCTTTTGGACCCTGTTCGTACTAGACAAGATTTATGGAACCAGTTTCCAAAGCTTGACAGCTGTGCCTGACGAAGGTATCCTCCCCGAGAAACCTGTGTCGGTGAGAACTCCAAGCTCCAATGCCAACATGAGGCCGGAAGGCCCCAGAGGGGTCCAAGTGCAGGAGGCTGCAGATGAAGGTATCAGTTCATATTGCCTCAATCTGATATCAACTTGGGGCCAGTTGATGGCGTTCCTGAAAGATATCAAACAGGGTCAGATCGAAGACGCCTGGACGCCGAACTCGGTTTATCAAAAGATCAAGTCATTGATGTTTCGCTTTGAAACGCTTCTCCCTGAAGTTCATCGATTTCAAAACGCAAATTTACGGGAAAGGACACGATCCGAATGGTCGGCCGACTACGAATATTGGTCTGGTTGGATCCTTGCTCAGATGATGTACCATACCATTCATTGCACTCTCAACCATCCTTTCATCCATCTTGCAGACGTACATAGTCGGCAAAGACACCGATCCCCGTCATTTCTTCAACATGCGACAGACCAAGCAATCTTACACGCCGCCTGGATCGTTCGGATTCTCGAGCTGTTGATGGATCGGGACTTTACCATCTTTGACCCTTTCATTGGTCATCTCGCCTCGATGGGAGCAACGGTCCTCTTCTTCCTTCGATTTTCACGTGATCGAGCGCTGGCCTCTCGAGCATCCAAGAACTTTGAGGTTTGTCGACAATTTGTAGATCGAATGGCGGATCTGCATCCTCATCTACAACATACGGTGAGCGGCCCCCTCGTCACTATAACATTGATATGCTGCCTTTCTAACTTTCCTCAGAAGTTGAAACTCGATAAACTCGCGCAATCCACCAGCCAAGCGATCCAACCCCCCAAAGTTGAAACAGCATTGCTCTGGGATCTGCTCGATTATGCCGCCTCATCGTCACCCTCGGAGTATATAGCAGGCTCGTCTGGAGATGTGGAGTTGAACGTCAACACGCAATTTCTATCTCCCATACAGGACAATAACACTCGACTTGTTGATGAACCTGCCACCGCTCTACAAGACCCGCCAAGGCAAGAGACGGCAGATATGCCTGATTTCTGGACTGATCAGCCTTTCTCATTTGACATGGTCGATTTTTCCATGTTGCCAGATGTCTCTACCTTGACAATGCCCCAAGAGTATTACATGCACGGTAATCTTTGATTTTTGTGGCTAATCTAGAATGGCGACATATCGACTGAAAATAAGGTACCTACAAAAGACATCGAATTAGGACCGAAAATATGTTGGTTTGCTAGATACATTCAACGACGAAACAAATCGTTGCTTTGCCAATCCTCTCCTTGCTATTATGCAAAGAAAGCCCATACCAGCAATAACGACCCTATCGCCATAGCGACTGGCATTTCCCTGGACACATCTATGAAGGATGCTTGAGAGGTAGCCAGGGCTGGACTGATTGTCCACTTGGCATAGTTTCCTGTGTCATTAAAGCTCGACCCATTCAAAGAACTGGTCGCCACCGAGGTGGTCATAGTAGGCACAGTCGAGATGTTCTCAGTTGATATTGAAGTCAATTCATTCGATGTCGACATATCTGTCTGGACTGGCGCGGACGTCAACTTCGACACCGTGGAATTTCCTCCATCTTCTCCTGGGATGGACGCAGGACTCGATGCCCGAACCAAAGTGAAAGTCATGACTGGAATACTGGCGTCAGGGTCAGGGTCAGGCTTAGTGTCTAATGTCGATGCCGATGTCGCTGTATCTGTCGTCGCCGTCGCAAGCGCAACAGGGGTTTCGAGAACAATTCCATTCACCATCCGTGGCGTCTTCATAGCCCACCTATCAAAGGGAGATACAGCGATATGAGCACATGCCGGATCCACTCCGATGATGAACGTCCACAAAAGACCAAGTGCAAGTCCGATGCCAAAACGTGGCCCTGACATGTCGATCGCCAACTGCATGCGAGCACGGGCGCGAGTACGAGTACGAGAACGACCACCAGGCAGGAACTAGCGACCTATGGTATGGTTGGATCTGATCTGACGCGATCTGGTTGTGACGTGATTCGGTAATTGACTCCAAGGAGGAGGACGTGCACACAGACTTTCTGCTTCTGCGCAAGATACAATGGGTAACTGTGTATGTGCATCTGTGGATGCATGCATGCGGCAAGTTCGACGAATGCAAATGACAAACAAAGAACACGGTCAGATGCTGGCGTTTTGTTGTCCGTCATCCAAGTTAATGCGACATGCACCTGATGCAATTCCTTTGTTGTTGGCGAGTCATCGGAAAATGACTATCGACAAAACGAGGCCATCTTGACTGGATAGGGGAGATCAAACAATAACTCATCCTAATCTGTTTAATCCAGCATATCTTTACTTGAGAAACTCCATCTGTGTATGTCTATGTCTAGGTATCTAGCAAACCCAGCCCGGCCAGCCTTCGTGGCACATGTGTTTATCCAAAATCTATAATCCTGATACCAGTCCATCTCTAAATCTACCTTTGAGGCTTTATCCTTATCCGTCATCCGTCTAAACCCAGTCGTATGTTCGTGTGTACCCCGTTCGTCATCATGTAAAGAAGAGAAAAGAAGAGAAAAGACATGTATCAAGCCCTGCCGTTTTGTGTCTTGGGAACGACGCCGAAATCAGTCAAAGCCTTGATGGGACCGTATGATTTCCAGTTTTCCAGTTGTTGAGGCGTTTTCAACCACAGCATACCAAGCATAGCGTTGGCTCCACCTTGAATCTGAGATCCGGTGTCATCAGCAATGGATACAAACATAGAAGACACAACAGAGGGGGAGAGAGAAAACCATACCAAAGCCCCATCAATATCCCCTTTGATAGTAGCACACGACCTCGGAATAACAACCATCGACTCCCTAACCAGCAACAAATTATGAGGACATCCATTAACAATCCCCAACTCATCACACATCGCCCGATACTCTTCATACAATTTATCCCCCTGACACGACTCAGTCAGCCGATACAAACGGTACGTAAACGGCAAATCCACCTCTTCTCCCTCCACAACTCGATCAATCGCCGTCTTCCACTCCGGTCGTTGAAACACCTGTAGATGTTTATGTGCCACACTACTACCCGCATCAGGCCCGCCGTTGAAGATCAACATATACCGCTCGCCTAATTGCTTGACGACAGAAATCGCGGCTTCAAAGTCATCACGAGCAAGCATGTCGGTCTGGCTCTGGAAATCAAGTGTGTGGAGGATCATCTGTGGCCGGAGCCAACAGAATTTATTCATGATGAGTTTGTGGTTGGGCGTCACGTGACATAGTGTGAATTCCGGGTCGTCGTCCAAAAACCCGGGTCTGCGTGACGTGTCGTTGGGGTTGTATGGCTTTTGCTGTGTTGTGGCTGAGATGCGGAAGTAGACCTGTGAGGTGAGGTTTTGTGAGATGGTGGTCTAAAGATTTGATAGAGAGGTACCAGGTGTGCTAGGGGTAAGAATGTCGTACATCGAAAGGTTGTTGCTCGACTTTGATCTCTTTGCTGGGTTCCCAGAAGAGTTCACCCTTTTCCACCAGGCTATCGAATTGCGCCAGTGCGCGAGCCTCAAGCTCGCTTCTGACCATGGTGCGTCGTCGATGTCGGTAGAGAAAAGGCCACTTTAAATTGTTGGCGTCAATCTGTTGGGTTCGCGGAAGGAACAAGGGGGGCCGAGGGGCCACGAATCAAACAAAGGCAAGAACGGGATCTTGATGCCAAGATCGCGCTTGATGGATCTCTTGGCCCACTTGATAAAGTGAAGCGTAGATGTTGAATACGCAATCCAGTTATCTATATACCTCCCGTGCCTCCTTAAGTGACACCTATATAGGACTTAGTCCTTGAAATCTTCGTCATGATTGAACCATTGGATCCACTGGAAGTGCCCTTGATCTGCTCTGGACCAAGTCATCATGCAACATGTTCATCTATTTCATTGTCTCGTTTCATCAGTATGATTGGCAGCCTCTCATCAATTGTCATGGCCTGGGCGTACGCGCATTCAATTGAGAAGTGACTAGTCGTACGTGTGTGATAACCTCGTCAAAAAGGCCATCACTTCCAACGATCGATGCTAATCGTTCGGCGGCCCAGTGGGGCCACTCATGCATTCTCTGGTCCGACCTCTCATACAATGGCTTGAGGGCTTGCGACATGCGTTCCTGCATCATATTCAAAACGCCTTCGTGTCCGCCAGCATCTGCTATTTGCGTGATCTTGCTAAACCATTCCTCTGGCAAGTCAACTATTGGAAAGTGTGCCTGATGAGCCCTGCGGATCTCCATCTGCCACTGTTCATCCCTCCAATAATGGAGCACTGATTGCACCAACGTCGGCAAGCTGATGTGGACGGCATATTGGAACAACAGTTCCACCACTGTGGAGCGACAGTATAAGAAAGCCGCGCATGCTGCAGGGCAAAGGCTATCCCACCCTGAGTCGGCTTCGATAGTCATATCAAGTAACCTTCGCACCAGCGGAGTATCACCCAGAACGGCTGCTACTTCCCAAACCGTCTCGCCATATCTCCCCATCAGATTGATGTCGGCACCATGGTCCAGCAGCATATGCACCACCTGGTCATGGTGCCCGTTCAACGCTTCCATAAGCGCAGTACCGTGTCTCTCACCTCTAGTATCAACAATGTTGATATCTGCACCGCTTTGTATCAATAACTGCACGACCTCAACATGGCCGCCTGTCGATGCTGCTATGAGCGCAGTATCATTGCACCGAGGTTCAATGCTGATAAAGTTGACATCGGCACCGTTTTGGATCAAGAACTTCACGAGCTCGACATCGCCATATTTTGACATCACTGTGAGCGCAGTGCGACCACTGACAGGATGTGTAGCGTTGATGTCAGCACCATTTTGAAGTAACAATTTTGCAATCTCGATATCGCCATGCGATAGTGCCTGGTGCAGCGGAACGCCATCAAGGCCGCGTTCCTCGTTGACGTTTGCGTCATTGTCCAGAAGCATCTTCACGACGGTTTTGAAGCCCTTGCTTGACGCTGCTGACAGCGCTCCTTGTAAGGGACTTTTGCAGTCACATTTAGAGCCATGGAATTTGGCGACTGAGGAAGCTAGAATCTCTGCCAAAGCAAAGTTGAGACCAAACAAAGATGCATAGTAGACTGCACGAGAACCTTGGCATGTCCCGAAGTCTTTTGGCTGTGGAAAACCAGCCCGTCCATTCCATATTACATGCCTACCGATATGTTCCCATGACTGGCGTAGATTGTCCGTGGTTAGTAATGTCACAACTGGGCCAACGAGTTGTTGGGCAGATCGATCATCGGCTTGTTGATGATGTTTGTACCAGTTGTTTGCAGCATAATTGGCAAAAGCATATGGTCCGATCAAGCTGTTCCTATGAGAGTACACGAAGTCTCGGTCTTGCAAAGCTGGGTTTTGCAAATATAGCAGGCACAGCTTGCTAAGCCGTCCGTGCTGCGAAGATTCTGTTGGTGCAAAGCTGCACAGCACGTACTCTTGCACGGAGTAATGGGCAATTCTCACAATTCTTCTGCCCAAGCGGCTCTCAGACCATCGTGAGGTCTCTTCCGATCCGAATTCAATCAAACCCGGGCAGATCCGGGCAAGGTCATCAGCACCATCGCCTAATCGTCTGGCCGGGTCGTAGCCACCCAAACCATCGACGTCGACAGCGAGAGCTGCAATAACCTCCTCAACATTCAATGGTCGCCGTGCGAAACAAAGGAGGGAGAGCAGCTGCCGTGCGTCCTCTGGTGAACAACTCTGAGACAAGATTCTCTCGTACGTTTCTTTAAGAGTCTTCGGCAGTGAGCGGAGGCATTTGTTAAGGAAATACTCGCTTTTAGGGTATTGCCGTAGCGGCTCCAGCTGGCATGCAACCCATCGAAATCTAGAAACAGGTCAGATGTGATGGACGAGAGTAGAAATATTGTCGGGTCAGTCACTTACACGCCCTTTGCATGCTGGCCTAGATAGGTCTTAATCTTCTCACGATGCTCTCCCCAGCGCTTTAGCTGGGGGTCATCTTCGAGTTGAGATGACAGATATTGCGTAATGTCTTGTTCGACACCGTTGTTTTTGACCTCTATGTGCTGATGATGGTGGGAAAAGTCATCACACTGGAGATGATCTCGAATATCCTGCTCGTTTCGACTAGTGATCAACAAATGCAAGTTGGGTAGCTGCCATTGCCGCATAGTCTTGATCGCTGCGAGGAGCTCAAGACGAGAATCACCTGCAGGGCACTCATCCAAAGCATCAAGCAGGATATAGAGGTGGCGACATTGGGTCACAGCTTGACGTATAACTTTCAACAGCTCTGATAATGCTGGAGTACGCTGATTGGTGGACGCTTTCAACTTAGCCAAATCGTTCTCCAGACCTGGTACCTGCTCACATAATTGGGAAAGGATTGACTTTAATGCCGCGGATGCAGATAGCTTGGCCTCGTCAGTGAAGGTAAAGAAGAAGAAAGCGACAGCGTTCTCAGCAGATACTTGTTGACGCTCAAAAGCGTCGTGGATGGCGGTGGAGCATAGAACAGACTTGCCACATCCAGCAAATCCGTACAGCCAGATGAACGAATTGTCCTGGGTTAACCACTTAGTGTATGCAGGCCCCTGGACGAACCAATTGCCAGTGTTGGTGTGGCGCTTGGAGCTGATGATATTGAGATCGATAGTCGGATCGGGCGAATTCAGCCATGTGGTTATCGACTTACTAACGAGTTGTGCCTGCATGGCTTTGAGACACGCGGTTGTATTTTCAATGTCGCTCTGCGTGTTTTCATGCTCTTTCAGTTGAGTTGCATGTAACGCTATCAACAAATTGTCACGAAAGTCATTGATTTCATCGCCAAGGTCCTCCAAAGTGCTCCTCTTAAATGGATAGGCGGCCTTCCGTCCACCCACCACGATTTTGGCTTTCCAGTTGTCGGTTGGCTCCGCTTTGAATTTGTTGACCTCATTTTGTAGGAACTTAATGATATCCTCACAGCCACTTATGGATTTTTCCAAGGTCTGGACGCTAGAACGCTCATCTGGCCGCCATTTGTGGGTGCGGACAAGGTTGTCAATATTCTGAAGGGACTCAACAAGGATCCCAAGCTTTTGGGCTGTTCGTGCGAGTTCCTCATGTTGAACTCGATATCTGATGTAGAATTTGTACAGATATTCGCAACTCTGTAGACCGAGAGCAAGCAAGCTGGCGGCACTAGCAGTAATGGATAGTGGCTCGCCCATTGAGTGGCGGAGCCTTTGGTAACCCAGCCAGAACAAGAGGCAAAATCAATTCGCAGGCCTTTTGTGAACTTCGTCGGATCGAGCAATGAGAGTCAGAGAGAGTGTCTATACTGGTCGTGATCAAGAGAGGAGCAGGACATGATAAAGGTGCGACGTTGTTCAGGACAGCCTGACGAGGCTGGTTCATGTAGCGCTCTACTGAAGCGACCCAACAAAGCAGCCCAATGAAGCTGCCCAATAAAACTCGAGAGTTCGAGGGCAGCCTTGTGGAAAACTGCCCAATAAAGCCGTTTGAGGAAGCCTGCGTCTTTCAGCCTTACGGTAGAAGCCCAAGGATCACGTGGTAAGGTCGATGTCCACATGGACAGGCACGACAGGCTTCAGTTGGACTGCTTGAACCTGTAAGATATAAGCGACAAGAAACTAGTTGAACAGGACGTGCGAGACTGTCAATTCAATCCGTTTCATTCACATAAAGCGTCTGTGATATACCAAGGGTCCACAATACCAATGCCAGCGCCAGCGACCCCTTGCCCGCGTTCATTGGATTCTGAGTCATCATCGTCAACATGACGCCGTACAATCATTATCTCCTCTCAATTTCTCAGAGCCCGCAAACGATCCCCGAGTCCCTCTTCCAGCTTCGCCCGGTCCGCACTCTCTGCAGTTGGTAACTCATGCTCGGGCACTTGCTGTTGCATTTCCTGTGACAACTCCACACCGGCTTCGTCGGCAACCCGATTCATCAAGGCGTCCACCTCGCCTTGTCCCTGAACCCCGACCTGCTGGCTCTCAACCCCACCAGCCACAGCCTCATAATAACCAGACACAACATCGAGGTCTTCAAACTGCGCCTCAAATGTCTCCATCACAGCCCCAATCTTTGCTGGGTCCATGCTCTTCAATGCCACATCCATTCCCTTCACAGTCTGTGCCATTGACTGCGTCACCGTTCGCATGGTAATGGCCGTTTGAACTCTTGCTGCAACTGCATCGATTCGAGCGGCCAACGTCAGCAGCTGTACTCGCTGTTGCGAATTGCGGATCGAGTTGGTGGCATAGAGACGGGCAATCTGAGGTTGTGGAGGGGTCTGGGTGAGGGCTTTCTTGAGTTTGGCTTGTTCGGTTCGAGAGTCCTTGTCGGCTTTGGCAGCTTGTCGATTCAGTTGTTTGGAGGTGAACTGTAGTGATGTCAGAGCAAATACAGGCTACTGGGCGGCGGGGGAATCACCTTAAGATTAAACAGAGCCTTTTCGAGGCCTGACATTGTGGACGCCGGCGATATGTGTCAACTGGGAGGAGCCTGGTTGGACTGTCTCTGTAGAGCTAGATGTGGAAGCAAAATCTCCAAGTGCAGGCGGAGCGGTCTCGTTTTAGAACTGGATCTGATTGGAGTTGATAGGACGATGCGTGTTGTTTCTCCAACAGACAAGGAGGCAGTAGGTAGGGTGACAGTGACAGTCGAATTCTTTATGTTTTCCGTCTGCGTAGACAGATGATATGGGAGAGATGATGAGGCGTCGTTGGAGGGGCCGTAATGCCAAGATATTCCGGCATCGCCACAACTTTTATCCGCCCCCCTATCAATTTGGTTGCCTGCCCTCGACATCCTCAACCTCACACTCAAGCCCTCTTCTCTAAGACAGGAGATCATGGCCACCAATTCTTTGCCTCATTATGTATACTTTGTCATTATCTGATTTTTATCCCATCGCGATGAATCTCGCCGCAATCCCCGCCGCAATCTCCATGGCCGCCTGTGCTTCCTACCATTTCCGCCCAGCTGTAGCACAGCACAAATTGGCAATACTTTTGCAGAAAGATCTCATCTCTCCCCATACACACCACAGTCTACATTTTGCATATGTCTATAGGCTTGAATCGCAGGTAGTGAGTAGATATAAGCACATATCGAGGGTGTGTCACCGTGACAAAATCAATCCCCATTGGACCTCGGCACAGTCTAGTTGGGGTAAAAGCGGAAATCGTCCGTCCGTGGGTAGATGTCGGATATGTAAATACAGGCAACCTGACAACCAGTCTAATAATTGTATTCTCTTTTCTTCTTTGTCTCCACGAGATCTCCCCGAGATTGCTGACCTGGCCCTGTTGCTTGAAGTCGAACAGCTCGTCGAAACTGAACCGTAAGCTCTTCGCCCCTGTGCACTCCCACCACGTAGACATCCGAAGAAAAGCGTCTCAGCCCCTGGCTCTAAAGAAAGCTCTCGCGAGTCCCCACAAAATCCATCAACATGCCGATCAATCTCGCAGAGGCATCCAAACTCAACCGCCCATACACGGAAGCGGACCCAAACAACTACTCGTCGTACCAACGGGAGTTGTATAGCTCGTTGCGAGCACCCATTTTCTCGACCAAGCCGTCAGAATGGGAGTCGTTGGCTCGTGCCAAAGTACCGGCGCCCAATTTTGGGTATGTGTTTGGTGCGGCTAGCAGCGGAAAGACACATGCGGCCAATTTGTCCGCGTTTGATCGATACCGACTACGACCATCGATGCTGGTGAATGCGACGCTTCGAGACGTAAGCGTCGACTTATTCGGGAAACGATTTCCCAGTCCATTGCTGGTGGCTCCCGTTGGGGTGCAGAACATCATGCACCGTGATGCCGAGGAGGCGACGGCCAAGGCGGCGCGCAAGCTGAACATACCCTATATCTTATCTTCAGCATCGACCCGTACAATTGAGCAGGTGGCAGCAGCGAATGGCGAGGGAGGCGACAGGTGGTATCAACTGTACTGGCCACGACCGCAATACGAGGATGTCACGGCCAGTCTCCTCGCCCGTGCAAAGGAGAATGGGTACACCGTTCTGGTCGTGACCTTGGACACCTTCAGCCTGGCCTGGCGACCGACGGATCTCGATACGAGCTATTTGCCCTTCATCTGGGGCGATGGATGCCAGATTGGACATTCTGACCCTGTTTTCAACGCTCGACTAGAGGAAAGGTTGAAGAACGATACCCGCACCACAAAGGAGAAGCTGAGTCAATTGTGGAGCACAATGCTGCGCCCAGGAACGGTCTTTGGTGCTGCCAGAGTGCTCAGGAATATCACCATCTTGCAGAAATCACAGGCTTGGTTTGAGGTCCTTAACTCGGCCACATATCGCGAGTGGGAGCACCTCGAGATCTTGAAAAAATTGTGGGACGGTCCGATTGTTCTCAAGGGCATTCAGACCGTCGAGGATGCTCATCGAGCGCTCGACTACGGCATGGATGGCATTGTTGTGTCGAATCATGGCGGTCGTCAGGTCGATGGGGCAATTGCGTCGCTGGATGCATTGGCTGAGATCGGTGCTGATGATCGCGTCAGGAAGTCGAATCTGACCGTTCTCTTCGACAGTGGCATTAGGACCGGCAGTGATGTCTTGAAGGCTCTGGCCTTGGGTGCAAAGGCCGTCTTAATCGGACGTCCCTTTATGTATGGCCTTGCTCTCGGTGGCCAGGCCGGTGTCGAACATGTCTTCAAGTGTATCCTTGCTGACACGGACAACATGTTAGGCAACATGGGGAAGAAGAGTATCAGAGATCTAAGCAGGTTTGACTTGCAGGATACATCGAAAGCTAAGCTGTGAAAAGTGACTAGGGAATCATGAGGAGAGTCGTGGTATTGAAACAGACATGGTACGTACCATGGCATATCGCTGGTGATGATGCTGGTGCCAGTCACGGGGCTGGTCACGGGGTCCCCGAGGCCAAAATAACACAATATATTGTTTATATGTTCAGAATATTCTGTCACATTAGGACGGAAGGCACCGCACGAAGTCCCACCACTTTCCTATAACTAATGGAACAGTGGCACGGTTGGTTGGGTCTCCTTAGACTGGTTGTCGCTTTGGTGGGAGCAGCTAGTCGAGTATGTCTCGGAGCAACAAGACAAGGCGCGATGATGAGCGGAGATAAAGTAGACGATCGTGGGCACTGAAATCATTTTTGCCAGTTCGAATCATGAATTGGGAGTTCTTTTTTGATCGTTTTTGGGCGGGGGTTGGGGGGAGGAGGTGTTGGTGCTGGTGATGAGTAAACCGCGGTTTGTGCCAGACCCTTTGTTGAGAAGAAAGACTCAGTAACTTCACACAAATCTTCTTTCATCGCATGGCACATCTCTCCTTGATCGCACTAACCATCGAATTCTGGTTCTTTGTTGACAGTTGTTTGTTGTCGAGAGAATCGATATAAACTCTCATAGACTTGTCCTTTTCTCTTGTCATCGTCATCAGCGCCCTCATACAACACATTAACAACTTCTTCAAGATTCTCTTGTTGTTGGGAACATGAGCTCCAACGCCAATTCCGAGTGGCGACTACATCCAATCCCAACTGTCCAAGAAATATCAACATATCAAACCCGGGCAGAATATTTCAGAAACAGAGAGGCCATGACAAGACAACGCCTGGCTGAAATGGACTTTGTCTTGACCCATCATCATTCTTTAAACAAACAAGGTATGTTATACTCTCCCTGTGCCATTCTTGACCTAAGAGCACTCGAGGGCTGGAAGCCCGCTGAACATGGGTTAATTGAATTTCCAAGGTTAGTTGAGAATCACGACAGCAATCCTACCATCGAATCCCAAACCCATATCCAAACTCCCAAAACACCTGAATTGAACTCCCCTCTTCACACTCTCCTAGCCGCAGGTGACTGGCTTCTATCCAAACTCGTTAAGGGAAACAAGCGAAAATTTTCGAACGCTGACTTTGACGACTTAGAGGATTCAAGGTCCAAGAAAATTAAACAAGCTTCGTACACGTCGAATCCGGAGGGAGCAAAGGACGATATTTCCATACCTGACTTCCAAGAGTTCTTGGAAGAAACCTGCGCGAGTCTTGAACGCAACCAGGCAGACATAGTGCTGCAATCAGAGTTCAACTCACGAATATCAGTGGAACAACTCCGAGCTCAAGCAAAGATCATCCTCCGTCCATGCAAGGAAAATCCCACACCTCATCTGAGAGAGATTTCGAGTGTATGGAACATTGTACAGCTTGAGAAATTGCTCGATCGAAGTTCACCGGAGCGGAGTGCCAGTATCAGGAGGAGGCCCCGGACAACTTCAAGCACAAATTCGACACTTGTTTCAACTGTACAGTCATCACCTGGGTCCACTAAAAGCTATGGAAGCTCGTGTTAGGTCGGAAAGACTGTCTCGAAGCAGCAGAGGTTCCATTGTAACTGTGGTCACTTGATCCTGAGTTCGAAGCTGATGTCAGTCCTTCTCTACGAATACACAGTAAAGAAGCGGCAAGGACAGAACAAGAAGATTAGCAACAGTAGGAAAATTATGAAGAGGTTCAAAGTCCAAACAAACTCTAGTACGCTCCCAGCATTTTATAGATGTTATGTGCCGCCGTATCGTAGATTGACGCTCCGCTGTAATTGAGGCGCAATGACGCAAACACTTCGACGCGCCTGATTCGCCCCTCACGAGTCGCGTCTTTTCGCGCGTTTCCCACTCCCACCATCCTCGACAAACTTGTATTGTGTCCTTGAACCACAAAATAATAGACCACTTATTTCCAGGTCGCAATTGAAATGGCACCCTCAGCCGTCGAATCTGAAATACTCTCGCCTCCGGGCAATTCCTTGAACTTCCTCAAAGAAAATGCCAAAATGCTGCAAAGCGCGATGCCGACAACCGAACCCTCGACTAAAGCCACCCAACCACCAAGTCAACCCCACGAAGAGCATCAATACCTCGACCTGATCAATGATATCCTGAAACGTGGCGAACACCGACCAGACCGTACCGGCACAGGGACATTATCTCTCTTCGCACCTCCACAATTACGCTTCTCCCTCTCCAAACCCGATCCATCGAACCCGTCTGGAGACAGAATCCCCGTATTGCCTCTCCTGACGACGAAACGAGTATTCCTTCGAGCAGTGACGACGGAACTACTATGGTTCGTGTCAGGATGCACGACGTCAAAACCTTTATCCGAAGCAGGCATCCACATCTGGGACGGCAACGGGTCACGCGAGTTTCTCGACAAATTGGGATTTACGGAGCGGGAAGAAGGTGATCTTGGTCCAGTGTACGGATTCCAATGGCGACATTTCGGCGCCGAGTACTTGGATCCTAACGCCGACTATACCAACAAAGGCGTGGATCAAATCAAAGAAATTGTTCGCAAACTCAAACACAGCCCCTACGACCGCCGAATCATCCTCAGTGCATGGAACGTCGCGGATTTGTCCAAGATGGCACTGCCGCCGTGCCATATGTTCGCACAATTTTACGTGAGTTTTCCGGACGCGGCAAGAGGGGAAGCTGCGCTACAGTCATTGTCAGAAAATGGCAATAATGATGACAACACTGATAAGAAATCTCGTGGCCACCTCTCTTGTGTTCTGTACCAACGGTCCTGCGACATGGGTCTGGGTGTGCCGTTCAACATCGCCTCGTACGCTTTACTGACGCACATGTTGGCGCATGCATGTGACTTGGTCCCCGGGGAGCTGATCCACACTATGGGTGACGCTCATGTGTATCTCGACCATGTCGACGCGCTCAAGGAGCAATTGGTTCGTGAACCAAGAGATTTCCCGACCTTAAACATCAAGCGAGATGATCGTGGGAGTGGTGAGATGGACGGTTGGAAACTCGACGAGTTGGAGGTCATCGGGTATAAGCCGCACGGTGGCATTAAGATGAAAATGAGTGTATGATTTGGTCATGAATAGCGGTTTGAGAATCGGTCATGATGGTGCATGACAATAAGGGGCATATTGGGCACAAGGTATATTGTATATATGCATGGATGTGTGTATATCGCAGGGCGTTTCAACGGTACTAGGAATCACTTCAACAATGAGATTTCTGATGAGCAGCAATGATTCATGGAGATGATCTCCTTGAAATTTATTCATTCCATGCATATCTGGTTTAAGTAATGTAAGAGATAATTCTCTCTGACGTTTCTGTCGTTCAATCGTGACTATCAACTCTGAGAATAGAGCCGATGTACGACGTAAGGTTTGGCATTGATTTCTTATTCCATCCCATCCCATCCTGTCATGTCATGTCTCAACGCAATTTCAACCCAAATCAACCCACGCCGTCGCTATGCATGGAGAAACAATCAATTGCACTTGTCTATGCGCCGAAGACGGGGGGATTATGCTTCAGCAGGACCCACGCCTCGGAGTAGGACCAGGGTATTACCACTGACGAGAGCACTGCCGACCTTCTCAGGAAAATCGAGTAATCTACCACCCTCAACATGATAGACTCTCAACCTCTGTTCCTCGGTCTCGACGCGGTTATTGACATTGGCGACCTGTAATCTCTTTGCAGCATCATCCAACAACCTGCCGACACTCCAATCCTGGCTGAAAAACAATTCCGCCCGGGGCAGTTTACTGGTTGTGGTAGCGGCCTCGGCCTCGACGTGTAGATAGACTCTCTTTTCGGGGGCGAGCTTATCGTCACCCTTTGCAGTTTTCTTGAGATTGTTCAACGCAGCCAATTGGGCGGCTTTGCTCGTCGGCTTGGGTTTGGGTTTCAAAGCCTCTTGCTGAACCTTCCCCCATGACTTGAGCCGACCGAAGCCAAGTTTTAATTTCTCCTTGTTAGACTGGATGGCAAGGTCGACGGGTCGCGCACCCAGCGGAATCAGATTCTTGCAGTCATGATCTTCCCGCATCCGGTGTTTCAGGCAGTAGTCTCGATTGCATGTCGTGCAATGCACGCCTGTGTTCTGCATGGTGTGGATGAAAGTCTTGCATGTTGGATTGCTACATTGTGTGGCGTTGCGTACGTTGGGTTTCCCTAATGAGGGGGCGTTAGATGTCGCTCGTCCAACTTCGTTTCGTCGTCGGTTTCGTGCCCATTCTCCGGCATGTGTGCATTTATGTGCTGTTTCTGATCGATGGTCGAGACAAAATGTATGGTGGCATGAGTCGCAGCGGAAGGGGAGAAAGTCAAGTACATTGCAGTACTCTAGCTCGCAGTGTGCTCCGATCGCTTCTACGTCTTTGTCCATGGCTGTGTAGCTGGATTCTGGTGGTGGTGTGGAAGTGGACATGGTGGGCGGTGTGGGGGGAGAAGGACAGGCGGGTGTTTTATGGGTGTGTTGGATCACGGCTCTAGGAGTTCGGTCGGAGACTAAGACGGGTGACAAAGGGTGCGTTTGTCAGAGTCGACCACAGTGTCAGGGCAGGCTGGCGAGGCCGTCGTCACCGGTAGCAGTGCGCAGGAGGGCTGGTGGTGGCGGTCGCCTCAAGTCATCAGAATGAAGCAGATGGAATGCTTGCGTAAGGCTCTGGGGAAACTTCTAGATTCGCCCACCAATAGAGACGGGAGTGGCCGTGGCGCCGAGGCTGACCTAGACTTGGCGAGGCTGGTGTTAGCACGTGTTTTCTACTGCAAGGCTGAGGCATGGTGACACGTGCATGACCAGGCTGTGGTATAAACAGGAGTTTGGTCATTCAAAGGGAACAAAGAGTCAATCATACTCGTCATACTATTACATTAGATAGGTAGATATCTAGATGTAAGAAATGCTGAAGCTGGTCACCTCCATTAAGCATTGTCCTCATCTACCCGTTCAATCCCATAGCAAGACTGCTTTGATCGTCTTGCCACTCACCATATCTTTGGCTGCCCTTTCGATCTTCCTGGCAGGATATGTCTTGATGAGTTTATCGTACGGAAATTGACCTAGTTCATTCGCTGTCAAGAGATCTGGTAGGAACTCTTGAGGGTAACAATCCCCCTGATTACACCCGATGTAGCTGCACCCCGAGTTGATCATCTCAAACATGTTGTGTGAGGTTTCTGCTGTGAGCTGTTCCTACCCGTCAGTGGTCATCCTTCAAGATGATTAATGATATGGAGGTATTAGGTGGATGGACTTACATCACCCACGCCCACTGTTACGACCTTGCCCTTCCTTGCCGCACTGTGGATGAGACTTTTGATGGAATCTGGTTTCCCGGTGGTATCGATGGCGCCATCGACACCTCTCCCACGCGTAATATCCAATAAGACCTTCATCAGATCCGGACGGAATTTTGAATTAATGCCGTGGGTTGCTCCAAAAGATCGTGCCAGCTCCAGACGGGAGGATACCACGTCGACGGCGATGATTTTGCGAGGAGGATGCTCCAACAATTTCAAGGCCATGATAGCCGATAATCCCACGGCACCGACTCCGACTACCACAACCGCCATGTCACTTGTAGGTACCACGACATTAAGCATAGCTGATTCGTCAGATGAAGAAAATGAAAAAGAAAGACCCTTGGAGACTCACCTCCTGCACCAGTCATGACCGCACACCCTAGAGGAGCCAGAACATGCCAGGGAATATGTTTATCGACCTTGACCAATCCATTCTCTGCCACCACGATATGACGGGCAAAACTGCTCTGACCGAAGAAATGCGACGTGATCTTTTTGCCGTCACGCAGCGACGAGAAAGTCTTTGAACCGTCCAACCGGCCGCCTCCAAAGTTGTACTGGAACCACGAGTCACAGTACGCCGTCTCTTTGCGATCGCAGTACTTGCAGTCGCCACAAGAGGAGTAGCAGACGATGACATGGTCTCCGGGGGCGACTTGGGTGACTTGAGAGCCGATGCGTGATACAATGCCGGCGCCTTCGTGGCCAAGAACTGCTGGAAACATTTCAGGCATGGACTTCTCCCGTGAGAATGTCAAGTCTAGATCACATAGACCTGTTGCTTTGATTTGTACCAATACTTCATCAGGTCGCAATGTGTCGTCGAGTTGGATTTGTTGGTATTTGAATGGGCCGCCAGGCGTGGCGACCACCAAGGCATCGGTTAGCATGTTAGTGGTAGTGGGTGACAAAGAGTACTATTTCAATTGCTTCCGTGGGTTGCTTGGCCCAACGTAAACGCATTCAGTATTTTGTGTGTGGGAGAAAGGTCGAGGTTTCAAGGTGGTACAGGCTGAGCTTCGCCCTTGGAGAAATGAATGTGGTGTGATAGGGATGGTGATGTAACCGACATAACATGCGTAGACTTGATGTTGCACAACCACGAATTTAGTTCAAAGAGAAAAGCAGAGCCTGAAGATACTATGCAATCATGTTGACATAAAGTACATTATCTTAGCTATTATATGAATAAGGGAAACAAGTGTTGTTAATAGCGGTGGTTGAAGGGGGGTGGGGGATAGGGACGTGGCTGGTGGCACGAGCTTTTGAAGGTTTCAGGATCGGTTGAATTAAGAGTAATTGAAGACAAGGATTGAATTCTGATTTGACGTTTGTTTTGACTCCCGAAGTTCCGGGGTTTTTATAAATAACTTCAAGGTCGATGTTATCCGATGTTTTCTCCCTCTCACGACCCTCAAATTCTCAATGTACAGTATTATATCTCAGTGCTCTTTATTCAATTACCGAATACTCATAAGTCCTGTAGTAGTATTCACTTGCGTTTCTTACTTGCATTCTTTCCATCTTCGTCTTCATCACTCCGACTTTTCCTCTTCTCCCCTCCTGGAATATACTCCTCGTCATCACCTTCATCGTCATCACCACCATCCTCCATCTCCGGTCCCTCATTTTCCCCAGGCTCAAATGTATTCTCATCCGGATCGACTAATGCATTGACAATCTTATCCAATCCCATTTCATCCCCCTTCTTGGTTTCGGACAGTTCGGCATCGACCCACCCCTCGGTGTAACTGCCACCAAAATCGATGATCCACAGATTATCTTCTTCATCCACCATGAAATTGTCCGCTTTGGCATCACCCCATATGATCTTGTGCTTGTGCAGTGTCTGTACAACGTCCTTGCTTTCATCCGCCCACTTCAACCGCCGCTCCTCAGCGACCTCTGAGTTCAATAGCGTAGTCAAGGGTCGAGCACCCTCTATCCTCGTGAGTAAGAATCCCATAATATCAACATTGCTGTCCTCAAACCTGACCATCCCCACCAATTTGGGCACTCGAATCTGATCATGCAATCCAATTCTTTCAATTTCCTTGAGCAATTTCAGTTCTCGCTTCATGGCCTGAGGCTGCGTTCCGTCTACGGGCTTGAAGAAGTGCACTTCGTTTTCAACTTTCACTTCGCCTGGATGAACCGGTTCAGGAGTATCAACTTCCGTTAAGACCTCGATGTCCGTTGCTTTGATCCATGGGACATTCATTTTTCGGATGTACTTGGGCGTCGGCATTCGTGGGATTAGCGCAATGATTCGATCTTTGAGCTCAGACGTCTCTTCGAGTTCTTGTGGTGCAAATGATCCTTGTTCGACCTTGAGCTCGAAATAGTGCGTGGGGCCATGGTACCATTCCTGTAGCGACTGCCGACAATTGTCTCGAGGCTTCGGTGCAAGTCTTTGAGTTTGATCGGCAAATGCTGAGAGAATCAAATTTTGAAGTGTTCTTTCAGCATCTTCATCATTTTCCGGGTTGTTCTGTTTGTCTGAACTTCTCAATCTCCTCCGATCGTCAGTCATGTCAATTGCACTATCCTTATCCGACTTCCTCTCGGATGAGGCTGATCGAGACGTCATCTGAGAAGTTCTCTTGACATCTCCACCATGGAGCCCTTCTTCTCGTCCCTCTGCAGCTGCACTGCTCTCACAATTTCCCGCATTCTGTCTCTTAACGGCGTGGATCAGATCTTGGTATGACTGCGATAATTCTTGGTTCCCAGATTTCTTGAACTCTTCTGCGTCAACAGTCACGTGAAATCGAACACCGTTGATAAGGGCAGTCAACGCACATCCATCTTGATCGTCATACCAGAAATCCAAGACATGGTATGCCGGTGCATCTGCTTCCTGGCTCTCTGCCATAGCTCCAAATGCAAAAAAACCGCCAAAAGTTGGAAAAGGAGAGCATTTTTGATCGTGACTAAAGGCAGCTGAGGGTACTTATGCACAAGCTCGATCAGGGCCTGAATTTGATATTTAGCTTCAATCATCCATGGGAGTAGTATACTGCGTCACCACTCTAACATTTGTTCCACTTTGATCATCCATCGACTACTCAGGTACGATCTGAGAAATCTGACAGTAAATCCTCCGATTGGATGGCTGCTAGTGCATTTCCGCTTCCGGCTTGCTAGGCTTGACGGGAGCCAATTTTCCCACCAGGGACAAGCTGCAAGTAAGAGTGATGACGATGGAGTTTGCGATTCTCGATGGACGCTTTAAAGCATTGGTCATTGGTGGGATCATTGCTCCTACTCCTACCAGATGGAAGTCTCAGAGGATCCTGGAATCCACTGAAGGACCCGCTTTAGTCACGTGTAGACTGTATACGTGACTTTTCTGAGTTGTAGGAGCAATCCGGGGTGCCCAGTATCGAGTAAGTACACCCCATAGAGAGATAAATTGACAATGTAAGTAGATCACACTATCATACAACGCTAGCATATACGTCTAAGGATAACTCTTAACAATTACGCGAATAGCCATACTTTCGAAGTCACATATGAAACAGGCAGTGCCAAGATTTGACATGAATACATTCTGTCTTTGACTAGGCTTGATATCCACTGTCTTGATTGCTCCCCCATGAAACAGGGACGAGAAATGATCTGATTTAGCTCAGAAGCAGCACAGTATGTGGAATCTCGTGGCCAGTGGCCAGAAATGGTTGTTCCAGGCACTTTGCACCAAACAACAAGTGTTGTGGGTGCCTCCCCGCTCGTTTCCCCAAGATATGCAATACTCCGCACAGCTACGTAGAGTATATCGTATCTATATCCTGGACATCCGCCATCTACGGTAATGTCAAGTCAAACTTGCAAAGTTGCCCCGCGATGTGGAATCGGCAGGATCGGCATCAACCCGAGTTAGCAGATCACCGCTAGCATTCAACCCCTCATCACCCGGGGGACTTTGGGGGTCGAGGTTGGTTCAGGATGCAGCGGTGCTATTCCGCCCTACGACCAGTTCATCACATCATGCTGTACTTAGAGTCCTACAATATTTTCATCACTCGACTGTTGGGCCGAAGAGACCCTACAAATGCGTCATCCTCCTTTCATCCACGTTTGCTGAAGCAAGCAACATCTTGTTCATTCTCGATGACAACCCTCCATCTTGTATCACCTTTGTCTGTCATACAATTCCTCTTCCTCAACTTTCAAGATTTGTTATCATGGCCGAATACTTTCGACGTCTAGCATCATATGCTTCCCAGAACCGTGTGGCGGTCGTTGATCCAGCATCTTCCGGCACTTTTCCGCCACGACAATACACCTATGACGAACTGTTGTTACGTGTCACGGTATACCGGGAGCACCTCATCACAGCTGCACAGCGAACGCAGAAGACATTGAAAGGGGCCCGAGTAGGGCTAATGACCCGTCCAGGAGTGGATTTTGTCACCGCGCTGTTGGGCGTTTGGAGTGTCGAAGCAATAGTGGGTCAGTCATGCCCTAGCCCATCCAGGGTTGTACAACACACACGTGCCTAATAGTGATATGATGGATATTCACTTGCAGTTCCCATATGTCTTACACATCCCCTACAAGAAATCACCTATACAGTTACCGACTCGGATCAGGACTTCATTATCTATGATTCCGAATTCTGGCAAACCATCAAGCCGTTGGTCGAAGGTAGGGTAGGGATTGATATCTCCAGCATACCTCAGGATGCTACTCCGAATCAGGTATGTCGAGAGAAGTCCTCTTCAGTAATCTCACAGCCCACTTACGTTTCAGAGAATCGACTTTTCAACTCTCGAATGGCCAGTTGATTCGCCGTGTCTCATTATATACACATCTGGCACAACGGGAGCTCCCAAGGTGAGTTGAAAGATAAGATATATAGCAGATACTTTTCTTAAGATACTACATACTGGGCAGTTAGCTGTTTGACTGACGAAATCTCGATCTAGGGAGTTGTATACACCGCACAGAGTTCCGAGTATGGATTTCGATCGCTAGAAAAGACATGGCAACTACAACCTTCAGACTGGGTACTTCACGTTCTGCCTCTGCATCACGGACATGGGTTGAACCTGTCACTCCTCTTACCGCTTTGGTCAGGAGCGACGGTTGAGTTTATGACGAAATTCGACGAGTCACTGGTTTGGCAACGGTTCGTCGATTCTTCATTAGCTCCTATCACGGTATTTATGGCCGTGCCGACAATTTGGGTCAAGATGATTGCATACTTTGATCGACGATTTGGGACTGATAAAGGAGATGAGAAAACGAATGCCGAAGCAAAGAGATATAAAGATGCGGCTGCTTCGCTTCGACTGGCCATCAGTGGTTCCGCGGCATTGCCTGGCTCGATCAGGGATGCATGGGCTGGGATTGCCAATGGATATTCACTCCTGGAACGATATGGGACCACCGAGACGGGAATATTGTACTCAGGGTCGCTGGACCCAGGTGGTCGTATACTGGTATGTGGATGATCAGAGAGCGACAGATTGTTCGATGTTATATGGCAACGGTCACAGCTAATAATCATCCACAGGGCAGTGTCGGCTGGCCAGTTGATGGTGTACAAACCCGACTCATCGCCTCTGATGGCCAGGACGTGAGCAATGTGCCTAACATCATGGGGGAGATCCAAGTCAAGACGGCTGGACTCATGAAAGAGTAAGTACATGGCCCGCCCTTCCTTTTCCCACAACAAGCCTTTCCACGTCAGCATATCTTCTATCGTCACTCATCCGTCACCCAATCATATAGATACTGGCGAAAACCCGACGCCAAATCCAAAGACCTAACCTCTGACGGCTGGTGGAGAACCGGAGATCTAGCCATGATCAAAGACCAACACCAAAATGCAACCTTCATCCAAGGCCGCGCAAGCGCCGACATCATCAAGTCAGGCGGATACAAAATATCAGGACTAGAAATCGAAGCAGCCATGCTACAGCTGCCATTCGTATCGGAAGTCGCAGTGGTTGGAGTACCGGACTCCGTTTGGGGAGAGGCGGTGGCAGCGATATGTGTGCCGGTGAAGGGGCGGGAGGATGAATTGACGGTGGCCAATGTGAGAGCAGAGCTGAGAAGCCATTTGGCGCCGTACAAATTGCCCCGGAAGATTCATCTTTTGCGATCCATGCCTCGGAATGCAATGGGGAAGGTTCAGAAGAAGTCATTGCGCGAGAAATGCTTTCCTCAGATGGGGAACGGGGTGGGAGCTAAATTGTAGATGGAGATTAACAAGAACACCACCAATCCGAATATGGACATAATGGTAGATGGAATAATGTGCTGGTATTAGTGATATGTTAAAGATAAGTATATTTGTAAGGAATCATCTTGCCCATCCTGTATGTGTCAATTCGTGTGTATGAAATCCAGGAGGATTAGCATGGTATATGGTTCTCCGCCAATGTACATAGATTAAGATTAAATGTACTCCGTAGTCTATTATAGCGTAAAATCCGTTAACTACTAGTATAATGCTAGGTGATGTACTGAACTCAAAATAGTAGATACTAATTTGATAAATATTAGAATAGCGGTAATGAAGAGATAAAACGCTCTTCCTATAGCGTCTCGGAGATTAAAGATAGTAGTGTCGCATGCACATGTGCCTCCAACGCAATTTACAGCCTCTAGCGACCGAAAAAATCTTTCACGCCACATGAACGAACCCCGATTTGATACCTTGACAAATCGAATGGACAAAATCCACCTCCTGCTGTTCCGACGACAGTCCCAGGGCGCCGATCTGCCAGGTCACGGCTATAGTCATCGGTCCCTTTGCCACACTGACCACGTTGAAGTTCAACGGCGCGCCAAGCACATCGGCAGGCTGGCAGAAGACCATTTCTGTGATAGCACATCGTTCCTTCATCGGACCACTATCCATTGGCCTGAAGCTGGTGAGATTGCTAACCTCGTACGAGCAATCCCGACGTTCTCCGACCCGGGATGAAACCCAGGCATGGACATCACTCAGGTATCTCAGGAGTCCCAACGACTGGTTCTGGAGCACAGTCGACGCTGTTGCCAGTCTGTTCGTGATGTCACGAGCGGATTCCCAGTCGATCTTGAGCGCGTTCTTTTGCGATTGGTCTGGCTTCTGGATGGCGTGCAGTTGTGTGTCGGCCAAGATGAAATTGCCCATCTCATCATTCGATCTGCCCACAGGCCCACGCATATTGAGCGGGGTTCTCGCGGCCAAAGTGTCAATACTGGTTGATTCCGGAAATGACTCCGTCATCGCGTTGATTATCACTCGATGAAGCAGGCCGGTTAACTTGGCATTGTGCATGCGGCAGATCCTGAGGGCATCGTCCAGTGTAGCCGCATCAATCGACACCATCTCAACGCCGGTGCGGTGGTTGTTGGGATTATAGAACAGCGGCGATGCTGTCCACGTGCGATCTGTCACTGAGTCTCCTCCAGCACCAAGGCCAAACAGCGTTGCAACGCGTTTAGGGAGCAAAGATCCAAGCAGGGGTGCAAGCAAGAAAGACCATGATATGGGCAAGTTGACCGGTGTGTCGAACGGCGGCGCCAGTTGCTTTGGCGGCGATGTGTAAACTAGGTCTTCAGCCGTAGCAGGCAGCTCTTGAAGAGCGCAGAGGAGCTGCCTGTGGAAAGCCACGCCCGACATTCCATCCCCCAAAGAGTGAGACAGCGAGAAGCCGATGAAGCATCTCTGCTGCGAGAGTGCAATGACGGTAACTTTCCAAGCAGGCCTCGAACGCGGCCAACTGACATTGACCATGTCAGGCAGAGCTTCTCGGATGGATCTTGCTTCATCCTCTCCATTGTACCGCTCGAGGATCTGGACATGTTGAGCGAGATCGAGCTGTGGACAAGACTTGAAGTAGGTGGATTTGTCCCCTTTACCGACGACGACGCTGCCCAAAGGCGGGAAGCAGTCCAAGCACTGTCGCAAGGCGTGGGTGTACGTCGAGATGGATCCCACCTCCACGGCCGCAGAGAACTCATAGGTGCCTCCTACGAGGAGGGCACCATAGAACCCGAGAGATTCACGAGCAATACACCGGCATTCATTGGGACCTGGTGACTTCAGTATCAGCAAGGAAGATCCGACAGGTATATCGGGCGCCTTTTAGCTATGGGAGTATCCTTACTTGCGGTACGAAGAAAACCTTCCTTCGCAGGAGGCTTGGAAGTCGACCACCACATCTTCAGTAATGCTGATTGTCAGGAATTGAGTTTATTTCTGGCAAGATATTGCCTCAGTGATAGGAGGGCTTGAAAATCGACAGCAACAGATATTTAAATCAGGAAAGTGTGGAAATCCCGTCCTCCCTTTCGTAAGTCTTTCGCAGCCAACATCGAGCTCGACTAATCTCGACTTTCAGAGTATCGTCCTGGCACTTCAACTGCGGCTCGGTCGGAATCGTGGTTTGGCGAATCGCAGTCCATTCTCCCGAGGAAATGGGCACAAATTGGGCCCACGCGAAGTCTGGAAGATTGAAGCCCGGAGAGAATTTTCCAGATACAGAAAGCCGAAATTGTCCGAATTCCAGACGCGCACTTCTTGTGGAACGCCGTACGTGTCGCAGTGAATTCCTAAATGGCAGCCTGTTTCAAACACGATTGTTGTTGAAGTTAGAGAGGCTAGACGTTGATCTATCCATATGCTAAGAAGACGAGCTTCCCCACATGGAACCGGTCTTTTTCTTCTGCTTTAGGAAATCAGCTCCTCTTACAGTTCCACCTTCCAGGCCTTTCGCCAATCTGATAGCGCTAGAAGACACCTTTGCCGCCACTAGTAGTTCAACTCTATCGGCATAGTTCATTCCGCTCTAGATAACCAACATCAGGTTCAATCTTCCGAGTAAATCACAGTACAGGCAACAAACACGCTTGCCCGTAGTGCAATACGCAGCATCAGAGCACCCACTCTGCTTTGGCCGTATCCGTGTGCTGCCCAAGGATACTACTGAGTGGATTTATGAAATCTTTGAGTGAACCACCGACACCACGAAAGTCAAGACTTAAATAGTCGAGTTGGCTGAACTTCAGCAAAGGATGCTTGCCGGCAGATACTCCAGACAAAAGACCATAGAAAAACAAACGAGTAGAAGTCGAGCCGAGCGAGCCTCTGTCAATCAGGCTTCTGTACTATATCACTCAGAACGCCCTCATTTTGTCCGGCAGAGTCACCATGACGGTGACCAGCAACGATAAGGATGCTCAGCTCCCGGCTGAGTTTGACCTTCGAAGTATGTGTATTTTTTCGCCGCCCGACCTTATGAATGTGAGCCGTTGGATCGAAGTACTGAATGGCGGTCTCTAGGTGACATAGTGACGGCGCCTACGCAAGCCATGCTGAATGCCGTCTTGAACTGTACTTACCGAGACGATGTGTATCGTGAGGATGCGACGACCGAGAACTTCCAGGCAGAGATCGCCAGGCTCACAGGCCACGAAGACGCCATCTTCATGCTTTCGGGCACCATGAGCAATCAGCTGGGCTTGAGGGCTCTTTTGAACCAGCCGCCTTATTCAGTCCTCTGTGACTCCCGTGGACACATCATCCATTACGAAGCTAGCGGACTGGCCAATTTGACGGGCGCCGGCATTCAGCCAGTGGAAGCTAAGAACAAGAAATCTCTGACGTTAGAGGATATCATGGAAAAGGCTGTCTTAGATGACTGGGTGCAACACAGCCCTACTAAGGTAATTGCCCTAGAAAATACCTTGAACGGCCTGGTATTTCCGTTGGAAGAAATCCGGCGAATTTCAGCCTTCGCTCGAGAGCATGACATCAAGATGTTTCTCGACGGCGCTCGGCTCTGGGATGCGGTTGTGGCTCGGGGAGGCACCCTTCTTGAATATGCCCAAGAATTCGACGCGGTCAACCTATGCTTCTCAAAGGGGCTGGGTGCCCCGTTGGGAAGTGTTCTTGTTGGGAGCAAGCAAACCATCGCGCGAGCAAGGAAGGTCCGACAGAGTATCGGCGGAGGCATGCACCAAGCAGGGATCATCACAAGTATGGCTCGCGTGGCTTTTCAAGATACATTTGGCGGCACCGTCGACGGCCAAGGGTCATTGCTTGCTCGGGGCCATCATAACGCCAAACGCATTGCCGACTTATGGGTCAAGCTCGGAGGAAAGTTGCATGGGCCCACAGAGACTTGCATGGTGTTTGTGAACATCACAGACGTCGGGTTGTCGAGACCAGAGCTCGAGCGGATGGCTTTGGAGCATGGACTCATCATCAAGAATGAGCGTTTGGTGTTTCATTATCGTGAGTGAGCCGCCAAGGCACATATTCATCGTGCAGGAGGAGAGATGCTGATGCTGACTTTCCTTGCCAGAGATCTCCGACGAAGCTGTGCGACGAATTGAAGCATTGTTTGGAGCCATATTTCAGCGACATAGAACGAATGGAACGAATGGAAAAATGTGATCGTCGAATTGTGGAGAAATCTCGCGAGGCACAACACGTAGTATGGACGCCGGACCCGCGAATCTTTCAGCGTCCCAGAAAATATAGTACTTCTTAGGCCAGCCTTTTATAGACGACGAAAAGATTGTCACTCTTCCGTCACCGCAGTTCTCCTCTCCGTGTAGATTGTATTTCATGGACCATGCAGCCAGGAAGGGGCAGGTCAATTAATCGAACCAAGAGATTGGGCTTGCAAATTCACGAATTCTGACGCAGATGGACTGATGATGGCCGATTGCGGCATCTGCTGTAATTGCCTCTACGGTAGCACCACAAAGTCGGGTCCTCGCTCAACCAAGTCCAATATCAGCCCGCTATACCCTTGACGTCTTTCCTTCCAGACATAGTCAATGAGAGTATGCATTTTAGCAGAGCATATGGGAGCCATGTTTAGCGGCGCGACACTTTCCCATACACCCTTGGACAGCGCGGGCAACTCCCATGAAGCGACCAAGATTGGGAAAGTCACAAAATGTAATTCTGCGCCTGGGCCGGCTGCTTCGTGATATCTGGAGAACTCGGCCATGATAGCGTCTGCATAGGAAGTGGCAAGGTCATCTCCAGTGCCAACAGGATGTAGACATCGATGAACCATGAGCAGCCCTGCCGACCGATACATGGCAGCCTGCGTCATGATGGCATTTCTCTCCAGTCGTGAGTATGTACTGTTGAAGTCTTGCGGTACTTGAGGCATCCAGGACACCAACTTCTGCTCAATCTGTCGGAGGCTCTGGAAACTGCTATCTGCCAGTCCCGGCGGCGGCTGCTCCTGACATTTAATCTTGTTCGCAACTACACAAAGATCATAGAATATCGGTAGCAGCGTTGTACAAAGTCCTGCTGAGTGGTGGATCAAACGCGGGCGTCGAGGCCGAAATTTGATGACGGGGATCTCCCGCTGCACCAGGCAACTCATCGTATCCCAAAATATCGGACTGATGGTCACCGGGTCAAAGATGGCTTTTCTAGACAGATCTTCGTACCATGGCTGGATGGACGACAGTGTATACCTCCGGATCATGGAAGACCCGGAGCAGACCGTCATGTAGTCGAAAGTTGCCACAGCTTGTCCAAAAAAGAGCATGGCAAAGGCGCTCTGCGTACCATCGATCTGTGAAATCCGAAGCTTTTGTAGCGATGCTGTGCCCTGTGCCACTTGCATGGGGCCAAATGAGCCCGAGCAGAACCTAGCCCGCTTGCAGAGGGCGAAGAGGGCGATGGATATGTCTCGCTGGAGAGCTGGAGAACAGATGTGCGACTCTCGAATGGAGGCACGAAACTGTGGTGCAAAGGTAGGACCTATCATGAACATGTTGTATGTCAAGTAGAAACCTTTCACCAGCCTGGGCGAATCTTGAAATATCTCCTCAGGGTTATCTTGGAAGATGTCACTATTCGGGTTTGGCCAGGATATCATGAGTGGTGAACCAGCATCCCAGATACTACTCACAGATCCTGTTGGCGACCGCCGGGTATGAGGAATGGCCGGGCTCACTCCCTCAGTCTTCGTGCATGCATCGGCCTTTATCACCTCCCATACTTGAACCGAACCGTCGGGGCCAAAGTGCTCGATCTTGGGCCTTCTCCCCCTGCGTGACAGTTGCCTCTGTCTCGTACACGATGAGCCTGAGCGCTCGCAGAGTCGACATTTCTTCTCGTAACCCTGAAAGTGGCACCGCTCTTTAAATCGGTAACACCGGTCGCAGGCCATCCGTTTCGACATACTACCAGAACGTGCGAGCCGAGGCACGTGCAGAACGAGCAGAGGTCAAAATGTGTTGGACTTGGCTATGGCTTGGAGGTGAAACACAGGTCCCTTTAAGCGAGACGAAACATTTGGATGAAAGACCGCTTGGACAGAAGTCGTAAGCGAATATTCAGAGATAAGATGGAATCTAATTAGAGTACAGGAAGTGGTTGGTAGATAACACGGAAAGGTATTGGTGGGTCGCTCTCTCTGCCAAAGAAGATGCGGGGATTTGCCGAATTCGTTTCGACCGACGCACCGAGAGCTACTGAGAGCTCTACCCATGATCGAAGTCTTTTCATGGTCGTAGCCATCATGAACCCAGATTATCCAACGCCTAGTGAGCCATCAGTCTCGGCTCAATGAACGTGCTTCAAGAAATTGCAGCGACATTTGCATTTGCTCAATTCGCTTGGACTCCCAAGTTTTCAGTAAGACACAATATCTTGGATCGTACATAGACCATCACGCGATTGCTGAGAACCTTGCCAGTACTCTCCTCAGCCTCATTCAATCGTCATCCTCGTCATCCGTTCTCGTTTAGGCATCATATAGAGCGCGTGAGGATCGCATTGCGACGGTTCACCCCTGAGTCGTTGGCTAATGCCGACCTTGCATCTCTTTCATCCTACACAATCCACATCCACATCTATGAACAATATTAGAGTCATGTTGCGCCTATAGGTTTCGGTTCTTGGGACTAACCTTCTCAATAAAATTCTTCGGTTTCGGATTAGGCCAGACCTCAGCATCAATGGAAGCTTTCCCGGTCCAGAGGTCTGCTGTTGCTGGGTCAACCATCTTGGTCTTTTTGAACACTTTCCAGAACACCAGCAATGCGAAAAAGATGCTAACAGTCTGCGTCAGCGGGGTTCTCTATCGGCCCAGTCTCGGGCTCATATTTTACTTACGGCACTGTGATATACGTAGAGATGAAGGTTTCGGTGTTCCAAGGTGCAAAAGCGTAGAACCCGTTAAAGACCAATAGTGTCGAGAAGTATACAGTCGATCCCCAGGCAAGATAGGGTTGAAATGGTGACTTGAAAGGTAAGGTGTCTCTATCCACCCCTTGCTTTTTCAAAGCAGCGTAGAAGCGCAGGTATGTAATGCAAACGGAGACCCAGGCGAACAATGCAACAAGGGTCCCAATATTGTTGAGCCAGATGAACACCTTGGCCGGGCCCTCAGAGCAACTGAGGTATGCTAAAGCAGAAAACGATGCAGTGAAGAGGACACCGACATAGGGCACACCGCTGTGAACAATCAGAGAAACGTCCAAGAGAACAGCTTGTGTGATGCTCACCTCTTGGAGCAACGCATAAAGAACTTAGGCGCAAAACCATTCTGAGCCATTGACATCAAAAAGCGACTGGCATTGTACAGGCATGCGTTGGCAGCCGAGGTGGCTGAGGTCAATATGACAGCGTTGATGATTGACGGTAGAGCTGGGATTCGCGCCCGAGCGATTGCAATGACCCAAGGTGAGCTTGCAGCACCGGGAGCATCTGTCGCCAATGCTGTAAGAAGGTCAACATCATTATATGGCACCAGAACCCCGACTGCCAAGGATCCGAGAACATAGAAGAACAGCATGCGCCAGAAAACTCGACGCACAGCTTTTGGCAGATTTCTCCTCGGGTTCTTCGTTTCGCCCGCCGCAATGACAACAGATTCGATGCCTCCATACGACAGAGCTGCTATAATGAGGCTGAAGAAGAAGCCCAGGAAACGTCCCCCGGCTCCTTCGGCAACAAACTCATTCATGGCACCTGGGTTCTTCCAGTATCGAAATCCGAGGCGATCGCGGTTCGGACCGCCGCCCAGGTCCAGGACCAGGGCGAGAATGAGGAGCCCTACCACTGTGATAATCTTCAGACTCGCGAACCAGAACTCTGCTTCGCCATAGATCGAGACGGCAAAAATATTGAGAAACAGAATGAGACCTAAGATGATGCTGATCCACACAGCAACCTGCTCTTGTGTTAGCCTATGTTCGCCTCCCATTCGACAACCTACATTGATTGTCGTGCCCCAGTACCCGATTATCACTGCAGAAGCAGATATCTCTATGGCGATGGTGATAGTATAGCCATACCAAGCCTGGAAAACAACGCGGACCAGTCAGTCATGGAACAAGCCTCGTCGGATCATAAAAACCACTCAGGATGTGCCTGTGCTTACATTCCAACCGATAGCGAAACCCAAGGACTTATCCACGTATCTGGTTGCAAAAGTGGGCATGGCTGCCGGTAAGGGAAGCCAGGTCGTCATCTCGCCGAGGCATTGCATCTTTTCGTTGATTTGATCAGTTGTGGCTCAGACGTATACCATGTTGCATTCGTGGGACGGACTGACCATTCCATAGATGCCCACACTCGTGATGGAGAATCCCAGAAAGAGACTGAGAGGGCCAGCTGCTGCCAGCGCCCGGCCAATGCCTAGGAAGAGTGCCGTGCCGATTGAACCCCCAAGACCGATAAATTGGACATGGCGGGCTTTGAGGCTGACGAAAGAAGAATCAGTCAGCCGGTGTGCATGCAATCTTTATATCGAGAGGAGTTTCGAGAGGGCGCTCAACCATACCCTCGTGCAACGTAGCGATAGTTTTCGGCCACCTGTGCATTACCATAGATTTCGACTGCTTCAGCAATCTCGATGACATTGTGCTCGATCTTGTCGGTGACAACCCCTTGGTCGCTGCATGTCTCCATGGGCCCCTCAGCCACATCTGTAGGTACTTTTACGGACATATTGATGCACAGTTATGTCTACACAATCATGAGGGATAGTAATGACAATACTGTTGGATCAAGTCGACCCAAATGCACCCAGCCCGCTGGCTATATAGACCTTTGGTTGTCAGTCACCCACTACCGGTGATATTTTCCCTTGTGCAGCCTAGTAGGAAAGGCACAATCGAGGATTTGCCACGATAAGCAGCGAATGTAATGGCTGGGAAGGACAAACATCCCGCATCTACGCCTCGAGAAGGCTAGATAAAATGTCAGTCAGGACCTGCAATGCTGCATCTAGATTCACACCCCAGAGTCCATTCCCGTCAACGATAGTCAGACGAGTGAATTCATGGTCCCATGTTCCACCCTTTAGCGCGCTCAAATGCGCCCGACCCCGGGTTAAGGAGCCCTCTGTATTTCCTATCACGGTCTAATTGGGAAAAGCCAAAGCACCACGCCCATAGCATGGTGCGTAGATGCGGTTCCCTCCCACTAACACCGTTTTCGGTATTGAATAACCGGTTCAGATACGAGATATGGTAAAGGTTCGAAGGCAAGATTGCCTCGACGATGGGAGGCCGAGGTTCCTCAGACAAACCGGGGAGAGCTCAAGGTGCGCATGGACGGCAACCATAAAGGCGAGACGGAGGAACTATTCTGCCACCAATGCAAAGGCGGTCTGCGCGAGGAAATCTACCACTTTCGCTGACTGTGAGAAGCGGGCGGGTAGAGTGTGAAAACAGGATCTCATATGTCACAAATTAGTGCGGCTGGTTTGAAGGAGTCTAGATATTTCTTGCTTGCATCATCGCTCTGTTCGCTGGTGGCTGTCCTGACCCTCGTTACCTCCTCGCTTGAGCCGTCGGCATATCCCCGCAACCTCTTCTTCTGACTTCCTCTCCCGTTCTCACCAATCTCTCTTTTACACGCATCATAACTGTATATACATCCATAACACCCACTCAACAGTTAGTCAGTCATAATCATTCCACCGTATCATATACTATATCATCATCCACCATGTCGGTTGACCTCAAATTCTCCGTCCATGTGGCTATAATCACCATCAACAATCCCAAACAACTGGGCGCATTAACTCAAGACATGATTGTACAATTGGGACATCATCTCCGAACAGCAGCGGCGCGCGAGGATGTTTATGTCACTTTATTGACTGGAACGGGCCGATTTTTCTCCTCGTAAGTTTTGATCATCCTTTCTAGTTGAACCACGAGCCCTATTCCTTTTCCTTTTGAAAGACTTTACCACCCTACTTTCCTAACCCGCTGCCTCTTCTTCTCGAATCATACAGAGGAGCATCAATCCACGAATCCCGGGCGCCGCCCAAGAATTCCGACGCACGAACACATTACGTGCATCATTTAGCCGATCTTCTCGACATAGCACAGACATTCTACACACATTCCAACATCCTAGTAACGGCGCTTAACGGTCCCGTTGTCGGTTTAGCATCTGCATTAGTATCGCATTCAGATTTCATTTACGCGGCTCCACATGCATATCTACTCGCGCCTTTCAATTCCATCGGTGTTGGTGTTGAAGGGGCGGCGACGAGATCAATGGTCCATCGTATGGGTGCAGGTCTAGCGAACGAGGCATTATTGATGGCAAGACGTATCACGCTGGATCGAATGCTAGCCTCGGGGTTTGTGAATGGGGTTTTCGAAGCGGAAGCTTCAGGGAAAGATGCGGAGAGGTTTGCGGAAACGGTGAGGAAGGAGGTTTGTGTTGGCTTGTTGGGTGATCATTTGAGTTCGGCTAGTATGTTGAGAACGAAGCAGATCATGTCGAGGTCGGTGGAGAATGAGCATGATGCTCATGCGGTGAGGGAATTGGTGGCCGGTGTAGAGGCGTTTGAACGTGGTGTGCCGCAAGAACAGTTGAGGAAGTTGTCGAGGAGGGAGAGGAGGCATAAAATGTAGTGATGAACTCGGGTATATATATACATCATCAATATCAACTTGTGGATTTCTGTCAAGCAATCAATCAATCATAATACTTCCAATTATAACAATCCACACACTCCTCATCAGCCTCACAAATAGGAGTACTATTATAAGCCTCCAAAACATCTGGAATCACCACATTGAGACGATGATTATTAACATTAGAATGCCACCCCATATCCCCCACCGTGTCATAAACGCATCTCTTTCCCGTATGACATTGCGACTCAAAAGCGAATCCCGCAATCGAACACGTGCTGAAATACCCATTGCACGCACCCATATATACCGGGTCCGCGGTATTGCCGATATGAAACCCACCTGATTGAGGTGGAATCGCTAGACCAAGTCTCTGAGCACTGAGTTTTTCCGGTACAGCTTCATAGGATACGGCAGGGATTCCAAATGTCAAGCCCATGAGACTGGCCATGGCACCACCGAGGGAATGGCCAACAACCCAGAAATTTTGTGCCATGGGGTACCATGATGATATGTTCTGCATGACGTTGAGTGCGGTGACGTAGTATCTGTCAGGTTGGAGGGTTTCTTCCGTTAGACAGGTCGAGTTGCATTGGTAGGTTTGATTGCGACAGTTGCAGACAGATGGGTAGACCCAGGGTGGAGGGCGTTGGGTCGCACAGCAGCAGCTGAAGAGGAGATTGTCGTTGAAGCGATCGTTGGAGGACCAGCCATCGCGGGGATCTGGGATAAAAAAATTAGTCTCTGGAAAACGATATCAAGAATCGAGGGATGAAGAGTGTGACTATACCAATGGAAGTACCCTTAAAGGCGATAATGACGGTCTTCTGGGTTTTGTCGGTAAAAACGTGACCTCGAAGTCCATTTCCTTTCCATCCAAACGTGTCTGAATGATTGAAGCCCATGGTTGTGTTGAGCCAATCGGGCTGGGATGGTGCTTGGACATAGGCATCATTGCACATCTTGGCTAGATTGACTACTGTGTCTTTGTCGTCAATTGCTGGACCAGGGACAGTGATTGTAGTCCATTCTTGCAAGTTCTTGTTGCTGTGGGGTTGTCGTTGTCGTTGGAGGCTGGATTTCATATCAATGGGGCCGTAATCTGCACCGCCTGGTTTACTGAGTAGTAAAAGGCTGGATCGTATCTCGAGACTGTTGTCATCGTTGTCTTGAAGCGATATCTCAGACTCACGCCCATGATGCACCGAGAGTGAATGAAACTGGCCCTCGCCATAATCGGGGATGTCATGGAAGAAGAGGCCATTCAGAGCCTGGATCGGTCAGAATCGATTCAAAGAGTGGCAAGGATCGTTGCCCATACAAACTGACTGCTGGTTGTGTCATGAGTGCTATGCTTCACAAAATCATCGTCATCGACATCATTATTCAGTAAATAATTGCCGTGGAGTCGTCTCGACTGGCAGCCGTAGGAGAAATACAGTGCCAACAAGGCAATAGGGACATGTCTGAGCATTGTACAGCGACAATGTCGATATCAGATGTAGAGCTAAGTCATGGTGGACATGTCTAAAGGGAGACAACAGACTGTATTCAAGCCCCACCAAACGTACGACGCCAGGCAGCACTATTCGTGCCGTCAAGTGGAGAATCTGCGGTTCACTGCACACTCTATATCAGAGGTCAATGAGATGACAGAGGGGTGATTCGACGATTTTTAGTGTTGGATATTGTGATTGTGGAGGTGAAAAGAGGATGAGGCGAGATATCTTAAGAGATGAAAGGAAGTCGTCTTGTTTGTCAAACAAGTATAGATGTCTGCTTGGCACACTAAGCCTTCGATCGCGGGGGATGATCAGTCTCTAAGTAAATCAGCACCAATAGTGGCTCTCGGAGAGGATCTTAGATATAGGGCGCCTGAAATGTCATCCATGATTATGATATTGGGCTCATAAAACAGCCAAACAATAGGTACATCGCGTACATAGTGGCCTCTTAGGCCCTCGGGCTACTCTACATCCCATCAAAGCCCCAATCTTTCTTCTTCTCCGCTTCCCTAACGCCCATTTTTGCCTCTAACCAATCTTCCACCGTGATCCAACCCTTTTTCTTACCCAGTACAGCATTCAATATAGATGCTTTCCATTCGTTCCACCATTCTTGTGCCACCAAACCCGCTCTAGCATTTCGATCTGCCTCTCGATCTGCATCAATACTGTCATCCAGCCCACCAGTGGCATCGCCATCATGCCCTTCATCGTCATCAGTTGCACCTCCCACCGTCCACACACACTGCACCACTTCAAACCTCCGAACATTGTACAGCCCGACTAACTTGACAAACCAGTTTCCACTGGTGCGACTGACTACCACATCTCGATAAAGCACAGGAAATTCAACTGTGACTTTACCACGATATCTGGTGGCGGCAATTAATGTGCGAACATGACCTTCCAGGACACTAACCGGGAGGTTGAGGGGAACGCGAGATATGGTAAAAGTCCGATTCTCAGCTCCACCAGTCGTAGAGGAGGAATCGGTGGTGAATGTGCGAATCCATGCATCGAGAGGTGATTCGTTAGGTCGGACTCGAAGGGCCGGTGGTGTGGATGACGATGACGAGGATGGCGACGAGCCTGTTGGTGGATTGAACATCTTGACTCTAACCCTACTCATATCACTAGACCCTCGCCCATCAGCCTCTGTTCCAGTATGGAAATCCAAGAGTCCCGTCAAGTTGGCTTTGATCTCAAAGTCGACCTGATTTGGCGAGCTACCGAGTTCTTGCCCTCCACGAAACCCACGGATCACCATGATGGGTTTTGGTGGGAGAGCCGCCTGTTCACGAATGAAGTTGGCCAATGCATACTGCTTAGAGGATAGCTCAGGGTGAGTGGTGGTGACGGTTATTTGATCGGTAGAAAGGGTGCTAGCGGGGATTTGAGTCAGGTAATTGGCAAAATTGATGCGGGAGAGCCGTTGAAGTGAGTGTAGAGGGTTCTGAGTCGGGATAGAGATGCGAGGTTGTGACTGTCGTGAGCGACCATGAGGTCGAGGGCTGGATGTCGGGACATCGATTAGAGTATTCTCATAGGATGGTGGTAAATCCTGTGCCTGTTGTTGGGATTGACGGTCGAGGTTGTTGAGATGGGATTGGAGGTTGGCCTTTTCAGCCGAGGAAGACGGCGACATTGACAATGATGGGAAGTTTATGGTAGTCAATTGCAGTAGTCTGATACTTCAACACTGAACAGACGATGATGTATCCGATTGCGACTTATACTTATCTATAGTCCACCCAAGTGTGGAGTTAGATAGGAAGGATTAAACTCGTACGATGAATAAATGAGACGAAACACATTCACAACAGTACATCAAGATAACAAAACAACAAGTACGATGAGGTTGTTTATGATTGAATACGTCCAGCTGAAGACTCTCAAGGCAACAAGAATAAAATCCTGGTCTGATGGCTGCTGCGCCCCACTGACGGTTCAATCCGCGATGGGTCAACGGCCGAGGGGAAGATAGGACCGAGGGGCGCTCGGGCGTCATATCATGCCAATTCAGTCAAACGAGCGCCTAACCAATCGACCTGGTTAGGCATCCTCCAAACCGCCCATAGCGCCAACTAAGTGTTACCTCGTATACGAGTATTATATCCGAATACGTGCATGCATGGGTGGATCGTCCATGGCTAGGATATCATGTAGAACATTCATAAAGTCATTCAGCACAGGCTCTTTTTGATATAGTCTCTCCATACAAGGTCTCGCTTTTCATCAAGATGTATCATCCTCTCTTCTTTCTTCTTCATCAAGCCAAAAACGCCCCTCCCGTCTCCTCAAGCAACTCTTCATATGCCGGTTGGAAGAACATCCATCTAATATTCTTATCCACCAATTTATCATGACTGAATTTCGCCTCTTCATGGCCCACGATCTTAGTTTTGATACCTCGACCTTGTGCGGCGGCATCAACAAGTAATTGCGCTGTGGAAACATATAATGTCAGTATAACAGATCGAGATGCCAAATCTTGATGCCAATATCCCAAACTTACCGTGACAGAGGCGATCCATTGCACCAAATAGATAGGCTGCTTCATCGACAGTGTGTCCCACAGTAAGAAGACCATGATTCTGTAAGATAACGGATGAATTATTGCCCAACGCTTTGGCAATGTGACCTGATTCTTCTTCGTCGAGAACAGTGCCTCCGAAGTTGGTGTAGACGCTGTGGTCTTGGTAGAAGAAGTTGCCTGAGATAGAAAGAACTTCGTCAGCTAAAAGATCGTGGAGACCAGGGGGCATACCACAAATGGTGGTCGACAAGATTGTTGACTTACACGCATCCTGGGAAATCATGTCAAGTTCGACACCCAGAGCAGAAAAAGCCTTTCCATAGACCGTATGTGCATGAACCGCCGCATTGACATCAGGTCTTGCCTTGTGGATAGCCGAATGAATCATGAATCCAGCCGGGTTAATGGGCACTTGGTTTCCACCTTTGAGAATAGTGCCGTTTTCATCCACCAATACCAAATCCGATGCCTTCATGGTGCTAAAGGCCTTGCAAAGTGGATTGATCCAGAATTGATCATGATGTTCAGGGTCTCGTAGAGAAATATGTCCTGCGATACCCTCGTCGAAACCTTGTTTAGAAAGATATCGAAATGCAGCGGCAGCATGTTGTTTCTGATATTGGCGATCTTCTGCAAAACTGTCGAATTTGGGAATCACTGGGATTTGTGCCTGTACGCTTGAACTCTTGTCTTTGCCGTATGATGTGAATATGCCTTGCTATTGCTGTGTAAGAAGCTTGAAATCTTTGCCTCGGGTATTCCCAATGTATACTTACATCTGCTTTTTTGGACTTTGGTGGGACTCCTTCCACGATATCTGTTGCGTGTGGAGCCATATTGACGTTTTGTCACTTGAGATGATAGTAATATAGACGTTCACAATGGTTCACTGACAAAGAAAACAGTCATTCACATTCAAAGTCATCTCTTAATTCCCGGTTTGAAGGATTATATGTATCAAACTGCGGGGTGTGGAGGCGGAAACGGAACCACGGAATCCACAGGATTGAGACCAATAACAAACGTCTATTTCAAAGGGATCCAGGTTGTTGGACGATTCCCCGGAATTGTAATACTTTCTTGACTGTGTGTTCAGACCCCAATTCGGCTTTGAAGCCGTTTGAGTTGACCCTAATGTCTCTCGGCACTTCAGGAATGAGATAACCGAGCGGGTCTGGGGAAGCGTGGGGAGACTTGTCCGTATATGACTTTGTGAGTCCCCGCTTCGCTTTCGATTTCCATGTGAGATGGACACTAGTAGACAACATGGACTAGTGTGGTGGCCATATATCATGTTTTGGAAAGAGATAGTATGCGATTCCTCGATCGAACCTCGCGCTCGCGGGATGATTGCCACTGCTCCAATACTTGGTGATAGAATCGGCAGTCCATGCTGAGAGCCCATGGAATTCCCGCCGAGTGTCGAGTGGAGGGTGCTGCGTGAACAATTGCAGCTGTTCCGGCTTACGCTGCACAAGGCTGGCCATAGTGAAAAGTAGTCGATACGATATGGATCCGACAACATGAGGTCGGTCTCTGATATCAATCGACAAACTACCATCCATACTTATTCCCCGCTTCCTTTTTGTTCCTCCTACCCGTGGCAAAACTTTCTTCCAAAGCTTCCTTTTGTCCCACAGCAGCATTAACCAATTGCTTAAGACTATGCTTGCCTGGAGCAATTCCTCTGACTGGATTGTGTTGAATCTGTTCTCCACTGGCACGCAATACTTCATTGGCAGCGTACTCTTGGTCGGTATTAAAATTGACCACATTGATGGCCGAGCCAGTGGGTTGACCTCTTCGACCAAACAACTGCCGTCGATCTGCTTCTGATAGATTGAGGTCAGACGCGATAGAATCAAGGGATTGTGGACCATTGGTAGTGGTGTTTTGCGTCGTGGTGGCGTGAACTTGGTCGTCCGGCGCGAATTCGTCAACCGCCGTGTCAAGCGCGGCATCCTCGTCCACATCCTCGGAGACAGGGTCTGGTCCTGAATCCAAATTGTGATTTATAGAAAAGAGGCTCACTTTCTTCGGCACCGGAGCGGGACGAGCGTCTTCTGGCGCATCTGCAGCGGAATGGGGTTGAGCAGAAATGGTATTGACTGTGTTGGAAACCTTTGCAGGTATGGATGAAGCATATGCAGACTTCTTTTTCTTGTTCCCTCTCGCCACAGACAATGGTTTGAACATGAAAGGGTTGCCTTTGATCACAGGTTCTGTAGTTGAGGGTTGACTGGTCTTAGGAGCCGATGGAATAGTATCGTCATATCCTCCATTTGTAGTATTGTCCGCATTTGCATCTCTCTCCGCAAAGGCATTGCGCAATTCGGCGTCTGACTCTCGACTGAAACCCGGCTCTGCACCGGTCTTCAGACTAAACACCTTGCGCGTTGAAGGCTTCGAGGGGATTTTTGCATCAGCATCTCGTTTCGGTGGAGGGAGGAAAGAGTTGAAGCCACTAAAAGCACTCGCTCCTACTCTGGGTCGTTTCGGGGCAGGTTCATCGTCATTATGACCGTTTGTATCGCTGATGTCTTGTAATCGGACTTGGATCTTTCGTGGATTCGACTTGTTGACGGTGAAGGTTGGGTTGGATGTGGTGGTAGGTGGAGGAGGTTTCGTTGTTGTCGATGTTGCAGCCTTGCTTGGAGGCGACTCGTCGTCAGACCCTTCTGAGTCTGAGTAGCCGACTAATACCATGGTGTTCAGATGTTGTATACTATCTGCACCATATGGTAGGAGTTGGAGGAGGTCCACTGAGATTTCTTTTCCCGTGCAGCCTCTCGGTCGCCTGCGGAGTTTGGACGTAGTTTCATCATCGGTGACGATATTTACTGCACCAGACGCAAATAAGATCCACCGTACCCTTATCTCCGGCCAGGCACCTCCACCTTCTACGTCATTCTTTAGAAACACATGGACGACAACTATGAAAAACCACTCATTCATCAGTCATCTAGGTTGACTTGAACATATCTAGATCTGCTCAAAAGAGTCTCGCCAGCTCATGTGAGCTGGTACACCCAAGGTCCAATTCACAAACAACCAGTCATGAACGTCTTTTCGACCCTAAGGGCCGCCGCTGGCAAAACAGCCAGGTCAGCACAGCTCAGCAGATCATTTCAATCTAGGCGGACGCCATTCCTCCAACACCAACAAAGATTTGCATCCTGGCAACGTGGTCGACGCTATGAACGATTCGGAGATCAATCGTTCAATAATGGACAGGGGAAGCAGCAGCAGCAATGGAGTAACTTCGGTCCCGTCTATCGAGCACAGTATATCTGGCGCAATTACCGAACACCACTGATTGTTGCGGGCGGCGGAGGCGGAGTATTCTATATTTACAACTTGGAGGAAGTCCCGGTCTCGCATCGTCGAAGATTCAATTTCGTCTCACCGGATATGGAGCGACAGGTCCTAGGGTCCGAGAACGCATACAAGTCACTTTTACAAGAATATCGAAATCGAATTCTTCCGGCGGAACATCCGTATACGCGACTGGTGGCTAAAGTGGTGAAGAGGTTACTCACATCGACCGGACGGCTTGCGGATGGAGAGTGGCGTGTGCATATCATTCAGGACGACAATACCACCAACGCCTTTGTCATGCCTGGTGGCAAAGTGTTTGTTTTCACCGGAATGTTGAAGTTTTGCGAAGACGAAGCCACATTGGCTGGTGTATTGGGCCATGAGATCGCACATAATGTCGCGCATCACACGGCCGAGAGAGCATCACGCAGTATTTTCGTCATGGCCGGCGCATTGGCACTTAGCACGCTGATCGACATCAGTGGCAATTTGAGCTCTGAACTCTCCGACCTTATTCTCTCGAGACCGAACTCTCGTACCCAGGAAAGTGAAGCTGATTATATCGGTCTGATCATGATGGCGGAGAGTTGTTATGATCCTAGCAAAGCCCTGCGTTTCTGGGAGAACATGACCGCTGCGGATAAAGGCCAACCTCCGCAGTTTCTGTCCACCCATCCAAGTCATATGAACCGAGTCGAACAAATCAAGAAATGGCTGCCTGAGGCGCAAAGGGTTTATGAGGATCGTGGCTGTGCGAGCTTGCGGTCGCTGGCCGGCGATTTCCGGAATTCATTCAGGCAGCAACAGCAGCAGCCTGTTATCAAATCCGGACGACAACCGGCAGATGTGTTCAGCCCGCGTGGACGACGTGACAATGACGATGATGACGACTACTTTTGAAGATGCTTTGTTGAAACATGTTTCGAAATAATATCTCGAAAGTCTGACTCAGCCTTCTGATGCCTGGCGAACGGTCAACGAATCTTCACTCACGTCGAGTTTTATAACATCTAGGTCTCGACCCATCTATCTCACCTCATCTTTGAGCCTCCTGGGTCCTGGAATGCGCAAGATTCCCAACGGCAAGACATCCGCGCCAGGATAATGGATGCGCGTTAGCGAGTCTGAGGGCTTCTCACGGACCTGGCCTTGTATCAACAAATGCACACAATCATCAAGATTCACGAGTCATGAGATCACAGGCCAGGCTGTCTCCCAGTCCTACGCATAAGTCGTGGAAGGTGACTTCGGTCGTAAGGGGTCTTATCAAGCCTAAGGCGTGGCGAGGCGAGGAAAAGTAGAAATCATCTGGGCGAAAAGTCCCGATAAAGGACTGTAATTGTATTAATATCCAATCAAGCGTAGGGTATCTGGGCAAATCTAGCAAATGTCCGCATCTTAATTCAATATATGCACGCTCTGTCAACAGTATTGAATCTGGTCAAAGAATAACCTGGGGCATGTTGTCGGTGAACGGTATTCCTCCCATTCCGTGTGGACTGCCTGACTGGCTCCGTTCGGTTTCAATCTTGGTGGCCAGCATCTTGACATATGTATTTTGACTGTTGGGACTGGCCGCCAGGAGATCAAACAAGAATTTCAACTCACGACTCTCACTCCACCCCACGTTGGCAATGGTCAAGGCGTCCATCAGAGTATATGCCACTTCGAAGAGCTTTTCAAAGATGCCCAAGCCGTGCACCAAAACAGCTTCGTACGAGATGTCGCTGATGGAGTTGCAAAGGTCTTGGCCGATAGTGATGGGATATGACGACGAAAATATGGGGTCGGCGGCGCTATAGCTAATGAGACCCTGGCGCATGGATGCCTGCCAGAAGATCAAGCGTAGCCAATGACGCGTAACGAGAACGTCGGCCTTTTGAATGTCGGTCATGGCAAAGTGATCCAACATCATTTCATTCAAACCGTGCTGTAGAGCGGCAATGTTGTCGATGGGCTCGGTGGCGGACACATCCTCCTCGGCACTGGTGCTCCACAAACGCACAAACTTCTCGTCAAGGATGGAAAAGAGGTTGACCAAGGCAGAAAAGCCAGCGAGGACAATTCCATCCTGTTCGTCAAAGTACTCGGGCGACAGACGAGGAATACGCGTGATGAGGGTAGGTTTGTTTCGGAGAATGGCCAGACCTCTTTCGGTGATGAACAAGATGGCAAAGGTGCGGCGGGCACAGATTGCCGTAAGCTCGCTCATATGAAGGTAGGTCGAGTCCAAGTGGAGGCCAAGGTCCAAAGCAAGACCAATGGCTTCGCGGATATAGAAATGATGGGCTCGGGGCTTCTTGAGTTCGAAAAGGGCAACACACATGTGATAACTGGCTTGCACAGAAAGGAGGGTGGCAGTCTCGGTCCAGTCGACATTGGTGCGAAGGAAGAAGCAAGCATCGAGGAACTGCTTGCCCAGTTGCAATTTCTTGTCCAGTGTAAGATCGGATTCAGGGGCAGCGTGCAGGACTGTCATGGCGCAGAGGGAGAGTACAAGAACCTTTTCTTCCAGGCTAAGATCTTCGGAGGATTGTAGACGTTGGTGAAAAGAGGACTCGTGGATCATTGGTCGAATCGGGTACAAATGGCGGAAGTATTGGCGAATACATTGAGACATGAGATATGCAGACATGCCCACTTCAGAAGCCAGAGAGTGGATGCGAGGCTCAATTGCAAGATTTCCCGAATCACTTCTATAGAGGTACTTTGGGCCATGCTGAGGCATTGGAGAACTGGTGGTTGTCGTGGAGGGGGACACGGGGGTGGGCTTCAACATGGCGTCGATGGAATTCGCATGGATCAGAGGAGTCGAAGTTCTCGATGGTGGTTGAACGTATGTTTGAGGCGACATGGCAGGCTGACTCTGAGTCGAAGTGGGCATACTGTCTGGGAAGATCTGCTGTGCAAGATCGCTGACGGATAGATAGCCACTAGGAGAGATGGGAGGCTGGAAGAGAAGTTGTTCGGAAGGCTGCATCTGCCAGGAAGCAGGAAGATGGATTCCACCCTGAGCAAAGGCGGTATGAGCAATGGGTTCAAACTGGTTGCCATTCTGCATGTCGAGGGGGATAGATCTGGGCATGGGCAGTACTGAGGTGTCTGAGGTTTGGAGGTAGGTGTCTCCGAAGTGAGAACTGGATGGAGATGACAAAGGAGAAGGGATAGGGCTGTCGTTTGATAGTGTCCTGTTCAAAGCAGACATCTGAAGACGCAAAGTCGACAGGTCAAAGGGTGGGAGGTTGGAATCCTGGATGGAGGCGTGGAGGGTCTCATCTCTCAGTTTTGCAATGACTGAGCCAGAGCCTTTCTTGGGTCCTCTCTTCTTGCGAGCGATGTCCCTTGTGCACCTGAGGCCGGTAGACAGACATCGGTCGCATGGCTCTGACTTTGAGCATTTGACCTTTCTCCTGCGGCAGGCATCGCAGGGGAGGAGCGAGTCGACGGCGGCTGCGGCGCCAGCCTGTTCATCGGAAGATTCGGCCATTCACAAGGCTGGTTGGAGGATCAGAGGATGTTGTGCAGGTAGAGATATGACCACATGGAATACAAATGACGAGGCCAACCCGGGCAGGCGGGTGTGGAGTTGGATCGAATGCCCGGTGTCGCAGGCCAGGCCTAGTAGCGTGTGGGAATGGACATGGTCTGGCTCAAGACGCGGATGAATAACGGACAAGGAAGGAGATGGATGTCAATATGGATGTATAGCTGATGATATCGCAGCTGTTCCAGGCTTGGGAGACTAGGGAGTTTGAGCGATATTGATGGTCAAAGTCGACGATGTAACGTGAGGATGTCTGAGGTACCTAGGTAGGTACGAGGAGAGAAGAGGTGGTGGATGTTCGATGTTCGATGGTGGCAGGCGCGCATGTGGCACCTGCAGGCGGGGAGGGGATTTAGAGGGTTAAGAGAGTAAAGAGAGTTAAGTGCAAACGAGGGTGATTGCTCAATAGGTTAAAGAGGCGTCTTGACCAAGAGGATAATTCATGGCCAAAGTCTCAAACCCAGCTTGAGCCTCGAAGTCAATTTGTCGGTATGGCGGAGACAAGTGGTGGCTGTGTGGAGAAGAAGATGCATTTGATCAAAAGGCGGGCGTTGGCTGTAGAAGATGTTGAGCGGGATCAACAGAATATGTACAGTTGATTCCATGAATTCACCCCTCACCTTCATTCACGTTTCTCCATCTTATTCTCGCTCTCGCTCTCTTCCTTACCAACGGACACCCCGAGTCTTCGATAGAGATGCCCATCATTGGCCACATTTCGTGTTTCTATCGTGGTCCGACTTGATCGATTGGGAGACTGCGGGGTTGACGCGTTGCCAAGTCTGGTAAAGGGAAGGAACGATGGTCCTGGCCTGCGGGGATCTCAGGCATTTGGGCTTCCAGTTTCCAAGTACGGAGTACGATTACGCGAAGGTGGATGTGGAGGGAAAGAGCCACCTGGACTTTGGGGAAGGAGATGGCTCGGTGGGAGCTGCGCAGTAGCAGCCAGAGCGGCATGGCGGCATAGCGGCCACTAGGTGCTGACTATTGACGTTGAGAATCGAGGGGCAGCAGATCTACCACCCTGGTTCGAGTCAGTACTCCGTACTTAGAACTGCAGTCTGTGCATGGAATTTCGGTGTCCCTGGCCTTTCGCCCAGAGTCACAAATACCGACATGCAGATGCCCAAGTACCTATGCCTATGGACATTTACTTATTTGACTGTCAAACATCTACCTCATTCTCTTCAATCATACCCTAAATACAACGCCGGTGCCGCTGATGGTGCTGTATTACAAACCCTGAATCATCCCTTCCGGAGCTGATATCCCCTGCCAGGCTGCCCAACGTACTAAGTTAAGTAAACCAAACCCACTTGCGTCACATCGTCACTTTCGAGTCCTTCATTGTCAGGCACGATCGCATGCCCATAACTATCAAGGTTAGGCTTGCCTTTTCTTGGAGCTACCCGCCCCAATTGGCAAGTGCCTTCCCAACAAGGCTGCATCGGTCACGAACAACGCCAAACCTCCACCCCTGCAATCCTTCAGGGACGACACGTTCTGGGGACACACACGGTCAGTTTACCACGATTCTATGTGTATGCTCGAGAAATTCTTCAATTGTCAACGACTCCTGATCGGTCTTTGACCATCCATCTCTTCCCACCCGATTGTCACTTTGCATCCACAGTCACCATGGCCGCAGCCAATGTGCTGACTGCGTCGCCTCCCTTTACCCTCGATGCTGGCACCGCCTTTTCCTTAGCCATTGCCTTTTCTCTCATGCCCTTGGCTCAAACTCTCGCAGCCTACGCACTTCCTAAACACACTCCCAAGGCTTACTACTATCTCTTCTTGTGGCACGCCTACGATTTCCTCACTCACTTCGTCATCGAGGGTAGTTACCTATATCACTCCTTCTTCTCCTATATCGACCTCCCTGTCCACACCTCTGACTACCCACACCCGGCCTCGAGAGGAGTCGACAAACTTCCCTACCTGTACAATCGATCCGACCGCCGATATGGAGCGCTGTATTCCCAAGCACCAATGGCAAGATTGTGGCAAGAATATGCAAAGGCTGATCGAAGATGGGGAGGCGCTGATTTGACCGTCATGTCGATCGAGTTGCTGACTGTTGGACTCGCCGGACCTGCGGCTCTCTATGTCTGTTACCTCATCTCCAAGGCAGTCAAAACAGACCCTCCAGCCTTAAAGGCCAAATACACATCCCGCCTATGGTTTGTTGCTGTGATTCTGGCGACTGGGGAATTGTATGGTGGTTTTATGACTTTTGCTCCCGAATGGATGAGTGGTAATACTCATTTGGCTGGAGATGATCCCGTCTATTTGTGGCTCTATTTGGTCTTCTTCAACACGCTATGGGTGTTTATCCCCTTGTGGGTGCTCTACCTTGCCTACCACAAAATTTCGACAGCTTTCATCTTGGCCTCGCCTTCGATGAAAAAGTCCGAGTAACTGTATAAGAGAGCAAGCAAGTCGTTTGCTCCAGTGTAGAAAGTCAAGACCCAATGTACAATTTTCCCCCACATGTCTCCATGTTGTTCCTTCACTTGACCGCCCTCGCGTAACTTTCCCCCATGACGAAGCGCGTTCCCCACGCGTCATTCCCATTTGACATTCTGCCAGACAATAATTCCTCGCACCCTGGAGGCTCCTCGCGAGATCATCTGCATTTGTCCAACGTTGGCATTTTCATTCTATGTCAGAGTCCTAGTCGCCACATTTCAACCTTGTTCCCCCATCGCCATGGACCAAGGAGAGTATGCGCCCAACAAAAGGCGGCGCACTTCAAGCGCCGACTCATCCTCATCCCGCCGATCAACTTCTCGTCCGCCAGTCCGACATTCGAGACCATCCTTACCGAGATCACAAAGCAACAGACAAAGAAATTACTCTCGTTCGTCAAGTCCAGACGACAGTCGAGATGACACTCCTCAGCGTCGCCGCTCCCCAAGCCCGCGGCGAACGAGTCGCAGCCCATCTGGCTCATCTGCATACGACTCTGCTCAAGAACATCATGACCGGCCACGATCTCGATCCCGCTCACGATCAAGGTCACGGCGGCGGTCGAGGTCGAGGTCGCGCTCCCGTTCCACCTCATCATCAAGGTCCCGTTCAGCGCCTTATACACCTCAGAAGAAGGAAGATCGAGATAACAATACATCCCAAACCCCTCCTCCTCCTCCTCCTCCAAAATCCTTAACCTTTACTTCCCTCACCACTCTTACTCGCGCACACGACCGAGGAATAACCTGCGTCAAGTTTTCTCCCGATATGACCCTGTTGGCAACAGGAAGTGCCGACAACACCATCAAAATCTACTCGGTCCCTCCCAATCCATCCTCCACACCCTTCAAACTCCTTCGCACACTCCGTGCCCACCTCGCAGGCATCAACTCCTTAGCTTGGTCCCCAATCGGTCCTCCCTATACATTAGCATCCGGATCGGATGATAAATCCATTCTTCTATGGTCCCCCCTATCCTCCGATTTCCCCATCTCCCCATCCCCTCTCCTCGGCCATAGTAACTATGTCTATTCACTCGCCTTTAGCCCAAGAGGAAACATGCTTGTGTCTGGCTCGTACGACGAGGCTGTATTTTTATGGGACGTTCGTTCCGGCAGAGTCATGCGCACACTCCCTGCCCACTCCGACCCCGTCAGCGGAGTCGACTTCCTCCGCGACGGCACCATGGTTTGTTCCTGTGCCGCCGATGGCTTGATCCGAATCTGGGATTCCGGAACAGGACAGTGTCTGAGGACTCTAGTCGACGAAGACCGCAAAGCCGTCACCAGCGTTCGCTTCTCACCCAACGGAAAATTCGTACTTGCATGGACACTCGACTCATCCATCCGCCTCTGGAGATACATCGAAGGGACATGCGTCAAGACCTATCAAGGCCACACCAATCAAAATTTCAGCCTCGGCGGAGTAGTAGGCAACTACATCAAAGCCGGCACCAACGGGCAAAGACGTAGCATTGAAGCCTTCGTCGCCAGCGGCAGTGAAGACGGCGACGTCGTGGTCTGGGACGTGGTAAGCAAGGAAATGCTCTGGCGAGGCAAAGGCCACACAAATGTCGTGCTAGCCATGGACTTTGGTCGCGCGCATAATGGTCGAGGCCTGCTAGTCAGTGTTGGTAAAGACCGCGATATTCGCGTGTGGATGGCCGACGGCCAAGGTGAAGGTCAGTCCTCCTCCTCCTCCTCCTTCTCGATATTATTCAATCGTCCAGAAAACGGTATTCTGACTGATCATGATCATACAGCAAACGGTCTTCATCACATGAAATCTTCCACGGAAATGGACATGGACTTGGAAATGGGTATGGATATGGATATGGACATGACCATGGATATGACCATGTCTTTTGAAGATGAGCGTGCTGGTCTGGTGGATACTACTTCGGTGACCATCAATGGGAATAGGAATGGGAATGGGAATGGGAATGATGTGGATGTGGATGTGGATATGAATACACCAGACCACTCGCGACTCTGAATCAGGGATTTGGGTAGCATTCCATAATCTATACCCTTGGTCCTTGAAAGAGATACTACATATCAAATCCATGATCTAGACAGTAATACACCTCCCTCTTAAGATAGGTACTAGGTAGTCTACTCTACCCTCCTTCCTCCTTGAAGTATTAAAAACCCCCCTTCCCTACCCAACTGGATCCTGCGGAAAAAGAAATAGCTATCGAAATACAATTTCTGATTCTTCTTTTGTCCTATAATTTCTCTGTGCAATTAGAATTGCATTGGCAGATAGCTAGCTAAGGTAGCTACCTAAGTAATCATTGGTTTCAAGCTTATTTGTCCTTCGAACAAACACTTCCATTCCATTCCTTTCTTTCTCTCTTTCTCACATTTTGTATTGTGCCTCGCAGTTCGCCACGTTGTTACACGCTAAAAAGGCAATGCAAACTACCTACCTAAGGTCCAAGATCGTAAGCCGAGAATTTTTTATCTCGCTAGACTATTTTCAATTCCTCCCAACAGCTTGCCCATACCCTCTGAGAAAATTCATCTCACTATCTCGCAACTCGATAATTACCTCTTGCCTGTTCGGCCTTGAATCCATCCTGCTGACTAGGCAAGGGAGCACGACGGCGTGTTTGATCACCGCCAGGACCAGGAACAGGTAATCCCGGAATCCCAGCTCCAAGGCCTGGTGGAGGCGGTGGAGGCGGAGGAGGAAATCCAGAGGGGAATCCAAGTGGAGGTTGGGCTTGGGCTTGGGCTTGGGCTTGGGCTTGAGAGATGAGTCGTTTCAATGCATCTTGGTCTAAACCTGCGGGAGGAGGAAATGGAAGTGGAGGGGGAGGGTGGTGTTGATGTTGATGTGAAGGAGGAGGCGGAGGTGGAGGTGGTGGATAGAGACCTGGTTGATGAGCGTAATGATGCTGACCCGCTTGACCATAGTTGGGGGGCGGTACTATGCCCTGTTGAAAGCCTGGGAAATGAGGAGGCGGAATCGGTGGCATTGGTGCAGCCGAGCCGTTGAGACCAGATGAAGAACCGGAAGGGAATGGCATCGGTGGTGGTGGAGCACCTGGGTTCAAGCCAGGTAACGACTGGCCTAGGCCGGGTAGACCGGGAATGCTGAGGCCAGGAACTCCGTTTTGGGGGAATTGTAGTTGCTGCATTTGCAGTTGTTGAGCTTGATCCTCCAAGCCCTCGGCCTCGTCCATTTCCTCCTGTTCCTCGAGTTCGCGGGCCTGTCGTTTGCCGAATTTGCGATCCCATGTGCCCTGTGCCTCGGCGCCTTCTTCACCTAGGTGGAACTGATCCTTGAAACATGTAGTCAGGCCTGGTTCGGCGCGCGACCAGAATCGCGTGTAGTGGTCGTTGCTTCCGCTGGCCAGGATGTGGCCTAACGGGTGCCAGTCTAAAGACCAAATAGATGATTCATGAGCGTGGGGAATGCGATGGGCTGGGTAGATGGATTGAGGGGGCGCCGAGCGAGGATCACTGGTTGAATATGGAGAGATGGTGGTTGAGGCAACTCCTGTGGGGGTGTTGGGTTCGGTGAGGAGATAGGTGTTGAGAGAGCCATCATCGCCGCCGGTGGACAGAAGCGACGAGTGAATTGGGTGCCACGAGACGGTAGTAACGCCTTTGTCATGCCCTCGCAAGATAGCTACATCGCGCATCATACGGATGTCGAAGATTCGTGTTTGGCCATCACGTCCAGAAGTGGCGAGCAGTTGGTCGCGTAGTCGAGAGAAGACAGTGGCAGTGATGGCATTTTTGTGACCGTGTAAAGTAGTGAGGTTGCGGGTTGTTCGCGGGTCCCATAGACGGACGCTATGGTCTTTGCTACCAGACACGACTAAGCCTTTGGTCGGGTGCCAGTCACAAGCTTTGACATCCCAGCCGTGATCTTTAAACGTGGACTCGTTGGTAGAAGAAACAAAATCCCAGATCTTGAGGGTGTTGTCGTCGGACGCCGTGACAAACTTGGTATCGCTGGGCGCAAAGGCCAGATCACGGATTGGGGCGTCGTGTCCTTTGAAGCGGTGAGGATTGTTTAATGTGGGTTGGAGGTAGTAGACCGTTCCTTCATCGTTGGCAGCAACCAGCCAGTCTTTTCGATTGGACCACTCTGCAGCGCGTAATGAGCTCGATCCCATTACAGTGACAGTCTCGAAGTTGAACGACATTCCATTCCAAAGCATAAATTCACCATTGTGAACTCCCGCAAGTAGCCTTCGGCCTTCGGGCATCCATCGCACCACTGTCACAGGTTTCTTGGATTTGCCGAGAGACGTGTGCAAGTGGCGGGTGGGAACTGATTCGGCGGGTGAATCGAGTCGTGCACGCGGGGGTAGAATGTCGACCACGTAGCTAAGGCTAGGTCTTTCCTGTTCGTAATGCCATGATCCCTTGTATGAGGGTTTTCGGTGGCTCATCCATTGTACCATAGAGGTGCCATAGTCAGTGATGGGCCGAGGTCTGCGTTTTCTAAACGCTCCGGCATCTCCACCATCGTCGTAGTTAGTGGCCATGATTGGAACGTCGTTAAGGAATACTGTTAATCAGCGGTACGAGGGTGTTCAAGTCATGCTGTAATGTGTCTTGGTGGGAGATGTTTGAGAGTGTTTTCGAGAAGAGGATTGGACTAGGTTGAATTACTTGAGCTGTAATTGCATCTTTGACGTCCAAGGGGAGGATTTAGGTCAATAAACAGGGTACAACTGCCTGAAATGAAAACGATAGCTCATATAAATCCCTGGGCGTGGTGTTGTTCTTGATGGAGGTTGGACGTGTTTGTGAAGTGTTGATTGGAAGACGAAGTCGACGAACGTCAAAGTTGAAGAATGTCCGCTAGCATGGTCACGTGATATTATTTCCATCCTGGCGCAACTGAAACTGGAAATCTGGAGACCAACTCCTCAATGATACAGTATTCATGGTAATTTCTGCACAATGCAGATATATTCTATCATTACAGTCGTCATATTTCATATAACTTTCATATAACTAAAGGCTAGTGTATATAAGCCTCCCATATGTTCGTCTCATACCGCTAATCAAACCATCCCTTGGTAAACCAGCTTCGATGTTCTGCCCCCTGGCTCAATTCTTCATGCTTAGTGTTGAAGGCGTAGAAATAGATCATTGCAGCAAGTGGCTGGCCGACAAAGACAAAATTGATCCAGAAGATACAATTCCCAGCTACCTTTGCCATACCCTCCTTCTTAGCCAACGGCTCGGTCATCATGATGAGGGGTAGCTGTAGAATCATACCGGCGAAAGCCACGCCGAGGATACTGTGGCAGGGAATTCCAACTGCAATCTCATGCAGAAATCCAGAAAAGACAAAGACCCAGGCACTGGCGGCCTGACTGGACCAGCCCCGACCGACCAAGGGTGAATATACGTGTCGACGCATGAAATGATAGACCGGCTTGTTCCAGGTTGACCAATAATTTTTGAGGTTGGTGCTGTTCCACCAGTCGTCGTAGAATTGACGATCACCAAATCGCATGATTTCAGCCAAGGCGTTGAGGAAGGATTGAAAGAAGGCAAAGAAGCCGGCGAGCCAGATGATCAGGGAGATGGTGGACAATTTCATCAGCCTTTCCAAGATGGAAGAGATATCCAACACAGCCATTCCATCGAGAGAATTCTGCAAAACGGGAACAGCGTATTGAGCACAAGTGAGCCAGATGAAGACACTGAGGGCGATGACCTCTCCTACCCGTTTGGCCACAAAGCTCCAGCGGATCTCCTTTGATCGAGGATAAAACGGTTGGTAAACGAGTGTTGGCGCCCACCAGAAATAGCAGAGGTTGGACAGGGTGACGTTACGAGGGTAAGGACATTCAGCATAGATGTCCGGTAGGGCGGATTCCGGGCCGCCAGGATGTAGCATGGCATGTCGGAGGTCGCGATTGGTGAAAGCATAGGAACAAGTCTTCAACCAGACAACAATTGCATGAAGCTCGCTGATCGTGCCGAGACCGGGGTTGTCAACATGACAGTAGACAACGTAACTTGTGATGGCCAAGGCGAGACTCGCGTTGACTGTGTGCCAGAAAGCTATCCACCACCAAGTATAGTAAAAGTCTTTGTTTTCTTGATCCCGGCAAGCGTCATTTTCACCTAGTTCTCTCTTCTTTCTTCTCCCGATCACACCCTTGACGTTCTCCATGGCGACTCGTTCAATAATATAGGCAACAAATAGGTGGCAAGGAGTGGCGGCATAGAGGATAGCGGCCATTTTGATGTCATGATTCCGCAAATTGTATTTGAGGGAGATGAGCAACCCGTACTTTCTTGCATTTTCGACGACGAGGCGCAGGTTCATGACAATGATGGTCAGGACCATGAGGTTTCGGAAACCGATGAAACTGGGGGTTTCTGGAGTCTCATGACTCAGGACTGAAGGCTGAGCTTTGGAGTGGAGGGCAGCCACATGGCGATACTTGCTTCTGACCTTGGGCTTTGGCTTTGTGGAAGAGGAGGGGGGCGAGGGAGTCGAGGTGGAAGGGTGGACTTGTTGTGGATCCTGGGAAACCATATCCTGCACGTTTGTAACGATGGTATGAACGTTGGTCGACATGGTAAGACTAATAGACTAGGTGGTTATGGAGTAGATGGCGAGGATAAAGAATGGTGCCGTGGGTTGATAAGTGGGCAGGTATTAGAATAGAGAGAGGTGGCGGAGGTGATCATGGGTATGAGTGAAGATGGAAATGGGGATGAAGCGAGACGAGACGTGTCGACGACAATGACCACGACGACGTCTATGCTCGAGAAATGGAAATGATTGTCTGGTGGTCAAGCAAAGATTGGCGGCGCCATGGACTCACAAGACAGAGATGAAGTCGGTCATTTTTCAGATTGCGTCGAGGAAGGAACGAGGATTGACAGAATGTCAAGACGGAAGGAGCGACGCCCCGGGCAAATCATGAAGCACGGGGAAGGAAGGGATACGCGTGTGTGTTTCCACACTCTGGGCAAAAAGTCAGGTCGCAGTAGCAGTAGCAGTAGCGGTGCAGACTCTGGTCTTTGGACTCTATGCGCAAATAACACGAGCACATGGCATGACGAAAGCACAGTTACAATGCGAGCACGGCAAGGAAAAATCAAAAGAACGGCTTCCGTCATGATCATTCTGGTGGAGACAGGAAGGACAACAAATGGTTGGTTTACTCGATGGCCAGTGGAGATTAATGATTGGGTCTGGCTAGGGACCCCTCGGCCGAGTGCTTGCCCTCGATTGCTGGTGCTTGGGGCTCCGAGGGGCAAATGGTCGGGGGCAATTGGGGCATCCTCAGGCTATATTGTTGGGCCGAATAAGTCTTGATGATTGGTGGGCTAAGCCCGCAGAGGGCCCGAAGCAGCCCCTACAACACCCAGAACGAGCATGTGAAGGTCCCAACCACAAGAGAAACACTCGGAGGTTACAGTCCATCTATTAATAAAATAGCTTGGTAATTTGTGATTCAGACACCAACAGAGCCATACCCATTCTATCGGGTGTGTCGAAACAATTAGATAGGTAGTATGCAGTATCGAATGGTTAGCCCAGAAAGAGAAGGGAATCTAGTCATATTGTAGCATGCTAGTGGTAACAATGTAGGTCACGTGATATCAAAGCCTTGCCGTCACCAAAACACCTCACTCGCCTTGAACGGCATTCAAGTGGCTTATATGGATTGTGTCTCCTTTTCCAGACTTGACGTCCCACAAATGGTCGCCTTGATCATGGCTTTTTCGATTCCGCTGCCCCAGAAACGATTTCCTCTGCCTTGCTGGATTTGAGCCTCTCCTCCTCGTCCTCCTCCTGGTCTCCATCGTCTTCCTCCAGATCGGCTTCGATAGCGTCCTTCTCGCTCGGAGGGCCTGCTCTATCTGCGTCGATGGCCAGCTTGTTGAGCTTGGACCGCTCAGCCTCGCCTCCACTCATTTGCCATTCCATCAACTTCGTAAAGGCGCCGTCAGGTCGACTGCTCAGTTCCTTGTACGAACCCATCTCGGCCACCTGGCCGTCACTGCCCAGACAGATGATGGTATCTGATCGTTTAATGGTCGACAGTCGATGTGCGATCGAGATGGTGGTGTTGTTCCCTCTCAATAAAGCGGCCAACGCTTCATTCACCAAGGTCTCGGATTCAGCGTCCAAAGCCGACGTAGCTTCATCCAGGATCAAAATATCCGGATCCTTGACCAGTGCTCGAGCAATTGCGATTCGCTGTTTTTGACCACCAGACAATTGGGCTCCTCGAGCCCCGACGAACGTGTCCAGTCCATCTGGGAAGTCACTTATGAATTGACAGTTGGCCCTCCTGGCTGCTCGTAAGATTTCCGCCCTCGTCGCGTGTGGTCGACCGTAGGCAATATTTTCCGCAATGGTGCCGGAGAAGAGCACGGGTTCTTGAGAAACAATTCCAATCTTGCGTCTTAACGACTTGATGTTCATTTCTGCAATGTCTTTGCCATTGATCAAGATCTGGCCCTCGTTGGGGACGTAGAACCGCAGGATCAAGGATGCAATGGTGCTCTTACCTCCCCCAGACGGACCGACAATGGCGACATTGGTACCTTGGGGGATTTCAAAGTTGAGATCTCGGAAGATTGTGACGGCTGGCCGAGTTGGGTAGCTGAAGGTGAGGTTCTTGAATTGGATGGGGCCACGTGCCGAGACGACTCGGTCGCCTCGGGTGGGTGATATTGTGGGCTCGCGGTCTTGTAACTCGAACAACCTCGACGCAGCTCCCACACCTTTCATCAATTCCGAGTAGAATGATGACAGGCCAAACAGGGATGAACCGGCATAGGCCGTGTACATGAGGAAGGAAGTCAGTTCCCCAATACTGATGGTGCCGCTAGAAACCATCCCGCCTCCGACATAGAGGAGTGTCAGGATCGTCACGTTGCCCATGAAGCCCGTTGTAGAGAAAAAGGTAGCGCTGATCAGCGACTCCTTCTTGCCAAGATCGAAGATTTTGCGGACCTGGGTGTTGTAGCGATGGACTTCTAGAATTTCACCCGCAAAAGCCTGCGAGGTCCGCACATTGCCCAATCTCTCCTCGGCGATTTTTGTTAGGGTGCCGAGGTTCTTCTGGATCTTCCGGCTGAGATTGCGAATAGCGCGACCGTAGAAGAAGGCGGCGATTGCTACTGGTGGGAATAACAGGGTCAAGATGCCAGTCAACTTCAGAGAAACCCAAGCCATCAGGCCAAAGCCAGCCGCACCGCTGACAAAGGACCGGAGACCATCTGAGAGATTCTGTGTGATGGACTTGCCCACAATTATGGTGTCGGAACTTAGTCGAGATATGAGATCGCCGACCCGATTAGCATCGAAAAATTCGGCATTTTGGACGTAGGTCTGGCGGAAAAGTCGGGCGCGGAGCCGAGCAACAATTCTTTCGCCGACAATACGCAGGATAATGATGCGCCCATAGTTTGCTGCAGCACCGGTGGCTAAGATGGCCAGGAGGGCGGTATAGAAGGTGGTGACGCTCAGGCCGAAGAGCACGTCAGAGGACTCTTCAGACTCAGGGCCGTCGGTCTTGGCTCCGCCTTTTGTTGCAATATCCATGATCTTGCCAATTGAAAAAGGAATGGACATAGTGATGGAGGAGGAAATGAGCAGGAAGACAAAGGCCCAAACAAGAACTCCAGCTTCTGGGCGGGCAATCCTGATCAAGCGCCATATCTCACCAAAGCCTGAAGACTTTCCTCCGGCACCCTCTTTCGATAGTCGAGCGCTAAGGTTGACATGAGAGGCCTGAGCAGCCTTTTCACTCTTTTGAAATGCGACCTCCTCCTCCTCAGGATCGGCGTCATCATCCCGCTTGGCTCGCTTCTGCTCTCGGATAACAGGGGTGGGAGTCTCACGGAAGGACCGAGAAATAGAGAAGAAGCGAGGGTGTGGTTGTTGCGACAGGCGTGAAGAGGTTGTGGTGGGACTCCACGGTAATGCGATGGAAGGAGTAGACCTGGGTCTTGCAGAGAGGGTGACGAGTGAACGTTGGAAAGTAGCTGGTACATGTGGAATGGGTTTGAATGCGCGAGGTAATAACCGGGAATGCCTCGGGGCAGAATTGTACAGAGAGAGAAGGATATTCTGGTCCAAGTTGGTCAAGCGGGAGCCATGCTGAAAGGGTCTGAAGGCGAGCAGCATTGGGCTGCAAGTCGAGACCATGGCCGAGGGCGGAGAAAGGAAGGAGTTTGATGTGACTGGTTTAGAGGGCAGAGAGCGAACGTGTGTGGCAGGCCATGGTGGTGGCAGCGTAAGAGATACAACCAAGGATTAACACAGCTATCCGGACTGTCAACCGTTGACCGAGCGTGAGGAGGTAGAATGGAAGAGTATAGAGGTGGTGAGGTGTAGATGCTAAGAAGTGATTGACAAATTGGCCATAGAACAAAGTTGATTCAGTAACTAAGTAGTAGTAGTGAAGATGCAGAAGCGCGGGCGAGTCCATGACGCGGGATGAAATTGAGCCCGAGAAGCGTGGATACTACGAAGCAAGGTAGCCACAGTAGCTCTTGACTTCGGAGGACTATCGGAGGCTCGAGGGGCTCTCCAAGTCCTTGCTAATTACTGCGCTATAGGTTGCAGCTTAACCTTGTGAGGCTCCCAAAACACTGTTGAAGGCCGCCCCTCGGCCCCTCTCCCTCTCCCTCTCCCTCTCCATCTCCCCGGGCTTCGTGGATCCCCTGCCACCCACAGATGCGAGTGTGTAGGTAGGTAGGTACTTAACGTACCTAGGCAGACCTCGCAAAGAGGAGGCTTAATACCATTGGATCGGGAATATTGCCAGTCATTATGTCAGCACCAGCAACTGTGATTCTCGAGTAGCGTAGGACCGAGGCTGGGTTACCTGGGGTTGATTGTGAAGTATCCCTTGCTCATCCCAGGCTTAGGTAAGGTACCTACCTAGGTACCTGACTTTAAGCCTCATCTCTTGACTTATGGGTGTGTGCAACCCCCGGGACCCTTGAGCCCCTCAGCTTCCCGCTGGGCCTGGTGACCCGTGAATCCTCACCCCACCATCCTCTCCACCCACTCAAATCTTGGGACATGAATTCTAGAAACCTCCAACTCAATTGCCACGACTGGGTACCTATCTAGGTACTCGCCATTCGCAGACATCGTCAAGAGCAAGAGCATATTGCCCACTCCCTCTTTGCTTGAGCCTTGCCTTGACTAACAATAATTCTCATCAAAGCATTCCTTCACCCTACATCGCCTTAGTCTTCCCCCTCATCATGCCCATTTCCTACGACAAATGGGACAAGCTCGAAGTCTCAGATGATTCCGATGTCGAAGTCCATCCCAATGTCGATACCAAGAGTTTCATTCGAGCAAAGCAGCGTCAGATCCATGAACAGCGTGCACAACGCAAGACCGAGATCGAGACACTCAAGTATGAGCGTATCATCAACGACGGCCTGCTAGAACGCATCAATGCTCTCCTCGATGCTCTCAAGAAACATCAAGACGAGGCCGCCACCAAGAACCCTGAAGGAATCGTCTTCCAAGCCCTAATCGAGAGTGCAGGTGACCCAGCCAAAGATGAGCCTCCCAAGCCTCCTGAAGGCGTCTACACCCATCAGAAAGAGCCGCAGCCTCGCTACTCCAAAATGATGGGCGCTCTGATCGATCAGGTCAAAAAAGAGGTTGAAGAAAAGGCCTCATCCGATCGTTACCACGACTACATTCTTGGTGTGAACGGTCACCTCACAAAAGTTCAGAAATTACAACAAGACCTCCTCGCTCGCCTGGCCCAGTTGGAACAGGAAGCCACTGCCAAAATTACTAGCGAAGACATACACGATGGATTCAACTCATCCTTTGTCAACAAGTCCACATCGGCGGCCAAGGAGAAAGACAAGGCGAAAGCGCCAGCCAAGAAAAAGACCGAGACTGTCGAACTTTTGAATAAGCCCTCAGGCCTCAGTGGTTCTACTCGACAACCCCCCTCTCCTGCGGGCGAAGTCGTCTCGTCTGGTGCCGAAGCTGATATCGAGGATGACTCTCTCTTGGAAAAATACGAGGACTCGGAAGAAGAAACAGAATCCAACCTCAAGCTCAACCCGGAAGGGAAACAATTTGCTAACATTAAACTCGGTGACTACAGGGCCTGCCTTCAGTTCATCTCCCAGCACCCTGACATTGTCAATGAACGCACCCAAGACGCACTAATGATTGAGGCATTTAACGCCCAGATGAAAAACCAAGAGACTTACGCCCGCACTTGTGTTCATCAGAGTCTGTTGATTCAATATTGTCGACAACTGGGTCGCGACGGAGTAGGTGTCTTTTTCAAACGCATCACCACCAAAGGCCACCAGGCACAACAAGTCTTCAACAAAGACCTGAACGAGACCTATGCCCGTATCAAGACTCGAGCAGCCGAGCTACAAAAGGAGGAAGGCAATGATCCAGCTGGAGTTGAACAGATCCAGTTGCATGCCGTCGAACCTGGCACCGAGATCCACATCAACGTTCCTGAAGCCAACTCTGACGATCCGGTCGAGCAACAAGCCCGGCAAATCTTTGAAAATTTCCCCCCTGGCCTGCAACGGGCTCTTGAATCCGGCAGTCTCGACGAAGTCAATCTCGTATTGGGAAAGATGAGTGTGGAGGAAGCCGAGGAAGTGGTTGAGCTATTGGGTCAAGGTGGTATGTTGAGTCTGCAGGAAGGAGTCATTGATGCTACGAATGAAGAAGGACAGAAACGCCTCAAAGAGATCGAGGAGGAGGAAAAGCGCAAGAAGGAGGAATTAGCCAAAGCAGCCGATGTCGAGGGTGAGCCGGGCGAGGCTGTGGACTCAACCCAGGTCCCAATCCGATGAGCCAGTAATGGCAATCCAAGACTGCCAATGCATCATATTTATGTCACCAGCATCATGATAGAGACGCCTAGAGGGACTTTCAAGGTCATAAAGAACCAAACATCATCGAACGACGTCTTCCTCAAGGCCATATATGGTCTCTTGACTCCGCCGTAGGCTTTGAGGGAGATCAGTGACGTCATGGGCTAACGTCCGCAGGACATATGCTTGACCGTACCACTTTGACGCGACTTTTGCCTGTCCGACCGCATTAGTACTAGTTCCCCCCCTCCTTCCTCTGAGAATTCTCGATGCCCGCCAGACGCGTGCCTACCACGCCTGCGTCTGTTAAGACCGCGAATGACAGTCCAGCGAAAAAGTTTCGAGAGACTCTCACTTGTCTTTACTCACTTACTCTCTTCAATTCACCCAGCCCTCCAGCATCCTTCGTCGTTTCTCATACCAGATAATACCTCTCTCACCGCATCCCCTTGACTCGATACCGATCCTGTGCATTCGCTGGCGAGCCATTCCATCTCTTAATCAAACCGGGCACCCTGCAACCTCGCCTCCCCGCTGTATATGCATCATGTTCCCCTAACAACCCCAGTTAGCCAGGTGTTTATACACAATCCCAGGGGACGCCCTGATTTCTCGGGCTCTTCATCTACCGTCCCACTTGTCCCAAGTGTTGGGACATCTCTCATCTCATGGCGGTCAATCAACATTTATATTCATCGGACGATGACTCGTCCAGCCCAGCCCGCCCCCCTCATGCCACTATCGACACCCTCCCTTTATACCGTCCGAACATGAACGATTCGGACGGCTCCGATCTCGAGGCTCTACCATCACCCCCTTCAAAGATTAGAACCACTCAGCCCACTCAGATTCTGCCGCATCCCCACCCATCCTCCCCGGACATGCCCTCTTCTCCTCCAAAACGACCAGTCGTCCAAGTCGCCGCTTCTTCTCCCTCTGCTCCTCATGCTACAACTCGTAAACCTGGTGGCATTCTAGCCAGTCTCATGGCCCCGGCTGGAACCACGTTCCGTCGACCTCTGGCTCCACCTCAACCCAAGAAGATGACTCCAATCACAATCGACAGCGATGATGATGGTCCTGTCTACGGCGGCAGCTCATCTGATGAGAGCGGGTCTCGCCCCCCAAAGAATGATATCAAGGCTTCCACGTTTCGCAGCGCTGGACATGCAGACAAGATCCTTGAATCTCCTACAGGTCAGGCTGATGCTCTTGGTAGATTCAGAAGCATCACCGCCAATTCTATGTATGTTCCCTCGCCAAACTCCTCTGTCACATCTACATCCTCCAAACGTTCGGCCGATCTCAATGCTTCCGCCTACGGCAACGTCTCCAAGAAGCCACGCCAAACCATGCCTTCTCGAGCAATCCCTGTCTCACCTCCAAAGGAGCCTCCTGTCTTTTCCGTCGATGACATTCTTGATTATAACATGCGTCAAAAGACTAAGCGACTCTCTTCGATGATCCAGGGACTTTCTGAGCGAGAGTGCTATGGAATCCTCAAGGCTAAAGGGGGGAACTATGACGACGCTGCCGCAGCAGCCCTCCTCCTGAGCGAGAAAAGACACCCAGCCACTCAGAAGCAATCTGCCCATCTAACGATCTCAGATGATGAACTCATGCCTACCCCGGCTGCCATTACCAAGAGATCCAAGGTTGATCCGGTCGTCCCTACTCGACAGCAAGCCAAAGCACCGCAAAAGTCCATTGCAGAAAAATGGAACGCTAGTCAGCATTTTCGATCGGACAGGATCATCAACGTCTTTGATACTCCCCAACCTCAGGCCAAGAAAAGGACTCTAATGCGTGGAAGAAAGCGCACCCCGTCTCCATCTTCACCGTCTCAAGAGCACAAACCTGCACTACCAGCCATCCAGGTCATCGATTCCGATGAATCAGACGCACAACCATCAGCTCTCAACTCTGAGGCTGAGTTCGACCTCACCTTCTCCTCTCGAGTCCTTACCTTCTTCAACACGTGCACGGTTGGCGACCTCGTCGACATTGCTTCTCTGTCCACAACTTTGGCAGAACATCTTGTTGCTCAGAGACCTTTCAAATCCCTCAGCAACGTTCAACAAGTCCAAGATCCAAATCTGAAGCCTACAAAAGGCAAGAGAAAGACCGCCCCAATCGGCGAGAGAATTGTTGACAAGGTCGAGGACATGCTGAACGGCTACGAGGCTGTTGATTTCCTGGTCAAAAAATGTCAGACCTTGGCCAAGCCTCTGGCACAAGCAATGAAGACATGGGGTATAGATTTGTTCGGCTCAACCACACCCCCTGGCGAGCTAGATTTGGTCTCTCTGCACGAAACTCGACGATCCCATGATTCTGGGATCGGAACTCCCATGAGCGAAGAGGACTCGGATCTCATTCAGCGCAAGCCATCAAACTACATCGAACAACCTGCCATTATGTCTTCCGAGATCAAGATGAAAGACTATCAGGTCGTTGGGATCAATTGGTTGAACTTGTTGTACAGAAATGGTCTGAGTTGCATTCTGGCAGATGACATGGGTCTCGGCAAAACTTGTCAGGTCATTGCCTTCCTGGCGTATCTATTCGAAAGAGGCCGAAAAGGTCCACACCTTGTGGTCGTTCCAGCTGCCACTCTGGAAAACTGGCTGAAAGAGTTCAAGCGTTTTTGCCCAACCTTGACGGTTGCCGCCTACTATTCAACCGTCCCTGGAGAGCGCGGTGTGATGCGAGACAACTTGGACAGTGCTCGAGAGGAGACCAATGTCATTGTCACAACTTACACTCTAGCCAAAGGCAAAGAAGATGCGCCCTGGCTGCGAAACTATGGCTTCGATTGCACCATCTATGATGAAGGCCACGTCTTGAAGAATGCTCAATCTCAAGTCTCTCAGAAGTTGGTCAGGATAAAGTCGAATTTTCGCTTATTGTTGACGGGAACGCCACTACAGAATAATCTCAAAGAACTCACCAGTCTCTTAGGCTTCCTCATGCCTTCAGTATTCAAGGAGAAAGAAGAAGATTTGCAGATGATCTTCTCCCACACGATCAAGGCCATGGGGACCAACCATGAAGCACTATTGTCTGCCCAGCGTATCAGCCGAGCAAGGAGCATGCTTACCCCGTTCATACTGAGACGAAAGAAGGCTCAGGTCTTGAAGGACCTACCAAAGAAAGAGCGCCGTGTTGAGTTCTGTGAAATGTCACCAGAACAGACTGAAATATACCAGTCGTGGCTTGACAAAGCACAGGACATCCAGGATCGCCGAAGTCGAGGCGAGAACATGACACAAGAGTCCACCAACTTGCTCATGAAGCTGAGACAGGCTGCCATACATCCCATCCTATTTCGCCGTCAATATCCAGATCAGATTCTCCCCAAGATTGCCAAACAATGCCTCAAGGTCGATATCTGGCGGGAATCTAACCCGCAGCTCATTGTCACCGAATTGCAAGCGTATTCAGACATGGAAATCCATACTTTATGCAATCAGCACCAACAACTTGAACACTTTGCATTCAACAATGGCGAGTGGCTTGCTAGTGGCAAGGTTCAGAAAATGCTGGAACTCCTTCGGAAATACATGTCTGAAGGACATCGAACTCTGATCTTTAGTCAATTCGTCATGGTCCTCGACATTCTCGAGCTTGTTTTCGAGCGTGAGGCCATTGACTATTTCAGACTCGATGGTACTACTAAGGTTTCAGAGCGACAAGACCTGATTGATGAGTTTTCCGCTGACGACAATCACACTCCTGTCTTCATGTTGAGCACCAAAGCTGGCGGAGCTGGAATAAATCTTGCCAAGGCCAACAAAGTGATTGTCTTCGACAGCGGCTTCAACCCGCAAGATGACATTCAGGCTGAAAATCGAGCGCATCGAATCGGTCAGCAGAAAGAGGTTGAAGTTGTGAGGCTGGTCTCTCGAGGCACTGTCGAAGAGCAGATCCATTCCATGGGTCTTGCCAAGCTCAAGCTCGATGAACAGGTGGCAGGTGATGGTACCGAGGAACCCACCAATACCTCAGACGACAAGGGCGAAACGAAAGAAGAGGAAGAGGGGAGGATGGCTGTCGAGCAACTCTTCTTCGACAGACTCAAAACCGTTCCATTGGCCGAGATCAAAGCTGAGATTACCAGTCCCGAGAAAGCTGTGAAAAGGCCAGGCAGTGTCGGAAAGGGGACAGTCAAAGGCAAGTCAGAAGATGGCAATCCAGCAATGCCTCATAGGAGGAACTCAAGTGTCGAGTTACCATCTCGGACGAAGAAGAGTCGAGGAAGGATTTCGAAGCGGGGCTAAGGAAATGAATTGATGACTGTGTGACAATACTATTGTCACGGTGGATGAGAGAATTGGGCAAGGGATGGCGCTTGAGTGAATTGGCTAGGTGAACATCACCCCCGTCTCATGTTAGTCATGACTGTTAGTGAACACAACATCTAGAGGCAATACTATAGCGTCGCGAACAAGAGTCATCCAGACGAACAATAACGAAACTATGACCAAACCATGACTTGGAACATTCACCCTTTTCCGATTCGAGACACGACTATCCCACCATCTCCCGCCTTTGCGGTCATTCCACATCCCACTTGACTCCAACTTGTCTCTGAAATGTGAGTCCGATTATGCAGCTTGAGTCAACGAAGCACATACACAGTCATAGAGCATTGACTCATTCATGCTTCCAGGTAGGTTCTATGACTGGCTTCCTGGACCTCTCAGGACTATAAGTACCTCCATTTCCCCCAGATTTTCCCTCGTTCGTCTCTCTCATGGTCCAACAATCCCATCCTTCGCAAAGATGTTTCTGTTTGCCTGAGCCACGGGACAGCCGGGACAGCCCCTTGTCCTTGGTTATTTCCTCCCTTTTTCTACTACTTCCCTGGCCCCATGCTCGACTTTCTCTCAGACAGAACATCGACCCTTTTATCAACTTATATATACACGGTTCAACCCTTTTCAAGCCCACAGTATCCGGAGGAAATTTCTTCCAAGAATCTCAAACAAAGTGGATGCGCCCATGCATGGTGACCAAGTACTACACTCTGAAGCCTATGCATACTTTCCTCAGGCGCTTTGAAGCCTGGAGACGTTTCCTCAACCTCCAAGAGGTGTTTTGCAATCACGTTCGCAAGGACGACGACGATCTCCACTGGCACTGCTCGGAGGACCTCATTGAGTGTCATGCACGGCGGCTGTGATGACAGTATATCTATTAAACCACTCAAGTCTACTCGTGAATAGTCACGAGATTCTAGTCTTTTTATGGCGATCCCATAGGGATTAGAGTGGTTTCCTGACATTGAGGACTGTATCCAACAACAGCCAACTATTTTCAACAAGATTTATCCCTGGCGCGACGCCTTTCATTACGAATTGGGCGCTGTGTCTGAAAACAAGAGAACATGATCAACCAAAATCATCTCTGGTGCGACGCCTTTCATTACGACTGGGGCGTTGTGTTGAACCACAAGCAACTTTTTCCACCAAATTATCTCTGGCGCGACGCCTTTCATTACGAACTTGGCGTTGTGTCGAGAAACAGGAGATCATCATCAGCCATTATCATTTCTGGTGCGACGCCTTTCATTACGAGAAAGGACTCGCGCCGCCTTGCACGCCCGTGCCCATGGCCTTTGGCAGAGAGTAGCAAGTACGTTTCGTCTATATATCTGGGCGGGTTTCCTGTGTCCTCCCTCGGCCATCTCACCAAAACACGCCCTGGTCGGCTTGAACAAGAACCACTGGTGTTCTGGGACATCATGAGTCGGTCTATCCCAAATTTGCGTAATTGCGACGCTCAATGGTTCGGTAACCATTTCGCACCGAACGATGAGGCACCATACCTCCATTTGTGGCTGCATCTACAAAGAAGCCTGCTCTAGTGGTAGCGCCCACGGATGAAAGCGGCGAAGGAAGCGTGCCGGAGATGCGATTCCTCAAAGCTCAAGTAATCTTCGCAAAGTACAACCTTGAGCTGAATGAAGCCGACTGGGATCACAGACTGAAAGTGCCGTATGAAAGAGTGGAAAAGACCATCCGCATGCGAGTCAGATATACTTGCCATAATTGTTCTACTTCGTTTGGTCGCGACAAGGTCTGTCCTTCCTGCAAAGACACATACGACGACTGAACACGAAGCTCTGGCATTGCTGAATGCAAGGTTTGCAGGATTACCGATGACTGGAGGCGGATTCGCAATTTTCTGTTAACGCCGATTCTCATCATTCGGCCCTGGTCGAATCCTGAAGAATGACGACACTCGTTGCCGTCTGGGAAGATAGGAAGTCCGATGAAGAGATTTCTGGTCGAATCTTCACCAATTCAAAATGGATATTCCGAGGCAATCATCATGCAACAAGTCTTGGCTGGAGGAACAGCTCACAAGGAGAACAACCCTGATTCTGAAAGCGAATACCGGACCCCACTACAAAGGGACGAGCATGTTCATGCCTTTCCCAATCCACTGTCTGAAGACTGGAAGATGTTGAGAACTGTGGCTGAGACTTTCATTTATATCCATCATCGATGGACGGCCCGGCAAAAAGCTCAGTGAGACGAATTTCTCAAAACCGTGCCACGTCGCAACACATACACCAATCCCTATATATATGCTGTATATGCCCATGCATATTGCGGACCAACACTTTCTACGGATATCTCGATCTACCAGATAACCACGCCATAGTTGCGACTTGCCAGACTGCTCACGAAATCTTTGATGAGGGTTCAATTAAGCAAAAAGCCACTAAGGGATACCTCGAGAGATTCCAACACCACATCGAACTCTACGAATCCTTCCTAGAGAAAGGGAAATTGGAAAGTTATATATCCAACAGCCTTACTACCGGCGCCGAGTTGTGTGAAGAATCGGTGATAGCAAGCTTCCTTAAATTCGTTGAGGAGAAATGGAGATGAGTCATTCACTTCAAGAGTTATTCGAAAGGACGAAACGGATTTCGAGTACCCTTGTACAGCATGCTACGAACCCACGTCAATCTACGAGATCGTGCTTCTGATACGCGGCACAAACTGTGGTGTGTCCGGCATGCTCGAATAAGCCACTCCAACTGGCATCCTGCTGTGGTGCAGCACAACGACAGGGAGGACTTTTCCCCCAACCTTACTAGCCATGCCTACGTAAAATGGACATTGCTAATACCAACGACCGTTCGCGGGGCCTTAAGCGTCTGGACATCTCTTCGGCTATGACCCATTACGTCTCTTTGCGAGCCATTCTGGGCCCCATCCGTCAAGGAGAAGCTCATCGCTGGGTGTTGGGCCGTTCCTGCGACAAGGCACATCGACATTGACAAATAGGCAGGAGCCAGGTGGAATGCCTCATAGGCAGAGATTGATTCTCTCTCATAGTTTTAGCTTAGACAACAAGACAAACTTCTCAACACTAAGTTTCTGGGTCGCCACGGGCCGCAAACAGGATTTGACAGTCGCATTAGCTATTCGGAGGTGGTAGTTATACACCAACTAGGTGCCGACACTTCTCCTTGTACGTTTGGTTTGGTTTTGATTGGGAGCGCTCGCATTGACTCGTAACAGCCTGCCAACAGTGCGGGCGGTCCGAGGGCCCTCGGGCCGGGTCGCGGCGTGTCGTTCGTTCGCTGGGGAACTGAACGGCGGTATGCGTCTACCTCCGATAGCAACGGGTCGTACTGACTCGTAAAACCCAAGATCTATACAATGATTGAAGCCCGTACCCAAAAGTCAAATCTCATGACGATCCAAACACCTTGACTCTATCTTGTACAGGCAGATACTGACGTGGTTTCGACCTCTTCAAACCATCGACTGGAGAACCAAAGACAAGTTGAGCCTGTAAAGACCATGAGTTGGGTAAATTCCATTCGCGAGCCACTTGAGCGGAGAAGTTGGGCATAAAGTTGTAGTGTTGAAGATTGCAGCCCAAGCCTTGAGTCTGAAATGCGGTCCAGACGATGAATTGATGGATGCCGGAAGAATGGAGGGACCCTAGATGGGGGATGAGATGAGTGGCATTAGAACAGAGAAGAGAACGAGAATGATGGTGGAAAGGAGACAGGCATGGAGCATGACCACGGCATAACATGGAAGATTCATAACTCACAATCATTCATACAATGCTGAATACTCTGACTCTTTCCCTTCAGAGTATCGAGAGCATCCTGATCTTCAAACCACAAGACTGTACCATACGCAGCTCGAAATCCTTGCACTTTAGGTTTCATATAGTTGTAGGAAGATTGAGGAAGAGTCTTTTGGAGTTCTTCGTCGCCAATGTCCCATAATTTCTCATGGTCTGCTCGTAAGAGGATGACGGCGCGGGCTGATTGCACATTAAAGGTCGACGGGGCATGTTTTATGGCGGATTCTACTATCGATTGGATCGTGGAGTCTGGAATTGGTGATGTGTTGGTGAGAGTATAGTTGGAAAGGCGCTGCTCGATGGGAGTGAGGAATTGGTCGAGGGCGAGAGGATCAGAGGTGGACATGATGTTGTAGTTCCGGGTGTAGTTTTAGGTTCGATCTGGGTCGGTGATCTTAGGTTGATAGGTACCGAGCCTGGCAGGATGAATCGTTCGATGGTCAGACGTCTCAATAATTGTGGTTGTATCACTGTCACTTTTATAGTATGAATGGTAGCTACCTACACAAGCCTCGAAGAAATTGATCAAGTTCAACTAGTTGCTGCTTGAGGCTTCCCCATGCTTGATAGGTTGATTTGGATAATGTATACTTTTAGCTCGGATGGCGCAATAGCGATATACTCTATACTCGTACTATCAAGAGAGATTGTATCGACATGAGGAATGGGATGTGATTTGATTGTTCTTGATAGGCAATCGTGCATGTGAATCTCGATGTTATAGATCTAGACTGATGTATCGAGGAATCCAATAATGGCTGCACTCTGTGTGTGTGATACCCTCTTTGTAAATAGCGAGAGTTTAAGTTTAAGCACTTGCGAAGATGAACAATGAACAACAACTCGAAATTCTACATATCATATAGGTACCTTACCAACCTAAGGAGTGTATTCCCTACTCATGAACCTCTCATTCCCAGCAATATGACACTGAAGGCAACCAACACCTTAACCCATCACCACAGTACCTTCTACCCAAAAGCCAACACCAAAAAGGAAAGACAAATTCCCTTTTCGGCCCGGCCACCAATCAAGCATAAAATTTACCACTCAAGCACTCTAATACTGAGGTGGACGAATGGCACACTTGGCATCTGTTGTTCGCCCGCTGCGGCTGAGTAAGCCTATAAAAGCATGCATCATTACCAAAATAGGAAATATTCTATAAACTTCATGAGACAGAGTGAGGCATGCGATGCCTCATCCCCTCCAAAATACACTTGTTCTGCAACCTGTCGCCGCACTTTGACTTTCTGACTTCCAGCCACTTCCTTCATCAAGGTGTGACAGGTTGCCTCGTCCGTCGTATGTGTCTGTCTGCACTCGACATCTCGGAACAATATACTCCGTAGTAGATATTTCCAACCTCGTTGATCAGGAGAGAGTGATTCTGGCCAACAAAAGCAACAGCACGAAATGGTAGATAGATCCAAAAACTAAAGGACAGCACTCATTAAACTACGCCCTTTGCGTTCTTCAGAGTTTTTTGGACTTTATATCTTCATTCAGATCCATCGACCCTTTTTCCGCTAACAAAGCCTCCTAACTGTTTGATATCATCGACAACCATGTCCAATCGCCGCACCACGCCCGGCGAAAAGGTAGTTTCTGAGCTTCAAGGAGGTCCATCGACAGCAGATCAGGTCTCGGATACCAGTCCTGCTGTACCGGCGTAAGTACAATCGAAGTTTCCCTTTCATTGGGATCGAAGCACGGTCACTAGCAAATATCTTCAACATACTGACTGGGAACCTTTATGCAGCTATGTCATTTACAAGCTACTGTTCTTCACGGCCGCTATGGTCTGTGTGCCAATCGGGTCTTATTTTCTGACTCTGAATGTCATCTTTCGAGGTTAGTTTGGTTTTCTTTCCTGAGTCGGGCAAGGCAATAGGGGTTTCATGTTTTGGTTCCCTGTTGCACCTTTTCGACTTCTTCTACCGATGAATACTCATTCTATTCTTTAGGTAATGCCTCGTATGCAGGAGCGTTTGCTGCCATTATGGCCAATGTCGTCTTAGTCGGTTACATCATTGCCGCTGTCAGAGAAGACCAGTCTGAAAAAATCGAGCAAGAAAAGCTCAAGAAAGCACAGTAGCCGCCTGTCAGGACCTGTCATTCTTTGTGAGGCACCGATCAAATTACTAGTGATTCAACGAACATCAAATGTGTGGGGTCACTGGGTTATATTCATGACACTGAGTCCATCTCGCGTGTGCGCCTATGGATATCTCCTAACCTGTGCATATTACCATCATGGCACCTCCTGAGTCCTCACCCACCCAGCTCAACAACCGACACCAGGTCAGCCCGCGTCACTAGAACGCGTCGTCGGAATATTTCAACTCGTCATCCACATTCTCACCATCTTACAGCTGTCGATCATGCCAACATCTGCAATATTACATCAAGCATTAATCGTCAACCAGAGGCTCCAATGATGAGCTGTATAACTGATGCAAATCACCCCGTCTTGTTACCAACAAGACAGACAAAAACTCCCAATCGTGTATTTCGTGTACGCCGGACAAAGAATGACCCTTCCCACTCGGTCTTCGACTTTTTCTGCCAACCTATGAGATCAGGTGTCACGCTTACTGAACCTGCGCTTGATCCAACTCTGTCGCTTAGCTGGTGGAGGAGGTGGAGCATCGCTCTGGACGGTGCCGGGGCTGTTCAGGGGGATCGGGGTCCGAGTGCTGGGTGATCCATACTGGTCGCCATACATGGAGGGACTCTGCACCGCATCTGGTCCATATGGATTGCCAGACGAGTAAGGGACATGCTGAGATTGACCAAAAGAAGGCTGATTGAATCGTGTGTCGTTGTTGAAACAGTTGTACTCGTCAGGCTTGCGGAGATGGTGTAGTTGATCATTGGAACTGTTTTGTGAACTGGGGTTGGTGGATTTGCTGTTGTCATCCGATCCTGAAGTAGCGGTTTCGTACGAATGCTGGTATGAGTGGGCCGACGTCGGGCTGTCATGGTTTGCAAACTGCGCTGGCGTTCCATAACCGTTCTGATAGCCTTGAGGCACATGTTGTCCAGCAAAATATGGATTTGACGGTTGACGCATGTTCCGACCGTAGATGTTGGCTGATCCAGGTTCTTCTTCAACCGAGCTTTGAGGGCCAAATCCGTAGGAGCTATTGCGGTAGTATCCACCCCCAACAGCAGGGCGCTGTGGGCGCGGAGGCGAGTACCCATTCTCTGGCGTCCTGTTAGCGACTTGCACCGCAATTTGTATCATGGCTGGAAGTGACTTACGTGAGTAGTAACTCGCTCGGCGACTGTCATTGTTGTAGCTCATCTGCGATGGAGCTCTGCCATAGGAGGAACGACGGGAGCTGGTGCCCTCGGCAGCGGCGTTGAATGATCGGATCGTGTCGAGGGGTCGTTCCAAGCGATGTCGGGTAGGATTTGAACGGTCAGGGTCAGCTGCAGGGGTTGTCAGTGCACGGTGTCGACGATGAGGGTCAGGAGGTCATGGCTCACTGATGACATTTCCGTCCAAGTCTTTGTGCATGATGGTTCGCAAGTCATCTACAGTAGCATGCTCTTGCGCTTCTTCGGCTATTTTGAACGCGTCATGTCAGTGATGGTATAGAGAGCGAGAGCACGCAGACATACCTGGAGTGGCTTCGTTCAACGCTCTTGAAGGGTCTGCCTTTGTGTGTAATCTCTTCTTGTCTTTATGACTCTCGGTCAACTCGAGCTTGTGGCCAGAAGCGCTACTACGGCGAGAACGGTTCGAGGTATAACTCATCGAGGTTTGGGCCCCAGGACGAGGCTCCAAGCCGTGAGGCTGGGGAGAGATTGGAGGGGATGTAGTTGTCATGGCGGCGGGTCGAGTCGACCTGGGCCGTAGTTGTGGAGATTGAGATAACGGATATCCGGATGAGATCAGAGGCTGGCGTGGAACCGCTGGCAATCTCCTGTAGGGATCAGGCGGCGTCTGGGTGGTGTTGGGAGCTGATGCTGGTGAATATTGGAAAGAACGATGGGATAAACACTCTCAGAGCCAAAGGGAGTGGATGTAAGATGCAGAAACGAGTGATGGTGCTCGGTGTGGCAGTTGTTGGCAAGTCTGATTATGAGCGAAGATTACTCGAAGACGAGATGAGACAGACGGTGGACAGTGGACGTGGAGGAAGTCAGTGAATGTTGAATGGTCGACCGGGTGGCGGGGATTGGACAGGGATGTAGCAAGTAGTGAGGATCTGTTTCAGGGCCAGCAGAGCAGGGGTGTCTGAGGCGCAGTGGAGTCTCCGGGAGTTGATAAACGCAGAGGCCGGAATGGTGATGCGATGTGTTTGCAGATGATGAGTTGAATTGGAGTAGATGTCGCCACGGAGGTGTGCAGAATAATGAGATGGAAAGAATATTATCTTGCTTGGTGTGTTTGATCGACTGTCTGAAATAGAGGTTGCAGGCAGCCAAAGGAACAGGCGAAAAGTGAAAGAACTACCACTGTGCCGCTGCTGATGGTTCGGGGGCACAAATGATGACGATGAGACCGAATAGCGCCAGATTTTGATCGGAAAAAAGGCAGTCGCCAATCAGTGTGACAGGCAGATACGCGTAGGCACTTCAGGGCAGTTTGTACATGTACACGTCCTGCGCAATCAATGATGGATGTACTGTACAAACAAGAGGGAGGAATTAAAGGTCGAAAGGGCTGATACAATTCAAAGACCTAGAGGATGCGACTATTAAGGTCTACGGACGGCATACTGCTACTGTTGCATCCCAGCATGATAACAAGTGTTCTCCAGATGGGCTGGTGGGCTTCTCTGTGGAAATGTGGGCAGCCACGGGTGGTGAGATCCTTTCGTGTCTCTGACTCTCGCCCATCTGACCGTATGCCATGGCATTTCCCATGGCGTGCCCTCGCAAGCATGGGAACCTGCGGACCATGATTCAAACCCAAAACCAGGTCTCAACCGACCCATGCCATGTCCACGGCCTCAACGTCGAGAATATCCCGATCGCCTAGGCCGAGGTGGGAATGGAGGACAAAGATGGCTCCACCACCAACCGCCCTCTCCGTCCATGATGCATGGTAAAGTGGCGGTGGGTGGCGCTGAGTGGTTAGGTGCCTGTCCGTCATTGCTGCAGTCCCCCCATGCGGCCGCCTAAGGCTTTTTTGGGAGCGTCAATATCGCCTCGTCGTCCACTAGCACCCAGACTGCTCGGCCCAGCACCAAACACTGGATGAAAAATTCCAGGTTTTTCAAACTTTGTGAGACGCACGTTCCTCTGGCGATGGGTCTAGCGTTCTGGATAACGGGACCCTGGTCCCTGGATGGACGAGCCATGCAAGGTCATGCTCCATGCTATGCTCCACTGGTGCAGAGTTGCAGCTGTAAAGTACGGCATACGGAGTATGTATCGATTGAATAAATGAACAGTGTTTCTGGTTATCCACATATTATCCACAGGATACGTATAGCGTGCGTGTTGGCTGCTGTGAGCTGCGCCAAGTTGCAAGACTGGTTGTTAAGAGAGAGTGCATGTAAAGTAGTACCTTGTCTGCCAGGCGTACCAGCGTGCTTGGGAGTGTTAGTTAAAGACAGGACTTTCTTATAGGGGCCGGGGGCGTCGGGATTTCCGCCCTCAGGGTCTCCGACCAGCCCAATCAATGCTGATCGGCCCTTTTTGTGTTGCTCAATGGTACTCTTAGCCTGGAGCTTTGCGCCTTGATTGAGCTGTTTCGAACGCCCAAGCCAGATTTAGCCAGATCTTCAATGCTTTCTTTTGGTGACCAGGAACTTGTGGTATTTGATTCATATCTATTTTGGATCCCACCGAATACGGTAGATCACGACACTCGTCTTCAGCACGTACTCATTATCCTCGCCTATTTCGCGTTTATGACTTTACGGTCTGCGAGCACCTAGATTTCGAGACGCGTGGCCGACGTCACCATGGAGGAATGGACTTTGCGCTGGACGAGTACCTACGGAGTATATCGTAGTCGAGTCCACGAATCCACGAACCCCACACTGGTCGATTTTCAATAGCCAGCTCTACCACAAGTAGCCTACCGTGACTGTAACAGTCCAACACCATGCTCCAACAAGCTCTTGGATTGACCCCACCAGCTCATGACAGAACCAGGACCCAGGCCACACACCAGGTGTGTTCCCGGGACTGAGTGCCAGTCGCTTTCTGATTGATCCTGGAACTATGTCCGGAAACTCACTGGGCCCGCCAGTACTGATTAAGTAGGTAGATATACTTCGTAGACATGATAATGGCAGTTGTAGGTGGGACCTTGTCTGCCCCCTCCCAAGCCCGTAGGCATATTCGTAACACAGTTCTACGAGTACCCTACCATGCCTATTCGTACACACTCCGCTGCTATCTATCGCTCACTCAAGCGCCTGTGCATGCGGATTTCATCATCGACATCTGAGACATGCTGCAGCTCCGTGGTTGATCCGTTCAACCTTAACCTTGTACGTCCTTAACCCACGCACCTACCCACGCATCTAACTTATCACAGGCTGCACCTACGCAAGCACTTCCGGGCTCAACAGGTGGCCGAGGGGGTATCCATGTCTGCACATCTGCACATCTTTCTCTTCTATTGCTCTGAAACGCCGGCATTCCGTCAATGGTCGATCCCCTAGCTTTGAATTTACTTGCGCCAATATCCAGGTTTCCAAAAGGATCCATCCTGATTGTATGCCTTCACAATAATAACCGAGCAAATCCTCATCAACGACGATACTCTGTTCTGCAGGTATTGTATGTAGTACGTCCTGGTGATAACAGTGCCACATTGCGCACAGGACAGGACCCTTTAATTAAGGAAGCTTTGAAGATCATCACTGAAATTGTCTGTGCCATCCATTCTCAACAATCTTCCGTATCTATATTTAAGCCACCAGTGCTCATCCTGGACTTATTCATCACCATCGTCCGCAGCTCATTACCTTTTGACCACATTGCCACCTCCATCACGTACAGTCGCAACAGTGTGTCTACGAATACGTACTCACTCGTGTCACTCAACCTATTATTATTCCCAACGGGCAACCTCTCCGCATTCGGTGGGTGGGCTTAAGCGAAAGAATCCGCACGCTATAGATTTCTGTTGAAACTCAAAAAAATTTTAGGCGTGCCGACTAGCTTGACTTCCAAAGCGGTTCAGCTTCTCGAGCGAGAGCGACGGCCAAAGTTGGCTAGGAATACTCGCAGCTACACACTGTACAGCTGCTAATAAATCCACTAACGGCTTCAGATGTCCCTACACTACTTAAAGAAGTAGCTTGCATTATGTGTACAACAACGTACTCGTACATAATACGCACAGCCAACCCCGGACAATCAGGAAAGAAGCAGTAGCAGTCCCAAACAAAACAAATTTCTCACAAGAATACAACCTTCAGAGCAGCACGGACACCCGTTCTTCAAATTGTGCACGGTTCGAGAATAAGAACGTTTCCGAGCAATCCGGTGCGGCCTGGCCCAAACTCGGTAGCTGCCCTGCCCCGGCCTGGCGAGTTGTCCTTGTAGCCAACCAGCAACAAGCGAAGATTCAAAAGCGAGACATCCATTATTATTATTCCATCCATAGTGATCCGTACTCCGTAGTCCATACCAGGAGACCATGGTGGCTTCCTACGAGGATGTACAGGCGTAGAGGCAATCTGTGTACCTGGCTTTTTAGCTAATTGCTACTGCGCTACGTGCCTACCTAGGTACCTACTGTACTTGTTCAATGCAATCAATTTATTTACATTCATATTAATATTCCAGACATGGAAAACCTGCACCTGTCGCAGATGGGACTCTCATCGTAATCAACAGGTCTTTCTAAGTGGATATCAGCCTATACCAAGAACATTTGAACCCTCGTTCCAGCGTCATGCATGGCAAATAAACCCCGGTCTAGGCTGCAATACTCTACTGACCTTTTGATCGATCCATATTCTCCTCCCTATACCTCATCAACGTCACACGTAAATCACCCCAGTCTCCCAAATCCCATTCCCCGCTTAAGATCCAAAGCCCAGTCAGTCCCATCCTTCACAATCCACCTAATCAACCAACTTCAACAAATAGAACCCAGTAAAAACCAAGTATGAGACAAGAACAAGAAAATGTCACGCCACCAACGTGGTTGTCAGCTGGCAGCTAGCTGGCAAACTGTCTCGAGAGTTTCGAGACCAAATCAACCCGTTACTTATAGTGGGTCATCTCTGCAAAAGGCCGTGTTCCGTGTCTCCGACGTCCTCCTACGAATGATTTACTACTGTAGTACTACTGCTACTGTTTCTTTAGAATTTCTTCTGCGGATGAAGAATTAAACTTACCACGTATGTGTTGTTGTGTTGTCTGGCCTCCGCTCGGCCATTTTGCGCCAGAGGAGTGCTTTTGCTGATGGAGAAAGTGATTAATATGGTTGGATGATCTCTCTTTCTCCCTGCTTCACTCTTGTCCTCCTCAGGTCAGACCTGTGCTGTGCCTGGACACAGAGAGGTTATGGCAGCTATTTTCTCGTTAGGAACATGGCATATGAGTCTATGGCTTGGAAAACACGCTGAAGAGCGTATTTCACCCCAGAGGCTACGATGCAATCGGATATCTGAATCATTATGTGTGGCGTAACTGATCGCCCATCTACCACCCGGACTGAATTGGTTGAGGAGAGCTCCGAGACGACAAACGACCGGTTAAACGACTCGATGACAGCTGAAATGCTGTCGCAACTGGGCACAAGGCTGTTAAGACTTTCAGCCTTATGAGATACATGGTACAACTATACTGTCACTAAACCTCCAGCCACGTCAGCTTAACCACCAGCATCTGCTTGGATACTGGCCTCCGCCGGTTCATTTCAAGGTCAGTTCAAATCGCGCGCTGTCAAACTTTTCGTTCGTACGATTCATTGGTATCCGGTGCAGCTATACGACAGGACATCCCAGCTACTAGCCACGGATATGGAATCTATCTTCGTGCCCTTTCCAAAGCCCCCAGCTCACTTTCTAGAGCTTCCAGCACGGGCCGAAGTCCCATCACGGTGTTGAAAAGAGTCTTTGCTTTTCTATGTGGATCTTCCCACCGGTGCAAATCGGTCTACAATTTGTTGGGGGTTGATGCTGTGTTCCACTGGTATCCAGCAGCATCAGAGAACTTGTACCCATATGATGCGGTGAAGTCGTCCAGAACGGCCGGTCCTCGGGAGCCTGCAAGATTTGGGTCAGCGTCTCAGTCAGGGTTGCCGGAAACAAAGTCACTACTTACCATAAGGATATTCCATGGGTACAATATCTGTCTTCTCATCCAGATAATGGAGGAGAGGGCTAAATATTCTCCACGAAGCGTCCAATTCATCGTCACGCACAAAGTTGGAATGGTCTCCTTTCAGAGCATCCAGGATCAAGCTTTCATACGCCTCCGGGATCTTGAGATCCGAGAAGCGTCGCCGGTAAGTCAGATCAAGCTCTGTGACCACTGTCTGCATAGACAGGCCAGGCAATTTTGAGTTCATTTTGAGATAAACCGACTCGTTGGGTTGAATGCGAATCACGAGTTCATTTCGGGGAATATCCTTGAAGATACCCGAGGTCACATCCTTGAACTGAACTCGGATCTCAGTCTTTTGCTCGTTGAGTGCCTTGCCGGCCTTCAGGATGAACGGAACTCCATCCCATCGCTCGTTCTTGATGAACGCCACCATGGCACAGAATGTGGGGCATCTCGACTCTTTTGGAACTGTGTCGTCTTCTTTGTACGCAGGCTTGGTGCCGTCAAGCGACCTTCCGTACTGCCCGATGATGACGTTCTTAGGCTCAATCTTGGGGATTCCTCGAAGAACTCGCACTTTCTCGTCACGGATGTCTTCGCTCGAAAAGGAAATTGGTCGTTCCATCGCCAACAGGGTCAGGACTTGGAGAAGATGATTTTGCATAACGTCACGGATGATGCCGAACTCGTCAAAGTACCCGCCTCGGCCTTCGGTACCGAACGGCTCTTTGAATGTAATCTGGACATTGTCGATGTGATTGCGGTTCCAGGTTGCTCCCAGGAACTCATTACCGAATCGCAGGATCAACAGGTTCTTGACCATCTCCTTTCCGAGATAATGGTCAATACGGAAGATCTCCTCTTCTTTCCAGTCGGGTTCGAGGCTATCGAGTATGTTAGCGTTGTGATATGGCACGCGACAGGCAGATTCTTACGCTCTTTGAAGTTGTCTTGAACTGTCAAGATCCTTGCCAAAAGGCTTCTCAATGATGATTCTGGCAATTCCCTTGTTGGGATAGCAGTTTCGCTTGAGATGCTGAGAAACGGGAATAAAGACACTGGGTGGGAGAGCCATGTAGAAGACTCTGTTTCCCTCCTTGCGGTTCTTCTCAATCTCTCCGATAGCATCGTTGAGCTTCTGGAATGGCTCATCTTGATCGTATTGGCCCGAGATGTATGAGCAGATCGCAGTGAATTGTTCTAGTTGCTCTTCCACCTCTTTCGTCGGGGTCTTGATGTATGACTTGACTCTTTTGATGTATTCGGCGTGATCCATCTTCGTTCGTGCATATCCGATAATCTTGATGTCATCGGGGAGGAATTTGTTACGGAACTAGATAGAGATGTATTTAGCACCGAACTCCGGAATGTCTGGGGAGCAATCTGGCAATGCTTACGAGGCCAAAAAGTGCAGGGAAAGTCTTCTTCTTTGCAAGATCACCGGATGCACCGAGTACAACAATCACGGTGTTTTCCTTGAGCTCGATGGTGCTGCCGGAAAAGATTGGTCAGCGGATCAATGTGAATAACAATGGTGGGAACCCGCGGTGAAAGTGGCACGCGGAGTTAGGAAGATGCTCACCCAGCATTTTCAGGCTCTGCAGGTCGGACAACGGTGTCGGCCATGATTGAGGTTGTGATGAGGGCGCCGGAAGATTAGAGATAGAATGAACCAGGGAATTAAGAGAGAACCGACGGTATGTAAGTCGGCGGTAAGCTGGAGGGATGACGGCGTTGATAATATTGTTGATTAATCGGCGAGCGACTCACCAAGATCCCCTTCAAGCCAAATTGTGACTTGGTGGGGCAGGAGAGTGGGTAGCAGTGAAGGGGGGGAGTGGGAAGCAGCGACACTGCAGTAGTAGCAAGGAGGAACAGGGAGCGAGAAGAGGGGATTAGGCAATCGGCCCTGACAACAAGAAGTTGGCTTTGCGGTTTATGCGTTCTCGCCTGGCCGGACTCCTGTCATTCGGCGGTCAGAACCTGTGGAGGGGGGGGGGGGGAAATTATGCGTATTGAGATGTTGGGGGCTTTTGCGGAATTCAACTTGGGGGGGCGACGTAAGGATCAACTCGAGGTGGTAGGGTGGGCAACAAGAGTCGATTCTCCGCAAAGAGGTGGCTTCTAGATCTTAAGTAGGCGAAGATGCTTTCGAGTGTTACAGAAGCCTTCGTTTGGGCAGGAGACTTCACAGGCTGGAAACGAGAAGAGCGTGTCGTGTCAATTATGAAACAAAAGAGACTGAGAGAGGTCACCTCCGGGCCTCGGGGCGAGCGTAAAATATTATTTTGTTGTCAAGAGAGAAAGTCATTACTGGAACCTGCAATGTGCATCCGGTCAACAGCGAGCGAGCTTTTGTCGTCACTAATCTGTCAGCAAGGAGCACCACCTGGCGGAATGAGAACAACCATGCTCTAATCCGTGCCCCTCATTCAACCTGGCCTCCCAGATCTCAACTTGCATCATTCGGAACGCCAGGCGGACCCGTCGGCTTACCGAGTCCAGCTCTAGGAAGTCAAAGAAACTGCGAACTGCTGTTATTATTGTCCGCCAAAGCCGCCTAAACCGCCCTGACGTGGGCCGGGGTCAAGATGTGCTTGGTCATTCGTGCAGTCTTAGGTAATCGTACGATTTCCGCAAACCTCTGCTCGGATCTCCTTGGTTTACTTATCTCCATCCTCAGTATTACCTTGCCGAGTTTTGGAAACATTGACATTGAGTTTTTACGATTTCGATTTACTGCAAACGTCTGCTGCGTGGTCATTTGGTTCCAAGGAGGATTACTCGTAGAAATAATGTAGGAGTCACTGCGCTGCTGTTCCTATACTCGGAGTTAAGATTTCTAATTCTGGTAAATGCGGCATCGAGGAATGAAAGAACATAATGTGGACTAACGTAGGACATCTGGATCCTCTAGGCGGGCTTGTGATCCCCCGGGCGCCCCATTACGTCCACTCTCAGTCTGTTCTTAGGTAGTATACTGGTGTCTCCACGCTAAGTAGAAGTGCCCTTAACAAGAAGAAAGCCAGTCCTACACGTGGGCACCTCACCACCATAATCCTTACAATTGTCATACCTTATTAACCACATCTTCTCAAGTAGCTCTGCCCAGTAGTGGCCCAGGATCAGCGATGATTACACTACTCCGTATGCTTCTCTCAAACAGCAGCGCAGATAAGCTTTGATCAGGCAACTATTTCCCAAACGAGGTATTTCCGGTACGAAGGAGTAGTGCTGGGGATCGCCTGAATGTATTACGCAGACAGGTAGGCTCAACATCATGGGCGGTCTTCCGGAGAGGTTCCGAGGAGACACAATTGGAAATATTGATAGTGGATAGGTACCTCTTATTAAGGTAGTCATTACAATTGCAGAAGAATCGTGCCCAAGACGTTGGCAACAACGGAACCCGGGAAAATAGAAAATCCGTGATGAAATTATGCCAAGCCCACTTACCCGAAGTGAACTAGTGCACAAACGGGCGCACCTCGAAATTTCGTGCCCAGCGAAAGGCTTTGGACCACACAAGAGTTTCTGAGAGAAAGACAACCGCATCTGCACCACGACTTCCTTCCCTCGCTGTCGCCCAACTCTTCATCCACCCTTTACGACAAATTCACCTCATAGAATCGGTCAAGATGGTTTCCGGCGCCGGTCACAGACTATATGTCAAGGGCAAGCACTTGTCATACCAACGTGGAAAGCGGAACACCAACCCCAACACATCGCTGCTCAAGATCGAGGGTGTTGACGACACCAATGCCAGCAAGTAGGTCTACACTTTCCCCTCTACCCTCGGTTATCAATGTTCTGGACTATAAGGAGTATAATCAAGAGGGGGAACACATCTTCAAGCCGGCGAAGGATCAAGTGGAGGGGATTGAGGACTGAAACCTCCCTTCACCTCGACCACCAACCCACCATTGAAAAAAAAATGCAATACTAACCACCATACTCTCTCACAGATTCTACCTTGGAAAGCGCGTCGCATACGTGTACCGAGCATCGAAAGAACGCCAGGGCAGCAAGATCCGAGTGATCTGGGGCAAAGTCACACGGCCACACGGCAACTCTGGCATCGTCCGAGCCAAATTCGCACACAACCTCCCTCCCAAGAGCTTCGGTGCCAGCGTCCGAATCTTCTTGTACCCCAGCTCAATATGATTTCGATCCACTACTAGCACGTGCGATTTGTGTGTTTTTTATGGCGGGAAGTCGAATGGAGTGGTAGAAGGAGAGGAGATGTAGAGGCGAAAAACAAACGAAGACAGAAAAGAGGTTTCGTGTGCGATGTGACGGCGCTGAACGAAAACGCCCATCACCGCGGAATCTGGAGGGAATGATTGTAACTCACCAAATCAAATCAAATCGATGGGTGGGTTGAGTGGTTTGTGTGGGATCCTGACAATCACAACTCATTCATGAAATGGGGAGCCAAGGGGGAGAATTTAAGACGACGACAGTTGACCGGTGGGTTGAAATGGGTTACAATGGACAGAGGTTACAATGGACAGATTCGTGACGATGACACTGGACGACTTTGCATGAACCTCGATTTTAGGGTGATGCTACTGCGTTGGTGGTCATTGGACAGGCTGTACCATTGTACCTGTTGATCACCAGGCACGCTGGGGTTTGCACTTGCATGGCATGGACCAAAGACAAATGTTTTCAGAAAAGCACATTGTGTAATCCCATCTGCATGATGTGCCTGACTTGAATCGAAAAGAAATTTCAAACTAAAAAAACACCATGTGTCTTGCTGTTGTACTACCCCGACTCAGTGTCTAGGTCACAGTGACTCGTGCTAATTAGGCTTCTCATCTCTTCTCAGGGTATCTTTTCTCGCAGCGTGCTCTATCTTACAATAGTCCGACATACGGCCCTGACATAATCATACAAATCGTCTCAACAACCTGGCAGCGGTCACCGCCACCGCCGCATAGGCAGACTCACCAGAAATTAGGGAGTCGGCAATAATCCAACTGGTATGGACTGACCTGACCGCTCATGATGACTCCATCTTTCTCAGCCTCCTCGCGGCCTCTGCCCCCACTATACTGCAGAGCGCGCCAACAAACATACACACAGCGATTGCGTTTGGCGCGTCTTTGGTTAGGTTCAGCCATCTGTGGTGATCTGGATCGTCTATGTCAGCCCCATCGCCCCCGGGAGCTTGGTCGGCTTTGCTGGGTTCGAGGATAGAGAAGACCACCCAGCTGATAAAGGTACCAACAAACTGTGGTAAGGTTGTGTACACGTTCAAAACCCCAAGATAGATTCCCGCCAGTTCACCAGTAGACGAGTGGGCGTCCGAGTCGTCGTCTGGATGATGGATCCGAAGTACCCCGTCCGACACGATACGACGATGCTGCTGGTAGTGTGGCAGCGAGTTCCCACCGACTCCGCTCTCTTCCATCTCGAGTTCTGTTCGATGCTCATAGTCATCCTCGATACTCCCCCGGACGGCAGTGTATCCTGGAGCCACGGAGCCATTGATCGAAGAATGGGCCCCGGCAGAAGACATCTTGTTGATTTCTACACCTAGTAGACCAAATGGTGCCCAGCAAGAGATCGCCCATGGAATACCGCACAAGGCTACGAGAGCCGTGGCAGCGTGCAAACTTCGAAGCCAAGGCGCGAAGATGGTGATGAAGGCGAAGAACAGGTTACTCAACATCCACGCAGTCGTCAAGTCTGGTTGGAGGGAGGAGAGCTTGACCACGAGTGTTTGAATCGACTGAGTGAATGCAGGCGGTGGCCGGGGGGTGAACTTTTCACTGGACGATACGGGTGACTGGATGAGGTAGGGTAATAGGACAGAGGAGCAGAAAGTGATGAGGGAAAAGATTACAAGGGCCATGCTGCCTAAACGGCCAATGTTGCCCAAGGCATCGTGGTCGTCCTTCGATCCTGGTTCAGGAGGTGGGTGTTCATAGCGGTAATAAATTTCGCCGACAAATGTGGACGAGTAAAACAGAAAAGGAAACCTGTGATTTTGCGGTTAGTTAGCTCGTGATCATGTGGCGGTGTTGCTTTGGCGTTCCTAAGGGGCCCTTACCATCCTACCCAGTTCCAGAATTGAACCCAACAGATAGCCTGGATCCGTGGTGGGAGGTTTAAGGTGCGACGCAATAGGCTCTTCAACACGTCAGTGACACTCATTTCGTCCTCATCACCAGAAAGGCGAATCCTCTCAGTCACAGCCCAGCTTGTCAGTCCAACCGTAATCCACAAGGCCGAGGCTGATATGACAGTCATCTTTTTGAACTGGGTGTCGCCGCCCAACCAATTCGGGAAAATGGCAGCAAGATCGAAACTCCCGATAAAGTAGCCCAGTAAATGGCCCGCGGCCGTCAACCTGGAGGCCCAGGCGGAGCCGGTTTGCTGTTGCGAGATGGGCAAAGTATCCACTATCAGACTGCGAGCGCAAGCTTGAACAGCATTGACGGAGAAATCGAGAGCATAGATGCACAGAACAGCCAACATCAGTGTGACGTCTTTCTTGGTCTGTCCTTCAGATAGAAAAATCCCAACGATCTCGGTGGTCCAACCCAAAAAAAGCAATCCAGCACCAGTGATGGCTGCTCCGACAATCATGTAGGGTCTTCGCCGGCCGTATTTAGAGGTTGATCTGTCTGCGTATGCGCCAACCACGGGCTGCATGATAAGGCCTGAGAGCGGGCCCGCGATCCAGACCAGCGAGGTCTTGGACTTGGTCAATCCAAGTTGGAGGAGGTAGGGTGTGCCATCTGGAGGGGAAACAAAGCGCAGTTAGTCTCCTGCGAGAGTAGGGGAGGTCATTCGAGAGGGTGGTTTTCCATTAACATACAAGTCATCTCAATGCCCCACGTGAATCTGGAACCGATTAGCGAGGTATCCACCCATCTGGAAGGCACAGAATACTCACTGTATACCGATCAAAGAGAACGTGAGCAGGCACATCCGTATGGCCTCGGTGGAACCCTTAATGGAGGGTGTACCGCTCCATGAAGTGCTCTTGGACATGGTGACGTCCACAGTCTGGTTTACAGGGATGGGTAAACAAGAGACTGTCAGGCGAAATCAATCAAAATCCTAGGATTTTTGCTGTCGAGTCAGGGTCAACGGCGACCTTGGCGACAGGAAACTGAATAAGTCGGCGCAAACAAGCAAAATCATGGCATGACTCCTGATTAGCAGAGAACATCTGGCGTGTCCGAGTTGGGCGCGAGTTACGCGGTCCGAGGGATAGGAGCACGACACGTAGGAGAGGCGAAGGTGAAATGGCAGAGAGTACCACTTGACCTCTCCTATCTGTTGCTGCTCGAAGGAGGTGACTGACGTGCGCACGTTATGTGAGATGAGCTGACAGTCTCAGGGTCTGAAGGGATAGAATATGACGGAGGGAGTCGCAAGTCTGATAGACACAGCGTCATCTCGGGGGCAGTTTGGGGGCTTGACAGGGACAAGAGTTGGGGCGAGGGGGGATCAACAGGTTACGATTGGCCCAAGACTCGGGTTTCCGGGCGGGAAGCACGAGCCGCATCCCCCTTGGCTTTTAAAGGCTGGAGCAGCATTGGCAGGCATTCGTGGTCAGTGCTTGTGCTCCGTGGCCGGTCAGATTTCAACAGTCTTTCACCAGACAAATATGGCGAGTTACAGCTCTGTACATGTGAAAGGCCAACAACTAGTGATTTGAAGATTGCCGCACAGACAGTTGGGCGTGTAGCTTCATTCTCAACAAGAACGGGTGGATTGGACTGTTGGCTGCTGGTACTAGAGGAAGGTAGAGGGAGGGTGGGGGAAGGGGGAATACAGATTCAGGCTTCTAGGCAATCAAGAATCTCAACTGGGCATAACGCGTCATCAATCCCATCTCGCGCATTTCCTAGTCCTGATCTGCATATCACTTAGAAAACGTCTCATAGAGGCAGCCTGTTGAGATCACGATAGAATAAAGAGATGGTCTTGTCGGATACGTTGATTGGGCTGCTTTTTTTTCTAGCTTGTCCTCAATTGGAAGAGACAGTTCATGGGATTGTCCGGTGCTGCCACGCGCAATCCTTGATCCGCGCTCCTCGCCATTGTACCCTGATGGTGCTGTTGCGCATGCAAGCCTATTCTCTACAATTTGCACTCTATTTGTTGATGTAATCGGTAGAGGTTGCTCCAGCTCCTGGATGGTATCAGCGAAAAGGGTTCTGGGGGTTGAAATCGACTAGACGGCCGCACCAGAGATGAAGAACCACTTGTCCACGGTGCCGTCGATGGGAGCAGGGGCAAGGTTTTGGCCGGCAGGGACCTTGGACAAAGCACTCTGGTCGACACGGTCCGGGGATGCACTGTTGGTCACATTGGCCAAGCTGATGTCACCTCGGGACTGCTTGCCAGTGATCAAGCGTTCCCAGGCATCACTGCACTCGCGGATGATTTCCTCGGCATACTTCTTGTTCTTGCATTCTCCGCTGAAGGCAAATTGGTTCTCGGGCTTTCCATCTGGGATCTTGTAGATGCGGAACCATTCGTTGGTGGCTCGGAGAAGGCCGGGGAGATGGCGCTCAACATCTTCAATGTCGTTCAATTTGGGAGCCAGTGGGTCGTTGACCTAGGGCCTTGTGTTAGGGTCGAGCAGTTCAAAAAAATTCGAACTTTGGTCTTACATCAATGACAATGATCTTCCAATCGGTTTCCTCCTCGTCCAACAGGGCCATGACACCGAGGACTTTGACCTGCTTGACCTGGCCGGTATATCCAACCAGCTCACCGATTTCACAAACGTCCAATGGATCATTGTCACCCTTGGCCTTGGTCTCGGGGTGGACAACGTTGGGGTCTTCCCATGTCTAATTTTTTTCAGTTTTCGACTCGATATGATGTGATTGGAGGCCCACTCACTCTTGGGAAAGCACCGTAGTTCCAGAGGTAGCCTTTGTGGGGGAAACAGTTGCGGACGAAGCGGAGCTTTCCTTTCTTAACATCTTGCTTGATAGGATTTCTGTTACAGCATTGTCAGGAGAGGGTTCGGGTCAGATAAAGGAAGAAGTCGGAGAGGTATACAAAAATTCTTCTTTGGAAATCTAGATGTCAGACGAATTAGCGGTCTATGATAGTGTACACAATTGACCAAATTGGCTCACCTCAAGTTTGGCATTTGTCCAACGAGGAATCTCGACAATCATGTTGAGGACGGTCTGTTGCTCATTGGCGTACAGAGGAATGTCGTGGAAGGGAGAGACAGGGACGCCATTCTGCTCAATGTAGGTTCTGAACTCGCCAGTGTGGAGAGCTCCAACCTTGCGCGGCTGAAACTCCGAAGGTTGCTTGCTGTACGACATTGTGGAAGCTTGTGATGAGGAAGATGAAAAGTGTCTGGCAAGTTGAGAGGCTCTGGTGGCAGTGGTGGATTGAGAACGGAGAGAAGGTGAGGTAAGGAGGGGCGGAGTGGAAGTGGGAGTGGGAGAGGGAGAAATTTTGGAAGGAGCCAGTTTGTTTGCGCGGGGTGGAAATGCTGCAGAAGTTGCCAATGATTGGTGGTGAAATGACGGCGCAGGCGAAGACGCAATGCTGAAGCTTGCAGTCGTATGACGATTGGAAAATCGACTCCAGCCCTTGGATCTCGTGCGGAGGTAGCTGCAGGGACGCCGGCAGAGGTCTCGCTTCAATGGAAGAAGGGTTTCTTGGGAGAGCGGGATGAGTATTGACATATGGAAAACACAACAAGATCGACTCTGCGGCTATGGCGATTAATAGATGGAGAAAAAGGTCGTTGTATCTACACGGTAATGGCTTGGGGTTTTCGGACGACTTAGGACTTGCTTGGGTATGATTGGGGGGGACCGAGGGCCCAACTGACTTAATCCAGACTCGGTCTTCCACACCTCGGCCTGGGGATAGGGATCGAAGGATCCACGGAGCTTGGATTCCTTTTGTACGCACGACTGCGATAAAACTCCAGGTCCCAGCCGAGTTTCGCACGGTTACGGAGGCGGGAGCCGGTTCATAACCGTCTTTCTGACGGGAGTAATTGGGGTAGCAGCAGCCACAGTTGTCAGACAAGGATTATGCTCAGGACCCTTCGTAAATCTCAGCATATCATCATGTCATTTGAGAATGACGGCACCCTGCTGCTGTGATGCTACGGTGGCGCTGGAATCGCCATTATCGCTATCGCCACGTGATCACACCCGCGCTTGACTGCCCAATTTGATGACTCTCGCCAAATTTCTCGTTTCGATTTTGCCCAAAGAATGCCATTTGGGAGAACTGCGTCACGACAGCCCAAGTCGACCTCCGTATGAACGTTGGCCATGTTCTGCGCCAGCAGGCTTTGCTACCACGCACTGTTCCCCTCCTGATACCCTCTCGACTTCTTTCTATCGTCCCTCACATAATGTCAACCCCAGCGCCCCCGTCAGAAGCCCCTCATGTCCCTATTCCCAGCCGAGGAGTCGATTATCGAGGCAAGATTGTACTAGCCCCAATGGTGCGATCTGGTGAACTCCCGTCGCGTCTGCTTGCTTTGAAATATGGTGCAGACCTCGTATGGGGACCCGAAACCGTGGACAGGGCCATGATCGGTACCGAACAGAGAACAAATCCTCGCACAGGGTGTATCGAATGGACTCGCACTCCCACGAATACCCAGTCTTCAAACAAACCAAATGTCGAATCAGTCATCTTTCGAATAGACCCTGCGAGGGAATCTTCCCGCTTAATATACCAGATCGGCACCGCTTCACCAGAGTATGCCGTCCAAGCCGCCAGCCTTGTTGCCCCGTACGTCAGTGGCATCGATGTCAACGCGGGGTGCCCCAAACCATTCTCGACCTCAGGTGGTATGGGTGCTGCGTTGTTGCGCACCCCAGATCTCTTGTGCAGCATTCTGACTGCTCTCATCACCAACGTTGGCGTACCGAACAATATTGGCATCAGCGTCAAAATACGATTACTAGAAACACCTGAATTGACTTCTGCTCTAGTCAATCAACTTTGCAAGACTGGAATAGTTGGCTTGACCATTCACTGCCGGACCACACCCATGCGACCACGAGAACGTGCGATTAGGGAACAACTTAGGATGATTGCAGATATCTGTCACAGCCATGGAGTAGCATGCCTCATGAATGGAGATGTCACATCCCGCGACGAAGGCTTGAGTCTTGCTCAGGAGTATGGCGTTGATGGAGCTATGATTGCAACTGCAGCAGAGGCCAATTCTTCCGTATTTCGAACCAAAGAACAAGGTGGATTGGCACCATGGCAAGATGTTGTCAAGGAATATCTTGAGCTGGCCATGAGTGTGGAGAACAAATGGACCAATACAAAGTTCTTGTTGTCCCAGCTCATGCCGGGCAAGAGCCCGTTGTATTCACCGATCCAAATGTCACGGAGTTATGTTCAGGCTCTGTCGCTCCTTGACATTACCGACGCCGAGATCGTCAAACGAGCCGAAGCGACTGATAGAGCCTTGGGCCTTGATTGTGAGCGCATCACAAAGGCAGATGTCAAGCGACAGAACAAGCAGGCCAGGCGGGAAAACCAAGAAAGAAATATACAGAAGAAGCGAGCCTTGGCCGAGAGCAATGGTCAGACTGAGAGACTGAGAAGCCCGAGTCAGGAAAGGACCAAGAAGCAAAAGGCTCAAATTGCAGCTGAGAATGCAGGCTTCAAGGACGTTGCCAAAGGTGCTTTGGCAGTGGCAGTGTGAGGCATCTTAAAAAAGACCACTTGCTCCACTGGGGTTACACCTGTCATATGTCCCAGAACTTCCAACGACACGTTCAGTCGGAGACACTCGCATCCTCTCCCTGATATCCTGCCTCGGCGTACATCCGCCTGGGCGATGGGTGGAGATGAGGCAGTACACTACCAGCACGCTAAGCTTGACAACACTTGCAAAGCCAATCATCCTCAGGAGTCCCCACTAGCTATTGGTCCGTCTTCAAGGCGATCTTTATATGTTGCCCTGGTTAGAGTTATCTCGCTCGCAACTGTGGTATCAAACCTGCAATTGACGAGTGAGACGTCGATGGCTGATCCGCAGAGTGACCGAACTCGTCTTTACGGTTATGAGGAGGTCACGATGAACCCTATCCAGCCACAGCCACAAGGCTGGATTTGATCCAACTTAGGCTACCCCATGTACAATAATAAAGGATTGAGGAGCAATTTGAGCATATCTGATGAACGAAGCCTGCAACTGTAGCATATTTTCCTTTCTGTTCAAGTGGTAGTGTCCTATTATACAAATTGTGGATATTGAGGGAGTTGACGAGTCAGAAAGACTGTTCTCTGACATGCCCACAAAGGGCTCTGGCGGGATCTCTGTGGCCAGACGTACCTGTTCTTTGGCGGTTTCCAACCTTGTCGCACTTGATTCCCGAGGCGCACGCTGGCAGTCCCTCACAGCCAGGGAGCAATACGTGGAGGACGAAAACCCTGATGTGGCAAGACAAATGTCCGGTCACTGCTCCCCTAGCATAGGACGAGGGCATTCCTTGTAGTCCTTCACCACCTCATCCGCCAAATAAAAGATCAACCCGCGAGCTAGTAAGCTCCACAGGTCATCTGTTCATCCCTTCAGCCCTTCAATTCCTCCTCCCTGGCAATACCTCTGGCATGTCGGTCCAATTCCCACACAATATCCGAGAGCATCACCTTCTCCTTCTTCTGTTTTTCCCCATTACCACTAGCAAGGAGCGCAGCCCTGGCAGCGGCCTTCTGCTCCGCCGTCTCATGCGCCCAGCTATAATTTAGGGTCTTGCCATCTTTGAATACCAATTCGAGTGTCGCCGGTACTGTCGATGATCGCGGTAATTGCTTCGCTGTAACCTTTAATGTCTTATATGCTGACGCCGGCAGCTTCGACAGCACCAAACGAGGGATTTTGGACGACGGTAGGAATGGGTTGAATGTGGCGCTGACGGAGGAAAGATGCATAGTCTTCATGGTGAATAGTTTATTTGTGTCGCCCTTTGGAAAATTAGGAATGTGTCGACCCGTAGGTGTTTGAGTGTAAGAGCTTCGATCTCCGAAAGCAAAGCAGGTGATTGGGTTTTGTACAGGGAGGAAAAGGCCGCGTTCGCGGGCTTATAGGCTTGTCAAGGCTTCACACTAAAGTCTCGACTAGACTGCAGCCGACCTCGACCCGCTACGATCGTATTCCGGACTTTCAGAGGTGGTGTAGAGTCGTGGATTAATTTATGTTGCACTGCGGTGCAAGAAATTGGAGGATGGGGTTATCGACAAGTGTGAGGACTAGATTTACTTCACCGTACTAATTATGGCGAACTATAGGTGCAGCGATGTGAAGCCCCCATGATGATATCCGCAGCGATATAGCAATTCTAGGGTTCCAATCTATGACTCGTTTCTATCTATACTAAAATGCTATGGACCATTATCCAGGATTCTCTGTGCAGTATAAATGCCAAGAGCATGCAAGGACATGCGTCTAGGAAACTTGATATATCCCTTGGGCTACCCGTCCCTTGAAGGCATCACTGGAGCGGCATCTCAAAGTTCTCATCCCACCAACCATAATTCCACAATGATCCTGCAAATTGACGCTCGACAGCTTGTACGTACGTGATTGGCTCGAAAGCAGACTGAGAGGTCATCTCCTGAATATCCAACAAAGGGGACTTGCTCTGGTTGCCCGCGAAATAGGGATTCCAGTTTTGGAAGAATTGCATGCTATCCCAGTCGCTTCCGCCATGACTTAAAGCTCTCTCCTCCATTCCTCCCAGTCCCAAATTTGCCACACCTATTTGTTGCGGCGAGTAGTTCACTCCCCATTGTCTTGCCGGAGAGGTGCTCCGTGCCTTTTGGAAATTCCTTGCAAATTCGTTCAATGATTTGACCGCTTTGGCGATGGGACCATACTCAAATCGGGTGTGGGCAGCCCTGTTCAAGCAAGCTGCAAGACGATCCAACAGACTAATGTCGTTTCGATGGTCATCCGGGCTATCATGGCTCAGGATGTGATAATATAAGGCAAAAAAGGCGCGGAAAGACCAAAATGCAATGCTGTACATGCTCAACCCTTCATGCTGCATCTTAGCACTGACGTCCTCATCAAACCTGACTATTGCATCGAGGAGCTTGCGAGATGCACGAACCGACAGGTCTGAGACTGAGTTGTTTCCTGGCGGTTGTCGAAGCTTATCCATCTGCAGCAGCACGGTAAGCGAGGCGACGAGGCAGTCATTATACATATGACTCTGAATCGGATCATCTATGTGAAGTATCATTTTTTCGGCCTATGGAGTGATTAGCGGAAATATACCAAGTTTTGATTTCGACTCACAAGTCGCCAGTCTGTGACCATGATCATGATCTCGTCACACCATGCATCTACTCGATCATGGAATGCTTGAGACGGCTTTCCATTCTGGCGAGCCGCCTCTTCGAAAAACCCCTTGGCAATGAAAATAACCCGAATCCAGACATAGTATGTCGAGTACGTCTTAGCCAAGGGCCGCTCTGAGGTAGGATCCCCCAAACTGGGGAGATGTATATTCTCCGGTGATGCTTCGGCACTGATACAAGACGGTCTGTCCAAGCATAACTGAAAAAACAGGTCAACAACTACCAGCGTCACCCAGAAACCTTCACGTTGCTTGTTTTGGAATTCCTCACTACAACCCTCCTGGACAGGCGAATCCGGGTGGTCCAGTAGGTGAATGTTCAGTGATTTAACAAACTGGCAAGTTAGACTATGCATCTCCCACGCGAGATCATAATCGAAATTTTGTACAGCCGACCACATACTGAGACAGGCAGCAACAAGGTCCATCGTAGTAGTCCCAGTAGCGGTGTCTTGCCATTCTTCTAGGAAACGCAGACATTGTAGATACGACGCTCGCGCTGTAGTCTGCGTTTCAAATCCACCAACGAGATGTCCGTGGAATAAGAGGTTATAATAGACAAGCCGGACTGCAGGGTCAATCTGTATGTGAGGAGACGAGATGATGCCACCAACTGACTGGATCAAGTCTTGATCAAGAAGAGATGTGAAGAATTCTCCCTTCAGAGATTCAAATGCCACTATATCCGTCAGCGAAGGGCTTCAGTCTCCTCAGATTGACCAAGTACTCACCTTGAATGGCCTTTTGTCCTGCGTCTTTCGAGACCTGATAGGTGGTGCTGTTATTTGTCGGAACTTCGCTCAGAATTCCGAACTCCGATAGTGCTCCGTCAAGCGCAATCATTGCTTGACTCATGTCCGAGGAATCATTTACATAAGTCTGGTCGTTGAGGCGATCAATACTGAATGTTTTTGCAGCGAGGAAGCTGTTGTCGAGCCAGCCTGCACGAAGAGTTAGCCCTAGCAGGGAGCAACAAAGAACCAGGAAATCTAGCAAACCTTGGCTCGTAGAGTTGGACCCAGTGCTCGTCGTGCCATCGATATCACCAGCTGCAACATCTTCCAGGCCTGAGGATATAACTTGAGAGGTTGACGAGTCTTTTCGAACCAAGACTTGAGGAGTGGTAGGGGTAGGGGTAATTGTACTCGTAGTATTTTGTAACACTCCCTCGAGTAGTTTGATCCGCTCATCGAGCGAGAGCATCATACCCTGATCTCTATGAGAATGTGAGCACACTATTGGGTTTTAAACTTCCTTACTTGCCTGCCCTTTCGAACCACGCGAGGTTTTCGTACAGATGGAACGCATTGTACATTTGCGAGAGCACAGCGATCGCATGGATCGCTTCTATTGCACCGGAGCTGCAAGGAGGGTTTAGTTGAGCACCGTGCAAGAGAGTTCGAGAGCCCTTGCCTTCTTGTCTTTGCATCTGATGCACTAAATGATAACATTAGCTGAATAAAAGACAGATAGACGGCCGGTGAGTATTACTGCTAATCGCAAGGTATTTGAACTCATGGGGAGCAATCATTGAAGTATGGCACACCTTGATCGGAATTCGACTCTGTAGACTCACAGTCTGCAAGATTGATTTGTGCCATCATGACATGGGAAACTCGAATTTATGGAGGTTATTCTATGATGCTGTGGACTCGTTAGCACTCACTCCCTTGAAGGTCGTTGACAATGGCCCTCAAGCCTGATGACTCAGGATTTACCGCGCTTATCGTTCGCGACATGATTGGTCAATGGAGATCCACAACCCACTTCGCATATGAAATACCTAGCCTCAGGTGGTAACTGATGGTTGTAATTGTGGCATGTTGGCCTTATATACGATACATCGTACCAAACTAGGTATTGCTATATGCCATCCCAAGCTGATTCAGCGGCATCGCAGTAGCTTTGCAGGCACACGCAGCATCGCAAATCACAACTCTGTCCATTCTCTTCAAGGGGCCATACATTCCTTCTTCCCAGGCAGCGCCATGGAACATCTGTTTCTGGTCAAGGCTGGCAAAGCGGATGCTGGTGGGCGTTCTTTGTCCGTCTTGGCTGTATCGGGTAACAGCGTCTCAGATTGATGCCAAACCTTCTCATGCCACCTTCGTAGGTGCCAAATAGAACTGCGCATCTGCCCACGGTCCGCCTGAATACAACCTCCATGCGTGTCCTTCTGAGATCTCTAAGGGTCCTAACGCCATTCCTCTTGTTTCCTGAATTCTCACCCTGTACGTCCAGGACCGCTAGGTCTTCCAGTCTTTCAATTAGCCCTGATACATGTCACTGGGCGTCAAAGACACCGCTGATCCTTTCGCTGTTTCAAACTTTTTTGGTTTCACCGGTCCTTGTGGTAGTCATTTCCGATAGGTCTGTGCTGGGGCTTTCGTTATCCTTCGGCGCTGCCTTAGTCATTGTCAGGCTTGAGCTTCTCTCCTCATTCTTGCCTTTTTTGCCCTTGGGGACCCTCATGAGCCAGTACAGAAACACTGCCCCTGCTGCATTGAAGACGATGAAGGAAAACAATATCCCCAGATTGCGCCATCGATGCTCATACTGAACTCCAATGACGGACAGGAAGGCATCCGTGTTTGTGATGGGGCAGAATTGACAAACCCCTGTCGAGGTCGGATCCGAGAGCTGACCGCCAGCCCCACTCATGTAGGCTTCCATATATTCTGCACATGTTCTGTTTGCAGGGGCCTCGAAGGTCAACCACTCGTTATCCGCGCAGCTCGCAGGAGCCCTTGACAAGCCAGCGCCAAGAAGACCCTCGGTCAAGTATGTGAATGGGTTGCAGCGGTACATGAAGATCCAGAAACTTCGGAGGGTATCGGGAAAAGCAATGATACCGCAGAAAAGTAGCGTAAGAAACCCCAGAAGGTTACCAAGATTAGCCGCGGTCTCTCCTGAGGTGATACCCGCAATCATGAGATCCGAAAAGGTGCTGACATGCATCATGTATGCAATGACAAAGAGGAAGGCCAGGGTTGCTCTCGAGTCCGTGGTATTGGTGACAGATGTATTATTGTAAAGGCCGATGGGGAACCACCAGCACAGAAACATCACTGTCCCCACAAGCTAGACGGTTGATTTCTTAGCCACTCACAACACGGCGCCAGAAGAATAGCCAGCTTACCACATTCCAAGGGATTTCAACCACAATGTTCGCCACCATAAAAGCTTTCCACGAGTATGTCTTGGATGGTCGCTCGCGGATCTCGTACAAGGATCGCGATATAACAAAGAATGGGATAGTTTGCTCCACCGAGGACATGAACGTGGTAAGGAGTGCAAAAATACCAAACAGCTGGCTCCGAAGACCCTGCTGGGTTCGATTGGCCTGGAAGAAAGTGAACCCGATGAAGATCATCTGTCGTTTTTAGCAAGATTCATAGAGAATAGCACAAACACTCACTGATCCAATTCCTAAAAATGCTTTCGAATAGATATAGGAAGGCGAGCGCCAGTACTGCTGGAAAATTCGCTTCGTAACGATAATGATCTGCTGGACCAGGGACGCAGCAAATTCAGTCTTAGCCTCCTGCTCCTGTTGCAGAGATTGGCCGACAGCTGCTGTCCTTTTGCCCTCCGAAAGTAGGCGGTCGAGCTCTCGGTCGACCTGTTGTTTCTCAGGGCTGTCACGCCAAATTTGAGGCCAGTCAATATCGCCTGTTGAGCCTGTAGTCGTTCTAATGACAGTCAGCATCCATTCCGCGGGATTGGTGTCTTTCGGACATGGCGCTGCACCATTCCTGGTGAAGTATTCGATTAGAGTTCGAGACTGCTGGCCAATTTCACCGAAGTAGACTGTTCGGCCACCGCGTGCCAGTAGCAATAGTCTATCGAATCGTTCGAACAATAAGGCTGACGGCTGGTGAATCGTGCAAAGAATCGCTTGCCCATGGTTAACAAGCTTCCTCATAAGCTCGCAGATTGACCACGAGGTCTGGCTGTCTAGACCTGAGGTTGGCTCATCGAGGAAAAGGAGAAGCTGAGGCTTTGCAGCAAGTTCTACACCAATTGTTAGTCTCTTGCGTTGTTCGACATTCAGCCCTTCTCCTATCTCTCCTATCACTGCATCGGCGTACTCGCGCATCTCGAGTAGATTAATAACTTCTTCCACATAGTCGAGTTTCTCTTGTTTTGTGGTAGATGCAGGCTGTCGAAGAAGTGCGCTAAAGGTTAGGGCTTCTCGGACGGTGGCAGTGCTGAGATGAAGGTCCTGTTGTTGAACATAGCCAGTCTTTCTCTGGAAACTCTCATCTCGAGGCATACCGTCTACGAGCATGTCACCACTAATGACACCCATTGTGATACGCGATGCCAGGGTATCAAGAAGTGTCGTCTTGCCAGCCCCTGAGACACCCTATGCAGATAGTTAGTATGACTCCACTGAATTCTGAATGTACTTGCCATGAGTGCGGTCAATGTGCCTGGTTGAATCCAGCCGTCAACATGATCAAGAATTCGACGGGTTTCACTTTTGATTTGAACATCGTAGCAAACATTCCTCCAGTGGAACACAGATGTCTGTTGACCAACTCTCCGCGGGGCGACCTCGGTATTCTCAACTTTAGAGCGCGTTGTCGAGACTCTACGCGCCTCGATGTCTTCTTGACGCTTGCCAGTGAGGCTCATAGGTAGTTGTCCTCGTGGGAAAACAAGTACCTCGCCTTTGCTCTTGGCTGATGCTACCACTTCACTGGTCCACAAGGCGCATACTGTGAAGAAGACCAGGAATGCTATCAGAATACCGAAATTGCGCCACTTATGATCAGGTGCATAACCAAAAGCTTCCATCAAGTGGCGCGTGCCACTGACAATATTGGAACCGGGCTCCGCCCCAACAACAGTGCAGCTCCGATATGCCAACGATTCGTTCTCGTAGTCTCGTCCAGATGGTACCAATGACATACAGGGATAATTTCTTCCCACAAGCTCGTTGATGAACAAGCTTTCAAATGCCCAGGCTAATGGAGAGAGATAGTTGATCCAGCGGGACCAGCCGAGCATCGCGCTCACTGGGATGGAGTATCCGGTGTAGAGAATTGCGGCGAGAATAATAACGGCCGTAGGAGCTAGTGCCTGGGAAGCAGTTTTTGTAGCAGAGCCGATGAATCGGAACAGCATTGACTAGAAGGTATCAGTGAGGCCTCTATCATTGGCAAATTACACTTACCATTGTCAAGGTGACGAAGAAGGAAACCAGTAGAAAGAAGAAGAAAGGGCCAGGCGCTCGGTTTAGATTCGTCATGAAATAGAGGGTGATATTGATGATAATCGCGTTGATGATCTTATATGGCAGATCGACGATCATTGCAGCCAATGCTTCTGCACTTGGATGATACAAAGCATAACGATTATGTTTTTCCACAATAGGTCTCTTGGTATAGAGAGTAAGAATCTCCAAGACGCTGGCAATCGAGTTCAAGACTAAAGCGTTAAAGATTACCATTCCTCTGCGAAACAAGCTCTCTGCCGTCATCGGTAAATCGTAGAACACGCTGCCAACAATGAGGAACTCTGTGAAATTTGCTCCCAGTTGGACAAGCGTGATTGTTGGATCTCCTTTGAGTAGTTTAAATCCTCTCCACAGACATATCTGTACTTGCTGGAAGTACGATAGTGTGTATGGCGAACCGGACCGCTGAATTGAAGCTTGTTCAGACTGTCTAGCACTGGTGAAGTCTTTGAGGTTCTGACTGTGGAAAGCGTGTGACTTTGCATATTCTGAGATCTCGTTGAAAATGATACTTCGATCTTCACTTTGAACCCAGGCTTCTGCGAACTCTTCAGGCGTTCGTGGCGCTGTTTTCTCGCAGCCAGGTCGAACAATCCGTTCGGATGAGCTCGTCATGGACGTCAAAAAATCTGGCGTGGTTTGGCTGTCGGGGCAAATAAAGCCCAGGTCTTCAAAATAAGATTTGGCCTTAGTGGCTTTGCCAAAATAGATCTGTCGTCCTTCATAGAGAAGAATGACCTTATCAAAAAGGTCATATGCAGCCTGTGGTGCTTGATATATGGCCACCGCGGAGGCAGTCCCAAAGACATCGGAGCATAGTCTCAAAGCTCTGCAAAACTCGACAGCATTGGCGCTATCAAGGCCCCTAGTACTGTTATCCCAGCACTGAAGCGGAGCGTCACTGAGGACTGCTTCGGCAATGGAGACTCTCTTCCTTTCGCCGCCGCTCACGCCTCTGATATACTGGTATGGTCAGCATAGGATTAGCAGAGCTCCTAGGTAACTTACGTTGTCACCAACACGAGTGTTCCTCGTGTGACTAATGCTAAAAGCTGCCATTACCACATCTGCCAAGTGGTTCGCATACTCATCGCGGGACATGCCACCAGGGCGATGCTTAGGAGACCGTGCAAAAGCAGCAAAACGTAATGTGTCGCCAACGCTAAGCATGGGAAGGTGAGAATCGTCCTCCGCGGTGTAGGTTGCTTCGCCTCGGAATCGAGTCTTCATCTCCTCCGAAGTGATTCCTTGGTAGTTCAAGTAGCTTTCGTCGTCTATGAACAGACCGTGGGTTTCACCAGCCAGTACCTTTAGGAAGGTGCTACATCCAGATCCTGGAGGTCCCAGTACGCACAGCATCTCGCCTGAGTGGACCAAGCCTTCAAAGTTTTGCAGGATTTGGATCTTGGTACCTTTCCGGCCAAGTAAGCGAGTCATAGCAGGGACCATATCCAGAAAGACATTTCCGACCGTTTTTTGAAAGTCTGTGACAGAACCAAAGCCGTGGGCACTGAGGTATCGAAAGGCCACGCCCAAAGTTTTGACTGGTACTTCGTTTCCCTGCCAATGAAGGGCATAGAATGTTCGTATCCATGCTTGAGGATTGAATCCGGTGCCATTGGGATCGAGAGGTCCATTCGGAGTTGCTTTGAAAGGATTCTGCGGGAGGTTTGATGTGACTGCCGATATTCGGCTGGCAACGGAATTGATTTCTCTGAGTCGCTCATCTTCATCAATTATTTCATCCGAGTCGTCTTCGTGTCTCAAGCGTCCCGCTGGCGTGGTGGGTTCGTATGTCGTGCCTGTAATCTGGCTGTCGACTGCCGCTGGCCGAAGAATACTGAACGGCATGATGTCTACTGTTCGAATGACCTGGGTTGTAGTGTGATCTAGAAGCTTGCTAGTTATGAGACGATATTATAGTCTTACATTTGGTCCTAACCACCTAGCTCCCTGCCATGTTATCACTCATCGGTGGAGTAGCCATCGCGGACTCTGCGCGGATGTCTCGGCCGTACGTACACCGAGTCCTTCGTTCACAAAGTCGATCCAATCGCACGCCGAGCGAGGTTGAATCTTCGGTCTCAAAGACGAGGAATTTGCGAAGTGCCTTGGGTTCTCCATCTCATGAACTTCCATGGTGGACTATTCACCAAAGCCCGGTGGCACATCCTCTCCCAGATCGACCCCGTTTTCCTTCTAGGACCGTCCGAGACGCTTGAGTGAGTAAGATTCGAGCTGTACAGTCCACAGTATCGGACAGAAATTTGTCATATCACCAGTTTTCACATCTACGGCCGAAATGTCTTGTCTAAGGATGCGATTGTTCCGAAACTACAGTACAGATCCCTGGTTGAACCTTGTCTGAGAACAAATAGCTTGGCCCGTGCGGAAGATTCGCACAACCCGAAAGTCCGGTACAACGTCATGTAGGATAGTGGAAGGTCGTACTGTCCATAATCTGAATGGGGTCCGAGGATTACGTCGAGCCTATAACCTGAATTGACGACATGGCCCAACCAGCTCACAAACCCAATCACAGGGTTTGGGATGAGCATGGCTTCCGATCAAGCTGGGGGACCTCATGAGAAGACGCGGACCAAAAACAGGCGACAGACGCCGACAGCCTCGCAAATATGACATGAGATTAGACTAAGCAGCATCATATGATTAGCATGGCAGGCTATCAAGTGACAACTACCCAGTCCAACTTTTGAGGATCAATTCCCCTCAGAATTGCTGATGCATTGAATGGATCCAATGCCTGGCTGAGACATTATTTCTAAAGTCGTGCCTTGGTAATCAGTGCCTCGATCACTTCCTGCGCGCCTCGTTCTCCGGCAGACACAGCGCCGTCCATATAGCCTTTCCAGATGAAAGCGGTCTCTGTGCCGACAAAATGCAGGTTCTGGAAAGGCGTCCTCAAGGAATCTCCGAGACGTTGCCAAGTTCCGGGACCAGGGACAGGACAAGGGGCGCCTAGACTCCAAATCTCAGGCATCCAATTAGTTTCGCGAGCATCAAGATATGTGCGAACAAATCGGGCTCCTTTTTCACCGACCATACGGGTAAGCGAGTCGAGAATAGTATCCCTGCGCTGGGTCGGTGAGAGTTTGGACCATTGCCGACAAATTTCCCCGACAACGAAGCAGGTGATGGAGTATTGTTTGTCTTGCTCAAACGAAGTATCACGGCTGAAGCAGACGGGGCCATTCAGATCTGTGAAGATGCCACTCAGGCCCAAAGTTCTCCACCATGGCTCAGAGTATATCAGCGAGACTTTCGCATAGTCTCCGTTGAAAGTTGAATTGACATATTCGGCTTTGTCGGCGGGTAATGACGGGCTGAACGATATGGATCTGTACAATGGAGTTGGCACTGATAAAATCACCTTTTTAGCTCGAAACTTGCGATCGCCATAAGTGGTGACGAGGACAAAGCCATCGTCTTGCTGTTCGATAGATCGCACTGGGCTGTTCAGGCGCAGCGAACCTGGTGCTAGTTCTTGAGCGAGTCTTATTGATATTGTTTGATTCCCTGTAGTAAGGACGCTAGTCAGTAAAAAGTCCTGAGGAGTGATGTATGATTGTAGCGCACCTTGACGAACTCGTCGATACTGCGCGCCATGAGGGCCGTCGCTCCCCAAACTCTCGAGCCCCAGTCCACTTTTGATATAATCGAACCAGTATAGTGTACTAATCTCATCGGGCTCAACGCCTAGCACAGCGGCGACGAAGGATCGAAAAAAGGCCCATCCTTCAGTTCCCCTCTTCAAACCTTGCTTTTCAAGCCATTCAGATAGTGGCATATCCTCGAAGTTTGCATTCCCTTGCTTGATATTGTAGAGATCAACCCTAGATGATTGCGCTGATAGCTCTTGCATGATATTGACAATGGAGCCATCCTTGTCCAGTGCCTGTTGGATCGTCAGTAGGCAGATACTCAGGACTAAGTAATGCTTCAATACCTCAAGAAAGCTGGCGCCCGTTGGGCTAGTATGGATAACCCCAGAATTGTCGGAGAGAATGTCAATGCCTTGAGAGTACTGAGTCACAGTATCGAGACCGAATTTTTGGACTAGGTTGTAGATGCGAGGCTGTGTGTGCTCATTGATCCAAGCAGCCCCTGACTCAGTTGAACTGCCACCGGATAGGACAGGCTTAGAGTATGTTTTGCCACCAACCCTATCGCGAGCTTCCAAGACAATGCAAGAGATGTTCTTCTCTGTCAGTTTCGCAGCAGCTACAAGGCCACTCAGTCCAGCACCGACCACCACAACGTCTGCGGTATGAGTCATGGTGTCTCCGGATTTCGTGAAGCGATCCGTTCTTTTGCAAAGATGGGTATCCTTAAATGCAGACGGATGTCGGCCGGGGATACACTCGAGAAGAGCTAAAGGGGTGAATGGGTTTTATACTGTAGAATTGGACAGGTAATACAATCGGATATATATTGAAAGAATAGCGGAAATTCATTCAATACTATCGAGCTTTTGTCGGTATAGTCCTCGGATCAGTGTGAGACAAAGGTCCGCACTGTCGTACAGAAGGACATCATTCAAAACAAGTTCTTCTCGAATGCTCCACAGCCGTTGGCACAACCCTTTTTTGCATTGAACACTAATGCCTTCGTCGTCTAGACCTCTACAGTACGCAGGCCCGCCATCACACATGCTAAATATTCAGGCCTCCTAGCGTGCGGGGTGGTCTGATTCACTCCGATCGCGCGTGGAGATAAGAGCGCGCTTAGAGATTGGGTTTGTTGGTGGGCCTGAAGCGGTGATGGGTTTGGGGGCTGCGAAACTGACCACCTGATGGAGGATGATCGAGACTTCGTTTAGTGATTTCGCTGTAAGCATTGCCTTCCTTGGGGTTTAGATTGCGGAGGCCACCTCAGCCTGATCGTATTTGCCGTCAGTGTTGCATAGTGCACGCCCCTTGATCTCAGACGCGAACCCGAATCTTGGGAGTCATGCAGATCCAATCATCGTTGGTTTTACAACATGAGTGAGCTTTCTCGAGTAAGATGAATGAGATTTTGAGTACAACCCTGTCATGGTGGACGAGCATGGACTTTCAGCCAAGGTCTACGGAGTAGATACCCTTCCCTCACGCTCCCGCTGAACAAAAATGTCACAGTTGTTCTTGGCCACCTTATGAAGACCATTGACTTAACAGGCTTTCGGGCGACGCTATCTAAATCTTACCTAACTTCTGCCACAATTCCTACCAGCCCCGACAGCGAGGGTTTCAGCGAATCCCGACGCACAATATCATCTGTCCCTTCAATAAGCTCAGAAAAGTCCCGATTGGTATTCATGAATCTGCCTTGCATGAATGTGGCCTCAGCAGTAGTGGGCCAGTTGATTACCGACCTGCAAGACCGAGAGTGTCTTTTGCAAAAGGCCGTAGGTCGTCAGTAATCATATCTGTCTCAATCATCCCGGGGTGTACGCTTGTGATCTGGACTTCGGGGTTCTCAGCTGCAGTATAAGCAGTAAGGCGCGAGTCCACAAGCTTGGTTATGCTATACGCAGAAGACCCAGGCATGACTGCAAGACCTGCGGAAGAGGATATTGCGGACCAGGCCAATTCCCTTACTTGCTCCAGTGATCAATATCACTCAGCCATGCTGAGATAACTGTGGCCAGCGAGGATCTACTGCTGGATAAGTGTAGCGATATACCACTTTGGTAAAAGCATTGTGTTTGGCAATGCCGTGAGGTGGTGACGAGCGCATGATTTCCTGCGTATGGACGCAAACCAAGTCTCCATGCAGGTCGCTCTTGCTGGGCGGACTCTACTCGTAGAAATAGGAGGAGTTGAATGTGGTTTGTATACTCTTATTCTACGGCTGAGGCCCAGCTCCTCCATCCATGCCAAACAGCAGGCATCCTGGTCGGGCCTTTCGCCCTTCCGGTCACCCGGCAGAGGATCTTTCAAGGTAGTCTCAGTAAGGGCTCTAGATACAAGGCATGAAGTAAGCCTGCTGTCTGTATTGGTAGTTGGAGACCAGTTCGGGATTTCATCAGCTCCATTCATTGATTCACAGGTATCACTTTAGCGTAAGAAAGTCCAATCGCCGTGCCTAGCTCGACGGGTTATCGGGTGGGCCGAGATGTTGCAAGGGCCCTTGGACCCAGTGATAGGTGAGGGGTTGGAGGGGGCGTCGGGGCTACCGTCGACCATCTTCAAGAACTGCTTGTTTCTCACTCGGTCATCGTCCAGATAAGTTGTGTCTTTCGGCCGTACAAATGTAATTACGAAGCTCGCTCTCACACCTCTTCTTACTACGTCTCCAATATTACGCCGAATAATGCATTCTCTTGCTTAAACAAGTCCTCCTCAAGTCTTTCTGTGTCCGTCACTTAACCTAGCATCCACATTAAGCGCCCTCTCCCCACAATCTCATGAATCCACCAACTAGTTAGCGCGGGGGACTCCTTCCACCGAGCTTCTCAATCTTACCCAGGAACCCAACATCACATTGACACGATCATTCCGCTGTGGAACTAGACCATATTGCCTTGTCCCTTGGAACCAGCTTGATCCATTGCCGACCATGTGTGCTGAAAGCGCCATCGCGCCGCCTGTACACAAAGTCCATGTCCGCCGCCCCCGGCTCGGGCGGACCAGAACCGGCTGTCTAACATGTAGACACCGCCGAAAGAAGTGTGATGAACGTCGTCCAATCTGCGTTGGATGTACCAGGAACAAACTGACGTGCTCGTGGCCAACCCGCCCCGTCCAACGGAACACATCTTCCACTGCCGGCGCAAAACGTCCTGTGCAAGGTAGGGACCCTGCTGAATCCAATTCGCCAGAGATCCCAATCAGCGATGTAGTGAGAGAACTGGCGGTACCCCATTTGAGTCCAGATCAAATTCCGTCTATTCCCGAAAGCAGCGAAACCTGCGACTTGGTTTGCCGCGGGAATGATGCATTTGAATATGTACCCTCATTACAATTCTTCCTCAACAGTGACCGCGGCTCATTCTATCAACCGTTGTCGCCACTTCTCCTACGACACTACATTGAAAAAACATCGACTCTCCTCGTGGTCAAGACACCACAAACGAACCCTTTCATCAATCACCTGCTCCCACTGGCCTACTTTGACGATCTGATCATGCACGCAGTGCTGGCTCTGAGTGGCCAACATTTACTCAGTGATGTGGGTGAAAGCTTGGAGGTTCAAAGAACCACGTTGTATCATTACGGCCTTGCTCTACGACACGTCCGCGAGGCAACAAAAGACGTGCCAGCGCTGTCCGCTCTTTCAGCAGAAAAGATCCTGCACCTGTTGCTCGTCATGTTGATTCTTTCCAACGTTGAAGTACGTCTTCTTCCTGATTTACTATACTGTTCACTGATGTATTTCAAGGCTTTCTCAGGAAATCGTAGTGGTGCGATGTTCCTCCATTTACGTGCCAGTCGACAGCTAATTCTCCACCTGCTTGGCGGTCCAATCGAGATGGATCGCCTTGAGATCCGACGGTCCATGGGGTTTGCCCTGGAGATGTATAGCTTTTTAAACTTGGTGGCAAACGTGACGCCCTACGGGGCTCTACAGGACCGGACCTTACCATTTGATTCCTTTTTGTTGTCACTCTCACATTTGGAAGATTATGAAACTTTTGGGATCTTCCTTGGCTGCGGTTATGCTCTTTTCGAAATGATCCCTCGTATCGCACTCTTCTCGCGTGAGCGACTACGCGAAGAGGAAAACCAAGAGGGCTGCTCTCAAGGGTCCATGTCTACCTATCAAACACTCTTATCCGACATTGAGAATTGGAAGTCGTCACCTCCAAACCGCGAAATGAAAGAGTGGCATATGGAACACCGGATTGCCGGAGAGATGTACAGACATACTCTTTTCATCTATCTGAAAGCCTCTATGTGTGGAACCTGCGTCGACAACCCCAAAACAATCTGTGAGATCCAGAAGCACGTCGACATTGTTCTTCAGTTGCGAAGGTATTTCCCCATGACTCCGTACGCCACAATTATGTTGTGGCCATTTGTCATCACCGGCTCCTGTTTGATACAGCAAGACCAACGCCAGGAGCTAATCAACACTTTGACCTGTTCCGAATTCCGCATGGGCCACCTGTTTCAAGCATGTGAGCTTCTTGAGCACCTCTGGGCTGATGAGGATAGGCGGTCTTTTGGGCCATATGGTCTGTATCTGATGATGAAAAAGCACAATCTCAACCTCAGCATGGCTTAGCAAAACGAGTCCAGCTTTCTGGCCTTCCTGCTGACCTCACTTGCCAAAAAGAGCATAAGCTGTAAGGCTACCACATGATCGGAACACTCTTTCACGAGCCATGTTCCAGCCTCATCATAGTAATCAAAAGTTCATGGAACTAGCTGAGAGCAACCAGACTAAGCTGAGCCATCATTCACCATTAAATGTAATAGAAGGATTTTGTTGGCACCAACAATGCTTCGCGTGCACTGGTCACTGCTGTCTTGAAATTACGATGACTATGGGTGCTGACTGTCAACGACATGATCGAAAGACGCCATTCAACGTGTCAACATCAACACGGCCACCAAATATTGGCTCTGTGGCCCTCCCAGTCTGATTTGTGTCTTCTATCAATCTTCAACCGGTCTGCGGAAGTCCAATCGCGGGCCCTCGTAATTCTTTCGCGCATGGAAGAACCAGTTTCCAACACCGACAAGGAATATCACAGCAAGCACCACACTGCAGTAGTCTATGCCAAATAATTAGTACACATTTGATCACTTCATTGAATTCGGAGTTTCTTACTCATGTTGGCACCGGTTACAGGTAGTTCCGTTGGTAGGCAGAAGAAAACTGTCATTAGAGCGACATATATCAGTCCTGCAATGTTGACAAAGTATCCAAGCCAGTTGGGCAGGCGGAAACTCCTGTTTTCAGGCAGGAACTCTGTCGACCGCTTCCTCCAAAGCACGAGGATGGAGGGGCACCCCACGGACAGCAGGGTGGTAATTTCCGCAGTGTTGATGAAACTGTTGAATGCTGTAATTGCATCCAGCCCAAGTTAGTATCGATTTGGCAGAATATCCTGTTCTCAAATAAGGTCGAAGCGGGCAGGAGTCCTTTCTTACCGGTTGAAGAGGCCAGATACAAGAGCCCGATAAGGCCAATGCACACATGATCCAGGAGCAAGGAATAAACAGGCACTTGCCACCTGGTATTCATTCTGGACAGGAACGTCGGAAATATGAGTCCGTTGTCGCGTGCAAATGACCACGTGAGCCGCGAGGATGTTTGATTGATTGCATGGAGAGTAATTAAACCGAGAATCGTCAAACAGGTCATGAAGACAATGATAGCAGCAACGGAACCAGTGGCCTGTTCCCAAAGTGCGTAGATGGGAAATCTGCACATGTCAGTAATTCCGAGTACATCAAGGCTACAACACGACACTCACCCGGTCGGAGAGTTCAAAACCAATTCAAGATCAGTCAAGCAGTACGACATGCTGATGGCAAATAGGAAGGCTGTAACACCTCCTACGCCAACAGTCGCTATCAAAGCTTTTGGGACGACTTTTTCAGGCTCAAGACACTCTTCTGCCATGTGTAGGGCGCCGTCGAGGCCAAGAAGCATAAATTGGGGCGTTGTGAGGCCGATGAAGAAGGAGACTCCGTCAGGCCAACTTGCAGCGCTATTGACGAAACTCGTCCAAACGTCAGAGGAGCTAGCATGCTCTTTGGCTACCGCAGGACAACAGATGGTTATGACAATGAATGCGGAAAGTGAGAGGGCAACTAAATGTGTAGCAGTCAGCATTAGTGTTCGAAACTCGACCAGACTTGAGTCAGGGGACATACAGCCAAAGTCGTACAGAAGAGGGTTTCTCTTCGATAGAAACAGATTGTGGAGGAAAGAATAGACGTTGATGGCCTGGTACAAGAGAAATTCTTGCCAGTGAGTGGGAGAAAAATCAGGGTGCCAGCGCAGTACGATGGTCACGATACCGTGGCTGACCGCGATCGTAACCGCCGATGAAATAGCAATCCAAGCTGCAACACCCGTGAAGCCGCAGGTGTAGGAGAACGCTCTGGCATAAGCCTTCGGAGACAAGATGGAAACGAAATGATACTGGCCACCTGCCGTGGGATAGACACTGGCTAGTTCTGCCAGGGATAGGGCAATGCACATGTTGAAGAATACCACCACCAGCAAGCCATATAGGAGAGAGACGGTGCCTCCGGCAGCAATGGCGAAAGCGATACTGGCTGCAATGCCCACCCAGCTAGCGCAGATATTGAATCCGAGTGCGAGGATGCTCAACATATTGAAATTTCTTTTGACGTGAGATTCCTCCAGGCCCAGAGCAGCCAGAGATGGGACCTCCAGTAAACCATTGTCGCGTGTTGTCTGGACCGATATCACTTCTTCAGGTGTCAAGGGCTTTTTCCCCAATTCGGAGTCCATCATGGCTTCTGACAGAATATACAAGGGTCTGTTGAATGTTTGTTGCAGTGCTTGACTTTGCTGCGGGAGAAGGGTCTTGCAGTTGTAGAAGACCTATCGTCTCGACAACTGTTCGATGTCTATCATATATACTGGGAGGACCTGACCTGCATTTGATATACGCACCCCGCGTTAGGGGCGACTTTATCATATCTGCTATAGCCGGATGTCCTTGTTAGTCCTTGGTAGATTAAACGTGCATTTGCGCGCCTCTAGGCCACTTCCAGATAAAGAAAGGACCGGTATCCTCGCAGACGGGTTCATCATCAAAGTCTCGGACCCGGCGAACCAATCCTGTAACAGCCGTACTTGTGAAGTATGACCAACAATGGGCCAAGAGCGCGCTTAGAGATACTTTCATCCCGGCCAAAGGATAACAGGAAAGGGAAAGTATCTTGATTCGCCCACTGGGATCAACGCGGGGTAGCCAGAATCAAGAACACGCTCGAGGCCCGAGGGCAAGGTGGCAAACCCTAATCTACCCTACCAGGACATGCCTAGAAATATAGGCTTCCGCCAACATTACCTCCTCGTATAAAAGTATCGGCGTGGTTGACAGGAGGTCATCATTACTCATAATTGAATACCTTCTAAGGGTGGCCTAAAACTAATACGAACCCAGGGACGGGAGGTAGTACTCGTTCTCGCGTGGTTTGATGTCTTGACTGGGGCATCTCTAGCATCAAGCGGTTAAGTCGAAAGGGCGGCTAACTGCTGCACCGAACCGCGCTTGCTAGAAACTCCCCTTTCTGAAGTAAGCAGATAACATTCGTTGTGGATGCTAAGAGCGGCAGAAAGATGGACAAACGAACCGTGGAATCTATCTCCGCGAGGAGATATTTCGGATTATGATCAGGTCTAAGATCTAATCTCTAAGCCATCACTTGAGCCACAGCAACGGCATCGTTGGCTTAGATTCAATAATCTCTTCAAACCTTCATGGCATGCCCCCTGATGGGAGTGAAGTACAGGACCAACTATCGTACATGGCATCTAGCTTCCGGCTCTAGTCTTATCATGATGGAACAGTATCTCTAACGTCGTGCAATACTCTAATCTCTCGTTTCGCTGTCCATTAACCATGATATGTAACCGGTGCTTGATGGAGCACGCGCTATCCCATTTTCCTATCACACACTGTGTTCTGCTTTTGTCTCCAACGACAGATATCCGTCTCACAGTCGAGGACCACCCGGAGCCGCTGCCACCACGAGAATCTCGAGCTTGCAGCCGGGGATGGCGAGCTCAGTAACAGGAATGACTGCCTGAGGTGGTTTATGAACCTCGATACCAGATATGGTCAAAAACTCTTTGATCAATTCAAATACAACGGTGTTGGAAGAATAATCGACCACGAAGCCGGTGATCATAGTGATGTCCTTGACGGAGGCGCCTGCTTCAGCCAATATGATTTTGATGTTGGAAAAGATGAGTCGAGCTTGTGCTTCGAATGTTGATGGAATTTGACCGTTCTGATCGATCGCAACCTGGCCAGCTGTATGGATTATTCGTTTTGGTGAATCGGTGACGCTCGCATGCGAATAGTTGTGCCCCGTGGGGTCGAACAACGTGGGTGGATTCACGAAGGTAATCTTGGACATTTTGGTGGTTGCAAGTGTGGACGACTGCTGAATTGCACGATCAAAACCTATCAAGAGAGAGAGAGCAAGACGCAAAAAGATCGAAACTCTTGCAACGATGACTTTTTATTATAGTGCCTGTTCACATAGTGGCATCCATAGGGCAACTATTGCGCCGACGCCAAGGTGCAACTCGATGGGCTCCTCGGGGCACATCAAACGCGTCAAGGGTGGTAGCGCCATCAAGCTCAAAATTCACGCCCAATCCTACAAAACAGGACAGAAAAGCGTGTGTAAAATGCTTGTTGGCCTCGAGCTGCAGTTGTCTCGTCCCATGCTCGGAGGCACTAAGTAGGGCAGTCGTCGAAGTCCCTTGCAACGCGATCCCCAAATTTCACGCCAATCTCTAAGCGCGCTTATCCTTCTCCAGATCAGTTTAGTGAATTTGGCTACGATCTCGCCTCGTAAGAATGAGTCTCGATGATTCGGACATGCAGCAAGCAACCTGAAATTTCGAAGCCCGACGGTTGACGTAATCAAAGCATGAGCCAAGGTAGAGGTCAATCGAATGGATTATTTCTAACACATCAAAAATCAATACTGGCCTATTCAAAACACCCTACTCTTACATAAATCAATGAGATGTAGCCCCTTGAGTTACTTCATCTTCAAGGGCCGGACTTACGGCATGAAGGTCTGAGAGCCTTAAGTGGCGCTTGGAAATTCGGATCCAAAGAAAATCCGTGGCCTGAATTTTGGTCACGGCCGTAGGCAAATGTCCGAAACCCGATCCTCATCGCAGGAGAGCCCGAACACGCACGTAGCACTCCTCTCCTCCTATGAATCACCCTCCAAAGCAGCTGACGGAAACTTGAGTTGCACCGATTGATATAGGAGACAAAAGAGATGTGAGAGGATGGAAGCAATGACGTCTTTGTGCCATGGAATTCATATAGACTAATTGTTCTCCTTGCACGATTTCCGTTATCCATATGTCATTGTATCAAATCCTTTTTGATTTGAGCAAGTCTAGCTAATCTAAACACCATGTTCAAATCCGTGTTGCCTAGCACCACAAAGCGACCACCAGCGCAGCGTAATTGGCCTGGGGAATGGGCGACGCTGTCTGCCGTAAGTTGACACCAGTCACGCAATGAAGTCAACTTGTTAATGACATTTATGGGCCAGGTTCTATCTGATCATTATAACTTCACCCTATGGCTCCTCGTTGGGGGCTCAATACAAGCGATACTTGGACTTGTCTTCCAGAGCGCTTACACCTGTCTTCCGGTGCTATTCTTCCTCTTATTCCAATGCCTCAAGACATTTGCAATCAATATGGGAATCTTGCGCAATCCATATCTTGAAGGAGTCACTTTTGATCGAACGGCGCCCCAAATTCCTGACGAAGATGGGAATTTCCATTCCGATGCCGGTGCGGAAAATATAACCGTATTTCTATTGGGGTTCAAGATTAACCATCCTCTGGGAATTCTTGCACCTCATATTCAGACGATCAATGATGCAAATATTCGGATGTGGAAAGAGCTTGAAGAAACATCACCAGACTCAGGCTACTATGGAGGCTCAGAATGGACTTGTCGAGATCCACGGGGCGCGGTTGAAGTTCTCACGATCTCTTACTGGCGGTCGACGGAGGACGTTCACCGATTTGCATATGGACCAGTCCATCGAAAGATTTGGGATTACTGGAATTCTCACCACAAGGAACTGAGTCACCTCGGAATCAGTCACGAGATGTACGAAGTTCCCAAACATAAATGGGAAGGAGTTTATCTGAATTTTCAACCTACCCTCCTCGGTGCGACTTCATACCTCAAGAAGGGCGACAAGTTCATTGGAGGTAATGTTGACGATAAGTGGATATCGTCGCTGCTGGATGCCAGCAAGGGAAAGCTCCGAACAAGCGCAGGAAGACTAGGGCGAGACCCTACAGAGTTGTATGAAACCTTCAACGACACGCCCAAGGTATATAAAGACGAGTAATCACGATACTAGGTCGAGCCATCTTCTTCCAAGAAGCTCAATTTCTGCGTCCTTCCCAAGGATCAACAGCGATGATGTTAGGATGTCGTGGAAGAAAGAAGGGAAGTCCGGAGAAGACGGTTCGTTGAACAACAGTTTCACAGCATGAGAAGAGTATAATGTATGGAACCAGGCTAAGCGTAAATTTTCGGATATGATAGACTGGGCATCGAGCATTTCAAGGGGTTGTTACAAGGATTGTGGGGAGACAAGATCGTAAATTTTGCACCATAGAGCTTAAAATATCTTTTAAAATATCTTTTTCTTCATCTGGATTCATCGCTTGAGCCGGTTTGCATAGATATATGTGTGTAGATAAACATCAGCTTTCGAAGTTCAACCGAGGCTCAAGCATATGTTGTGTTTTCGAGCCACAGTCGTTATCCCATAAGGCCCAAAGATTGACCTTCCGTAGCCTTCATCGCTCCACAATAGATTTAGGAGCTTCCCGGTCATGGTGGTGGCATACATCTCAGCAGGGCTTTGATAGAGCACAAATCGCAGGTGGGCACGATGTTCCTCTTTCCGGGCGCATGATCCCACGATGAGGGTGGGCCACATCATCAACGTCCGTGATTTTGATCTAAGGTCCAGCTTTTCTGAGAAGGAGATGAACTCAGCGACTAGAGAGTCAATCTGGGCAAGCAATGACTCCGATGGCATGCCAGGGCCATACATTGCCGCACGAAGGAAGATAAGAATCGCGCACTGGAATAAAAGACCTGCATTGACTTCGACTGGGAGCTCGGCATGGGTCGAAAGCAAGCTGTCGGACGTATCAGAGTCCATGTGCACCTTCCATTCCAGGACTCGATCTTCCAACATGGTGAAGTCGCTGATGATCTCAGAATCAAGATGCCTTGGAGAGGTTTCGGCCGGCTTTTGCGCAAAGGTCTGAATCAAGGGGATCATCTCGAATAGTTGGAAAATGTGACCCGAGCGCCCAAACATGATTCCTTGGATGTTTGATTGCGGAAGTTGGCGACCAATTGAAGATGCAAGCGACCGGGTCGAGAGATCGGGCCCAGTGATTGCTGTTGATGGCAGACCAACATTGTCCGATACGATAGAAAAATATACAAACTGCTCCAACAACACCAGCCACAGCCTCTCATTAATCACGCGCCCAACCCGCCATGCCAACGGCAAAATCGCAGTGAAAGCTCGCAGATGGGTCAAAAGTGCTCCTCTCATATCCCCACCGATTGCCTCCAAATGGCATAGAATAATCAACAAGGCACATAACGGGAATGCTCGGTCAAGGCATCCTTCTGAAACCCGAGTTATTTCATACTTGGCCGCTCTTAGGCAGATGGCGTAGTGTGACCGAGCTAAAACGTCAGCAGAGCTTAGTTTGAAGGAGAGATGTGTGCCGCTCAAGGCGAGCACCCCGTGTAGTAATGGAACTTCATTGTATGCCATAGGTAGGAGTTCATATTGGAATGGGTTCCTAGCATGGTTGAATGCAAAGAGTCGCGTGGAGGTATTCTCAATGTAGTGTTGAAGTAGGTGCTGATCTTGAGGTGTAGGATGTGTGAGACCAAATGCCCTCGGGAGTAGGAGAGATTGGCCGAAAGGCCTGTCCACTCTTGTATGTGCGTTAAAAGTTACCGGTGATATTGTAGGTGGTATGCTTGATATAACTTCTCGCACAGGAGTTTGATGACTAAAATTGTTTCCCCGGCTATTCTCTACTGATGGGCGTGTTGTACCTGTGAGCTCGGGGCTGATTATCATATGATTCCCCAGACCTCGATCCTGGGGCCATGCGCAGACAAGATGGTTTCTTGTACATCCAACGCAAGTTGGTCGATGTTCATCGCACTTCTTTCGACGTTTTCGACATGTGAGACAGCCTGTCTTTACTCTCCGGCGTTTTGCTTGTATATTTGACGACACAGAACCGACTTGAAGGCGATGGGCATGCTCCATTCAGAGCCAGTTGAATGAGAAAGAGGTCCGGTGCTTGGGATGCAACACGCTCATTCGATGGGCCAAATGTCTTGCCTGCCAAGTGACGCGGGCTTGGTAATGGAACTTTGGCGTTGCTGGATTCAAGCTGGTGACCAATGAAATTGAAAGAGGACTTGTCTATTTGCGTAGGTATTTCGAAGGTCATGAGTTTGCGCGTGACATTTTTACTGACGATCGGTCGGTGTTATCATCCCGGCTAACAGATGGCAAGGAGGACATTTATTTGTGACAGGTAGTTGACTGCGACCATTCATGATTCAAATTCTGCAAACATGAATCGAATACGTCGCATTTATTGCCGTTACGGACTTATCAAGGTGCAGTCACAAAGTGGCGAGGCTCCAACACCAGGGGTAAGTACTAGGTAATCGGCCGTAGCGCTTGGAGGAAACGCATACATAACTAGGTACATACCTATGTACTTGGAGAGCTTTCACGTCCCCTTTCACGCCAATGCTTGGCTTCTCACTGCCCAGACAATTTATGTTAGCTTTCAGTCAGCAATCGGAAGTACCCTCCACTACTTGAATTCTCTACGCAGAACTCGTGGTGTGGAGAAGGATATTCGCGTGTTTGGCGGGGAGAGACACATCTGGCTGTCAGCAGCGCTGGGCTCACTTGGAGCGACTCGATATGCTCCAGAAAGGCTGAAGGGCTGTACCGAGTATGAATGAGCTGGATGAGAGACTCTCATTGGCTTGAGTGACTACTGTTGAACCGTCTCTCTATGAACTGAATTATTTGTGCGCTATCTGTGCTCTCCCCATTCTGATGATGGCTATCAAACTGAAGGAGTAGTTCATTTGTGCCGGATGTATACGCTAGGACAAAAACTCGCCTAGTAGCGGACGGATGATTAATTGTCCCTGGACAGGGCATTCCTACAGTCATTGCCATTGGAAAGGCCCCATGACGACAATGTCTGGTCTTTTCATAGAATCTAGGCTGCCCTTGCAGAACTCATGAAACCTCAGGCGTTGAAAAAATCACAGTTGCGTACTGTAGTAGGACAGTGAGTGCATGCACTTCGCTGCCGAGGATGCATTCGGACCTATTCTTAGTTGAGAGATACTTACGTACTCGTGGACATGGCAATGGGTGGCATTACGTGGACATCAAATGCAACTCCTTCAATACGAGAGTAGGCAAGTAGGCACACACGCAGGAATTAGTTCAACAGCAAGAATTTAGGCAACTCTAGGCATCTTGTCGTCCATATCTTTAGTCGGTTGTTCACCGAGGCACAGTCAATCAAGGCACCAGCCAACCTATATAGGAGCCCTAGGTAGTTGCCATCTCTCCTGCCTATTTCAGATGTACTTTTGAAAGGATTCTTTAGTCGGGGTCTGTTCTGCACGCCAAGAACGTGCTGACTTATCCTATCCAACAGCACCCTTGTTTAAATGGGGCAGCTAAGCCCAAAGGAAATGGCAGATGTGAGAAGTTCGTCCTCGTCTGACTTATTTATTAGAAATACACACCTATACATGTCGAAGATCAGATAGTCCAGAGCCAGTTGAACAAATAGGATCTGGACGTTACACATAGCAGCATAGCCTTACGTCCCCACCTAGCCCAGTGCCTTGTTGGATATAATTCTATTCTTTTCAACAAGAGACCTTATCACCTAAACTCGGAAAGCGTTGTCATCCACTAGGCAAAGAGGGTACATCTTGGGGAAGTGTACGATAAGGAACTTGTGAGTGCCGTAGAATGCACATCATTGTCTAGAGGTCCGCAGAGGCAACATGGGGAAGATTGGTGGTGAACTAACGGCGTGCAACCTGAGAGAGTCCAGGACTATTCTGAATTTTGGTGAAGCGAAGCTGCATGAACGCCCCCAAGGGGCGACACCGTACATGAATGAAATCATCACGTGGTCCGTCTGACGCCTTCCTCTTTGGTCTCCTGTCGCGAACCGGCGCCAAGGCAGCGGGGCGGAGGCCTCGACGGCCATCTTGATTGCCGATTGGCTCAACTCGACATGGCCGCGGGATTATCGACAGTCATTTCGCAAAAACCCCATGGCCAGGTTCATGGTACTACCTTGGCCAGATTCATGGAACGTCCTACCTTGGCAATTCAGGAGATTTATATCACATACACCCCGCTCTGGGACTTGCCGTTCGAGAATCCACTTTTGTATCTTCCGTGAGAGCCTCATCCTTTGTCTTATTGCATCCAAACTGCGGAAAGATAAACACCACCTTCAAAGCTGTCGCGCCCTCAGATAAGAATATCTCGAAGAATCCCTGTGTCCCCAAGTGAATGTCAGGCTTTGTTCAGCCGGTCAATTGTGGCACGCCAGAGTTGTCGCAACAGTCATGACCGTGGCAACATTGGCTAATTACGAGACTACTACGCATTGTCGCTCTATCTAACAGTGCTTAGCGACCCGCCAATAAGGCGGGACTGATGTCGTCTTTGAGACTTCGTATCTCTATCGGAAGGGCCATCGTTGCACACTCCCTGAATGTCGATGCCCTTTTTGTTCGTTCCAAACTTACGTGGAAACAACACGAACCAAACGCGGGCGTCGCAGCTAGTGGTTGTGAGGAGACATGCTGCCCTCGTCTCACACAGACGTAAATCCAGGCGTCTATCATCAAGCCAGCCGGGCCTTGGCGAAGAAACCTCAAGCGAAGGCCTCGTCTCGAACCAGCTCGCGCAGATTGAAAGACCTCTCGACCAACAGCCGACCGTTCCTCGAGGGCGGGCGAAGTCTCCCAAGCATGGTTCGCAAAATTCCAGTGCTGACGCAAGCTCGGCGCAAAATTGGGATCAAGAATGGGACCAAGATTGGGATCAAGAGAATCGTCTCACGCAGACTGAGTCGCGCCTAGACGAGCCTCGCAGCCTGAAAATTGCTGAATACCTGGAAAGAACTGAGATGTTTGCGGAGGCTATCGAGCTCCGGAACGCACTCGCCATGGTGAGATCGGGAGTGTTGACGCAGCCAGCATATGCACTTACTCAAAAAAGCACTCCCAGCCTCCATCGAGCCGTCGAATATTGTACGTCTATTTTGGCTTGAGATAATCGTATACACTAACAGATGTTCAAGTCATGCAGGTGCTGGTACCCAACAATACCCCAGTCTACACCATCTTTCAAGTCACCAATGTCAACTGCATGGTATGTCTCATTCCCGCGCAACATACTCTGCTTGCTTACCAGGCAATCAGTACTTCCTTCAGGTTGTTGAAAGTCGCCCTCTACCTCATCTTGTTCATTCCGTACTCGCTCTACTCCACTTGGTTCGTGGTGCTGTCGCACCGCAGACCGAATCCAGTCGAAGTGCGCTTCAGCACACCGGCGCTGCAATCTCGCACATCCGGAAGTTGATATCAGAGGAAGGTGTCTGGAACGATGACGCCGTCATTCTGTCAGTCGTTTGTCTCGCAAGCTTTGCTGTACGTTTCCATTTCGAAATCGTGGGCGATGTAACGACTAACACGAGTACCTAGCGGGCAATGGGGGACTCGGCAGCATATAACCTCCATCGTGCTAAACTCGCATTGATGATTGAAGCTCGTGGTGGTCTCGAAAATACTGGACATAACGGGCTAATTAAATCAATGGTCCGGCAATTTGCGCCACCCGCGTCTATCCCATTGGCGATTTGTTTCGACCAAGAGTGCAGCTTAGAGCCTGACGAAAAGCTCGAGTCCAAAGATTCCTTCTTCAACGAGATACGCCCTTCTATCTCGGACATGGCCCCTGAACTTCCTCTCAGTGCGGAGCTTGCCGAAAGCATTACACCTTTGCCTTTTGGCTTCCAATGTCTTGTGCTCCAAGCCAAGCTTTCAATCAAAACCATTGAACTATTGTGCCGCATCGAGACTGCCCTCAAAGAGTCACCGGAGGTTCAAGCCCGGAAGTACCAAAATCAAAGTCCCATGACAGGTGGCTGGCAACAAGCAAGGTACAGTGATTTTTGGGAATGCTGTCCCTCGATCTCCCGCCCCGGCGCTGACCCAGAAAAATTACTTTGCTTGTCGCTTCTTCTTTACACGGCAAACGAGGTTGGGCCAGAGAGAGCAGGCCACAAGGGACTGGCGCTGTACGGTGGACCACGAGCGGTGTTGGCCGCCGAGATTGGAATGATGAATCGCCATAAGCTTACGCCATACCAAAGACATTGCTGGATATGGATCTGGTGGGTCCTCATCGATAGCTGGCACCAGAAGAACGAGACGACAGAGACAGGAACACTCCTGATCAGCCAATTCTGGGCCACCTTCCCTGAAATCCGTGGCTGGAGTGGGCTAGAGCGTACCTTGCAACGTTTCTTCTGGGGGGGCAAGTTCGAGATTGCCGTTAGGCGACTCGCAGAAGCTCCTGCTGCTGACAGACACAAGAGTACCTGAACAGTTTCTTCAGCTTGCCATGTGTCTACTGCATAGCAGGTTTTGTCCACTAAAAGTGGAAAATTGGCTTCCACAGAGGTCTACTGGACACTCCATACTTAACAGGCGGAACCGCCGTTAAAAATCTTGGTGCTGTCCGCGTCATCGCTACGAGGATTTGGGCGCCATCGCCTTGGAGGTTGATTTTTATGCCACTAAGCCGAAGCCACCATCGCAGCGGTCCATAGGGCTGATCTTTTAAGGCTAGTGTTATTGGTCGAATGCAAGTCTTGACAAATAACATGTGGGCAGACCCATGGCTTCAATAGACAAACTCATATCACGTGATTTCAACGCGGTGTGATAATTGTTGAGTGAAAGCCCGTGTTTTCTAGCCTAGTAGGTGCGGTGTTGCAGCCGCTTTTATGTAAATGACTCTGAATTAGCCGTGCCAAGCTGCAAGGGCCCTTAACCCACAGCGGAACTTTTACTCCCGTCACCTGCCAATGTGGAAACAATGTTCCTAGTTTGGAAAGTTTGTCGTGTTTGCTACATTTGCTCATGCGTGATTCTCCAATACGTTTCCAAATCATAGAGATGACACTCGACTGCACAACGACAACAAATGCAGAATGCCCTCTCCTCTCACGCAGCGACTACAAGCGCTGGGAGATTCTTACAAGCAAACTTCAGCTCTGATCCAAGAGCTCAAAAACTTCAACCCCGATGCGACCAAGAACGATGACGCGGATCGACCGCGACTGGATCTTGCCAATGAAATCCATGCCAACCTCAAAGAACAGGAGGACACACTAGAAATTTTGAGACAGGAGGTGAATGATGACAATATCCCGCAAAATAGACGAGAGGTGCCTTCGGATACATCTTCTCGCGACAACGAGGCCAATCAAAATGTGGATATGGTAGTGAGGTTGACAGAGGACCTAAGGAGCGCAAGAGCAGCGTTCCGACGTGCACAACTGCAAGCGAAGAGGCAATGCGATGTCATCAAACGAAAAGAGCGGGAGTCATTATTCTCCGACCGGAGGTCGTCGGTCGAGGCTGGCGACTCCAAAAGAAGATCCAAACATGAGAAACTATCCCAAGACGAGCTCGCGTTGCGATCTGCAGAGGATGTCACTCAGGCACTGCGGAGAGTACATGCCCAGCTAGAAGGAGAACTGCAGCAATCACAATTCGCTCAACAGACTTTAGACGAAAGCCAGGAGGCTCTCAAAAGCCTGACCGAGAGTTACTCTGGGACTACCGATTTGTTGAAAGCATCCAGGGGCCTGGTGAGCCAGCTGGTCCGCAGCAACAAAAGCGACACTTGGTATCTGGTATCTGCGTGGTACCTACTGGCTGGCACCCTGTTGTGGTTGTTTTACCGAAGGATTCTCTATGGGCCGTCTTTGTTACTCATCTACTACCCATTCCGGATGCTATGGTTCACTTTAAGCAGTCTTGGTAGTATTGGAGCAGCGTTCCTCGGAGGAAAGCCTGTCTCGGACTTGCAATCACCATCTCAACCAACTCTTTCGGAGGCCGGCCAACATTATACAGCATTCTCTTCGAAGATTCCAGGTGCAGACGGAATCTCCGGCGACATTCCTGAGTCTAGCAACACAGATGAATCTGCAATTGAGCATATCAGCCGTCTTGCTGGGCAAACAGGGAGCAAAGCTGCAGACGGAGCAGAGGCGAGAAACACTAAGAAAAGAATGATGGAAGTAGACGTCGACATACCGCCAGCTCAAGCAAGAGATGAGTTATGACCTAGATCTAGCGTAATAAATTAATTGATGACACAAAAGGCATGTAGTGTATCAACTGTTTACCTACGTATGTCTGATATACCTGGTCTTAATGAGGCAAGTTCAGCCTGACACGTGAGCAGGTGCACGCGCCAAGACCACTTTACGCGACTTCCTCGCGTCTCGTTCCTATAGTCGACTCCAACCTTCCACCGACGACGACATCTCTAGAACAAATTACAAGCATCTGGCACAGAAACCCACTCTAGCTCTTGAGAGATTCGACTGGATCACTAGAAGCTAGATTCATTTCTCCAATTACTGTTGCGACAGACGATGGCTTCTTTCTTCGACAACAAAGCCAGGGCTGCCCTTGCATCAGGGTCAAAGGCGAAGCCCACGGAAGCCGCCAAACCACCACAGGCTCAGCCTTGGACCGAGAAATATCGCCCAAAGACGCTAGATGCAGTATCGTCCCAAGATTCGACCACTACGATCCTGAAACGCATGGTCAACGCCTCGAATCTTCCCCATCTCCTCCTCTACGGTCCCCCCGGCACGGGCAAAACTACCAGCGTTCTTGCACTGTGCCGGGAGTTGTTCGGGCCAGAGCTATTTGCCAGCAGGGTTCTAGAATTGAATGCGTCTGATGACCGGGGAATTTCGGTTGTGCGCGAACGAATCAAGACCTTTGCGGCCTTGCATCTTGTTAATGCCCCTGCGTCAAAGGAATACAGGGAGAAATACCCTTGTCCTCCATTCAAGGTGATCATCCTCGATGAAGCCGATCAGCTTTCACAGGATGCCCAGGGAGCACTTCGTCGAGTGATGGAGGTCAATTCAAAGATCACACGATTTTGCCTGTGTTGCAATTATGTAGGTTGATTCGGCGCACATCAATCCAATTGTTGCTAACGCACCGACAGGTCAGCAGAATCATTGAACCAGTGGCATCCAGATGTTCAAAATTCCGTTTCAAGGCTCTCGAGGACAATCAAGCCAAGGATAGACTGGTCCATATTCTAAAGTCGGAGGGTGTCAACTATGACAATGGAGTAGTGGAGCGATCTCTCAAAGTTGCTGATGGAGATCTTCGGAGGGCGATCAATCTACTACAGAGTGCCGCTCGGCTTGTGGGCACAACTCCAGCGACCGCGCAACCCATCAAGAAGACGAAGACCATCCCTGACGACTCCGACGAAGAGATGGAAGATGCTGACAGTGCCTCCGCGCCCAAAACCAGGAGCATCAAAGTTTCCGATATCGATGAAATCAGCGGGGTCTTCCCTGTCGAATCAACTGACCGATTATTTTCTATAATCCAGAAAGGCAACACAAGCAATTACAAAGCCATCGCAGCGGAGGTCACTGACATCACAGCGTCAGGGTATGCTGCTAATGAGGTGGTTCTCAGTCTATACTCCAAAATTCTCTACGATGAACTCATCAAGACTGAGAAGAAGTATAAGCTGGCACAGATCTTCTCCGACTTTGACCGCAGGCTCATTGATGGTGTGGACGAGCATCTGTGTTTGTTGGATTTGTCCTGTCAAGTGGCCGGCATTCTGGAGGCAAAATGAACGGTGACTGGACGATCATAGAATTAAATCACACTAAGTCACGCCAATGCTATCTGTGGGTCATACCAGAGTCCTCTGACAGGCAATCCAGATGGCATCTATGTCGCACTCACACATTCGCCCACCGCGGGACTGGAATGCACATATAGGGATAGCGCAGAGCGTTGGTTCCGGTGAACCCCACTGACAGTCCCCGACATGAACGCATCTTTGGTGTCCGCAGGTGTCGAGCTTCACATGAATAACCGCCAACACAGGATACTGAGAGAGTTGCGACAACGCAACGTCGGGTCAATTTGAACATCTGAAGGAGCAGCAAAGTGCTGTTCTGAAGTAGCTTCCTCATTGTCAGAGTGAGCTGAATTGGCACTCGACTAAAGGGTGGCATCTCAGCGAGCACAGAAGAAGATGAATTTGCTCAAGTAGATTGTCCTGCATTAACGTCGCAGCAGAACACCAGCACAGGCGGTGCGCAGGCTCAAAGTCCAGCGGGATTGCTTACAAAAAAGGTACTAACAAGAAATGTACTACCTCTGAACATAAGATCAAGTGAGGTTGTACATCCTAAGAAGCATGTCCTCGAGATGGAAGGTGCAGTTCTAGTTCCAAATAAAAGAGAAAGAAGGAGCCATGTAGTCGTCGCAGGAAAGTGCCAGGACTATATATAACACGTGATGATACGCCGTCACGTGACATTAATCGGAGTCTTGTGCTCAAGCGCTCCCAGGCATACCAGACCTTGACATCTCGCATCTCAAGCCGCATCATCATCACTAATGGCTACCTTGTTCAGAACGTGCGAAGCCAGGCTTTATTGCTGACCATGCCATTCGGGTCGATGTCTTCCGCTCTTCACAAGTGGGAATGAATCAGAATGATGCAAATTCGCGCCGCCTCCGTGTGCCTGTCAAGTCTGGCCATGTAGATTCCCTCCTCCGCTCCCTCGACGCCCTTGTCTTCCTGCAGCTGGGAATCGTCTACCTGTGCGACAATCTGACCTTCTTCTTGATACTGCGCGCAGCGTCGCAGGTCCTACATGTCCAATATCGTCCACCTCCATTGACCCCCGCAATCCAACTCCCTCCTGTCGTATTAGCGAACCTACTTTGCCTCTTCACCCATGCCATCTCGGCAGCGCCTCAGTCGACAGGATGGGCGTCGCGAGGCTACATTCACGGGGGTCTGATCATCGATTTTGTGGGCGAACTCGGTCCGGTCTCGAAATGGCGACTGGTGGGCATGGACCTCATGATCTTCGCCCTCCAGTTTTTGATTTTAGTCGTGGGCAACGAGAAGTTGAAGGAAATCGGACACGTGGCTCCACAGGAACCAGCAAATACACAAGATCTTGAGGCGGCAGAGGAGGGTCGTGCAGGTTCGCGTGTCGAGCCGGTCGAGACTCAAGAGGGCTTTGAACTACAAAATCTATTGCCGGAGGGATCCCAGGAACGGAGTGCAGCGCATGACAAATCAAACAGACCCAACGAAGAGGACGATTTGATTGAGTTGAACGTGCAGGAGGCATTGAGAAGTTTGATGAAGAGAAGCCGGACCAGTGCGACAACGACAGCCACCGAGAATGCTGCGGAGCGAGCAGGAATTGCCGATATCTTGACCAGAATTGCTGCTGCACGGGCACGAGCTGGCTGATTGATTCACGAGTTGGACCGTTGGTGTTACTGGTATCAGTGGTCCAAGGATCAATCATCCACCCAGCCCTCCATATTCACTGATGCTGGACTGGCCTCTTCCAGCATTTTCTCAGCTGGCAGCATGCAATTCAGATGCGGCGACAGGGACTGTGTCCATCACACGACGGCAATCTGACGGCCAGCCCAGTAATACCGACTATCGACTATCACAGCCCCTCTGTCATCGGAACCCGGAATGCGTAGAGTGGCCTAGGCATCAAAGGAAAGGGTTTCCCTCGTGAGGAGGCCACACCGAAAAAGCAGGCTTCCCGGCTTCCTTGGAGTTGCTTGAAGCAAACAACATGAATGACATTGTATAGACGCGTACCTACCAACATGTCTTTGGACGTGTATATTGGCTTGACACCTCCTTCTAGGTAATGATAGTACTTGGGGTCTAGAACGCCGTTGAGCGCATGAAGTTGGCCTGATAGACAGAACTATCAATGATATGTATCAAGTACAAAGCATAGCAAACCCCTGAAATCGCCAGATACAGCGATGAAGATTGCCCTGAGTGCCTGGTTTGATCCATCAGAGCCTACCACATAAGACACGTGACCTTTGTCAAAATCTACGGTCAAGTGCTCAGGCATGCAATGCAACTCAATGGTTCACCGTGAATTTTTCCCCAACTTCAAGATGCAAAAATTGTTAGACAAGCCAGCAAAAGAACGAATTCACCAAACCCTTGAGATTCCAGCTGGCCTGACCACGCCATAATCATTCCCCTTAGATCAGCCGCTGTCAGTACTTTTACTGCGAAAGCAAACAGAAATGCTGCGGGAAGTGTGAGTTCACGGCGCACCCCGAAAACGTACGATGTCTGTCTAACAAAACTTGGTCTAGTAAACCGCGAAATGCGCGGACGGCAAGAATCGTCAAAGCCCGCGAACCGCAACAAGTCGAGACGAGAAAGAGAGTTCTACTCCTACATGGGTCGAAATGCCCACAACCAGTGGCCTCGGTACTCAAAACAGTACACACTCTGACCAAGCCCGATGCTGTGCAACTCCACAAGAAGAACGAGAACATCCACCCTTTTGAAGATACCACCTCGTTAGAATTCCTGGCATTGAAGAACGAATGCGGAGTGGTGGTGTTTGGAACACATTCAAAAAAGAGACCCAACAACATCACGGTGTTACGAATCTACGACGGGCGTGTGCTTGACATGGTGGAATTTCTGATCCTGCCGTCTGCGTCAGACGAGGCTGGCAAGGAGACCAAATTACAGATTGGAGTGGGCATGAAGCCCTTGATATTATTCAGTGGATCACAATGGGGGGATACCTCGTCTTCGGCGCAAGCGACACAGTATCAGACACTCAAATCGATCCTGCTGGATCTGTTTCAAGGAGAGGAGATCTCTTCCGTCGATGTGGCCGGGCTACAATACTTGCTCATGATCGCTGCTGGGGAGAGTGCGGGTGAGTCGGGAGACTTGCAGGACCCAGTGAACAAGCCGGTGCTACATCTTCGATGGTACAAGATCAAGACAGTGCGATCCGACAATCCTAAAATCCCGCGGGTGGAACTCGATCCGGTCGGGCCCAGTTTCGATCTCCGAGTCAGTCGGACCCGAGAGGCAGATGCCTCAATAATGAAGGCTGCGCTCAAACATGGTCGCCGGCCGAACGAGGCTCGCACCAAGAAGAATATCGAGACGGATCTCATGGGTGACAAGATTGGTCGCGTGCATCTTGGAAAACAAGACCTGTCTACCTTGCAAACAAGGAAGATGAAGGGATTGAAGAGGGGGAGAGATGACAGTGAGCCTTTGCAAGAGGGTGGCGACCTTTCGGATGATGACATTGTCAGTGAAGATGAGGACATGGTCGATGGTGGAATGATCCTAGACGACGATGTCTCAGACGGAGGGAGCAGTGGAGGTGGCACTGGGGATGAGATCAGTATAGGTGAAGACGACGAGGACGAGGAGATGGAAGATGTCAGTAATGACAAACCCAAACGACAACGAATTAACTGAAGACATCGAGGAAGTCTTGAGCTTCAGAGATGATGTGATGGATCATTCTATGACAGGGTTTTGCTGCTTCTAACTTAAGTTGGCGCAGCGTGCGCACGTTCTTATGAAGAAGATTATGGAATGGTCCTTTTTTACTGTTAAAACGCCATATGACATTGGCTTGGAGAGGAAAAGGGCGAATGGCGCAGTTGAAATGGGTGACCATTTTAACCTCGACGGATTCAGTATTCATTGGTTGTGCTGCGATTTTCTAAAGCGGGAGGAGAAGAGAGGATCACGTATCACGTGTGCTCCTGTGAAGCAGGTGCAAAATGCAAAATGCAGACCTCGAGTTCTAAAATAGGTACTTAGTACCTAACCAGGTACCCACGGGTGAAGCGTCTCGTGTGCCTGCCGTATGAAGAGTACATGGGTACCTAACTTAGTCTAAGTAGACTACGCTGCCTCGGGCGGCAGGTGCCAGTTGCCAACAACAGTGCAACGAGAGTTCACGTGTGTACCAAGTTGGAGTGTACGGGTAGGGATGGTAGGCACGTGTCTTGGCCCGCCCCAGTTTTAAACGGCAACTTCGACCTTATACTTACGTCGTACCTTTTTCCTCCTGCCTTTTCTCTCTTCTTGTGTGTCCCTCCTCGTTGTTTGTTACATGTCTTCCCATCATCAGTACAGATGATTCATGCCCATTGTCCCCATTGTCTTGATTGTCTTGCCTGTGGCCCAGACTACTAACAGTCTGCAAAGCTAATGTATTTTAGCCAAGCTAGACGACGAGTGTGCCATCCATACCCACAACACGCAGCAAGCTTAAGCGCCCATTGAATCTCATATCTCATCGCACCATCCATTTGAGTCTCCCGCTGTTCTTTCCATATGGTGTCCATGAGGATGCATTCTAGCAGCAGGAACTCCTAGATCAGCCACTTTGTTCAGACAAAGACTTCTTGGGAGGACGATACGTCTTTGTTTCTATTAACATTGAATACACAATATACTGACTGCCATGATCATTGAACCAGTCTATGTCACCGAGAGAGAAAGAAAAATATAAGATCAGGTGCTGGTCGTTTGAAAGATGTCGGTATTAGGATTTGAACCTAGGTTTCCTCGGAACCGTGAGTGTGTTGTTCTGGTAGACTCAGACTTTACAGGGCGTGCAGGAGGTGCTTCATCTGTTTCCTCCGTCCTAACAATGTCGAGGCTTCCAAACGTTCCACAACGAGACGTGCTAACCACTGCACTATGCCAACATGGCACATGGACCTGGCTTATTGTTGTCAAGCCTTGGGGCTCATTGATCTCTATTCTGCCTGCTGACCCTGAGGGGCGTGAATCACCATTCAATCTTGTCATTCTCTGTGCCCCCGTGTCCCCGTTTGCAGTGACAATCTTTATGAACGACCACACCCCCCTCACTCGAAAATTTCTGCTCAAGTGAAGTTCCAGATGCCCTGATAGTCACGACAAAGACGCGTCAGTGACTCGACCTGCTACTCTTTATTTCCCATTGTTTTTCTCCTCCAAGTCTTTCTTCTTCTCCCATTTCTTCCCACAACAATCTTCATCCCACGATCTTGTTTAAAAAGCATTTTCTATCTTTCAAAGTCCTTGACTTCTCTTCCATTGATCAGAGTCTACCGTCCTTGATATCGGCTCACGCCCTTCTCAACGACGTCCGCTTTTCTTCTTTTCCCCGTTCGATCTTCCCTCTTCTCCCAAGATCTCATATCCTCCTTCAACAGCCATGGACGTTTACGAAGAATTCGTTCTCTTCCTCCAACAGTTCTTCTTCGGCCTTTGCCAATTGCTTTACTCCATATTACCGATATTCCCATTCGCTTTCCTCGCCGCCGCTTTCCTTGCCCCACAAGAGACGAAACAATTCGTCCAACGCCTTCCTTACAACCTTCTCGCAGTCTCCCTCTTTCTCCTGGGCCGTCTCTTTGCTGGTTGCCGCAATCGTGCCGGGCGAGTGTTGCTCATCGATGGATGGGTGATACAACAGATCAGAGACCTTCTCGCTTGGATGAGAACCACAAAGATCTCTCCAACAAACGACACCCCAGTTACTGCTAAGGTCATTTCCGAACCCAACGAGCCGTTGCCTTCTTCTTTCTTAGTCACCCCCGAAACATCAACGGCTCTCCCTGGCTTCTCTCTACAAACACCATCAGTCCCTGTGATTGATTCGACATTGGGATCCCTCCCAGAAACCTTGCTTGACTCGACAACCCCATCCGAAGAACCTCCCTGCCACATTGAGCCTGAGTCCGATATCAATGACATCAAGATTGAACTCCCCGTTGCTCCAGCTCGTCCTCGACCACTCAAAGTCACACGCCCGGGACGATCTCAACTTTGGACACCCACATCTCGGCCTAGGGGCCGTCGCTCAAGCCGCTCAAGTCGCCCGTCTCCCCGAGATGACTTCCCCCCGGTCTTGTTGCTCGATGAGGAGGACGAGGATAACAATGATCTTGAAAAGGGCAAGGCCTCTGAGCCCAACAATGCCCGGAGCACGGCTGCTGAAATGGCAACACCCAAAGAGGAGTTTGTCATTCCACAGCCCTCTGAAAACAAGACTGCCGCGTCAACGACGCCCGATAACAGCTCCTCCCTGCCCCTCGACAACACCTCTCGTCCAAGCCCTTCACACCGCCCAACCCGGTTGACTCTCAGAGACAGAAAGAGTCAGCCCTTTGAAGGGATCAGCGTGAGTCAGCTGATCACCGACAAGAGACTGGCCGAGTGTCAAGATACACTCGCCCTGCATACTCAAGCAATCTTGGAGCAGTCCCAAGCCATGGCGGACTTGGGACAATATATAAAAAAAGAGAGCAACAGCAGCGATGATCGCCTTGAGGCCAGACTTCTTGTGATCGAGGAGGCATTGAAGACACTCCTTGATCTGCAGACTGCCGCTGCCGCCGTTAAGATCCCGCCTCGGCCTTCCTCTGTTTCCAGAGAAACCCAGACCGTGGTAGCAAAAGATCAGGAGTCTGAGAAGGCTCAACTCCTGATCCGCCGACAGGCCAGCAGCATCGAGGATTTCAAGGCTTCTCTCGATAAGCGCAGTCAAGAATGCGCTGCCTTGGAACAGAACCTTGCCAAGGCCAACGACTCCAAGAAGATGCTTGCTGACGGCTTGAGGAAGGCCGCCGACAGAGAGCAGGCACGAATCAAACAGGTTGATGAGCTTCAGAGCGCTCTGGCCTCAAGCAAGTCCGCCCAGAAGCCCAATCGAAAGTTGCAAGCTGAGATTGATCAGCTCAAGAGCAAGCTGGCCTCAGATAAGGCTCTCCACAAACCCAATCTGGAGTTGCGAGCTGAGATCGATCGGCTGAAAGAAGCCCTGGCACAATCCCAGAGCGCCCAAAGCTCCCAGGTTGAGTCCAGCGAAGGGCTCGAGAAATTGCGAGGTGAGAGAGATGCCGCCGTCAAAGCGGTTGATGCATCAAAGAAGGTGTCCAAAGAGCTGGAGATTCGTATCAACGAGCTCCAAGAGGCAGAAAAAGTCTGCCAGAAAGACCTCCGCTCTCTTCGCCTTGAGAAAGAAAATGCCGGCAAAGAGACTGACGCCCTGAAGCAACAAGTCGAGCAGGCAAAGCAACAGCTCGAGTCCTCTAAAACTGACAGCTTTGACAAGGACCAGACGATCGAATCCTTGAGTCAACAACTGGCAGAGAGCCGCCATCGCACATACCCCTTGGAACAGGAGGTGGAATCAAAAGCCGCTCAGATCGCCTCTCTGGAAGCTCGATCTGGACAGCTACAAACAGAACTCGAAGGCGCCAGGGCAGCACACAATCAGGTGCTCCAGGAGGGCAGGCAAGTTCAAGCCGAGCTTGAGCGCACGTCAAGCGAACTCCGATCTCGTGCTCAGGAACTGGAAGCTGGAACTGACAGGATCCGTCAGCTCGAAACCTGGATTGCCGCGTTGCAGGCCCAGGGACGAACGCTGTTAACGGAGTCAGAACGGCAAACCCTGATGTGCAAACAGATGGAGGAAGAGCACCAGAATGCTCTCGCAGTCCTTTGCAAGGAGAATGACGAGCGATTTGAGGAACTCAAGAAAGAGCACGCGGAAAAAGTCCAAGAAATGAAAGAAAATCATACGCGTGACGTCGATGCTGCCCGCAAATTCGCTAACGAAACCGTGTTCCAACAATACACGGTCGTCATCGATGCCCAAAAAGAAGAGATCTCGAATATGAAATCCCTTTGGAATTCTGCTCTGAAGACTGCCGTTCAAGAAGCCGTGCGCAGAAAGGACCTTGAGATCAAGCAGCTGCAAGAGCAGCTCAAGACCAACGCGCCCGCCACTGGCCCACTGGGGCCTGTCACACCTCAGAAGCCAATTGTCGCTATGACACCCTCCTCCTCCAATTCTCACAAGGGCATGTTCTCTCCTCGGCAACAACCGCCACAGATCAAGGAGCTGTTGATGCAAAAGCAGTGCGATCAGATCCACATCGCCACTTTAAAGAAAGAGAAGGCGGCCCTCGAGGCACAATTTCGAGAAGCGGAGAAGGAGATCGCCTATCTGATTGAGGAGAACGATAGTCTTCTTAAACAGGACAACGCCCAGGCCGAGATCTCACGGCTGCAGGAAGAGAATGATGGCCTCAAAACCAAGACCGCTGAGCTCGAAGACAAGCTCAGTGATTTGATGATTGACATCGACGTCATTGACGCCGAGAAGGATGAACTGTCCGAAGAGCACGTCAAAGAGCTCGATCTGAAAAAGACACAACTGGATCAATACGGACAGAAATTCACCGAGGCGACTCTCAAGGCAAAGGCACTGCAGGATGAAAACCAGGCCCTGGAAAACGCGTACAACATGGAAAAGTTGCACGCCGAGCGAAAAGAACAAATGCAGGCCGACCTCCAACAGTACCAACAGGAGCGATTGGCATTCTACAGCGACCAGGCCAATCTCAACGTCATGCGCAAGACCAAGCGTGTCGCAAGCGAGACTTCAGAGGCGATCCAGAACCAAGACACGCTGAGGAAGCGTGCAGCGATCAAAGACAACGATTTCATTGCGTTGTGCGATGTCACCGAATCCGAACTCACCAGCTACGCCATGACGGCCTGGTCCTGGACTGAGGCACATCATGTGTCTCAGCTATATTTCTCGCTCCAGGACAATGACGAACGCAACCTCGAGCGATTCGAACAATTTATCGCTGGTCTCGGTGCGTCGGATCTAATCAAACCTCGTACTCAGACCCCAGCAGAAGTCGAGGCTGCATTCCAATCTCTGATCAGTACGCCAAAATCTCTCGTCGATGCTCCTCGCGCCGAGCTTGCAGCTCCACAGTCATCTGCAACCTTTGACATTCAGGGCTCCGTCACCAGCCCTGCGTTTTTGGGAGGCCCCAATCCCAACAATCAACATCAATCTCCGACACCTCGGAAAATCCTTCGACCACGTACAAGAGGTTGAAGGGTGGGGAATTTTCCAGCCCCTGAATGAATGAATAGACGGATCGAGAAATTGGACAGGATAGTGAGGAGAACTGCTAAGAGCAGCAATGGATACAACTTGAAATGAAAATGAATATTCAGGAAAAGAAAGAACGTGTCATTGGAACTGAGGCATGTTTGTTTTATCACGAATGACGTCGATGTGCATACAGAAAGAAAACGTACGTACCAGGATGGATACCACAAGGTGGTTAGTTTGAATTGTGAAACATTGGACACGCGAGACGCGAGAGTCCTCTACTGGAAGGCCCTCCATGGGCAGATTGAAAGATGGGCCAGCCATCCTATTGAATTGAGTTGAATTGATGGAACAAGACCGTATAAGAAGATCATGTTTTCCCTCGATCCCCTCCCCTCCTTTCCTTTTCCCTTTTTTCTCTTTCCGCTCATTTACATCCGTCTCATCATCGCTCCTAAACCTCGTTTTCTTCCCATTCCCCAAATCACATACCAAATCTATCCCCCCTCTCAACCCTATCGAGATTCAACGCTGCAGAAACATATGCCAAATGACTGAAAGCTTGCGGCGTATTCCCAAGCTGAGCGCCACTAAGCGCAATTTCCTCGGACAACATGCCCACATGATTACGAAAATTAGTAACCGTCTCAAACATATTGATCGCTGTCCCCAGATATTGTTTCGAATATTTTCCCGCACGCACAAGCGCTTCCACTAACCATAGTGTACACATGACGAAAGTTCCTTCGCGACCGCCGACGCCTAGAATTTAGGGGTAGAATAGTAAGCAACTTAAGTCACTAAGTTAAGGTATTGATTGAGCGGTGATGTGAAAACAAAGTTTTGGTCCAGCTGCAAACTCACCATCATCGGTCTTTTCATGATCATATCGAAAGACGAAACCAGCTGAAGTCAAACCCCCCTTTTCGGGGCTTTGTAGGATTTTATCGAGTGTGCCTAAAAATTGGGGGTCGTTGGGAGACATGAAGAAAACGAGTGGCGCGATGAGAACGGCAGAATCGAGTGTGGTTTGGGATTCGTAGCTCTGCACGAAGGTGTTGAGCTCGTAATTAAATCCTCGGTCCATGACTTCCTCGTAGATGGTGTCGCGGGTTTCCATCCAGGTTTGACGGTTGGGGCAGGGGCTAGAGTAGACAAGAAGTCAGTTGTGTGATCTTTCTTCGAGATAGATGGTTGATCTAGGCGAGGCCAGGCTTATGGCCAACACGAGACTCGTGCCATATGAGATCCAAGACTCACAAGTTCCGTTTCTCCGAAAGTCGAATTGCTCGATCCACGGCAACCCAGAGCAACATTTTGGAATAAACAAAATGTTGTTTCTGGCCTCGGACTTCCCAGATAGACATATCCGGTTGACTCCAGACTTGGCAGACAAAATTGGTGAGATATCGAATGTCCTTCCACTGGGCAAAGGAAATGGGTTTGCCGTGCTTGTTGTACAAGTAGATGCTGTCCATGAGTTCTCCGTAAATGTCAAGTTGGATATGATCGGTGGCTGCATTCCCAATGCGAACGGGGGTCGAGTCTTGATAGCCCGAGAGATGATCTAATGTGAGTTCGGGGAGATCGGTAGATCCATCGATGCTGAACATCAAGGGTAGGTGATGAGGAGTTGTGGCTTTTTCAGCGATTTGCCGCCATTCAGCAATGCGTGCGAAGATGAAATTGATATAAGCTTCAGCTTCGCGGGGGAAGCCCAGTTTGAGGAAGACGTCTTTTGTGGGAGAAAGTTAGATGCGGAAAGTCTAGAGAGGAGTGGTAATTATGAAGGGGGGGAGTCGTGATGGATCGACTTACAGACTGTGAAGCTTGAATCCCGTACCCAGCTGTATCGGTAATCCCAGTTCCGAGGTCCACCAATCGCTTCAGGAAGAGAAAAGGTCGGTGCTGCGACTATAGCACCGGTGGGATCATATGTGAGCAGCTTCAATATGAGCATGCTTCGCTCGACTTCTTGCTGAAATCTTCCACGGTAGAGACAAGCCCTGATCCAGGAGGTCCAGAACTTGTATGTTTCAGACTCGAGGTTTGCTACCAGGTCCTTGGTAAGATGTGGAGCGACGTGGCCATTACACATGACCATAAAGACCTGTTGACCTTCTTGTAGCTCGAACCGGGCGTGGAGCCTGTCGCTGGCTGAACCTTGGGTTCGGAACATCTCTGGAGGATTGCTGAGAGGCCGGCCATGAGTGCAGAATGTGGCAAAGAACTCGGGGGTTTCCTGGGTGGAGAGGTTTTCTTCTTCTTCTGCGACCCAGCGAAGAGACTGGTGGTGGATTTCGGGTCCGCTGGTCACCTTGGAAGCCTTCATCGTGCCTTTCTTGGTGGCATAGCCAGGACGGGGACATAGGTCGATGTTGATGGACATGGATCCTCGAACACATTCCAATTTTCTCACCAGGACGGAGCCACTCCATTCTTCTCGAAGGATCTTGTTATATTTCGATACGGCAAAGAAGTCTGTGAGATCAACGACCCCAGCTTCATCGATCCATTTGGTCTGTAGGATGTTGGAAGAAGCTCGGTAGTTTTGCTTGCAGACGGTACTGCTCTTTGGGGAAATACTCCAATGACCACCGCCGCCTCGGCTGGTGTCGAGGATTCTGCAGAAAATGGAAGGGGAGTCAAACTTGGGCCAGCACATGAAATCAATGCTGCCGTTTTTCCCGGACAAGGCACAGGTCCGCATATCCCCAATCAACCCATAGTCTTCGATCTGGGGCTGAAATTGTGTCGAGGTCATCTCACCCATGATGTGGTATTGTGTCACTATCCACCTTATTACGATGGACGTTATTCTTAGGATTCAACACAGTGAAAACTGAAAGGAAATGTTCAAAAGGACATGGGGTAGATGAGTTCAAAGGGCCCGAGAGAAAAGAAAGTCAATGTATCACGAGGTCTGTAAGTATGGCAGAACTGGGGAAAGGGAAAGCCAGGATGAGTAAGTCGAGTGTAAAGAAGAAAGATGAACACGAGGTGATGGAAGATGAGATTGGTCAAGTGAGAAGGGGTAGGCTGCAAAGAAAGTCTGTTCGACAGAGGGGTAAGGTAGCCAGTAAGCAGGCACATCAGGTAGCCAATCTTGATGCAACATGAGATCAGAGGACGTTGGTATTGTGTGGCATAGTTTCGCTAGATCTACATCATGGTAGAGAAGATGAGAATGAATTGTCGATTGGCGCAGATGGTCACACAAGGAGGGCAATTTGAAAGCGCTAGTCTGACAAGAAATTAATTGTTAATTTTGATGTGATTCATCGTGATCATAGCCCAATGCAGGATCAGGTACATCTGTCAGACAAGATATGACGAAACATATGTGATCGACAAGAGACTTAGACCTGAAATTGCTAAAGTAGGCACGCATACCAGTGGACTGGCACACTGCATTCATTTCCCCAGATGCGTCATCATGCTGACACACATTAAAGGCGGGAACTCATCCCAATCTAGGCCAGACAGAAAGGTATAGCGAGTTCTCCAGACAACCAAATTCCCCGCCCCTCGTTTGGCTGCTCGCTTCTAGAAAATCACCTGACTAGCAGGAGGATCACGAATTTGACGGGGCCAGTCCTCTCGGCCCGTTATTTCGACTTTTAATCCTTGCCCATCATTCTGGTTGTAGATTCATGGCTTCGTGGTAATATATGGCGAAGTTCCGTCTGGGGCAGAAGTCATATATGCTGACAGCATTATTCTCATGGAGCCGATGAGCCGAGTGTGAGAGACTGTGCGTTGAGTGCGACCACCTCAATGGAGAAAATTGTCTCGACCTTGCGGAGGTAAGGCTCGAGAACCAGGGACTCTGGCCGCTGGCGGATGCTGAGGGGAAGCGTGCAGACCAAGAGGTCGCGGGTGGCAAGTAACTGTCGTGCCACATATGAGAGATTCTGGATGTCAACGTTGAAATCATGACTGCGACCGCATCTGCTGTGGCTTTGTTTTGTTTCCGGTTTCGTTTCGCTTGTCCAGTTTTTAGGTAGTGAATAGTGTATCTTCTTCTCTCAGATACTCGCCAACGTCACCCTGCCTGAAAGCCACCACCGAAGTAGGATCCAATTTTCGTGCTTCTGCGGTTGATCTAGCCGTGACTCCAAATCCCAAGGGGGTGTCATCCATTGCCAGGATCACAATGCCTGAATGCTCAGGGCAATCTTCGCTCCATCTGCCCACGTGCGCCTTGACCACATTTCCTCCATAAAGAAAAGGCATCTCGCCATTAGGCTTGACCCATAGCTTGTAGCGAGCGTGAGGTGCAATCACGTCGAGGGCTGTAATGTGGAGTCGGAATTTGCCAGTCTTGGTGAACTTGCCGACGCAGGTACCGAGAGATAGGAGGTGGTCTCGAGCAATGGAGGTGGCTAGATTTGCCAGTGATAGACGGACATAGTAGACGCGAGACTGGTGCAGACGGAAGACATGACGGTCGCTGTCGGCGGTGGAGTCGTCAGGTGCGATGAGTTGATTGAGAGAGCGACCTGTGTAATTGGCTAGTTTGGTGAAGAGGGTTTGGGTTTCGACATCGGTCAAGGGCCTCATTGTGACAAAAGCTAGAGGGTCTCTTGTATGCCACAATACACCATTCGGGGTTCAGAGACGACGTGAGTAAGTGTTGAAAGGTGTTGGTGTTGGGTTGCGATTGTTGCAGTCTGGAATTTTTTTCTCGAGTTCCCGGCTGAACCTCGGGGCAACTCCCCCGCATGTCAGGCAGTTGCGCCTGCATTTGGATCAAGTCTACAAAAAATTTAGTCCGTCGCAGACACTGACATTCATTCCACTTGACAATATCCAAACAACCCCGGCCGCAGCCAAAGATCCCTCCAATGGCACACGGTCGTCCCGCCAAAAGAAGGCGGGTTACTCCTCCCATCGACGACAGCATCCCTTCCGAGACAGTCAAGGCTAGTGATCTGTTGGCTCGAGCCGCAAATTGGGACCTAGAGCAAGACTATGAACAGAGGGCGAGGAGGAAACCGACCAAAGAATCTACAAAACTGCCAACAAAAAATGCCCAGGGTCACCTACAAACTTCTAAACAAGTCCAACCCCAAGTTGAATCCGACGAAGAATCGGATAGCTTCCTAGGCTCCGGTTCAGACCTCGAGGATGATTCGGATGTCGGTGAAGAGACACCACCTACCGAAGTCGACACTACCCCCCCGATCCCCATCAAACAGCAAGTCCTATCTGCAAAGGAAGAAATTGCTCGAGTTGCCAGCCTCCTGAACGAAGACCCCGAGGAACATGCTGGCTCTTTCAAAAAGCTCGCACAAATTGCAACACCGCACTCCCCTTTACCCGTTCGCAAACTTGTCCTTGCCGCTCAGGCTGCTGTCTATAAGGACGCTATTCCTGGCTACCGCATACGAGCATACAAAGACCAAGACTTGAACTCTCAGGTCTCTAAAGAGGTGCGCAGGACGAGACAGTTCGAGCAAGCCCTGGTGACGGGTTACCAAGCCTATGTCAAACAACTCACAAACCTGGCCAAGTCGAAAAGCATCCCCAACGATGATTCTTTGTCTCTGAGAAGTCTCGCTATCAGCTGTGCCTGTACCCTGGTTCTCTCCGTACCTCATTTCAATTTCCGTACCGAATTGCTGAACATCCTCATTCACCAACTGACTAGCCGGGCATATACCCCGGACTTTTCGAAATGCATTGAAACAATGGAAAAGTTCTTTGCCCAGGACGACGATGGCGCTCCATCTCTCGAGGCAGTCAGCCTCCTCACCAAAATGATGAAAGCTAAGGACTATCGTGTCCGGGAGGAAGTCCTCAACCTGTTCTTCCATCTACGTCTACTGTCCGAACTCACCACGCCGAGTTCGACCACTAGGGCCGACAGGCCAACTGACGCCTCAAAGTTGCATGGTCGCAAAGTCAAGAAGGAGAAATGGGAACACCGCTCGAAGAAGGAGCGCAAGTTGGCCAAGGAGAGAAAGGCCGTGGAGAAAGATATGCAGGAAGCTAATGCAATCGTCAACTACGAAGAGCGGGAGAAGATGCAGTCCGAGACACTCAAGATGGTCTTTGTCACATATTTCCGCATTTTGAAGGCCCGCATCCCACATCTGATGGGTGCCGTCCTTGAAGGCTTGGCTCGATATGCGCATCTCATCAACCAAGATTTCTTTGGGGATATTCTCGAAGCGCTCAAGGATATCATCAATCAGGCCGATGCCGCTGTCAAGGGCGAATTGGACCTCGACCTAGAGGGAGAAATGGACCAAGAACTCGCTTCAACCAACGTGGACGGCGAGACCATGCGCAATCGCACCCGCGAGAGCCTCTTATCCACCCAGACAGCCTTCACCTTACTATCGGGCCAAGAAATGACCAAAGCCGCCTCGACTCTTCATCTCGACCTGTCCTTCTTCACCTCACATACATACCGCTCCCTATATCCACTTGGTCTCGACGCGGACATTGAACTCGGCCCAAAGTCACTCCGCTTACCTGACCCTCACGCTGGCGCCCAAGCCCAATCCGAAGCACAAGCAAAAGCGACACAAGCAAACAAGATCAACATCTCAACCCCGATCCTTCTCCTCACTCGTGTCCTGACCTCGATCCTACTCACACCGTCACAGCCACCTCCCAGCCTGACCGCTGCAGCCTTCTACAAGCGCCTCCTCTCTGTCTCATTGCAACTGCCCGAGAAATCGACCATAGCCGTCTTAGATCTGCTAGCCAAGATTGCCGACAAGCACGGTCGCAAGATCGAGGCTCTATGGTACAGCGACGAGAGGAAAGGAGATGGTGTATTTCGTGGCGAGAGCGATACCCTGGAAGGGACCAATGTGCTGGCAACGGGTAGCGGCGTATGGGAAGCCGAACTGCTCCGGAAGCATTACTGTCCTCAGGTTCGAGAACAGATCCAAAGCATTGATAAGACGATTGCTAGTTTGAACAGGTAAAGAAGAGGATTTAGGGATAATGCATATATATTTGTAGCGAGGTGGCGCCCCAATATCATTAGCGTGATTGGCTTGTTATCTCATTTACAGACCCTTTGTGTATTATATGTGGTGTCACAAGACTCTATTTGATTAGCCATATTGACGGATATGAGATAAAGTCCTTTGCACCTCACTTGTTCTTATCTTCGCCGTATCGAACTGCCTCTGGTGTGGATCTCGTCAGTTCAGCGAACGAGCCAAGGCACCCACCATCATTGATGACAGCCGGGGAGAGTCACCCCCGTCCCACGGGCCAATTGAAGAGACGTGACACCCAATCCCAAAAAAACAAAACCACAGACCAACAATTCTTCTGTTTCTCTTCCTCCAAAAAGGTGAGAAATGATGAAAAAGATCAAATCTTCTTACCCGCCACCTGTGGCGGGTAGGACAAACCCAGGCGACGGGTAGAAAACGTCTAGCATGCATGTCCCATGTTCATAGAGGAAGACGTGGGGAACGGGAAGTACGAACCAGGATCATCAGATCGAATAGATTCGGTTCTTGTCGCTCGGGCCCGACATCCGCACTCCCAACAAACTCACCTTTTTCGATCCCTGTAGCATGTGCGTTTCCACCATCTAACCAATCAAACCATATCATCTCAAGAATGGGTCATCCAACATCATGCACTCGAGCCTTGGATTGCTCACGCGCGGACTCGTAACAATAATGCTAAGGTCAGCTCGGGTCACGCAAGACAAGGTAAGGTACTGTAGGTGGGCAGTGTGGTCCCTTTCAAGCATCGACTTCCAACTTTTAGCGCAGACGCTCGATTCTTTGGGACCCGGGCTCAGTCTTTTGACGTGAGAAACCTTGATTTTTGTGGTGTGACGGGGACAGGACTTGACGTTCATCCTTCAGGTTTTTGACATGTCAACTTCCACAACTTCTTGCTTGTTGTGATTTCCATCCACGCTTGGACCAGAATTTTGGAGATTGTCAACACTTGCAGAAACATCCACGAGCCTTGCCCAGTCCATCACGTCCCATTTATACTATCGCCGTCGGGAGTTCAACGTTCAGAAGACTCCAACCTTTTGCGGGACTGTGGTGGGATCGGGTACGTTTTCAACATTCCGATGGCATTGAAGAACGCTCGAGTAGGGTGCTGTACTAACCAGATCGCTAGGACTCGACATTCCGACAATTGGAGACGTTTGGTGGTTTTTGGCTGATCGAATTTGATCGGCTTCGTCTGGAAACTCAAATCTGTCAACCAGCAGGTTCTGGTGCACCTGTGGAAGCGTTCATTCAGCAACACAACTTTGGTAAGACAATATTAGTTTGTCAGTCTTGATATCTCGACATTGGTTGGGCAATGGATCAACTTCACCTATTCTCGGGGTTCTTGCATGACTCTAAGGATCTTGATATGTTGTTTGGAACAGCCTGGTCGTTTGATGCATGAATCTGGAAAAACGACGCAAAATGAAAAGTGAATTGGATGATAGAGACGGCAGGAACGACTCCATCGCTCTTGCCGTTTCGGCCATTCAACAACTCATGGCGCATCCTATCGTCTCTTTTTTTGGCTCCATTTCAGATCTCGACTAACATTCCTATCATCCTAGATTGGACAGTCGTTGTGACCGACATATACCTATCATAATCCGAGACATATTGATCCGATCATTCTTCGGCACCTTTCTTTTCTCAAGGGGTTGACATATCGCCTTGCAAGCCAGCCAACATGGTGACCACCACCATCAGATTCAGCCGACCGGATGTGCAACCGCCGGTATACGTGGCGGGCAGCTTTTCGAAATGGTCTCCTATCGAGATGAAACTCGACACCAACGAGTCTACCGAATCGACGAACAATCACTTTTCCTATCAGACTGATCTCGAACCGGGAAAGTATGAGTTCAAATTCAAACTCGGTCCAGGCGACTGGTGGGTGCTGGACGAGTCAATGCCTTCCGGTATATCATTCTCAGATTTTGCGTACGCGTGGTGATTTTGAGCACAGTACTGATTTTTTTTCCCCTTTAGTGACCGATCCAGCAGGAAATGTCAACAACCTCTTGAATGTTGAAGAATCCAAGCCCACAGAAGAACCTTCGAACATCGACTCAGCCAATGTTCTGCCTACGGCTCCCCAGGAAATCCCTCAACCATTGCCATCCACTGTCGTCAAGGACGACAACGTCAACGTCAAATCTCATTCCAGGTCCCCCTCACAGTCCCAATCCCAATCCAACATCGGCAAAAGAATTGTCGCAGACAACTCAGAGCCCAAGGCTGCTGTGATTGTATCTGATGAGAAACCTGAAAAGGTAACCCCTGATGTGGAATTTGGAGATGGTAGCAAGGATGATACCATTCCCGACGTTGCACCTCCTCCATATTCGCCCCCGCTGGTCGAGGGCGGTCCCGAACTGACTTCTTCTGCGTTGAAATCAGAATCTGCCTCTATGGAGGATGCTAATGGCAGGGACAACTCTCGAACTCATAGCGTCAAGAGCCCTGGTCAAGGGAAACGTGGCTCTCAATCGTGGATTGACAGCTTTGGCGGCGGAAAGTATGTGTTGAACCCCTACCCTTTAGAGAAATGGGTTTCGTCTGTTTGTTTTCTGGTTTCTGAACTGACTCCTTTGCATAAACAGTGTGGCATTGGTCGTTGCAGCAATCATTATTCCAGTGGCTGTTTCTTATCTTTGGTATCGCTAAGAATCGAATTCGACATCCCTTTTCGGCGGCAAAAATGCAGCATTGAAACCGACATAAACGAACGGAAGAAAGAAAGATGGTTCTTGACTGCCGCCGAAGAAAGGGGGCGTTGTAATATATCAATTCAACGAAATCATGGGTTTGGACGTTGTGCATCACATCATTGTCTCCTATATTAATTAAAATGTACAAAAGGGTAATTCCTCCCTCTAATTGCCTTGAATAGCAAGACTGCCTGAAATGCACTCTACGTCTTGCACTGCTTTTATGAAGCCTGGGTTTCGTTCTAGGCCGGTTTTCTATCCTTTTGATTCTATACTTTTGATTATCTCCAGGTCAGCTCCCTAGATATCAATCACAAGCCGATCAGAATCCGAGCGAAATCCGACCACGTTCCGTCGGTCAGGAGTCAAGCTCTGTTCAGATAGATATATATATCTGTAAATATTTGAACTTCTTTACAGCTTGCCAAGGGTCGCCACAGCATCTCTAGTCCGGTCCTTGGTATCCTTGACCAAACCACTCACAGCTCTAAAGTTCTCACTCTTCGCATCACCGAGCAACTCAAACAACAGACCCTCGCTCGTGGTCACTACAGCGCCTTCCCTAGCCAGGCGACGCAAGGCAATGGGACGCTCCAACTCGTTACAGCTCGACACGCCATCAGCTACAAGGTAGACCTTATGACCGAGCCGTAGTAGATCAAGCGTCGTCTGTGTGACGCAGATATGGGTCTCAATGCCGACCAGGATGACTGACAGGCGCGACGGGGTGGCCGGGCTAGTGGCCGGTGTTGTCGGGAGTTGTGATACGAGCTCCGGAACCATCATGCTGAACAAGGTCTTGTCGACCGTGCGTGGTGCTGGTGCACCTCCGGCGCCAGACTTGGGGAGCATAGATTCGATCTCGGATACGGTGGGACCCAGACGAGCAGCATTCTGTGTGGTGACAAAGATGGGCATTTTGAGGATCGTGGCTATGTAGAAGGCATTGTGGTGTTAGGTTCAATGGGAAATCAATGGAGAGGATAGGTAGCCAAAGGCATTGATTGCTTGAACATGGCTCACCTGCTTTCACGAGTTTCTGGGTAGTGGAGATCCTGAATCTCGATTAGTCCCACCTTGGTTGTAAAAAGACAAATGTCATGTCAACTCACACTTTCTCATACTCCCATATTGCCGATCGAAACTTCTCCTGTATGTCACAGATGCTGTGACGAGTTCATGTCAGTGTTGATGCTCATTCGGGAACTCGAGCAGAAACAAGGGCCCCAATGGATCAGTGTTGGACAAGTTGTCTGGGCTGTGAGACGCAGCTTCAATCGTGAAATCGAGCTAACGGAAAAGGCACCAAAGATGGGTTCTATGCCTTGAGAGAAAATAACGACGGCATAGGCCGAGTAATCGAGGATGACGTACAATAGCACCGGGTTTTCTAGATGTTTCGAGCAGTTAGTGAGAAGTTCTCTCCATTTAGAGAGAAAAGAGACATGTCAGCAAGGGGAAAGCTGTGCATGTTTATGGATTTCAACAAGCTGCAGATCCCATTGCTCAATGCAGTAGTTGGCGACAGTCGCTCTTTCCGTCCAGGCCATGAAGAGTGCCTGCCTTGTATTTGCAATCAATGGCATCCAGAGAGACGGAAAGAGCGCCGACACTGTCACTGTCCACCCCCAAGGCAATAGGTTCTTCAAGCGAAATTAGATATCTTTCAACAGGTATCACTCACCAATTCGACAGCTTCCACTCATGGTGTATAAGGTACGATGTAATGAAGTGGGGAAGGAGGTGGCGAGATTCGTAGAATGACCTTTGACAGGATCAAAAAGGGAATATCTGAATCAGGTGGTCTTCTAGCTGGAAGTTAACGATGTCGATATTGATAGACAGATAACAGTGTCAAGGTAAGATAGGTTGAATGAGGTTCAGATGTCGATATGTGAAAGCTGCCCATGGAGGTGACCGGGTGGAGTCTGGAGTGGCGGGACAAGGATGAGCGATTGATTGGGCTTTGGTTGCCATTCTCGCGTGCCTCGGTAGGTGAAGGGCGGCGGGCGATGGGGGTAAAGTGTGGGGAGTGTGAGTGGTCGATGAATCAAACATCTCTCCATCATTGAGCCCCCGGAACTTTCGTGGCTGCGGGCGACAAGGAGCCCAGTGCAGCCCCTATCGGGCCAGCGGGGTGCACGCCGTGGCCCGGAGTAGGCACCGAGTGAGGTGAGGATTTGCATAGCGACTCCAACTGGATGTTATTCTTGTCTTCCGGAACATTGAATCTGGTTATTTGCTAATGCTCCGGTGGAATGTCGTTTCTTGGTCAAGGTAGATCGTCAGTCAGTCACGTTATTGCCACAGCCTGACCTCGAGTCTTTGATAGATACCAGTGTGCTGAAACGATTTGAATCTGATATGATGTATGAATACATTTTCATTCAAAGTTTACTTTGGCTAGTTGAAGCAGTGATGCTCCTCTTATCGAGTCTCCTTTTTGGTCCTTTTTTGTGTCTCTTGGAATGGCTCCAAGATGGTCTAATCAACGACCCCATTCAATACAAGAGTTGCTTTACTACCATTCTCATTGATCCTGAATCATAATCTTGGGATCCCGCACCAGCCATACCTAGAGCACTGCTGCTCCAACTTGCCTGTCCATTTTAGTCGTTCGCACTGGTTCTTCGAATGGGTCCAGTGTTCAACCATCCGAATGCAGTTCCTGATCCAACGGGATTGGCCTTGGTCGAAGTCCCTGTAGATGACTTGGTGTCTCCAATATCAGGCTGATGCGGTTGGCGGGCAGAAAGTCCATTCTTTGACTGCACGCCATTTTCTGCCCCGTTCGTACTAGGGCTTCCGGTAGACGTTGTAGTTCGATTGGCGCTGGCCATTGACTTTGAGGGTCGTAAGACCTTCATTTGTCTGGAACTGCTTGGCCTCGCATAACTCGGGGGCGGTTTGGAAGCGCTTTCCGTACTAGCAGTTCCAGATGGTGTGGATCGCCACGAGTTGGACCAAACACGGGCGCTAGTCTTCGACTGAGGGGTGGTAAACGACTTCTCGCTCCCGGTGGTTGATTTCGAGTCATCAGCGGTTCGTGAAGAATTATAATCCAGACTTGTTCTCGTGGGCGCCTCCTCCGTTGGGTCAGATTTATGTGCTGAGAGATCCCCACCAGAAGGATCTACACTCGTGTGATCCATGCTAGGCGACTTTGCCGTTCGCGTGCCAACCTTTCCAGGACCACCGATAACTCCAATGTCGCCTTGCCCACTCGAAGACATGGGCGGGGGGAGCATCGCCGTATCCGAGGCCGGTCTCACACGTGGGGCAGTGGAGAGATCTTTGTAGACCGCATCGTCTTCTGGTCGAACCAGAGGTATTGAAAGTTGGTTCCTGTCCTCGTCTAGAATCATCAGCTTGTCTTGCGAGAACAAGATATCCGCATTATGTGATCTCAGAACATCACTGCCCACGACGATCTGAATTGCATCATTGGGGACCTCGCTCTCATCCACGACAAACTTGACAGATAACGTGGGAATCTGGGGCATAGGACTTGAAGATCGCACAGCAGTCGTATGGACCTTGGCTTCGGTCAGGTAGACGGGGAGTCTGATGAAGCGCGTATCCCCATCGTCGAAAATGAGATCGGCCAGGTTGAGCTTCTCTACTAGCGACAATGTCACTGACGACTGGGCTGATCCGGTGCAAATGGCCGCATAAAGGAGACTGCTGTTGGTGAAGGTTTCGGTTAACCAGCACCGGATGATGGATGGACACGGGCTCAGTATGAAGAAGCCAGGAGGCGGGTTACATGACACCCTGGGCGAATTGTGAATGGACCCCAGGAGGCGACTCGATTCCAAGCCAAAGCTGTTTGTCCGTGCAAATCCCACTGCACTGGCGCGTCCATCCGAGCGGTGGGACAGCGATCGTTCAGACATGGCGTGTCCACCAAGCCCGCTTCCGGTGCGTTGAGGGAGCTCCATAGACTGCCGAGATGAACCATAGTGATTGTTAGCACTTTCGTCGAACCGAACCGAATTGGCTCGTGAGGCAGCAGCTCTTCGGGGGTCGTCTCCGGCGTCCAAGGTCAACGAACTCATCATACTTGTCCCCGGGTCGGCATCAAAATTACGGAATGCCTCTGCAGCTGGATTGAGGGCAGAGTCTATTGGCAGGTCAGTATCCACACAATCTGGTCGTAAATATCGTGGCTTACCGTGCTGGCTTGAGCTCAACGTCCCTGGGAAAGGCGATGCCGCACCCCAGAGACTTCTTGTGGATCGTGAGCCATCCAGTGCTTTCTGCTCTAATCGCATGATTCGGTCTGCGTGATGGGCTTGTGTGCTTGACAAATCGTTCAAGGTTTCCTGAATGCGCCACAGCTCGTCCCTTGTGGCGAATCCTTGGGTACTTTCCATTGCCTTGAGATCAACCTAGGTGAAGACCATTGGGGATGCCGAGGCCTGGAAGGAATCTTTGGTCGCACCCAAGTTCCTAACCTAGTCTGTAGGTGGAGGTGGCGCTGCGAGAGCTATAGTAAGGGCACGATGATTGTGCTTCTTTTGTCACCTTGAGGGTGCACTCCAGGCTCACGCCAGCCGCCTGCCAGGCCCTGCCTCCAAGAGTCTCTACCGATTGTGACTACTTCAGTGCGTCATCAAATCGTCTCGGGTTATGTGGCGTTTGGGGCTTGCACGAAAAGTCGAAGAGAGCTATGACAATGCGCCGAGGCTTGTGGTGCAAGGACTCGAATGTTTCAGAATGTGGAGGTTTGCAATTGAGGGTTCGTGGTTGAGGAGGGGAGAGAAGAAGATGATTCGCACTTGGTGTGGAATTTGAAGCACGTTCAGCGGTTTGCAGGATGGAGGGAGGGATGATGGAGTTCAAAGAGTTCGATGACGAGGTGCGGTGGGAAGGACTTTTGATGGTAGCTTGGTTGAGTCGAGGCTCGCTCTCGCTCTCGCTCACGGAAGCGACAGATTTTGAGGCAGGTGACGGGGAGGATGTGCAAAGAAGGAGCAAGGAAGGAAAACAAGTCGGTCAAGATGACAGTTGTTGATTGTCGAGAGGCTCCAGTGTGGTTGGTTACTTTGTAAGTTGGTAGGATGATGGATTTTGGATGTTTTGGAGCAAGTTGGGGTTCTGAGATATTGTTGCACAATTGACGATTTGACGATTATTGAGGACGGATCATTGACTGACCACTGGCATGGACCACCTGCGCTGACTACGAGTACGGAGTACTGAACCACTACGGAGGTACCTAAGGTAGGTAATAATGGCTGTGACCAGTACCAAGCATTATTGCAAGCCACGAGGGGAGGGCAAGGAACTATAGAGGTGGTGCCTGTCTGTGGTCAGACGTATGCGTTTCTTTTCCTCTCACTAAAAGAAGAGCCGCACCAGTGCCTCGACTTGGTGCAATTATAGGGGACGATGCATGGCGGCCACGCTGAGGTCGAGGCGAAAAGGTGGCTTGAATGACGGTCAGACTATGATAATTTATGGTAGGCCACGTACGCCAACTACTCCGTAGCTGGGTCCTGGTGCCTAGAACAGCCACAAGCCAAAAGCTCATGAACATGCTTCTACAGATGTTCTAGCTTAACTCACAAGGAATCCTTCAGCACCATATATTGTTGCTGTTGGTCATGACTCTAGTGTGTCTGATTAATATTGGTAGGTTTGATGTCCGATAAGGATATTGTTTGGCATATCTTGCACTACTTTCTAGCTTCTCTTCTGACAGCTCACTCACGCAATGAATTCCTTGACATTTTATTTCCTACTCGCTGCATCCGGCAAATCTGCTGCAGGAAGTTCCAGCAGAATGATGTGGCTGTTCCTCGACCCTGTTGGTCAAGTAGTCAAGTAAGTCAAGAGAAAGGAGGGATGACGACCAATGTATATCGGTATGTTCAATTCATGATGCACTTTGTCCAAAGGGCATAAACATGAAGCTTCTCACATTGCTCTCGATCTTCGCAGTTATTACCATTGGATCGACGGCTGATGTGCTGGCCACACCATGCATGCATATCAGCGTGAGAGCCAACCTGTAAGGAATCTAGATGTATGATGATCAGGATCAGCGTGGCATCAAGGACTTGCGAAGATGTTTTCTCAGGCGGCCGAAATATCCGTGTCACCATGTCAACACGCGACCTGTTACGGGCGCCTGGCCAGCATGGGTCTTCATCACGTGAGGGACAATACCCAATTGTGTTTGGTTTCTATCAAGACAACGCGCTTATCGAGGCTACAGGCTCAAAATATCCATGTGCACCTTGGTCTCGAAGCAGGGCATACACATATTGGTGGAGCACGCGAAGCCATGTCGCTGGGATGTGAACTAAAACACGATTTACACGACGCAGGACCTGGTTCATGTTGCCTCGATGGCTGGTCTGTGACGAGTGTATCGGCCTTTGAAGCTGATACGTGATGCAATGAGACAGCAGCTTTGCGTGCCACAGAAGCTTCACGTGTGTATCAAAAGATTCATTTGGGAGCGGCGGCTGGCGGCGACTTGCGCGGGTCGTGGACGCTATCAGATTGCCTTTGCACATGCTCACTTGACAATGATAGCCTGCTCAAAGCAGACCATCAGATAATTGTCAGCGAGGCCGAGGTCTTAAGGTCAAATAGGTCGAGGATGATACCGGGGAGGTACAGGAGGTACCTACTTTGTACGTATATTACGGGCCAAAAGGTAAACCTTGCTATTATTTGATACTATTCGAGATGTTCGACCAGGAAAGCCGCCGGTGGAATCATGCGATCAAGTGATAATTGCGTGGACTCCTGATCAGTCGAGAAAGAGGCGAATCATTGGTAGATGGAGGTGGTGGAAAGCCATGGCATGCAACGATGGCAGGGTTTCAAAGGGATAACAGAGTAGCAGTCAAATGGCTTGGCGAGCTGAGGACAAATCAAGATTTCAGGATATCCTCTCGTGTATGAATTGGTACATGGCGGGGTAGAGTTCGACTTTGGCTGGCATAGTGGATGATAGTGATTGACATGCACAGGGTTCTTTGGATCTTTGAAGCAATCTGGGCCGGACAGTGGGGGTGGTTGAACAGATATGCAGTGGTGGTGAGAATGGATCGCCTCGGCCAGATGAATACCTGTAGGTATTTTGAAGTTGAGCAACTAGAGAATGTCCACAGATAGAGCCAATGCAACCTTAGACACTTCGAACCGAGGACTTCTTAGCTGCGTCGTGCGAAAGATCAAGAGGGACGATAGAAGATTCCAATTACTGTTGACATGGGAAGGTCAGTGGCCAGGTCTAGAGGCAAGTCTCTGATGATATCTACAGATAGCCCCTAAGGCGAGGTCGCTGGGGTACCTGCGATGGCACACGACGGTGGCCGGTGGCATCGAGTATGGCCACAATCTGGAATGGTGTGACCTCGCTTTGGCTTGAAGAATAAGAGCATCTAACCTTGTGGGGAGTGTTGTTGGCGCCCCCCCCCCCCCCCCAGAAATCAAAGACTGATCTCAGCTCGCTGGCGGCTTCCATGTAACTTCTCGAATCAGTACCTCCTCCGTAGGTGCTCATTAGGTAGACGTTGCATTGGAATCAAGCCGGGCGCCATGACTAGCTTGACATGCGCAAGAGTTGTGTCCAAGCCACCCAATTAATGCTTCTTCTGTGCATTCTTCCACCACTTTTCCGTTTTTAACCGGCACAGCTAAGGCTGTATGGGTTGGCACCTGCCTTACGCGATGCGTACGAGAACCTCCCTTGGCAGTGGCGCCAGGAACCTTGGCATGCTGGTGATCGACATACCCTTGCCTCTATCTGTAGGAACAACCTATCCAGGACCAGAGCACTAATCTATGCTCCTCCTCAATAACAACCTGTGATCACTTCATCTCGGAGGCAAATGCCAGATACGATGTTCCATTCACTTTGTCAAAATTCGATCGTAGATGGCACCACCGATCGCCCTGATCCGAGGTGATGACCGCAATTCATTGCCTCTTCATTGGCAGATGTTCCAGTGGCAACATATCCTAGCGGAGTTGGTCCATGGACAGAATCCCTTAACATCAGCAGCGCAGAATAGCGGACATGCTATAACTACGGAGTATGTGTACCAGGAACGACCTGGAGGCTGCGGAAAGATACATTTATAAGATGTTGGCATTAACACTAAACTGCGGGTCCTTTTTATACGAGGACTTTGGGCAAACATGCTAGACATGGAGACGTAACGGGAGGTGCATCGGTAACAGCCGTATCCACCAATCCCTCATTGGCAAGCTCTCGAGGGAAAGCTTGTTCGCCCACGCTGGATCTCCACAGAGCCAGTGGGTGTGAATGTCCGGCGCGCCACCGATTTCATCCACTGACAAGTTTCTAGACCATACGGAGTAGTGGTCTCTAATGCCGCCAGGGGCTGGGGATACATTGCTGTATCATTTGCTCCTTCCATTGATAACGACCCTGCACGACACCTTCCTGTTTGGTGACACTGCTCCGTTCACGGTTGGATAGTACGGATGGTCGCCCAAGGAAAGCACGATGGGTGACCAGGTTCGTCCAGTTATCCAACTGTGCAACTACGACCCACGATCATGATCCTTGCACATGATATGGAAAGCGCGACCCTCTCTCATGCAGTGCGTGCTTGCCTCCCCCGTCGTTGTTGCCCAGACACGCGCCAGACAATTGATATAACCTGACTCTTCTCCCCTCTTCATCTCGGTTTTCGATCTTCCTCATCCTCTGTGCCAAAGGCCATCAATACTATCGAAGTCGCCCCACACAAGTCCGCAACAATGTCCGCCATTGCTACTAACGAGGGCCCCATCATCGCACAGGCTGCCGTCCCCGCAGCCCCTCTTGCTGGCACCGTCGCTGAAAAGCAGCTTGGTCGAGGCTCAATTGACGGTAACGTTCAAGAGAGACGACCGTCCTTCGATGAAGACGACGAAGTCACCGAAGAGGAACTGCACACACTGCGTCGAGTTTCTGGCAAAATTCCCTGGCCTGCCTTCACCGTTGCCTTTGTCGAACTGTGCGAACGTTTCTCCTACTATGGCACTACTGTCGTCTGTAAGTCACGCTGATCTCTTGATTCTCGCCCTACTTCCAACTAACCCAATGACAGTCGTCAACTTCATCCAACAGCCGCTGCCCGAGGGCTCATCTACTGGAGCTGGCTACTCTGGCCAATCTGGTGCCTTGGGCATGGGTCAAAGAGCCTCCACAGGTCTCGTCACTTTCAACCAGTTCTGGGCTTATGTGATGCCCCTTCTCGGTGCCTATATTGCTGATGCCCACTGGGGTCGTTACAAGACGATCCATGCTGCCATCGCTTGTGCCTTGCTCGGACACGTCATCTTGACCGCTTCTGCCGCTCCAAGTGTCATCAAGCATAGTGGCAGTGCCCTCGCTGCCTTCACAATCGGCCTGGTCATTCTTGGAGTTGGTACTGGTGGCTTCAAGTCCAACATCTCCCCTCTCCTCGCAGAACAACAAACAGACAACAAAAAGAGAATTTCCGTATTGCCCTCAGGAGAGCGAGTCATCGTTGATCCCACTGTCACAACCTCCAGAATCTTCCTCTACTTCTATCTCTGTATCAACGTCGGCTCCCTCGTCGGCCAAATTGGCATGGTCTACGCCGAAAAGTATGTCGGTTTCTGGCTTGCCTATATGCTACCCACAGTCCTCTTCCTTGTCGCCCCAGTCATCCTGGCTATCTGCCGCAAGCACTACGTCCTGACTCCTCCTACTGGATCCGTCTTTGCCAAGTTCTGGCAGCTTTGGGGCTACGCATCCAAGGGCCACTGGCATTTGAACCCAGTTGCCACCTACAGAAGCATGTCCGCTCCCGGCTTCTGGGAACGTGTCAAGCCATCCAATATCCCCGCAGCCGAACGACCAGTTTGGATGACCTTTGATGACGCCTGGGTCGATGAAGTCCGCCGTGGTCTCAAGGCCTGTGCCGTCTTCCTCTATCTTCCCCTCTACTGGCTTGCATATGGTCAGATGACCGGTAACTTGACCTCCCAGGCCGCCGTCATGGAACTTCACGGTGTTCCCAACGATATTATTCAAAACCTGAATCCTATTTCTATCATCATCTTCATCCCCTTCATGGACTTTGTTGTCTACCCAGCCCTTCGCAAGGCCCGCATCAATTTCACACCCATTAAACGAATCTTCGCTGGCTTCATCTTGGCTTGCATGGCCATGATTGCTGCTTGTGTCACTCAAGTCTACATTTATCGACTTTCGCCCTGTGGCCACAATGCTTCCGATCCAGATTGTGTAGGCCCTGCTCCCATCAATGTTTGGGTTCAGACCATTCCATACGTCCTCATCGGTTTCTCCGAGATCTTTGCGTCAATCACCTCTCTGGAGTATGCTTTCACCAAGGCTCCTTATAACATGAGATCTTTCGTCATGGCCATCAATCTGTTGATGAATGCCTTCAGCAGCGCCATTGCAAAAGGTCTTGTTGCCCTGTCTGCCGATCCATTGCTCGTGTGGAATTATGGCGTTGTTGCCGTGCTCTCTGGCCTCGGAGGCATTGCTTTCTGGTTCAATTTCCGCAAACTCGACGCCGAGGAAGACAAACTCAACATGCTTCGAGCTTCTGCGTATACAGGCAAGCGAGGAAGCGTTAGTGGAGCTTCTGTTGAGGACCAGTACCGCGAGAAGTCCGATGAAGCAGCAGCCACCGCCTAGATAAGTCTAGAAAAGAGTCCTTTGTGGCCTGCATTTTCACGACGACAAGTGTGCCAGATTCTCCTTGTCCTCTCGGGAATACTGGAGGTTGAGCATTGATGCAAATAGGAACATTACCCAGTGATCTGGGTGTGACGTATTATGAAGTGAGCTTATATACCCTGCCATCATAGAGCTTTGCTCTGGCGAAATCTAAAAGGCTTAGAAAAAAATCTTACCATTGTCATTGCTATACCAACATCTCCTGGCGCTACCGTGCTCTGTTGAAGTGATTCTCGACAGTAAACTAAAGGTATTCAGATTGAGCCCCAAAGTGTTCCGCAGCCACCATCCCATGCAGTACAACGTAGGTACGCTGTCTTGCCAATCAGGCAGCTATCAAGATAGACGTCTAACAAGGTTATAAATCCTACAAATCCTACGAATCCTTCAATCCTGACGGCATCACTGTGAAGCCGCTATTAGATGCAATCTACCTGTCCTGCATACTAATCTGCACGCCGAATACCTATCTTTATGTTACGGCCCGACATTGGAACTTGGTACCGAGCACGAGAACTATCTCATGCAACGTGAGCATCAACATATCACGGACCATGGAAGGAGGTAGTAGACATCGAGACGACTCGACTGCTACGACATAACCGCAATCGCGTTCCAAGCAAGTCATTCCCATTCTTGGAACATGGACACCAAGGGAAATCGCACTACATGTGTCATCGTCAAGGATTGTCCTGAGGTGCAAAGACTGAGGTGCAAAGACGTACTTATTGATTGAGGCAATTTACCTTGGCAAGAAGCTTCAGTACGAGTACGAGTAAGGTATGTTTCGTATCTACTCTGACTCTGACTCTGTGAACCTGTATCGATTGTCGAAAGGTCTTGTCCCACCAGGAAAGGTAGGTAAGGTAGGTAGGGGGAGGGCGTGGAGAGTGTGTGCCCCTTCTTCTTTCACGACTTCCATCAGTCTTCTAACTCCGTCATGTAATGTCACATCACATCAGGTGGTTCTCCATGGATTCATCCATCCAGCCAGCCAGCCAGCCCTTCATCACCACAACGATCGAAGACAATAAAAGCAGAAGGCAAAAATAGAGAAGAAAAGGGAAGTAGAGCAGTTACAAAGCCATGGCTTTATTCCATCTGCAAAAAACAAAAAAGACGTTGGAGGAATCTTGGTCCACATGGTTGTGCTCGAAGAATAGCTCCCAGTGCCATGCCATTCCCAAAGCCCAGTGAATTCAATTCTTTTCTCATTGAATCAAGAAAGAAACTCCAGCTTGTCCACCTGAGGTTACATGCCATTTGCCTGTTTCATTGCCCATTGCACGTTCCGAAAATGCGTAAACTCATATCAATACTGTACTGTTTTGTGCAGTGTACCACCCCATGCCTGCCTGCTTGTGTGATATCTCTCGATATGAATACCCTGCCTTACCTGCGTGGCCACCGCAGCCCGTCCCATATGGGCAGACTCAAGATATCACATCACGTCGTTTGATTCATTCACTCGCCGGTCTCTAATGATAACCGTTAATTCTCGGTGGGCCATTCGTCCGCTGTGAGTAGGCGGCTGATCCCGCAGCGAAATATGGGTGATTGCAGGCTGCTTTGGCTGAAATACGCTGCGCAGGGTCGTATTCCAGCATGGCATCGAGGAGATCAAGTCCCGCCTGCTCGAGATTGGGCACGATCTTGCTGGTGGGCTCGCGTCGCCATTTGGGGAATGAGGTCTTGAAGTCAGGGAATGAGGTCACTCCTGGCCAGGTGTTTTCGTCTGGAGTTCCCAAGAGTCTGTAGACTTGTCAGTGTACGTGTCCTTGAAAGCCGGGGTAATGTTGGCTTACTTGAAGATTTTGAAGATTTCGTCAATCTCTGAATCTCCTGGGAAGAGCGGCTTCCGTGTGCACATTTCTGCGAAGATGGCGCCAACAGACCACATATCAACACCAGTCGAGTATTGTCGACCACCGAGAAGGATCTCTGGGGCACGATACCATAGTGTGACGACCTGGACACTGTTAGAAAATGTTTGGAGTTATCTCTCCGAAATTTGGAGGGTCGTACCTCGTGAGTGTATGTTCTGAGGGGCACACCGAAGGCTCGAGCCAAGCCAAAATCGGCCAACTTGAGGTTGCCTTCCCTATCGATCAACAAATTCTGTGGCTTGAGATCTCGGTGGAGGACTCGGTGGCTATGGCAGTAGCGAACACCTTCGACCAGCTGTGCCATGAACTTCTTCACCATATCTTTTCCCAGTCCAAGTCGCTGCATATCCAAGGTCGAGCCTTCCGGAAGAGCCTTGCCACGACCACCATCCGCCACCGGCAAAGCCTCCATGTATTTTTTGAGATCAAGATCGAGGAACTCGAACACGAGATAGAGCTTGTGGCCGTCGGCGTGGACAATGTTGAACAGACGAACAATGTTGGGGTCGTTCATTTCTTTAAGGAGGGAGATCTCGCGGATGGCAGTGCTGGGAACACCCTCATCTTCGGCCTCGAGACGGATCTTCTTGAGAGCAACAATTCTCCCACCATTCGTCAGGTCTCTCGCTTTGTAAACAACACCGTAGGTACCTGGGAGCGGAGTGTCAGTGGCCATGTTCACTCCCCGCACGTCAAGGGGGAAGTGTCCTTACCCTCTCCGATCTTCTCAATCTTCTGGTAATTTTCCATGGCAGTTGTGACTCGAGACCTTTAGACTTGCATTGAAGAGTTCAAGTTGTATGAAAAGGCGTCGGTGGGTTCAGGGAGGTCAAGGGGTTCTATGAGTGGGAGGTCTGGTCAGGGGAGGGCCAAAGGTCCAGATTCTATGAAAGGAGTAATCGGGGTCGTGAGAAGTTCGTAAAGTCGCTGGAACTCGACACTACACGGCCAATTGTAGTGATGATCAAAGATTTTGCCGAGAGGCTGTGAAGATTGGTTATTGCTGCAGATTACCTGTTGCTGTTACAAGGTGTTGGTCGTTCAGCCGTTTGTTTGCAGTTGGTGTTTACTTTCGTGTTGGATTTATTGAAAGGGTCGACGCGTCTGATTGGCAGGACCGAGGGGTAACGGATCTTGTGATTTTCCGGTGCCGAAACTCCACCCAATTTTCGATGCTGGGAATATTCCCCCACTACAAGTACATATTTCAACTGCGCCAATTGAGTCACATTCTAGATCAGCCCATTGAACCTCCTACCCATAACGACCGACTTGACGAATTCTCTCCTTCTTAATCGATAGCAATAGACCCAGGCTCAACTACTCCCCTCAAGTTTACCTGTTTTACGGGCGCGCGCCTTACCATATCAAGTTCGATTCACGCTAGATTGGCCGCTACCCCAGCATCATGGCTCAACGAGATCTGAAGCCGGAAGAGAAACTAGCGTTGATCAAGGATCAATTGCAAGAGGTCCTCCATGGAGACATCCTTGAGCAAGTTATCCTCAAAGAACAAAGGCCGCTGGTTATCTACTGGGGCACAGCTACGACGGGGAGACCGCACTGCGGCTATTTCGTTCCCATGATGAAGATTGCACACTTTTTAAGAGCCGGATGTCGAGTTAAGATTCTTCTCGCAGATATCCACGGTTTCCTGGATAACCTTAAGGCTCCTATCGAGCTCGTCAAGTTCCGCGCAGAATACTACAAATTCATCATTCAGGCCCTCCTCAAGACAGTGGGTGTCAGTCTTGAGAAGCTGGAGTTTGTCCTGGGGTCTTCCTACCAGCTCAGTGCCGAATACACAATGGACTTGTTCAGGCTTAGCAGTGTTGTCACAGAGCATGATGCAAAGAAGGCTGGTGCAGAGGTTGTCAAACAAGTTGACAACGCATTTCTGTCTGGTCTTTTGTACCCTCTCATGCAGGCTCTGGACGAACAGCATCTCGGAGTCGATGCCCAGTTCGGTGGTGTTGATCAACGCAAGATCTTTGCACTCGCGCAAGAAACCCTGCCCAAGGTTGGTTATAAAGAAAGAGCACATCTCATGAACCCCATGGTCCCAGGGCTTGCTGGAGGTAAAATGTCGGCGTCGGACCCCGATTCCAAAATTGATATCCTCGATACTGCCGAAGCTGTGAGGAAGAAGTTGCGCAAAGCCTATGCTGCGGCTGGGGAGACTGAAGGAAACGGCATCATCTCATTCGTTGAATATGTCTTGCTCCCTATCAGCAGCCTGAGAGACCCTGAAGGCAAAGGTACCTTTACTTGCAACAGAAGAGAAGGAGAAGGAGAGCCCCTGGTTTACCATGATATCGAGACGTTGAAGGCCGACTACCGCAGCGACAAGCTGACACCTCAATTGCTGAAGTCAGGAGCATCCGATGCTTTGGTGGCTCTTTTGGCACCAATTCAAGAAGAGTTTCAAGCATCACAAGAGTGGCAAGATATCGAAAAGAAGGCGTACCCGCCAGCTGAGCCGGCCAAGAAGAAGAAGCAACCCAAAGACAAAGGCACAAGACATCCTGGCGCGGGAAACCTCAAGGCCAAGGCTGATGGGTCAGTTCAGGGACCAGGAAAAGAGGAAGCTGAAGTCGCCAAGTCCGCAGAGGAAGCCATTTCCAAGCTCAACATTGAACAACAAGGGTCGTGATGTTTTCATCTTGCTCATCTTGCTCACCTGAGCTGCCAGGTCGAGGCTGACAAGTTGGGACTTGACTCAACGTCAACGCCAGCCATTCCTTGGACCGAACGATGGAGCGCTCACTGGCTTGTAGAAGACCAAGTTAAGAGCTCGATACATGGTCTGACCACGGCGAGATTTGTCCTCAATGACACATTATCACTGTGGGCTCTCAAATGTCAGAAGACACATGGCTTCAAAAGGAGTCCAGGACAGGTGATGCGAACGCTAGTTTGTCCTAATTGACACCAAGTGGATCATGGCGCAAGGCAAACATGAGCATAGAGGCAACATCAAGTGTGTTCTGCTTTCGGACTCAAGCTTGTTCTCCGGGGAAACCCCAAATACTGGACCTTCAAGCAACTATAGCATTGTAGACTAGGGCACGGGCATTTATCAGAATTGTCCGACCTTCTAGAATAGATGTGACCAAGAAGAACTCAGCCGAGGCTCCGAAATGGAAGCAAGCTGGCTAGTTTCATTGTCGATTGGAAAGGTGTCAATACCCAATGAGGCAATTCAAGAGACATGCTGTTCACTGCATGTGTGTTTGTGTGTGTGTGTGTGTGTGTGTGTGTGCGTAAGCGAAGTGTAATCGGCGCAATCCTCGGCCTTACTCTTAATCCTTCCGGCCTCTGCAGGGGTGGCAAGAGTGGATGTGGGCTGGGCCGACGGAGGCTTGGGGTTTGTGGACTCTGTGGAGCAGGTCCTATTTCGGACATTTCTGAAGTTCATGATCCAAGGCATAGTTGTGTGGACAATAATGCTCAACAGTCGAGGCTTTTACCCACTCTAGAACTCTTGTTTAGTCGGACTAAACTAATAGCCCTTGAAGGCTGGGGGCTAATTCAAAGGAGCTCCCGGCGTGAAGGCCAGATGCAGCAGTTGTCATCATACGGTAGTCAGGAATGCCACTGACGATTTTGTTCTCTTCTTGGGCAGGTAGACCCGAAATCTCTCGCTTACATATGTGGGTTTCCACCAATCTAATGTATGCCAGAAGGAGGGATGACGCAGTGACCTGTGGTATACTGTACTGTGCTGGTTGTCGTACGGCACAAGATGATGATCTTCGAGACGGTACTGAATGAACATTGAACAGTTGGGCACAACCGACTACTCCTTTAGACCATCGCGGCTGCATGAAGATCCCCCGCAAAGAAGGGAAGGAGTGCCACTTCTCAGCGGGGGATTTTGCAACGTTCTTGCCTCTCCAATGCAAATCCAATTAAACCGTGGAATCATGGATTGGTAAGGAGTCCTGATCTAATGCACACCAGATCGGGGAGGCCGCGAATTTTAACCATGCTTGAACGAGCGATCCATCATAAACGACTTGAGATCCTTGATGTCATACTTGATGCGACAATGGGTTTCATGCTTTGCAATCGATGGCTTAAACGCTACTGCAAGACTTGGTACCAACTCGGTTCAACGTGACCCAAGCCATTGAGGAAGCTGGGGAGCAAAGCCGCTTAAGCGGCATCTTTACTCACGATCTCGCCGATCCGTCTTACGGTCTTGCCATGTGTCAAAGACTTGGAGCGCATTCAATGCCCTACTCTGCTGCCCTAGTGATCGTTTACATTCGCATCGACATGATACATAACTGTTGATTCTGGCTTGAAAATGAAAACGAGAAGAGGATTTTGTCGTCCAAGCAATGTCTTGAGACATCAAGCCAAGGTGATTCCAAGAGTTCTCTTGATCGGTTCAAGACGACCCAAGAAATGAATCCAAGATGCGGCAAACTCTTGGTGGCGGCACTTGATGAGTAGGGTCCCCGCCTAAAAGCAACCAGATGGCCGAGGGGCCTATAGTGGGGGCCGAGTATGAGTCCTTTGAGTAAATTGCAAGCGGAAAATTGGCGACGTAGAGCCTATGATCTGTACTTAGGCTACTACTATACGGACTGCTAGCGAGAGGACTCCATCTGCAGCTGCAGTGGCAGGCTGCGGCTGCACTAACTACTTGGTCCCTCCTCTCAACATCCGGAGATGCTGCCCTGTCAATTTCGCCGTTTCGTGGTATGATTTAGGTCATGCGTTTCCAAGCTTCGAGTCGAGGAATTATTAGAGAGGTGAATCACGCATGTCACGCACGGCACCACCAGACAACACTGTTTCATCGAGTCAAGGCATTGAGTCTTGTTGGTAAATGTCGTCAGGACATACTGTTTAATGTCTCGGTCGAGCGTAATCGTCATCGTCTGGCTCGTTGTGATGATCACCTGGGCGACCCTGGATCACCAGACGCTCAATACGTTCAATGCAAGACCCCGGCTACCTGGCTAACCAGAGGAGAGTGCAAAATGCAGCTGCTGCATCTGTCGGTGCAGCTTTGACCATGAAACCTTGAATTGCTCGAGTCATCTGAGCAATTGAAGCCGTATTCGTTATGATTTGCGCGGAAGCCCGTTGCTAGCGATTCCACGCCAGCACAAGCATGGTTGGTGGATCCGATCGTAGACTCGGCGAAAGCCAGGGTGCGTGCGTGTGCGGGGTCGATTCTCCTTTATGGGGCATCAGACAGGGGCCTCTCGGGCCTTCTCTACGGAGTAGGGGACTCTCTTCATTATTAGACAAGGGTAGCTCGGGGATCCACAAAGGACGCCCACGACGCCTGGAGTCTAGAGCATTTTCGCCCATAATTGAACTCAATGACGCCAATAACTTCGTTGGAGCTTGGGCGAGCTTGACGCCAGTTGGTGGAAGGATGACAGCGACAGTCCCCCTCCCGTCGCTCCTTCTCCAATCTGGATCACGCGTGCAATGTCCTGAGCGGCAAATCGCTGAAACTTTGGATCAAGCGAGGCTCTGAGATTGAATCCATCTCAAGATCAGCTCCACCACGCTCGCTGATTTTTTCACTGTCCAGCTCCCTCGGGCCTATCACAATGCTCGCCTTCCACGACAGCCCTCGTCTTTTTTTGCTTCATCTTGCTTGCTCGCGCTTGTGCAAGGCTTCTCTCGTCCAGGTTCCCCAAGCACCCACCGCACCCACCGCATCGCACCTTGTCAATTCACCGTTCGGCCTGCATGCCACACCTGACATGGCACCCTGCTCTCCTCCTTGCGTAACCTTACTTCCCCGCTAAGTCGCTTGGCCCATGAGACAGTTTGACCGAGCTTGACTCCGATCCCTCGAATGCCATGTCTGGAGTTTGTCTAGAGGTTGGTTCGTGTGGATTCTCTTCTCGCTGGCGCGACCTAGCTGATGAGGACAAACTTTTGTTCCATTTCCCATAGGCCCGACTCCTCCGTGGCTCTACCAAGCTTGTCCCAGCCTGCGACTCCATTTACATTTACACCACAACAAGCACATCGTCATTTGAGTTTGTCAGGTCGAGGGGTTGTGTGATCGCCATGCGGGCCTCCTCATAACATGTATATTTACCTGGGGCCCCTTACTCTACGGTAATTGAAATTCTTCTCATCCACAGCCCTGGATCAGTTTTGACTTGCAGTTTCTTTAAGTCCTGGACCGCCTCGTCCCTTTTCGTAAGGATATCGCCATTCTTACATCGTCCCCCATCGAGACTCCACCATGAGCTTCAACCATGACGAAGAGCATGGCGCCGGCCACACCGGCCGCCATATGAGCGTGTCCAACTATGCCGGCAACTTGGGTGCTCCAACCTACGACACGTCCCGCAGAAGATCATCCATTGTACCCGCTGCTGCCGTCGGGGCCACCACCGACGAGGTCATCTTCAACCAGAAGGATGAGACCCTTCGCAAGATGTCCGTCGCCGTTCCCAACTTGGCCGAGCTCTCTGCCGATGCCAAAGCTGCCGCCGATCTGGAGCACTCTTTGGGCTTCCGTGAGGGCTGCAAACTCTACCCCAAGGCCATCATGTTCTCCTTTTGCCTGTCGCTAGCCGTTATCATGGAGGGTTATGACACCTATCTCCTGGGAAATTTCTTTGGAAACCAATCTTTCGCTCGCAAGTTCGGTGGGCCTGGTCCTATCAAAGACGGCGTGCAGACATATGAAGTTTCTGCGAGCTGGCAGAGCGCCCTCGGTAACGGTAGCGCTGCTGCCCAGATCATTGGTCTCTTCCTCAACGGAATCATCTCTGAGAGAATCGGCTACCGCTGGACCATGATAGGTGCTCTTTTCTTCATTTGTGGCACTATCTTCATCACCTTCTTTGCCGTCAACGTCCAAATGTTACTGGCTGGTTATGTCCTTTCGGGCCTGCCATGGGGCGTTTTCCAGACACTCACCACAACATATGCCGCCGAAGTGACCCCCGTACCTCTCCGGCCTTACCTCACCACCTACGTCAACCTGTGTTGGGTCATCGGCCAGCTAATCGCCGCTGGTATCCTCAAAGCCTTTGTCAACGTTAGTGATGAATGGGCTTACCGCATTCCTTATGCCATTCAATGGGTCTGGCCTCTTCCCATTGCGCTCACTGCCTTCCTCGCCCCCGAATCACCTTGGTGGTTGGTGCGGCACGGCAAGCTCGACCAGGCACGCGCCGCTTTGCTCAAGCTCACTTCTAAGAAAAATGTCAACTTCAATGTTGAGGACACTCTGGCCATGATGATCCACACCAACGAGCTTGAAATTCAACAGACGGCCGGTACCTCTTACCTCGACTGCTTCAAGGGTGTCGACCTCCGTCGAACCGAGGTCACTTGCGTCACCTGGCTCATTCAGCAGACTTCTGGCTCGCCCATGATCGGATGGGGTACTTACTTTATGATTCAAGCTGGCTTGAGCGATGCCAATGCTTACTCTCTCGGTGTTGGCCAGTCTGCCATGGGCTTCTGCGGCACCGTTCTCTCTTGGTTCCTGATGCCTCACTTTGGCCGTCGAACTCTGTACATTGCGGGACAGATAGTCATGTTTGTCATTCTCATGATCATCGGCGGACTCGGAGTGCCTGGCTTGTCCACCAGTATTGGTTGGGCATCTGGTGCCTTGATTTTGATTCTCACTTTCGTCTATGATTTCACCGTCGGACCCGTCTGCTATTCTTTGGTGGCAGAGCTTCCTTCCACTCGTCTTCGAATCAAGACCGTCGTTTTGTCTCGAAATGTATACAACATCATGGGCATTGTCATTGGAACTCTCCAACCCCGCATGATGAACCCTACTGCTTGGAATTGGCGCGGCAAGACTTGCTTCTTCTGGGGAGGTCTTAATTTGCTTGGTCTGATCTGGACCTATTTCCGCCTTCCAGAGCCAAAGGTACGTTGGACAAGAATATGCATGATTAACCAGCCATCTGACTGTTTTGACAGGGTCTTACTTACGCTGAATTGGATGTCTTGTTCGAGAACAAGGTCTCTGCTCGCAAGTTCAAGAGTGTCAAGGTTGATCCCTACCGCTCTGACAACTTGGTTATTGTGCCAGATGATGAGGGAAGCTCTCACGATGCCACGGAGAAGAAGGGGTTCTGATCGTCTGATTCCAAGCCAAGAGATACCATGTGATGAGTCCTGGTGGCTCGAGATTATGTCGATACCATCTGTCAATGGCCAGATAATGTGTTCTTTGTCTCTCATACTTGTGTACTCAATTCTCGCACGCGATACTTCTGACAGCAACATATGTAAATCATATCACGAATCTTCGATTCGCAAAGTCTGCGTAGGTGTGAGGACCGATTAATATTGTCCATTTGCAAAAGGTATCAAGTACGCTCTCCCGTCTAGATATGCTAGTAGCTGGTATTCTGGATCCTACCCGTGTTTCCTCGTCTACCCCAGCCCCGGAAGTCCTATACTGGGGGTTCCGATGCTAACGGATCTCCTTCCATTCTGGTTCCAGCGTTATCTGCATCCTTGGCGCCATCGCAAAAAGTCGATTCGTGCCCAGGTGCATGGTACACGGTTCGACGCCAGGCTGAAAATGGAGTAGAGTTCTGTTCATTCGTGTCTGGCAAACCCACAACTTGCATCAAGATGCATCTCGCGAGAATCAAAGCTCAGCAATGAGCAGAGCTAAACAATAGAGACCCAGAAAGTCTCATGATGCGATCTCTTCCACCGCTTCCTGCATATCCGAATCCGCACCACCCGACGACGATGCTGTACTCCAGGCCTGCTCGTCCTTTTCATTCTGTAATTGCTTCGAGATTTTAGACCCCGGCGTACCCTGAAAGAAATCCGTTGTGCGAAGCCCTCTTATATCCCCTGCTCTCATCTGGTCCATCCGCTGACCATCCTGTCTCTGTCGCGCAATCATCTCACGCACTGGAATCATTGCCGCATCTCGACATGCCTCTTTGATGTCACTTCCAGACATGCCTGCCATGACTCGAGAGAGATACTCCAGATCGAGATCGGCCGGGTCTAATTTTGTGTCCTTTAGCATAAGCCGTAGAATCTTGAGTCGTTGTGAGGTGCCCGGTAAGGAGACGGGAAATTTCTTGGGCATTCTCCGAAGAATAGCATCGTCAATGTCTTGTATTCGGTTGGTTGCGCCAAGGATGAGGATTCGCTGAGGTCGGCCGGATGAGTCTGAGGAGCCCAGTCCATCCCAATGGGTCATGAATTCGGCCTTCACCATGCCTGTTGCCTCGTGCTCGCCGCTACGACGGGTTCCTAACACGGCGTCGATCTCGTCGATGAAGACGATAGCAGGTTCTAACTTCCTTGCTAGGGTGAAGACTGCGTTGACGAGCTTGTTGGAATCGCCGAACCATTTCTCTGTCAAGGTGGAAATATGTAAATTGATGAAACAGGCGCCACTCTCGTGAGCGAGGGCTTTCGCCAGCATGGTCTTACCACATCCCGGCTGGCCATATAATAAGACTCCTGAGGGTGCAGAGAGGAGGGAAGATGATGTAGAGTAGAGATCCGGCATGGTGAGTGGGTAGATAACAGATTCCCGCAGTTCCTCTATGATATCGGACATTCCTCCAATATCGTCAAACGACACCGAAATATCTTCTGGAAACACCAGATCTTGTAGGATAGTCTGTTCATATTGTGATAGATGGAGATCTTCTCTAGCAGGACGACTCGACGCGGAGGCGGCGCTTGGATCTTTACGAGGTTCCTCTAGTCGGCGCAGAATGGCTGCGGTGGAGATTCGGGCATGTTCTTTCGTATCCGCTTCAGGGTCGATGTTCATTTGTTTCAGGATATATCGAAACATCAGCCACCCGCCGATTGCCTAGAATTCTCGGATGAGTTCCCATCACCAAGCAGTAGTGGTCCGTTCGGGTCTTGCTCACCAGAGGGGCCGCCACGGCGAGCTCTTCAAGGACACGATGCCACCAAACATGTCCTCGGTCGGGGGCCATGCCTGCGAAGAGCGAGCGCTGAAGTGAGCCCATATAAACTGACAACGAAGTGAGGTTGGTGTGGTCTATGAGAATGAGAGGGCGAGATGGAGAAAAGGGCGATGATGATCATGTTCTGTGGCGTAATTAACAAGCACCGCCACGTGTCACAACGCCACATTGGGGTACCGAGAATTACGCTAGTCCCCATTAGGTTGTCTGTTTTGGTTCCATCTCTTGAGTGCATCTTATTCACTTTCTGCACTCAAGATTCTTATTACAGTTACTGGACAAACCCCTCTACCCTGATATATTTCACTCTGTTCGCGTCCGTCGCAACCATGAAAGGCATCGCAGATCTCCTCGACTCCGACATGGAGGAGTCGACCCACTTTATCGACGAGAACTCCATCATATCTTCCGCCTCAGACGCGACAAACACAAGCAGCTCACAAGTTAAGCGCCTGAAGAAGAGAAAACGCGTGACAATGCCGACGAAACCAAGATCCAAGGTGCAGAAAACCACCACGGCGCGACCACGGAAAGCGGCTCCCAAGCAGACTGCAGCGAAGCGCATGGCCCTAGAAGAGCAAGTCAATCATCGCGATGTTGAGCAACAAGACGAGGAGCAAGTCGCAGAGGAAGTGAGTGACGCTGCTCCAGTCAAACCTAAGAAGACAAGTCGAGCTCCTGCGAAACCGAGGGCAAATAAAAAGGCAGCGGCGGCGGCCGCGGCCGCGAAAGAGCAAGACGATGAGGAGATGGAAGTCGAACAAACCCCAATGGTCGCTCGCTCTGCTCATGCTGTAAGCAAAACCAAATGCCAAGGCCCGAAAGCCACATCAAAGAAAACAGTATCAGCAAAGCCGACCGGCCAACAAGAGCCACGGGTTATCGCAGAAAGTCAGGACAAGGCTGAGCAGAGCGAGGAGGTGGAAACTGAACACGTTGAAGTCCGAGTAGCTCCTCAACCAAAACAACCTGTTCGAGACGCCTCAAAAGTCAGACAAGAGCCGGCGTACCGAAGACGTGCGGGCAGCGCATCAGACACCGAACGTGGAGACCCGAACCTCCGACGCAAGCTGGGCGACATTACCAGAAGGTTCGAAAACGTTGACATGAAATATCGCAATCTCAAAGAAGTTGGGATCAACGAAGCCAACGCGAACATGGAGAAGCTTCGACGACAGTGCGATGCCACTGTGCAGGCATCCAACGAATTGATCGCGTCGTTGAAGAAGGAACTGGCCGCTCAGGCACCTCAAGTTCAGGAGGCACAGAAGCTGAAGAAGCAAATGCAGAACCAGGACAACGAGGTCAACAAACTCCGTGAGACCGCCACGGAGCTGGGCAAGTCTCTGCATGTGGCCCAGAACGAGATCAAGGCACTGCAAGCGAAACTGGTAGCTGCAAGAGCAACTCCAGTGGAGCAACCCAAAGTTCCAGCCAGTGTTAAGAAATCCGGCGCTCAGAAGCCCCTGATGATCACCAATGCCGAAGCTGCACACGCTGCCCAAATGGCCCAACTAAAGGAAGATCTCTACAGTGATCTTACCGGTCTAATTATCCGGGGTGTACAGAGGACAAAAGATGGCGATAGTTACGATTGTCTGCAGACCGGCAGAAACGGCAGTAAGTGCATTCAAGCTGTGACTTCAACAAGGAGACTGACCATTCCACAGCACTACACTTTAAGTTGTATATGGACCACGAAGATGCGAAGTCAACAAGCTTTGAAGAGACCGAGTTCTTGTACACACCAATGCTTGATGCCAACCGAGATCGCGAGATGATTGAGCTGATGCCCAGCTACTTGACCGAAGACATTACATTTGCTCGCCAGAACGCGGCCAAGTTCTATGGACGAGTGGTCGATACGCTGACCAAGCGTCGAGCTGAAGAATGAGAGATGATGACGGGACAAGGTGACTTGGTTGATGAAGTTATGGATTGGCCACAGGCGTTTAAGTGAAGACAGACACAGCTAATCAGGGATTGCATGTTCCGCATGAGGGACACAGATACACCTGTCGCCAGTCTGCATATCTTTGGATGGGATACTCCGTCAAATATTTGTTTTTGATCAAGTAGACTGTACATGATATGGTCCTGAATGCATGATTTGGAAAAGGGATATGATGTCTTAATCACGTGATTAGGTCACACGTGACTCTCTGGGGAAGAGTTGTCGTCGTCGCTCCTGCCGCAACAGACAGTATGGGTGGAACATCTTCTGCGTATTCCAGAATTTCATGAGGTCATTGACCAACCTCAAGATTGTTCTGATAACCTTACAACTCTAGCAGAGTGCATATCAGCCCGCCATACGACGATTCTTTCTCATCCGTCTCGAGGTGTGTCACTTATCACCGCCCGGGCCCACTTGTCCCTCCTTGCTGACAGTATCCTCGTTAGCAAATCTACCCCTCACTTGACACTTCAACGCATGCATGCTGATGCCTTGTCCTCAAACATCCATCTCTGGTCTAGTTATGTAGCCAGATTGGGTCTTTTCCACTGGTCACTCAAGACGCTTCACCGTCGACAACGCAGACCCACAGAAGCAACGTCTGAGGAAGCTTGGGATTCGAGTGACACAAGCGTGATAGTGGTTTCAATCCCCGTCCTCATCCACGCCGCCCTCTAGGTGCAACGAGCCGCCACCCATACACAAGTCATTATTCACCAAATATCAAGAGAAGGCATTGACATATTGCCCGGGCCAGGACGATCAGAGTGACGAAACGCTCAACCATCCCACGAGAGTCCTGCCCCTATCATCGAACTGCTCGATATGTCTATCCGAACCATTCACCGGAGTCAGCTGGCTTCTCGATCCTCTAAAATCCCTCTATCCCTGAAGCCAACTATCGATAGAGCAAGTCATGGCCATACCCTTCAGCTCCGCATGCTGTGGTGGTGTCACCACACTCGTGACTGGCAGGCCAACCATGATGAATACTTGGCCGAAGGCATAAAAAGACACGAGAAGATCATGAGGCACAAATACTCAAAAGCATTGCGGAGAAGAGCTCTATGGGAGAATGACGAGGTCCCTCGGTGGTCATGGCGTGTCACCAAATACCTCGCAAGTAAGCACCAGGCCAAGCAATCTCTATCGACTTCACAGCAGGACAGAAATCCACCCAGCCAACATCAGGAACCTGCACCTGCACCTGCAAGCAAAGGGGAGAATGAGTGGTTTAAGCCAAAAGACTTCGACTCTTTCAAAGCATACTTCGATCGACAAGTCGCCAGGCATCCATATGGTGCTCTCTTTGGTAGGAAACTGCATAGTCCTCCGTCAACCAACAACTCTTCTTGGACTTCCTTCTCTTGGATTTTGACTCCAGGCCGTGGGGATCAACAAAGTCCAGAATCCGGACTACGAGATAATACACAACCGTCAGCTTCCAGGCCTATTCAGCCGAGCACTTCGTCTTCGTCATCTACTGCACCGGACAAGCGTCCCATTCCTGCTACGACAGTTTCAGATTCGCTAGACGACTACGAGTATGATCCTATTACCATGAGGAAAGTACCCAAGCTGAAGGCAACTCCCGATACTGCCTCATCAAAGCCTTTTCTAGAATCTTTGTTCTCCGAGCATGGAGTCGATGTTCCGGTCAAGACTTATAAGCCCCATAAGGTATTTGGATATGGATCTAATGAGAAACCGGCGCCTCCTGCGGGCGATGCTGTCCATACTTCTCCTGAACGATGCTTCGGAAGCTCTCGAAAGTCTGAACTGGAGGATCTCATGTCAAGGGCAAAGGGCAATAATATCGATACCACAGCCCTATACACAGAAGCTCTCCCTGAAAGCCAAACTCAAGTCAAGTCTGACACTACAACAGAACCAAGTAAACATTCTAGAGCTTCTCCAGAACCAGACAGTGATGCTCCGTTATTCTCTGGAACAACCTACCAGGACAGAGCTCGACTCGATCCGGACTCCCAGCCAATGTCCAGCTGGCTTATCAACGAAGGGTTCGAGTCTGAAGATACATCCTCACCAGAGGCTTCCTCGTCTGAAAATGGTCCGAAGAGCAAGCTGACACCGGCACTTGATCGCATTCAGTCTGAATTGGCACAAAGTACGGATAAGGAACCAGCCAGACTCCAACCCTCACTTGACCGATATGCTTCCTCATCGGCCAAAAGGTCTACTGCTAGCGAGGCAGATGCGCGCCAGTATCAAACCCTCAAAATTGACTCTGAAAATCTAGAAGAACAAGACATTGATCTCCTCCGTGCGAGTGATGTTCGAGCAGCCACAAAATCAGCACGACTCACCAAGCAAGACATCGACCAGAGCAAACAGTCTACCAGGGTCAAGCTGGAAGCAAGTTTTAAGGACCAGCAGGCTGAGTCGGAGGCCATTGCGGCACAGGTTCCACGCCCTGCTGGTAAGCTGTCCCAAGGATTGAACAATGCGTGGAATCACATCCGCCAGTATCCTAGCGGTATAGTCGCCAAAACTATCAACTCCATCCCAGCCTTGAAGGAGAATTTCCAAAAATCTGAGCGCGTCAGTCAAGCTTCAGATCTCAATGAAAAGTTGGTCTTCAATCAGGACGCCCTCAACAGAACTCCTTCTATCTATAAACCAGTAAGACCGTCCAACTTGCGCACTTTTACGCCGAGCAAAGAGTATGAAAAGGCGACTCTTGAGAGTTCCAGCAGAACTGAGTCACTCAAAGCTGCCGCGCAAAAGGCTAAACAGGAGGCTGAAGACACCAATAAACAGCTCCTAAAATTGGCGGCAGACATCAAAGCTGTTTATGAAGCCGAGTACGGTCCCATCACGTCCAGACATCGACAAGTCTCTTCTCCGGCCTCTATATCGCCCAAGGTATCCAACAATTCTGGCATTGATAAGACGACAGAATCCAAGACTTCACATCCACTGTCGACTGCAAGTGTGAAGCCTGGAGTTGTTACAAACTCAATCATCGACAAACATATCAACGATTTCGAACCAAGATATGCAACGCTTGTTGACGAGATGAAGAAGAGCAAAGCCGATATTCAGGCTTTGGAGGGACAGATCACATCGATAAAGTCACAAAAGTCCACCATTGAGCGACCCACTGAAGTCCCCCCTCCTATTTTCACTGCACCAGGATCTTCAGTGTGGAATGATGAACAGCCCCCGCCAATTGAGACTCTTCGAACACTCTCCTTCACATCCCCTTTCGTGGTACTCAAGTATGACGCCCAGACCGCTCAGGTCGTGGCAACAGAAACAAGAAGCGGCTCGAAATTCGACGGGGTTGCTCCTATTGACCCTATCAAGGCGCTAGCAAGACTTGACAACGCATCTAGCTATTTGCCACACTTCAGCAATCTGGCTAGGTCTGGGTACGAGCTTTGCCATGGCGGAAGCAAGGTACTCGTATTTCGAAAGAAAGCGACCAAACCTTCGCCATCTGCAAGCAAGACCACTGCTACTGTGACAAATTCCCCTGCCTTACAGACTCCTCTATCAGACCGATCCTCTCAGGTCGGACCATCTCAAGCAAAGGTGGCCGCCACAGTACTGGACGAGATTCCCACAGAAGTTGTTCCACCGCCTGGCCCAGCAGCACCAACCGCTCCATCAGCATCAAAATATAATAATGTGGTGAACTCTCCACAGGTCCGACGGCAAGAGGACGTGTTTTCCGGGACCATGCGATCACCACGAGACGGGTCCTCTAGGTTCAACCCACCATCTTCGAGCAGTCGACAAACACAGGAGGATCCCGAGCCAGAGACGGACCGAGATCCTGCCGTGTCTACGCAAAATACTTCTAGCTTTGCTTTCAGGGCCAGGAGAGCTTTGCGGACGCTCATTATTTGGACGTCAGCGCTCAGTATTGGAGCGTACGTGGTTGGGGTGGCTGCTGAAGGCATTGGCGCACAAAGCCAGGCTCAAATGGGAGTCCATGACAGTAATGCGCTAGGTCCGAGGAAGAGAGTCGTTCTACCAGCCCAGCAAGCTGAGAGACAGCGACCTGGCATCTTCAGCACCGAAAGCTCAAGATGATCGAGGAGAACTGACGACCATGCCTGAACCTTGGACACAGCCAACGAGGGGAGAAGGGAGGACAAGGAAGAGTGAAAATCGAAGCTTGGAAAAGTTGACGATTTGCTGAATTTGGATGACGCAGGCTGGAGTGATTGGAAAGAATGAACGAATGAATTAATGCGCGAAATAGTCCCCTCCTGCTTGATTTCTTTCTTGTTGTTACCTATGCCAGCCACTCCTGTTATATATGATTTGGCCATGGAGTTAGGAAGAGAATCTGTATCAATGAACCAATTCTGCATTTTCGTATACACCTATGATGTATTGTATAAAACCTGCGGTTGCACTCGACTATCTGATGCGCAAATGGCGATCTGAGGAAGTAGATTCCTCGCTTCATTGGTCTCCGCGATCGTCGGCTGCCATTCTGGCCACTCGTTGTACCATAAAGACCCCCCAGAATGGTTCCTTATGGTATAGCTTGAACAGAGACGCAACTTGCTCACTGGCATGTCGACTATTCATTGTCCTGGTTCCTGTCTTAAGATGCCCAAGGTACCTCGTAAAACCACCTCAATCACCTCATTGCTGAACAGGCGTACTAAAAATCATCCACCTTTCTTCGCAACCCAGTGACTACACCGATAACGGTTCTGTAGCAGGCTGTTCGGGTCTTGCATGTACCCGAATGACTCGTTGGACCCTGGAGCATGGTCGATGATTTCGTGTCGTTGGATCTCGAAGCCCAGTTTGGTGACCAGGTGAAGAACTTCATCGTCGCTGAGTTCGAATGATCCGGGGTTTCCTATTCCTTTATCTTGAGCCTGCGATTGAAATGATGATGAGTCGGGAGTGTGGTGTTGGTGCTGTGTGGAATGAGAGTGAGGATGAGTGTGTGGATGTTCTGCAGGGTCTGGGTCCTGCTTGTCGTCGTCTTTGTCGTCGTCGTCTTTTCCATGGACACGGCTATCGAAGTGCCACAGCAGCGGACCGATGTTGATCCAGTAGCCACCTTTCTTCAGACAATTCCACACCGTCTCAATGTAGCGAATAAGGTTCGGAGCCGTGTCGATGAAGAAAACACTGACGACAGCATCGAAGGTCTCCCTAGATTCGACGTTGGAGTATGATAGTACGAAATCACCTGCTGTCATGTTCATTTCTCCAGGATTAGAGCATTGAGACATTGCAGTTGCCGGATGAACATCAGGGATTGTGACACGTTTGAGTTGGTTGGATCGAGAGATGACATTGGTGAAGTTGGTGGCAAAGGGATAGATTGGAAACTGGTGTGACCGCTGCGTGCAATTGAGGATAAAATTGCTGGCGATTAGTTGATGGTATGAGATTTCATTGCCGGTTGTACAGTATCCTTTCATACACAGTTCAAATAGGATGCGACCTAGACCAGCACCAGGAAGGAGAATCGAAGGCCCTGCAGAATTCCCCTTTCTTGGTTCCTGAGAGGCGAGATATGCTTCAAGGTCGGACAGGACAATTCTCAACAGAGGCTCCACCTCTGACTTGAAACCTTCTGTAGACCAGTCACGATAGAACTGCCGGATTGTAGAGTATGCCTTGGCTATGTCACCCGGTTTGGCGGAACCTTTCCAATCCAACGCAGAATTCTTGGGCGGGTTCTGGTTCAGACCGAAAGAACTTAATCCCTGCAGCAGAATCTCATCGGCGAGATCAGCGTTGTCATCGATGGCATCGTCAACGGCAGACAAAGTATCAAGAATGGAAAAGGGAGGCTCAGCCAACATCTTCCATTCTGAGGAAGGCAGGGCATATAGGTTCTGACGCTTTCGATGGGTCGTGTTGAAGTGCTCATGTTTTCGATACTGGCTGGCCTCGAGTCAGTGCTGCCAGACTGAGGAATCGTCTCAGTCAATATGAGAACGAACATTGATTCGACCATAACAGGGTGAAAGGAGAATGAGAGCATGAATCACGTGCTCTGACAGCACAGACTAAAAGACCTGGATTCTGGCAATGGCGGCAGCCAAATTGACTTACTAGAAAGACTCCAGAGTGGCAAAAATTGCACGACGTTCAAGATGATCACGAGGAAGACTCTCCTCTCCGAATAATGGGTTCAACTCATCTTCATTGTCTGGTTCAGTCATTGGGTCTTCCCAGAGCTGACAGGAACTCGTAAGGCTCAGAATCTGAAGATTTCCAAGGACAGCGATACCAAAGGCTGTCACGGCGATCTCGGTTAGGGCTCCTAAAGGGGCTCACCGGTGTTTTGTGTGGGTTAAGCTGGATTAGATACAGTGTCGTGTGAGAAGTTGATGTTATGCATGATGTTAATATTGAGAAGCCGCATGATAGGGATCACGTGGGTACCACAGCCCTTGGCTCTGGGTGAAGGGAAGGCACCACTGATAGGTATCTCGCACCTGCCTAGAGACCTTTCGTTAAAGGTGCCTGCCGTGCCCACTGTACCCTGCGTTCCTGCCTAAAGGGCTAAATGCCAAGGGTATTACCAACCCTCAAGGCAGGTGCCCGCATTGCCTCAGGAAGTATTTTTCACATCCATCCCACACATTCTTATCACCACTTTCAAGCCGCCCCCAAACCGCCCACCATCAAGACTGCTATACTTCTACTTACTGACTCACTCCCCGTCCCGGCGCTCAGACCTCATTTTGTTCCCCCTCGCTCTCCACTCTTCCTATCTCGAGCCCACAAGATCCGCGTCCCCTGGTTCAATACACCTCACAGACCAGACACCATTCCATCCAATTCACTTCCCTACCTGAGAATCACTCAAGTGACTTGCTGCACACATGGAGCCCTCATTCACCCCAAAAGAACTCTCTTTTCCTGTACCAAGACACCCTCACCTCAACCTTCATCTGCATCTATCCCTCCTCGGTAATTGTTCGATGGTACACTTGACGACCTCCACTGTGGGCGAAGCTCATAACTCAACCCCTCCTTTGGGCAGTTTCGTCTATGCCATGCCTGATGTACGTATGAAGCACCGAGTGCATCGTTTCAGGCACTCTCAAATCTCGAAACATATTACATGATAATAACAGCAATATCCAGAGGCTTAACGACCGCAATGCCATTAGCACCGCCCTAACTACCTCGAATGAAAGCATCGACTATGCGACAAGACTAGCCAAGATCCTCGCCCGCCGCACAAAGTCACCTGCCTATGTTGGCTGTAGTATGAACTTTGCCGGCATCACTGCCGAAGAGGAGATTGAAGGTCTGTCCCTGGTTGTCGATCATATCATCCACCAGTGGGAGAAGCAACCTAGATGATCCTTTTGCCACACTCTACCCTACCATGGAGTGGCGGCCCCAGTCTGCACTCCAGACTCTACTCCGTACAGACTCCAGTCCTGAGTCTGGCTATCTTGCCTGTGACGCCTTTCTTCGTCATCTGGATTCATTCAAGGGTCAACCGAGCCAAGCAGGGGAAAGAACCACCCACAGTGTCCCAGTTTTTTCCCAACAAATCGGCATCCTTCCTCATTCTCGGTCTCGACGCGGAAGAAGAAGCCTAAATGTTTTGGAATCTGCGCGTAATGAACTTGCTTGAAAACCAAATTCGGCAACCTCTGTCAGAACCTCTTTGGACCCTGACTTCAATGCTCGCCGACTGTTTCTGTCTCAGGAATTCTCAGCCAGTTGACCCAAGCTCCCGGGTTAGTGGCACTCTGCGTTTCCTTAGCCCAAGCCACGGGGTTGTCTCTCGAGGCGTTTGGCAAGCGTGAGAAGCCACCCCCCAAGGTTAAACAACACATTTCGGACTTCTCCATGACACACTCCACAGCACAGCTGGAGGATAAATGGACCAGAAGTTGGTAACACTGTGTCACTTTGACAACTTTCTCCTTGGTCTACATGGTAGCCCTAGCCTAGGCATTAGATCAATCACCGTGAGCTTCGACGGTTAGGAAGGATATATCCCGCCCAAGCAGTACAGATGCTCAATTCGTCTTTCAGCACGTTTACACAAAATCACAGGTGATCTTGTTAGAGTTCTCTGGGACCCTGTGAGCCACTTCCAGGCCCGAGCGCCTAACCAAAATCGCCGAGAGCCACTACCTCGGGTTGCAACCACCAGGGTTTTTCGAAAGCTGGTGGTTGACCATAATCCCTCGAAGCGGCACCGTAGCAAGCCTAATAATTGGGGCTGCAAAACAGGGCGCTGACTCCACAGTCTATCATTTCCGACTCGGGCAACTCAGGTGCGATCCGCCAAGTTGATCCAAGATACACGACGGACTGCTTAGTTCCACGGGTTGCTGCCGAATAGCTCTATCGAAGTAGATGCAGCGCTCAGGAAATCATCTTGATCTCCTTGTTCAGACTGCCCAGCCCGGAGACAGCAACCCAGAACGGCATGGCTGGTTGTACATAGGAAATTGCTTGAACAATCTCCTCTTCGAAGCTTTCGATATTCATACATCATTATATGGGTATGTATACACGTGCTTTTGGCCAGGCACCTGGGCCATCAACTTGCGAGCTAGTGGTCAAAACAGCTGAGAGCGTAGCTCGGATGCTACTCTGAAGTTGAACTTGGAGAAACCCTTTACAAAACATCCAGAGCTTCTTGGGTGACGATCCTTCCCTAGCCTAGATGTACCGCCTTTTACCGTACATATGCTTCAAGTCGGTGATGATGCAGCCCACCCCACCGCCCTTACGCATGGTCAGTGTCGGAGAGCCTTGGCTTCTTGCAAGCTTTTGGCCTTTCGGAGAGCCTTTGGAGTCTGCCATAATGACGAGGCCAGATATCGTCAAGATTTTCTACGTCGGATTGCTCAACTTGATGGCAAAGGGTGTCTGCACGGCAACCAGCCCATCTCTGAATAGGGTCTGAAGAGGACTTGGGTGATGGATGTCATGTAGAATTGACACACGGACTAATCCGATGCAGGGCAATAGCCACCAAGTTTGTTGCAACCCCTTTCAAATTAAATCCCACTTTCTCTCACAAACTCTAGTTGTCTGGGTCTCCATTGGAAAAGACAAACCTATCGGCGATCTTCCTTGACTTAGGAGAAAACTGAGTTCAACCGTCGGCCACGTCTCCCGCCTGAATCATATTTTGAGTGAACTATTGTAGAGTTGAACTTCCGCCCATTGGCTAGGTATGAGATTCATTATTCTGACAGCTTCTCCAAGCCTCGTAGACCGTCAACGTGCAAGATATACTACCAACACAGACAGAAGAGTCAGAAGCCATTGATTTACATTGACTCATCGACAAACTAGATGACGGACCGACTCAGCAAACCCCGGACTGGTTTCTCCGAAGCTTTTGAGCGCTTGGATGTAGATGTTCTGACTGGATTGCATGAGGTCTTGTCATTTGCAATCTTCTCGTAGAAAGAGGCCGTAGACACCGCGTTCTACTACTGTTGATGATTCAGAGAACGTTCCAACTATGTGTCTTCTAGCTGCCATGGAGTTACAGGAATGCAAATAAGTACTGCAAACATCTCATCCGAGCAAAAACCCGCGGTTGCAGTGTTCCAGAAGCTGAGATCTGGTTGAGGTGCAGATCTTTTCAAACATGTTTCACGTTTTCCACGACGTACCAGTGGAGAATGGTGCACAGCCCCAATATGCAAATCCTTCTTGCCAGAGTAGTTTCTGGCGAGGAGGCCGAAGTGACCCATCAGTCAGAACCTTCCAGCTCCATAGCGTGGAAGCTTGAAGGGCTGAATGCCCCACACATTTGCTAGAGGCTCTACTGTAATCACAGCTGAGATGTTGCAGCCGCCGACGCATGGTTTTCGAGTATGACGAGCTGCGACGCCAGCCTGGGAACCAGGCGTGCCAGCCCATGATGCAAGATGTCCTTCCGCGGATCTCCCACTGGTTTCAACATTGCCCAAGTCACCAGATTGTCGTTCTGGTTGTATCAGCACCACGGCAAGTGGACCACATATCCGTTGTCAGGTGCGTCGCTCTTTGGGGCTACCAGGGCTGGGGGTGGGAGATTCTATCAAAGACCCACTAGTTCCTTACCTTGGCTGTGTAAAAGCAGGGCCCTCCTGGTGCATGATTGATGTAATACATAATGATCGACACCACACAACCGTGCTGCATGCCACAGTGGAAACAACAAACGCCAGACTTCCGACTGGCGAACTACTACGGTCTACGCATGGGTTTCGCCATGGACATAGGAGGATTCAACCTCTCGCGATCAGCATAGCTGCATTGGCCGCCACTTGTACTGTGCTCAGCATGTCCGCCTCGGAGATTTCATAGCGAATCGTAGAAGATGCAGGCAAGATATTGAACATGCACTCGCACTGCTATCACAGGGCCAAATCACAAGTCTAGCAAACTTTGGGCCAGGGTTTCAGATAAAAGTTGCGACGGATGCCTTGTTTGACCCAACGGTAGTCCATGAAGTTTGCCGCCTGCAGATTACTCTTGCTATGGGCGGCTTTCTCCCACTGATCGGTCGCTGATCATGCCAGTAAAGGGTGACCGTCACTCGAAAGCTTTCAAAGTCACCAAATACATCCCTGTCTAACAGCGGGGTGGGGCTAGAAAGCGACGTATTGGCGACGGATGAGTCAAGGGACAATCCTAGAAAGTCTGGGTCACCGCATCGCGGCATCGGACGTTTAGAAAGCTTCCTACTGGGTATCCTTGTGTGGCACTGCAACAGTGTCGGTGAAAAGACCAGGGAAGTTTACCACAGCTCCACGGCTCTCCACCATGCCCCGACTGTCCCTGGAATTCGAACACAACCTGGCCAAGGTTCACGATCGCCCTCGGTCCGCTCTCTCCACAAAGACGCCACTGAACGCTTGAGTCGCGAAAACTTCCCGGTCGATATACCACAGTGTATTTTAGAACATGAGATATGGTCGTCGATCAGTACTCACGCGAATTGAGGTTGGAACTGCGGCAATTGCGTAGTCGCCATGTCACTCCCAGCATGAAGAGATTTGCAGAGGCATTTAGAGATGGCCAAGAGTAATCAATCCCATCCCCTCGTCCGTTTTCAAGCTGGAATATCAAGTGCCACGTTTGTGAGAAGACCAGCAGACCGCTCACAGGAAGCATGTCTTCTCTGTGACTCGACATCAAGATGTGGGTTACTTCCACGTTTAGTCGAGCAGGTTTACTCGTGGGCAAATCATGGTTTAAGCGGCCGTAGCAGTCTATGTTTAATTAATACAATGTCACATCATGGCCAAAGGCCATACCGTAATGCTGTCAGATTTCCCAGCCTTTGGAACCAGTGGTATTGATGGGACGACTCCAGCCCTGCGAAGACCACTCACCGTTGAAATCAGCCCTCAGAGTCCCTGTCCGTGATGCCCTATTCGGCTATGACAACGTTGTGGCTAGCTTCATTGACTTCGGCTGGCAGAACCGGGGGGCTCAAGACGGCCTTAGTCTCGCCAGGGTCCTGCGACGATTCCGAACCTGTTCTCCTGTGTTAAAGTCAGTGGCTCTTGGATATCCACCTGGAGGTAACTTTTAGCTTTCTACTGGTTTGCCAGGTGCTCAATCAGATTTTGCGGTCAATTTCATATCCACTTCTGAGTTCATGCTCATTGTCGGGCAGCGGGGCCTCACTCGCCCTCCACCCACGCCACGCGTGTCGGCACTTGATTTCATGCCATTTGCCCGCTAGACTCCAGAGTCTCCTCTCCTTACCTGTTATGCCAATTGTGCGTATATCGTCCAGCCAGCCGGGTGTCTCCATAGAATGGTCTTAGTCTCGTAGTGTAGTCTTGCCTGCACCGTACGCTCCCCTGCCTGTCCTGAGTGTGCCTGCGTGTCCTGAATCCAAGGCTGGCCCTCTGGAAGCCGTCGACGATCTGTCCCCAAATTTCTGTTGGGTTTTGATCGACACCGACAAGCAGAAACTTTTGGAGGAGGATCGTTTTGTAAACCCCAAGTTCTAGCCAACGGTCATAACCCCGGTGCTCCTTGCTCTTCCTGGCCTGTCCCATTCGTTCTGCACTTTGCCGCGCAGAGCATTCGACCGACAATCTCGGCTGACCTGATCTGTTGGTGGCGATCAGCACAAGGTCGACTCGCGAGTTGCTCGTGCAGCTCATCGGGGAACCATTGGCCAAGGTTGGCCTCTTACCGTCTCCATCTCGCTTCTCGCTTCTGCCCCTACTGCGACTCTGACTTTGGAGATATCGTTCTATCTCTCGAAATCACGTCTTCAGATCTTTAGTCGCTTTGTACATCGTGGTTAAAGTCGTTGCTGCCACGCTCCGGATGTTGTCGACTTGAACTGTGGGCATGTCTCGTCGACAAGCCTCAAGCCATTCTTTGCTGCATCGTTGCAAAGAGACAAGCACCACGATTTACCATGTTTTCTTTGACGAGCGGAATACACAACCAGTCCTCGCCGTTTCGAGAGACCCCCAGTGTGGATTCAGAAGACTCGCCCGTCAAAACTGAATTCCCAATTCACCGTCATACATTGCAAGCATCATATCCTTCGAATCAACACTCCTGGCCAGTCGTGTCTCCGCCTGCTTCAGCAACCATGTTACCGTCTAACCCTCACCGCGACATGGAGTCGATCTCGCCTCAAGAGACGACGGCATACCTGGGCGACAACCTTCGACCTAGTGGTGGACCCAGCGGCACACCATCCCCGGCTCAGCTTTCAGCAATGATGTTGCACAACCCCAAACGAGCGTATCGGCAGCGGAGAAAGGACCCGAGTTGCGACGCCTGTAGAGAACGCAAAGTCAAGGTAATCTTGACGACACCATCATTGAAAATGTCATGCTAACGGACTCTGTAAGTGCGACGCAACAGAAACAACAAGCTGTACAGAATGTTCGAGCCGCAACGTCCGATGCCAATTCACAAAAGACACCAATCGACGCATGTCATCCATCAAGTGAGTAACACCAGACGTGCGTGCGCCCCCTAGATCCTGACTCTCATAGACAAGTCCAAGACCTAGAACGACAACTTGTAGAGGCTCGCCAACAACTCGAACGTTTCCGCTCCGTGGAACGCAAGATCGATGTTTCAGCCGAACTGCGTCCCGGGTCAGCCTCTTCCATACTCACCGAGTTTGTATCTGTTGGAAGATCACCCCGAAGGATGTTAAAAGCAAGATCTCCTCAAGATCTCACATACGCAAGGTCGCACTTGAATGACGTTGGGCGCGGCCTTCTGAAACCACCCGTAACAGGGGCTCCTTCACGACCACACGGTTCATACTCACACGTCTCAGATCTGCCAGGCCTCCCTTCGCAAGCCGGAGCAGAACGTCTCTTCCACTATTATCACGAAAGCATCCACAGACACTTCCCCGTCCTGCACTGGTCCACGTTTCAGCAGCACTTCGCCACATTTACGGAAACGGGGAACTCCAGTTCGCTACCCAGAGACTGGTTGGCGTTACTCTATGTCGTCCTCGCTAACGGCGCCCTTGCGACACACGATCCTGCGAGATTGGGCGAGGCGCAAGATTATCTTACTAGAGGCATTTCTTCAATAAATTTTTGGGAGGACGATGTCACACCGAATCAAGCAGTCGTGGCCTTGTTGGCCAGCACTGCACTCGTGGAGATGAACCGAAAATCGGCCGGTTGGATTTGGCTGGGCTCATCAATCCGTATTCTACAAGATCTAGGGTTTCATGTTCAAGGTGGAGAATGGTCTCCAGTGGAAGGCGAGCTGCGGAAACGCATCTGGTACTCCGTTTACGTTTGGGATCGGTAAGGCGCAGTTGACAAATTCTCTTGCGCAGACGAGAGCTAATACAGAATTTCTACCAGGATACTGGCTCTGGAGCTGGGCAAACCCATGTTGATCAACGACGACGAGTTTGACACCGAGTATCCAGAAGTTCTGGACGACGAGCGTTTGGTGGTCGAGGATGCCCAAAGTCCTGCGCCTCCCACTCTATTACTCGCCAACATCCACATTGCACGGCTCATGTCGCCGTTGGCAAAAGCCTTTCGCACGTTGTGTATTACGAACGAGGCTCTGAACAGATTCGAGAACTATTTGGGCGACTGCCTGAGCCTGTTTCCACGGATTCTGCAACTCTCCTCATCGATCCCACTAGATGCTTGTATCATGGCACCAATTATGCATTTTCAGAACGTGAGGATACTCCTCCATCGTCACAACTTGTCTCCATCCTGTTCTCCAGAACAGAGACTGCAGGCAATTGAACAATGTACCCACGCAGCGCGAGATACGGCGACCCTCCTCTCGAGATGCATGATTCCTCACATGAACGCACACGAATGGGAGCAGAGGTTTGTGTTATCTACAACCACGATCCTTTGTACACACCTGTGGCGTTGCATGCTGTTCCTGGTCTTCAGACAGCAATACGACGCCTGTTATATTGTCCTGAGAGCTGCAATGACAATTGGGGAAGCAAGGAACATCAATATCAGCTGTGGCAGATATCTGGCCTCTTTTACACGCAAACTGATAGAGCGCTACGAACAGTCCCCCAATATTGACGTGGAGCAGGACGAAGATTTACTAGTATTTCTGTCAGCAGATCTCCAGGCTACAACCAACAGCTGGGTCTGGGGCAACGCAGAAACGGGTACGCATCTGAGCAGACGACAAAAGCATGGTCGACCACGCCACACGAGCATCGAACAAGATTCACAACCGCAAAACGAGCGATATTCCCCCTCGTGGGCTGGAATGCTAACAGAGGAGGAACAACACGACTGGGGCGGATGGCAGAATGTGGAAAGATCAGTTCGATATCTACAACAACTCACAGAATCCCGAGTCAACGTTGCGAACCATGTCCAACCAAACACGACAACCACTTCACAAACTACGGGCCCCATCTTGGCCCCGATTAATACTGCACAGCCAACACAAGATGTCAATCGGTCACGTATGACTATTGCAAATATAATTTAGGAGCATTGAGGGTGTTTGTCAGGGCACCAAGGATACACGATCCCATGAACAAGATGTCTTTTGACGGAGAGACAAGACTGCACGAGTTTCTCGAGATACCCCTTTCCCGGCACACCGTTCGTGTCTCTGTACCGTAATCACAAACTTATCTCAAGACCCATACGCTAAGCGTCGCCTTGAACACGGCATCGCATCGGACGACTCCATCAGTGGTTCGATTCGTGTATGAAAATGTCAAGTCGCTGCATGAATAGAAGAGGCTGTGAATTGTAAGACTTGGAATCAGTTACTTGCGTACGATAATTAGCAAGGCTACCCCAGCATGGTGGTCGGTGAAGTGGGAACGATTCGACCCAGGATCTGCAATATTATACATAGTTCCTGGAGCCATGCCCGTCTCGTGCTCTCCTCTTGAAACCAGCTTCGCGTAGTGTACGTTCGGTGAAGCGATTACCAGAAGAGTTTAGTAGTTGTTTCTGCAGAGAGGCAAAGAGATCCATCCGACTTTCCAGAAGATCCGAGCAGACGTCCAAGCGTGAAAGTCTGGTTCGTAGCGAGATTACACGACTAAAAATTGCCTGGTTTCTGGCCCCCCATTGAACCAACCCAACCCTAACCGGAAAACGACCGAACGGGGGGCCCTCGTCGACTTCTAATCGGAGAACAGATCTCCGTCAAACGACATGCTTCTTCCCAGGGCCTTTGCTGAAAATATGAACTAACAATGGACTACCTTGCTCGTCGGTCTGGGCACGGGGATAGTCCTTTGCGTTTACTGTCTCTTTCTGCTTATGCTCCATACCTGTACGTGCAAGCTGAGCCGAGGCTTAGAAACAAATGCAAGGATCAGACCGTTGTTCAGATGACACCAACCTCGCTTATTGAACAGCCTTGTCATATTCTGGAAGGAAGTTTTCGTCGCTTCTCATAAGCGGGCGCTCTTAACATAGAGCAGCTGAGCAGCCATGTCCTTTGGACAAGTTAGATTTGAACACGAAATTAGTATCACTTTGTCCAGCGGGACATCTTCTCCGTCTGGATCATCGCCGGCCCTCAAGGCACAGCCTACTGATTTGGGTCCTGACAATGATAGTAGCGGCAATGGTACCAAGAACCGTTAGGATCGTATTCGGTCAATAAAATCCACCTTTTACGACGTCAAATGTGGTCTTGGTTTTGATTGAAAGTCCATTTCCCTCAAACGGTAATGAGATGGAATCCCATGGCTCGACGGCCTTCTTCACCACTGAGAATCCCCCTTTCCCCCGTAAACAATTTAAAGTCCTTCTCGCTTGATCCTCCTCGAAAGTCTTCGGGCGGGACCCCTCGCATTAGGTCTTGCAGCTGGCCTTTGATGTATTTCTGGTTTTCTTCGGTCGTTGGAGTTGCGGCAATGTATGCGACACTAGCTTCATGGTCTCCGTGATGATCGACCTCGACGGCATGGCACATGTCGGCGTGCCACCACACCGTATCTCCGGGTTGCATCTGTGGAATATGCACCAAGCAATCACGCAGTCGCAAGTGGGGATGGGATGTCGGGCTCAGCATTTGACTGTGCTCCCTGTATGTACCGGGAAACCAAGGACTGTCTGCGTCGAACGTCCAACTCTCAGGGTTCATAACGTCATCCTTGTTGCTTGGAGGTTGGAAGAATGGTCGCAGCATCAAATAGGCAGACGTCCACTTGATGTTGGGGTACAGGAGAAGGCTGCCCTCGCCAGGCCCTGCGCTGGTCAACGCTGTCCAGCCTTGAAAACTCCGGAAGACACGCGAGTGAGCGCCCCCAGGGAACAAGGCTTGGTCGGCACCTTTTCGAAGGGTCAGGTCATAGGTGTCAAAGGACTCAGGAAACCCAGAGAAGACAGCAGAGTAAAATGACCGGTAAGTCGGATCAGCCCAGCGTGACAAGCTTCCAGCATCGATGTGAGGCCCAAGCCCCATGAACGGTACCCCGGGGGGTCGAATACGCACTGCGTCAGCGTATGAGAGGGGCTCTGGAGATGAAGACTTCGAATCATCGTGCCACCACGAGTTTAGCTCTCGACTCAACTTCAACTGATTGGGATGAGAGCGAGCAGCCATTTGTGAAGGTGAGAAATAAAGTCTATAAATGGCAGGGGAGGTTTCAGGCCAGCCTATTGACACGTCAACACTGGACGGAACACCCAGTCGAAGAAGAAAGGAAAGAAGCTCATCTCCTCCTACTTACCATTGACTTGATCTTTGTTGGCAGCAACATAGGATTTGAGGTCTTGAAACCATCGGTCCGCCTGGGCTCGGTCATACACTCCCCGAATAACGAAGCAGCCAGTATCTTTCAGCTTCTGTCGCTCAACATCACTGAGAGTAAAGATATCCTTGAAGTCGACTTCTGGGATTGCTGAAGTGCCACGAGAGGTAATATCTTCGGTGATCTTTTCAAGTTCGGCACAGACTTTCAACCAGGCCCTGACTATGTTGTCTTTCCCATATGCTTCTACAATATCCTTTTTGTATTGAATCAGGTCCTCATTGGTCTCCCCGTCTTTAGCGGAGAACTCGGGCCATGCTGGCCACTGGAGTAGACGTCCAGACATACTAGAACGGTATGATGGGACGTTGTGAATGCTTGAACACTTTGCTGGGTAATTGGGATTCAGCAAGATATCACCACGGCTTTTAAGGTTACACCCTGCGGGCCTTTATATTCCTCCGTGTCGAGGAACCAAGACACTCACCCCGCCACCGGTGACGGGGTTCTCCATGAAGACATGCAATGCATGGTACATTATATTCCATAGTGGAGACGTTGTCGAGGAATACGGATGCTTTACTTTGGAAAGAATTCATTCATTGGAAGACTGGACGATATGACAATGTAATATTACCGAGGTCAAGCCGATAAAAAATCCCTGCCTATGATCAACGTCCTTCACCACCGACTGTAGCTAGATTCAGGTGGGGTCTACTTCCTCGGTCATGCGGAGTGTCGGATAACGCTGAATTGCATTGAGTTATCTCATCCGATGGGTTGGAGAAACTCCGGAATCGAAGAAATAAATGGGGTTTAGGCCCATAGAATGAAGTGGTATGATTTCCAACTACTTTCGACTAGCATCTGCCCTTGAAGTTGTGCACAGGTTGGCCCTATCATGACTAGTCCAGTGATTATGACCCGTCGTTTTATAGCGATGCATTATCCGATGGATCACATGACTTCGGGGTATACTCTATAGTCTGATAGTGTATCTCCAAATCTTCAAGTTGATGAAAAGGGAAAGTCTCTCAAAATGGGAACAGCATAGAGCACAGAGATGACTATCATGCTAGAGCCATTGCCTACTTCTCGATGGAAAGCAGAGACGTTCAAGCATAGAGGGGCGCGACTGGATAGCGCAACAGAATGAAATGGTTGACCGGCCACACCGGCCTACCAGACCGGCCGGAGTCTTTTCCCGGGCGCTCCTTCTCCCCCGCATTCTTCCTACGGAGAACTTCCGAGCCTTCCTTATCTCTCTTGGCAATCTCACGTGGCAGGAACGGGGAGGGGACCTCATGTACGTCTTCTCTTTTCTGTCTCCAATCATTGTGATGACCCGCCCAAGCATCACAATTCATGCCTCAAATTGATCTGAGGGACTTGACATCCCATTCCTATTGCTCCTTGTCTTCTCAAAGTGAAGCTCATGGCCTCGGCCACAGCCCCGAGCTGAACCAGCCAATCAGCCGTCGTGAAAAACCAGCGTGCTCCCTTATCTTTGTCACAACAAACCATCCAAACAACACCAGATGAGTATGCGATCAGCGACAATTGTGCAGGAATCAGGTACCAAGAATGGAAGAAGAGCCCCCAGGTCACGAACCGGGTGTAAACGATGCAAAGAACGACGTTTCAAATGCGATGAGGAAAAGCCCCAATGTGGACGATGTCAATCAGCTGGAGTTTCTTGCCCAGGATACGGCCAATCGCTCAAATGGTCGACAAAGCACGAAGTTTTTCCTTCCAAAAAGCGCCGGACTTTATCTTCAGCCTCGCTGCTTGACAGCCCCAGCCTAATCAATAGAACCCTATCCCCTGTCCAACAGCTGCCCACGGAGTCTGAGCAACATGTGGAAGAGACAGCTCGTCTCGAGCAAGATCCGACTGTGAGAGGCTCCTCCATCACACCAGGCTCACGACAGGGTTCAATTTCAACTCCCGGCCAGCCTTTATCGACCCAGATCGGATCCGATTTCCTTGAACTGCCCGAGATCCCTCAAATGTCTCCAACCTCTCTCTACATCTCACAGTTGAACTTTGATATCGCTCCTGATGTTGAGGTTGTCGACCCTTTGGATTTCTTCCAAATACCCGCCAAAGATGAAGAACAGCCTCAAAAACCCCTGGAACTCGTCACTCGTCAGAGTTGGCTTCCAAACCCTTCCAGAGGCCCATCCGATTTCTCCTCAGCACTGGTTGAATATTACTTCAAGGAGACCGCTGGAGTTTTTTCATGCTATGATAGCAGACTGAACCCATTTCGCACAACAGTTGCGGATTTCTGGACTCAATCCCCCGCCCTGCATCGCACTTTGCAGAGCATGGCAGCAGCCTGCCTGGTCAATGAGAACCCATACTTTAAAACACTATGCCGCAAACTACGCTCCGAGGCTATGTCATTCCTATATAATGACCCCAGCCAAGACGAGAAATCACTGCTAGCTCTGTTGATGCTGGGTCAGACATCGAGTTGGTTTGATCCACAGGACCTGGGTGTTCCCCTGTTCAAGGCCCTGAGATCAAAACTCAGTCTCTCTGCAGAACCGTCAGCTCAGACTCAACTGATCAAAGCAGGGGTCGACCGATCTTTCTTCGAACAAGCCCTCGAGTACTGGGAAATGCTACTGTCATTTGTATCCAGCGACCTTGATCCGGAAATGCCAAACGGTCCATTCTCTTCATTTTCAAAAAATATGCGCAAGGTCCCGCACCCATGGACCGGGGTATGCCGAGAGACGCAGATGCTTGTCAACCAGGTCGGGCAGCTAGCCAGATCTGAGCGAATGCGAATCCGTTCGGAGGGATTATCAGGATTTTCATGGCAGCACTCGATCGACCGATCAACATCATCGTTCCAACTGGCTCAGTACCTTGAAATGAGGCTGAAGAATCTATCTGAGCCTACGGAGGAAGGCATCATCAGCCCCGGAGATACTGAAACTCCCGTTTGGCATCTGCAAGCCGTTGCTGAAGTGTATCGAAGGACGGGCTTAATTAACCTCTACAGGGTTTTCCCAGACCTTCTCATTCCCCAACTAAACTTTTCGAACCCTCAGGCCGAAATCTCTCCAAGCGATAATTGGCTTAGCCTTGTTAACGATTCGTCGTTACACGATACAACGGATCAGCAAACGACCACCTATCAGGAATGGCTGACCAACTTCGCTGTCGAAACTCTCGAAATAATGGAAACCATACCTGCCACTTCACGGACTAGATGTCTACAACCTTTTATGCTAGTCGTTTGCGCAAGCGAGCTTCGAACACCTCCATGGATTGACGAGGCACATGACCAGATTCGCAATGTAAACCAAAATCCGGATATCAGCTTAGGGCAGTCAACATCAAATCTGTTCAACTCTACAATCAATTCTTCAAACCTTCACGATTCGGACCTTTTATCTCACTCTGCGTTCACCCCGCTCTCTCCGACCTCCCACCCTTTCGGCTTCCACAACAGTGGCGACCCCAGCGTGAGCCACTCAACTTGTACACCGTCGACGCGGTTCGCGACCCCCGCCCAGTCACACGGTCAAACTCAAACAGACGAGGAGCAATCGAACCTGTCGCAAACCTTCCGGGTTATGCACGCGCGTCGGTTTGTAAGAGGACGCTTGAATCTGTTCATGAACGTCCTGCCACCTCGACCGACCAAGACGTGTCTTGACCTGGTCGAGGCGGTATGGGATCGCCTTGACGAAAACGGCGGTAACGGTGCATTTTGGATCGATGTGATGTTAGACAAGGGTCTGCATACGACTATGGGTTGATGGAGAAAGAACAGATGCGATGAAAAAGTACGGGAGGCCTAATAAAAGAGATGGAGAATCATTGTCTAGGCGTGATGAGTTTTCCAACTATCTTTGGAGTTGGATCCTTTTTCTAATGTTCATGGTCAAGACTGAAGACAGGACTCTGCGTCCTCAGAACCTCAAGTCTACGAATCTATGTTAAAATATCCTTTTTCCAGTTCAAATGATACAAATCTACACAATATGAAGATTCCCAATCCTAGTACCTCGCGTCTCAACGTGATATCTACGCTTGACACCGATGGCAATGGCACGATTTGCCAGAGCCTCGTAGACTTTACGACCTCCAGCCACCATCACAGCAGGGATTGGATTATGTCTCGGCAGACCTGCAGGCGTAAACTGGGGAGTATCCAGATACGGACGGATCAAAGCGTTTTCATCGTCGACGTCAGGGCCGTTTTCGCCCTCTCCGTAAGAGACGAAGATGACCAACTGCAACGATTGAGACGACGGCGAAAAGGCAGGGATATTGGCGAGTTTTTGGCTGAAACTACATCCGCCGCGCTGTATGACAAGGACCTGTGTGTTTCGCGCCACTGCCAGGGGTAGTCGGTGGTCACATAGTTGGTCGGTCGCGTAGATCTTGGTCCATTGCAGAGTGGCAGGTTGAGCTCCAATCGGTGCTAATGTCGAGACTTCAGGCCAGTCTGGTAGTGGAGCTGCACCGGCTCCGGTTGGCGTGCTAGCAGTTAGATGGTAGCGTGGTGGGCCGGTGTTGGGAGGGGAAGATGTTGATTGTGGATTGAAGGATAGACCACTCGAGAATGGCCAGGATGGTTGTGGATGGTCTTTGAGAAGACTTGATAACTGGGAGATGATGTTGTTCCATGCTGCGCGGACTGAGCCTTCTGAAGAGCTGTCCAATGCAGAAAGGTCGAGAATCATTGATTCTTCTGTTTCATTTGTCTCTTCGATCTCGTCCTCGATTGGACGGTTGAGATCGACGACGATGTCCAGAACAGTTGCGTCGCGGATCCGTGAGAAGTTGGGGTCCGTTAAACTCAAGCTATCTTTTCCTGTGTCACGAGCTAAGAAGACTTTTTCGTCCCTGCCTAACGCGATGCCATTGATATTCTGCACTCGGAATGTGTCGATGATCCCCTCTTCGAAGGCGATTGGGAGATCCTGGACCATTCCTAAACGGAGGCCTCCGAGGAAGTTGATGAGAATACCATCCTTGACTCGTTGTAGCGGTGGTGTCGGGTTGCCTGAATTCAGCACGGCGGGGAAAGTGATGTCCAAGGTGGGCTTTGTGGGGATCAGCGAGCTCGTTGCATTGAATGGAACGAGTTCTAGCGGTAATGTCCAAGGGTAATATGTGTAATTTGATGGAGAGCTGATGTCTGACAGTGTGATGCTGGGGTGGTCTGCTGCATACTCTCCCAAGACTGACTCAACATCATCTCGAGTTGGCATCAGATGGAGTCGAGCCAAGTTGGCAGCATGGTAGAGATCTCCGCGAGCTGCGGTGTTGGAAATACTGAATGGCATCGCTGCAGGCTTGACAGGACAGGTTTGCTGGTGGAGAGCCGAGTCTATCTGAGGCGTTCCCTGGTGGGTGGTTTCGCCCACATGCCTTGGAATGAGCAAAGGATGGCCTTCCGTTGTGAATACATAGGGCTCATCGAGATGATTCAGAGGATGGGTCGGGTCGAAAAGGAGGAATAGGTATTTGGCAGTTTCACCGAGAAAGAAGCTCTCCATTCGGTCTGTTTTCTCGCCTGTGAGGACGTCCTGAATACTTGCCCAACCACACTTTGCCCAACATCTCCTCTTGATATCACGGAGCACCATTTCACCGACATGGAAGTACCAAGGATCTTCTGTGGCTCGATAGAGATGATAGGTCGATTCGATGAACTCGGGTCTCCCCACCCACCAGCCTAACCCGCCCTCAATTCCCCCGGTGAATAGATTCCAGCGTTCAGGAAGGGCTGAAAATCTGGTCCATAGGGCTGTCTGCAGCAGGTGTGTTTCGATGGCCTCGTTCACATGGCCACCAAGGACAAGTAGGCCAGGGTAGTATGCACTTAAGGCATCGACCCAAAAACCCCTCGCAGCGCCTGTGACAAGATCCGCTTGGATGTAGTGTGGATGCTGGTAATTTGGTCCACGGTAGAGATGTCTCTTGATGGCTGCATGAGCGACATTCCAGGCTTCCAGAAATGCATGAGAAGTGTGGGATTCAGGCGTCATCGGTTCAAAGAGGCTCTCTGGGTCATCGAGAGGGTCTAGGGCATCATAGTTTGGATGGTTATCTCTGGAAAGGAGGACATGTGACTTGAGAGCGTATTCGAAAAAGCTGTCGATGCCAGCACCGATACCTGTCCAGCTCGACACCCAAGCACCTGATTCGGCATCGATTCCGGAGCCAATCAAGTCGATGGCACTCCGCCTGTGCCAAATGGCCCAAAATGCTCGTTTGGCAAGTTGTTCGAAACGTGGATCTCCAGTTAGCCTGCCCAAGGTGGTGAATTCTAGGACGAGACTTCCAGCGCCAGCGCTGCAGGTTTCGGTAATCTCAGGGGATTTCTGATTTGCGTCGCATTGGGCATCTCCTTTAGCCGCATTGAGGGGGGAGTTGGCATAGAACGGAATGCCGTGCCGCAAGTTCACTCTCGGATATGGGATGCCAGTGGTCGACCAAAATGCGGGAAGCAGACGTTTGCCTAGGTCATGTGCCAATCTCAACAGTTGACCATTGTATTCAAAGCCATTAGGCCAAAGAATTGCTTTGGTCTCACCGGCAACTGGAATAGTTTGAGACGGTCGTTCGCCAGTCTGCTCGGTTTCGATAGGCAAGTATCCCCGAATTGGAAGATCGCCAACAGCGAAGAGGTGGGCGCTCAACAGTCCTCCCAGACCACGAATGGCAGTCTCAAAGACTTGAACCTTGCTGTCTAAATCGAAACCCCTAGCTCTTTTGCCTTGACCTAACGGGCCCTCTGATCCATCGCCGTACTGTTCCACCAAAGCCTTGATACCATCCTGGAATAGTCGCAGTGGCTTATTATTTCTGGGATTGGAGGGCGTCGAGGCGAGAATGGCCAAGGTGGACAGGCTATCGATCAGCGTCAGAGAGTAATTCCCAAGCGGGTCGTTGACTTCGATATGGGCAGGATTCTCCCGGTCGCGTGTCAGAGGACGGCAGGTGATGGGTCGCAGTTCATCCTCGGGGAAAGCATGGGTCATATAATTCTCGAAGCCATGATAGAAGAGATCCTCAGTCTCTTTCCTGAGGGCCTTGATCTGAGCGGAAGACTGAGCAGCCACTCCCAAAGTACAAGTCAGGGTCGAGGTCAGCCATAGTAGTGCCAGGAAGCGGCAGAATGGAAAGAAAATGTCGATTGCAGCAAACCTCACATGTTGGCAATCACTGCGCATGGCCCACGAGATTGTGGTCCGCCGTCAAACAAGACGGGCACACATAGCAGTCTGAAGACTGAGCAGTTGACAAATGATCTCGAGTTCATCTCTATCTGAGATGAGTGCATCTGGCCTCATGATGCCAAGGATGATACTACAGCGAATCATAAGAGTGAGGGTGGGAAGTGCGCTATAGGAATAAAAGCAGACCGTAGACAGATGTTCTCCGCCAATTGCTGCAAGAGGTTAGCGTGTTTAATCCGCTGCCAATGAGAAGGGTCTGGAGTATTGACACACAATGCCACTATAATATGAGAGCTCTTGTTGATGTCTCATTCCGTTATCTATCCCTTTATCTCTGTTGGCCTCAGGGGTGTCCTCAGTTGTATCCATGACTGACTCCAAGATCTTAGAAATGGAGAACAATTTTCCCCGCACGACTGACTTGTGAGATGATTGATGACTAAATGACTCTTCGTGCTCGTATAAAGTTCGTTCTCCAAGGGCCACTGACTTTATCTAATACCACCGTCACTGCTTCTCCATACTGACTCACCGATCATATTCCCTCATCCTTAGATAAATCTGAAGGGAAATCCGGTTGATCTCTTTCAAATTCTTTTCAAGCCTGTCAGAAATTCCGAAGACCCCACCCCTACCATATATCTCTTGTCTTACAAATCCGAAAGCCTCTTACAGCCACTGTCATAATGAAAGTCCTTCTCACCGGAGGCAGTGGTTTTATTGCAACACACTGCCTCGACGCATTGTTGAAGCATGGGTAAGTCTGTTCTGAAAGTTCAGACACAAGGACAGACAGCGCTAACTACATATCCAGCCATGAAGTGGTCATCACCGTCCGATCAGCAGAGAAAGGACAGGCTTTGGTAGATCTGTTCAAAGGACAGAAAGTCTCCTACACGATTGTCAAAGACATCAGCGTTCCCGGGGCATTCGACCAGGCAGTCATTTCAGATCCACCGTTCGACGCTGTGGTCCACACCGCCAGTCCATTCCACTATGACGTCCAGGACAACAAGCGGGACCTGCTCGACCCCGCCATCATCGGAACGACGGGCATTCTCGAGTCAATCCAAAAAGGAGCTCCTTCGGTGAAGAAAGTGGTGGTGACTTCGTCGTTTGCTGCCATTTCTAACCCCACCGCACCTCCAAAAGTCTACGATGAGACAGTATGGAATCAAATGACCATGGAAGAAGCTTTGACTACCAAAGATCCGCAAGCCGTATATCGTGGAAGTAAGACGTTTGCCGAGAAGGCGGCATGGGAGTTTGTGGAGCGTGAAAAGCCGAATTTCACCTTGACGGTGCTTAATCCTCCGGTAAGCCATTTCCTTTTTTCGAGGCACAAAGATGTTGCAGTGACTTTTTTCTCTGACTCGTTTCAACACTGCAGATGGTCTACGGCCCGGTCCTGCACCCCGTGGCATCATTGGACGATCTCAACACCTCGAGCAAGCGAATCCTGAACTTGGCACTGGGAAAGCCGCGCCACGGTCCTGTAGGGTCGCCAATGTACATTGACGTGCGAGATCTAGCTGAAGCTCACGTGTTGGCCATTACGGTACCTGAAGCAGCAGGTCATCGATTCTTCATGACGGCCGGTCACGCCACAGAAGCAAAGATGGGCGATATCATCCGTCGCAACTTCCCAGAGTATGCTTCGAAGCTTCTGCCGGACCTACAAGACAATATCCCATCTTACGATATCGACAACTCCAAGTCCATCAATGTATTGAAGATCAAATACCGGGATCTAGAGGGCACAATTGTCGATACAGTCAAATCACTGAAGGCCTTGGGCGCATGATGTGCGAGAAAACCCTGAGTGCGTTCACGGAACGTGGTATGAAGGGACTAGGATATGACCAAGGTATACAAAATATGATAGATTAAACAAGTCATACGATATACTAAGAAGTCCACGGCCTATTCATCAATGCATCTCAGAATATAGCCCTCCAAGTAGCAGTTCTCATTCGTACATACGTGACTATGAATTGACTAGAACACGAGAAAATCAAAAATCACCATCTTCCGCGCCAGCTCTTCTCCCAAGCTCGGTCTTCCTCCTCAGCCCTTTCCAAAGCTCGTTTCCACTCGTTTTCCATACGTCTAGTCAATTCATCGGGTGTCTCATCTGCTGGACCGGAAGTCGTGGGACTTTCACAACCCCGTAGACCAATGAATCGACCCCATCGACGACGTTTGGTCTCGAGGTCAACAGCGTCGAGCTTCGGGCCGGCAACACCTGGTGCACAGGGGAGACTGGTCCAGGCAGGCACCCATGCGGGGTATTGGAATGTTTCTCTGACGGGAGGAAAGACTTGGTGGTACCAACACGCTAGGCTGTCCAGTTGCTCATGAGTGAGGAGATGGTACTGCAAAAGACTCTGGGGAAAGTCTGGGTGAGCTAGACCATTGGTCACGGAGATGAGTGGAACAAGAGGTGCGCGAAGATGGTCAACGCTATGTTGATAGTGCGCTTTGCGCTGCCGGGTATTAGGAGACAGTGGCGGAGGGATGACGGTGACGTGGTATTTGGGGGGAGGAACAAGTGCCAATCGTCGGAGATTATGCCCTCGATGCCGCGTATTCCTACGAATTGGAGACCTAGATCTCCGTTCTTGTAGGTCTGGCGAACTGTTGAATGGTCGTGGAGTAGGAATGTTTGGTGATTGTGGTGGTGACCAATTGAGGATCAGGGAGTTCGGTGCTTGCATAGCCGATACTGGTGTGGGTTCTAGGAGATGTGTGATTGGCGTCATCGGAGATAAAGGGAAGCTGGGGAACATGCTAGTGTTGACTCGCAAGGGGAGCGTCATGACTCGGTCAAAATGCGGACTTCGAAGCACACTGCGAGTATGTCTGCCATCCTCGGTGGCAATGTGCAGAAAAGGGGTGACAGGACTCGAGAGTTCACGACTCGAAAAACTGTTCCAAGGACCACGAGGCGAGCACAGAGACATTGAACTGCTGTTGCGACGAATGCTAGACCCATTGGTGCCGTTCTGAGACCATGAAATAGGTGTGACAGAAACCTTTGGAGAGGAGGTGGGAGCAAAGTCCAAAGTAGAAGTGATTATGGAGGGGGTCATAGGGGTTTGTGGAGAGGGAGGAAGGAAAACTGGAGAGGTAGGGGTGTTTGGCATAGTCATGATTCACTAATATGGGCTCTTCTGACGGGGAGTTGGAAATGCAAAAATGCAAAATACTCACTCTGATGCTGTTTTGAAGAGGATGAGTCGGGGCGCGACGGGTTGGGCAGCCAGATTCAAAGGGATATATGGGCTGGTAGCGCTTCAAAGAACGGAAGACTTGCAGCTGTTATTGATCAACCAAGACAATGGAGGCCTCAGAATAGTCTGAGTCGAGCCCAGCCTTCATTGATCAGAACTGTAGACGGTGCTTGCTCCTCCATTGTTTAACGGGCCCAGATCTTGTGTCGCTTCTTTGTTGTAGGTAGATGACTTCAGAAGGCTGCCGTGGGGAAAGATCTGGCCTCTCGTTTCAAACAGACCAGTCGTCCAAGGCTTCAGACAAAGCGAGACCGGAGGTCTCGACACTTGCCACCTGTGAAAAGGGGTTTTCTCTTGCTCGGACTCACCTGAACGTCCCCCGATATATATGACATGGCTTGCCGTATTTCAATTTTAATATTTGTCGGCGACCAGCGTCCCATGCTGTGAAGAATTTACCTGGAGATGGACCAGACATGGGCTTTCTGGAGTCGTGCCGGATTTGTGCAACTCCCTTTGTTCCTTCTATCGGAGAATGTGGAATCTGCAATAAAGAAGGAGGCGACCTCTCAGGGAAAGACATTTAGTGCAGAAATTTGCAGTTCAAGAGGCAGCTGACGTGGAGCATTAGTCTGAGGTCGGCATTCTATGAATAAGATAGATGACCGCTTGTTGCAGTTTGGTCTTACTCCAGCCAAAATGACCGTGGTTTGGGACCTCAAAGGTAAAGACTCGATGCATGCACATGATATGACGAATTTAAAACAGGGTAGATATGGATGCATCGAATAACACAGGTGGCCATAGAAGCGAGATGGGTAGGGGAAGGGGAGGAGAGAGAGGGAGAGAGGTGTGCGTCTAGCGAGTTTATGATCCAAAGTACCATATATGCACTATCATCTCAATGATCCGCATTGCTCGGTCTCAGCCTTGTGTGAGACTCAGCCTCGTTTGGTCTTACCATCCACTGCGCTTCTCTGTCCACGTACACCAGTTCACATCTATCAACCTCGAAGCATCTAAACTTCTGTATGTTGAGCACCGCTTTTCCTCACATTGACAAAAGGCTGTCTCTCTTCAGCGTCCCATCTAGACGCTGATACAACTCCATGTCGACCCATAGCCATCTCTAGCACTTCCGGGCCCTTCAACTTATACCTGACACACCCGAGATCCGCTTCCACAAGCCCCTGATCGCCCATTCGTCAACCATGGCGCAGACATTCCTCGACATATTTTATTCATTATCCAACTGTATATGTTGTTTCCCTGGCACTCCTCAGCTCAAGATCAACAACAGGAGTTTTCGTATGCTGCGCCTGCTGGGCGAGGTCAGTCAGATTCCAGGCATCTATGAGTGCCGTCACTCCACCATTTATAACAAGACCTCTACTCACATTTGTTCTCTTTCTAGGGCGGCTTCTCCTACGTATATCTAGTTCAGGACACATCTGATTCTTCCTTGTACGCACTTAAAAAGATCCGTTGCCCATTTGGCCAAGAATCCGTTTCGCAAGCTCTTAAAGAGGTCGAAGCATATACATTGTTCGCACCACATCCAAACATCATCCGCAGTATCGACCATGCTGTGCAGACCGACAGATCCACCACCGTCTCTGGAATCGGCAACGATGGTGGCGCAGGAGGTGCCTCCAAAACCGTTTATATCCTTCTCCCCTACTACCGCCGCGGCAACCTCCAAGACATGATCAACGCCAACCTCGTCAACCATACCCGGTTTGGCGAACGACGCCTGATGCAGCTGATGCTCGGCGTATGCAAAGCCCTACGAGGCATGCATCAATATAGAATCCGGAATAACGCCTCACGCGGTGCAGCGCAGGCAGTACGCAGTGAAGCTGCACAGGCCGACGCAGATGCCGCGCGACGGAAACAGCAACGAACTATGACCGCCTCTCAACCCGACCAAGACGAAAGCGAAGAGCAGGAACAACCACTCATGGCCGACGAAGTGACACGCGCGCAAGAAGGTAAAAACCCCGGCGACGAACGGGCATATGCACATCGAGACATCAAACCCGGCAACATCATGATCGACGACGACGGACGAACCCCCATCGTCATGGATCTAGGCAGTCTAGCACCGTCACCCACACCCATCACGAGCCGAAGTCTCGCCATCGCCGTACAGGACACAGCGGCCGAACACTCGACCATGCCGTATCGCGCACCAGAACTCTTCGACGTCAAGACCGGCAGCGTCATCGACACCAAAGTCGACATCTGGTCTCTCGGATGCACCATGTACGCATGCCTAGTAGGAAAATCACCATTTGAAGCACGTTCCGATGAAACAGGCGGTTCCTTGTCCATTTGTGTGTTGGGCGGTGATTGGCGATGGCCAGGCGAAGGAAACGCCACCAAGGGCAAAGACCGTGCCCATCCACCATCGAGATCGAATACGATGCAACAAGCTAATGGCGATGCCAATGCCAACGCCGCTTCAACCGCTCAGCCTGCCAGTTCAGAACGCATCTATCCTCATCCCGCGGCTCGAGAAGTCGTCCGTCGCTGCCTGGCAGTGGAGCCCTCAGAACGTCCTGACGTGGATGAGCTGATGACTCTGATCGACACGTGTCTGAGCGAGTTACCTGAAGATGATGAGGGAGGTAATGTCGATGATGATGTTGTATGAACGAACGACGATACTTGGAACATCCATCTTTCTCTCTTATGGATCGTCGTCGTCGTCGTCATGCTGAGATGTTCGGTTGGTTTTCAAAAAACATATATATCCGAATATGTATTTTATTAGGGGTTCCTCTTTCTTTTTTAACTTTCTATGAGCCATAATTATAAAGCCCGTTTTTGATTTGTGATCACTGGTCACTTCTTGTGCCTGGCCTGGTCTGGGTTGTCATCTCTTCGTTTCGTTGCTTCTACATGACCTTCATACTGAACAATCGTATGCCTGACGGTCACCTGATCTCAGTATTGGTCACATGTTTCGATGTTTCAAAAAACCCTTCAACCACATCAATAACAGCAGTATTCTCGCCCATCTATCTCCTCTTTAACCGTACATTACAAATATTCATATAGAAGACCAGAAATCTGACACGCCTTTTTTCAGTCAACTGTGCAAAAACACGAGAACAGAGTCAGTTGGGTAGGATTGGAAGTTGTTTTCTTGTTGCTTTTGCTCATATTGATCACCACTTCATTGTCACCATAGACATCATGATGACCATTTTCTTTGTCGCCTTTCATCCGCTTCCCGTCTCTCCCCGCGCCGTCCTGTCCTCCCGCCAAGGCAATACTGGAAATTCGTCGCACTCAACTAACACCTTCTGGTGAGGAATATCCTCAAACTCGAAATTTGTTTCATTCAATTCTCGAAATCCGTGTCGTTGGACTGAATCCATGGTTGGGTGGTTTTTCACCCCAATCTTCGCAAACACTCCAGCCTCCACCCATTTCCTTCCCTGAAAGTACTTTCACTGTGCAACCCATTTCCAATGCTTAATTTGCCGCCTGACGCAGTGGTCCACATACCACCAATCAGTCATCCCAAAGAATGGGGTGTCTGCGGCGCAGGAAACGATTAAAGCCAATGCATCAAAAAGTCACCTCCCCTCCAAACAAAAGACCGTGTCCACCAGGCAAGAAAGTCGCTAGCGGACGAATCACTCGCAGCCAGCTCAACCAACTTAGAAAAGGACAAAGTCGGCCCTCTATTCGGATGCCTTGACCACTTCTGCAGCCTCGCTGGCGGCCGCAGCTGACTCAGGTGCCTTTTCAACCACTTCGGGTGCAGGGAGAGTGGCCTTTGGCTCCTCGCTGCCGACAGTGTCTGGCTTCTCGCTCACAACTGGCTCTGGCGCTGGCTCAGCAACAGGTGGGGCTGGTTCAGCCGGCTTCTCGGTCTCAGTTGTCGTCTCTGCAGGAGCAGGAGTATCAACCTGACCATCCTGGGAGGGACTCTCGGCTTTCTTCTCCTCAGTGGGCTCCTCTGACTTGTCGTGAACACCGTTGGTGGTCGGGGTGGCTTTGGCATCTCTGTCACTCGTTGTCTGTCCTTCAGTGTCGACAGGCTCCGCACCAAGGAATTTATTCCACTGGCTCAGCAGATCCACTGACCGTTGTCGGAAATGGAATTCCTCGTCTCGCGGAATAGTGTTGAGCTTGATGAGTCCTTTCAGGACTTTGTTGATCTTTGTGCTCCGAATGATGGACATTTCGAGGTCGGTGTAGCCCTCCAATTTCTTGATGTAGGTCGACATTTGAGGCATTTCCTCCTCTCTGGGGGCCTGGTCCCTGGTCAAGAAGCCTTTCTGGAGTTTGTGTCGCAGAAACAGGACTGAACGGGGGTTAGTAACAGTGATGGGACGTGGAAAGGAAACTCATACCTTCTTTGTCTCGGGCCTTGCGTGCCTCGGCCGGATCAAGTGGCTTCTCCTCTGGCTCGGGTTCAGCGTCGACCATTTCCTCATCACTGGCCGGTGCTGCTGCTGCCGCCTTGGACTTCCTCCGTTCGGGTTTGGCTTTGGCGGTCTTCTCTTTGGCTTTCTTTTCCTCGGTTTTGGGGGTCTTTGCCGGCTGTAATCTAGATTAGTGGACAAGTCATGGCCGCCTTTTTGGGAAGCTCACCTTTTCAGTATCATCGTCCTCGCTCACTGCGTCCTTCTTCCTCTTCTTGGACGATTTCTTTGGAGCAGCATCGGCATCGGCATCCTCCATCTCGACATCTTCGACCTTGGCCTCGCTCTTGCGCTTCTTCTTCTCGGAAGCCTTTGATGCCTTTTCGGCCTTTTCGGCTTCTCGAGCCAGTCGAGCATCCTCATCGGCCTGGAGAGCTGCAGCGTGCTCGTCGAGGACAGTCTTGAAATACTCTAGATCGTGATTTTCTGCGGCGACCTCGTAGGCAGCAAGGAGAGCCTTTCCTTTGCCCTTTTCGGAGACATCTTTGCAATCCTCAGGATTCAATGGTGCGAGGTCGGTATTGGGGATCCAGGCGCTGACAAGGTTAGTAACTGAAGAGACATGATGTGCCTTACAATGACTTACAACTCGTTGGTATGCAAGAACATGATGGGGAAGGTACGCTCGGTAACCTTTTTGCCACCATCTGCGTAAGCCTCATTGTAGGTGCCATCTGCCTTTTTGGTTGTGACAGGTCTGCTATTGAGTAGGACATCAGGAAGCATCTCCTCATCACAGATGATTGAGGGCCAAGGTGGATAGCTCTTCAATCTAGCAATGTAGTATTCGCCAGGTTGTGCATCGAGATTTGTGAGCTTCGCGGCAGACTTCTTCTTGTTGAGCTTCTTGCCCTTGTTCTCTGACATTGACTGTCGTTTGGTCGTGGCGGCCTTCTTGTTTGCTGGAGTACCATTTGTTTCCGGCTCGGGCGCATCGGCTGGTTCGTCCGACTTAGGCTCTGGATCGGCAGCTGGGGCTGGAGGCTCAGTGCTGGGCGCGGGTGCCTCTGCCTCGGTGGGCGCGGAAGGGGTGGGGTCTTGGGCACCATTTGGAACAGCAGATTCTATGTGAGGGTTAATATGGATGTTTGGATGCGTACGACATTCCAGACATACCAGGTTCCTGAGTTGGCTTGTTCTCTGTCGTCTCGGTGGGCAAGGCTCCTGACATCTCGGTCGCGGGTGCTGAGGCAGGCGCTGCAAGCGAAGGAGGAGCTTCAGTTTCTGCGGCCGCGGCTTGCACAGGAGCTTCTGATTGAGGTGGTGCAGTGTCGGCCATTATGGCAAAAGGTGAGGGGACTTCGCGGACGCGTGATTATGTGCGCGTGATCAAAGGATGGATTAGATCTTGAGTGAGGACAAAGTCAGCGGTAGGAACAAGTGGGTAAGATGAGAAGATGAGGATGATGGTGTGAGAAGACGACAGATGACGAGGAAGTCAAGGATGCAGCTGCGGGAGTGACGCGACAGATTGGAGAAGGAACGCCGTCAACCCGGGCAAGGCAATGTGATGGAATTGGAGGTGAACAAGAGGGAATGACTGACTTGAGATGTTTTGATGATGAATAAGAGGGTTATGCGACAAAGAGAGTGATGCTTGTGAAGGAGTCAGAAGGGGTTGTGTGTGGTGATATGACGACCATGGGAGAATGCAATGAACAGATGGAGAAAGTCCACGGGAAGTAATAAAGTGAATGGCGCAGTCAGGTGAATGGCCGACTTGACTTGATTTGGACTGTGAGAGGAGAGGATTGGAGGAGCAGCAGAGCAGCAGAGGAGCAGAGGAGCAGAGGGACACACAACGACAGTCACCCAGTAGCCAACAGGACGCTAGCCACCAATGCCACTCTGCACCTTCCCCAATCACTGTCGTCGTGCCAAGATCTGAAAGCTTCGGTGTCGGGGAAAGAGCGAGATCAGAAGAAAGAAAGATGCATCTGCACACTTCTGTTGCTGTCGCTCTGTCGGTGGTTGATTGTCTTGTAGAATGCTGATGAACTCAAGAAGATAAACTGAAGCCACTGACCTTGATGGATGAACAGTTGCTCTGATCTGATCTGATCTGGTTTGGTTCCGAGGAAGTGGCTGTGATTGGAAAAGCGGGGAGATTTTCAACCAATCACCGATCTCTGACACACTCAAAGTCACGTTTCCGTTTTGTCACCCAGTGATTCCCGACTCGGAGAGTTGTGCAGCAATAGGAAAAGTCGCTGAATGATGAGAATGTGAATATATCGCAAGTGATATAGACAGTCCTTGATGTTATGTTTGACGTGAGGAGTGGAAAAGCGATGGCTCAAAAGGTGTCGGAAGTGGCCAGCCAAGTCTCTGAACAAGTTTCCTTCATCACTTTGGAAGTGGCTGGGCAAGTCAGATTGAGTATCTGGGGTCTCCCATCGTTGTCCTGTGTATTTGTGAGATTCGTGATTCATTCATTCATGAATGGGGGCCTCACCTCACGCTCAATGTACTTTGTATGCCACTTGGGATAATTGTGGGCCGTAAAGTACGGACTAATAAATTGGAAGTTGTCCAAGCTACTGAAAGTCAGAACATGGGAAGCGCCAGGGATAATCCAAAATGAGAGATGGGCACCTGAGTCACATGACATACTTCACAACTTCTCACGTGACTAGGGAGTCCAGCGATCTTTGAAGCACCATCGATCTCTTTCCCCTTCTTCTCTCTCCTTCCCTCCTTCCCCAGTCAGGATACAACAACTCGATAAGGCAGGTACTCCAGATCAATACTCGCAATTCACTATGAAAACAGCGCTCTCCATTCCCTCATTATGCCTTGGACCTCGCTGATTTCCTTCAATCCTGGATCAGCTCAGACATCAGACCAGATCAAAATGAATCGATGATGATGATCGTGCCATCACTATATAAACCAAGAAACCTCAAACAGACGCCTGATTCTCTTGTTTAATTGTCTGTTACATGTCTTATTTCAGCTATCTTTCAGTGCTTTCTATCGCTATCTTCCCGCTTCTCATACTATCATCCTGCTTGAGAGCATGAAACATGTCGCACTTTTTCATCAGACCGTCAGGGTGGTACCTGGAACTTCTTTCTATATTCCTATGCTAGATAGACAGGCTATAAGTACCTACCCCGTCTAAACCTACGTCTTACCTCTCACAATTTCCATTAATAGGGTTGTGGTGTCAAGAAACCAACCATCAAACCGTGAGATGTTCACCTTCATGGACAAAATGCACTTTCCATTCTTTCCATTCCGTCTTTTACTGGGGCTTCTTTTCTTCTTACACTACCAAGCTCTCGCCGATGTCGAGTTCATTATTCCCCCTGATGTCGAGAAATATGATTATCCATCCTCTACGTGGACATATATCGCCGGCACACAGGCATATTTGCAATGGACCACTGATGAGCGCGAGGTGGACTTGTATCTCCTCATGAGAAGTTTCAACCGTTTTGAGCTAGTTAAAGGTATTCAACTCTCTAAACATTGCCCCATTCTTTTTCTCCGAAGTGCATGCCAGGTCAACACTCACAATCGATAGAATCGATCGAAGAATCGAACTATTTCTGGACCGTGGGATTTTCTGAGGAAATATTTCGACTCGATCCAGACGAGGAGAACGAGTTTTCCTTAGCAATCGCCGATCCTGACACAGGTGACTTTCTTGCGCTCTCAACACTTGTCAAAATCCTCCCAGCTATAGAATCAGAATCCAGCAACGTCACTATCACCGTTACCGTCACTAGTACTGTCTCTCGTACCGCAACAGCTCTGACAGGAACAGCTTTGAGAGAAGAAGGTTCTGACTCGGGCCAACAAGACAAGAATCTCTATCTTGGTCTTGCAGCAGGACTCGGTTCAGTTGTGGCGTTGCTCGTGGCCGGAATTATGGGTTTTGCCTGTCTCAGATGGCGTTCTGCCCGGGTGAACAAAAATGAAGTTGAACTTAGGAACTTCGCCTTGTCTGACACTGGCGTTATGATACAACAGCCGATGTCAAGAGTACATACAGCGCCTTCTTCCCCAAGACTCCAACATCCCAAGGCTGGGGAAGCCGTTGGCTTATCCTCGAAATCTCCTGTTGGGCCAAGTCATCGCAGTCATACTTCTGAGCTGAGTGGCTAGGGTTGTGCTACCACTCTGCACAGAAGTTTCAGAGTTCCAGAAACGATTGCAACAATCACAGGACTTGACATGATGGAGATTCAGGATCTGGGGTTCGCATCTCTTTCAAATGCATTCACTCTCCATTTTCTCTGACGATTTTTTGAATTTAGATACTGTCTGATCCTTGCATCGAGATTATTATTGCTAATGAATGGTCATTCACCCCTCGAGACAGAGCAGATACTCCATCTCAGAATATGTATACCATATGCAGAACCACGAACCTATGACCCAATCCACTCTCCTCCAAAGTTTTCCTGACTTACGGTGTTTCCCCTTTCATCCATCTATTCCAAAGCTGACGAACAAACTCGAAAAGGATATGCAAAGTCAAAGGTCAAGTCTCTATTCTGCGCCATGCTGTGTCTTGGTCGTGGTATATGACAAGTTTGTCACAGGTCACACACAACATTCCTTGAGCTACTTTATGATAGGAGATGCTCTCGCCCTGAGTCCTCATGTCCTTTATGCAAACCGATCTGTCGTCCGACATGACTGCCTGCCTGCGTAATGCATGCATGGTGTATCCTAAAACCACGAGCATCCATCCCATTCTGTGTCTATCGATGTCGTCCAATTCAATCGATCCACATCGACCATTACTCACTTACTCGCTCACTGATCTCCTAACACCCGATTGAATATCTATTTATCAACTTTATCACTTTCTCGTCATCTTCAAACCTCATCTCAATACCTGAACACCTCAAATGAAACAATGCGCTGCAAACACTTACTACTAACCATAACAGCATTCATGCTGTTCATCCTAGACGTGTCCGCAGCCCAATCTCAATCTCAGTCTCCATCTCAATCGCACCAATTCATCTATCCACCCAACATGCCCATCAACGAAGGTCAAGTCCTCCACATTAAGAATATAACCATCGGCAAACCTCATCTCTTCACATGGCGGAGCACATCGAAGAACCCGAAACGATTGATGCTTGATGCGTGGGACTTGCCACCTGTGCAAACACTCATAGGTAAAGAAAAGCCTCATTTCATAATGCCCCGTTTCTTCAAATCGTCAGACCATCCTTACTACCTACCTCATTGTCAACAGGCGCCGACCCGCGAGATGAGTTCCACTGGAACGGAAACCTTGAATCGCACATGTATCCCAACGATTCCAATACCTATTACACATTGGTATTATATGACTACTATGATGATACCAAGTTATGCGAATCGCAATTATTCCGTTTAATTCGTCCTATCATCGACGACTCATCGGAGTCAAAGTCATCTGGAACGACGACCATGCTAGGAGACCCTATCACAGCATCATCATCATCATCATTATCATCATCAATCACGACCGGAACCAGATCAACTCTCTCCCTCCATCACTCGCCTATACCAACAGCTACAGTACTCTCCATCTCAACTCCATCAAAGGCTGCCTACTCATCCCCGACCAACAACCCCGATCCCACTACCATATCCAGCAACAACAGTAGTGACTTCAATTCCGCTGCCACCAGCTTATCTGAACCAGGCCAACCTCTCGAACCGCGAGATACCGTCCATCTCAGTCCAACCAGACGGTTGGTTATTGCTATCAGTGTGGCGTTTGGTAGCTTGTTGATTGCGATATTGGTCGCCGCGGGGTATAAGATTCGACAGCAATATAAAGCTGGAGTGTTTCAGAGGCGTGATTGATTGAAGGAGGGGGTTGTTTTGTGTCGTTAGTAGATATGCGAGCAAGCAATAAGAATATCTAATGTCTCTAAGTATATTTCTACTGCTACTGCTGACGCAAATAATTTAAAGGTTCACGAAGCGAGTTCTACCGTAATGATACTGTTAATGGAAAACCAATCAACCTGATTCGTTTCCCTTGGGTACCGGTTTACTGGCTGGGCTACCTAATTGATCGTAAAAGGGGCGAAAGCCTGTGCAAGTAATGAAATCGCTTACGAGATGAAAAGAAATGAAGTTGGTTGGATCGTATAAATAGGTGTATAGACCTACGATATGGTGTATTCGGTATTAAATGTCTTAGTCGACAAACTAGGTAGCTATTTTTGAAAATGCAGAACTTGAATCCCACAAGACAAAACCAGAGATCAACATAAACCGAGACCAACACCTCGCTAAACCGATTAATCCTGGATATAACGCCTCGTTGATATTCGTTGACCTCGTAGGATGATATTCCAAATCGTCGTGGTTGATGCTCTGTACATTAAGAGTGAGAGTACAAGTGATTCCGGGTGACGCTCCTGGAAACATTGCAGACCCTAAAATCCACTCATCGCTTCCCACCCGTGAATGCGACAGGATTCCAACCCTTGTCTGCCGCGCCGACATCCTCTTCTCCAGATTGAACTGGTTTGTGGATTCTGAGAGCCCACAAGAACCAATCTTCTAGAACGAGTAAATTCAATAGAATCTCGTTGCCCTTCCAGCCTACCGCACAGACGATAGCTCCAGCTACGGCGTCAAGAATGAAATGATTGGCTGTAGAGACGATGGCGATCAAAATCATTGTTGGATAGGCGCATCCGATGGCGAGACATGCCATACGTGCGGAACTCGGTAGGCGGATGTGTGGAGCAAGGTCGGGGTGGCTGTTGTTGAATATAGGGAGGTGAACGGAGCGACTTCGGCGATGGACTGGTGAAAGAGGGATTGTCGCAATGGTCAGGCCGACGAGAAGTGAATAGCCAAAGTGAAGGGAGGGCATGGCAGCTGTGATCGAGTCAATCAGGATGACATGATCGAAAGGTACCTAGAGATGAAACGGAGAAAAGACATACCATATTGGTTGCAAAATTTGTTCTGTGTCCAAACACTGCTAGCTCCTTCAGCACCATGGACGGTGTCCACGAAACCAAAGCTCTTCGCCAACTCGGCATCTGGGCCATTGTAGGTTGGATCGCTGAGCAGTCTCGGTGGCATACATGGCCAGAGCGTAAAGACAACAAATGCAAGAAGATTGCATGTTGCCATTGTCCTGCGTCTTGCTTCGTACAATCGAGGTCCAGCCGCCGAATTGACACGAATTGACCCTGGCTGACCACCCTGTCGGTCTTGGACAAGGCGATTGCTCGTGATAGTGTAATAGAACAACCACACGAGGAATGCGATCGTACCAGGGATGTGTATGAAGGAATATAGCCAGTTGATATATCTCATGACCACGGGATAGCCCATAAAGAATCTCTGAATGGGAATTTCCCAAAGGATATGAAGGTGTTGTTCGACCGCAATGACTTGAAGGGCATGGCGGCGGGCCACATGGACGGTTCCTTCGACGAGAGTCAAGGCTGTAAAGGCTCGGCCGAGTTGATATACCTTTGAAAGGTCAGTGGATAATCTCTCAATGGACATAAAAGATAGTACCCAGTAAATCAATGCCCAATACCAGGCCTCGACAAGGAACGGAAATTTGTGGAGAAGCCGGCTGAGCAATCGATTCCTAAAGACAGCAGTATTTGGCGTCACAACAGTCTTCCGGTATCCCGCTATCCAGATATCTCGTTCTCGCCATCGATTCGCTTGTGAAGGGAGTAGAGACGGTGAAAGGGACCTCTTGGACTGGCTCAATTGTGCCTCGGCGATGTCAAGATGGTCATCAGTTTCCACACCATGGGCTGTAGGCAATTCGTTCCTTCTGTATATCCTCCTAGAGAAGTTGTAGTCGGTCGCTCGATTGATCCATGCACCCCCGAATAACAGCACCACCACCACCAAAGGCTCCAGATATGCGCCAGCACCCATGCTCTAACCCTCCTCAATGGTGTTTCGCCTAACTGAACAAACGAGTCGGACGAGGTCAGCACAAGTTAGAAATCTGGGGGATGGAAGAACGTATGAGCAAGCACGCAAGGTCGCAGGCAGCGCAACGAGGAAGAACGAAACAAGACAAGAGGTGGGAATGATGTTGAAGATCCCTCTGCAGGTACTCGATCGCTGACATGCCGTCCGCCAGCGTCCGGCATAGCTTGTCCCAAGGTTCAGCCACACAAATCGTTCGCCAACATAGCCAAGTCGTACAGAGACGCCCAGTTATCGGGAGAAGTCAGTGAACTCCACTGAAGTACACTCCATGACAGGCTAGAATGATGACCGGGTCGGTGGGGAATTTGACCGATGTCACTTGATGCACGAATCAAGACAAGGCTGTCGCGCATACATACTGGGCAAGCATGCACACATCAAAAGGGACGGGATTGCTCAGATTTCTTGGGTCGCGTGCCACAGAGATGGACGGTGGAATTGTCTGGTTTGGTAGCGAGAAGGGCCACCCATGTACATGACGCGTCATACAGTACTTGGCCTTGCGGTGCATAAATTCAGTACTCCGTACTCCGTAGTGGTAGAGCGGCTCTGGCCTGTACTCCGTAAGCGAGGGCAGGACTGTACTGTAGTAAGCCATGGGTACCTAAGGCTGGTAAGGGAAACGATGTGATTGATGTTGGTGGAGGGGAAAGGGAACGATAGAGACTAATCCTAAATGGGATGTACGATGTTGGATGTTGGGTTGCGCTTTCCTCAAGCCACATCCGCGCCTTCCGTAGTTGTGACGGCATAAAAACGTATTCTGACTACCATCGAGCTTTGATAGATTTCCAATCTAACAAGATTTCATGTATGAGGGATATGACAGAGTATAACAAGCTTCGAACGCTTGAGTCAGTGTATTGCTGATCACTTGCACGGTGAGCCAACCACTTGTTGCTGATCGGAGGCCGGTCAGGCGGTCTGGAGGGCCATCTCGTGAGTTGATAGGCCTCGCTTGCTGACGGATAGATAGGTTTTCCCTTTTGAGCCGCTGGCATCCGGAGACCAAGAGCCCTTCAGTTTCTTTATGCATGCCCTCGTATAGTATCAGCCGATGGATACGGGTATCTAGGCCGCGGGCATACTCCGTGGTGAACACCTCGTGCTAGTGGGCTGGGTGCTAAACAGCCAATCCTTATTGGTGATTGCACCATCCAGACCAGCCTGCGTGGACCAGTTCTTCTTGATCCGGCTTAGGTTTGTCCTTTTTGACAAAGTCGTGCTTCATTGGCCAATCTGTTGGCGGGACGAAAGACTCATCGTCGTCGAGGCTGGCGTGTGGCCTGATTTGTGCCTCCGCCTTGCGACCAACATATTTAACACTGCTGTAATGTGACGGACGTTTTTGGGAGTTGTGTCGTTGGTTGCGCCGTCTCCAAGACGCGATTCGTATGGCTTGATGTCGTTGACATACCTGAGAAGTTTCCAAAGAAGTTTCCAAAGAAGTTTCCAACGAAAGAAAAAAACATCTTTCTTCTCATGCTTTGATTCGCCGCTAGCCTCGTTCAGCCGAGCTTCCTTCCAACATTGCCAACGCCTCGCCCAACCACGCTGACAATCAATTGACCCTCTCCCTTTTCGCCATCTGCATCTCTGATACCCCATCCTGCTGTGCCAAAATCATTCAAATCCCTTGCCAATTGAACAATATGTGGGTTGGCCACTACCTCCCTGCCCACCTGGATTCTGCCAACATCTTCCGAACCCATGGCCATCAGTGTAATGACTGTAGATGCGGCTTCCAAGCTGACGCAACCGCCCCTTTCAACACTTTCTAGTAGTTGAAATGCGCACATCCGGCCCACGTCCTCGGGAGGCTGACCACCTTCAGGTGGGCTCGACGCATCAGCCGAGTAGAGACACCCCGTGGAGCTTTCTGCAACAAGTGACAGACCAAATCCAAGACCAACCTTCTTCTTTGCTGATGGGTTACTCTTTTCTGGAGCAGCCACCAGCGTTGCACTTCCAACGTCGGAAAAAATATAGATATCAGCAGCAAATTGATTTAAAACACCACGAGTCGCCTCGATCATGCGGGCATTGTTGCTGCCACTAACCCCAGTCGAGTATGCCACTCCTCTGATCTTCTTTATCCGGCCGGGGTTCATAAGATGGAGGGTTTTAGGGAGTCTGACTTGGTGACCGAACAGAAGCTGGACTTCTCCCGCACCTCCGAACCCACGAGTTCCAGGATTTGAACGCTTGAGGACCCGTAGTTCAATATCACGCTCGATCCCGAATCGCGCGTACAAAGGCAAGATTGCCGTCCGAACGCTGTCGACACTCATATCGCCACCTTTATCAGTCGAACTGGTGATGACACCAGGCCCGGTGAACATGACATTGAACTTAGCCTTGCTGAACGGTGCCAGTAGACATAGGGGAAGCAAGAAGTAGCTGATCCCCCTCGTATTGTTTGCCGGTAGTTCATGTGTCAAGACGCCTGAGACATTGGCGCCACTACCAGATGCAGAGCCTGTGATCAGTCCTGGTTTGTAGAGAAGGACTGTGCCTGTGTATGAGATCTCAATGTGGGATCCATTGGTCACGGCTTCGAGAAGACGGAGGAAGGAGATCTCATGAGGGGCGAGACCTGGATTTGTAGGCGAGTCGGGACGGATCTGATCGATGCGAATGGCGCGACCGAGGAGGGTGGCCAGAACAAGGCGGGTGGTTAGGGACTGATGGGACTGGAAACGGAGGGGGGGTTGGGAGGTGGCCATCTTAAATGTATCGCGAGAGATCGATCAGGTAAGACTGAGGGTAACTCATAGTGTAGCCATGGTTGCAGATTGAACCTCTGACTGCCGTGGATTGGACTCGTTGACTCAAGTTTCTTCTCGAGTGGCCGCAGACAAGAAGCCAAATCTGAAATCTTCACATTCATTCTCCTTCCCCGCACCAGAAAAATTTCTCCGCACGAAATCATGACTTCGGTGGAACATTGCACAGACAGGACAAATTACTATGGCAGATCATTAATCCCCCATCTGTAGTTGAAATTCGTCTTGTCCCCTCCTCCGTCATCGCTTCGTCCACTTCCGCGCCCGCATGCGCAATCGCATCTTGCGATCAGCACGTCTTTTTGTCGATCACGTTCCAGTCGGAAGTCTGTATTTGTAAACGGTGATATTGTCAGCGAACGATCCATAATTGCTGGCGGTCCTGTGAGGATCATATCCGCCCACTATCCAGAATCTCTGGACATCCCTATATAAGACACCATTAAGCACCGTTGACTCAGACCACACCATCTGCACGCATTCACAAAACCAGAGTCAGACACGCGCCGGTTTCTAGCACCATGGCTCTCAATTTACCAAAATGGTTTGCTTCATTTACACCAGTGGCTTCGTAAAGGGGGTATCACTAATATTGTACAGGCTCAAGGACAATTCCCATCTTCTGCAGCCGCCCATCAACAACTACTGCGTCTATCATCCATCCTCCCCAGCAACAAGTGGACTGACGGTCATGGTCGTTGGTGGTCCTAATGCCCGCACCGACTACCACATCAATACCACCCCCGAGTTCTTCTACCAACACAAAGGCTCCATGCTCCTCAAGACCATGGATACCTCCACCACTCCTCACACCCCAGTCGATGTTCCTATCCACGAGAACTCTTTGTACCTCTTGCCCGCAAACACCCCCCATAATCCTGTTCGATTCGCGGATACAGTTGGCATTGTGCTGGAGCAACCTCGCCCGGAAGACTCGGTCGACACCCTGCGTTGGTACTGCAAGAAGTGCAATAATATCGTTCATGAGGCAAGTTTCCACATGACAGACTTGGGAACCCAAGTCAAGGAAGGCGTGTTGGCTTTCGAGAGCAATATCGAAGCAAGGACATGTCAAAATTGCGGGACATTGGCCAACTCGAGGCCGGCCGAGGGTGAGATTCAGCAGCCTCCTAGATTTCCAGAAGAATGAACGTGTCCTGGAGATTCTCAAGCGCCACCTGCCACGGCTCGCGCATTCGACCGTGGTAGCTCAACACAGGCTCCCGTGTTATCAGCATGGTCTGTAGACTTCTCTTGCAGGAGCTGGTGCAAAACCTTCTCTGCAATTTGTAATGCCACTGGCGGCAGCCCAGCCAGCTTGGCTACCTTCAATGCGTGTGAGTGTCTGTTGACACCTTTCTTCAATCGGTGCACAAAATTGAATGATCCGTATCCATCTTCCACGACGTCGGTGCAATAGCAGGCCAACTTCTCCCAGTCTTTGGTCATGTCGGCCAAGTCATGAAAGTGTGTCGCAAATAATGTCCGACTTTGATTGATGTGATAGAGATGATGCAGGCTGGCATAGCCAACGGCGATTCCGTCTTCTGGTGTAGTACCACGACCTACTTCGTCCATGATCACGAATGACCGAGGAGTAGCATGCTTGAGGATCGCCGCCGTCTCCAGCATCTCTACCATGAAGGTAGACTGGTCGCGAAACAAATCGTCCGCAGCACCTATCCGGCTGAATATTTGATCCACCAGTCCGATTTCCGCGTGAGCTGCAGGAACATACGATCCAGATTGAGCCAGAATTGTCAACAACGCATTCTGACGTAGGAATGTACTCTTTCCACCCATGTTAGGACCTGTGACCAACCAGATTCTCTCGCTATTGTCCAAGACGAGATTGTTGCTGACGAACGACCGCCCCTGCTCCTCTAAGCCCAGCTTGACTGTCGGGTGGCGGCCACCGATGATCTTGTGTTCTAATCCTCTCGTCATCACAGGTCGCGTCCATGATTGTTCCTTGGCCAGCGTGGCAAAAGCGGTGGCAACGTCTAGTTCGTCCATGATTGTTGCATTTCTCCTCAACTTTACCAGGTTCTTAATGACCAGTCCTCTCAAGTCTGAAAATAAGCGTTTCTCCTCCTCGCGAATGTCGAGGACTGCTCGCTCAATATTACGACCGAGCCGAGTCCAGTCCCCGAGATAGAATGATCGCGTACTTTTGGTAGACGACACCATCCTTGCATGAAGAAGCTCAAGCTGATTTCGATCGAAGGCACTTGGGCTTCGAATGTGGCATATATGCCCGAGCCCTGGAGTGTGCTTGAGCAACAGACTTGGGGCTTGCAACTGCTCCCTCAGTCGGATGGTCAACTCGACTTTCTCGGTCTCGAGGCCACTAAGCTTTTCATGAAGTCGGCAGAGAGAGTCGCTCGCGTCTCGTCTCATGATCCAGGGTTCATCCAACTTGGTCTCACCATCAATGTCGTCATTTGCTTTACGCCGAACACGGACCGCTTTCGGTAGTGTCTCAAGTTCCTCTGGTGCGGTTTCTAAAACGACTTCTTGAGCCATCGCGGCCACACTAGCAGCTTCGTCTTCCTCCAGACGATGCTTGCGCATCAGACCGTCCTCGTCGATCGATTGAGATATCCGTGCTTCCAGGGCACTTGGTCCATCGAGATCGAATCGATCAACTAGCATGGCAAGTGGGTGATTCGAAGCAGAGTCTGGGTCCAAGGTCTTTGCAGTAGTAACTGCGTTATGGAGAATGTCACATGTAGCGCATGTCTCAGAAACAGCCTTGCCAAGAGAAAGCATGTCGTCGGCATCGCCCTTGTTCAGAGCAAACTTCTGAACCAGCCGTTGAACATCATAAGTCCTCTGAAGTCGGAAAATGAGTGAGTCTGTGAGTTCTTCAGACTCAATGAACGTCGACACCAAATCTAGGCGTTGGTCGATTTCCACGAGAGAAGCTGAAGGAGACGTCAGTCGGTCACGCAGTAGTCTTGCGCCGCTTTTTGTCGCTGTCCGCCTAACTGCGTGAAAAAGGCTTCCCTTACCCAGTCCATCTCTTGAAGTTTCCAGGATTTCCAGACCTCGCAGGCTGTTCCTATCAATACTCAAAATCTGGTGCAATTCTCTTTGACGAGGAGGAAGTAACTTGATCTCTTGACCCTGTAGTCGAAGAGTAACATAGTCAAGCAGGCGATGCCCTGCTAGTTTCTCTCCCATGGAGAACATCTCGTCGGCATCAGCTGCCACAGGGCCTTCGAGCATGGGAGTCCAATCGGACATGGAGGTAAAAGGGGTCTGGTATTTATGCTCAGTGAGAAGCCTATGGTCGTGCCCAATAACCTGGCTGATCTCGTCTCGAATGCCATCGTCAAGGTCGTGGGGCAGGACAAGCTCTTTTGGAGATATTCGAGTAATCGCAGATGGTAGGGAACTACGAACAGTTGACTGGGTGAGGAAATCCCCTGTTGAGAGATCTAGCCAGGCCAAGCCAAAGGTCTGCTCAGCAGTTTCACTGGTTGCCGACTCTGGTTCGAGAGGCGTTGCAGGTGGAAGTGGGTCTGGATGAATCGACAATAGAAAATTATACTCGTATGGGTCTAGGAACTTTTCGTCGATCAAAGTCCCAGGGGTGACCACTCTTGTGACTCTTCGGTCGTAGAGCATTCCCCCAGATTTAACCTTGCTGGAAACGGTGACGGGGAATTCGTCGCAAATAGCCACATACTTGTTGAGGTCTTGCACAAGTGTTTTGAGGAATCTGTCCAGCTGGAAGTATGGAAACCCAGCCATGGAAACTGGCCCTAACTTCGTCTTTCTTGACGATACCTTGAGGTTCAAGAGGGATCCGATTTCCTTTGCCTGGTCAAAGTACAGTTCGTAGAAATTGCCCACTTTGGTGAGGAGAATGCAGTTCTCAAATTTGGCCATGTTATTTTTCACCTCTTGAAGAAGGGCTGGATATTGAGGCTCATCGTCCGTAGGCATATCGGGTAAGGCTTCCGGCTTGATTGCTCCTTGTTGAAGCTCTTTCACCTTCCTCGTGGTGGTGGTTTTGGCTCCCCTGCGCTGACTCGCAGTGGGAAACCATGCCCGGAAAGTCGGGCGATAAGAAACCACGACATGATGGGGTGATGCAAATAGAAGGCTAGCAGGGCCAGCCTTGATACTGTCTAGCAGTCGGAGGTCGTTCGTGGTCAAAGCCCGGACAAGAGGGCGCATGGTATTCTTGTGGTACGAATTTTGGCCATACGGCGCAATGGACAAAATTGAACGCGTCAAGCGCAGCCTCCGACCGCGTTTGGGGAAGGAACGATGGGTTATGGGCATGCCTGCCGCCCAGACTGTCGATTAATCAAAGGAGGAAGGTGCAATGCGGGGAACCGAATTGGAATGTGGCAGGTGCGGCGATTTCGCCAATCTATCATCACTATCGAAAGGGGAAACGGACATCCTTGACAATATATTTTCGACTCTTTCATCCACATTGCATTAATTCTCTTAATTGCCCTTGGTCATGTACCAGATATTTATGTGTCAAATTATTATCAATGCCATCACAAAGCTTTGAATTTCACCAAGCTTGCGCCAGTGAGCTCTTCAAAGCGATAGAGCTTCTATAAGAGGCGCCACAGCAATCTCCCCCATCTCTGATGGATTTCTATCTTGCTTACTAGTATTTTATGACCCATTTCTTACCAATCTACCATTTTATGATCGAACAATGATGAGCACTTGCATTTTCCGAAATTTCCAACTCAAGACCGGGGGAATACCGATAGCTCGACGTTCAGACCACCTGACCTCACGTGATATTCTTGCTCACCTCTCCGCACCTTTTGTACGACCTTCAGTGGCCCCCCACCCCCATTCCTCCTCCCACTTCCACTCCTCCCACATCCACTCCTACCACACCCACTCTTCCTCCGCTTCCCTTCCGATCTCAGGTGTGTATCACATCTCTCATCTGTCGTCATTCTTCTTCCCTCTCAAGCGGTTCGGTATAGATTCGAAGTCTCTTCACTACACCTCAATCATAATGTCAACTCGCTCCAGCAAGCGTCAGAAGACTGGGGAGGATCAGCCATACGAATTGATCTACTGGCCAACTCTTCCAGGCCGCGGGGAACACATCCGGCTTGCCTTTGAAGCGTCCGGAACACCCTACAGCGACATCTCCAACGAGAGTAAAGAAGGCATCAATGCCGTTCTCGAGCAAATCAGCGACAAGAACCTTGGAAACGACAACGGACCTCCACCACTTGCACCACCAATTCTTCGTCATGGCAGCAATGTCCTAATCTCCCAAACCCCCAACATCTTACTCTACCTCGGCCCTAAGCTTGGACTCACCCCAGACACCGACAATGACCCAGTGGGCGCCTATCATATCAATGCTTTGACTCTGACTGCTCTCGATGGCCTTTCCAATGAAGCACACGACACTCATCATCCAATTGCTACGGGCGACTACTACGAGGATCAGAAACCAGAGTCTCTCAAGAAAGCAAAAGACTACCGTAACAATCGTCTACCTAAGTTTCTCGGTTATTTCCAACGTGTTCTTGAGGGCCCTGCTTCCAAGGGTGGCGAGTACCTCTATGGAGGTCAACTGACGTATGCAGACCTCGTACTCTTCCAGACCGTGGATGGTGTGATTTTCGCATTCCCCAAGTGTCTGGCAGCGTTGCGATCAAGTGGAAAGTTTGACAAGGTTTTCGCCCACTATGAACGTGTCAAGGCACATGAAAAGATCAAGGCGTACTTGGAGAGTGATAGACGAATGAAGTACGGAAATGGCATTTACCGCCACTACCCCGAGCTAGATGGAGAGGATTAAATCACATCAGCATACAAAGCGAGCATAGAGGTAGAATATCTCGTCAGCGAAAGCATTCATTAGCTTGAAAAAAAAGTCCCCTAGATAGGTTTCATTCATTATCATCAATACACCCGCACATACATACATCGACAATCCGCACTATGCCCTTGTCTAGGTCCCTAGCTAGCTAAATATCCCAGGGTATAGCATAGTACTGTTCTCACTCTCCACAATCCAATCCATCACCACAGCCGTCCCATTCTCCAACGCTTCAATCTGCTCATCAGTGCAGGTGTCTCCAGGACTATACGCATAACACACCCATAGGGGCTCCGGCGGATCCTCATTCTTGAATTGCCACGTATCTGCCGGTCCAACAGTGGCATAAGAGCCATTTGCCGCGGTATCAATTTCTCCCGTGGAGATGTCGAGGTTGAACAAAGCACGGTGAAAGATCCGATACGCGGTTTCAGGCTGATAAGAAGGAACCTCATGGCCCGCTTGGTACACACGACTGAAGCTGAAGTTTCCGTATTGTCTGACCTGGCCACCTACGTAGGTATCGTTAGCCCGGATGGGCTGGTAGCCCGCGGCTTGGAACTCCTCCGTATTGGTATAGTTGACAGCAAGCGACACCGCCTCACCGCCAATCCAGTTGCATGCGAAATCGCGGTCGCCGTACACGAGGGCGACTTTGATATTGTTCTCCAATAGATATGTCAGGTCCTCCAGCCACCCGGGTCGTGGATAGTCGCCAATACTCCGGAATGCGCGCGAGACAACGGACGATGACTGTGTGAAGTTCAAGGGGAATCCGAGATCAGCTTGAACGTGTGGTTGGTTTAGCCAACCGACGTACCAGGGCGCTGGGAAGGGATCTGGGTTCAGTGTGGCGAAGTCATAGTAGTTGCGGCCGGAGTACTTGATGTACGGATCGCGAATATTCTCCGAGCAGAAGCTTTCGGCGTCCTGGCATATGGAGTTGACGCTAGTGTTGAGTCCGCGCTGCGAAGGGTCGTATTGGATTGACAGAGCACGGCAATCTTCGATCCTGTCACGGCAGCCTCCTCTGCCGTAGTACGCGTCGTTCATTTGTTTGTAGATGGTTTCATTAACAGTTTCGATGCCGTAGGTGTTATTGTATGCAATGTGGGGATACGATGGCCATTGTACTTGTCGGTCGATGCAGCCGTTGATGATCACGAGGGTGTCGAGATGGATGATGAAATTCTCCCCGTCTGTGTCATTCCACGTTCCGTTGGCGATCTTCTGGTTTTGTTCTTCGAAGAATGCTGCATATGACGGTCCGTATCTTCCTCCATAGCTCTCCGTGGCAATACTGATTCGGCTGTCATTGGGTTGATAGGCTGGGAATTCTTGGAACCATGTTTCGGCGAAGTGCCACAGGGCTCGAGCTCCGTTCAGACTTCCAAAGGCTGTAGAGTTGATGTCTTGACTGGGATAGGTTCCTACCTTGAACGTTTGGTTTTGTTCGGGGATTTCATCTGTATCATTGAGTAATGTAAGCTCGTCGCTGATCAGATTGATGGTGATGTTCTGCAGTACATCGTATGAAAGTCCCACTTGGACCGGCTGATCGAGATACAGCATGTTGACTAGAAATCGCTGTCAGTAGGAAGGTCGAAAGGTATGAGAGAAGCCTCACCTTCGTTGTTCCAGGACCACGGGTTCAAGGTTGTAGAGTTTGAGTCTGGATTGACAAAGCAAGGGCCGTTCTCGACCAAGAGTCCAAGTAGTGAAGAGCTACCCGGGCCTCCATTCATCCAAATGGACAAGGGCGCATTGGCCGGGTCTTTGCGAGATTCGAAGAACCAAAAGAAGGTGTTGATCGGATATTCTTGTGTTTCATTGACATCGCTTAATTCACCTGGTGGAAGGTGGACATATCCTGCGAATGATCGTACACCAGGAGTGGTCTCGCAGACATGAGTCTAGTTTGAAATCCATTAGCAAGGCTAGCTTATGGTCAAAGAGAGCTATAATTCATGTACCTCCTTGTATGAAATTGAGACACCGTCGCCGAACTTTGACTCCAGCACAGTGACATTTTCTGGCGTGGGAGGAAACTGTGCCACAGTTCGAGCAGCATGAAGCAGCAGTGTTGCTGATGTAAAGACAGTAGCACGCATATGCATATTGATGACGCTGACAAACAGCTTCTATGTCAAATCGAACGACGAGAGATGTTTTATTCCATTTATCTAATGTCGATGAAAGAGAGTTTGCACGGACGTTCTCATAGCTTCGGGACAATATTTTCATGTCAATCCCTGCTAGAACGGTCGCCGCCTCGTGGTCTCTGGCTGAACTGCTTCATGATCAATGGCTTCGGTTGGATCCTGATGTCTGCCCACGATTAATGGAGCTGCCTTTCTGGGTCTGGCATGTTGTCGATCTCCAGGGTTAAGCTCAACAAGACATCATGGATGGGACGTTGGAAAAGCTTTGGCGATCTCCAAAAGAGGGGTTTATCGTTAATGCGACCTCTTTTATTGAGAGTTGTCCTATCGTACGTCTCCAGCACGACAATACCCTGTCTGATGTCATGGAGTGTAGGGGAGACAAATGAAGCAGATTCTGGTATCTAGTCGATCTGCAGGAAGCGTCTATGCAAGGCAGGTGAATATACTTATCCTATAAGCTTAGGTCATGCTTCTTGGGCGATCACCCCACAATTACGTCCCCCGCGTCTTACCTGCGCAGAGGCCGATATTCGAAGGTATGTGTACTCCAGTCAAGGTTAATGTTGAGTGGAATAGAGGCTGTAGATAGCCTGACAGGCAAACAGATTAGTACCGAGAGACTCGCACAAAGACACCGGCAATATGTAAGACGGGCGAATAGGCCGTAGGGGCGGGAATATACGGAATTCGTAGGCAGTTCAACCCACACTTCCACGCAGAAGAGGTTGTCGTAATTTCTGACCACGGCTCCATTCGAAAAATCCCATGGGGATCCGCCTGCTCTCCACCACCCTGCCGGGCCACTGTTTACTTGACCCTTGAGCTGAACGACTAAGTACAACTGACAATAACTGACTTTTGACACCTCAATCATGTCGACTTATTTCACCGGCCATGGTTGGGAGCTGTAGAGGCATCTTCACGGACAATTTCATCCAGAAGTCCGCACATTATATTTGATTTCTGAGTACTTCTAGTTCTTGGGGTAAGACTACCATGTCGGGCATATTTCAACTTCCGCCCGGAGTTGGATCCTGCTGAACAGCATACAGCTCACAAGGTCTGTCTCCACTCCGGAAACATGATGGGATTCATCAGTGCGTGCTGCGTGCCTTTCCTCAACAGCGGAAATTGAAAGCGGGGGAAAGCTAGATTACTAGCTGATTAAGGCCGCCGTATAAGACCTCAGCTTCTTCAAGAGTAAGCCAGACCCTAGCTAACTCTAGGAAACAATTGCCCCCCAGGAATACCTCGCTCAACGCCATCGTCGAGGCATTTCACGTTCATCAGCTTTGCTATGGCCACCACCCAAGGACACAAGTCCTCGGAATATGTCTTGTACTACAACCAATATTCAGTATGTTCGCTGATGATCTTGCACACTTTGGCATGGAAAGGATCAGCAAGGAAGCCTGAAGATGAGATCGTTTTTCAGACCAAAGAGGTAGATATCTACAATGAAGAACAACTCAGCGAGGATTTCCTCTGCAATATCAATGACCACGGCCAGGTAAGGCTTCAACTTGATCCCACATGCTGTGTCTGTCGTTGCTCAAGGCAGAGCCTATCTAGGTCCCAGTGGTGCAGGATGCTGGAAAATCGGAGGCGCCGATCGTGGACAGTCTCGTCATTACGAACTGGCTGGCTGAGAAATATCCTGATTTGATCCCTAAGGAGCATGAAGCGGAAATTCAACAGTTCTTGATCGACCTCCACGCCCTAAACTATTTCTCGCTGTCTTTCCCTGGACGGCCGCAGGTGGCACAGCAATTCGAAGCCAATGTCCAGCGTCGACTGGACGACTCAAACATCTCCGATCGATATAGGAAGGCGCTTGAGTTCAAGATGGGGGTGTAAGTCCAGCACTGGGGTCTTCCAGCTCAGAGATGGGTAGAAGTTTGGCAGATCTAACGCCTCGGTAGAATCAAACGCGACAAATCGGGCGGCGTGGTGCCAGCGGCGGTAGCCGAGAACGAGAGACGTGCCAAAGCATTGCTCTCAGCTCTGGCAGACAAACTGCCCAATAACGAGAGCTGGCTTTATGGCTCAAAGGCCACGGCTCTCGATGCACATCTGGTTTGTTTCCTCGCCCGACTAATAGACGTGGGCCGTGGGCATTTAATTCCTAGCCAGTTGCGAGAGTACGCCGATTGGGTGATGGAAAAGCCGGAATGGGACAATATAATGCGCGGCCGGAGGACCATGATGGCGCATTGAAGTGAGCGATACCCCAACCGCCTCATTCTAGAGCACATGAGGACAGGTGTGGAGTTTGTTGATGTGGTGGACTACCTTTTCTCATGTAAACCAGGCTACTGTCAGAAACTTAGGGTTAGAAGGCCGGCTCGACTTCCATGAGGATGCAGCCTACTTTTGAAGGTTATAACAAACCTACGAGCAACTCAATCGCTCTCAGGCCGCTCCACAGGCCTCATGCAGTTCCAAATACGTCTCTTCGACGGTGCTAGGAGGGAGATTTGCGAAAGACACACATTCAAAAGCAGTCCTATGCGGATATGGGGCAGCATAATATCGCTGGAGGATTTCCACCTTTATTCTGGGCAATATACCGGAAAGTCTACTATAATATTCACTGAATACAATCAAACAAGACGGAGGAGATTGTTCCTAGCCACAGGTGAAAGCTCCCGCAACAGTACCAGATGCGTAGGCGTCAACGATACTTTGTATCGTCGTATAAGTTCCGGCCACCGTCATGAAAGAGCCACCAACGACTGTGATGCAGTGGAGGGTGCAGATTGCCATGACTTTCTTGCTGGAGAAATAGTTGCCTCGTTCCATGTAGAGACCCATTAGAGCGGGAATAACGAGCTGTTTGCACGACATGTCAGCATTGATCTGTCATAGCACACGTTTGATACTTACACAAGTCGGAGAACAGCACAGAGATCCGATCAATCCGAGGATGTAGTTGAAGAATGGGATAGCTTCGGCGAGCAGGAAGGAGAGTACTGTCAGTCCGATGGTTGATGACCTAAAAGTTCATGCGTCAATATCGCTCAAGCTAACAGAAGCACCACACTCACAGCCATGTGCCCCAGTGAACCAAACTGTTGCTCTGCAAATGCTCTGAGTTACGGAGAATGCGAACGAAAAGCTACGAGTCGTCAGTGAAGATAATTCAAAAAAGCGTCTTAGTATTACTCACGAATTTGGCAGCAACGTGGACCCAGAGAGTCGAAGTCATGATGAAACCTGGGATTGAAACACCATACGCGACTTTCTCCACGGTACCTCCAGCACTGGCTAGAGATGGACTGGCAACGTATTGACCGCAGTACCTTGAAAAATTGTCAGTAACTATTTAAGCACACCTGGGTTGATACTCACATGTATACAACCATACCAAAGGACATAAAGCAGGCGACTAGCAGTCCTTGGGAAATGAACATGGCCTTAGGGAAAGATTTTGGCACCTTCATTTCCGCAATGACTGGCATAAATGTCGAGGTAGATCCAAATCCAGCTGGGACAGAGTCAGCTACAAGTCCAATGTAAGACCAAGATAGGATCCTTACAGAAGAGATTGAGTGCTGCCACGAGGCCAGCAACGAAGCCAGGGCTTCCAACAGCGATAATTCCAAGATCAACTGGTCCAGTCTGAGGAGCAGCAGCTGGTCTGTCAATGACAGTCACTCCCACGCTGTAGAAGATGATTCGTCAGTTCTGATGGATTCTTCCAGGACATATTGAGGCAAAGAAAGAGTTGAGTTACTTACACAACGATAAAGACGGCTGTGAAGATGCTGCCGAAACCGATCCAAGTCAATATCGCTAGTTTGCCCAGTGTGCGAATGCTAGCAAGTACTCCGGTTGCAATAGCGACAACCAATGTCCAAACGATGGTGCATCCTCTTCCATTCGCAAGGATTTTCAAACCCTGTGACAAACCGATAAAGGCGGAACCGGTAGCCAGTCTGTTGGGAGACAGTGAGGTCAGCAAACTGCGACCACGAGTGACCGGAGTTTTGGCGAAAAACTTACATCCATGTCAACAGAAAGAGAACAGTTGCCACCTCTCGGAAAATCGGTCCTCCCATAAGCATTGCTGCATCGACGATGGTGTGGACACCCTTGTACTTCATTCGAAACAGGTACATGACATAAGAATAGTCTGAAGTCACGCGTAAGCCACGATACACCGGAAATACCGTCCACAGGAGAGCGTACACATGGTCAAACCACTCCATAGAGCGAGGAGAACGAGTCCAGGGCCATAACCCACGGTTCCCAGTGCGGCGGGAATCGAGAGCACACCCGTTGCGAAACACAACTTGATCAGAACCACGATGGTTCGGAGCCTAATTGAAGCACTTATGTCAGCTGTGGATCCTTTTTTTTCAATATATCTGGGGTAAGACTTACATTCCAAGGGCACGGAACTGGGCATGGTCTGCATTCTTCTTGAAGACCTCGCCGTCGTCATCTTCTTCGATGATGATCTCTCCGTTCATGCTCGCGTTGGGGGTTAACTGTCCTTCAGTCCCCATAGGTGTCTTCTCCATCCCGACTTCTTGTTGATATTCCGCTTTCAGTGCAGACATGGTCATCTAGTAATTAATAATATGTTCGATGAGACAGGTCAGGTCGATGACTTGATCAGCATCAGGCCACGAGGTGTTCGTCTCCTCTCGTCTTATAGTATTGATCACCTAATTGCCTTATCTATCTTGTTCTGACAAGACGCCTTTGTGCCGTCTACATACTTTGGTGAAGACGCCGCGATTTTGGCACTTGTCGATTAGTACTCCATATCCAACCAACGACAGTACCCCGTCAATAGAAGCCCCCTTTACCCTGCCTATTCTGCGTTGCGCTTTCGTCCGTGTGCGCCTATGTCCGGTTGCGCTGCCGTCCGCTAGCGTCGCCACTGATAAACCCTCGGAGGGATGGCTGGCTGGGCGCTCGCCAACGCTCCCCCGAATGGGGCACTCTCGGCCCTGGAATTCGGAGGTCTGTGGATCCCTTTGGATATTGGAGTGGGTATCGACTGGGTGTGCACATGTCGAAACCCTGGGATTCGGGTCGCTGCAATGATGACCATATTGGTGAAACTGTGTACAAAGAATATGTGTCAATGAGCTACATAGTCCAGACCAGGTAAAATCCAACCACAGGCGGCATCCTGCGGCATTGTTAACGAAGCATACTTCATCAAGATGAGCGGACTGGGCGGACTGAACAAGACAACCGGTGGCATTGTGATTGCTGCGGTGCAATCACAACTCTTTCGTGTTGATACTCCAGAAGATCTCTCCAAGGCGACAAACCATGTCTGCAACCTTGTGCGCCGGGCGAAGAGAGAATATCCTTCAGTCGACCTACTACTATTCCCGGAGTATTGCATCCATGGGCTCTCCATGTCGATCGACGAGAGCATCATGTGCACGATGGACGGGCCTGAGGTAGCAGCATTCAAGCGAGTGTGCGCAGAGGAACAAGTTTGGGGAATATTCAGCATCATGGAGAAGAACACCCTGTCCAGCGACGCAAAACCGTGGAACGTGGGAATCACAATCAACTCGAACGGCGAGATAGTCAACTACTACCGCAAACTACATCCCTGGATTCCCGTCGAACCATGGTATCCTGGCAACCAAGGTCTGTCTGTTTTCACAGGCCCTGGTGGTGTCAAGATGTCCTTGATCATCTGTCATGATGGCATGTTCCCTGAAATGGCGCGCGAGGCCGCCTACCTCGGTGCTGAGGTCATGTTCCGAACCGCAGGGTATACGTCGCCCATCAAGAGCAGTTGGGAAATCACCAATCGCTCGAACGCATTTACCAATCTCATGTACACAGTCAGCGTGGCCCTGGCTGGGGCTGACTCCACATGGCGAAGTATGGGTCAGGCTATGTTTGTGGATCCAGAGGGAAATGTCTTGGAACAAGGCAATGGAGTCGCAGATCATATCGTCGCTTGTGAGATCAGAGCGGACGAGGTCCGGCGCCGTCGCCTCGAGTGGGGCGTGGAGAACAATCTCTATCAGCTGGGTCACCGAGGCTATGTTGCCGTCAAGAACGGCGCTGGCGATTGTCCATACTCGTACATGAAGGATCTGGTCAAGGGAGAGTATCGTCAAGCTGAGGACTCGGAGATCAAGATCAAGACTGGCGAGGTCTGCGGGTTTGCAGCCCCAGAAGTAGAATATGTCGATGAAATAAAGAGCAAAGGGAATTGATGTCTTGATTTGAATCCATACTTTATTGACCGATTGATACTATGCTGAAGAAATTCATTTCAAGCTATGCTAAATATATCTGAAAACACATTGGGGGGAATAACTGCAATGGCTTGAACTAAGCCGCAATCTGAGGAACTTGCACGACGTCGTCGATCTTGGGCCTGTGTGTCTTGACAACCGCAGGACCAAGTGAATAACTTTGAGAGTACCGCTTGAACAGATGCTCCTCCACTTTGAGGGGACCATATTTGGGCTTCTCGCCAGCTGGAACGCATGTTGGGATTGCTTCGATGGTCATATCCAAAGCTCCGTCGTTGAAGAAGGCGACTGAGTATCTGGGCTTGTCAGAAGATGGTGAGATGACACGGTGCATGGTGCTGCGGTATCTGTCGTTGGTCCATCTCTGCATCAGGTCGCCAATGTTGATCACATATGCACCCTCGATAGGGGTAACGTGGTGCCAGGTACCGGTTGGTTTGTGAAGCACTTCCAAGCCACCAATATCATCTTGAAGCAGAAGGGTCAGAGCACCAAAGTCAGTGTGTGCTCCAATGCCACGGCCTGCTTGTCCAGTTGCGCCTTTGGGTGTAGCCGGATAATGGTGGGAACGGCAAAGTTGCATGCCTTGAGGAACAATTAGTCAAGATTCGGATGCTGGAGAGAGAGACAAGCCGACTTACCATCAGGGTCTGCCGCAAAAGCATCAAAAAAGTGTTCATCAAGGTCCAGACTCAATGCGATCAGTCGGAACATGCTTGTGCTCAAGTCATGTACAGCATCGAAGTACTCCATGTAGAGTTCGCTGAAGTTGCTCATGCCAGGGAGGCTTTTGTCAGGCCATTGGTTTGGTCCAGTCATAAAGCGGCCAAGTGGCCTCTCTGGCCGGACGGTGAAGCCCTCCTTTTGCTCAAGGAGAGTGTTGTCCTCGATCTCCTCGAGCCTCTCGACTCCGATCCGTTCGTAGCCTCTGTTGCAGGCGGACTTGTCTTGGGCAATCTTGGACTTTTCGGACATGGGTAGAGCAAAGAATTTGGCGACGACCTCGATGAAGCGTTTCTGAAGGTCGGCGCTCACTGAGTGGCCAACGATCTGAAGGAAGCCGACTTCTTCAAAGGCATGGCGGATCTCTTTGGCACATGCCTTTCTTGCCGCCTCGTCTCCGTGGAGGTAGCCACTAATGTTGATGACGGGGATTTCGAGCTCGGGCTTGGTGGTAGACATTGTGGTGAAAAGGATAGATTCAGTTTGAGTTTCTTTGTAAAATGTCGTCTTTGATATTGGCTTCAAGTGTTGTATATGCCCAAGTGATCAAGATACAAACCATGGAACGTCAGCATGCTTTTAAAAGGTACGCTTCATCACTATATCACACGTTTCTCGGGTGTAGGCGCGCCTCGTCGGGCGGGAGTCCTCCAGTCTAAGTCTGGGGAAGGCTTATCAGCCAATTACGGCACATCCAACGGCGACCCATGAGCGCAAGGAACTAGGCGCATTTCGCAAGTGAGCGCACATTATCATCTGGTTTTGGGTAATAGAAGCTGTCGCGCATCGTCGGACAACAGCGCAAGTATCTGAGAGATAAAGGCACAAAGGGTCAAAACGGTTGGAAGTTGTGAGTAAACTCTATGACAGAGAGCGGATAACAAAAATGGGTCTATCGACTTGATGAATCCAATAACTCGGATGCGGTGGAGATGATCCGCTATCTCGTTCCCACGGGATCTGATCACCACGAGAATGTCACAACGACCTAGTCATTTGAGGAGATCCCCCAGAGTTTGTCTCAATCACCTTTATCCCTAGATTTAGTTCGAATTTAGACGACCTTCCATGAGTTGCGCCTTCGTCCATCCATTTATCGGTGACGCAGCACTATGAACTAGGTGGAGTACGAAGATGACAAGTTCGGTAATGGAGACAACTGGCCCATGAGTCCACGAGTTTCAATCTAGAATTCGCCGAAAGGAACGATCTTATCTACCCCAAAGTTGAACTCTGCGTTCCAGTCCACTGGCGCATACGAGTAATATCCCAGGGTTTCCTCCATCCCAGGCCCCGTGGTGGCGTTGAAGAAGGTGGCGAAGTTGATAGCTTCGTCCAAATTCATAGCCGATTCTAGATCAACAGGGTTGTCGATATTTTCAATCAATGAAGACCTCTCAGACACTCTCAGAGCTTCTTGAACAATGAAATCCGTATAGTCCTTTTTCACCGGCGCCAAAAGCTTTTCATAGTCATCAAGACATCTCGATGCTGCCGGCCACCGCTCTGCGACAGTAGCAAAGAATCGAGAAAATGCATTCATGTACGTCTCCACCTGCTTCAGGGTATAAATGGCAGCGATTTCAGCTTTGAACCGCTGTAATGCCTGTAGAAAAGCAATCGCGGCAGAAAATGAGTGATAACACGAGTGAAACACGTATTTGCTGCCGCCAAACTCCAAATGTGCCTGTTCCCAGCTGCCATCCGCAACCCCAACAGCTGCTGCAAAAGCTTTGAGAAGGTTTTCAGCTGGGGGTTCTTTTATGCGAGGGCATGGTCGAAAAATGGTGACTATGATGTAGTCGGTAGCGATAGCCGAATACAGCTTCATCTCGTTCCACTGCGTTTGCGAGGAAGGGTCTTCGTTCTTTGCCGTGGCTTCGTGTATTTCGGCTTTCCACTCTAAGATCATTCGTTCTTGATGAGCCATCCACTGTTCCAATGAACTGAACTCAGCAGGAATGGGCTCGTTATGGAAGAGCACTGGTATAACATCACACTCAATCTGTCGATAACGCCAGATGCAATGAGATGTGAACTTGGTCGACTTGCCTTGAGGGTCAATCCCTGCCGGGGTAATGGCGCTATCGTCTATCTGGGTTGCAAACTCGGCGGTAATGTTCTTTCGAAGAATTGTAATAGGCCGTAGCAAAGCTCCACAAACCGCGACCTCCATTTCCCAGGCGCAATAGAAGACCCTGCGACGCATATCACGCTCTAGGGCGGATATTTGAGAATCCTCAGGGAGCTCCTGGTGCAATCCAAGGTCGATACATGCTTGACTCGTGAAGCCAGTCAGAAGCCAGAAGTTGGCCACACTAGGATTCTGGAAAGTGTATTGAGTGAGGAGAACCAGAGCTTGTAGACCTCTTAAGTCGTTCGAGAGAACGCCTGAGATCTGCTCCATTGCATTCTCGAAGAGGCCCGAAGCAATCGAGTTGGCACGTGCTTGTTTCGTTCGAGCAGCAGTTGAGAGGGAGATGGCCATGATCAGGTTGAGCGTATATACTTCGTAAGGGGTGATAGGTATCCTGGCTGCCGGGTGTGCATCCGAGGGATGGAAAGCTGCATTGTGCATTGCTATCAGATCGGGAGTGTAGAATATGGGATATTGTGGTACAACACGTGTGATATAGTTGTTAAATAAGAAATCAGCAACATGTACAGGGATCGAAGACAATGGAGTGCTGGTTGGTTCTGGATTAATGATAGAGGTAGGATGGTGTTCGTGAATGTCGTTGATCACGCCCAGAACCTTTCTGGCAGATGGTAATCGAGTTCCAGCGACTACACATCGAGCCAAGGGTACTGCTGCAGAGAGACCCAGGCAAGAGGAGGTAATGGTATCAAGAACCCCATTAATGGCAGGGCTCGTGAAGTCAGCGCAAGTTGTGGCCTTTGGCCGTTAGCATTGTTACTATGTGAACAGTGTCGCCAACTGACCTTCATTGCAGCTGGCTTCTTCAACTTCCCCCGTTCCATCTCCGCAATCTTGGTTTCCAAGTATTGGGCAATACTCCTCGGAAGCACCTGCTTCGTTGAATAGTCCATGGCTACACATGGCACCCCTGCTTCAGTGCAAGAAGAACAGGCCGATGCCTGGGCATCACAATGGACTTTGCGCTGCCGGCATCGAGCGCAAGCCTGCGCTCTACGGCGGACGCGTGAGCGTGGAGACATTTCGTGCTTGAACGCTACACATGGCCCTTGAAAGTATATCTATCCAGCAACAGATGGACTTTGTTGGATGGTAGCGGCGGTGCAATATCTAACTAGGTCAAGAGATCCTGGGAGAGGGTGCGCTTTGGTCCGAAGGGCTTTCGGGGATGGGCGCAACGGTGCTGAAGGTTGGAGATTTCCAAGACAAGGTGTGGATCTTGACCCTAAACTGGGTTTGAGGCATAACGGTCTGGATAAGAGAGTACGCAATTAATGTGACTAAACTTATTCATGCCCTTGATTGCCGGAGAGAGTTGACAGACAGGCCTGGCCCATCGCTTAGTCGATCACACTTCGCACCGCCAGAACTTAAGCCCATGATAATATGCACCAGGCGATTTCGGTCACCATGCTTGATTGACAATTGCACTCTTTGCTGATGATGCATCTAAAGTGTACTGCAGACTCTCCAAGAAAGTTGAGGCACTGCTCCATCTTTCCGACCATTTGGTCAAGAGTCTCACAAGTTTTCCATAAGCCAACGACAACTCAACGGTATCAGCCTTCGAGCCCACAGCAATTGCATCAACAATGATTCGACCAGCCTTGAGTGCCCAGTGAGTTGTCAAGAATGTCGGAATATACCTGACATTTGAATATGCTATGACCAATTGGATGGCGGTGGCTGGCGAAGACTCTAATGTGAGGCGTGTTTCCCAAACAGTTGAAGCAATATTTGGATGTAGATTTGCGATTTGATCGGGACTGAGGTCGCGGAGAGCATTGCGGAGGGTGTCTTCCAGAGTGCCGGTGCGGTGTTGCGACTGTATACGATATAAATTACATTGAAGCTCGAGGGGATCGGTAGTAGATAGGGCTATCAATGGAGTCGAAGGTTCTTGAAGTGACGCAGGTCGCACCAAAGTGCCACAGAAGTGACTTTCTAAGCAGTAGATAATCTGGTGTAGCCTTGGTAACATGGATGGCTGCTCTTCGTTATCTCCTGCGGCGAGATCTATCGCGAGTCGAGTCGCAAAGCCAATTCGTTGGCTCAAGTTGCCGCTTGCCGGGTCAAATAATGTATACAAGACCAGTAATATCGCGACCTGCAGGGTAAAGATGGATGGCTCTGCAGTTGCCTTGCCAATGTATTGTAATGCTTGAGTATGAGCAGAAGTTGCTATTGGAAGTAAGGACGAGGTGTGATGCCGGTCACAATGACAAGCAATGGCATTGATCATCTGAAGCACAAACTCCTGTGAGGGGATGGGTTCAGAATCTGTGAGAGTTTCTGGGGATAGCCAGGGTGCTTTTGAATCCAGGATCGGGTATATTGGCTGTATGGAATCGAAGAAGATTCGAGTGAGGTATTGCTGTAGAACTGGAGTCATCGCTGAATACGTGGGAGCCGCACAGGGTGGAAATTCTGGAGAGGACTTATCGTCTAGCTCTTGTGAAGAGTCATCTGAAAGTCGAAGCTCCACCAAGGGTGATTGATCTCCTAGATATCGATAGGATCCTTCGGAGAAGCCAAAGTGGTGCTTCTTAGTATCTGAGACACGATCAGGGAGTTTGTCAAAAGTCGACTGCTTCTCAGTGGCTGCCAGAGTGGGCGACGGGTCCTTTTCTTGCGTCAAGTGATCAACAAGTGAAGCGATATAACTAGCAAGGGTAAGTGATGTGGTTGTACAGTCGGTGTGAGAGCCAGACCTTCGAGGAAGCTCTTCTTGGAGCACATGGTCATAATATGTACATTCGACCTTAGCCCGAGTACACTTCTCACATGATGGCAGCTGAGTGTCACACCTGACACACATTAGTTCTCAACACAGTCACCTTAAGTGACGAGAAGGGCGTACCGTCTTCTGTTAGTTCGACATCGCTTGCATGCTGGAAGTGCCGTGAGGATTGCGTCTAGCTCATAACCCAGACTAGAGGCGCGAGACGCCATAGGATTTTTGGGTAAACAAGGGCCTCCGCGTCGCTTTGCCCTTTATTCATAGATATAGAAAAGTAGAGGGACAAGGCTGAATAAAAACTAGTGAGATCGCTAGAGTCTGTACTTACATACGAGCCGTGTGGGTTCCCCTTATCGGCTTCGAGGCTAATAGGGCCCCCTTGGCCCGAGGGGCCATCCATGGGGGCAATGATAAGGGCATGTTTGGAGGGTCATTAGGGTCTGATGGCGGTGGACTCCGCAATTCTTCTAGGCTTCTTAGGTGACAGTGAAGTTTAAGCATTCCTGGACAGTGGAGTTTCCCACCATGAACGACAGGGGTGTACTTGGCCTGAGCGACTGAGCGACTGACCCAAGCCTCCCTGGGGGGTTGAAGACCTCATAAATTGAGTAGTCGAGTCACTCAGTGAGGCTGGCAGAACACCATTTGCATTCGTCCATTTGGTATTCGCACTCATGTCTACCTAGTCTATCCTGTAAGAGATCTTGAGGAACTGGCAAGAATAAGAGGAGTCCATTGAATCAGACGCAGTATTTGTGCGCCCTCGTCTTTGGACACCTTGGCGGTTGCGACTTCAAACTTCACCTTTACCTTAACATCGACTTCAATATCAAGCCTAGAGAAAACAACGACATCTTCTCCAGCTGTGACTGATGATATGCCTGCTTAGTCTCTCCAATTGATTCTCACACAATGTCCCTACAGCTGATTTCAAGGTGATGGACCCAGACGGAGAGCACAATGGGTATCCCACGGCTCACGCAGGACCTTGCACCCTACCAAGAAAATGTCCTTCTCTCGAGACAAAAGCCTCTTACTGAGGATGCACGACCATGTATCACTCGAGTCGTGATTGACGGGCCATCGCTGGTCTATGCTGTCCTTTCCAAGATACTCCCATTTCAGTCTTATATATTCAAACCCACAGCAGCACCCAAAGCCCCAAGTTACTCTGAGATCAATGACGGCGTCCTCCAATTGCTGAGAGACTTGGAGAGCCATGGTGTCGAGATTCCAGTCATTTTGTTCGATGGTGGTCTGCCTGTCCACAAGCGTCCAACAAGGCTGGCTCGAATGGAGCAGCTGAGAGTGCAACTCGAATTGTACCGAAACTCCTACTCCAAAATCTCAGTGTCGGCTCGAGAAGAGCCTCTCAATCTCCAAGATGCTCTGTGGGATCCATCAGTCTTGTCTGTCCGGAAACCTGCTCCTATTGCACCTCCCTTCATGGTTGCAAGCGTCATCGAGCACCTACAAGCCAATGGGTGGCAGGACCGAGTCAACGTCGTTCCTGGCGAGGCAGATTGCTTCTGTGCCTCTGCTGCCAAATTGCACAATGCGGCAATCATCACGAACGATTCAGATCTCGCTCTCTATGACCTAGGTCCGGATGGAAGACTTGTCCACCTCAGATCCATCGCAATGGAAGTCTCCGAGCATGGCGACAAGGTAATCACTGCTACATCATTAGATCTCACATCCATTGCTAGAAGTCTTAAGCTTGCGTCATTGCTGCCGTTCGGCTTCGAAAGATATGAACATCCAGAGTTGACAACAGCAATGGTCAGCGAACGAGCTAGGTCACAGACTGATGACATGGACAATCCAGCGTATAAAGCTTTTGTCGAGCAATTTACTGAAATCCCTTCAGTCTCGCCACAGAGTTCGCTCAGTCTAATTGACCCACGCGTCGCCGAAATTATTGTCAATCTCATCCATGACGAACCGCCTGCTGTCTACCTCACTCCCATATTGGAAGACCCCGGACGTGACTCATCCTGGTCCTACGGCCTGGATATTCGCCAGCTGGCATACTCCCTCATAGCCGGCTCGCCAGAGCCCAAGAATGGAAAACCCATCACATTCACTGAGTATGCAAGAAAGGGACCGCGGATTGCTGAGAATACTGTCGACCAGCTGGACCCAAAGACCTTGAAGACGCAGCTGATGTCTCTCATTCAACAGGTGGAAGGTCATATCCGCACTCCCAGGAGTGATGTTCAAACCTTGCTGGGCTGGTATATGCTTGCCTTTCATCAGGTACAGCAGCAGAAGGTTGCTCAATCTAAAGCTATCTTCAACATGACAGATATCACTCGTGCAATTGGTCTGAAAATGACAGGCCTCACGAACACAATAACGTGGGAAATTCTCCATGTCATCGCCAATGCACAGGCAGTCTTGTACTCCCTCCGCATGTTGAAACAAATCGCAATATACGTCAATCTCTCAGATAACAGATGCACCGATGATTTTCTTCTCCGACAGCTAATCACCGCGCTTGACTCCTTACCGCCCATTCAAGATCTGTTCCTCGACGTCTCGGATTTGCGAACCCGAATTGCGACGCTCGATGTCAGGGACAGACATGAAGCCTTTTTGAGCCACCTTAGTCAGGACGACAACGAAGAGGAGTTTGACATGCCAAAGATCGGGAAGGATTCTCGACCGCATTTGATCGAGGAGCCGCTATCTAAATCAGCGAAACGAAGATCAAGGGCCAAAACCCAAGCAACCACCAAAAAGCCGAAGACAAACAGGAATGTCAACAGTTTCCAAGTGCTCATGAACAGCTGATTTGTATTTTATCATATCAGAATGAAACAACCCTCTCATTCTTCACCTCTCATTATAATTATATCGATCTATCATCGTTGTCGCTGTCGTTCTTAGTGTCATTGTCATTACCATGTCATGTCGCGGGACAGGTGCGCTGATGCTCATAATTCCAGCCAAAGGCATCCCAGACACCATACAGATGCACCATCGAGGCCAGCACAACAAAGACATGAAAGATCTGATGGGATGAGAACCAGATATCAAACTTGCCGGGCCAAATGGATTCGGGGATGCGCGTAATGAAGAAAAACGCGCCTGCGCCGTACACAACCCCTTCTGCGAAATAGTATGGCATACCGGATCGAATCCACATCTCCTGCCAACCGTATAGGTAGACACCGTGAATGATTGGTGCGAAGCCAGAAAAGCCCGTGCATAGGAATGCATGGGTACGGAGATTGCGATACTTCAGGCCTTGGAGGTTGGGGTGCAGGACCAGGGTTGAGGTGATGATGCTCAAGGTGATGATCATGGTCCAGTAGGTATGTCGCAGAAATGGCTCGCAGTAGAAGCCGACGTAGATGCCGGAGAAGAAACTTCCCAGGATCAGCGTCAGAATGCCGACATAGTCGACGCGAAGCATGACGCCGGATAGGTTGATGTGGTTCATCAAGGTGTGGTATGTGGCACTGAGTATCATAGTTATGACAGCAGCCCAGATGTTGCATGCGAACACAACGAGATCCAGGGTCGATGCTTCTGGATAAGCATAGTTGATTCCGCTGTAGACGGCAAATTGGCCGAACAACAGCGCAATCGCCGGAATCAGGTGCGTGTAGATATTGACCGTTTCATTGTGAAGCTGGCCTAGAGATAGCGCGCAAGAAGCACATGAGTCCGAGATTGGTCGGTAGCCCGAGATGGTGAAGCGATTGTCGCGATGCCAATCAGGAAGATCATCGAAGGTCAATAACTTGTTGACATATCTCGATGCCTGCTGTCGTGGTCCCTCCTGGTGAGGGCGTTCGAGCTTGGCGCGTGGCTTGCGATATGCAAGGATGAACGACATTTTTGTCGTTTCTTATCTATGTATGTATATCTTGCAGGATTGGCCACGCGTCAGACAAAACACCAGCCACCGAATAGGCACATATGAGGAAACAACAACACAGCAACAGAGGCTGTGAAACGAGTGTGGGTAGTGGGTAGGGAAAGGGAAGCTGGGAGGAGAGGAGGAGAAATGGGTTATGTCTATGGTTGCTAGAAGTAGATGGGAGTTTTTCGCGACTGGGTTGGGTGGTGGAAACCCCCACCTTGCTTTTCTGTCTCATAGAACTCCCGGCACATGTATTCCGTCGATGTAAAATGACCATGAGGAAATCTGCACGAGGCTTCTGAGATTTGCGCTTTGCAAGTTTGCGACTGGCTTTCCCGAACCGCTCTGGATCGAAGATCGGTGATGGAATCGTCGCTGACGAACAAATAAGGTTGTACGTTGGGCATTTGGCAACTCGCCTTTTAGCCGGCTTATCCCGCCCACATGGACTCGTTGGTCTTGGGGCCGAGGAGCCAAAGAGTCGCCCCTCTCGAGTCTTCGGGCGTTAGTGGACACCCCGGCATCGGCCCTGGGATGATGTAATGATGATTGGGTCTTTTGGATTCTCTGAAATATCGCCATGACTCTTGAGTGAATGAAGGGTGGGGAGAGTTCATTTCGGATGGCTTTTTTTGGTATGGACCCGTGGCTTTCTGCAAGTGGACTGTTCAAGTCACCACTGCAGTCGCATGTGTTCTATTCAGCATACCCATGCAGCCTATGACACGGAGTTTACCCTTAGAATGGATCTCGAAAGCTGCAGATGTCTCGGTGGTCGAGTGCGGATCATCATTTGTGTCAATCCGAAGCTCAAGTTGGCTAGGTACCATAACTGGTCGCTTGAAGGACACTTTCACCCACAGAGGCTGGGACGAAGGTAAAGATGCAAAGTAGTTGGAAGCGACATCAGTTGTGCAGGCTCGAGCCAGGATATGGTTTCCATGAGCCAGCTTGCCAGGAAATCCGAACATCCGCGCGGCAATAACCGATGTGTGGATCGGATTGTAATCTTTACATACCTTTGCCCACGCAGAAGGCTCTTGAATCGCAAAAGAAAAATTGTCTTTGAGAGATGGAGAGGTGCTCAATTTGGTCTGATCAGAGTTGATGTCGGTTGTAACTTGAGAGTTTGTCTTTGCGAATTGTAGCATGGTAAATGTCTGTTGGAAAGCGGTGATAGGACTACGCTGTGAACCGTCTGACACGTTGATTGAAACGGTGAGATCTATTTCAAAGCCACGCTTGACAGGCCTGAACTCCTTTGAAGCACTCGCCAGAAGAGTAATCTCTTTGTGAGAGACCAGTTGCTCTGGAGAGCATAATTCTGGTCTGAACAACTCAAAGTGGTTTCGTACGTTGACTGACCCAAGTGGTTTGATTTTGTTTTTCCGAGTAGCCAACAGTAACAGCATGGCTGGCTCGCTCAATGCTGACAACATTACTGATAGTTGCATGTTGTCCCAGTTAATGTCATTGTAGTGAGTTCCAGTCACTGCCTTCGTGTACTGGTCAAGGTCTGATCTGTTGACTTTCAACGGCATTGACAAGTAGAGATGATCAGTGGCCTCATTGCCCAAACGTCTTGACAGGTGTAGCCACTCAAGCACATTTCCCAATGAGCGGAAGACAAAAAGAGAAAGGACAAACCCAATCTCCGAGCGAGTCAGGCATGTTGGAGAGAAATACAACCTGGTGTGAGATTGTGCCTTTAAAAGAGGAAATAGTCGATGACAGTAGACCAAAATCCATCCAAAAACAGCGACAAAGAAGACGACAATACCAGTTGCTGTTTTCCAGTCCATCATCTTCTTCAGAAGTGTTACAAGTTGATTTCTAGTGTCCTTTTGCTGGGGACGATGATCTTGAAAGGCTGCAATGAGGGACGTGATATGACATGAAAACACTTCGCCGTAGTAAAAGCCAGAGCGCTTTATGGCCACATGTTGCGCTGTATTTAAATGACTTCACATTCAGATATTCACAGACCATCCGAAAACAACAACAATCAAGCGCATTGCCGTCTGAGTTTCTAAATTTCTATATGTCCCATACTTACAACCTTTGAACATACCTCTTACGCCTGGCACACCCGACGCCGGCTTCACCATGTCCTCGCGATCGCGGTCGCCCTCTCGAGGCCGATCCAAAACGAGATCACAAACACCCCCATCAGATCGCCACCAAAGTCGTGCCCAACGATCGCCTAGTCCCCGATCACGCTCAAGATCACGTTCTTTTACAAGATCACCTCCCAGACGCGACTTGCGCAATGGTCACGGCCAAGGTCGCAGGCCGAGTCGAAGCCCCAGCCGAAGCAGAAGTCCGAGTCGAGGCGATAGACGTTCATACCGAGATCGCAGTTATTCGCGAAGTCCAAGCAGAGAACCCAGGCGCATCCAGAGTTCCAAGATTGTGGTGGAAAAGTTGACCAAAAACGTGACGGAAGCTCATCTGCGGGAAATCTTTGGCACTTATGGGCACATTGAGTCGGTGGATCTGCCCATGAATAAACAATGTATGTATTGCAGAGAGGCTCCCTGTTGCAGAGTCTTGTGCTAATTGTCTACAGTCATGACCAATCGAGGAACCGCATACATAATTTTCGACCATCCTTCAGGCTCGGAGTCAGCCATCGCACACATGCATGAGGCACAACTCGATGGCGCAGTGATTGCGGTCAGCATAGTTCTACCGCGTCGTGCATTCTCAAGGTCACCTCCGCCAGCCAGATATCCTCGGTCAGGGCCACCGCCAGGTAGATTTGGACCACCAAGAGGACCGGCACTTGGTCGCTATCGAAGTTCACCCCCAAGAAGAGGTGGATTTGGGGGCAGCAGACGCCCTACCGATGACCATGGATATGGCCCACGCTCATACTCTCGATCTATATCACCAAGACCGAGACGGAGATCCAGTTCGGGTTCTAGATCACCTTCTCGCAGTCCACCTCGACGACGTGGAGGTCCACCAGGTCGGAGTCCGCCAAGACGAAGAAGACGAAGTCCCAGTTACAGTTCACGGAGCAGCATTAGTCACAGTCGATCGAGAAGCAGAAGCAGAAGTCGTTCACGCAGCCGAGACCGACAGAGCCGCAGGTGGTAGATGGGAGGAGATGTATTCCCATTTTTATTGTGGGGTTTGTCTGCGGAGAAAAGACACAGCTGTATCAACAGAAATAGACCTTGAAAGCAGACAAGGTTCTTGATTGGAAAGTTTCGTGGCAAGATCGAGATTCAATCCTGGTCAAGCCAATAAATTACACATGTACCAATACCAGAACTCAATGTACAATCACGTGAGCTGCTGCAGATTGAGCGGTCAAGTACCAGAATTTTGCCCGCACCCAACCATACTCGTACATGACGGTAAGCAGAATACTATGAAATCGCACCGTTACAATTGAGCCTCACCTTTTGCTTTTGAAAAAGCTTGGCTCTGTTTGTTCTAATATTCGTTTGACTTGGACATTGTCATGGTGGCTTTCCTAACGTCCCTTGCAGGATTCTAGAGGCTTCCTGTTCCAGACTAGTGTATGAGTCAAACTCTTGGCTAACCAATTATTGCCCAAAAAACCTGTTTAACGCATCGATTTAGCCTCCTGCTGCCCTTAACGGTAAAGTTGTAACTTGCGACGGTGGAGTTTCGTGAAGACGCCGATCAACCTCCAGGCTCTCATTCGCGATCTTATTGTAGATCTCATCTTTCTTTTCCCATCTCTTTGCCCACCACTGGTGTGAACGCACGACTACGGAGTCTTACTGAGTGACCAGTCCTATCTCTAATATCAGTCCTCTATCCTCATCCTTCATTACACCCAATCCCTAGTCCTACCTCCAATGAGGACGCGTCTCAAATAATCCCTTCACCTGTCGGTGCAGCTTTCCCTCAGCTTGCTGCTCTTCCAAAACTTCGCCTCCAATTCCTAGATCATCAACTCCAACCCTCAGCTATCCCTGTTCTCCTTTGACCCCTCCCAACTGGACTCACAATGAGCACCGCCCCAGAAACACCCGAGCCTGGAGATGGTGTAGATCACCAAGGCGAGGATCTTGCAGAAAGCGAGGCTGAGGAGGATATCCAGAATGATACCACCATGCAAGATGATGGAGAGGAAGAGGAAGAGGGATCCTCCACGCGGCCGTTTCACATGAACGGCAAGCAGTACGCAACGCCCGACGTGGCTACGGATTACAGCGTCTTCAACAACCCCCCAGACGTGGACAATATGCGCCAACGCATCTTTGCCGTCGAGGAGCCAATCGAGCTGTCCGTCGCTGACTTTGACCTGTACTTTCCCTTTTGTGACAATGTTTGGCGCAAGATGAGGGCGGCAGAGCCTCAGCCAGAAGGGAGTCCTCGTGTGGATTACTACGCTTGCCGATTGAGACGGGGTCCCTCTCAAAAAGCCCATGTGTCTCGACCCACACCGGAAGGGAAACAGTCTCGGAAGAAGAGAGTTCGGGACGAAAAGACCTGCGGCATGACCATGAAGGTCACTTACAACCCCGGTCCTGCGAATACGTGCATCATCACCAGAGCTGTTGATGGCTTTCAAAAACATACCCACACCCTAGACTATGTCGACTCGACTAAGCGCAACAGTGGAATCATGGACACGGCGCGCAGAGAGGCAACCAAAGGCTTTCTCCCTGCTTCCATTTACTGGAAAATGTGGGAGGAGCCCGAAAAGATGAATGCAGCAGGAGGAAAGTTCATGAAGGTTTCCGATGTGCGAAATGTTCAATATGCCTGGAGACAAGAGAATCAACAAATGGTTCTAAAAGCTCACACGGGCTTCAACACTACCAGAGCTCCTCGACAACGCCCTCAAACCCCCTCAGCGCCTATTCAACCCCCTCCTCCGGTCCAACCAGGAGTGTTTGGACGACTCGAGCCAAACAAATTCGACTTTCCACCTCAGGATCGGCCCCCGGTGCCTATGGAGACTCTTCAATATCCCGACCTGGCCAGAGGATTTCTCGAACCATATCTGCCCGACCACAAATTACCTCGAACCCGACCGCATATTACCTTGACCTGGGCGAGTAGCCTCGACAGTAAAATCTCGCTCCTTCCTGGCTTGCAAACCATCATCTCTGGACCCGAGACCAAAGCCATGACGCATTATCTGCGGCACCGACATGACGCGATTCTGGTGGGGGTGTCAACTGCCATTGCTGATGACCCTTCATTGAATTGCCGCCTCGCCAACCCAGCCGGATTTGGTGGCTTTTCTTGGGAGTATCAGCCTCGTCCTATCATTATTGATCCTCAAGCCCGGCTTCAGATTCGACCAGACATGAAAGTGCTCAGGAATGCGGCCGAAGGAAAAGGCAAGGCGCCATGGGTGGTCGTTGCGCCAGGAGCCATGCTCCATCCGGTGGCGGTTAGTACATTGAAAGCGCATGGTGGTGAGTACTTGATGATCAATGACTACCACCCCACGCATGGAGGATTGAACTGGGAAGGCATCTTCAACGTGCTGTTCCGGGAAGGCATCAAAAGCATCATGATCGAAGGAGGTGGAGTTGTCCTCTCAGAATTGCTCAAGATCGGATATGCGCACCTCGTTGATTCGGTCATCCTGACGATCGCGCCAGCGTTCTTTGGTAAGGCAGGAGTTCCAGTCTCGCCCGATCCGACGTTTGACCCAACGGGAAAACCGATTGCCACGAGATTGCGAAATATCAAATGGCAACCACTCGGCGAAGTCGACGTGGTTCTATGTGGACAGATGGGAGTGGATCGACCGACCAATGGCATCTTACCAGGAATTGAGGAATTTTCTCAATCAGGTCCAGAAGGCCAAATTCCCCGGCCCTCCGGCACACCGTCGCAGCCCCTCGTCATCGTCAACACAACACCTGGTCAAGCTCCTAATGCACCACCGTCACAATCCGCGAGCTCCAATTCTCCTTCCAAGGTTTCTGGCTAGGCGATCATTGATGAGCTTGGTCAAGAAGAAGGATCACATGTTAGTGACGAACCGCGAATGTGAAACACGACTATTCTTCCCAAGGACCAAAGACGTCAAATTGACGATGGAAAGCGAGAGGGAAACAATGCCAATCTCCCCGCGAAAGCACAAAATGACGACCGTTGAGCTATGCTTACTCTAATGATGATTTCGGTGGTGAAAGTCTTGGCCGCGCTGAACATGGCTGGGCTCAACTGGCCCGCGATGCGGCCCCCTTGGGCCACTTTGCGGCAGATGACGAGCAAACATTCATAATTTCAGTTTCTCGGGTATGAGACTGTCTGGTTACGTGCGCATTGGGCCCGCGACAGGGAGAATAGAACAGAGCGAGCTGGGGAGTGGAAGAAAGAAGAGCATGCGCAAATGGAAGGCAATCAAGTCAGACATGGGGCGCGCGAATGTAATCACTGGCAGCAAATCACAGTACACCATGAATTGATGATGAATTGAAATCTGGCGCGCAGGCAGGCAGGCGGCATGAAGTGGGCTGGAAAACAAACAAATGAGCTGATTGATGAGAGAATGGTTTTGAAAGGAAACGCGGAAATGCTGCGAGGCCATACTGCGTGAGGCGCGAAGCGATGAGCTGATTAGGTCGATAAACACAAAGAACTGAAAGTATGCATCCATAACGTGTGTGTCTATGTGGATGTGATGTGATGTGATGTGTGATTTCGATAAGTGAATCGAGAAGGGAATAGGTCGTAGGAAGTGATGATATGATGGGAAAGAAAGAGAGGGGAGGAGCAGAGGAAGCAGGAGGAGAAGAGAGAGAGGAGGAAAGATTCATATATCTCGGATTGTTTGATCATAGCCTAGCCGCTTGAAGCCATTGACCCGTTGACGATACACATCAAGTATCAAATCAATTATCTTATACCCGAGGAAAAGGAGAAAGGAGGGGTTTTTAGACTCGGTCTTTCTAGAGACAAGATACTGACGAGGTAGTAGATGACGGCTGTATCTAGAGACATGAGATTATTATTTATAGTACGTCTATCATAAGCCAGGTAAAAAAGAGAACGTCAACGACAATCATGATCATGATCATGATCATGAACCAAATCCTCTCATCATCACGACGACCTCTTTAAAATCAACACCGCAGCACTCGACCAAGGCAAATCCACCACTACCTCACCACCACTCGTGACCTGCACGACCTCTCCGCGCGGAACATCTGGCAACAGAGAAGGACGACCATCATCTAGATCATGACTGTATGAATATCCGTCAAAAGAAACATCTGTGACGGCATTACTACCACTGGCCGTGAGTCGAAGGATCTCGATTTCTTGAACGGTCGAGAAATCGCCGTCTAGCTGTAATGTAAAGGTCTCACTGGGCCGATCTCCACCTTGACCGCCATCGGTCGAGTTGTATGCTTGCATTTGAACCAGGGCGATCCGTTCGAGTCGATCGTTGATGTAGGCGGCATAGGCGCTGTGGTAGGGTTCGGAGTCGAGATCTAGTTCTGATATTCTTACGTTGTCGCTGGCGCTGGTGTTGCCGAGGAATGTCGCTACCGCGATATTGCCATAGTAAGGAGCTTTGGTGGCCGTGGTGGCGAGGTTTGTGTCGATGGGCTGCCAGCTGGCATATCGATAGTTGGTGCCTTGGTGCATGTGGACGCGACGAATGCCCGAGGCGGCGCAATATAGGTTGAAATCAACTCCCCATAGCGCAGCGCCGAATGAATCCGACAGTCCTGGTGCGCCTTGGTTGTACAAGCTGTTGGTCTCGCCGAGGATGTAGGGTAGGCCGGAGTCGGCAATGGCGGGTTGTCGGATCTCATCGATATGTTTGTCGACAGAGATGACGGTGGAGGTATGGTTCATCAATGTGCCTTGTAAGGTGACGCCAGGGGCAGTGGCGCCATTGATATAGCTGGGACCAATGGTTAGGAATCAGGAAAGGATAGAGGGGGGCAATAGAATAAGGTGGGGGTCACTCACTTGTGGCTATCAATCAAGGCAATCTCGCTATCAGCGTCGATTCCCTCGTTCCAGGTGGTGACGAGATCCAAGTTGTTGGCTGTACCAGCGAATGAAGGAGCTTGGTATTTGAGTCTGTCCTGCTCAATCACCTCAGGACAGTGTTCCTGGACCAGTCCGCGGATGATGCGTGTTTTGTTGAGGTATTCTTCGACGTACTGTGGCTCGGCCCACCATGATGGTCGCACGGGGCCTTGGGTACTTGTCTCGAATAAGTCGGGCTCATTACCGAGTTGCCAGTAGGCGAGTCTGTTGGTGGCTGCGAGGTGTTGACAGACAAGTGGAACTGTGGCAACGAGTGTATCGTAGCCTACCGTACCATTCTTACCCAGATTCAAGCCATGAACATAGCTGAAGCCTGGCCATGTCGTGTATGAATCAAAGTATGATGGACCAATGGAAATGGTTGTTGGGTAATCTGGAGAGCGTGAGGGATCAACACTTCCGACCAGAGCTTCTTGCTGAGTGGCATCGAATGTATAATAGTCCCTAGACCAATGTGTCAGCTTCTAAGTGGCCGTGGGAAAGGCTAAGGTGATAGTGACTAACTGTGTGTTGCCACCAACTCGGATGATGGGAGGTGTACCCTGGAGATCCCATAGATTCTGGAGCAGATTGTAGGAGAAGGTGTTTGGGTGCGTCGAGTTGCCAGCAAAATCAGGGAATGAGGAAAATTCGATCGAGAATGAGACAAATGAGTCTAGCAGAGGCTGACTTGCATAGGATGGAGCTGTCAGTGGGACGATTGTAGCACACTGTGCTGCTCTGATAAGCAGGATGCTCGTCACTGTCCAGATGGTGGTCAGCATTTTGGTGGTTTGTTAGACAAGAGAACACCGACCTATCGATGGATTGAGGCATTATTTCCAAGGCTGAAGCTATCATATGAGAGTCTTGGAAGAAGCGTTGGCTGAGTCGTCCTGTGGGTCTATCATTGGCAACTCTGAACTGGTGGAGATGGAGGTGGAAGTGGATTGATGATGGCGGCATTATTGATGATTTGACTGTCTTAGTCTTTGCTTGTCTTTTGTGTGAGAATCTTGGCGGAGGGGTAGGCGTAAAAATAGAAAAGAGCGGGAGAGCCATGTGTCTAAGGGCTGTGGGGGAGGGGTGGTAGGTAATGTCACCCCCAAAAGAAAGATAATTACCGCCTATAGTGAAGGTTTATTGGGGCACGGGGGGTCAAAATTGATCCCTATAAGGAGATGAAAATTGGCTGATCGTGGTGTTCTTTAGGCATCCTTGCCCCCAGAAGATGCTAAGCCAGATTCAGTACTCTTGATACCCTTGGTTTCATTTGCATGCGAAGAATTATGTACAATTACTACACCTTTCCATCAAAACGATCCCATGCACTTGATGCATCGACATGTCAGGCACTTGGTGACTATTGGTTGAGCATTAGCGACAATACATATGTGTAGGAGTTGGCCCACTCACACCTCGTGTTCTCAGTATATGTACATACATAATACATGCCAACATATGCCAGGGCTGTGGTCAACAAGGCTGAGGACATCAAGGGGTTAATGCCCCTTTCTCAATACACACACCTCTATCAGCCTGATGGTAGATATTCACATATTACTAATCCAGCAGGCCTACGATCATATATTGTAAATAACGCTCAAAGATCAATTCTCTAGCAGACAATGCTCCCTCCTCCATATGTTGCCGAGTTGATTGACAGTACAATGAACGTAAATCTTCTAGCGCCATCCACTCATCAGACAACCGTCTCCAAAATCTCAGTCACCTGCTCAGCCTTGAGCAAGGGTACAGCATTGGTAGGCGACCAGAAATCAGCAAGAGCGCGAGTGGACAGCGCTGGAATGACATCTCGACTGATCTTCATTTCGCTCAGAGATCGTGGAAGACCCAGGGCGCGAATAATAACATCGAGCATGTCACCGAGGTCGGCATCTTCTTCCTTCAATCCTTTCTCTTTTAATGTCTTTGCAACTTCAGGCTCTGACCATAGTATCTGTCTGATTTTGGCCTGCTTCTCAGCAATGGCTGGATTTCCACCTCCATGCTTGATATTGTATTTCTAAGACGAGACACGGTTCACTGTCAGTATTTCCCAGTGCTTTTGTGAAGCAAAAATAGATTATAGGAGTAGCTCACCATGACCGCAGGACACATGATACAACTCGTCACTCCATGCGGCACGCCCAGTGGTCCCAGTTGGTGTCCAATTGCATGACTGCCGCCCATGGGGATACCGGCTCGAACGTTGTCCATCCCCAACGCCACACCGAGTTGACATTTCTGTCGAGCATCGGTGTCTTCAGGATTCTTCTTGCACTTCAACAAACTCGGCACGAGTAATCGTAGACCTTCTTCGGCTTTCTTGTCAGAAGTCTCGTTAGCCTCTAGAGAGCATAGAGCCTCAACACAATGATCGACAGCTCGGATTCCAGTGTTGAGCCAATGATACTCAGGGGTTGTCATGCACAGTTCTGGGTCGAGTATGACTAGTCTGGATCCCATTCCGGATAGAAGAAATCCATGTTTATGATTCGTAGCATCGTTTGTTCCTCCTGCGAGGCTGAAGTACTGAACACTGTCAGACAAATAACAACCCTCACCACCCAGGAACACGTACCTCTCCTCCAGAAAGACTGGTTGGAATGGTGATCAGCGGCACTGTAGGCTCTGCCACATTCTCAGGAATATCACTGCTCTCGACATGATATCTGTCGAGCTGTTCGGGGGTTGATATATCATTGGCCAGAGCCTACGACATCAGTTTGATGATTCACCCCGACTACTGCAACCCCCAATCAAAAGAGAACTTACCAGCACCACGAGTTTAGACCCGTCCGTAATACTACCTGCTCCAATTGTCACTACGCAATCTGCCTTTGCCTCTCGAGCTTCGGCCGTAATTTGCAGAACCTCCGACCAAGGAGTATGTGGAGTCAACCCCTTCTTGACACCAACGACTTTATCTCTGCCCAGTGCATCGATCAACTTTTCGACCTTGTCCGTATTGCGCGCTAACGACCCCGATGCAATGATATACACTCTCGAAGCTCCAAAGGTCTCCTTGACATGCTTGGCGCAAGACTCTTGATATGGAAGTCCATATGAGACATATGGTGACGACAATTTTAAGTTGGCAGTTGGAATCCCCGCGAGGTTTGTGCCAGGAGGGCCGGTGAATGCCGGTCGAAAGACTTCGGTCCTCATCATCTCCAAGTAGAGACCAGTCGTCAGGCGTCAAGGACGAGTTTGAGAGGCGAGTGTAGATGATATCAAAGGTAATATGATTCTCGCTCTTGGAGAATTACGTCGATCTCTTTATACTCCGACAATAGTTGTGTGTGGCTGACTTCGTCACCTCGGTCACCATCTCCATGGTGGGGAAGCAAAGGAGGGGAAATGCTGGACCGTCACGACCGGTTTCAGCATGTGGTTTGGTATTGGCTTGACATTGTTCCGTAAGCGAAGGATCAAGTATTATCCTTGAAAGACTTGCAGCAGGAACACAACCTTGTCGTCCTATATCCATTTCATTCGCTAACACTGGTGCCAACCCTTGATTTGTGGTTGATATCACCGGAGCAGCGACAAGGCTGAAGGTTGGTTCGGTTACGGAAAAATGCCACCTCCGAAGACGCGTGTCAATGTGTCTTGACGCGTCTTGACGCGTCTTGATTCGTTTCACGTGCAACCTCTTATCACATCACCTGTCCACCACCATCGCAAATAGCTGATATGCTATTGCGCAGAACGTAAGTTTACAGGTCATGTCTAGACCTTTCCTATTGAATGAGCAAAGCCAGATCGATACAACGCTCCAACATCACCATGAATCACCGTAAGCATGCCGGGATCTGCCTTACGCGATCACCATCACCAGGACCAGAACCAGAACCACGTCTACCCATGTCTCGCCGAGGGGTTTCGGACTTGCGTCTACCCGGCAACCTTGGTACTAAAGGTCGAGCGGGCGTTTCTGGCGGAGCAGGGTAAGGCTGAGAATGTCGATCGACAAGATAAAAGCCTTCTCCTGCCTCTCGAGGGTAATCAAGTCGACAACCGTCCTCACCTTCCTGACATTACGGGAACAAAACGTCACTGCCTCACCCTGATTCTTTCTGACGGACATCTCCAAGTCTATGGTCTTCTGGAATCATCACTGCTTACCACCAACTTACTTGGCCTCCTACCCGGTGACATCGTGAGGATCAAGAAGTTCCAAGTCAGAACGGCGCCTCGTCTGAGTGGACAGGGAAAGGTGGTATATTTGGGGGTCTCCAGCTGCGAGTGGATTGATGGACCACCAAGGAGGGCTTCTTTAGCTGGTGATAACACTGGAGGTGGCTTCATCGTCGAGGACGAGGAGGAAGCACAGAACGACGACACTGAGTCGAAGCACGTGGAAGTCTCTACTCTCGAAGAGAACCCCAAAGGATTACCCAGCATCGTTGATACTTTGGAGGATCTTGAAGCAGGCGGTTTTCTACGAGAAGAGGACGATCTCCCCTTATCTCTCGACAACAATCCCCCCACACAGAATATCCAGTTAACGTCAATTCCCATCCGATCGCCGACCTCTCATAAACGACCCATCATGGAGGAGACATCACAATTCCGCAGAGCTAGAAAGAAACATAAAACTGGAACCCGATCTGAAAGCCAAATCGCCCCCTCCACAGCTACACAGACATCTCCAGCTCCAAAGAATCACAGCTCCGGAGCAGGACCAGATTCCGACGATGACGACGATTTCTTCGAGACTGTGGTAGTGTCGCCGTCAACAATCAAGAAACGACAAGAATCCCTTCGGCGTCAGGAATTTACTTCAGCTGTTGACAAAACACCCGTACGATTTCGAGAAACTCCTGATATTCAGTCCAACCAACTTCTCCCATCTTCTTCTCTTCCACCTGTCACACCAAGTCGATCCACTGCCATGTTGCCCAACAACACTACAATAACAACAGACTTTGACGATGAAGATATAGGTGGCGACCCTGGACCATCCTCCTGCCCGCCATCTACGTTAGATATCCTGTTCGAAGACACCGCGGATCAAGGAGAGCTAGAACATCCGACGACATCAACCTCACAAGCACAACCTCCAATCCCACCTACCCAAGTCCCCCCTTCTACCACCACCAATCTCACCCATCCCACCACCGAACCACCCCCCTCCTCAACCCCCTTTCACCCCCTCTCCACCCTCCTACCCCTAACCATCCCCCGACGAAACTACTCCTGCACGGTCCTCGGACTCATCACATGGGTATCAGCCTCCTTGATCTATAAGAGCAACTCCGGCTTTCCCCCAAAACGCAACATCCGAATCCACGATCTATCCATCACGTCTCAACGGGCCGTGTTCACTGTAGCGGTATTCGTGGACCCGAAACAGTTCTTGCCAAAAGTCGGTACTGTGGCTTTGTTTCGAGGGCTTACCATGAATCGTTCCGGGGTTGATGTGATTCTCAATGCGTATAAGGGCTTGAAGGATTGGGAGGGCTTGGAGGGGGAGAAGTGGTTTGTGGATGATGAGGAGGGGTTGGTGGAGTTGGGGTATGGGGATAGAGTCAAGGAGTTGAAGGCGTGGTGGGAGGAGAGGAGGAAAGGTCTGTGAAGTGAAGAAACTGTTCCATGTGGTTGGTTGTTTGCTGGACGGGGCGTGGGATTGAAGTGGTTCAAATATGTGAGCTGGTCAACTGGAAGATAAAATCCGACGAGCTTTGTGGTTGGAAGTCACCATGGTCTATCTAGGACGGAGCTTAGCACAGTCGAGGGATCAACCAGGTTGTAACATGTTGTTGGAGTGGAGATTCTTTTATTCCTCTGCAACACTAATACTGATCTTGGAGGATCAGGATGAGCCGACTGATGTTTCCCCAACGCGTTGTTCTTATCCATTCTAGCTTCATGTCATACTCTAGACATACCAGGCCCCAAGGCTAAAGGAAAATAGCCCATCGCCGCCGTCCTCGATTGCAACGCCGCTTCAGACACAACAGTATCCATCTACTCAACAACTCTCGCGTTCCTGCATATTGTTCACCATGTTCTAATTGTCTTCCTGTCTAGCTTTTGTCGTCCATTATTCCACATGTCAGCTCCAAGTAGCTTAATAGCACAAAGCTTTCGAGCAATGGCGTAGACGCCTGAGGGAAGTCGAGGCCCAAAACTGTCGAGTAGTGATGGATCTCGGCCAAGGTTTAGATCTGGTCTACAGGTGTGGAGGTGTTGATAGGCCGGGATGAATGGCGTTTCTTTGGAATGCTCGCAAGGCGATCTTTCGACACATGTGTTGGATCACTGCTGCTGCGTGGATTGAACATGGATGATGGTGCAAGTGGGATTCGTCTGCCAGAGTCATCCGGTGGTGTCGAAGAGGGCGACGGGAGGTGGCTGATCATCGGGTTTAACCGCGAGAGCCGTCTATACGTCTTTCCGCCTATGCGAAGAACGGGCCCTGTCTTTGGTAGCTTTAGGATAACGACCTTGCTTGGCTTTTTGATGACATTGGTCGCTGTATCGCTATCGACATTTGGATGCAAGGTCTGGTTCGAGCTAGGAAAAGGGCTGTATGGTAATGCTGCTGTTGGAAGGTCGGCCACGATGCTTCGAGAGATCAACTGATGGTTCGTCCACTCAGTGTGGCCATGGCTGCCGATGGCATGTAGCTGATCTTGATTCGGTTCTGACAAGATCTCGCGCTTTTTTGTCTCCTCATAATTGGTAGGCTCATATTTGACCTCGGTTTTCTCGTCACCATCATCTGTTAGATCTATGACGAGACCTTGCGACCTCGGTGTCAGCTGGGGCTGGTCTATCAAGAAGGGTGCGGTGTAGGAGAAGGGCTTCGTACCAGAGTCTTCTGAGTCTGGATAACCAGAACCTTGCTGTTGTTCCAAAGCCTCGAGTTCTTGTTGGATCTGAAATGACTCTTCATCTAGCTGAAGCCGACGGCGTTCGAGATCCAATCTGATTTGTCTCTGGAAGAGGGCTTGTCTGGGATCCATCTCATCGCCGATCTGATGGAGAACAAAGGAAGTGGGGAAATGGCAGGTGGGCTGAGAGCAGAAATGTAGGGCTGTTTCGACCTAGGTCTTGATGAGAGGAGATGGATAATGAGAAGACGAGGAGAAACGGGAGGCGAGTAATGAACGACAAGGAGAAATGAGAGAAAAAAGAGGTGAATAATGAACGACGAGGACAAACGAGGGAGATAAGAGATGGGAAGAGTAGACAATGAGGTGTAAATTCAAGGTCGAGGTGGATGAGGGAATAGGTACATTAGTATGGATGAACACTTCGGACGACGAGATCAACCATGTTGGCCATAAACTAAATCTGATTTCAGGACCAGGGTGCGGTAGAAAGGTGGTAGTGGCAGACAGCGGACCACGAGAAGGGAGATCTTGGAGATCAAATGTCCAAAGACATGTGAAATGATCAATGTCGGAAAGAAGGATCAACTTAGACTTAAAGATAGGGCGAGGTCGAAAGAATTCAGAAATGGAAGAAAGACTATACTCTGATCAAAATCAAACCTGCTTGTATTGGCCATCAATGGTCAGATGACTGAAGGGGTGGTGTTGGTGTTGGTGTTGGTTTCGGTGTTACTCGATCGACTCTTGTAATCTCAAAGTAACAACATAATGTTCATTCATGGTTCCTGGTCTAGACAGGTTTGAGATGAAGTCGTGGCTTGAGAAGAATGGAAGTGAGGATGGGAATGAGAAGAGAATTGACGTCAAATTAAGGTCGACGATTGTTCAAGTTGAAGGAAGGTGGTACGCCATAAAATAATATTGGCACGGCAAGTGCATCCAAGATTCGTCCCATATGTATATAACATCTCATCTCAACCGCTCGCTATTCATCAATCATGCTTTCGTACATGTCCTGTCTATGCTGATGCTAATGCTGATGTATAATGCTATCCTCCAAATTTCTCTCCTGGCTCAAGTTTGATCCATGGACAAGCCTGCCAGTCACAGCCCTGCTTATAGATCTCGGTCCCCCACCACTTGAAATTGTTCATGAGGCCGGGGTAGGCGAACCCAAAAAAGATGACCACAACCGAGATGGCCAGTCCTGAATCCAAAGCAGCAGACATAGTCATGGTATACTTGCCCCACCAGCCGGGGGCCCTTCTTCTCACCACATGGTTGAACGCAAAACACACCAGTCCCCAGATAGAAAAGTTCAGACCAGTCGCTGGAGGGATCCAGCTCAGACTCCCAAACAACACGGGAAAATTCACTTTGCGCCACATGCTCTTCTTGTTCTTTCTCCCCAGTATCCACGCACCGATCGGCGCCAGGAATCCGACGAGGAATGCCCACACCAATGGCCGGTACATGGCACCGGGGCCGAAGAATCGTTGAGGCCCGACCACTCCCCATAGAATGCTGCCATTGAAATGCACCTGAGCAATTGGACATTTGAATCCGTTCATTGCATACGGTGTGCAGATTCCCGGAATATTGGCAAACATCCAGTTGAGCACTCCAATCTGCACCAGACTGCTGACCAGGGTCGCCGCCATTTGCACTTTGAATAGTAGCATCGGAGGAATCTTCATATAGTGGCCCAGCTTCAGGTCAGACGAGAATTTGATTCCTTGTGCCGAACTGATGTAACAATAGGTCACAAACACCATGTTGGCCACAGGTCGACCGGGGAAAATAACCCCACAGATCAATTGGCAAATCAGGTATAGACTGCTGTGTTGGTTGGTGATGGCCATGACGATGCCGACCGGGATGAAAAGGACGGTAGTGATGCCCAATGCCAGCAAGAGCCCGTACCACGGGAGATGGACAGGGTAGTATTCCACCACAAAGATGCCCACCGCCAGCATCGACACAAAGGTTCCCAGGTACCACAACATGGGCACATCCTTGTACCGTCTCATCAGTCGATTGTGGACATCCTCTCCTCCAATTCGCATCTGCTGGCTGTCAATGCGCCGGAGATGATGCTCATTTTCTGACGTGGGAACCGTTTGGTATCCCTCGGTGGTCGCTTGCTTTTCACTCAAGGCTTGCTTCGATTGTCTCCAGATATCTTTGCCATGCCAGCAGGTGGTGTGGGTGATGAGTGCGGTCAATGACGCAAATTGTACGCCATACGACAAGACGTATGTGATTGGCAAGTAGACTTTGGAATAGTTGTCGTATGCATCCTTGTCGAACAAGAAATCCGGAGTGAGAATCTTGCTCACATCGTACATCTTGCCTCGGTTGTCGAACACAGCAGATGACAGAATCGGGAGATATCCTGAGAATAGGACATTCTTGTAGTAGAGAATGGGAGCCGCAATCCACATGACAATGCCCAGGCCGCAAAGAACGTTGGCAGCAGCCCACCAAGGCGTCAGCAATGGCGAGCCAATATATGCAATTTGAGCCCAATCAAATGTGACTGGGAACAGACCAAGGCCTGATGCAACACCAAACAGATTGGACACGACGACATTCTTGGGCGCAAACCACGTGATCACATTGAAGTAACTCAGCGCTGGCATCAAAAGACCAGGAACAAAGTACCAGAAGAATGCAACTGCCCAGACATAAATGAAGAAGCGGTATCGAGAAATGGACCAGCCATTGGCCATTTTGTTTTCGTTTTTATGCATTGTCGTGAACATGGCAGTCGACATGAGGGTTCCAGGCCAGATCATGGCTGCTGGACGTACCAGGAATCGTCGTGTTAATCCAGCGAACGCATAGCCCAGGATTTGAGTGGAAATGGTGAGTAGGAGTTGATAGAGAATCGGCACCTCCTGTTTATAGAACTTGTGTTGTTCGACAATGACATCGGTTGCAAAGGCGAACCCAAACGAGACATTGCTGCTGATATACACACAGGCGTGCTCTTTCTCATTCCACCGACCTTGAGAGAGCCACAAGCGCAGCCTCTGGCGGGTCGTCGTCCATGCATATTCAGGACCTGATTTCTGTAACGTGCCATCCACAAAGTCAAGTTCCTGGTCGTGCTTTCTCTTGAGGAAAAAATCCCACATGAGGCCCATGGGATGGACCAGCACCAGAGCAATGACGGGAGTGATGGCGACGCTGGGGTATCTGAGAGAGAAGAAGAGATTGGTTGCTGACCCACCAATGGCAAATATCAGAGATAACGTCCACATGCGGGGGGTGTTGATGGAGAGTGAGGTATTATCTGTTGCGGGCACAGATGCCCTGACTTCAGGATAAGGTGAATTGTCTGGAGGGTCTTCTGCCGATGGGGTGTAATCTATTTCCACCTCAGAACCACTACCCCCCGTACGAGTGCTGGCGTTGGAGGATTCGGCCTTGCCTTCAGTCATGTCTGGATTTATGGCAAAGGAAGTCTTGGAATCCAGGCCCATGCCCACCTCGCTAGCATTCGATGCGGATCGCTTTCGTAGCCACTCGGTACTTCTGGTCATTCGTCTGGGGTCTGCGAAATGACCATGAGCATCCGGCAAGTCATGAGCCGATTGTAATCGTTTGCCTCGACTCTTCTTCGAGCGTCTGATGGACCGCGGAGGGTTATCGGTGTCATTCTCTGTGTCATTGTCCGAACTCGCGTCTGAGTCAGATCTGGCGTTAAGTAGAGGCACCGCGCCGTAGGAACCAGTTCCCAGGGCTGGGGAGGATCGAATCAACAACGGATTGCGAGACATGACTGCGTGCCAGACGCGAGACAGGACGCCAGTTGGCCGTTGAGGTTGAGAGGGAGTTGTTACCGAACTGGGAGAGGAAGAGGAATGTTGGTGTATATCTCGTGTATGCAAGGGGTGGCCCGGATGAGAATGGGGCTCCGAATCGGCCAAAGCGACATGATCATCTTGTTCTGCAACAGCGAGAGATGTGTTCTGCAGAGGAACAAGTTCGAGATCGGACGAGTGATGAGACGGAGGATGAGATGCAGTAGTGGAGTGGGTTGATGTCGGGTCTGCAGTCATAGCATGACTTTGGGCTGCAAACGCACCAAACTACTTGGCTCGGTGTGCCTGGACAACGCAGAAGTGGCTAGACGTCTCGGAAGGTCAAAGACCAAAGTATACGCAATGCGTTAAGCATGGGATACGTATCACAAGAAAGAAAAGGTGGGTAAGGTGAGGGAGCAGATACCGTCTGGATGTTTGGATGGTGTCTGAAGGGGCAATGAAAATCGATTCAAGGAAGCAACAAGCGAACAACGGTGGGCAGGAGTTTTGGGGCGGGCTGGCGAATAGAGCCTAAGAAGAGCCTGTCTTATGTGGGAGCTCTAGGCCAGGAGCAATGACAGTGGCCAGGCGATTGGCCCCAACTCCACCAAGAACATGGGTGCAACAGGGGTGAAGGCACCAAGGACTGGTCCCTAAACGAGGCCGAGGCACCGAATGGCCAGGGGGTCACTCATCTGCAGTCTACGGAGGATCTGCTGATCTAGCGGCACTGATGGTGTGATGCAATCCCTCATACTGGCCACGTTGGAATTCTGATTAGCTGATTAGATTGATTAGATTATCGCCTATGATTCACTTGTTGCTTGGAGCTGTACCTCAGTGGATTGTTTGCAGATATATTGCTCATGTGAGCTGCGAATCATGAATATGTTTACGTTGTTGTAACACTGTACTACATGCTAGTATCACATCAGTACATCACGAGGCAAACAAGGTTCTTCGTGATCGGTGACAGTGGCAGGCCTGCAGCATGTCTGGCGCCTACCTTAGGTCCCTAGGTACTCAGATGGGGTCCCCTAAACCCTTAGGCCAAGCCCTAGGCATGCTACCTCCAATCTTGAGGTATGGCAGACGCCCCTCGGCCCCTTGATCCCTCATCCCACCACTAATCCATGCCCCCGTGCTCCCCTCGACCCTCCCATACCCTACAACGACCACACACATCCGAGTCTTATTCACACCGCCACCTGTCACTTTCGACAAGCGTCACATCCTCCCACTCCTCAACGTCCAACAAATTGCTTCACGACCTACAGGCTTCCGCCTCCTAGAAAGCTTTTTCAGATGTCCCGTGACTCCGATTTAGAACTAAATCTAAGGGAAAAGGAACATCGTCCACCCCACACAAAGTAGGTATTTACACATCATGACCTCATTGGTAGCATCCTGATAGAACGACCGTTGAGGCATTCGGATTCTCTCTCCTAGTCTATCTGACCTTGACCAGAACACGCGATACATCCCTCATGCTCTGGCTATGCATTAAAAACCTCCCACCTCTCCTCCCGCTCGCGTCAACATGTCGTAAACGCGTCCAGGTAGTTTGTACTTGACCAATCCTGCAAAGACCATCAAGTCCTTGGCCATATCGTTCAATTGGTCCTTCATGCCATCTGCGTCCCCTCCATAGCCGGCTTCCCATCGCCCATTTTGAAGGATCGTCTCGCGTTGTCCGCCAATAGCTCGCACCGCCCAAACAACGCTGATTCCAGCACAGCGCGCCAGGAGCTGTGGCAGTTGTCCAAATGCGTTGGCAGCAGATCGAATAATAGGGATTGATCCGTTCGCAGACAGCGGCAGAATGTCCAAATCGTTCAATTCCTCCAATGCTGTCATGTATCGCGGTGGGTTCGCTTCCAAATGTGCTCGCGCGGAAAGCAATTGAAGCAGTGCTCCGCAAACTTTTCGATTCGTCTCCGAGATCTTGTTGTGATACGCTGCGTTTTCATTGTAAAGCGAAACCATGTTTCGCGCCAACTCCACGGGTGATGATGTGGATTGCGTCAAGGACAACGACGACTGAGGCCCGCCTGCTTGTACGCTGATGGTTGACTCTGTTTGTCCATCTGCCCGTCGTGGTTTCAATGGCTGCAGCTGCAACGGCGAGTCGCCCAAGTCCAGGGTCACCGCGTCAGCGAGCGTCCGATTCAGCACACTGATGACATTGTCATAATCTTCACAGAGATGGTACAGCAGAACTGCATCCGAGATTTGTCCACGTTGATCAGCCGTTGCCGCAGACTGGCTTGTGATGTTGCGCAAAAATTCCGTCCGGCTCTCGAGCTTGATCAACTTAGCACGGACTTCAATAGCCCCTGCGATTCGTGTGCCGTCGCTGCGAATGTCTCCCAGCAACTTGGCGAACTCGCGGGTTTCAAGACAAAGTTCTCGCAAGCATTCATGGCAAGCGTCCGTCTGGACCTGTCCAAGGCTAGCCGGCTTCAGGTCGGAATTCAAACAAATTAGACTGAGATAGTCCACCGCAGCCACTGGCATCGCCGTGCGGAAGTCACCTGTATAGTGTGCCACCAATGGGACAAAGTTAAGCAAAGCTTGCTGCGTCGTTGAAACAGTCACTGCGCTCTGGTTAGTCTCCTCTCATGATCTAAAGCTCGCCGCACTCACATAGTTCGTTGCCCGCCACAGAAAAATCCGACACTCGGAGGAGGCCATAATACGCCAGGGCGATAGAAAAATGAACGGCGCTGACAGGATTAAATGTGTGCAGGTAGTCGACCGCTTGCTCAAATAAGCCACACAGGATCTGCATCAGGAAGAAGGTGCCATATGCGCTGGTGCCCTCAACCTGGTTCTTCTGAAAGTGCTTCTCTCCAATCTCCAAGAAAGCCTCGCGGATCTGCTCCAGTCCATAAAGCTCACCAGAGATCTCTTCCATCATTTCCGGCTCTCGAGCAATGCTGAACTGCAACCACAACCAGTCTTCAACCCCTTGCCCAATACTGTCCAAGCTCCTTGAAGACAAGTCGCAGCGTCCCACGATTTTGTAGCATGCCATTTGGTAAGGGTCCACATTCTTCCCTCCGTGTTTAGCTCGTTGGATCCAGTCGCCATTGACATACTCTTGTAGTTTGCGAGGAAGTCGTCGATCCGGACTCTCTGAGTATGCTTTCAAGTACTGAACAAACCGCCCACCCACAGACTTGAAAGCTGGGTCTGAATCCACATATTCGGCCGCATCTTTGACAAAGCCACATCGAAGCAGATAGAATATGAGTGCCCAGCAGTAATCGAGTTTGTTGCCACTGCTTGAGTCTTCTGTTTGTTGAAGCTCCATACCGTCCGGGGCCAGGTCTCGGCGTGCAACCCGCAGCCGGATATATGCACGAACGATGTTGATCACACTAGGCTGCCCACCCAGCGCTGCTTCTCTCGCGTTTTTCTCAATCAATGACTTCACCTCTCGCCAAAAGGACTTTTCGAGATGAACTCTCGACCCTGCCAGAATCTGCTTGTTGAGGTGGGTTCCATCATTCAGCTTCTTATCTTCGAGGTATGCGGGAGCGTAAGCTCGTTCCTTGATCGCCGACGAACTTTCCTTTGTAATTTCCCGTAAAGCATAGTAGGCATCGATAATTTGACGAGGGCTTTCACCCAAATGTTTCTCCTCCACCTCACCAAACCATTGCAAGAGGGGGACTTCAGAGTCTTGTAGCCTGGCATTGTTCAGCTGCTCCACCTTTGTGATAAACGCCTTTTCCCTCTCCCTCAAACCGCGAAGGCTTTGACCTCTGGACATGCCGCCAGCTGTTGAAGAGAGTCCGTCGGATTTGAAGAATGACGAAGCACCATTCACTGAGCCCGGAGCGCCGATCAACGACTTTTCAATGGCTGAGCGGCCGAAGACGCTTCGAGGACCCTGCGAAGCCCCGACGGCGCCATCCTTGCCACTTCGTGCTGTCCTAGCAAATGAACCCCCTTTTGAAGAGGCAAACTTGTCGCCTGCAGCATCGTCGGGAGGCACTAAGCCGAAATGTTCCATTACTCTGAGCTTTTGTTCCTCAAAATCGACGCCGAGGCTCTCTTCGATAAAATTGTCCACCTCACGATAGACACGTTCCATACTCTCTTTTAGCATAGCCTCACGTCCTTTGGTGCGCAGGTCGCGAAGGTAGGCGCTCGAATCTTCAGTAGCGAAGGTTGGAGCGGCTGCTCTTGATGACGAAACATTTTCATCGCCTCCCAACGCATGGAAGTCACGGTAGGCTTCTCCAGGTGCAACACCTGAGCCTGCTAGTAGGTAGTGCGCTCGGCTATCGCTAGTTGTTGGTCGAGATGTTTTGTCTCGATGTCGGATCTCTTGCGCACGTCGTGCCAAATCGCCCAGGTCAAGATTCAAACCAGCAAATTTCCCCTCCGCCTTTTCAGCTTGCAGTCGTGGTTTCTTCTTTTGTCTCTCTAACAAACTACTAAAGTAGCCAGCGTCTCGGGGTTGGGTAGGAGGTGCAGTCTCTGCTTGTTGAGCAGGCTGAGCAGGCTGGGTGGCGGCTGAGGCTCCAAAAAGAGAGGACGTCGGAGCCTGTTGTGCCTGGGCAGCATTTGGTGCAGGTGTGGTAGTAGTAGTGCCAAAGAGGCTGGTCGTTGCTGGAGCGGTGGTAGTGGTTGCATTTCCGAAGCTGAAGGATGGGGCAGATGTCTTCGCCGGGCCACCAAGGCTGAAAAGGCCACCAGACGAAGGGGCTGCTGAAGAAGTACCTAATCCAGAGAAAGGAGATGACTGGGTAGTCGATGGAGTGGGCTGTCGGGACATGGTAGAAGCATCGAAGATGGACTTGCGTTTGGCTGCTTGATCTGGAGCGCTTGTGTTGAGGTTCAAGCCTCCAAAAGGGCTACCAGAGCCTGTCTGGGCAGGAGTCCCTGATCCGAAGAGAGACATCCTGATTGAATGAGATTTAGCGCCTTACAAGACCTGTCGTCTTGGGCTGTTACTGCGAATAAACAGGCGCGTCAAGGCCATTGAATCCGCGTTGTTGATGAGGACAACTTTTTGGATGCTGACTGTAGTTACCTAATGCTTCACCCTAGTGCTTGGCATGATTTAAGGCTTAATTCGGGCAAGTGCCAAAATGCTGTGTGAACGTATGGATTACACGTGACGTTAAGAAGTAACTGCACGACAACATCTCCAACACAAGAGGCTGCTCCAAATCTCATGATTCTAAACAGTGTATTTACTTTTAATGCGAATCTCCCACTTGCGAATTCTCTGCAGCGACAATGCCTGTGTTTGAGACAAAGCCTTTCCGGGATGCTCGTGAGCAAGTCAACAATTTGGGCGACCGTCTAGGAGCCCTTTACCGGCGTCAAGTCACACACCATCCTTTCCTCCTCTTCGGTTTGCCATTCATCTCGTTGATGGTTGGTGCCTCGTTCCTTCTCACGCCCGCGACGGCGCTTCGATATGAGAAACATGACCGAAAGAACAGACAGGTCACCGACATGGAGGCAATGAGACTAGGTCTTAAGGGAGGAAAGGACGGCGAAGGTCGACTCCATTACAATCCACGGCGTCAAGTGGCTGCAGCTACCCCAACATCGGCAAGAGACGAATATTACAGACTTATGGCTAAGGATCTCGACAATTGGGAACAGAAGCGTGTTGAGCGATTCAAGGGCGAGCCAGATGGACGACTATGATGAGTTGACCAAATCAATGTCACAAGCCGCAGTTCGAGGTACTATGATCGGTTATTCAGCTGCTCGGCTGTAATTCAACCCCCAGATTCAGATTGCTGAGCAAGATGAGCTGAATGTCAAGCGTATGTTCTACATCTGACGCACAGAACGCATTCAGGAATGCGAGAAGCTTTTCGGAGCCGACAAGGGCCGCTAGCCATGACAAGAAGGCTTAATGCTGAGTGATTCGAGAAGGCACTTGATGAGCACACGCACATTTGGGGACAGCCATCACGTCAGGTGCTACTTTACTGTGAAATCACCGGAACCACGCATTGGAAAGCACCCATCTTGTGGTGTGTGAGAAGCGCTCGGGACTGATGAGGCATTCCTCCAAACCTGAATCCTCACCTAGAGCGCTTTCGGCAAAGAGCTTAGTGGTCAGAAATTGGCAACCAATCGGCAGATTTGGAGGGAGAATTGTCCCAACACCACGGCAGACCACGAGTCAGGCGTGCAAGGAGTGCATTGGATGCGGTCACAGGCCCAGGTCTGGCCGGGTCGACATGAAGCAGCGGGGCATAAGCGAGCAAGAAGATGACACGCGGATAGGTGGAAGCACGTTGAGGTCAATGCATGTGGATTATCTTGCTTGCACTTGCACGTCACTGCAAGATACCAGACAGAAATGTAGGATATCTACAGGATCAGAATAGGGAAACGCATCGAAATTGAGAGATTCGTATGAGTATTTTTGGCACTGAGATGAAAGGTGACTCGGTCTCGCGTGGGTACGCGCAGGACAGCCTCTGGGGAGACACCAAGTCTTACTTCGTGTGGGAGTGGAATGGAGACTGGCGACATTCGCTGACATATCGTTTCCGGCAGTTGCCACTCTTGATCCGTGCCATCCAAAGTGACGCCATACCTGATCGTTACGGTGCCCATCGGGCCTTTGGAACCACAATTATTCGGGTGCTTCTTATACGGGCATTAGGCTGACCTGTGGGCTTGGACATATTCTGAAACAAGAATGTGAGACTCACGACTCACCTGTGGTTGCTGTTATCACTCGATTGATGGTGAGTGGGTTAACGCGGTGCAATTGGGTCAAGATGGAGGAGAGTAGGCACCCACCTTAGATACCTACCTAGGTACCTACCTATCCTTGGTGTGTAGGTGTGCAGCGAAGAACCTTAGGTACCTACCTAGGTGAGCAGGTGCCTACAACGTACGGAGGAGGTACCTTGGAAGTTTCCGTTAGTATACGGGACGTGGAGGAAAGAGGTGAATGTCACTTGACTCAGATAGGGAGGTAAACAGAGTTCAGAACGCCCCAACAGGCTCCTTAGACTGGCGACCAGTAATTTTGATGATGTGGTAGTACGAGGCTTTACACTGGCAACACTGCAGACTCGAGGTGTAGCCCGTATGGAAACATTATTAGTGGACTGATGATTTTCCTCAAGTCAAGTTGTCTTCACGTGGTTTGGGATATCGAGGGTTCAAGGGTCTCCCCCCCACCATCTTCCTCGCCTACAGAAATAACCTACCACCAAACTCATATGGCCACGCACCCGGCTTTCGCTTACAAGTTGTGCAAGTCTGTCCTCCCGAACACCAGCCGTTGTTGATGTCATTCTTGCGGTCTTTACCGTCACATCAACCGTGCCACACTTTATTCGGTGGCTTCGTGTTCAGCGTCAGCCAGTAGTCGAAGATTCTCTTATTGTATCACCTACACTCACGCGACGTCTCATCAATTAGGAAAATGGTGTGAAGGAGACGATCCAGCTTTGAAAAGTATTCTTCGATAAAGATGGTTTATGGACACATGGTAAAGCGCTGTTATGCAGCACGCGGGCAGTACCTTATCTCCGCCGCCCACTCAGAGGTGTGCCTGGGGAAGATGATTTACAATCAATGGAATAAACCTTTGGTGAGTGCCACTAAGGGCAGACACTGAATGGCCTCGGGTGTGGAATGCATCCACCCCTGTTAAAACCCTGATTCTTTCCATTGGGTTGTGGTTTTTCCAGACCCAAAACCCTGAGCCGACTGCAGACAGAAGCGTGGCCCCAGGGGGGTCTGGCCAAGGTTCCAGACCTCGTTAGCAACAGCTAAACCACCATTAATATTGAGTGACGCTTATGCTACCCTGAAGATCAACAAGCACGACAAGACATGAACACGTTGGAGGGGTATGAGGGGCTGCATTTCAATCAAGCTTGTATGCTTGCATAGAGCATTCTTGCCATGACTACTCCGTATGTCGATATCCAGGTAGCGTATCTGCTTAGTATCTAGTCGCCTATAGGAGTCAAGCCATATGTGCCAGTTAAGGCGCCAAATGGGCCACACGGGGCCAGAAGTGCCATCTCGACGGTGCCCCTCGCCCCCCCCCCTCCCCGACCCAAGGGTTCTTGGGCCACTTGGGCGCCACAAACGGGCCATCTCCCCTCCGACCACGTCATTTTGATCCGAGCTGCACCAAATACTCTGCGCTGGACCGCCACTTGCGTGGTCGTTGGCTCTAGCCTGTCTGCGTAGGGCCGTGGGTGCCGTGGGCCCTTCGACGGTCAGGTCACAGTGGATGGTCACGGTCATCACGTTGGATTGGACGGTGGACTTCCTACGGAGTACAGACGAGGTTTTAACCGTCCACCGTCCGGATGAGTTGGTGGCTGCAGGCTGCAAAGCGCCCTTGGGAGGCCCCTCGGCCCCACTTTCAGCCAATTTACCCTGAACGAACCCTACCAGTCCCTGCCCATACCCGCATAGCCTCATCTACTCCGTACTACCAGTCGGCACTCTGTCTTTCTCCCATCCATCCCATCCCTGTTGTACTTTGGTGAGCAAAACATTCTCTCACCTTCTTTCCACCCAGAGAACTCTTTTCTTATGCCTCAATTCCGCTCATCATTACCTCAGACATGAATACACTGCCCTCTTGATTATTACATATCGACACCATGTCTCAACATACAACTACCTCTGGTCCGGCGCTCGCTAGGTCGTGCTCGCCTAGCAACCGATGACGTATCTGTGGCCGTTCTCGCCAGCCCACCCGACCAAACCAGTAACTTCCTTCAGCCCTGACCAGTGACCACAATCACCAACGACATCTGACTAGAATCTTTTGCCTCACTCGGTCTACACAAAACAATCCACCTCCACATCTCGAGATCCCAGATCGTTCCTCTCATTCCCCTGTCCTATTCATCACCTGACAGGATTTCCTCCTACATTCGGGCCATTGGCCCACCACCTGGTTTTCGTCATGTCCGCCGCTGCTGCCACTTCCTTCAAGTCGCCTCCCCATAGTCATTCTCACTCGCATTCTCGATCACAATCACACAATCATTCTCACTCTCACTCTCACTCTCACTCTCACTCTCACTCTCACTCTCATTCTCATTCTCATTCTCGGTCCTCTAGACCATCTACCACTCCTCGAGGCCCTCCTACCGCCATTTCTGTTGGTCAATCCATGCCACCTTTGCTCACACCCAATCCAAACCTTGAGACTCCCCAGCCCTCGATAGATCCTAAAAGCCCCAGTCCCAGCTACTTCGGTTTCGTCGTTGGCACCGACGACTCTATACCGCCCGACTCTAATCCTGGCATCCATGCCCGACAAAATTGGACCTTCCCTTCCTCTTCCCAAAGTACTCTGCCCACTCCGCGCCATTTCCCAGTCGAGTCCAACCCCGATTTCGAGGCATTCCGAAGGCAGTCAGAACACAACCATCGCTTCTCCTTAAATACCTCAACTTCCTCCCTCGGCAGGCCATCACAATCGAGAAACCCCTCCTCAGGTTCGAACCTTGATACTCCCACTTTCCCTTTGAGCAAAAGGCCACATCTTGAAAGGAGCGCCCAGACAAAAGATGGTTCGCAATCACAAGACCACCCCATGGAAGGCGTTTCTTTGTTTGACCTCCCCAGGCAGTCTTCGCCACTCTCCTTCAATCATCCAAACAGCGTCGCAGAGCATCAACATGCCAGATTGTCCCTCCCCATGAACGGCGTCCGCACAGCTCCCGCTTTTAACACCCTGAGACAAACCCAACGCTCAGACACAGTTCCTCCTCTCCCCGACACAGAAGCGAATCCACTCTACTCTCCCGTGGAAATCGGAGACCTGATAAGGACCAACCCTCAGGACGTCCTAGTTCTGGACCTCAGAGTCTACCAGCAGTATGCCGCCTCGAGAGTAAAGGGCGCCCTGAATTTATGTATTCCAACGACGCTTCTAAAACGACCTGCATACAATGTTCAGCGTCTTGCCGATACCTTCACTTCTGATCACGATAGATGCGTCTTCGAACGATGGGCTACTTGCAGCCACATAGTCGTTTATGACTCGAACTCTTCTCTGACCAAAGATGCAATCGCTCCTTTGAACGTCCTTAAAAAATTCAAGAGCGAGGGTTGGAAAGGAGATGGGTGGATTGTCAAAGGTGGGTTCTTGGCCTTTTCCAAATTGGTCCCCGACTTGGTCGACTCAGGTCCTGTTGCATCCGGACAGGGGGCATCGACACAGTCCTTGTCGATATCTGCCGGTGGTAAAGAGACTCTTGCCGTCGCAGGTGGCTGCGCCATGCCAGCAGAGAAGTCAGCAGCGAATCCTTTCTTCGGAAATATTCGTCAGAATATGGACCTCTTGGATGGTGTAGGACAAATGCCTATCAAACAGCCAGTAAACATGACGTCCACCACCGAACGACAGCTGCCTCGCTGGCTCAAGCAAGCCTCGGCCAAGAATGATCAAGGCAAGGCCGTTTCGGAAAGATTTCTGAAGATTGAGCGCTACGAGCAAAAGAGAATGCAGGAAGCTTTGAGTGCCAAGGTCTCCTACGGAACTCCTCGATCAGAGCGGCCGTCCAAAATACAAGTTGCCGGTATCGAGAAAGGCTCCAAAAACCGATACAACAATATCTTTCCTTATGACCATTCGAGAGTCAAGCTACAAAACGTGCCACAGGGAAGCTGTGATTACATCAATGCCAGTCATATCAAGGCAGAGTTGTCGAATCGACACTACATCGCTACCCAGGCTCCCATCCCTGCTACCTTTGATGACTTCTGGCGAGTTGTTTGGGAACAGGATGTGAGAGTAATTGTCATGTTAACTGCCGAATCCGAGGGTGGTCAAGTAAAGTGCCACAAGTATTGGACTCCAGGTGTTTATGGCTCCCTCAAATTAAAACAACTTTCCGAGAAGAGGATCGTCTTGCAAGAAAAGAAGCCATCAACGAAAAGCCCACAAACGACATCTCGGCCGTCTCTTGGTGCCCGAAGGTCAACCACAGCCAACATCACCATGGAAGATGACAAGTCGGCTGCAAAGTCGACAAGTATTGTTGTGCGACACCTTGCATTGAGCAATTCATCGCAACCCTTCCAACCCCTGCGAGAGATTACTCAAATCCATTATTCAGACTGGCCTGACTTGGGAACCCCAGCGAGCCCATCTGAACTTCTGGCACTGGTAGAACAAGTTAACAAATGTATCCGGAAATCGTCTGCTCAAGACGTAGGGGATGTCGCGCCCGAGGGACAACGACCTGTGTTGGTACATTGCAGTGCCGGGTGTGGACGAACAGGCACATTCTGTACCATCGACTCGGTTATCGACATGTTGAAACGACAGCAGCTCTCTGATAAACATGGTCATCCTGACAAAATGGATGTCGACGGTGGAGATGACTGGCTGTCTCGAGACGACACGGATTTGGTGGCCAAGACAGTGGACGATTTCCGCCATCAGCGACTGAGCATGGTACAAAACCTTCGACAATTCGTCTTGTGTTATGAGAGCGTTCTCCAGTGGCTCGTCTCTCGTAGCAACGAATCGCAACCTCAGAAGCGGCCGAGCATGGCTGACAGTAGGCGGAGTTATCAAGGCAGCTACGAGATGAGAAGCTGAACTGGTCTGCATGTGCATCAAGCAAGGTTGATTTATGACTGAGCATATGATTGTGAACATCATGGACACTATTTCGGACAATGGATCGATTATCACTACCTGACTTCGCAAAGATTCGCATTCGGTTTCGGCGGTATTTGTCCTGTACGATTGCTCTAGGGAATGGGTTATGCATAGCGGACGACAGGGTGGCAGGCCCATGTCAATTTACGACCAGTCTTAGACCAGAACTATATTACTATGTCGTCGAGCCTCTAGTAATTACGAATGCATGTGTTTTTACCTTTTCCGCATTTATGATCTGATGGTATCCATTGAGGCTCTATGACAACACCGTGAAACTCCAAGCATGCTCTAAAACCACATCCCAAAGGGACACAATTCTATCAACCCCTACCCAGTCATACCACAGCTCGCATTACTTTCAGCGTTCCAAGCCAAATGCAAAAACGATTCAACGGTAAAAACACACTCGAGACAACAATAACACCGAAAAACTAGACCGGCTCGACTTGTCGACGCCATAGCATGAAACCCACCAAAAGGAGAAGAGAACCCATGAAATGCCCCTCCCTATAACCCACGCAGTCAATCAATGCTTCACTCCAGTCTCAAACTCACTCCAGGTGGGTCGTATTAAACAAGCGATTTCCCGTATCCGTCGATCCTTTGCCCGTGAATGAATTGTGCGAAATCCTCAATGCCGCCACTGTCGTATGACTTCGAGAAGCCTCGCGAATCTTCCGAAACGTAGGAATCGCATCGATAAAGAGCACTCCCGTCACAACAAAAATACGAAACTGCCTACCCAAATTAAGCTCCTTATCCAAAGCATAAACCCGTTCGAGAAACCCAGTCACTGTCTTCCCAGTATTGATCACCGAATCCACCAAGATAATCGCCTTCTTCCCCTGGATATGGCCAGCCTGAATATCCTCAGGAGTCTTCACATGGAGAAACATCGCACTGGGGAAGGCGTCGTTGACTCCAAAAGCCATTGGTTCTCCACTACGCATTATTGCGGCAATGATGGTGGATGATTCATTCTTGAGTCGATATCCGGGTACGGTATGTCCTTGAACATGCGTGATGTCGTATTCTTCGAGGCCGATAACATCGGCAACGCAGTCGATGGCGACAAAGTAGCCAAGTTGTCGGTGAGCTTCGCGCAGGGCGGGGCCGGAGATACCGGCATCGCGGGTGCGTGTCATCAGGAGGAGTTTGGCCTTGTGGTCCCGGGCGTAGTGGACTACGTTGGTTTTAGGCCGGCTCATGATTTCGTCCCGAAATTCTTGGTCTGCGATGTCACATGTTGGGAATTCGGTTGTGTCGAGTCGTGGTGTAGCATTGGGGGTCATGAGCACCTGGTTTGCCCAAAAGCCGTCTTCGGTGATTGCTTTAGCAAGAACGTCATCCATGCTCTTGCTTCTTGTTTCTTTATCGCCAACGATGATAAAGGCCTCGTCTGCTACTTTCATCATTGGCATGTCAAGTGGACTGTTTCCGAATGCCAACACTTCGAATCGGCCAACTTCTTGTATGTATGAGACCAGAGAGGCCTTGATTTCGGGGGTAATGACTAAGGCGTTTGAACCTCGTCCTGATCCCATGACGACAACTTTACAGCCTGGGGCTTGGTTTTGGAGTACTTGTTTCCATACCTTCTCTTGTCCACAAGTGATGACAAGGATAGTGGCCTGTTCACTGCTGTCGGTCCATTTAATGAGAGGTAGAATTGCAGGATACAATTCAACCTCGCTGGCGACTTGCTTGCAACAAGCGTCATAGTCCTTGTCGTCAAACGCCTCTCCGTAGATCAATGCAGCCTGTCGAAAGGCCTTGTACGAGTGCCCCATAGGACCTGAGAAAACTTCATTGATCATGACATCTCCTGGTCGTGGTGGACAAGTAGTTTGGAGGCTGGGGTCTTTCCACATCATCTTGCCGGTGTCCTGGGGAGTTAATGTGCCATCCGTATCCGTGGCAATGACCATCCAGTCGGGGGCGGGTTCGGGAATTTTATTCACTTGCTCTTCAAGTAGTTCATAGAGAAATTGCAAATTTTGCTTTTCTGTGAGAAGACCAAAATCTTCCAAGAATGGTGTAATGACCTCTTCCATATTGGAAGAGAAAGGCAATACTGAGAACAAAATTCCATCGTCTTTGCAGAGCGACCGTAGTTCCGCTTTCTCAGTCTCCTGCCAAGAACTCAACTCTGGCGTAGTTATCTTTGGTCTTACGCATGTGGTGTCATTCAGGCGACGTTGTGCAATCTCCTCAGCTGGTACGTCGAGGTACAGAATATGGGAGAATGTCTTTCCGTCCGCTTTTGTCCAAGTCCTCTCACCTCCGGATTTTTTCTCATCCCAGAACATGTAATTTCCAGTGACAACGACGATTTTGCCTTCGTCGACGCAGATTTTTCGTGCCGTTTCAATGGCAAGCTCTCTGAAATACTCCTTCTTGTTATTGAATAGTTGCCGGAACTTTGTGCGGCCTGAAGGGACAACGGCACGTATCAGGTCGGAGCCTTCGAGGAAGACGATGCTTTTGAGCTTGGCAGCGGTTCCTAGACTTAGCTGTTTGAGGAGAGTCGATTTGCCGGATCCTGGTAGGCCATAAAGGCCAATGATAACAGGATTCTCCTTGACTGTTTTCTGATGTGCTTCTGATCCAATAGATGTTGAGAAGCTGCGCGAAGCGCCGGAAGTAGTAGCCATGGCGACTGTGGACTATTCTATTGATCTTAGATCTTCGTTAGAGAGCGTGTAGCAAATGGTGAGAACTAATAAAATGTGTGAACTGCAAAGCTGTAGTTTAATGTCTAAGGTCGTGTCTGAGATGAACTGAAGGTCGAAGAAGCTGGCTGAAAAGCTTTATTTATATAGGTCTGCAGTGGCAGCGACAGTCACAAATGCGGTTGTAAATGTGCGTCTGACTGACGATCCAGAATGACTCCTCATGGTAAAAAACAATCATTGACATCAGTTGATGAGACATGATCTGCGATGAGTGATCTGGTCCTGTGAATTGAATTCGAATGCGCGTTTACTCACTTGCTCGTGAATTTGAATCTCACCCTCCGTGCGTGCGACTTGATTCTTACCTGTATAGCCTAGGTCTCCATAGCATCATGTCTTGCACAGTCAAAAACCATAGACGCAGTAACGGAGCTGAGAGGAAAGAACGTGAATTTAAGGTCAATCACAGATTCCCCACTCGTGGAGTGGAAGGAGTCAGTCATCTTGACAGGTATGAAGGAGCCAGAAAGATGAATCATATCATCTTCGTTGTTAAGTTAACGAGGGAAGACGCATCATCAAGGGAGCCAGGGGAAGCATACGCTAATAACTAATTAGGCATGGTGTTGCGAGGCTGTAGGAAACCTATTGGTATATATATCTCCCGCTGCTCCACTTCTATGCCTTGTGCGCTCCACTATACAAGTATATATACATATCCAGACTGGATGAAGGCGGCAAGCATTCTGCGACAAGCAAACATGCAGAATCCCGCGATTTAGGCCAGGATCTTGTGCAATGGCACGGCAATGTCCTACCTCAGACCACAGGATGGGACCCTGCCAGATACCAAAACATCGTCTGTTCCAGGCTCTCGCGCTCGATTGGCACAGTAATGTCTTACACCAGATCGCAGGATGGCGACCCTAGGCGACATCAAAAAGATCATCTCTGGGCGAGACAACTTCTTCACACGATCTAGCTTATGTGAATGTCGAGCAAAATTCGTCGGTCTTGTGAATCTTCGATCTGCACTCTAGGTCCTTGTCAACTTCAACCAGAACACGCTGTTCTTGCAAACCTTTCAACAACACTCTTGCTTCTACGGCATCGAGCTTCAGGGGTCTCTCAGAGATGACAAACGCATCGACATCCGGCGGAAAGTCGTGCCTTCGACGAATCACAGGCCAAAATGAATTCGATGATGTGGACAAGTGGCTCGGAGAGAAGCACTGGCAAGGCATGATAGCCTACCGGGTTGTTGCTGCTGGGGTGGTTCCTGCTGAGGATACACGCAAAGACATGTACCAAAAGCTTGAGGTAGGCAGTCTCTCCCAAGTACCAAGAGCCACATAACTGAGTTTCGTGCAAGGATCTGACCAGAGATGAAATGACTCGCTTCAATTACGAAGAATTCCTCAAGGACCTCTACGATAAAGGTATCATTACTGAACCGGCCATTTACGAAGCGGGCGAGCCTAAAGCTGCAGAGTCGTGCTTATTCCGCCTCATCGGAAAGATCATACTGACAGGAACACCTGCACAAAAGAGAGCTCTACTCGCCACCATGAGCGGCAAGCCTGCTCCTCAGGGAGAAGAAGGTTTAGACTTGGTACCAGCGACTCCAACACCAACTCAAGGTCGGAAGCGAAAGCATGAAGAGGTGGAAGACCTGGCTCCGTATAGCATATTTTTGAACGAGTATGCCTCCCAGGCTGGCGTCATATTAAAATTCGACTACACCAACATAGCCATGTCTCCGCCTCGCTTTCGTTGCAGGATAACTCTAGAAGATGACACGTACACAGGAGAAGCAAGAAACAAGAAGACTGCCAAACAGGTTGCATGCCGAGATGCCTGTGTGGCTCTCAACTTACACTTGAAATGATCTATCTCATCACGAGATGAGCGAAGCCGTGCTACTCTTGGATATTTATTCAATTCAGCAAGATATTCCCTGCCAATCATACAGTCACGATGCATGCACCGACCCAAGAAGGTGGATGGGACAAAGAAGTTCCCAGGCAGCAGCTGTGCTTAGTGCAGACGACAGGTGAAGTAGATTGGTCAGCTCTTGAATTGGAAGATTTGTTTACGGGACGATGTGTTCGTCTTACCGACGCTCCTCGTCCTCCTCCTGGTCACCGGGTGCTTGTGCCTGTGCTTGTGCTTGTCCTAAGCAAGACATATAGCTGGGATGAGAATGGCTGAGGTTGCGAATACCCGCTGAGATAGGAAACAAGGAAGCAAATATCACCACTGAACTGCGCCTGTTTGTGGTTGCTCAATTGGACCAAGAGAAGCTACAAGCAAACACAATGAAATCCAATATAAAAGTCCCAACCAGGGACGTCCATGATCTTCGTGATTTGTATTTCGAAATGCCACTCAACTACTCTACCAGAATAATCCATCATAAGTCATTGCTCATCTCGTCCATCCACAGAAGTCTATTCACGGTGAACAGCAAGGAGCAATGTCTTCCATTTTCGTCGATACCCCGAGCTTGGTGCGCGATCTACTCAAGGCCATCGAAACCTGCCCCGTGGACCGACCATTCCTCTTTGTCGATCTCGAAGGCATTAACCTTTCCCGCCACGGATCAATTTCTATCATGCAAATACTGATTCCGGCAACTGGAGTGGTCTATCTTGTCGATGTTGTGACACTAAAAGCAGAAGCCTTTGACACAGCAAGCGACAGTGGGCTGACATTGAAAAAAGTCTTGGAGTCCGAGACAATTCCCAAAGTCTTCTTCGATGTCCGAAATGACAGCGATGCTTTGTTCAGCCACTTCGTCATCTCCCTGCAATGTGTCGTGGACATCCAGTTGTTGGAGCTTGTAACTCGCCCTGGGCAAGGCAGATATCTCCGATCCCTGTCAAAGTGCGTTGAAGAGAACGCAGGACTGGCTCGGACCGAGCTGAGACAATGGCAGAGCATCAAGGAGGCTGGCAAAAAGCTTTTTGCACCAGATAAAGGAGGAAGCTATGAAATGTTCAATGCTCGGCCACTTCCTGCGACCCTCGTGCAATATTGCGTTCAGGACGTATTGCTTATGCCAAAGCTTGTGTTGAAGTTTTCCGCCCTGTTGTCTGACACCAAGGCGAGCAAGGTTGCGCAAGAAACAACACGAAGGATCCAAGAGTCTCAGAGTGCTTCATACCAGAGCCATGGGCGGCACAAAGCCATTGGGCCACAATTTCAAAACATGAGGTAAGCAAGATACATTCATGGATTTCGTTGAGTCAAATCTAACGGTGGAAAGTGGATTCCCCACATTGTCACATCCGATGAATATCGTGCGTTCTCCATCCTTACTTAGGGAGTTCTGTACTTTGGCAACTTAGGAGGCGATATTTGGAGAGGAAGAAAGATGTTCCAGAGGTGAATTGTCATTTTCTCCAAAGTCGGTAGCTTTCAGCTTCCTTCTTCAGTCTGGTGTCCTTGTATTGAGAATGATTAGGCGCTAGGATTCAAGAGAATGTAGTGTAAAACTGATGCCCCCACGCGATTTTCTCTCAATCTTTCACTTCTCTCTGGCCAGTAACATGACTGCTCCAGGACTGATTCCGCAAGACACGCCGGAGGCTCGAGTGAATTGAAGGACAGCCTGACCCCGGCGACAACAGCCTAACGATCCTTAGTCAGGTGCTTCAGCAGCAAAGACGCTGATTCTGTTGTCTCCTTGGGCGGATTCCCGTTATCCTAGCATGGGATTTATAATGACTACGTCGATCGTGGTATATTGACGATAGTTCTCCGACTGTGTTGATGACCGTGGTTCTTGTACCGCGCATCTATTTTTCTCCGCCCCCGCCTCCCATTGTCAGCAGGACGAGAATCAAACCGACCCACCAATATTTTTGAAGGAGGGACTTCTCCTGTTGCGGGTCCTCGACGATCTCCCGTCCGTCAGCGCCAACCACAGGAGGAGCTCGAGTAGCCAAAGTAGGAGCGAGGCGGGCTTGAGCAGTCATGAGGTTGACTTTGATCGGTTCAAACAGAGCGAGTTGTCGAGCAGCCTCTTCTCTTGCCTTCTTTGAATTTGGAACAGGGGGTCTTGCTGGAATGGGCTTCCCCTTTGCCTTTGCCCGAGCGACCTTTTTCTGGTATCTTTCTTCTTCTGGGGTGAGTGGAGGGGGTGTCAAAGGGGAGACTGAGGCGGAGAACACTGATCCATCGTCTGGAGATAACCACAGATCAATCTTTTGGTGGAGGCCCTCACTAAATGTGTCGAGAGTGGTGACGGAGGATGATCCATCAGGAAGGAGAATGCGGACGAGTTTGGATGAGGTGGCCCCTGCAGTGGCGGACTGGGGAGACGCTGGAACAGGCGGGGACCAGGAAAATAATGAGTGTTTCCGTTCAGTGGGGTCATACGATATGGTGACGAGTGGTTTGACAGGAGAATCAGTAGGAGTTACGAGTTGGTAAGAGAGGGTAGCGGATTTCTGGTAGTGGACTGGGGGTTCGTTCGCAGCCAGGGCGAAATTGAAGAATGTGAACAGCAGCAGCACGAGGCTGCGTGCTAATGGAATCGGCATGATACGCGAGTGGAGTTGCGAATGCCGATGTCCTTTGTGAGACTGGCGAGGCCCTATTCCATGATATGAAGATGCTGATGTCGATGACCAGATTAGCATCGACGTGGTTGTGGCCCAGAATGGAAGGTGTGGCGAAGCTATGTCGAGCTAAGGTAAGAAGTTTCTCAAACGATGGCTCTTTCCGTCTGAGAAAGATATTACATCTAGGTAGGCAGGCACCAACACGCTCCTTCCTTCACTACCTCCTGTCCAAAGGTAGTCGCGCCTTCCCTTCACTCAACCCAAGGCGCAGGGTGCGGTACAAAATGTAGTGAAAATGGATTTCCTCCAAGGCTCTCTTGGAGGCTCTAACCTCTCCTCGTCCAACGTTCTGAATGACTTTGGCTTTGACCTTGGCGACCTCTCAGATCCTGACCAGCTGGACAACATGGCATCCACCTCTTCGACTGGTACTGCTGGCCAAACCATCAATGAAAAAGACAAGATTCATCCAGATATCGCCCCAGACCTCGAGATTCATCAAGCGTTCATGCGCCAAGCCATCAATGTTGCGGAAGAAGCCCTCGCTGGTGGTGAAACTCCTGTTGCGTGTGTCCTTGTTCGCGATGGCGAGGTTGTCGCTCGTGGAATGAATGACACCAATCGATCTCTCAATGGCACTCGACATGCCGAATTTCTCGCCATCGCCGAGTTCCTTTCCAAATTCCCCATTACCGAGTTCAAAAACACCGATCTCTACGTCACCGTGGAGCCATGCATCATGTGTGCTTCGGCTTTGAGACAATACGGAATTCGATGTGTTTATTATGGCTGTGGCAATGATCGATTCGGTGGGAACGGAAGTGTTCTAGCAGTCAACTCTGACAAGGGACTGGAAAAGGGATATCCGAGTTACAGTGGAATCTTCCGCAAGGAGGCCATCATGTTGCTACGTCGGTTCTACATCCAGGAGAATGAAAACGCACCAAACCCTAGAGCCAAAGGAAATCGAGAATTGAAGCCTGTGGTCTGAATGAGGAGGTTGCCGCAGATGGTGATTACGGAATCAGGGCAGAATCAGCCCGAGGGTTGAACGTCGAGAGCGGGTTTCGGCGAGGTGTCAATCGAACAATGAGACATTCAGAAGCATAAAGAAATGGTGCAAGCAGGTGATTGTTTGCAGTGAATATGTATTAGCCTGTCAATCTGGCACCCATCGAGTGTACTGGAGAGTCGAAGACAATACCAATCAAGTGGCTTTTGAATTAACTTCTCTTCTATTGCTGACAATTCATCGTGATCATTCACGTGGATGAATAGAAGTACAGTTCGCTAAACTTTCTTCTTATAGTACTTGACTTTTGGGTTGCTCCGTGATGAGTGGGCTCCAAGTGCCCCAAGAGCCCCAAGTGGCGACGCTAAGGCGGCTAAACGGGCAGATGGCAGAACTTAGGGGCAAGGGACCCCCTATAAGCCAGGCGTTACGGGGGTGCCAGGCGGTGCCAGGACAGCAGTGGGGAGTCTTTTAATAAGCTGGTGCCAGTCAGCCGGCGCGCACCCGCAGGATCGTGATCCGTTCGCAGAGGCTAAAATAAGGTGACGAGCTTTTGCCAGCACATTTCTTGAACTGCCTGACGGTATTGCCTTTGACTTGTCTGCTTGATTTTTCTACAATCTCTTGCACTACCTTTGTTCAATCTCTTTCACTTTCACTTTCACTTGATTAATTTTCAGCAAGTCAAGTCGATTCAGCATCCTCGTCCCTCGTTGCTATTGTCTTCTGTTTCCCAGACGCGCCGCGTCATTCATCTACCCTCCTCCTCCTTCTACCTCGAGTCATTCGAGATCGATCTTATTCCACTTTTGTTTCCGTCACCAACACAACTCTCCATCCACCTGCAGCATACTGATCATGTCTGCTACGCGTACAAAGAAACCTGCGGCTTCGGCTGCTACTACTGCCAAAAAGGCCGTCAACTCGACGAAGAATCCTGTCCCTGCGTCCAAAAAGACTGTGCAGACAAAGACAGCAAAGGTCGAGACAAAAGCTACCACAAAGACTCAAACTTCGAGCAAGAGAAAAGCTGAAGAGGTTGAAGAGGAGCCAAAAGTCAATGGTATCAAAAGAGTCAAGCCTAGTGCTACCACAACCAATGACGAGGACAAAGCTGTCAAGACCGTCAAATCAAGTCCCCCTAAAAAGACTGCCGCGTCGAAAGCTCCTGCAGCGACGAAATCCAGAGCTAAAAAGGGCCCTGTGAACAAAGCCCCGACCGAGAAGCTGAACGTGTATGTGTTTGGTGAAGGGTCCTCGGGCGAATTGGGCTTGGGCAGTGCCAAAGGTCAGACCGAAGTCAAGAGACCGCGTTTAAACCCCAATTTGAGCGCCGATACGGTCGGAGTGGTCTCCTTGTCGGTCGGTGGAATGCACACAGCTGCTCTGACCCATGACAACAAGATCCTGACCTGGGGAGTCAACGATCAAGGTGCTTTGGGTCGGGATACTACATGGGACGGTGGTTTACGCGACATTGCCGGAGATGGCAGCGATAGTGACGACGATTCTGACAGCGGCTCCGACACTGCCGTCAACCCCAAGGAATCAACTCCAGGAGAAGTCGACATTTCCGAACTGCCTGAGGGTCTCGTCTTTACCCAGGTTGTCGCCACCGACAGTGCAACCTTTGCCCTCACTACTGAAGGTGATGTCTACGGCTGGGGCACATTTCGGTCCAACGAGGGAATCTTTGGCTTCGACAGTAACACCCTGATCCAACTCCGACCTAAGCTCATCAAAGGCCTCAAACAAATTGCCTCACTTGCTGCCGGTGCCAACCATGTGCTTGCGTTGCAACACAACGGGATTGTCTATGGATGGGGCTCTGGCCAACAGAACCAGTTGGGGCGAAGAATTCTGGAACGAAGGGCCACCAACAGCTTGATTCCCATGCCCATCGGCCTACCCAAGAAAATCGTCAATCTCGGTGCAGGCGCTTACAATTCATTTGCCGTGCGTGAGAATGGCGAGGTCTATTCTTGGGGCTTGAACAACTTTGGACAGACTGGCATTCCTAAAGAATTTGATGAGACCGGCGCCAGTGTAGGGTCGGATGTTCATGCCCCCGAGGCAATCAAGTCATTAAAAGGAAAGGGCAAGGTCACTTGTATTGGGGGAGGTGCTCACCACACCGTTGCAGTCACCGATAAAGGTGAGCTCCTTGTCTGGGGACGCTTGGACGGCAATCAGCTGGGCTTGAAAGTGTCAGACCTCCCTCAAGACCAAGTTGTTCGCGACACCGCAGGGAACCCACGTATTCTGACGATGCCGACACAAATCCCCGGCATTGATGCTGTCCAAGCAGCCGCTGGCTCCGACCACTGTGTTGCCATTGACCGCAAAGGCAAAGCGTACGCATGGGGATTCAGCACGACGTTTCAGACTGGGTTGGGAACCGACGATGATGTGGAACTGGCCACTCAAATTGATAACACGGCAGTTCGAGACAAGAAATTGGTTTGGGCAGGTGCCGGTGGGCAATTCAGTATCATTGCAGGCCTGGCACAGGTCCCTTTGACCAACGGAGTCAATGGACATGCTTGAGAGACACGAGATTGGTGAAATTTATTTCTTTGTATACTAGATCTTGTCTCCGAAGCGGATGGTTGGAGGGAGACACACTTCTGCCAGGATGCCATGCGCTGTTGAGGGCTGGGATGAGTAACACAAGTCGACCAACAATGATAGAGCTAGCTTGGGGATGGTCTAGCTGACGATCGAGCTCAAAAGTGGCTGATGAGCAGCACAGCGTTCAGTGCTTGTTACAGTAATTCAATATCGGGTTTTTCTTTGGTTTGTGGTATGTGCCTTCCTTGCCTAAGTAGTGTATTTGGTTGATGGGAGAAGAGGTCGCCCCTAAAAAACCCCTTGATCCTCCAACTTTAGGGGGGACAGAGAGCCTGAAGAGCCCGAGGGGCCACAGAGATCACTGACACTTAGGGGCAACATGGCACTCAATACCTCCAAGCCCAAGCTATATCTTGTACCTACAATAATAATCAAAAGTCCTTTCTTTATTGGTCCGGTACCTGAAATCATCCACCATCCACTCCCGTCCAAATCCAACCGCTGACACCACATCTCCATCCACCATACCAACTTCGTTCAAGATCCCCATCCATCCAACCCCTCTTCAATCCTCAATGCCATGGCATCATCCCGATGCTGACCCTCTTGTCCCTCATTTCGGTTCTCCAAAAACCATGTACGACATTCGACTTCCCCTCATCAAGGGATCATCCAAGAGCCGAGCTTCATTCCTCAAAAGAGGCACAATGTCTACCCAAGGGAGGATTGATGCCGGTTACCATTGACCTCTGAATCATTGAGTAGGACTTCTATATTAGAAATCGATATTGTTTGATCCGTAGGACTGACTGACTGACTCTCTATCTCATTTCATATCCCTCTTCTTATCTCTCAACGATAGCAGAATCTAACATTTTATCTTTACTATCACGATCGAGTACATTTCTACTTACCCCTCACGCATTGATCGCTGTCTCTATTTCAATTATTGCACTGCCAACGAAATACAAACCACAACCACCAACATGAGCTCCTCCGGCCCCCCTGTCCCATTCACTTCCCTCCCATTATCCAAAACCCACGCTTCCGCCCGCCTCAACGCATGGGGCGCATACGGCGACAATGACGAACTCGGATTCCTGAACCGTCAAACCCCGTCCCTCATCGCCGCCGCGGCCGCCAGCGAAATCCGCACTGGTGTACGCGTCAAACTCGACGCCGCCCTTGACTTTCAAGGCGACAAACCATTGTTCGGACGACAAATCTTCCAAAAGGACGTCTACCAGAAGAAACCCCGCGTTGTCCACGACGACACATGGACATTCAACACGCAAAGCTCTTCCCAATGGGATGGACTTCGACATTTCGGATATCAAAAGGCAGGTCGGTTCTATAATGATGTAACGGTGGAGGATGTTGCAGGACAGGGAGAAAAGGGGAAATCGAATCCTAATATCCTCGGGATTCATAAGGCGGTTGAACAGGGAGGGATTACTGGGAGGGGGGTTTTGGTGGATTTTAGGAGATGGATGGAAGAAGGACCAGGAAAAGAAATTGTGGCGGCGGAAGGCGGGTTTACGAGTTTCCAAACTTCGGGGATTAAATTCAAGTGGCTGTTGGAGACGTTGAAGTGGCAGAATAATACGGAGCCAAAGTTTGGGGATATACTTCTTGTGAGATCGGGGTTTTTCAAGGAGTATTATCGAATGTTGGAGCAGGAACCGGCAGAGTTGGATCGATTGACGAATATGTCGCCGCCTGGGTTGGGTGGTGTGGAACAGAGTGATGAGGTTTTGAAGTGGATTTGGGAGAATTTCAGTGCGGTTGCGAGTGATCATCCCAGTTTTGAGCGTTGGCCCACGCCGTTCGATTGGTCGATGCATGAGGTTTTACTGGGTGGTTGGGGTTGCAATATTGGTGAGTTGATGGATTTGGAACAGTTGAGTAAAGAGTGTGCTAAACAGGGACGCTGGTCTTTCTTCGTGGCCAGTGTTCCAAATTATGTACCTGGAGGTGTGGCCAGTCCTGTCAATGGAGTGGCTATCTTCTGAGCAATGACTGAAATTGTTATACATAAGAGAAAGTCAATAGGAGAAATGGAAAATAAAACATATCATCATGCTTCTCGTGGTTCTCATGTTGATTCCATGTGCACAACTCCCACTCCTTCACCAAGACTGGGACCGGAACCTGTCCCAAGTCGATGATTGTCATTCTGATATACAAATAATAATACATGTCAAGTGGCCGTTCATCCTGATCCAACCATCCATACATCCCTTGATCGCCGAAGCGCAAAGTGAGTACTCAAACGCCGACCGGACGCCAAATGATCCTATTCCATACCTATCGGTAGTGTTGACAAGGGGAAAGCATGTCATTGCTTGTGGATGATGACCAAGGTCGGCCACGCCAAACCTATACTGAGCTCGTGCCCACTCCGAGTCGAATACGACTCGGGCTGGGGAGGGGGAGGATGGTTCGTCGTCCTCCCCGTCCCAGTTTGTCTTGTTGTACAAGGGGCATGGCTCAGCCAAACGGTCTGTCGGTCTCGTCATCGTAGAGAGCGAGTAGTAAAACAGATCCTGGACCTGAACACCGATCGACCGTCTGCCCAACCGACCAAAGTGGACTAATTGAGAAAAGGACTTATAACATCATTGTCACCTCCAACATCACTCTTGTCACCAACTTCCCCTCCTCTCCAGCCAGTCCATTGTCATGCGATGTTTTTGATCTTCATGGCTGAAGGCATTTGGTATGGGCTTAGACTTCCGCATGTGGTGACCTTTGTCGTGGTCAAACGTCATGCCAAAACATGATTCACTTTGGCCTTCGTATAAATCCGCACGAGGGGTTGCCGGCCGTCTGGGTGATTCAATCTCAGGAACTGCGAGGTGAGATGGGTCTGACTGAGTGACGTGTTCGTATGGTTGTGTGTGTGAACCGCCGTTGGTTTTGTGTGGCAGTATCTGCTCGATCCAGCTTTGATGGCCTGGCTTGGGAGCGTGGATGGTTGAGCAGAAGGGTGGAGGAGGAAGGTTGATTGTGTCTGCTCTTTTCTGAGTCAAAGGCACCACCGAGTGGTTCGTCGTCAGCTGAGAAGTGGAGCCATGATCGGTAGTATTTGGGAATGAGTAGTCCGAGGCGTCTGGCTCTGGGTGAGTGTGGTGTCCTGGAGTACTGATTAAAATTGGTATCTTGTCCATCATGGTATTGATGATGTTGGGATGGTGTAAGGTCAGATTTAGAAGTTTAGTGTTTGATGGATAAAGGCTTGTGATATCGTTTTCTGGGGAGTAGAGCAATGCAAGATCAAGGAAACAGAACCTGGGGCACGCTTGTTATATGATGGACTAACGGAGACAGAATTCCGGCGACCTGGGATCCACGGCGACATAAGGGCGACACAAATACTCATCTTCTCGGTGATTCTCAATCCGACTCACGAGACCATGAAAACATAGAGATTCTGTTAGGTAAGCCGCGTTGCCATGCCGAGAGTCATTCGCCCGGGAATCTGGGAGTATCGAGTGAATAAAGGGCTCAATCCTGCCTGTTTGAGTGAAAGCCTGAGGTCCCCGCTTCTCAAAGGCTGTGCAGTCTTGGTGCCTTTGAAAGTGTCTCAGAGATGGGATTCTGACCTATGGGCATAGATGGTCCTCTGAGTTGAACAATGCGGGCGGGCGGGTAGATCATGCGATGTCTGGCAGTCTAACACATGGGAAGCTTTGACTTACTTTGGGTACGTCTCGGGTCTCGGGTCTCGAGTCTTGCGTGGTGTATGGCAACTCTGGTCTAGTCCTATCTAGAATCTGGGGTCACGACACATGATCTTGGTGCTGTCCGTCAGCAATCAGCAATACTGGCATGCATGAGAAATGGCGCACAGCTTGAAAGACGTAAAGCATCAAGTTGGATGTTGAGTGTTGGATGTCGTGTCCTGTCGGTAGATGGTGGACGTGGTGAGGGAAAGTCCAACTGTCACAAACTGATCTGGAAGGTGCGATTCCAAGAGTGGAGCATAAGGTGACAATACGGTAATACGGTATTACCCGGCTGTCACCTGCAATTTTGTCTGTCACGATGGGACCCTGCAATACGGGAAGGAACGCGACCGCGAGTGTTGAACTCTATGAGGGAAGGTGCGACTGGACTGGGCAAAATGCCTCTCGTATCATTCGACTCCCGATCCACGGCGGCCTCCCTCCATCAACCACACCTCGTCCAGTAATCTGGCATTGTTGTGCAGCACCTGCTCCTGTCTAGTCATGCCACTGGACGACACGTCCCGTACTCTGCTCGAGGCTGGACTCAATGACGCTGGGCTCACTCACCCACCCACGAATTGCCTCAGTAATGCCTTACGAGAACCGCCGCATCCCACTCATGCCACACGAGGACTCAGGCTGGCCATGGCAACATAAAAGGTTTGTCTGCAAACTACCAACAGACACTGTTCCCCATCTCCAAGAACAAGAGAGTAAACAAAGCCTAATCACAAAACACAAGTCTTTAAGCATTCATCTTACATTGATTCAAGATGATGTCCCAAACAGCACCAGTATGTTCATGTTCTGCGGTGATCCACGTGACCTGTCCCCTGACAATTGCTTAGGTTGTTGAAACCAGACCTAGATCTGCATCAACAGATGTCAAAGACAATGCATTTGTCTCCGTCTACAATGACGGTGATCTCACCGACCTCCTTTTCAAAGAACCCGCCTTTGCGGCAGGCTTTTTGGTTGAAACCGAAGAGCCACACAAGGCAGACGGCGTTGCCATTTCCAGAAGGAAACCAGCAGCTCACTTCAACACCGGCACCACTCCTCCCCCACCTACGGTGAAAGCTACAGTCACTGCACAACCCGCCAAGGCACCTATGGAAGAGGCCACGAAATCGTCGCCCCCACCAGAGAGATATGAAAGAAGACCGAGTTTCATCGAGGTCACTCTCCCCGCCGAGCACAAGGAGAACCATCATCCTACCACCAAATCCCACCCACATCCACACTCACACCAGCACCGACAAGAATCGTCGGAAGAGCACGTTATGGACTGGTGGCCAGAGAATGATAGTACCGCCCAGCATGTGTGGGTTGAGAAGAACCAAACTTCAGCTGACGAAGAGGAAGATATCTTTGAGGATGCCGTCTGGTCCGAGACATTCTATGATTGAAAAATCATACGGTTGGAGTTGATTTGTATATAACGATTTATGATTGCCATGTCCAGGCCATATGAGCCGAGGACGGCGCCGAGGACCAGGGATTCAATGACTGTATCTCATCTTAGTATGAATACTGGGGTACATGTATGCAATTCATAATGCTATTCTATCATACCTAAACCTCTTGATTATTGTGTCTTTGTGATCGTCCGCTGTTGTGTATTACTCGAGATGAAACTCCACGAAGTATGGTGAACTGCATATTGTGAAGGCTCCGCCCGCTACGTCATACAAACAGTTGCACATGTCAGGGAAAGTGAGGGAAAGTCTGGGGTAAATGTTATGATTGCTACTAGGGTGACATATCATGCCAGGATTTTCAAATTAGGATATGCATATCATTATTAGTATCGAGTGAGGAGCAATAAGGCTCAGGTATCGCATCAGCCATCGCATTCCCATATCCATATCTGCAACCATATGAATTCATAACAAAGGATGCCCCGCTTGACAGATTTTTCCAAATTATCACACTAATGGAAGTTGTCGCTGCAAATCGTCACAATTTGACGAAATCATTCGCTCGTATTCCCTGGTATCATAAATGAGAAACAATTCCGCTTATTCAGAGAAACCATCGGGCATACCGGCATTTGCGACCTTGACAGTGACAGGAGGGTGTTCGACATCCTCGTGCTGAACCTTGGGGACGACGATGCGCAACAAGCCAGCCTCAAGTCTGGCGTGGGTGTTGTCACGGTCGACGTCGACAGGGAAGTTGAATGCGCGCAGCATTTCTCCGATCTGGCGCTCGTGGGTGGTGAGATGAGGCTCCTTCTTGACCAGTTTGGTGCTACCGGCGTCGCTGCCGTGGTGAACGACTTCTTGAGCGGCGACCTCGAGGTGATTGGGTTTGGGTGTGCCTGGTCGCGACTTGATCACTGGCACTTCGAAGAGTTCGTCCTCGGGGATCTCAGGTCGGGTGAACTTGGTCGACAGCAGGAGTGTTCTTGTCGTTGTCCATCGGATGTGCATCTGTGCCTTGTCGCTCACACCGGGCATCTCGACTTCAATGTAGAAGTTCTTCATCGTCTCCCGCACATCGGCATGTGACTGGTGGACATCGAGATCTTTGTCGTGAACGGCCTTGTGCGCCTTGTGCGCCAGGTATGGCAGAGGAAGGTGGTGAAGGTGGTGGCCCTTCTCTGGGTATGTGTGCGACACGTATGTCGTTGGGTATGGTTCGATCTGGGGGTAGAACATGTACGACATGGTGATGGTTAAAGGTGGGTGGTGATTTTAAAGAAGAGTGATTCAAGGTGGCTTTTGGTTTTCTAGGTCTTTGCGACTGTAGATGAGGTTGTTGATTTCTTTCAGATTCAAGTGTTTGGATTCTTTCTGGAAGGATTACCTCGTGCCAGGTCCGTGGACGCGACACTTTATAGGAATTGCAACCTTTGTGGACATTTTGCCAATGCTGGTGACCTTCTCCCCAGCCATGACCATAGCCGCCCTGTTCTCCGAACTTTCTCTCACATCACGGGAATTCTCGTTTCAATCCAACATCGTCGTCTTGCCAGAAGCATCGAGACGACTCGGAATGTGATCACGGGTATCCTTTTGCCAAGTATGAGGGGTCAGACCATGTCCAACAAAGTAGTTGTGAGCAGGGGTCCAAGCGGACCGCATATAGGCGTGGCATGCAATAGTGGACTGATCTATTGAAAAGTCAGCTCCTTTAAACAACCTTAAGGTGTGGGCGTGTGCGTCAATCAATAAAAATCAGCTCAAAGTTTGACGGCCTTGACCGGTATGGGGCGCCGTCACCCGGGGCCTCGGCTAGTGACGCCGAGAAGAAGACCCAAAAAACGAGATCCCCAGGCACGCGAACACACCCAAAGACGCCAGAGCCAGGGGAAGAGGGCCCAGACCTTGGCCCCCAAGCGCCCAGAAATGGCGAGCCTGTGAACCATGGAGACCTTGGAGGTCGTCACCTACAGGATCCACTATGCCCCTCACGCTATACGATCCCTCAGATCCCAATAGAAGCTGTACCTCGGTGTCGTGTGATGGATAATGCATACCTAAGGTAGTCTACGAGTACCACGTCCAGAAGGAACAAAGAGAACTGACATACTACGAGTCCGTGGCCAAAGAACCCACCTCGAGCTCTCTCGAAATGACGCACAAATGGCTGGCGTGAGCAATCATTCATCGTCCAGATCCTGCCATGCCATGCCGTGCCATGCTATGCAATCCCGACGCATGCTCATCATCGGACCAAAGCATGCATGGCATTTAGTGGGCCTCTAAAACTGAGCCACAGCCTTGCGCGTGTTTCTCTAGCCACCTAAGTAGGGTGCCTAAGGAGTAGCTTAGGCAGTTGGCGTGTTGGGGCTCTGTATCAGTGTGTCATGCCACTGGCCCAAAGTCACTCTTGGTTACACATACTAGTGACTACAGATCATGTAACATGCACCAGAAATGCCGCCTATAGTCCTAATCAGTATAAAAAAACCCAAACCCTAGACCGGTTTGTACATGTTTTCTTCATACAACCACAGTCAGATAAACAACATACAACGCTAGAGCAGCAAAGCATACAATAGAGTATCAGCGCTACCACACAACAATCGCCAAAGATGATGCGAACACGAATGCCCACGGCCTACATGACCAGGATACGTACTCCTGCTTTTTGTCAGTCGTTTTCAAGTGGTCGGCCCAAGCTTTCAGAGGGCGACACAGGCGGAATTAGGTCTGGCGGCATCGCTGCAGGGTAAGTGACTGCAACTAGGAGCATTTCAGACGTTCACAGACTAACACTTGGGTTTTCAGAGATACCTTCAGCCGCCGAGAACATGTCATAGAAGACCTATACGTGAAGCAGCACGAAATGGAAAAGTAAGTCCCAATTGTCACCCTTTTGAGATATCAATATCTAACTTGCTTTCTCTAGTATCAAAAAACTGCGGGAGAAACTCGCGGCTCAACGGAAACACCTTGATGAAGTCGAACAACATATCGACGAAATGGAAAAGTTGGCCGAAGCCAAGGTCGAAAATGTTCCCAAATGACTGTCGGCAGAAAGCCGTTTATGAATCAACAACATTTCCAAACTAGATTACTAGACTTGGGCCGGCGTTTGAGGTGTTGAGAGCAAGGCGTTGGAACCCTCCGGTATAAAGTCTCATTGCCGTGGTATGGGTTGGGAATTTTAGATCGAGAGATGGAATGGTAACAGTCACACCATCCAAAGGTCACCGACGTCGAAGACATAATACGAATGAAACCATCAACAACTATCTCTGTCCAATTTCCTAGACTTCGTGTGAATCTTTCAATTCAAAGCCTACGCGCCCAGTTTGTTTACTTTCAACCCCTCGAAATCCCTCCGAGGTACTCGTACTCTCAGGATAGGTCCCAGTATGCAGCTAGAGATGAATTCCTGCTCCTCTAACCCCTCTAATTTCAAATCACCACATCACATCACTTTCCAAGACTGAGCAGCCCACTTACCGATCGTGGGTCTCGAAAAACCGGTCCACCGTTCTCTCCCCAGACCTACCACCTCACTACGAGTTAGGCGCAGGGGTGCAGGCAATGCAACCGAATATCCTCACCGTTTGCGAAGACGTGCATGAAATCTGGGGAATGGCGTGCCTTGGCCAAATCAGACTTCGATTCGAGACCCTTGCTTCTCAATGTTGGGATCGTATGCAACGCTCACACCACTAGTGGAGACTCGAGTCCGGCAGCAGAATACACTCACTCAGGTCACATGCTGGTAAAACCACCAATACTACTATCTGACATTGTCATTTGACTTTGTATACTCAGATTTCGGCGAATACCGGGGCATATAAATGTTCGTCTGACAAGGAGTTGGGCTTCTTTCCGATACCAAGAGACCCTGAATATTTAACATGTCGTGTCATTCAATTTATATCGTATTCATCACGGTATTATACTCTGATTTGGCCTCTAGATCCTAAGCACGGGACCCAGCATAATACACTCGTGCATTCAAGGCCGAATCTGCTCCATGGTTCCATTTCGATTTGCACATCATTCCTCGTCAATTGCAATGGTCTAAGAGAAATACGGATGATGGATCGACCCATCCAATTCGACTCACATGATCAGAAAATGACAAACCCTCGTCACCCCTGGGGTTAGCCTAGAAGCATCAATGGGGACTGACGTTATGGACGAACGGAAGCCCGGACCAGCCGATGGAGAACTAGATAACTGTATGTCCATATATGTATCTCGGTCCAGTCAGAATAGCCTCATAGCCCTACAAATAAATCACGAAATCCTACAGAAATCCAATCACACACAATCTAGTCCAAAGCGAAATCCAATACCAACAAACATCAAATAACATCCATCACAATGTCGGCCAACGGTACACCCAAGGTTGAGAACCTATACCACGTCATCTTCACCACATCACATCTCTCCAAACTCGAAGATGTCAACGACAGCGTGGAAAAGGTACGAATCTGCGGTACATATACCACACTAGGCGCCGCGAAAGGCGCCGCCCACAGACTCCTATTTGAAGCCGGATATCAAAGGGAGTGGTTCGTGGAATACGACACAAACCAGGACGACTTTGTGACACACGGCATTAAACGACGATCAGGACTTGCAGTATTTGCAAAGGCCAAGGACGGCACCATCTTCCGCGTTGGCCTCGCCACCACCCCCAACGTCCACGCCTTGCGCGACGATGAAGACCACAAGATCCACCGACCACTGTATCACGTCGTCCAGACCAACGTCTTCTATTCCGAAGACGACAGTGGAGAAGCCCGTGAAACCAACATCCAGGGCTCATTCCTCAAATACGAAGATGCCAGAGAATTGGCTGCCAAGGCATTGCTGAATGCAGAAGATGGAATCACCAAGGAAAGTTTCGAGCAGTACGATGAGGCGGAACCAGGTCAGACGGATTGCGGATATGGCGAAAATGTTGTCGTTCATGCAGTTGGACAAAATGGAGAGAATATCTTGGTCAGTGTTCTCAGGGGACAGGAACTCGAATCGGTCAGGTTAGCGGAGGCGTCGCTAAGGATTCGCGCATTTTAATTAACTTAGGTAGTTCGTCATTTGCATAGTATATGGCTTAGGACAGGGATTATAGGTATCCCGGATTCTAATGGGACAAGCCTGGCACTTAAGATGCCAGATGCTCAAAATCAAACCTCATCATTATCATCATCACTGTCGTCATCATTTTCTTCTTCGCGATCATTGCCATACCCTGCCTGAGTCTCTGACAGTTTTGGATTGCTGAGCCAAGGACCTATGGCAATCATGGGAACGCAGAGACCCAGGGCTGTGGCGGCAAGCAAAACCTGGACTTTTCCATAACTCGTTATAACCGCAGAGCGAATGGGTGTACCAACGGGGAAATGAGGCACCACATCAAATGGTGACTGATAGATCGACCTCGCCAGAGTCGAATTCTGCTGAAAGCTCAGGTTGTCCTCGAGAGTAGATGGCAGAACCTCCGACCAAATCACTCCCGCAATGCAAGTACCCACAGCACTGCCGATATTGAAAATCGCCAGATAAATCCCCGTCATAGCCGAAACATGCTCTCTCTTAGACGCCGACTGAACCAATGCCTGCGTGGGATAAGCGCAAAACCCAGCCGCCACACCTAGTAGAGCCTGTGCTGCCAACATGCCGTTCCGTGCCGCTGTGGAAGTTCCACTGTGGAACCAGATCAAGATGGAGAATGAAGCAGCCAACAGGATTATGCCAAGCAGTATGAATGGCTTCAGTCTTCGTGTCCGGTAGACGATGGCTCCAACGATGAGTCCGCTCAGCACTCCGAAGAAGGTGAAGAACGCTGTGACTTGTGTTGCCAGAGCGACGGAGAAGTCGAATGCCACAATCAACACCGTGTACAGGTAATTGGCCTGAACGGCCCAGGCCAAGTTGAGTAAGCACCGGATTGCTAGAGCGGCGATAACACCTCGATCCACGAGTAGATATCGGGGCATCAGTGGGATCTTGGCGCACCGACTCTCCCAGTAGACGAACCCCACTGTGCAGAGACATCCTAGAGTAAGCGAAGCAATTGCCGCTGGATCACGCCATCGAGATAAATGTCCTCCTGCGGTCGTTAACGGTGTCAATATAAGAGCCAATGCTGTAACAGCAAGGCCGATTCCCACCACGTCGAGTCGATGAAAAGCATGGACTAAACGCTGATGAAGGCGAACCACACCTATCTTGTGATGATGTTGTTGGTCCATGCTGCCATACAAGCCTGCTTGGTAGAGACTTATGAGCATGGGTAGAGCGGAAGCAGTGTATATGATACACCACATGCCAATACCCCAGCGCCAAGTGGTGTTCCTCATGACAATGGAAGCGATATCGCCACTGACCCACGCATTCACCATGAATGGGACGGCAGGTACATAGCTGAGGAGTAGCCGTGAGCGCATCGAAGTAATGTCTGCGATCACAACCTCAACCAGCAATATGATGGCCGTGTAGCCAATCTGATAGAGCACTGCGCCGACAATGAACCATGTCACCGACGTCGACGTGGCTTGGATGGCAGTGCCCGCGACATACACGACCACCGAAACCACCGTCAATTCAAGACGTCCGACCACATCTGCGAGTTTAGCAGCAGGCGGATATGCAGCGGCAGCAATCACATTTCGAAGCACATTGATCGTAGCAAGGAGAGAATGCTTGCCAAACTCCGACGCCGCATAGGATTGGTAGGTTGATCGCAGTAGTCCATCCAAGCCATATGACCATCCAATGAGCAGAGTGCCTATCAACACAAAGGCGTGACTGAATGCAGATAAAGCTACTGAAGACTCCTCTGGAGGGATGTTCGTCGTCGTAGACTGGTTAGCCGTATGTTTGCTCAAGTCACCACTATTGTGCCGAGGCCATCCTGCTGTCTTGACGGCATCAGGCTCTGCCACTAGTGGCGTTCTCTCGGTCGCCATGGTGAGTTTTCGAGTTAGGAAACTTCATGTAAATAAAACGCTCGAATAATGCTTCCCCATTTGAAACACGGTGATGTTCACTCAGGGTTAGGACAAATACAATGCTTTGCAGATTCAATGCTTCTGTGATGATGTTGATGAGTGAAAGATCTGATAAGATTACGAATCATGCGATCATCCGGACAGAGTTCGTGAGGAGTCGTAGAAGTGGAGATCTTCCGTTATCGGAGCCGTTAGATTGACCAATAATGCCAGTTTATCCATGGATGGTGGGGTCGGGCCAAGAACCTTCACAAGCCACGATCTACGGAAGGAACGTCTGGGGTTTTACTTGGTGAGGGGTTTTTATGAGAGGTATTGAGGTTCTGAGGTACTGTACTCATGATGTTTTCTTGTCGGTGCTCCGCGAGTTGATGTCCATGGAGAGCATATAGAAAAAAATTTGAGGTCCAAGAACACTGAAGCCATATGGAGGGATCTTGAATGATTTTGATGTATGATATATCTCATAATAAGTAGTACAATCTTTTTATGATCATGAATCCAAAAGTCTATCAGTCTCATGAAAGTGCCTCGACCTTAGCTCGCGGTCCTCGTCTAATCCAACTGGACTGTCCGCCTCGTCAGAATCTTCAGAGTCATCAATTTGCTCTGCGCCTTGTTTCGTGCTGGTTTCTGCGTAGGAATACCAAAACACCACAATCGTGCCGAGCACACCCGTCATGGCAGAAAACATCAATGCAGCGATGCCGCCCTTGGTAAAGCCGGCAGGCAATCGAGGTGGAGGTGCTGGCTCTCCTGATAGATCAAGCCAGTCTTTGCTGTTGCCAGCGGCGTTTCCAACAGAAGGGACCTTCGCATCCTTGCACATGTCGAAATGACCTTGAGGCACAACCAAGTTTTGGGACAACGATCGGGGATCCTATCAAAAGATTGTCAGCATCGAGTCGTGAAATGTATTCGAGCCAGCGACATGTACGTACTTCGACAAATGTCATCAGCAATCCTTGTTGCACATGCCATTCGATATGGCAGTGAAACACCCAGACCCCAGGGTTGTCGCTTCGGAAGCGCAGAACCAGGTGGCCGTTGGGATGTAATAGAATTGTGTCGCGTCTCATGGGAGCTGTCGGGAATGTCGAATTGGCGTTACCCTCCCATGGCCCTGCATCATCCTCAGAACGCGCAAGAACCTGGAAGCTGTGGCCGTGGAGGTGGAAGGGATGCTAGATTCCCGTGTCAGCACCACATTCTAGTCTCTGATAAATACGATCAATCTAACCTTGCCATCGTCATTGTTATTGAGAACGATCTCAATGACCCCGCCTGGCTCCAAGATGATGGTATTTGTGTGGGTTCCGTAGATGGTGGGGTTGGCAACAAGATCGTTGGAAGCGCTGAGGACAGTATACAATGTAGGTACTTTTGGTGCTCTATAGGTGATATCGTTGAAGAAGGCGTAGTTCTGAGGTACGAGTCAGCTTAGCTTCCCATGGTCTAACTCTATTGGACTCATTGGATGGATGAGTGGAACGAGATCTGCCACTTACAACGCCGTCTCCCAAGTTGTCCATGGTGACATTCAAGACGATAGTCTGAGAAGGATTGTTTAGAACCGCCGCCTCGTCTGCTGGAATGAGCTCAAAGTCATCCATGGGCTCGAATGAGTCAACTGTGGGTGAATCATTAAGTGCTCGCTCCGGATCGTAAACCAAATACGCTGTTGCATTCGCCTTCAGATCTTCTGGCATGAGATCAAACAATTCTGTGTCCATGGCTGTGGTGATTGCATAATTTCGTGATCTGTCGCCTTTGGTGGTCAGGATTGCACCAACTCGCTGCCCAGGAGTCAAGTAGACCATCTCGACCTTCTTTGGCTTGTGGTAGACTCCGTCGAGCTCAATGATGGTCAATGAATGCCCTTCGACCCAGATATATTGGCCAGCAAACGCCGCCACATTCACAAGGCGTAGAAAGTAGGAGGTGCTGGGCTCCACTGGGATTTGCAGGTCCAGTGTGTCGTTCAGAAGAGCTGATTGCGGCACTGGGGGAAATTTAGTAGGTATTCAAGAGGAGGACTTGATCCAGGGTAAGAACATGAACATACCTGGTTCTGCACCTGTGGGATTCGTAACACTGAGAAAACTTTTGGTGATTTCAGAGACTTCTTGGTGATACCAATCAGAAACACTGAGCACCAGTTCCTGGGTATAAAGATCTTTATACGGGCTCTGTGGATCGTGGACGATCAGAGGCGCTCGAAGACCATCTGGATACTGTCCAGGCTCGTGCGAATGGTACCAATATGTTCCAGGCTGTTCAATGGTGAAGTTGTAGACCATTGAAGACCCTGGAGGGATTGCGCACTGGGAAACACCGACGGCACCGTCCATGTGTGTCGTGCCATTTTGATACAACCCATGGAAATGTAGTGATGTCGATCTGTCCACAAGCCCATTATATGCATTGACCACGATTCGATCTCCCACTGTGGCTTCAATAGTTGGTGGTGGCCATTGGCCGTTCACAGAAATGACACGCCGTGTCTGGAGGCCATCAGGGTTCTGCACCGTCCATGTAATATTGAAATCGTAGAAACGTGTAGTTGGAGAAGCATAAGCAAATATGTCCAAGCAGCTTGTCACTATAACAGCGGCGTGGACAAGAAGCCAGAAGTAAGACATAGTAATAGCTTCTGCATCGGCAGAAGAATGCTGGAAGAAGCGAAACACATGTTGTTACGAGAACAACAGTCGAGAATGAGAGGCGGGAAAAAAGGAATCGAGTGGAGCTCTCAGACCCTTGGTGGATATTGAAATGAAAATCGCCAATTGTGTTCCATGCACCGAAGACGGAAGCTCACGCCACATCACGTGGGAGGAAAATTCTTATCTTATCAGATTTTTCCCACTGATCCTCCGAGGGTTCGCTTCTTCTTCTTACTTTTCTTACAGCTTCACCATCAATGAATGACTAGGGCAAGACAAGACCCCACGCGTTGTGCCACGCGTCAAGATGCTCTCCTACTTTGACCTCCCGGTATTTTTCGTTGTTTTTAGGGAGACTTTGGAAACCGCAATTGTGGTTTCCGTGCTCCTGGCAGTCCTCAAACAAAGCTTGGTTCAGAAAGACCATGAGGGCTTGCGTACGAGGTTGAACAGACAGGTATGCTGTGCCTGGCGTTTTTGGCACCAATTTCTGTCCTCATTCTGACTTTTGCAGGTGTGGTTAGGTGCTGCAGGTGGACTGGCAGTCTGCATGATCCTTGGTGCCGGGTTTGTGGGTGTCTTCCTTTCCATAGGAGTGGATCGATGGAGCGACAGCGAGTATATCTGGGAAGGCGTCTTGGGCATCATCGCTTCTATCATCATGACAATTATGGGAAAGTCAATGCTGCGGCTCTCCATGACTCGTGGCAAGTGGCAAGCCAAATTCGACAATCGCTTGACGAGGAGTGCAAGTGGGCAGAAGTCCGCCGGCAATGTATGGACCCGCTGGTATCAACAATATGAGTTCCTTGTTCTGCCATTTGTCACTATACTGAGGGAGGGCATCGAAGGCATCATGTTTGTCGCTGGAGTCAGCGTGGGAGCATCAGCCACTTCAATCATTTTGGGAGCCATTACTGGCATGGCAGCAGGCTGCCTGGTGGGCTATCTGATATATCAAGGTGCAGCCACTACATCTCTCAAGCTCTTCTTGACGATCACGACATGCTTCTTGTACCACGTCGCGGCTGGTCTTTTCTCGAGAGCCATATGGTTCTTCGAAGCAGACGCCTGGAATAAGGTGACCGGTGGTGATGCGGCAGAAAATGGATCAGGACCTGGATCCTACGACATCCGACGGAGTGTGTGGCATGTCAATTGTTGCAACCCTGAATTGAATGGTGGTGGATGGTGGGGTGTCTTCAACTCGCTTCTGGGTTGGCAGAACAGTGCAACTTATGGCAGCGTTATCAGCTACAACCTCTACTGGTATACTGTCATTGTGGGTTTATTTTGGCTCAGGTATAAGGAAGTCAAAGCAAAATAGAGAACTTGGGCTATTTGACGGTTTATTGACAACATGTACGATAGCATCACCAGCATGTGTCAAAAATTTTAGGTCCTGGCTTGATCTTATCTGATTCTCGTATCGTGTCACAGGGCTGATCATCTCGGCGGAACAGCTTGTGACACCCACCAGTGCAGTTATCAACTCGAGGCAGCGATTGACTGACTCAGCGAGAATCACTGTTGAAAGACTTCTGGGATGATGATGCGTACAGAGTGAAGCATGCAAAGTTTAATTGCACTACATACATTCGTGAAGACAAGGTAGGTGCTGGTTGCCCACTTTCCAGTTCTTGGGACAGTAGCCATTCGCTCCTTCTGTATTGTGAAGTCCAGGTATTCGACAGTCAGCAGGAACGACCTCCAACAAGGAAGGTGCGGGGAGGAAACGCTCAAGACTGCAATCTTGGCCTCAATCTCTTCAGTCTTGTTACATCTCAAGACACACGAAGCTCTCTCTCCCTGTCTCTCCCTGTCTCCCTCTCCACTGGCCTTCTACAAGGGCCACACCGGCAAACCCCGGACATGCGCCCGACAAGCCTCTATGCCAGCCTTCACCCCTCTTACCAATAGCAAAGCGCCGCGCTTGGTCTTAGTCCTCTTTGGTCACGCCACTACCGCATGCGATACGACAGATGACTTCTGGCACAAGTGCCTCGTTATCAAGCCAAAGAGATTCAGATGACCACAAAATGCCTAGACTTTGATCCCTGAGTTGTCACATGCTCACAGTGACCACCCATGTCACGGTTCAGCCTTTCTCTTGGTGGTAGGTCCTGTCCTTCCTGCCCCTCCTTGGGAGCATGACCATTCATCAATTTTCATTTTGATATCATCTTGATAGAAAGCTCTCGAACGTTTCTTGCGTCACGTTGCGTTTTCAGCATATTGCCACTGATTTCCAGCTTGAACGCACCAAAAACCTACATTGCGACATTCTCCCCGGTCGATTTTTGCGGCATTCCACATGTATCCTAGTGGACGCGATAGAAATCATGTGAATTTCAAACACAATTCCAGCATATATGCCCTTTTAGCGCATTTATCATCCTCTGATCCGAGATCGTTGAGAATTTACAAACCACATGAAACTCCCTCCTGAAAGATCGTCAAGTCGTCTGAAAGAAGACGACTACCAACAAACGTACTTCCAAACAGCACCTTGACACCAAAGCTCGACCCCAATCACAATGTATATCCCCCTACGGGAGCATCACACCGATCAGGTATTGGTTTCAATACCACAACTCGACCCCTCAAAACTCCCAGATCTCCGTCCAAATTATCCAAATTATCAGTTTGTTTCGGCGTCGTTGTTAGGGTCCCGCTCAGATGAAAACACTACCGCCACTCGCCAAGAACAGAATTCATTTGATCTCCCAGAGGCCTTCGTGGGTGTTTCCGTTGCAACAATCGTCCTGATGATTGTTATCATAGCGTGAGCCTGGCCACAACCACTTACCATACCACCTTCGACAGACAACTCGAATTCTAACTATTACTTTTTGACCACACAGCCTAGCCATGTATCGGAGATGTTCCTCTTCTCCTGACGAGACAAATTCAGACTCAGCCTCAGCGACCACTGATTCAGCATGGCGGATCGAAGACATTGAGGGACTCGGCAGCAGTAGCGACGGAGTGGTGGCCGCTAAACATCGAAAACGGCTCAAGAAACTGGACCAAATTGCGCCAATCCAGTCTCTACACTCGTGGCGGACAGAGAAACAACAAAGTCATACCGAGAACTTTGCGACTCTGTCAACCAAACTGATCTGATATGTCTCTCCCTCTCTTTGAAGTCACAGACAATCCATTACTAACATCCACAGCACTGCAATTTGCCTGGAGTTAATCGAGGAAAAGGAGCAGATCCGAGAACTCCAGTGTGGTCACGTTTACCATTCTGTTTGTTTGAATCTATGGGTTGAAAGAGGTCACCACGACTGCCCTTTATGCAAATACGACATCCTCGGATTAAGACCACAGGGATCCACTCATCAAGATCATCAAGATCATCAAGATGTCCAAGATGACGAGAATACGGAAGAACGTGAGGCTGCTGCTGCTAGTGCTCTTCCGCATCAACCTGTCCCGGCTCACATTGTAGAGAGAATTGTGGTCATCAACAACCCACAGCCTCCTCCACCGGCAACCTAGGGGGGTCCCTTTTCCCGTCAGGCGATATCTCCCTGGGGATTTAAGTACCTTAGTACTTACTTAACTTACTTGCTACTAGAAAAGTGCTAACTTTAGAAGCAAAGTACCTAGTACTAGTACTGAACTTAGGACTGAAACTTTGGAGTGAATACTTACTTACTGCCTCCTAAAGTACTTAAGTACTCCCTATATTCACGTGATACAGTCCAGTACTTTAGAAGTACATCCATACCACACAGCATAACGATCATCTGCAGCAGCATTTTAATTCAACTGATTTTCAATTTATGAATGAGTCTGACTGGTTCTAGCTCTAAACTGGATCGACTCGGTGCCAAATCAGTCTCAAATCAGCCCGCTAGGTCATGCACACGTCGGCCCTGAATTGTGGTGCTTGAATGGCATATACGGCTCAACCTCTAAGTACCTACTAGTACTTACTTAACCTACCACTTACCTTAGTACTTACTTACTACCTAGTAGACCAGGATTGGTTTCAACTCAGTTCAGCCTGGTTCAACCCGGTATCGAATCGGTTCAGTACTAGGTATAGTTCAACCCGGGTTCAGCCTGGTTCGGACTGGTTCAGCCTGATTCAGTCCGGTTTCAACCTAGAGCCTTATCCAACTCATTTCGACCTTTGTACTTACCTATCTTAGTACTTCTTAGTCTGATCACCGGTTTAATTCGGGCTCATAACTGTCAGTCTACGATACCGGGCCAGAGCGACCCAGCCTATGCTAGTGTGAACCTAGGCTGCTTCTTTTACTATTCGAGCTATATAAAGATCTCTACAGCCGCCCGGATTTCGATTCGTAAATTTAGTAGGTGGAATAATCAAAAAGAGGTTCCACGGATCCCCTACAGCATAAAATCCAGTAGATTAACGACGGAATTGTATAATAGCTGAATATACGTAGTAGATTTTCCACCACCTCTTCTTAGGGCCAGCAGGCGGGCCTCCAGGATAAGTCATAGGGCACGAATCTTCAGTAGGTGGACTCCTTCCCTACCTAGACTGCCCCTAAAAATAATTTCGTAATCTAGACTACTAGGTCGCTCCTTCCTTAAAAAATTCTCCCCCTCCTTCCTAGTTTCCATCAATTCCTTGATACGGCAATACCGCCCAAAGCGGTAATATCGCTACCGTGCCACGACAATTTCTGAATCAGGCTTAGGGTATTATCAACACCATCACTCCTTCGTTTCAAGTTGGTCGATAGGTAAGTACTTAAGTACTTAGTATCATGGTCGCTCCTTCTCTCTTGAATTAAACACGGTCGCTCCTTCCCTCTTCAATTCAGCACGGTCGCTCGTTCCCTCTTACATTCAACACCGTCGCTCCTGCCTCTTGAATTAACCACGGTCGCTCCTTCCACTTTTTTCATGGAATACTGTCGCTCCTTCTGTCTCTAAATAAGTTTTAGTTTATGTAAAGCAGTACGATGAAGGGAGTCATGTCAAGCCCAATATATAGCCAGAACCTAAATAGCCTCACTCAAGAACACTAGGTACCTAGTACTTACCTACCTAGGTACCTATAGTAAAGTCTGATATCAACATTAGATAAAATTCGCCGAGACCACGCCTATTAGGTACTTGAGTAGGTAAGTAAGTACCATAGCATTCAGCAAGATCGATTCCAAGTTATTTTGATATCACTCACTCGCTCCCTCTTTTCCCTGGATCTCTTAGCCTCCTCACGCTGCGGCTCAATGCACTTGGAGAGGAAGATGTCCTTGTTTGTATGATCTTCACTCGTGCCAATGATCAAAGCCTTTAACTGAACCAAGCACTTGCATCTCAGCAATCCTTCCCTTGCTTCCTGTCTTTTCCGGCACCTCGGTGTCTAGTACTGGGTAAGTAAAGTACTCAAGTACCTCTTACCTTACTTCGAACAGGCCTTCAAGGCTCGAACTCTGTACCTGACTTAGATGGTTGCATCCCAAAATGAGGATTTCCAGTAGCATGCATAAAGAAGAGATGTCCTCTTGAGGTGGCCAGCAAGATTTACACCAGATGACATACTTAAGTACTACTACCTAGTAGTATCTAGGCTGTCAAGAATCCTGCTTCCCACGCTCATCTCGCAGCTCTTTGGCTGAAGGCCGATTTGTACATCCTGGCAACTGGGACTCCCGGCATGCATGATGGTTTTAGACTAAGTAAGGTACTAGGTAGGTACCTACTTATATCTTCTTTATACTTACAACCTCAAAGTGCGGCCATCCAGCAAGCCCTGCGACCTGACCCGGGTCTCTACAGCGACATCAGCTCACAGCTAATGTGAACTTGACCTATACGAGTCATAATACCTAAGTACGACGACCTACCGGGTAGTCATATTCTAAGTAGTAGTAGGTTGTTGGAGTATTTCCCGGCTATAGGGCGATTCTTTGAACCCTTGATTTGGGGGGAAGGAGGTACGTACTACGGAGTTCTTACCTCCTAACTAAGTTAGTCCGTTTTCCCACTAGTCGGCCGCACCTGCCTTCTTAGTCCTCCAAAAATTCACAATCCGACTCTCAACTATAAGAACTAGCTAGGTACGACCAAAAATTCAAAAAGCAAAAAACAATCAACAGCCAGGATTCCCAAATGGTCACCCACTTTAGTACTAACTGACCGGCATATGGCTTAAGTATGGCTGAGCGGACGGGAAGCCCTGTATTCCATATCCTATGGTCGATTGCGAAAGTGAATCCCGATGCTACATTTTATGTATCTTTGACTTTAATTTGTGCTAGGACAGAGCCTAAAGTAAAGTACCTGGTACCTCTTACTTACTTACGTTCTTAGTTCTCATTTGATAGATATCATGGTTTATCCTGAATCGATGGTGTGTCGATCTGGTCTCCGACACTGCATTTGGCGCTGTACCAGATGCCGCCGCATCGAAGCCGTATGTGGTCACACTGTTCTAACTGATCGGACATCAGGCACTCGTGAGACCTTGTAGAGAGAAGGGTCAGATTCCACGAGTATGTCACTCTGATATTTTTGATGCCAGGTCTTAATATCTAGTACTTGACAAGAGAAGTCGTTTCAGATGATCTACATACGTCTGTATGCATTGGCCCATGCCCCCATTCACCTTCTACCCGGTGTCTATCATCTGCATCATCTGCATCCATCCATCATATAAATTCATGCAGCGTGGCAGGTCTCCGGTTCTAAAATGACGCTAAAAGAACATCGTATACGGAGTCATTGAAGAGAAAACTGAAATGCGTGGGTGATGATCAAGTCAAGCTTATGTGCGTAGATCACGCCGCGCCTCAAATGATCCTCCATGCATTTCGTAGCCTTCGGTGCCGGGTCGAGGTTTCTCGCCAGGCAGAGAGTTGTTCCTCTTCCTTGAGATCGAAGTATAGATGACCACGCCGAGGTAGACGAGGAAGATGACGGCAGCAACCACGCTGTAGACGATGACGCCGTAGGTCGGCACGTAGCGAGAGCCCACGGGTCCAGTGATCATGAAACCCAAACCACCATTGACGACACCCAGAAGCATGACAGCTCGACCCATCCATCTGTGGCCACTGCCCATGGGGCTTCGTGTGCCGTTGCTTCGGAAGTGCATGTGTTGGGCAAGACCCAGTGCTGGTTGAACGGCGATCATCCATCCGACGACGATGAAGCCGATGATTTGATGGTAGCTGTCGATGTCGTCGATGTTTTGCGCTAGCCGGATACCCAGGCCGAGTCCGACAATCATCAACACGATGCTGACGACTTGCAGTGGCGCGTGGATATAGCGAACCTTTTGGTGGTGTGGCAAGTAGACCGTCAGGGCCGACAATGGCATTAGGATGAGGAACACGAGTCCCATTACGACACCATGTCCGATTCGAATGCCATCATCTGGTCCCGATTGAGAGCGATTGGGGCTTGAGTTCGAAGAGTCGGAGTCGGAGGTGACCACAGGGCCTGAGACACCATTGGTAGGCGTACCAACAGCGGGAGTGCTCGAAGTGCGGCCAGAGCCCGTTGCTGTGGCCGTAGCTGTAGCTGAGCCGGTGGAAGCAGTATTGGTTGCAGCGGTTGTAGTTGACTCATCATCATTGCTGTCGTCGCCTGAACCGGTGGCGGCGATGAAGGGGTTGACAGAGTTTCCACCAGTGCCCTCTGTCAGATCCAGGGTGAAGCGCGAATAATCGTCATGTTGAGAGATAGTGGCATCAGTGCTTGTTGAGTCGATAGCATCGCCGTTCCTCCAGGCATAGATCCAATTGCTCGAGGTACTTGTCGGGTCCATGCTACCTGAAAGACCTCCACTCCAGCTTAAACACGTGTCGCATCTGATGTTGGCCACCATGGTACCGTCTGACGTGATGCCAGAGCCCTCGAGAACAAAAATTGAAGCATCCGTTCTTTCTTTAGGTTCAACGTATCCACCGCCGAGCCGAGGAGACACGGTCACGTTGTTGCTATCCGCCGTATAGACGATCAGCATGTTCGCGCCTGACATGCGCGTTCCTTGTCCGAATCCAACCCATTGTGTTCCACTAGGCGCGCTGATTTGGAGGTAGATGGGACCGCTGCCTGACGACGCGGTGTCTGAAGGTACATTGACCGCTAGGCTTATACCGCTTGATGCAAAGGTCGCGAATTGCGCCGCCGAACCAACGACTGTAAGGGGTTGTCAACGGCCAGTCCATTATTGGGCATACAGTCTGTAGATCTCACTTACCGAGCGCGGTGGCCGCCAAGATTGACTTTAGGGCCCAGGGGGCCATTTTTAGGCGTAATCCGGGGCAAGATGACCAGCAGGCCACGTTTCGAGGATCTGATGGCCTCGGGCTCACGTGTAAAGGGTAAGAGGGTGTAGATCCCACGGTAGGGCTAGCCTGCTCCCTTTTATCAAGATCGAGTAACCAGCGTTTTAGAAGCCGAACGTGGAGAGAAGGGGTTAATTTATCAATCCTTTCAACACGGTTAACCTTTGACGGGAAAGCGTGCCAAACCTTGGGCAGATTGCGTGTGGATTGCATTGTAACCCCATAGCTTGCTAGGGGAGACCAAGGGTAATCATTTCTTCACATCAAGCGTCGATAGTGTGCCCCCCCAGTCAGCACCATGGCTCTTGGTTAAGCATATCCATGACGTGGCTCATTGGTCGTGGAGAAAAGCCGTCAGCCATCAAATGTCGCCGTCAGCCGTCAATGTCGCTTTCGGTTGTTTCGTTTCAACGCGTACTGTCTACGAATATCTTGTGCGTGGACCAACTTTGGATCTAACCGAGCCCGATTGACTCAAGCCCTTGTCGACATGACTGGTTATTTGATATGACCTCAAGAACACCCCCTCCCTGCTCTGTGAACTGTCCGTGAAACCTTTCCAACCATTCTTCGAAGGATTGGGGCTGAGCTTTCGCTGACCTTACATGACGGGAGATCCGTTTAGGTAGGGTAGTGCGAACGACCAGTAAAATCGTGTCCAATACGCGTCCTGGCTTCTGCGTACCTTTTACTCCGACTTTTAGGTGCTTGGACCACGACGGATTCTCAATGTACAGGAGATGATTGGTAGGAAAATCTAAAAGGCCGATCTCGCAATCGATAAGAGCCGTGAACCCAGCCAGGAACGAACACCTTTGGACTCTTGACTTTCCACATATTCTTGGCTGATAGCCGGCGCCCAAGAGCTACACGTATGAGAGAATGTGCCCAGCTGTCCATGACCCACAACACCCTGTGCATGTTCATAGCTAAAATCAGTAGTAATTGTGTGGGACTTCACCCATGAGAGGTTGGGGGACGCAAGTGTACGCATGGTGGCATACCTGGTCACTACTGGTTGGTGGTCAGCATGTATTCTACTGCCCACAATTGATCAGATAATGCCCGAGATAGATCCTTGGATGACGCCAGGCGCGGCAATATTCCAAATCAAGAGGTATACGCGTTGCTAATTGTACTTGGTGCTCATATACTATTCTTGGTAGTCGAAGTCTATTCAACTCTACAACATCGGTTCATCGGCGTGGCATATGGTGCGTGCCAGTTGTATCAAGCTACTCAAAATATCGGCCACGTCAATGAGTTTTCAGGCGAGCCATTCCACCTTCGAGGTAGGTACTTCGTAGTATAACTTCGCTTAGCGAAGCGGCATGGTCTAAAGCGGGCTTGACTCGTATTCTTGACCATGCACTCGCTATCGAGAAGCTCTGAAGCCGTCAGGGTTTTCCAACTCCACCAACACCCTGCTTGGCAGCGCCTTAGTCCAACATGAGAATGACGTGGTCCGCGATCGGATCGACAGATAAGTATTGTATCTATTCTCAACGCACGGTCACTGGCGATAGAGTGCGATTTGAATACAGGAGATGTGATTTCTCCCCTACAGAGCATCGTCCGTGATTGGAGATGATCTGACATTCCTTCATATGCGTGGTTGGTGGAACGGTCCAGTCTGTATGCAAGTGTACGTTCCCTGCCTTGGCCCGGGAAGATCTGATAGGTTTGCGCCAGTGTGCATATCGTCTCAAACGCACCAGATTACTGCACAGCCCGACGACGATAGAATTTGCATTTCTTGCTCAGCCCTGGAATGGGCTGTCCACGTCTGCGAGTACCCTGTTGATTCGAGGTTATTTTCTATCGTTGGAACAGGCCATCACGCTTCTAGTGCTGATGTCATGTCCCAGATGGATCGTCGTCGTCGTCATGACTTCGTGTGCGCCATGATTTCTTTGATCATCTCATTGCCGAGCCTGACAGCTTCGGGGAATCGTGGAGCAAAGAATTGCGCAATGTTCTCGAAGCGATCACGATATGCGTCGAAAGAACCGAAAGAAACGCATTCAGACCAGGCCTGTGGATGGTGAATTAGCATAGTGTTCAAAGGCACTTGAAGGTTCTCAAGCATCCTGAAAGACCTACCCGAGCAGCAAAGGTGAATTCCAAGTCGTCGGATCGGAAGGTGTTATCTTCGATGGCAGTATTGATTACCTCTTCAAGAAGAGCATCATTCCGGAAAAGATATTCAGTCACACCGAGCCATATGCGAAAGAGCTGATTCAGGGTTAGATGGAGGGCAATGAGGTCGGCGCCAACTCACTGGAGTAGAACAGATCATGTGTTCATAGGGGACGATGCCCAGTTTCCACCAACAGTCCACTATACCCAAGAGGCTGAGATGATTGTTTGGGGTTCGTTCACTCGCACGCTCTGACAACGAGAATCGGTCAAGCACGTCATCTGCCAGTAGAAGAGTCTGGTCTGAAGCATGTTTGGAGAAAACAGCAGCCCCTGCAGTCTTGATGCGATGCGCCAGTTCCTCACGATGCCCCCCCAACATCAGTTTGTACAGTTCGGTGACTGATTGAGCATATTGTCGAATTTGTTCTCGGGCGGCAGGATTGAGGATAGCCAGTCCCGCATAGACGTGCCATTTGTTGGCATAGATGCGTAGTGTAATGTTGATCTTCACATTCTCAATGCCTCCGAGATAACGGTTGATCTCCCAGGGAAATTGCTTATTCGCTGCCCATGCTGTTCCCATGCTGAGAAAGGCAGCATGTGTGACAGCCTGTGTATCAGCTGTGATACGGTCATGCTTCTCACCCGATAGATACACGATTTTGGAATTGAGACACGAAAGAACCTTGACACATAGATCCACACTCTTCTGAGATGCCCGGTGTTGGATGACAACTAGAGGTTGCCCGGTAGAGTCTACCGCTGGGCCGTGTAGAGAATGGCAGGACACAATCTCCACATCACTGGGAAGATATTTTTCAAAGGCAGCGAGCTCTGGCGCTTTGCAGGAAGTCTGTCCACCCACGATAGCACCAACCTTGGTGGATGGGCCATACTCGGCGACGACCTTATCGATGATTTCAGCTTCTACGCTGTAAATGATCCAATCACTGGCTCGTGATACAAGATGGCCATTGGGTAATATGTTTATTAGGGTCTATATACGGTCAACTTATGCTCGGTCATGCTTGCAAGCGACACAAACCTCATTCTCGTACTCTTTTCGGAGCTCCGCGAGTTTGTCTGGTCGATCGCAAGCATTGACTCTGCAGTGACGTTCTATCAGTATTTGGAGCGATCCACTATCAATGAAATTAAAGAAAGAGAAGAAAGAAAGAGAGCCTGTAAAGTTCACCCATTAGCGTTGGTTTCAAACACATATATGATAAGTGAAAAGAAGTAGAAATGATATCCTCAGACAAAAAATAGTAAGGTAGCGAGTATTTTACATCAGTGACAACCACCATCACGGTAGCCTGGCCAGGAAGGCAAAGCAATGTAACGATGATCATGCTCGAGCCAAATGCACTCAAGTCATCCTTGAGACGGAAAAGGGGAGGAGTGAAAGAGAATGAGTCACGTACCTGAAAAGAAACTACGACTCTAGAGTTCGTAATGATTCAGACGCTGAGTTGGCTTACCTCCATCCTGCTTGACTGAACCTTTTCGTATACATGCGACCCATGTCTCCCATGCCAATAATACCGACTGTGAATTCACTCATTTTGGAAGAGATGACACCCGGTGCCGGAAAGACTCATGAAAAACAAGAAGTTGGGTAGAGGCATCCAGGCAAGCTCGGAGTCGAGTCCAAAGCTGCTCCTTGCTCACCAACACCACCACGGATGTCGACTTGGCAGCCTCACAGACAAAGCTTGAAAGCTGTTGCCTAGCAGTTGTATTACAACCTTCGGACACGAAATCGTGCTTTGACTAGATGGAAAATAAAAGACTGGAGGGATGAAATGAACAGTTAATCAACAAAGAAAGAAATGAAAGTTTCACGTTTGTATGCCAAGACCCCATTCCACATCCGGTTAGTTCACCTATCGGCGAAACCCAAACTCCGACCATCTTTGCCCACAACCTCCAATTTTGCGCAGGCCACGAAATTGTGCGTTTTTATCACCATCTCGACAAGTCAATTCAACGGCCATTCTCGACACCTCACACAACCGTCACAATGCCTCCCAAGAAGAAGGTCGAACGCGCTGCCACCGAGAACATCTCGCTTGGTCCTCAGGTCCGAGAGGGTGAGTTCATTGGGACGAAGCCGCACAAGAAGATATTTAAAACTGACCCCGACACAGGTGAACTCGTCTTTGGCGTCGCCCGCATCTTCGCGTCCTTCAACGATACCTTCGTCCATGTTACCGATCTTTCGTAAGTCAAATCCGCAGACTCGTCGACGACGGAGGACGAAACATTTCCTCGCTCTCCTCACCCGGAGATGTCGACGTCGAGAACAATTTACACAGGACACAAAGGCTAACAATCTGGGTGATTCCAGTGGCCGCGAAACCATCACTCGTGTGACTGGAGGCATGAAGGTCAAGGCCGATCGTGACGAGTCCTCTCCCTACGCCGCCATGTTGGCAGCCCAAGACGTTGCTCAACGATGCAAGGAACTGGGCATCACCGCCCTGCACATCAAGATCCGAGCCACCGGTGGAAACGGCACCAAGACCCCCGGTCCCGGTGCTCAATCTGCTCTCCGTGCTTTGGCTCGTTCTGGCATGAAGATTGGAAGAATCGAAGACGTCACCCCCACTCCCTCCGACAGCACAAGACGTAAGGGTGGTCGCCGTGGTCGTCGTTTGTGAGCAATGGTGTCCGCACCATTGTGTTGGTGGAAATTGCTACTTGTTTGGACCTCTTTCGTTGTGCATCTTTAAAAGTGCAGCTGGAGAAATTCCTCTGACGGGGATGAGGGTTCGGACAAAACGCACACAAAATGCGAGTAGCTACAAATTACGCGAAGAACGGCATTTTTTTGCCTGGTCTTCATTCCATATGACGAAAACCCTCTCAAGCGTTGATTTCAATGTACCCTGTCAATAATCGGACTCGGACAGAAATTACGCTGGTGATGGAACTCAATGCCAAAACATTACTGAATCATGCATGTATTTCCTTCAACCTTGTGACCCCCGCCCTCTTTATCAAACCTAAGTATTCCTCCACCCCACGACACACAACAACAACAATGTGCATGAACTAGTAAGATGATACCATGACTTCGCTCATATTCCTAAATCTGCCGCCCAAGACATTCATCGGCATCGATCTATTATCCTTTAATTCATCCCCGCACTTTCAGGGCATTTCCAATATCCCGCCAGGGCTGCACTTTGTGTACAGTGGAACAGATGCCTCGCTCTCCATCCGAACTGGCCGATGGCTGAATCTGAGTGCTCAAGGAACCAAGCAACGAGTACTACAATGGAATAGGGAGACGGAGAAGTTAGATTTGGTTGAGAACGACAACGATGGCGGTGCTGTTGACGATACGACAGTCTCTTCTTCCACCGGAAAGCGCGGGCTCGTCGACTATCTTGCCCTCGCCGACGCGACAAGTGATCTCGCCGAAAAGCAAGCGAGACAAGGTCGGTCCAAGGAGGAGGGGGAGGGGCTTGGAATCGACCGGGATGATGATGCCGATGAAGAAGACGAGGAAACGACGCAATCTCCGTCTGCCGCCTGGTCTGCTCTGTCGCAACATATTTCGCCAGCGGCTCTCACGCGTGTCCTGAATACGAACTGGACGGTGTCGTCTATCTCTTCAGCTCCAACCGATACGGAATCCATCCCTGGCCTCTCGCACTTGGAAGCTGAAAACACATTGCGTCAACTTCCCCTGAATCTCCTCCCTGTCGATCTCAAACAGACTTGGTCTGAAGGCGACGTTGGAAGGGTGCGGACTGATCGAGCCCGAGACCGAAGTTGGTATCTCTCGTCTCTGATGGACATTGCGAGCCCTGGGGCTAAGGACAAGGCTGTGGGAGCGCGACAGGTTTTGGGGGAGATTCAGTTCTGTTTCCTCATGGTTCTGACCTTGGCGAACTACAGTTGTCTCGAGCAGTGGAAGCGTCTATTGACGGTCTTCTTCACCTCTAGAGACGCCCTTACGAAAGCGGAAGGCTATTTTGTGCAAATGGTCAAGACTCTGACGGAACAAATGAGGCACGTGGACGATCTGGATGGGGGTATGTTTGAGTTGAGGGACGAGGCTGGCAGTGCCTGGTTGAGGGCAATGTGGGCCAAGTTTCGAGCGAACGTGGATGATGAGTTCGAGGGAGACGAGGGAGAACAATTGAAAAAGACTGTCAAGGCATTGCAGTCGTTTTTTGAGCGCAAGTATGGATGGCTCAATAAGCAGGATACCTTGCGCAGAGGTATGCTGGAGTTGGAGGATGGTGAACGCATCGAGGTTAGCATGGACGGGGTCGATGAGGACGAAGAGACGGGTGAATATGCCCCCGTCGTGGTTGATACGTAGATATCATACTAGTAATGAGTCTACAATTACGAAACGAGGGAAAAGATCAGTCTACGCAATGCTGTCATGTGAATTCAAATCCAAAACATCGTGATGTGATACTCTAGTATTCAGGAATTGGTTGTATTGGTCTGATGCTGCGACAGAGGCAACTCTTCCATGAAAGAGCGTCCCTAGACAGCTAGTCTTAATGTTGACATGGGAGATACTCCCCATGCCGCCTGACTGTTTTCATCCATTCCCACACCTTTACATGTAAAAGGCGTGATTGGGAACTTCTGCTCTTCGATCTTCACCGTCACCAGTGGTAGCAATAGCACACTACTCCCCCTAACCCCATCACAGCCATTGCAAACGTACTGATGCGAGATACTCGACCACCAGTACCGGTACCACGACCCACGTTCGAAACATCCCCAACCGCAAATCCAGCTCGTCCACAAATTTAACGGTAAGATTTTTGGTATCTGGCTCTGGCGCCTGGACCACCGAACTTCTTGGGCTCCGACCGTCTGTTATCGGCGACGAGAAGTGTACGATCGTACTGGACGAGAGCTTGCTTCAGCTTGTTCTTGGTGTACTCATCTACGTATTTCTGGTAGTAGGCGACGAGGGCTTTGGAGATGGCTTGTCGGATGGCATAGATCTGGGATGTGTGACCACCGCCGGTGACGCGGACGCGGATGTCGATTTCGCTGAATTTGTCGAGGCCGACAACTAGAAGAGGCTCATAGACCTAGATTCGGGAGGAAAGAATATTGTCAGTTTATGTTTCTTCTTGCTTCGTGTGGCCCGTTCTCTCCATTCCGTCCGCTCCAAATTTCTCTGCCTGATTCCCTCCTCTTTCCTGGACACTGTCCTCCTCTGGAAAATTGTGCTTATGGGCTCGAGGGGCTGGCGTTACCTTGAATCGAAGAATTTCGGGCTGGACAAGCGAGAGAGGCTTTCCATTGACCTTGATGAGACCCTTGCCTTTCTGTATCTCTGGTGAGTAATTTGCGTTTGGCGTCAACTTTGCTGGGAATTTCTGACCTTTGCGTGGGCAACTGCGGTGGCTGTGAGAATCAATTGTTAGCCTCATCATTCAAGTTTGACCTGTTGTTGCATGCAATGTGCGAGTATCGGGTGTGCATACCAGTCTTCTTCTTGCCGAAGCACTGTACACTCTGAGGGGCCGACATGATTGTAGGACGGCGATTTGACAGAGTCGATACAGGAGGGAGGTTGTTGTCGTGGATATGTAACTGCGATCGTTCAGAACTTCGTCGTGGGTGTTGTTGGCGGCCGGGCAAATTCTGTGTGCGGGTTGCAAAGAAGTTGCCAAGATATCTGGTGTACTAGGCTTACTTTGGTTAGTTCATAGCTGAGGACAAGAATATTGTCAGACTTCCCTCCACTTTTTATGAGCTTCACTCAGGATTTGCCTACAAGCTGCATAATTGGCATATGTCAGACAAATAATTAGGCTCTCCTTGAATTTCTTCGGAGCTCGCCATTGTAGCAGTTCTTGGTGATATTTCGTCGAAACAGCACATCTCGCCCTACCAACAGCCACTGCCATCGAGTCAACGGTCTGCATCGCATTTCATCGTTGCAGGACCAGGGCAGCAACGTCTAGCCGCCACTATCAGCAAGCTGAATGTGCAGATAGCCGTGGAGGAATCATGTCGCAAACAGTGGGCAAGGTAGATATGCACCAAGAGCCTGCATGGAAGACCGGACTCAACTCACACTTGGACAGACGAGATTAGCCTATTCCCGAACCTGGCATTATATCGATATTGGCAATGACCCTCGACCGCTGGGCCGCATCGCGACCTCGATCGCTGTGACATTAATGGGCAAGAACAAACCGATCTGGGATCCCTCAACCGACTGCGGAGACTATGTGGTGGCAGTAGGGTGCCATGATCTTCACGTCACGGGCAAGAAGCGACAGCAAAAACAATACTACACGCATAGTACGAGACCAGGCAGTTTAAAGCAGATGAGCATGGACCACATGATTGAAAAATGGGGTGGTGGAGAGGTGTTGAAGCGAGCGGTGCGAGGCATGTTACCAAAGAATCGGCTGAGGGACAAGAGACTGGCAAGATTGAAGGTTTTTGAAGGCCCTGATCATCCGTACAAGGACAATGTTGTACGGTTCAAAGGCGAGCCGTTCCGAAACGGACAAGTTCTTGAGGCCATCCAGGCGGCCAAGTCGATACCCGGGCCAACCACGTCTACGGCGGCATCATGATCCGCTCAGATCCTTTTGTTACATTATTCCAGGCGTTTCAGCGATACGGAGAAGAATACGTCACTGGCTGCAAGTGTCAGGTGTATGAATATTTGATTGTGGACATTATATTATTTACATCCGGGACATGAATTCTTGAAAGTCATCACTCAACGCCTGCCAAACTGCGCTTCATGATGTCTAGAGGGTGGACTATGGGAGTAAGTCTTGATTAGCTACCGCGAAACGGTGCAGGTGATGAGTCCGTTGGGGTCTGATTGTGGCGCATAAACCTCGGCATCAGGCCCAGTGTTCTTGATACCGTGGTGCCATGAGAGGTCGATTTCGAAATAGTGCTTGTTGGGGAGAGCATAGTCAACCTTGCTGATCAAGGGCTGAGCAGCCAGAATCTCCTCACACATCTTGTACATTGTGTTTTGCACGCTGGGACTATTCTCAGTCGCAAAGAGACGGAAGGTAATCTCGCGAGCCTTGTCCCAGGTCTCGTTAAACTTGGCCACGTCCTTTTTGACCGCATCCAGCGACTCAAATGTGGACCAGGCCCAGCCAGCGTCGACTGAAGTGCTCAAAATGCGATCGTATGTGTCTTGAAGGATAGAGTAGTCGTTCGTGACAAAACCGTGGAATTGCGAGCCAGTGCTCTTGAGGACGAGCAGATCAGAAATTCCGGATCGAATCTCAATGCCTTTGCCCTCATACACATCGGCCTGAACCAATCTCTTATCGGCCCCATCTCGGTAGAATGAATGAGGGTGGGGTGTACCGTCAACGCTCATCCTCGTCCACCGATGTTGCACGACAGTAATGTGTGCAGAGTGAATGTGCTTGTAGGTTTCGATGAAGTGAGTGCCGAGGATGGCAGCAAACTGCTCGGGAGGGTAGATGGGGTTCTGCTTTGCCATGATGTATGTGGTTTGTTTCATGGTATCGGTTGCGACCACGACCGAGTTGTCGGCTTGAGTGTATCTGGTCGTTGTTAGAAGGCAGATTACCAAGTTCAAGATCATTAGGACTTACGAGGATTCGATCTCGCCCTCGAGGAGCACGGTCACCGTGTACTCGTAGACGGTGTGAGTCTTTGTAGCTTCATCCCTCTCCACCTTGTAGAGGCGAATGTTGTCCTTGCCATAGCGGGCTTTTGATACTGAAGGCATAGTGACTGGTGTTTGGAAGGGAAAAGGACGGCGTGGACAGTCTGTTGAGCGATGGGTCTGCTCCTGTTTGATTGAGGTCGAAGAGAATTGTACAATGCAAGTGCGATGATGGTACGAAGGGAAGAGCTTTATCTTTCAAGTCATATCCAAGGTCATGGAGATGGATTTTCTTATCGGAGGGGCAAACCTGGTTTTGACCAAAGGTAATTTGTCCCCCGGGTTGAGGCCAATTGCACAATCCGTACCGCCCTGAGATCTGGTTTCTGTGATCTACAAGCCCTATGATGGGATTCATCCAAGCTTACCCGCCAGGTGATTGGGTCGGACGGGTAAACAGACAAGGGTGATTACGCTTGGGGCTGCGATCTCTACCATTGTTGGGATGGCGTGGGCCACACGGAGCTCGCCGACCAGCGTCGAGCCCACTTTCCTCTAGGTGGGGATGCCTACATTCGCATTTCCAGCTTCGTTTTTGTCAGGTGAGACGCTGTAACAATGCGTCTGGGTGCGTATGATGATGGGTCGTACGCTGAAATCCATCTACTACACCCATCACATCGGAACGCATCACATCGGAACGCATCATATTCAAGGCGACCTTGCATCTTCCGTCATCGATCAGATATAAAGAGCTTCTGGGTCTAGAGTTGGAGTAGACCGTGTCAAAGCGACAATCTCCCCCACGAATTCGATCGGTGGCTTTCGATTTCTTGACGCATGATGTCAGAGATAGGCTTGGGCACAGGCGCCTCGGGCCCAAAAGCAAGCCCTGGGTTTGCTGGGGCCTAGGCAAGGCTGGGCCAAGCCTCGCTAACTTAGGTAGCCATCCGCGCCGCGCGCCAGGCATTGGGGAACCCGGAGCGACTTTCCTATAGGCGCCGAACAGTATTTGTCTGCCTGGGAAAGATACCTAAAGTTAGTTGTGACGTGCATCCAGTTTTACGGCCTTCTTATCACGAAAGACTTCGTACGACAGAAGGCTGATAGCACAATCATTTAACGCCACCACATGGTGCAGACGAAGCCCGATTGTCGATACATAGATCCAGTTGGGCCAGTCGTGCTTTCATGATGCAATCCTACATATACCTCAGAAGTTGGGCCAAAGAGTGGAGATTATATTGTCGGTTCAGCCTGCCCTTCTTCCTCCATGGTTGAGGCTGCAGTCAACAGTCCAACTCGACCATACAGCCAGGCCTGACTTGGAAGAAGTTTTCTCACGTGACACTTCCATGCCCATTGATGCCAGAGATGAAGCACGAAAGATGCGATACCCTCGAATAACCTGCCCTTCCAACATTCATCTCATAAAATAAGTTACTAATTCGTTGATCCTGTTACGATTGAACATTGTGGAGTCGTTTTACGGAAACGGCCCTACTCGTATTGTACGGGAGCCTATGGATAACTAAACTACTCCGTAATAACTTATCAGCGGATCATGGTATACGTATACGAGCTATCTATAGAGGCCATCTCCTTAATTAGATTATCGACAGACGACCAGGCTCTGCGCTAACGCGGCCAGCAGACCCACAGCACTCTAATCAGTTGAAAGACTTAACACACGGTAACAATCAAGGCTCACTCCATGCTCTATTCTCTCCCGAGAAACACAGCCTGTCTCATTCCAGTTGCTTCGTAACATAGGGAACATAGGCGCCAGTAACACTGATATCTTTTTCCGGGCTATACCTTTCCAGGCTGTCCAAAGGGGCGTATTGCTCGCAGAGGTATAGCATGTCGTTGTATGCACTGTTGAGCATGATTTAGTCTCGTCCTCAAACTATTCAAGGTTCGAACTTACATTTGCCTGGATGGGCTTCCTGGATGTCCCGCAGAATCATTCAGGTATGCTCGAATGCCGTACAGTCGATTGCGGTCATCCCACTGATCGACCGGCTCAGATGGTTCGATGTGTTGCTGATAGGCTCGCATATACGACGACGAATTCAAGTAGTATGCCCAGGTGCATCTCCAGGTACCAAATTCCATTTCATTGTGCGCATAGGTGCTTCCCGGGTCGAACATGATCGTTTCGCCTGTCTCCATATCGATCCCCAGATTGCCTTCCCATAAATCTCCGTGGACGAGTACCGGCTCGATACTGCGTCCTTCTGATTGCAATGGAAGCAACAATCGTGGGATAACCTCATTGATGACCTGTTTGCAAGCAGCGTCATATTCAGGCCAAGGAGCGTTGACATTGTTGTCAAAATTGATCACATCTTCGAGCTGGTACTTGAACAACGTGGCCCAACACTTCTCCCAAGTCACTGTCCTTTCAATTATGCCACACGCCGTGGGCACCGGAAACCCAAACAAGCCTATCGGAGACACTGCCTCTCGATGTAGTTTGGCAAGTTTAGCAGCAAATGATCTCGGCTCCGGAGCTGTTCGAAGATCCATGTGGTGGAAATCGCATAGGTAGAAGTACATCGTGCCTTTCGGCGTTGAATAGGAACCATAGCCCGTTGCTTGCGGCACCAGCCCAGGTACAGTGGCGTAAATTATGGACGCAGAATGGAATTCACCCTCTGTTAAGGGCTTAGCACCTATGCCAAAAGCCAACTACAGCGTTGATACCCACAAGATCAGTACACATTGCCAGGTTACACATCTTAGGTTATGTTACCTTTAAGAAATACTTCTTTGTCTTTCCATCTGGCAGCGTAACCGAAATCTTTGCGGTCTTTGTCCATGCACTGACCCCCGAGGGTTCGGCTGAAATGATCTTGGTCCCGGGAGGCATGACTGTCGAGTTGACAAGGGTCAGCAGCGGACACCAAAAGACTGGTAGCCTTACCATCCAGAACAGCCTGATGAACAGGGAAGTTCCCCTCAATTCCCACCACCCAGTTTGAATAATCTGCCATTATGGTGCAGTCTGAGACAATGGGAGTCGAGGAGCATAGTAAAGGAGAATCTCCCAACGTGCGGACGATACAACCCTCAGTCCAGCCGTCGACTTCTCTCGTGGATCTTTGCAGTGTCACAAGGGCTTCGCGCCCCATTAATACGATATATTGGGCATCACACCAAGTGATTCTGATGATTGCTCAGGGATGGTGTAACCGGTTTGCCCGACACCTAGACACCCAATGACACGGCGCATACCGCCCGTCGTTGCAGGGACGGTTGCATGGCGCTGTGCTGTTCCAGGCGGCATCTCCGTCGATCCCTGTCTAGGATAAGTCTTTCAGCTCATGGGTAGAAGAAATGATAGGGATCGTTCCAAGGTACAATTCAATCCAAGTGTGGTTCGGCGGTGCAAACGGTTCGCCTTAAATCCGTACACCGCTGAGGGTCTGGCATGAGGCTCAACTCGGCCCAAGAACAAACCGCTCTTGACTGGCCCTGCCTGACGCAGTACAAGTTAGGCGCAGAGTCGCTTCTCCTTCCTCTTCATTGACGACTCTGGAAATGCTGAATGCCAACATCGGAGCGCACTTCCTGAAAAGTTCAAGGCAAGCGCTTGTTTCTGCAACGCAAAGTTTTCAAGTCAACCCCTGGAGAATCCATGTATAGGCTCAAATATCAAGTCCAGCTTAAGTTGGCCCTAGGGTCTTAGGGGTTCCACGTCAAAGCTTGTCTTCCCGCCATTATTTGCCCTGCGAGAGTATACCGCAAGGCTGGCTCGCTCATGCTCGCCACGTTGTGGTACATTAGTCCAGTGAGAGGCTACGACTCGCTCGCAAGAGCGAGCCTTCTTAACGGGTATGAGCATTAAGAGTCACGAGCACTCATGGTGTGTAAAGCTTCCATGCATACAATAGATATACCTTGGACGACGCAATCTGACAACTTACAGTCCTTCCCTTTTAAATCGGATTTCAGCTTCAGGAGGAAGAGCAAAGACGATGGTCGCCAGCAGAGGCGTCGAAGTGATGACCCTCGGTCACCAAGTCCCACTTTCATACCAAGTGGGCTTGAACACCCCCATCGCGATGACGCAAGGGATCATGCTCCCTCCTCCTCTTCATCAACCTCCCTCCTTCAAAGAGCCAGAACATCCACGTCTTTGTTCTCTAGACACAAGACCAACGTAACCCGGAGAGAGAGTGACAATAGTTCTGGACAGTTGGGTTTGACCATCGTTTATGCCCCTCATGATGAACACAAAGCGGATATTGTCTTCATACACGGACTTGGAGGCACCAGCCGCAACACGTGGACCAAGAACAAGGACCCAGAGTTATTTTGGCCACTTAAATTCCTCCCCCGTGAGCCAAATGTGGGCTCGGCGAGGATATCAACTTTTGGATACAATGCCAATTTCCGCAAAGCGGGCAACCTTGAAACCACCATTCTGGACTTCGCTAAGTCATTGCTGGCTGAGCTCAAAAACGGAAGAGATGAGCAGAGTCGAGAGATGAACTTCGGGGAAGTAGGTCAATCGAGAGTGGAGCAGTCAATGAGCAGGCTGACTTCCTCTAAAGGTTCCTTTGATCTTCGTGGTCCACAGTATGGGAGGTCTCATTGCGAAAGAGGTACGTCTATAATCTCCTTAGCCACGACATGCTAAGTGGACCAAGGCGTACATGCAGGGCCAGTTCGATCCAGTGTACAGGGGAATCATTGACGCTATTTCTGGCATCGCCTTTCTGGCTACCCCACACCGTGGCACAAATCTGGCTCAGCTGTTGAACCACATCCTCCAGTCAAGCGCGGTGGGTGGCCCAAAACAATACATTGCTGAACTTGGACCGAACTCGGTCACACTAGACAGACTCAATGAACAGTTTCGCCACTTTGCCCCAAGGTTGGATCTCTTCTCATTCTACGAAACTCGTCCGACTGTCATCATCAGAGGCCCTGGTATGGTAAGACAGTCATCTTTTCAAAGATTGCGCAGAATGCTGACTGGAACGAGACGATACTAAAGAAAGATTCCTCCGTTCTGGGATACCCCGGAGAGGTATCGCAGCCCTTGGATGCCGACCATCAAAACATATGCAAATACGATAGTCCGAGAGATCCCAACTATGTTACCGTGAGTAATGTCATAAGGAACCTTGTCAGCAATGTCATCACAAGGGGTAGGAAAAAGTCCGCTTCAATGACTCGACGAGAATCCCAGGATGTGAAAACAATGCTGGCCATCTCGGAACTTCCAGATGCCGACTACATGTTCTACCGTGATCAATGGACCCAGGATACGTGCGAATGGATCTTGAAAGAGGATAAATTTTATGAGTGGACAGATCTCTCTCAACCGGGATCAGCTTCAAGTATTCTCTGGCTCAGGGGTGGCGCTGCTAGCGGGAAATCTGTCTTGTCTTCCTTCGTCATCAACGAGCTCGTCGAACAGAACCTATGTTGCCAGTATTTCTTCTTCAGGTTTGGAGACGACAAGAAGCGTACCATCAGCCTCCTACTGCGTTCACTTGCATACCAGATTGCCCGGCAAGTGCCAACTTTTGTCACAAGTCTACTGCAACTTGTCGACGAGACAATTGACTTTGCGACCATAGGCCACTTAGCCATATGGGACCGCGTCTTCAGGTCCCTGCTTTTCAAGTTGTCCAATCTTCGACCACTGTATTGGGTTATTGATGGTCTCGATGAAGCAGACGACCCTCGCGCGGTCATCAGGCTGCTCTCGGGGATCTCTCAGTCACTGGTGCCCATCAGGATCCTCATCCTTGGCCGTAAAAGCTCTGAAATTGAAGCAGCATTCCACCAAGCCAGTAAAAAGATCAGTCTAGCTGTACATTCGCTCGATATCGAGGGTCATCCAGATGACATGCGCCTATTCATACAGAGCGACTTCAGCATGGTAGGCAAAGTCGTTTGCCCGAAAGATATAGAAGATAGACTTGTGGAAGAAGCTCAGAACAGCTTCCTTGTAAGTGATATCGCGACTTCGCTCCCGGATTTTTCCATCGATCTAACCTGCACTAAACATTTAGTGGGTGCGGTTGGCCACGGTGAAGCTCCGTTCATGTCACAAACAATCTGATATTGAGGGCGCATTCAGAGATCTCCCAGTTGGCATGGGAGAATTCTATGATCGCATGGCATCTTCAATTGCAGGTGACAAATCCCCCGGTCATCTGACCATAGCTACTTCTATTCTTCAGTGCGTTACCTGCTCTCTGCGTCTTCTAAAGATACCAGAGCTGGCACAAGCCCTCAGCGACCAACTGGCTGGAAGTCTTGATCTTCAATCGACGGTCCCGGAGTTGTGCTGTGGCTTCGTAGTCGTGGACAACAGCGGCAACATCTCCATGGTCCATAAAACAGCGCGGGAATATCTACTTGGCAACGACAGGCGCCCTTTCCACGTTAATCTCGAACAAGCTCACAAGCAGCTATTCTCGGCCTGCATGCGGTGTCTGCTGTCTGCTGTGAGAGCCAAGTTGGTCGGACCGCATCGTCCTGCTCTTCTCGATTATGCCGCTACCTCATGGGCTACTCACCTCGCATATACTCCGCCTGGTGATAGAGAAGTTAGCGAAGAGCTTTCCAATTTCCTCAGAGGTCGAAAGGTTTTGACCTGGATCCAAGCACTCGCAGAAATGGGACAGTTGCGTGTCCTGGTGCAGGCATCAAAGTTCCTCTGCAGTTATGCTGCAAAGCAAGACAAACACTATAAACACCGGCATATCCAAGATCACGACCTCATGGAGAAACTTGAGCTCATTCAAAACTGGGCCATTGACTTTGTCAAAATAGTAGGAAAGTTCGGCAGGGCTATACGGCAGAAGCCGGAGTCCATCCACAACGAGATACCTGCCTTCTGTCCACATGACTCTTTGATTTATAACCTATTTGGGAAGAGTGAGCATAAGAAATTTGTTGTTTCTGGACTATCGGACAAAAGTTGGGATGATTCACTCGCACGAATTCCCCTCGCATCTGGATACTACGGTACGACGGTCTCTGCGGCTGGGAGTCAGGTTGCTATTCTCGCATCATCTGAGCGTTCGGGGGCAGTTCTTGTCTATGACGCATCGGATTTCGAAGAGATTGCTGCTAGTCCAATCGAGCACGGCGAGAGAGTATACCGAATGGCGTTGAACAACACAGGAACTATGATGGTCAGCTACGGGTATCGTACGACGAAAATCTGGGACGTCAACAGTGGCTACTGTAGGTTCTGCGTTGACAACATTGAGACGAGGCCGACACCATTGACGATAATGCTGACGAAAAATGACACCGAACTTTTGGTGGGCATGGACGATAAATGCTTGAGATCTCTCGACTTGACGCAACCCGTGCCTCATTGGAGATTGGTCGCAGAGGTCAAAGATGACGAGCGCGAGGGCCATCTCTTGAACGCCGCTAGCAATATGGCTTTGAATTCAAATGCATCATTATTGACAGTCGCGTATAGAGGCTACCCGCTCTCAGCATGGGAGGTAGATGGACCACAGCAAATCAGCTACTGTCCCCGAGCGCGAGAGGAGTCCACGAGGGGCGAGGTGATGCAAGCCCTATGGCATCCACATGATGAAGAAGTGTTGGGTCTGTATCTCAGTGGTGTTGTCTTCAAATGGCGGCCTTATGACAGCAAAGTCCAGGAAATTACCACCGGCGCATCCCACCTTGCGATCAGTAAGGATGGTAATTTGTTCATCACAGGTGATGTTCGTGGGCTTATCAAGGTGTACAGCCGATCCACCTTCACGATTGTGTATCAGTTAATGTCCGAGGATTCAGTCCTCGAACTTTGTTTCAGCCCTGATTCATGTCGTTTCTATGACATCCGAGGGTACTGCGGAAATGCATGGGAGCCAGATACTTTGGTAAAGCTCTCAGAGCAGAGAGTCGACGACGAATCGGACAGCAGAAGTCATGGCTCTGGCTCAACAGACTCCGTCAAGTTTGCACACCCAACCAAATTCCTGAAAATCGACTCTGTCACGGT